GGGGGCGTGCTGCTGTGAAAACGAGCCGAGATGGATGAGCATTCAGTTTAGCTGCCTGGCCACAGTTCGGTTACCCACGCGTTGTTGTCTCATCTCGTCCAGCGAGGGTCCGCTGATTGGAGTGACCTGCGTGAAATGGGTATGCGCATCTCTCAAGGGTATATATATACAGTTTAGCCTTGATCTCTGCACTTTGACGTGATCCTGCGAGGGACTTGTGTGCGTGGAACGGTGGTGACTTTGCTGTGACTACCAGCGCGTACCTCCCCCCCCCCGTCATTCTAGTTTTGCTCGTGAACTTGATCCATCTCCTGCGCTGCGGCACAATTTCATATCCTGAGGGTTCTATCTTGGCCTCACGACCACCGCTTAGCGTCTCGAACATTTCACCAGCTACTTTGCCAGATCATGACCGCTGCGGGTTCCCCAGCCGAAGCGGCGTCTGCTCAAGGAGCAAGAACAGAAGCAGAAGCACCGCCGACACCAATCAACTGCAAGCCGAAGGCGCTTGGTAGCAGCCTATTCAAGTCGACATGGCGCCAAGCCGACCGAACCAAGTGGAACTGGGCACAAAAGCTAATCACAGGTGTTGATATCTGGCCGCTGGCTGCTGAACCACCGCAACATGCCAAGGATGCACCGGTACCTGTGCTCTCGGGGTTCACATTTAACCGATGGCTCGTCCCACGGGCGGCCGTGCCTTTCTTGTTGCACTGGGCCTGGGTCCGTTTCGTCACATGCGGCGGGGTTGGAGCCGAAGACTGGCAGCAGTGCAGCTCGGGCCTGCATCCGATTCTCGCATTTTTGTTCTACAGTATCGCCTTCAAGCTCATCGGCATCCACTCCATCAAGTGGTGGCGCGCCCTCGGCGGGCGCTACGGCTACTTTGACGGCGACAAGCCACGCGACGAGGTCACAGACGACAAGGTCACAGATGTGATCCTCTCGCTGATCAGCACTTCCACCTTTCGCCCAATCGTCGCCGCATTCCTGATCTACGACCGCACACTCGCGCCGCCCAATTTTGGCGACTGGAAGGCGATGCTGTTCTGGGTCGGCGTGCAGCTGCCGCTCCAGGTTAGCGCATACTCAATCACCCTCGACTTTTGGTTCTACTGGTACCACCGTCTCATGCACGAGGTGCCCTGGCTCTGGAAGTTCCACAAGGCGCATCACCGCACGCGTCACCCCAACACGCTGCTCACTCTTTTTGCCGAGTGAGTAAAAGATACCACAAGCTGCACTCTGAGATGGGTAATTGACGCGAAGGAGTTTGCATTCCTTGGCTTCTATAGCGAAACACAGGAAGTATTCGACCTGGTTGTCATCCCCTTCTTCACCTACTACACCCTGTCCTTTATCCCTTTCTTCCACGTCAACTTTTACGACTGGTTCGCGATCCAGATGAACATCATGAAGATCGAGCTCACCGGCCACTCCGGCGTGCGCCTCTATTTCACACCGCCCAATGCTGCACCGCTCGGCCTCTTGCAGAAGCTGGGGTTGGAGCTTATCATTGAGGATCACGGTGAGCCTATTGCGGCGCTGTGGTTCAGTCCGTGGCTCGATCAAACTGACATGTTCGATGTGCGCATGTGTCCGCCTGTCTTTGCAGACCTCCACCACCGTTCTAGTAAGTATTTCGAGCCCTGCCCATCGTGCATCGACGCCTTCTGCCAGGAGCATGCTCTGACATGAGCATGATGCCCTTTTGCGTACACAGGCTGGAAAGACCGTGGAGGAAACTACGGAAAGCAGACGCGTATCTGGGATTCGCTCTTTGGCACCACGCTCAAACGAGAGGAGTGCACCACGGAGAACGTTAAGCACGACGTTTTGGCCGAGGCTCCATGGTAAGGAACAAGGGAAAAGAGGAAAGAGGAGAGCGGACTGCCGTCGCGACAAGTGCTACTGCATGCTTTTGGAACGACCTATCTCATCTATCATGTATCTTATCAAGTTGCCGAGTTAATTTCTAGTGTCACCGCACACTTGCTCATGCGAGTTTCACATCCTCCGCCCACGTCCCATTCGGACTTGACAATTTCCCACAAAGTTGTGCAGCAAGTTGCAGGCTGATAAAATAATACAACAAAAGAGAGCAAGAGGTGTGTGGTGCAGTTTGCGCTCGCTCACGCCTTGCCGATTTCCTCCGCGCTGGACAAAACGGTCTTTTCAACGACTGATACGGACACGTCCTCGCGGGGGTGATGCGCGCTCCTTTCCGACTCGTCGAGCGCTGCTCTTTCGCGCCGTTCCTTGTGGTCTAGGTGCCTGACGACGAAGGTGATAGCGACAACAAAAAAGCACAGAACGACCATCGCAATGAACCCTTTCTGCCAGCGCGGCGCGTCCGTGGCGGGGTAGAGCGTGATGCTCCACCAGGCGTTGACGACATTCGACCACATGTTCATCGAGCTGAGCACAACGGCGCGTTCCTGTTCGTCTAGGGCGGTGCAGTCGTTGGCCCAGGCAAAGTTCGATGCTTGCCCGCTGTAGCCGATGCCGGAGAGGTAGAACGCTGCGAATCGCGCGGACGCTGGCGTGTCCGGGATCAGCATGATGGTCGAGGTGATGAACAGCGCGAGACACATCAAGATGTTCACCGGCCATCGGCTGCGGTAGTGGTCCGACAAGTTGGCGCAGAGGATCGTGGAGATGATCGCGACAGAAACCAGGCCGAGTGGGTACAGCTATTATGCGGCCGTTTTGCGACGCCAAAAGGATGCATAGCATGTCGCGTCAGTGATCTTTATCAAAAGAGCAGAGCATAGTAGGCATACTCACGTTTCTTTGCCACCCTGCAAACCCTTTGTTGGTGAGCCATAACTGCATGAGTGAGTTGATATTGACGCTTTCAAGCATGCTGCTCCATGCAAAGAGCATCGAGAAGGCATACCAGTGCCACCGTTTGAGCGTGCGGGACAGGAGGTCCCAGCTCAGCTTGGTCATAGGCCGTTCTGGCAGGCGACTGACGGCGAGTTTTCGCTCCTCCTCGGTCAAGAAAAAGCTCGTTGTCGTGCGCGGCGTGTCGGGGAAGGTGAGGTAGCCGTACAGGGCGATGGGAACGCCGATGAATAGGTCTAGCAGGAAGAGCCAACGCCAGCCTGCGAGGTTCAGGTGGCCGTTGAGCGGACCGGTCAAGATGGCGGCTTGCATGACACCGGAGAATATACTGCCGAGCTGCGCCGAAGAGGCAAAGATGCCGGAGCGCTTGCCGAGCTCGGACTCCTTGTACCACGACCCAAGTATGTAGTGGCTGCCACTGAACGTCGAGCTTTCCGCCAGCGCTTGCAGGAAGCGAATCGCCATGACTTGTCTGGGCGTCTGCACAGCTGCCAGACAGCCGGACAGGCCCGCCCAGATCAGCGCCATCGACGGCAGCCACAGACGTGGAGGCACGACTTGTAGCATCAGGTTGTTCGGAAGTTGTCCGACAATGTAACCAATGGTGAAGACCGTGTTGACCTGGTTGAACTGGGTTCCGTGGAAGCCGACGTCTTCGCGCATGCCTGATACGTATGCATTCTGCGGTCATGAAGCAGCCGCGTACGGTGCAGAACAAGACGACGGACCATGGCACGCGAAGTCAGCGTGAGAGCGTCATCGGGGACGGTTATGTCCGACACACGTACCGCCAGGTTCGCGCGTGATAGATAGTTAGACCAGTACATTGCACAGGTGAAGGTCAGAACGAAGAAGTCGATCTTGAGAAGCAGCTTGCGCTCGGCGGAATCCGACGGTGGCACCCCCCACATAAAGTTGCGGGCGGAGCGAAAGAGTGACATCGTGCGACAAGAGTAAAGGGTCGGGGAAGCGTTGATGCTCGTGGCACCGACACTGAGATCACTGGTGGGCGATGGATGGGGTCTGGGATCGCGATGGCGAATATTAATACGATATTTGATGAGCTCGTGCCGTTGCGGTTGGATAGTCCTTGATGAGAGTCCTACCGATCAGCAATGTAATAGGTATCTAATCAGGCACGGAGGAAAGAGCGAGATGACTTGAGACGACTAGGAAGATGGAGTGGAACGATGAAAAGCAGGGACCTTTGCGCCACTGATAGTGCCCGAGGCAGCTCGCTCGCTCTAGCTCATGACACACACACACTCCGTCGCTCGCCGCTCTCGCACCTTGGCCTTGTTATGTAGAGGCCTCGCCGGTTTGGAGCGCTGGGGGGTTCCTTCAAATTGTGCAGTCTGGTGCCAACGGGGGGGAGTCTAGCTTTTGTTCCAAGCAAGTCCAGCGGGCATGTATGTTATCTGCTATCTATTGAACAGAAGCATGCTGAGAAAGGGTATGATCATTGCTTAAATGTAGAAAGGTCATATCTCTCTATCTTGGGTGGATGGATTCGGGGCCGAACGCCGAGACACCGTTCGATGGCCCACCCGTTGTTCGCTCCGCGTCGGGTGTGTCAGTTCATGTTAGTTGCTATCTGTCTCTGTCGGGATGGTGTTTGGGTATCGAGCAAGGTGCTGTTTCAATATCCGCACAGGTAAATAATTACGAGAGCCAGTCTTCGCGGAGACTTCGTTGGTCCTGCGCCCACCGTCACGCTCCGATCCCTTCCGTCACACGACCTAGAGGCAGAGCCTCGCTCCCACTATGACGACGAGCGACGCTGCGCCTCCCTTCCAGCCTGTCGCCCAACAAAAGCAACGCGACCGTGACGCAAAGATCCCAGCCGAGTGGCGCCTGCCTCCCTCGCTGCTGGACAGCCTGCACATCCCACCGTCTGCAAAGATCGGGACGGCCTCGCCGCTGCCCTGTCCGGTCGATGTGCGCAAAGTCAACGTGCGCGACGTGCCACGGACATGTGGGATACTGACAGAGAAAGAGGTCGACATCGTTGGCCTCAACCCAGTTCAGCTCGTACACCGGCTGCATGTCGCGCGCGACCTCAGTGCCTTCGAAGTGGCGCAGGCATTCTGCAAATCGGCAGCGGTTGCACACCAGCTGGTTAGTCCCAGCCAACGTGTAGTGGTTGACGTGTGCCGTCTCATCTGATCTGTCTTTCTTTCTGCCTCTTCGTCGTCCTCACAGACGAACTGCCTGACAGAGATTCTTTTCGACGAGGCACTCGCTCGAGCACAGCAGGTCGATGACTATCTAGTACAGCACGGCAAGCCGATCGGTTCACTTGCAGGTGTCCCAATCAGTATCAAGGACAACTTTCGCATCAAAGGACACGATGCAACCCTCGGCTTTGCATGCTGGTGCGCTTGACATTAAAGAAATGCATGATACTTTTAAGAGAACTGACCACGCAATATTGAGCTCGCCAGGGCAAACGAGCCGGATACGTACGACTCGACGCTGATCACCATCTTGCGAGATGCCGGCGCTATCCTCTACTGCAAGACGTGCGTGCATTGTAATTGTCTGGCGAAAGCGGCGATCTGCTGACCATTCTCTCGTTGCTTCATGCTGGCCAGAAATGTCCCGACTGCCATGATGATTGCCGAGACGCTCAACAACCTCTGGGGGCGAACGCTGAACCCGTACAACCTTGCTACTTCCTGCGGCGGCTCGTCCGGCGGCGAAGGCGCGCTCATCGCTCTGCGCGGCAGCCCTCTAGGTGTTGGCACGGACATTGGCGGTTCGATCCGCATCCCAGCGGCACTCTGTGGGCTGTACAGCCTCAAGCCATCCTTTGGCCGCTTCCCCACGCACAACGCGCGAAGCGGCATGGCTGGGCAAGAAGCGGTGAATTCGATCAACGGACCGATGACGACATCGCTCGACGCCATCGAGCTGTTCGCGTCCGCCGTCGTCGGCTCGCAGCCATGGCTTGTGGACCCGAAATGTGTACCGATCCCCTGGAAGCCCGTTGGAGACATTGAGCGGAAGCTGCCGCAGAAGGGCCTCGTCTTTGGCCTGCTGAGGCATAACGGCGTCGTCAGGCCAACACCGCCCGTGGCGCGTGCGCTGGAAATGACCGCCAAAGCTTTGGAGCAGGCCGGGCACGAGGTCGTTGTGTGGCACGTCGAATCCAACGAGTTCGCTGACGCCGCGCGCATCTTGGAAGCCTTCTTTGCGGCGGAAGGCAGGCATGGTATCCGCAACTTGCTCCTGCAGGGCGGGGAAGGTGACCACTGGGTCAAAGGTCTCAATCCGGTCGTCAAGCCTCTCACTCTGAAAGAGATATGGGACTTGCAAGCGGTGCGTCACTTGTCACTGGCTGGTCAGCATAACATGAAGGGGCTACGCTGATCCTGTGCGCTTCGTGCTTATGGTTGCAACAGGAACGTTCAACATGGTCCGCCAGCATCCTCGCGCACTGGTCGCGCATCAAAGGCTCGTCGGGGCGCCTAATGGACGCGCTCATATCTCCCGCCACTCCTTATGCAGGCGTTCCGCACGACACGTTCACGCACGTTGCATACACAGGCGCATGGAACCTTACTGACCAGCCTGGCGTCACGATTCCGATCACTGTCGCAGATGCCTACGTCGACGATGGCCAGAACGAAGCTTTCCTCAGCGAGGTCGACCAGAAGGCATGGAGCAGCTGTGAGTCCTCTTGTGCGGAACGCGTGCGTGGGCGCTGCGCCTGCGCCTGCCTTAGCCTTGCTGACCGCACGATCGGGTGCCCTCGGTCGCATCAAAGACGATGCGAAACTCGTGGACGGATCACCCGTCGCTATCCAATTGATCGGCCGACGGCTGCAGGAGGAAACGCTTCTCGCCCTGGCAAAAGTGGTAGATGCCGCCGCCTGCTTGCGAAGCATATAGACATGCTGTACTGGGAGGCGTTGCATGTAAAGCCGAGATGGCTCGTAAGCGAATTGATGAAATGGAGAGAAATGCTACATTTGCATCGCGGCATCCGACTTTTTCGGGCCAGGTAGCAGCGCTTCGATCTTGTCACACTGTTCTTCGATCACCTGATTTCGGCCATGAAGCCAGCGCAAGAGATCGACCGCTTGGAACAGCACGGCGCTCTTGCTTCCAGCGCCTCCGCCTGCTGAGCCTCCTCTGCCGCGCCCTTTGCCTTTGCCGCGCGTAGCAGGCCCTCCGCTCCTGCGGTTGCGCGCCTTGCCCTTCTTGCGCTTCGGCAGGCCACTGCCTTCCTCGTCCTCCTCATCGTCGGAGCGGTCGTCGAGCCCCTCATCTTCGATGCCAGTACCTGCGCCGGAAGCGAGGCCGAGCCCACGCGCGCCGTAGACGCGTCCGAGTTCGAGCAGTTCGACGAGCTCCTTGAAGCCCTCGCGGATGTTCGTCCGCCGGCGCTGCTCGGAGAAGATGTGGTGCTGCCTCTTTTCCGGCTCGGCAGCACTGCCGTCTGGTGCAGGCGAAGAGATTTTTTGCTGCGGGTGGTGCTGAAGCATTTGATGGTTTGGGTGCGGATTCTGAGCCTGCTGTCGCTCGAGTAGCTGCTGTTGCTGTTGCTGCTGCTGCTGCTGCCCATCTTCCGACATCATCTGATCGAACGTCCTCGTCCGCGCCTGCGGCGTCGCCTGCTGCAGATCAAAGCTAGCAGGAGGCATAGTGAGTGACCCCGGAGGCAACCAAGGGAATGCGCTGCTGAAGTTGCCGCTCTCTGCCGCCTGCATGATGGCCGCGTGCGGGTGCTGTGGCGGGTACGTCCCCGCTTGTGACTGCGCCATGAGCGGATGCATGAGGCCGCTCGCCGCGGTGGAGGCGGCAGCTGGATCCTCCAGGATGATGCTGCTCAACATGCTGCGGGCATCACCGTTGGTGCTGCATTCACGGACAGCCGCGCGAGAAGCCTCTGTCGTCCGCCGCTTGCGTTGATTCTGGGTCAAGTCTTTCCTTTCCCTCTCTCCATCCTGTTCCCGATCTACCGCTGCTGGTGCGCCCGCTGGGCTCGCGGCGTCATCGCGTGGGGACCTCCGCTCCCCGACAGCGGTCGCTTCGCTCGTTCCGCTGCCCCGGGGGCTCGTCGCGTCACTCGCCTCAGTGGGGCTCTGCACCGCGCTGGGACCGCGTGCGCCTTTCCTCCCACTGCTGTTGCGCCCGGCGGCGAGCCGTGTGCGCGTGGCCGTGCCGCCACCGCCAGGCGTGCTGCCAGCTTTCGTGGGAGAACCACAGCCCTCGAGGCCCAGTGCGAAGGAGCCGCGTTCGGCATCTGCAAAGGACGGCATGCCTTCCGGAAGCAGTGGTTGGAAGTCCCAGTCAAAGCCTTCGAGGAAGCTCGTGAGGAAGTTGCTCTCCCGCGCGTTGAACAGATTGTTCGCATCATTCGCCTCGCCAGTTCCAGTGCCAGTCCCTAAGCCGGGTCCGGGCTGCGACCCAGAGCCTGAGCCCGAACCTGAGCCTGCACCCCTCCCACCCTGCTCTATGCTGACATCTTGCATCATGTCCTGTCCGATGTCGAACGAGAACAGTGACGGACCCGGCGGAGGGGTAAAGTCGGGCGGCGGTGGTGGTCGGAGGTGGAAAGCTGCTAGATTGCCATATTCCCGCTCGCCCTCTGTGTGCTGCTGCGGCGCCTTGCCTTTCCTGTCGCTGTTTGCGCTTGTGCCCCCATGTCTAGAGGCTGGCACGCGTACGTAGGAAGGCGCCTGGCTCACCGGCGCGGAAGGAGGCGCTGATGGGGCAGCCGAGGAGTAGCCGCTCATTGGATCCTGTGCGCTGCCACCTCTTCCGCTGCTGCTGCCGCTGCTCTCCATTCCCATACTGCTACTGTTGTCACTTAAAGCAGCGAGATTGGTACTCATGCCAAACAGGTCGTTGAAGTTCGGCGAGCGGACCAGCTCGATGTCCGAGAAGCTTACTTCCTCCGGCAGGTCAAGCGAGAATTGAAAGTCTTCGTGTCGAGAGAGAGAACGAGGATTGGAGAATGGATGAGTCGAACGCCAGCCAATATGCGGTTTCCCTCGTAGTACGCTGGCCAGCTTGCAACAGCTTGCTGCGACTCTCACCTTCATAAGGCACCGGCATGGGCGGCAAATCGAAAGCGCTGGATCTGGTCGTAGATCCGCTCATCGACTGGCCCGCATCACCATGAGCACCGTATGTGTTGCCACTAGTGGTATCACTCCGGCCTTTACCGCTGCTGCCACCTGTGAGCATGCCGCTTGCGGAGGTGCTGGCACGATCATTATCGTCCAGCATCTTGCCTTTGCGTGTCTTGTGCCCTTGTTGAGTTGCGACTGAAGGCATTGACACTTGCGGGGCAGCCGGTTGCGGAAGCTCTGGTCAATAACCCCGAAGTGTGTATAGTAGGTAGCCTTGCGGATTTGCCTTGCCTGCTTCACTTTTGTGGTCGTGTGATGGGCCGCTTTCGTTGGGAATAATACCCCGGCTGTCGGTTATGCAATCGAACGCTGAACAGCGCCCGTAACTGGCTATGCAATGAGTCCGTGAGCCCGATGTCCAAATTGTTTGCCAAGCCATACGTTCGCTGGGCACAGGGCACTGGGCGTCTGGGGCTAGAATGGCCGAACCTGCGTGCAGTAGCAGCAGTGGGAGATGAGGAGGCGAGGATGGTTCACCACCGCTGACGCGGTCTTCCTCTCCGGCCTCTCTGCCGATTACACGAGAGATGGAGTGTGTGTGTCGAGCAGAGACGAGACGCATATACAGGACGACACGCTGCGTTACTGTCAGGTTAGGATGATGGAGAGGCACCCTACTTACCCAACAAGCTACTAGGTAGGATACATGCTCAGCTATCCATATGGCCCAGCTGCTTGGGGTGGGGGGGCGGGTACGCGCGCTCGATCATGCTGTGCTACCCCAGTGCCCGCTCTGGGGATGAGGCGGGTTCTTTTTGACTGGCCCCAGGCTTGACATGTTTAGGGTTGTGAGAGGCTCAATGGAGACCTCTGTCCATGGCCGACACACCAAAGCCCGGCCCGAGCGCCCGCCGCACGAGGCTTTGATGATCAGAGTTCTAAAGCATCATCGAATTCTCCACTGACATCAGGAGGTGGCATCCAGCAACCCGCCGGGTCCTCGTTGGTCCCGTTATCGCTGCCCCGCTTGCCCAAGTGTAGCCGGCAACATGCGCAATGCTCTCCTCCTCGCCTCCGCATCATCAATGCGGTCCGGCGACGGGCACAGGATGCGCCTCAACCTGCCTGGTACAGGCTGCCGCAGGGGACGGGCTCGTCGGCTGACCAGTGCCTAACCATCTCAACTACAAACCGTCTCAACTACATACCTAACCGACTGTGCTTAACAGAAACGAACAGTGACGAGCGCCCTGGATAATAGATTCGTCCAATATGCCGGCGCTGTAAGCCAGGATAATGGGCCTGCCCCAGGATGCTGTGATACACATACATAGACCAGTGAGCTTAATAGACATACAAGCCAAGCCGCCCAAAAGCGAGGGAGAGAAGCAGGGAAATGACTGTTGCACAAGCGCGAATCGGATGGCGAGGGCAGGGTGTGACACATGCCCATCATATCGATCATCGTATCATGGTTTGCCTCCCCTTTTCTTCTTCTCCTTCTTCCTCTGCTTCTTCCCGCCTGTCCCCTCGGTGGCGGCCACACCATTCGCTGGTGTGCCGGGTTGTGATTGTGATTGCGAGAGGGCGGGTTGGGATGCCGATGTCGATGCCGGATTTGATGTGGTGATCATAGCAGATCGTGGTGGAGTCGTCGTTGCGCTGCTGTCGGCAGGATCAAGATAGCCTGTCGCGTGTAGGTGAGCGCAAGCGTCAGTATGAGCACAACCCATCAAGATGCCTCGCACGGCAGCGAGAAGGAGCGGCAGGTCTTGTCCGCTTGACTTTTCATATTCACCAGTGAAGGGATCTAATTGTACGCGTTTCCCTGACGGCCCTTTTACTGTGACCGCCAGCTCTGCCGCCGACTCGGCAGCGCTTCGCTTCCCTTTACCGATTTCCTTGCTGTTGCGCTTCTTGCCCGCACTTCCACCTGCCTGATTGCCATCGCTGCTGTCGCTCTCCCCCTGCCCTTCGCCATCCTCATCATTGTCGTCCTTCTCAAAGTCGAAACGCTTGTGCTGGCCTTGTGGCGACTGCGCAGCTGCAGACGCAGCAAATGACGACGAGGACGAGGAGTGCCCGCTGCCGCCAATGGCGTGCCTGATGAAACGCGCGGCTGCTGACTGGTCGAGGTTGGAGCGTGCTGCGGTGTGGTAAGCAATCCAGCGGTCAGCGTGTTCGGTAAATGTCAGCGTTCAAAGCACAAGCAGCATGTGCGCGCACGGCGACGTCTTGGGCATACACGGACCTTCTCGGCTTTCACTATCTTGCGCATGCTTGATTTTGTGAAAGTAGCCCTTCACACGTTCCTGTGTAGAGCAGAGCGAGTCCTACAGTGTCAGCACTTGCAGCAGGTACGGCTTGTAACAGCCACACATTGCGGTACGGGGCAGCAGCGTACCAGTTCCGGCATCACGGGGTGCGTAGCAGGATCGACACCTTTTGTCTTGAGATAGACTGGACAAGCAAAAAGGGAGTCAGCCGTAGAGGTCAAATGGTTGACGGTTGGGCAACTCACTCCATACGAGATCTAGCAAGACATACGCTATTGATGCGTGCAGCCTAGCAGCATCTAGTTTTCCAGCTAATTCTATGCCTTTCTCCTGGTCCTTTATCGTGGCCGGCCCATCCTTCCCGATCGCGCTGCTCTCGTCCTTGTCCGCCCCCTTTCCCGTTGGCTGGGCAGGCTCTGCATTTCTGCTGCTGCTTCCCGACTCGAGCCTCGCGCTGAGCTGAGCAAGCGGCTGGGTGAGCAGTGGGTCGAGTGTCTCAATCAGCCCATCGAGCGAGGTTGAGAGCTGCTTGAGGAGCGGCGCTGGGGACTGGAGTGCCATGTTGGATGGGGTTGCTGCTGCCTGGACGCACGAGCGCAAGTCTTTTTCAAGGTGAGATGGGAGCCCGCCGCACTCGCTGCCTTATGCGCTTCTTTTCCTTGCACGCTTCTCTCGGCAAAATGTCGGCCTGCAGCTGTCTCAAGAGATACTATACAACCTTCTCTGCTGCAGGTGTTGCAGTCATCACCTCTCCTCTCGATGAAGAATGAGAGGGGACGATGCCCTTACAATTGCTCGCTGCACCAAGCGTCAATAAAAAGTGCAGACGGCGGTCTGCCACTTGACTTTCGTGCATGTTGTGCCTGTGGGCTGGCGGCAACTCCTCCAGTCCATTTCTCTTTCGGTGCAACCACGCATCCTCACCAATACCATCCAAACACGTTAGGGTTGTGTCTGCCATTCCCCCAGCCTCATTGCTCCCTTCATTTCCGACGCTGGTGATCCGCCCGCCAAGGCAAAGGCTGCTTCCATGCCTATTGTGATGAGTGCCAAGCCCTGTCAACATGATGTCAAGGCTCTCGATGCGAAGATCCGAGAACGAGCTGTGGCACTGCTGTTGTGGGTTGCAGGTATCAATGATCCATGATCAAACCCTCTCAAAAATACGAGCTGTGATGAGCAAACACTGTCAGAAAAGTCATGTATTGTTCACACCTTCGTATGTATTGCGTTCGCATGCGTGTTGACGGGTATGACGGATGCCAAGCACTTGCGACACTGTCACAGCGCATGTACTGCTACTTATGCAGCCAGGCAGCAGCCAACCTGTGCGCAATGTGTGTCCGTGACGACTCTCGACGAGGAAGCGCCTCTTCGGCCATTGTTGCCGTTTCCCTTCACCCGCGTTGCTGCTGCTGGCAGATGGGGTGTGCAAAAAGACGTCGTGAACTGCCAAGTCCAAAAGCGCTGGATCTATCGCGCAAGCTAACCAACAAACGCGGAACAGACTAACAGCATCAAGTCGAGTCGCTAAACCGCCAGGAATTGGATGGACAGCGGTGGACAGTATGTATATGTGTGTGTGGGTGATGCGAGGACAATAGTCAATCAATACAAGGTAGTCGGGCGCAAGACCCGTCAGGAGCTGTGATTAGGAAGCGCTTGGGGTTGCGTACACTACTACATGTATTACAACAGCATCAAGGAGAGAGTGCCAAGACTTTTCGCCTTTTCCCCTGTTGGTGCGTGCGCTGGCATAGGCAGACATGCTTGTGCATTCACAGTCCATCGCCCATACATGAGCACGGCCCTTGCGTGGAGCCTGTGCGAGCAAGCCGACTCGTCCCAATGTTTATGTGCATACTTGTCGCTGGCACGATAGACACAAGCTCAAGGCTGCATGCAGTATGTATGCACCTTGGTCTCTTTGTGAGTTTCGTTGCAATTCGCACTTCGTAGCCGTCTGCGAACATCATTGCCGATTCTGGATTCCTTGCGAGCGGCGTGAGTTACTCTGTACTGCACAGTGCACAAAGCACAATTTTAGGTATGACCCTCCCCATGAAACATGCATGTCATATGTAGGACCCGGCGGCTCTCGTCACATATCTGCTCCAAACCACGAGCTCTGGATCACAAAATGTTGCCTCGACTCCAGCGGACTGTGGTGGGCAAATACAGCAGGAAAGGTTCGACTTTCAACGAACGACCGCCAGACGAGAGTGGAGAGATACATAGATTATATGCCGAACGAGGCACGGGTTTACAAGCTGATGGCAGGTGAAAAAGGAGTGGAGGTGGATTTACACGGAGTTCCAGCTGAGAAGAAGGGGGCCCAATCGCCATGCACATGAACGCAATAGCCGCGAACTATCTCCGAAATGGGTGAGAATGCCAAGTCTTTCTCTGCTCTGGTGCTGCCGCCTGCGAGAAGCGAGCTGGATGGATGGCCCACCAGTCTTGGCGCTGGCGCGTCTCGCCAGTGTCGCACCCTTGCGGATGGTGCTTTGAGAAATATGTATTGCCCTCGAAGCATATGGACGCTGGTTCATCCCTCCGCCCTTGCCATGAGCTGAATGCGGACGGGGTGCCAAGACTAGTTGGGCGGTAGAACACCTGTCTGCGCTGGGCGCATTGGGTGCTTTTTTCGGCCCGCTGCAAGTCCTTTGACTTGCGGGTGCCCTCGCCCACTTGTTTCCCCGTCAGTTGGATGTGAGTCGCAAACTCACCGCAAAGCACAGCAGCCAAGCACTTAGCAGTGAGCTCAGGCAGAGAAGGCAAAATCCCTCTCAACGAGCCTGATTGTATACATATTGGACGCCAAGAACGAGGCCCTCTTTTACAACATGTGAGGTGATCGGGCGGATGCCAAGCCTTAAACCGAGCGTCCCTCTTCTCCCCCCCCTTCTCCCAACTGTATGTACATATATACGCAACGCATCTATCCATTTCCTCCTCACCCGCCTACCCTTCCCTTCCCTTTCCTTTCCCTCCCGTCCCCCTTTCCCAAGGCGGCTGCTTTTCCTTGTGTGCACACAGTGTAGGGACATTGATACCCACATTGACATCAGCCAGCAGCAGCAGCGAATCGAGCACATCGCCATCGCAGTCAGATCTTTACGAACGCGGTGTGGACCAGCTAGGGCGAGCCTGTGCAGACTGGCCTGGACTGAACTAGACTGGCCTCACTGGGATATAAAGCACGTCGCTCGCTCTGCTCACCTGAGCGGGAGGTCTAGACCCTTTCGTTCGGCAGCAGCAGCGCCACCACGTTTTCTCACTCGTGCCCGTCCATTTGAGAGTGCCCAGTAGCCGGCTGACACGCGCCACAGTGGCACTGGCCATTCTTGGCATTGCAGCACACTGCACACTCCGACCACGGGGCCAAAAACACAGGTACACTGCCCACACGAACCCACACTGCGAGCACGGCACTGCACCAGTCTCATCGCTTTCCCACTCTCGGCATCCGGCAGCGCCATCCCATACCACTGCGGGTGGTGTGCGCTTCTCCTCATAGAAGACGAGCTCGATGGCAGCAGCAACAATGACACCCCTGCCAGCGATGACCACCCCTACCACCACCACCACGGCGTCATCATCGTCTCCGCCAGCATCCTCACCTGCTGGCAGCCACGCCGCCGGTGACACCCATGCCGCCATCGCTTCCCCCGCCGCTTCAGCAGCAGGAGGCAGCATGACCACCGCCGCCGCCACGACCTCCACCACACCCCCCAGTATGGCCAGCAAGCGCCCGCCAAAGGTCATTAACTGCCGCTGGGAGGACTGTACCCTGACGTACAATGACCCAGAGGACCTGTACTACCATCTGTGCAACGATCACGTCGGACGCAAGAGCACCAACAACCTCTGCCTCACTTGCAAATGGGAGGCCTGCGACGTCAGCTGCGCCAAGCGCGACCACATCACCTCCCACCTCCGCGTCCACACGCCCCTCAAGCCGCACTCGTGCGATTCGTGCGGCAAGACGTTCAAGCGACCCCAGGACCTCAAAAAGCACGAGCGCATCCACACCGAGGCACATCAGGCAGAGCAGCAGGAACGCCAAGCAGCCCGCTCCCATGCCGCCGCACACGCTCATGCCCAGAACGCCGCCGCCGCCGCAGCAGCAGCCCATGCTGCAGCCCTTGGCGTACACCCACACGCTCACCCACTTCCGCAAACCACCCTCCACCATGGGTACTACGGTGCGCATCCACCGTCCAGCGCCGTCGCCGGACCGTCAGCGGCTGCTTATGCTGCCGCAGCAGCCGCAGCCGGCGCTGCGCCGCAGCACGCCTATGCCCACACTCATGCCTCCTCGCCTCATGCTCCACCCGGCTTTGGCTTTCACCGTCCCGAAGCGCTCTACTCTTCCACCGGCTACGACCGCTCCTTGTCCGCACCATCGTCATCGTCGTCGAATGCAGCAGCGGCATCGGCAACGTCCGCACCCAGCTACCATGCGCTCATTGGCAAGCCCAGCCATGGAAGTGGCGGCGGCGGTTCGTACTACCACCAATACCACCACTTCCCTCATGCAGCGCATCACAGCCCGCACGGCGCAGGCGGTCCCAGCATGACAGACCCCAACTCGTATTCGTACCTCGCGCACGGCAGGACAGGCGTGCTTGGCAAGCGCGACCGCGAGGCTGCCGCCATCAACGACTTTATCGGCGATGTCCGCCGGCGTTGCCTCAATCCTACGTACGACCAAGGTACGTACCTGTCTTCTTCGTCTCCTTTTTTCTTTTCCGGTTCGTGTTGTGCTGACCTTTGCGTTGCCTCTCTGCATAGACATGGCCGAGCGGCTCAGCTACGCATTCAGCAGTGGCGCACTCGACCCGAGCGCGCTCGCAGCTCTCCTCTCCGCCATCAACCCTGTGGCACATCAGCAGCAACAAGAGCAGGCGGCCCGCGCGGCATACGCAGCTGGAATTGCTGCACAACAGCAGCATGAACAGCAGCAGCAGCAGCAGCCGTCTGTCAACCTTGCTGAGCTCAACGCATTCTTGCTGCAGCTTGGTGCAAGCGCAGTCAAGGCGCTCGGCAGTCAGCAACAGCAGCAGCGGTCGGAGCCGGACATGACGCCGCCCTCCGAGGCCCCCTATAATGCGTACCTACCGCCGACGACAGTAGCGTCTTCGAACAGCACCGGCGCCTCGCCTTCGCCCTCTAACTACAGCCTTGACAGCTATAGTGGGCACAGCACGCACTCACACACGTCGGCCGCCTCGTCGAACGACAGCATGGGCAGTGGAACTGGCGCTTCGAGCGGCCCGCCGACGCTCGCGTCCTCCTCGCCCTCGTGCGCTGGCGGACCCGGCAGTAGCGCCAGCGCCGACTCTCCATTCAGCTTTTCCAGCCTGCACAGCGCCGGCCTCACCGGTATACCCGGCTTCGACGACGGTCTGCTCGACGCTTTCATCTCCTCCAACGGCGCCGGCAACGGCGGCGTCCCGTGGGCCACGGGGCCACATAGCACGCACGAGGGCGAGGACGACGCTGACGCTGTCGCGGTGCAGCACCAGCACCAGACGCACATCTATCCCTCGCTCGACCTCGGCGCGATCGGCAAGCGCCCCGTCGCACCGTTGCCGGCTCGCGCGTCGGCCGCGGCAGCAGCAGCAGGCGGCGGCAGCGGAAGCCTACCATCGCACCCGCACGGCTTCAGCATGCGCCTGTCGGACGTCTCGGCATCGCTCGCGCAAAATGCACCGCAACACGCGTCGCTGTACCCGTCCCTGCCTGGCCAGCCTCACGCTCGTTCGTTGTCAGCAGCGAGCGCGGGCGCGAGTAACGGCGGCAGCATGTACTCATTTGACAACCTGCGCGCTGCCGGCAGCGGCGGCATTGGTGCACGCGGCGCGCCCGCCATGCCGCAGGTCGCTCCCATCGACATGAGCCAAGCGAGCTTTGTCAAGGTCGAGCCGCTCATGCGAGCCGCGCCGTCGTCGACAATGACGATGATGATGATACGGCACAAGGTCAACGCCTCGGCTGTGCGCGACGTCAAGTCGGATCCAGACGAAGTGGTGCAGGAGCAGGAGGATGGCGATGACAAGGTGGGCAGCAGGAGCCCCCACAGGAGCGTTATCAAACGCAAGGATGTTGTGCTGGAGGAGGACGAGGAGATCGACGAGCTCGATTCAGACTCAGAGATGCAGGATGTCGATGCAGACAACGGCAACGGCAGTAGGCCTGTTCTTGGTATCTCATCGTTGCTTTCCGCTGCGCCCGGTCCCTGTCCTGGCCCCGACCGAAGCACCAGCCCCAGCACCAGCATCGCGCGCTACTACGGCTACCGCCACGCGCCGCGCGATCTCAGCGAGCCCGCATCGGAGCGCTCGTCCTCGTCGTCCTCCACCACGACCAGTACCAGCACCGCCGACAGCACTTCGCCCAGCGTAGCAGCCGCTCATGACCATAAGCAGCATGTGCACCGCGCGCCTTCGCGCAGCTTGACTCTCGACTGTATCGCCGACGATGTTGCGCGCATCGATGGGCTCGGCTTCGCGCGTGGGCGGCGCAGCAGCGCAGAGACGATCCGCGCGCACGGCGCCCGCGCCGCTGCCGACTTGGTGCCGCCAGGCGTTCTGCTGCGCCACATCGAGCTCATCAAGCAGATGCTTGTTGCGATCAACTTTCCCAAACGCGCTGCGGCCGACGCAGCGCTCCTTGCGCAACAGGACAACACGCTGCCGCCTCTGCGCAACGTGGGCAACAGCAGGGAGGAATGCGACGCTGCGCAGGGCGACGCCGACGGTGACAACGACGTTGAAACCGCTGCGCATGTTACCATCGACGGCGCCGAGCACGACGCGGAGCGCATGGACGAGGATGAGGGCGAGAACGACGAACGGGTCGTCAGGAGCGATTTGCAGACTGGTCATTGCAAGACGCCGGTCTCGTCGCCGAGCTCCGCTTCCGCCTTATCCTCCTCAGCGAGCGCAAGTGCGTACCCAACACTACCATCGCTCGCCTCGCTCACCGGTTTGGGTTCGCGGCGCTCGCTCAGTAGCGAGGGCTGCGTGACCTCTGCCGCGGACCGCCAGTCGCAGCCGCAACGCCTGCTTGCCATCTCGCAGCTCCTCAACGACGTCGACTACTCGCCGGGCCATCGCGCTTCCCACGTTCACTCCCTCACCCATCCGCACGCGTACCCGCACACGCATGCCGCCGTCTGATCCCAACCCAAGTCCCAGTATGGTCGGTCTTCTCGGCAGACTCTTCTATGTTCGTCACGCAAAACGGGTCATGCATTCCGCCTGTCTGTCTCTGTGTCTGCTCACACGCAACAATCATCCATCCGTGTTATCTGTGATTTCCTGCTCTCTCGCTCGGCTGTACGCTGGCTGGCTTTCTTGGTTGTATTCTAGTGCGCTTTTTTGCCGTGGCGTTAAAATGGACTATGCATTTTACAACGATCGACTGCTTTGCAATAGGCTCACTCTAAATTGGAGATGCTTGCCTGGGTTTGTGTTGTTGTGCTCGGCGCATCGCGCTTTGCATTTAGTCTTTGAGCATTTCAGCTTTCTACTCTACATCCTGCTCCTGTCTGCGCTTGCCACCACTATATCCCTTCGCGAGCTCGAGAGCCGTGACGCCGCGCGCGTCCGCTCGGCGCTTGCCCTTGCCGTTCAGCCACCGCTCGTTCTTCTCCGCCGCCGTCTCGTCCCGCTTGCGCAGCCGCAGTGGCCTGTAGCCCGGGCTCCCGCTGCGCGACGTGCCGTTGCCGAGCGGCAGCGCGATGCGTCGCTGCTCGTGCCTCTTTCCCTCCATGGGCACGTCGTCGACGGCCGGCGGCGCAAGCACAGGAAAGCGCGCGTCGCCAAACAGCGTACTGGCGGGCAGGACGCCGCCGCTGGCCGACGACGGCGCGGCGAGCACAAAGTGGCGCTTCAGCTCGGCTTGGATAGCAGCCTTGGCCCATTGCGAGTGCAGGTGCATTGTCGTCGTCGCTGCTGTCCTGTCACAGCTCTGCGCAATGGCCTTTACGATGTCCGTGCCTCCACCCGGATCACCTCCTATCGTCGTCGACGTCGGGCGCGGTGATAGCGGCTCGTCGCAGGCCCCAGCACGCCATTGTATGTCCTCGGGCTTGAAGCCGCAGTCCCAGAGCACCAACGGCCGGTCTGCGGCCATCTCGTACACTGGCTTGCTTTCCAGGACGGCAAGGTGTTGATAGGCTTCCGAAACCTCCTGCACATCTTTGTCGGATACGGCCGTCTCTGTACTCGTGTCAGCGCCAGCGCTGGCGAGCACGTCACGCTGTACATCAGCTGCGGTTTTGCCCTGCATGCCTGTCGCTGTGGAATTAGGTAGTGTCCAGCGCGATGGGCTATCTGGCGGAGCGTCTACGCCTGTGCGTATCGCCCTCGCTCGCAAGGCGAGACGATCGGCAACAAGGGCGCCTGAATGAACGTTGAGTAGCTCGTCGACTACACTGGGTGACTCGAGGCGCGCGCCAACCATAAAGAGAACCGCAACGATGTGACGCACTTGGTGGTACAGAAAGGCGGTTCCACGCAAGTTGAGGACGTACATGCGCTCTTCCTGGCCCTGGGCGATGGCGTCAAGACAAACAGAAGGTGGTGATCCTTCGGAGCGATTTAGCTGCTGCTGCACCGTGCGTGCTGGCCAGCCAGGCTCGACCACATCGACGCTGACACCATCAATCCTGCGCCGAAAATTGTCGATCTGCTTGCTACTATCGATCTTGCACAGATTGCGGAAGTCATGCTCTCCCAGGAGGCGACATGCTGCATCGCGCATCGCATCAATGTCCAGTTGTGCGCCCGCATGGTTCCATCCGGGCGCCGCGGCGCCATCTGGGTGGAGCGACTGCAGCGCGCGCGGTGCACCGGATGTGAAGAAGTACTTGTAGTGCCGATAGCGGCAATCGAAGCGTGCGGAGAAGTCCGGACGGACGGGCGACCAGGCTTGTATCCGGATCGTCGGTGGCAGTAGACGGTTGAGCGTTGCCACATACGGTAGCTCTTCGTTCGCAGGCACGAACGGTGCTTCTTCTGTCTCTACACTGCGCTCTTCTTGCAGCTGCGTCACCTCCTCGTCTCTTCCGCTCTTGCGCAGGAATACTCCCCTCTGCTCTTGTCGCTGTGCCCACTGGTCCACCCTGCGACTGCGCACCCACAGACTCACGACTTGGCCTGCAGCGCTGACGCCGCGATCTGTACGCCCGCAGCGTGTCCACCCTGCTCCTTCCATGCCTCCCACGGGGTCGACGAGGCGTGCTTCGCAGAGGGCGCGCCAGAGCTGTCCCTCGACCGTTGGGAGGGAAGTGGACATGAGTGTGCTGGCGCGTGCATCGGCGCCGTCGGCATCAGCAGATCTGCACGCATACGCGAGCGCAGAAGCTGCAGGCGCAGGGTCGTCCCCAAAAGTGGACTGCGCCGCCAGACCTGCATATGGCGCACCGTCATAGCTAAAGCGGAGGGCAATTTTGCGACACGGCTGAGATGTGACGTCGAACTCTCGCACTTTGGCGGCCGCTTTTGGCTTGCGTTGCGACTGCTCCTGCTCTGGATTTGGCTCGGAATTCAAAAGAGCGGACGGTCGTGAAGATCCTTGTCCGTTCGGGACGCAAAGTCCAGCTCCAGCAACGCTCGCGCCCCAGCTACGTCTCGCGTTTTCCCGGCTGACGGCGCTTTCGAGTGCGACGATGCGATCGACGAGCGCTTCGTGGCTCCAGCCATCGAAACGAGCGACGGCGTCCATCCTGCGCGCTACGTGTGTCCTGCTCTGGCTCTTGCTCTGTGTGTAGTTTCGCGGGGTGTTGGTAGCGAATCGGAATGGCAGATGCAGAAAATTCGCGCGGCCACCTATTTCATTTACAAGCTTGAATGCATGCAGTGCAGAAGACGAGCGGTGGACCCCAAGCCGGGCGGGCATCACACGAGCAGCATGTGAGCGTCAGAGAGCCGTACTGTCTTGGTGGTCGATGAACGCGCTCCAGCGCTCCCTTCTTTGCCACAGACTCGCAAGTCTCCCACACAAGTGTTCCGTCCAGCTGCCGGCGGTGGGTCTATGGTCGCAGTGAAGAAGTTATGGACTATGTGAGAGGGGGTCTCATAAAGGCTCAAGCTTCCATCAGGCGAGCATCATGACGGATGACGAGATGCAGCGCAAGCATTTTTTTTGCTTTCTTTTTTTCCCGAGGAAGTGCCCAAGAAAAAGAAAGAAGTTGCTTCGCCCGGGAGAAAAGTCGCCGATTCCGCTGCAGAAGTTGGATTTATTCGATGAGCGAAGAGCATTGAACAAGCAGATGCAAGGGTTAAGGCCAGAAAAAGCACAATTGTAGCACAACGGTCCTCAGCTTCTGCAACTCCAGGCTCCAGAGTAGAGCTGTCGCAGGATCACATTATCAGGCATCTTCTTGCAGCAAGCCGATCCGCCAGCCCGCTGTGATCCCAGGCATAGCTCTGAAGGACGCGCAGAAGTGCTGTTCTGTCCTCGATCCCCCCGCCTGCAGACTGGTCACCGACACAGGTGGCGTGAACAGACAAGAGCTCTGCAATTGGCAGCAGCGAGACAAGCAGAAGAGGCGGAGTAGGCACAGTGAAAATGGCGGACAATGAAGGTGATTACGAGGGGGGGATGGACGATACCATGTAAGCAGCACCGAAGGAGAGCTAGGGCGTGTACTGTCGTGCGGATTCGAATTTACCATCTCACCCGCATGCATCTCCTCCCCCCCTCCTTTCTGACACGCGACACGACGACAGGATCGACGATGGCGACGATGGCGACCTGCTGGATGAGCAGGAGCAGCTGGACGACGCGGCGTTCAATCCGGCGGATGGCGGCGGCGCGAACGGGAGCAACGTCGTGCATTCTGGCCAACCCCTCGGAGAAGACGGGCAGGAGGGGCGCAAGGTGCCGAGCGAGCAGCGCATGACGACGCCGTACATGACCAAATACGAGCGCGCGCGGATCTTGGGGACGAGGGCGCTGCAGATCAGGTGCGTGGTTCGAGTCGGTCCACTCCGCTCCCCTTCTGGCCATTCTTTCGGCCGAAGTGTGCTTACATGACGTGACCTTTGTGTTTCCCGTCCCTCTCTTTGTGCGCGCTTGTGCCCCGTGTCGTTGCCGATCGATGACTTGCGCGCCGGGATGGCTTCATGCGCGCAGCATGAACGCGCCGGTGCTCGTCGCGATCGAGGGCGAGACGGACCCGCTGGCGATCGCGATGAAGGAGCTCAAGGCAGACAAGATCCCGCTGATCGTGCGGAGGTACCTGCCCGACGGCAGCTACGAGGACTGGAGTGTGCAGGAGCTCATCCACGATTGAATTCCAGCACGGTCGTATGTCTGGGCATGCGAACACGCGCGCCTCTCCCCCCACCACCCTCCCCCCCTTTGCTGGCAAGCCCGCACGCACGCACGGGCCGCGCATGTGTGGGTTTCGTCCCGGCGTGGCGCAGGGAAGCGCGGCGGCCGAGAGTCAAGGCGCACGACGGAGGCTTGCTCCCGACCGTGCTGCAGAGCGGCGCGTGGCAGGAGTGATAGAGGGAAGGGAGAGGGACGCAGAAGGAGGAAAAATAAGAAAGCAGGGCAGGCAAGTACCCCTTTCTCGTCTTTGAGACGTCCGTGATCATTGTATTTCTAGGTCCATCGCAAACTCTCTTCAAAGGCCAAACCCCTTTGCATTCATTCGTCTTTGCGCATCTGGGTTTGGCTTTCCCTGCCGACAAGGATGTACGCTATGGGCTTGCCCCAGCCGGGAAACAGAGTACTGAACACTGAAGGATGAGCGCGGGCCTCACTTGTTCTATGCTTCGCTGCTGCCACCGCCACCACCGCGGCTCATCGCTGTCTACGAAGATGGTGCGCCAGTTGGATGCGAGCGCTGGGGCGTCGATTGCCAAGGATGCGACGGCGGGTGGCAGCGGGAGACTGCAGCGGACCTCCGTCGAGCCCAAAGCTGACCAGGCTAGATGGCCGTGCGATGTGGCGCAAGGGCGAGCGTTCCCTGTCGCTGGCCAGTGGCCCATCGCCAAGCGGGACCAGCACGCATGCTGATGTTCGTTGCCGTGCGTTGGCACCTTTCCCATGTGGTCAGCATCGAGAGACGTGTCGCGTGGGGTGCTGATGGTGAGTGTGCCTGACCACGCAACCTGTCACATTACAGAACCCTACTATCATGTGCAACACTCTGGGAGGCCCTTTGTGTGCTGTGGACAGGACTGCAGCGCGAGAGACAGTGTTTCCTTTGTTATTGCTGTTTGCCATTTTGCGTATTTCACTCAGGCACCAGGGCGGCAGAGCACGGGCGCGGCGCGCTCCACGTGCTTCCCGCATCCAGGCACTGCTGCAGTGCTCTGCTGCTGGCATTTGATGTATGTGTGCCAGCTCGAGCCAATCCCACTTCATTTCATTTCATCTCATCTCCTCGCTGCCGAATACTCAGCGCATTTCAGGTGGCCCAGAGAGGCTGGCTGCACAGCGACGTGTGTGGCAGCAGCGGAGAGTGAGAGTCGTGCTGTGCTGTACAGTGCAGTGCCGTGTCAGCCCTCTCCCCTCGTCCTCCCAGGATGCAATCGCAGCAACAGCAACCAATGTTCCACGCGACGCCAACCAAACCGTCGCGCCAAATGTCGCAGCACGCCTCGCGCGCAGCCGTCGACGAATCAACAGCATCCCTGGGCAGCGGCGGTGGCGGCGGTGGTGGTGGCGGCGGCTATGCCTCACAGGCCAACCCGTTCGAGCAACAGCAACAGCAGCCCGGCGGGTTCAACACGGCAGCTTCAGTAGGGTTCGACATGCCGCGCTCCGCCTTGGCCGAGCAGCAGAGGCAGCAGTGGGCCAACCCGGCGATGGGTTACCACGACTCCTCCCAGTACAGCCATGGTGTGCATTCATCCAGCCCTGCACCGTACAACGACGCGCCCTACGACTACCACGAAATGGCCAACCAGTATTCGAGCAGCCAGGCCAACTTGGTGCACCCTAACCCCGACGACGCCTCTTCGTACCATCATCACCAGCAGCCGCCCGGCGCCCCAGGGTATGGGCCCGGTTACGAGTCGATCGAGATGCACCAGGACCCTTATGCGCCGTCGCCCTTTGGGGCGCCGTCGCCGATGCCCATGTCGCCATCATGGCGGCAGCAGCAGCAGCTTCCCCCCGCCGGCTTCTCCGGTCCCGGCCCGCTGCACATGCCGCACCCGAACGACCCGACGCCCGCATGGAACAACCACGAGGCCTTCATGCTCGGCACCCCAGGCGCTCTCATCGCCACCGCTGCCGCCCCCAGCAGCGCATTTGGCAGCGGCAGGCCACTGGCGGACTACGGGGCGACGCGCGAGCGTCTCCTGCGCAAGCGCACCGTCCGGCACATTGAGCTGACCAACGGTAACCTCGTCCTCGAAGTCCCTGTGCCCGCGTCGATCAGCAAGTCGGGCCAGGGTGCCGAGTTCAGCCGGATGCGCTACATGGCCGTCACGTGCGACCCGAACGACTTTGTCCGCGAGCGCTATGCACTCCGCCCCTGGCTCTACGGCCGTGCGCCAGTGGAGCTGATGATCTGTATGACCATGTACAACGAGGACGCCACTCTCTTCACGCGCACCATGTCTGGCGTCATCAAGAACATCGCCCATCTCTGCTCGCGCACCCGCAGCAAGACATGGGGCCAGGATGCGTGGAAGAAGGTGAGTTGGGCCGTAGATTCGTTTCGTTTCGCTTCGCCTCGCCATCCTCGCCGCTTTTGCTGATGAGCATCGTCACCTGCTTGCACGCTGTACGCCACCCTGCAGATCGTCGTCGTCGTCGTCTCGGACGGACGCAAAAAGGCCAACGCGGACACGCTCAAGGTGCTCGGCCTGTACGGCTGCTACAACGAGGCGGTCATGCTCGACCACGTCAGCGACAAGCCGACGACAGCGCACGTGTTCGAATACACGACGCAGGTCGTCGTTGGACCCGACGGCACTGTCACAGTCGGCGCGTGTCCGATCCAGCTGATCTTCTGCCTCAAGGAGAAAAACCAGAAAAAGCTCAACTCACACCGCTGGTTCTTCAACGCGTTTGCGCTGCAGCTGCAGCCTAACGTGTGCATCCTGCTCGATGTCGGCACCAAACCGAGCGGGACGTCGCTCTACGAGCTTTGGAAGGCCTTCGACAGGCACCCCTCCTGCGGCGGCGCCTGCGGCGAGATCCGCGTCGATGCAGGAAAGGGACAGTGGCAGCTGCTCAACCCGCTCGTTGCGAGTCAGAATTTCGAGTACAAGGTCAGCAACATTCTCGACAAGCCTCTCGAGAGCGTCTTTGGCTACATTTCCGTTCTCCCCGGCGCCTTCTCCGCGTACCGCTACAAAGCCGTCCTCGGGGCGCCGCTCGAGAGCTACTTTAAAGGCGAGGCGCTCCACTCGGGCGCAGCCGGCGTCCACGCCGGCACATTCGAGAGCAACATGTACCTCGCAGAGGACCGAATCCTCTGCTTTGAGCTCGTCACCAAGAGACAGCAGGGTGAGTCCTGTTTTGTACACTTTGGCACCGCATCGTGGCCTCGACGTTGACGCTGACGCTGCTGCCACTGGCCCTAACCCATCCCCGTACACCACCCCAGCCTGGACGCTGCGCTACATCAAGAGCGCGCATGCATCGACAGACGTGCCGGCGCAGGTGCCTGAGTTCATCGCACAGCGCCGCCGGTGGCTCAACGGCTCGCTCTTCGCGAGTATCTACGCCGTCCTGCACTGGTACCGCATCTGGTCTTCTGGCCAGGGATTTCTGCGCAAGCTCGCGCTAATGCTGCAGGCTATCTACAACCTCATCAGCCTCGTATTCTCGTACACCGCTCCCGCTAATTTCTTTTTGGCGGTATGCATTGCACTCCGTGTCCATCGCTGGCGCAGGCGGCAGCTGACACCTCCTCCATGCCCTCTTTGCCTCTCTCCCGCAGTTCTTCTTCCTCGTCTCGAGCGCGACGAGCGACCCGACCCAGGACCCGTTCGGCGGGCAGGGCGCGGCGGTGCTCGAGGCGGTCGAGAACATCTTCATCGCGCTCATGGTTGTCTGTCTCGTCTGCTCCCTCGGCAACCGGCCACAGGGCAGCAAGCTGGCTTACACCGGCGTCATGATCCTCTTTGCATGCATCATGGGCCTCACGCTCTACTGCGCCGGCTTCACCACCTACCTCGCCCTCAACGCCGCCGGGCTCACGAACCTGAGGAACTGGACGCTCGCCAACATCGAACAGCTCTTCCTCACCAGCGGATTCAGGGACATTGTCATCTCCCTCTGTTCGACGTATAGTGAGTCTCTCCCTTTGTAAGAGCGCTCCAGCTGTGCCCGCTTCTTGTTTCCTCCGGATCTGCTCACCTGAATGCCGGATGGGCCTATGTGCTTGCTTGATCCATTGCAGTCCTCTGGCTCGTCGCCTCTATCCTCTTCCTCGACCCGTGGCACATGTTCACCAGCTTTTTGCAATACATGCTGCTCATCCCGTCTTACACCATCATCCTCGCCATCTACAGCATGTCAAACCTGCATGACGTCTCGTGGGGCACCAAAGGCAGCGACCAGGCGCACACCGATCTGGGACAGGCGACCACGCAAAAGAAGGATGGCAAGGAGGTCGTACAGGTCAAGGTACCCACGACGCAGGGCGAGGCCGAGGAGCTGTGGAGCTCAATGCAGCGCGACCTCGCCACGCCCAAGCCAGAAGTGCACCAGAAGCGTAGCGCCGACCAGAAGCAGCAGGACCACTACGCCAACTTCCGCACCAACTTCCTCCTCGCTTGGATCGTCACCAATGCTGCCCTCATCCTCATATTCACGTCCAGCTGGTTTAATGCGTACATCCGCCGCAAGCACAAGGAGTCTGGCAACCGCGGCCCCGTCATCAACCCGTACCAGACAGTCGTCTTCTACAGCATGGCCGCCTTTGCGGCTGTCCGCGCCTTCGGGAGCTTGCTGTACATGCTCATGTGGATCTTCCGTCTGTGACGCACGAACCGGCGCGCGTTTTACTACCCTTTTTCGATTTCGCTCCGAATCGTCTCTTTGCAGCTATGTGGACAGTTTAGATTTATCTGGGGTTTTAAAGCAGGTTAGGGAAACAAAGGCAGCTACAGTCACAGCTACAGCGCATCACAACCACCACCTGTTGCCGCGTAGGCCTGCAGCCCGCTGGACGGACCGCCTGTAGCTCAACAACCCGCGGCACACGCGCCCACGCGCTCTATTGAAAAAGACATGTATCCATATTCCAGTATTTCTATCGGTCGTGCTGTCGGATCTATTACTTGCAACTTTGCTTCGGGCAAGCTGGGGCCAAGGATCGTACACAATACAACAGAAAGAGCATGAAGCTCAGTGAAAGGAAAAGACGCCGAACCAAATTCTAGGCGCATGGCGTTGGGTCAGTTACCCGCATCGATGTGTGCGCGCATCCACGATTCCATCTCCCAGACGTTGGCCGCCTTCCTCTGCGGCGTCGCAGTGGAAGAGTGAGAAGATTGCACAGGCAAAGTCTGCGACGTCGACACGGCCGCCGTTGATGGGCCAGGCAATGACGGTTCCAGATGCCGACGCAGAGCTTGCAAGCGCCGAACTGCGAGGGCACGCCGACCCTTTGTCTCTTGCGACTCTTCGGGCTCCGACGGCATCTCGGCTTCCTGCAGCATTTTGGCGAGCAGCGGGGGCAGACCATAGACTTGCTGCATGGGGGGAGGCGCGATCTCCAGCATCAATATACTTTTTCTCCATAGATGTGGAAACGTGGGAGACTCACGTCGACATACGTCTCACGAGGCAGGTGCCGTTTAAGCCGCTCCACCTCAGATGCAACGGAACGTAAAGGCGCTGTGGCAGCTCCTTCCTGCTGCGTCTGTTGCAGTTCTGTGCCCTGCAAAATATGCCTGAAAGCCTCTTCAGGCGTGAGCGCATAGACGCCTTTCCGCGCCGCGGCATTGGTATCAGGTGGAACGATGCGCTCCGCAAGGCGCGCCGGATCGGCATCTGCGCCCTGCGCTGTCTGCTGCGCGTCGAGCGCGAGGTGCAGGTTGTACTGCTCGCTGGTCATGGCCGCTGCATTGCTGTGCCCGCGGGGAAAAACATGCCGCATGAAGAACTGGCTGGGTGTGCGCGGCGCTGGGCGTTCCTCACCGCCTGCCAACGCTGGCGACGGCGATAGAGGAGAGCGCAAGGACGGGACGGCCAAGTCATGAATCAGACCGGATGGCTCCTGCGAGACGGGCCCGAGCTGTGCTTCTTCCTGCGCTAGGAGCGACATGAATTCGTCATGGCCCGCTCCAGGTTTTGAGAATACCGGCGCGACGGTGTGGGACAAAGACGCAGGAGGCGCCTGTGTTCCTGCAGAATGCGCGGCCCAGACATGCTCGAAAGATGCGTCCACTTCCGCTACCGCTTCCGTGCCTCTCGCGTCATGCTTGCCATCCAACACAGCGCTTTGATAGAATTGGTCCGCGAGCGAGTCCGCTTGCTCTTCTTTTCCTTCTTCTTTTTCTTCGAAAAGAGAGGAGAAGACTGACAGCGAAGAAGCTCGGACGTACGCATGCAAGGACGCGTCGAGTTCCCCTGAGGAGCTGTATATGCCTGGCGCGGCGAGCTGGACTCGGGAAGCGGCGCTGCTTTCGCCACTGTGCCGGTCGAGTGAGAGGAAGGAGGAAGTAGTCGGATGCAGAGTCGAGCTAGTGCTCGTCCTTACACCTGTATCTCCTCCTGCCGTTTTTACGGCGAAGGCAGCGTACGATGCGTCCGTTTCCGTGTCTGAGCCGACCTGCGGCTGCTGCAGTCTGAATGTACTCCCCGATCCACCACGTATAGCAGTACCCCCGGCCGCGGTGTCGAAAGCGCGGCTCGAGCTAGCTCTCGCCAATTCAGCAGTGGCGGCGTGAGTGCTATCGAGCCGTGCCGCGCCACCGCTCTTGCCGTTAACGGCGGAGGCGAGCGTCTGGGCGAGATCTTGTAGCATGCCCGGTCCACTGGGCGGCGGGGACGCCCACGCGTGCCTATCTCTCTGCGAGCTCGTGGCGGCAGTCTTGGCTGTGGAGGCACTGTTCGTTGGCCGGTCGCCATCGCTGGCAGCAGCAGCGGCGGCCTTGCCTTTGCCCTTGCCTTCTGCGTCAGCTGCGCCCGTGCTGCGTGTCTCCACGCCTTCCCTGCACATGACTGCCAGTCCTTTCTTCCCTGTGGGTGCGGCGGCGCGCCGTCTGTCGTGCTGCCTGCACGCTTCGAGCTTGGAAACGTGTGGGCGCGCGAGCGGGAAGGGGCCCCTACCTTCACCAGAAAGGATTATTGCGTTGCTTACCTGACCTCCGGGGGGGGCGCTCTGCCATTCTGTATAGTCGGAGCACAGACCACCCTATTGAGGTAGTGCCTGACGCAATGTGGGGATCGTCGGCGTCTTTCCCGTGTGATTAGTCGCCGAGAGACACCCCGGCTTTTTCCGACACCGGCGACCTCTTTCATCTGATTTGTGAATGAGAATCTGGAGAACGCCGAGGGACTGTGGGACTCTCTGAGGGAGAGAGAGAGAGAGAGAGTCACACAACACAACTCCGCTCTTCTTTCGAAGAAATGTAGCGGAGAGACAGCTGGTAGAGCAACAACAACAAAGTTTAGCAAGTCCGTCGCCCAGGCCCCCATCCTCGGGGATGAAAGGAACATTGCAGAACGTACCACCGTCAAACGTGAACTGCACGCACGCATTAATCTTGGTGTCAGCATCATGATTGCAACCGTCGCACGTCGCAGCCTTTTGGCGTCCAGAACCACGGCGGTCCGCGCCGCCACCCTCCCCGTCGCTCGCGCCGCAGCAGCCTCGACATGGGCCAGCGTCAAGGCCGGCCCGCCCGATCCAATCCTCGGTGTGACAGAGGCATTCAAGGCGGATAAGGACCCGCGCAAGATCAACCTTGGCGTCGGTGCTTACCGTGATGAGAACGGCAAGCCGTATGTCCTGCCTTCCGTTCGCGAGGTCAGTCTCGTCTCACCCTCGTTGCAAGATGTTTGCAATTTATTGCTCCACCTGCTCACCTTCCTTTGCTGCGTGTAGGCCGAGCAGCGCGTCATCGCCTCCAAGAGCGACAAGGAGTACGGCCCAATTACCGGTCTGGCCGACTTTACCAAAAACGCCGCCAAGCTCGCGTACGGCGCTGACAGCAAGCCGATTGCAGAGAACCGCGTGGCGATCACGCAGTCCATCTCGGGCACCGGCGCACTGCGCATCGGCGGTGCCTTCCTCGCTCGGCACTACCCATACTCCAAGACGATCTACCTGCCCACGCCTTCGTGGGGCAACCACACACCGACCTTCAAGGACTCGGGGCTGGAGGTGAAGCAGTACCGCTACTACAACAAGGACACTGTCGGGCTCGACTTTAACGGCCTCATCGCTGACATCAAGGCCGCGCCGAACAAGTCCATCATCCTCCTCCACGCCTGTGCCCACAACCCCACCGGCGTCGACCCGACGCAGGAGCAGTGGAAGCACATCTCACAGGTCGTCAAGGAGAAGGAGCACTTTCCATTCTTTGACATGGCCTACCAAGGCTTTGCCAGCGGTGACACCGACCGCGACGCGTTCGCCGTCCGCCACTTTGTCAGCGAGGGCCACGAGATCGCCCTGTCCCAGTCCTTTGCCAAGGTGCGTTACCCGGCTGTGCTGTCGTCAGGCCTTCCCGTTTTGGATTTGGTGAGCTGAGCTCATCCCTTTCTTCCTCACTCCCCCTCCCTCTTAGAACATGGGACTGTACGGCGAGCGCGTCGGCGCCTTCTCGCTCGTCACCGCCGACGCGGACGAGCGCGCACGTGTCGACTCGCAGCTCAAGATCATCGTGCGGCCCATGTACTCCAACCCGCCGATTCACGGCGCGCGCATCGCCGGCACGATCCTCGCCGACGCGCAGCTTTACCAGCAGTGGCTCGCAGAGGTCAAGGACATGGCGGATCGCATCAACGGCATGCGTGCGCAGCTTAAGAGCCTCCTCGTCGACGAGAACGGCAGCAAGCTCAACTGGGACCACATCACCAACCAGATCGGCATGTTCGCTTTCCTCGGCATCTCCCCCGAACAGGTCGCCAAGCTCGTCAACGAGCATCACGTCTACCTCACCAAGGACGGTCGCATCAGCGTCGCCGGCATCACACCGCACAACATCAAGCATCTCGCCAAGTCCCTCCACGCCGTCACGAGCGCATGAACAGCCCTCCTTCGTGTGCCGGACGCGAAGAGTTTCAAGAGGGAAAAGGTCGTGGACATAGTCGAATAGAGTGAAGATGTCATTGTGTAGCGTCACAAGGGTAATCATTCTATAAAAGTAGCTCGCTCTTGAAAAGACAAAAAAGACATATTATGCCGCTTCCACAATTCCTACTACCGGTTACCGCGCCCCTCGAACAGATTGCTGTACTTGCTCTCCAGCCAGTTGTCCAGCGCTTTGCGCATCATCAGCCATGTCAGAGGCCCGTCAGAGGTAGGGGAAGTTCCAGACGCAGAGTCGGCTGCTCCGTTCTCGCCCTCGGCCTCGACATCGCTCTTGATGGGATGCCATTCGAGCTGTGAGATTCACGATAGGGAGTGTAGCGGATGGATCAGCACGGCATGCCAACAAGGAGCAAGGCACATCGCGGGTACTCACCCGCGTCTCGACCCGCGCATGCAGCTCGCCAGGCTCGACGATCTGCTCCCGCACCGCGAAGCGCTCGTACCGATCGTCCGTGACGCGGTCGACCACGTCAACCTCGGCTCCTGCCGGCAACTCGGCGGGGATGAAGCCAAACTGCCGCGCGTCCAGCTCGGGCGATATGGACTTGTCCGGCAGCAAGCGCCAGGTCTTTCGCAGAACCCGCGCATACGAGAGCAGCTTCATTTCTTCTCGTTCTCCCTCTCGTGATGCAGCAGCCGTGGCGCCGGCGCTGTCCTCAAAGGTGGCGGAGAGGACGCAAGGAGGCGAAGCTATTGTTGGAGCTGGAGCTGCGGTGCCGGGAGGTCGGTCCCTGCGCATCCTCTCTTCGGAGGAAGGGGTCGGCAGAAGGACGCCGGCTCGCGCATTGGACGCCTCCTGCTCTCCAAAAGCTTGTAGGAAATTGTCAAACCATGCTGCATCGACGTCGGCTTCCTCCTGCCATTGTCGGGTACAGCGCACATCGACAGAGCTGAATGAGCAGTCAAAATGTAATCAGACCGGGATTTGGAGAGAGAGAGAGACAGCATCGCAGTTGGCTCACCCTTCAGGCGCAAGGACGTCTACCACCTCGCTCGCCTCCCAGTGCGCCACTTTGAGCTGCCAGCGAGGCTCCTGTCTGGATGTACCGAACACATCTGAAAGTGAATCCATCAAGTTCGACTTTGTCTGGCTCTCTTCATTCAGAGCTTTGGAAAGGCTACCCTGCCGCTGCTCCTGCTCGACATCCTGCTTCTCAAATTCCACAATGAGTCTTCGTGAGCCATCTTCAGTGACGTACACCAATCGGATGAGATCTTCGAGCTGATTCCACCGGTTGACGACCAAGCTGTCGAATTGCGCCGTCTGTCCGGTCATCAATGGAGGCGTCATCGGCACAAAGACGCGGTCTTGTATAGGCAGGTGCGATACCAATTCTGGCAGCAATTTAGATTGCCCAAAGCCAATCGCAGAGTCCTCTGGAAGGCTGTGCAGCAAGTGTCCAAACGTGGCTGTGTACTTGCCGCCACGCGCCCACTCTGGATGAGCATTTGGCGGCCACAGCGTCTCCGCCTCTTGAGTGTCAAATAGATTCGATAGGGTGCCCTCGGCGGACGGTGACCAGAGACGTGAAGGCGGCTTGGCGGTCCGCTCCCAGGTGACTGGCGTCATCTCCTCCACACGGTTCCGGCTGCGAACGATCCTTGCGTGCGAAAGTGCATCCGTGCCATTGCCTTTCGGTGACGTCGCTGGTCTGGCCAGGTTATGAGGGTTGCGGTGACCTTGGCTAAAAGAGGAGGCGAGAAGAAGGCTATTAGTCCATGGCGCTGCTGATGGTATTGTAGTGGGAGAGAGATGATATTGCACTGGCTGATCAGAGCCAACGGCCTCGACGGTGGCGGCGGAGAAGAAAGCGGAACTGGTGGGTGATATGGCCACATCGAGTAAGTAGGACCGGAGGAGAGCCGCAGCATGACTGCAAGCGGCTTCGCTTCTCCCAGTCAGCTCGTACCGAAGTGGGACCTCCCCCGGGTCCTCTGATGTCGTGCTCTCTGAGAGTTCGGCGGACTGCGGTAGCGCGAGGCAGAGTGACTTTACCATGACTGCGCCTAAAACAGAAGTGGGGATGTCCGTGGCCGTTGATGCTTTTGTTGCTCGGGATAGGTCGAGAATCACACGTGTCCCCGTCAAACTCTAAAACGTGAGGAAAGTAAAGCTGCGAGTCAGAATGGCGCACAAGATGGGCACAGCGACTAGTGACACGCACCTGACATAGAGCGTCAACTTCCTGCGCCGCAGCCGTCACAGCTTGTTCCGAGCCTTTCACCTGTACTTGGGTGACTTCCGCCTCGAGTAACCTCATCGAGACTCGGTACTTCCCCTCAATTTCTTTTTGAGCGCTGCTGTGCATCCTGAACAACGCTCCTTCGAGCCAGGAGAGATCGATCTCAATCTCCGAGTCAGAGACCTCGGCCTCTTCACGCGCATGTGCAGCCTTTGCTTCCTCTGGGTCCTGGATCTTCCACACTTCTTTGACAATCCTTTGTGCTATTTCGGCCTTCTTGAGCGTGCTTTTTGGACCTTTCAAGTTCGCCTCGACCGCCATGGACCGTAGCTGAGCTACAGTGAAGCTGCTCTGGATACTTTTGAGAGCTGTGGTCCAGACCTTCTGACGATACCGCATCTGACCATCTAGAGACATGTGTCGGATGGATTCTTCTGAACGGATCCTCGGCTTGATTTTCCAGAGGTCTTTCAATGTCGGTTTATCATTAATTGAGTCTGTGTTAGTCAAGAGGCTCGGTGCCGATGGCGCAGGAACGTCGAGATGCTCAGCATGTTCGACCTGTTCTTCGTGCTCTTGAAGGGCAGCAAATTGTCGGCGGCTGACGGACGAGGTGAGCCATCGCACTGTGGTGTCGTGGCTGTCCCATCTTCGCAAAGGGCGGGCCAGGAAGGCTTGCCGACAGCAACATGACCATGTTACGGTGGTCATGCGACCGCAACGTCGGGCGAGCCAGGACGCAGATGCTGTGGCACTCATCACCGAGAACAGCCCACAACCTTGGTGTTCTTGATTATCTACGAGCGGCCCGCATCCGCACCCTGCGTCTACACAGCATGCACGGGAAGAAAGCTCTTTGAAAGCTCGTCCACGTCTGTGTCTTCAGCATGCCACATGCATGCCACATGCGATCAACCTCACAGTAGATAAAATGTTGTGAAGGGCACATTCTATTTTTCGTTTCGCATTTTTTTCGATCAGAAATTCGTGTTCCGCCCCCATCTTCAGCAGAAAGATAGACAAATGAGAGTGAGACAGCAGCTAATCGTCCACTTTGTGCGATCATAGGGAATGAATGATCTGTGCCCTGTACATCAAAGCATTGCGTGTGGCAATTCAATCCGCCTCAGGACGTCCTACAGCTGAATACTGGAGGCTGGAGTAGCTCATCGGCTTGTGCACTATTTGCAGTTCGTCTTGCGGCGGCATTTTGGTACGGATCTTCGCAGACGTGGGGCAGGGGAGGGAACGATTTCCTTTGCCTCTCGCCAGGATACTTCGCGACTCGCATTAGCGCCATAATGGGGAAGCCAAAGAATAATGCAGGCGCTGGCGGGAAGACAAGAGGGAAAATCAGCAGGGGTCGAGGCGGCGGCCGTGGGTCGACAAGACATCAGGCGTACATGCAAGAAAGCTCTTGGCGGCCAGACAGTGCGATAGACGACCCCGCAGAAGCAGATGGTTAGGGCTTGCGAGTATTCAACGTTGCGTACGGCGCCTCATCCTGACGCAACTGCATTATATGCTTTGCTCTCCTCACAGAAGACCCAGAGATTCAGTCCGACTGTAGCGAATTAAGCGAGAAAGCCAAGGGTAAGCAACGGCAGCTCGATGGCTATGTTGGAGCAACTTCTGAGGACGAGAGCGGTGAAGAGAGCGACGATGCTGTGAAAGGACCAGACAACCTTGAGATTCCTTTAGCCATGTGGGTGCGTAACATGGTCGAAGGACTGCATGCACTTGCCCCTTTTTCCCTGCAGGATACTTTCTCATATTCCATCCATCGTCTCAACTAACAGGATTTCGGCCACTGCGATCCGAAGAGATGTTCTGGACGCAAGCTTGCACGGCTCGGATTCATGCGAGAGCTCAAGATTGGGCAACGATTCCGTGGTGTGGTCTTAACGTTAGTCTCGTCTTCTAGCACCGTTAGACTTCGGAATGGCTGATGATGTTGATCTGCTCTCAGGCCAAACGCAACAAAGACCGTGTCTCCTGCAGACAAGGATATCATCGAACAGCATGGCCTTGCAGTCGTCGAAGCGAGCTGGGCAAGGTTGGATGAAGTGCCATTCGGAAAGATCAAATCGCCACATGAACGGCTACGTGCGTCATGCCCGCGGTCATGTGCGCTACATGCGAAAATGATTGAGGTTGGACTGACATTGCCACTGGGCTTTGCTCCTTAGTCCCTCGCTTGGTGGCTGCGAATCCTGTCAACTACGGCAAGCCGCTCAAACTCAACTGTGTAGAAGCGGTGAGCGTATCACGAACAACCCCCTTGAATCTCAAATGCTGACTGGCAACAAATGTTCATGTGTCTGAATTCTCTTCAGCTTGCAGCTGCTCTGTACATCTGCGATGAGCCTGCCAGCGCCGACCTCATCCTCAGCAAATTTGGTTGGGGCCACAGTTTCCCAGAGCTCAACGGGCCAGTCCTTGACATCTACAAACGGTGCAGAGATCATGAGGACATAGACAAGGCTGGGAAGCAGGTGGTGGCAGATGAGGAGGAACGCCGGCAAGCCGGGAAGATGAAAAAATTTGGTGAGCTGCTGATTTTGCACCGTCAAAGAGTGGTCTCATCTGATTGATGTCGCCACATAGATCCCATGCAGCTGCTGATGCCAGCGGATGAAGGAGACGAGAGGGAAGATGTCAGAAGCACATGACGATACCCACGAACTTGTATCCTTTGTTCGCAGACCAGGTGAAGAAGGCATTGGGCTTTAGGGCATTCTCCTTTTCGTACAAGTCATAAATTACACGCAATTATCGTGGCACTTATCCTGACGACCGGAAAGAAATACACGTTCTAGCTACTGCAAGTTGTGACGCACGGCTAAGGGCGTGGCCAGCATGTCGCTTTCGTTAAAGCTCATATTTGCGCCTTTCTTAGAAGGTGTAGGAGCAGCACTGGAGGGCGTTGAGCTCTTTGGTAGGCTTCGTCCTTGCGAATTATGGGCCTGATGACTTGCTCGTGGCTGCTGCGACCGCCCGATAAGGTTGATGTCCTTGTTCTCGATCGTCACTGTCGAAGCAAAAGAGAGTGGGGTGAGCTTAAGCCGTCCGGTAGTAATGTAGAAACAAACAGCCAGCACTCACAGCTCTTGGTCATTGAAGATGTCTTGTAGATACCAACGAGACGGGAGGCTAGCTCAAACATGTTGTTGCGCAGAGAAATGATCACGAATTGCGCGTTCTTCGTTCGCTCTTTGACTATAAGTTAGAGAAGGCATTAGCCAGTATGTTCATCGGGACTTTGGCTGAGCGAGGCACTTACTGAGGTTGGCGACGATCGAGACATTTCGGAAATCAAGGGCAGCGTCGATCTCATCCCTACACGCATGCCAAGTTGTCAGTCCCTTCCAAAACGCGCCGAGTTGCTAGAACTCACATCACATAAAGCGGAGTCGGCTTGAAAGCGTGAAGCGCGAACACTAGCGCCAGACTGCTCAAGGTCTTCTCTCCTCCTGACAGGTTGCTGATATTCCTCCAGCTCTTCTTCGGCGGCATGACGCTGAAGATGATGCCTTCGCTGAAGGGATCCAAGCTGTCGACCAACTCCAACTCTGCGTTTCCGCCTAGGGTGATCGTCTGGTACATCTCCTTGAGCTTACTAGAAATGACCGTAAAGCCGGCCATGAAGCGTTCCAAGCGTTCCTTGCGCAGCTCGTCGTACTGCTCCTTGGCGTTGTCTCGGGCATGCGTCGTTGCCTCAAGCTCGCGAGCTTGCTTAAGGAAATCTTGTTCTCGCTTGCGATACTCTTCAAGAATCGATAGGTTACCGTGTCCCTTGGACAAACGCTCTGCGAGTATTCCGAAAATATGTTTAAGTGATGCAGTCGGACTGAGGCAGCCTCTTGCCTGTATATTGGCTCACCTTCATAAAGAACAATCTCAGCTTTGATGCTCTCCTTGTCAATCGCGACGAGATCATCTTCTGGATATGTGACGAGCTCAAGTGCGACATCCGCCTCCTCATCTTTGGCGTCCTCCGAGTCGTCCAGCTCGTGAAGAACGAGGGATGCATGCCTGTCAGTCCAATGTGCGAGACGCTTGCTGTTGTCAGCGAGTGAACGCTCATTGTCTTCCAGTTTTTGCTTGATCTCCATCTATGAGAAGGTAACGTGTGCGTCAGCAGCAGGAAACGGGAAGGTGATTTCTTTATACGACGCACCTCAATGGCGCGGAAGGCATTCATGGAATCAGAGTGGGCCTCGATCTGCTCTTGCAAGGTTTCACACTGGTTTTGCTTCTCTGCTACCAGATGACGTGCGTCGTCCACGGCGGCCTGCACAGCGTTCGCTTCTTTGCCAGTGCCCTTTACCTCTGCACCAATTTCTTGCAGATCAGCTTCAAGGCTCTGCAGACTTGTTTCCAGCTCGGCCACCAAGCCTTCGGCCTTGGCCATATCTTTCTCGGCTTTGACCTTACCCACTTCCGCTTTCGTGATCCTTTCTGTGTTCAGCTCGATCATTTGCACAATACCATCAACCTTGCTTTTCTGCGCTCGCAACTCGATGCCTCCGACTTCGAGAATTTTCTCTTGCAAAGCTTCAATCGCCGACTCAATGGAAGCCGTCTTTCCAGACAGTTTCTCGATCTCTGAGTCGGCCTTGGCGATGACCTGATCCAGTGCGGCGATCCGAGCTGCCTCTGCTGCGTCGGGTTCTGCTTCAGATCTGCTCCAGGGAAAGGGGCAACCACAAGTCAGCAGCAGAAAGTCCACCAATGTTCACGCTATATCGCACCTCAACCTTTGCAGCTGCTTCTCGGACTCTTTGCGCCTCTGCTTGCTGATTTCGATCGCCATTGTCGCCGTGTCGATGTCCACGTCAATTTGAGGGGCCCGCGTCCGATATCGCTCTGCCATCTCTTGCACTTCGTGGATCGCCTTGACGTGACCACGGAGTTGCTCTTCAGCTAGATCGCGCTCTTTCTCCAGGCGAGCTAGCTTCTCTGGCGAGATTTGCTCCCCTTGCAGCTTGGAGCTCATGGCACCCTGACACACCTTGGAGCCCCCACCGGACATGGCACCGCTCTTGTCGATCAGTTGGCCCGCGAGGGTGACCACGCGCCACCTCGTGGCACCGTATGCGATGCGGCTCGCTTGCGTTGGGTCTGAAGCGACGAGTGTGTCTCTGAGCTGATGGTAGAAAGCGCGTGCGTATACGTCCGACTTAGCCTGCACGAGATCGAACAGGCGGGGTGCATTCTCTGGCGTCTGCACCCTTAATACAGGTCCTTTTTCCAGCTTGTCGAGGGAGATGAAGTTGGCACGACCAAGGTTGTTCTTGCGTAAATGCTCAATGCAAGCCTGAGCGCTCTCAACACTGTCCACGACAATGCTCTCCAGGCCTGGACACGCTGTGCTGATAGCGATGTCGTACTTCTCGTCAATGGCGCCAAGGCTGCCAAGGCGACCATGGTATCCTTTGATCATGCCAAGTTCAGCTTGACGATTGAGGCTGTTAAGTACCTGGCTGCGATTCTTCTCGTTCGCGGACGCGTTTTTAGCTTCTTCAGCTTTCGACCGCGCAGCGGCGGCTGCGGATCGAAGCTTCTGTTCCTCTATTCGCATGCGCTCAAGCTGCTTTTCGGCATCAGCGAGCTTGGCGCCAATATCTGCCTTCTCTTTGCGGAAAGCCTCGATCGCGTCGCACTGCCACCAGACAGAGTGATCAGCGAGCAATTGAAGCAGTGCTCTGCAAGCGAACCATCTACTCACCTGAGTTTCAGTCTCGGCGCCAAGCTCCCGCAAACTTAAGCCAGCGGCTTCGATGCGCTCCTTGTGCTGCTCTTCTCGGCTGGAAAGCAGGGTACGCTCTTCGACTGCTAAGCCACGTGCATTGTTCTGCGCTGTCAACTTGGCTGTCCAAGGTTGCAGCTCTCTCTGCTTCTTCTCAATTTCGGCAGTGAAGCCCTGTGTCTTGTCCTTGAGTCCCTCGCGAACAGCCTCAAGTGCGACCTCCTCCCTCTCAAGAGATTCTTCCAACTGGAGCATTTCGCTTCTGAGCTTCTGCGCTTCCTCTCCAGAATTCCTGGCCGTTGCACGAGCATCTGAAATTGCTCGCTTGCTTTCCGCAATGGATTTTTCGAGTTTCTTGGCCTTTGCTTCGATGTGCTTCTTTTTCTCTCCAGACTGCAAGCTGGCTTTCTCGAACTTGGCCAATTCCTTTGACACCTTGTCCAACTCCTGCTTTGCGTCTTGATACTCTTGCGTGACGACCGTAAGCTCAGCTGTGAGCTCTTCGACTTCACCCTTTGCACCAGAATGCTTCTCTGTCTCTTGCTCGAGCCGGCCCTGAAGCTTTTCGATCGCGGCAGACGCCACAGCCATCTGCTTGCGACACTCCATCATGTAGACTTGCCACAGTGCGGACTGGCGCTGCGTGAGTTCATTTTGATCACGAAGGTATTCTTCCGCTTCCTTCTTCTTGTTCTCCAGAGATTGCTTTTCCTTTTGAACGAACTTGAGCCTCTCGAGCTTGACGGATCGCTGTTCGTTGCATTCGTCCACCTTGACCGCTGCTTCCTCGATTGGCACCTTAAGCTCACTCGTGCCGATGATATCCTCCAAGTATTCCAGCAAGCCCTCTTCATGCTCTGTCTTTCCCTTGGGAGGCATTTGAGCAATCGATTCAACCTCGCCCTGCAGAATAAGGAACCGCTTGTGATCAAGATCGATACCCCTACCCTTGAGCAGAGTCGTCACTTCAGTGAAGGTGGACTTGCGCGAGTTGATCGTGTAGACAGATGTGTTGTTGCGGAAGGCCGTGCGTGCGACGACGAGCTTTGAGCCTGGAACGACGCGGAAGGCATCTGGGCCAGGCTACACGGAATAAAATTACAGCATGAGAATGAGTGATGCTGCGGAGGAAAGGGGTCCATTTGGAACACTCACCAGATCCTCGATCTCTCGGAACCAAACTTCGACCGTACAGCTAGGCAGGCTTTGCTTGCTAGCACTGTTGTGGATGAGCTCGCTGAGCTTGCCTTGCCGCATCTTGTTTGCCCTCCAGCCAAAGACGAATAGGAGTGAATCGATAACATTGGACTTCCCACTCCCGTTAGGACCGACGACAGCAGAGAAAGACTTGTGGAAGGGACCAATCTCTTGTCTACCAGCGTACGATTTGAAGTCTTGCAAGACCATCTTGTGAATGATCAGACGAGTCTTGGCTTCGGTAGGGGCAGGGGCAGGTGCGCTAGGTGTGTGCGGCACTCTGGATACGAGCGGCGTGTTTACTTCGGGTAGACCAACCTTGCGGGCTTGTGGCGTGGCTTGCTGAGTCGTCATATCGCCGTCTTCGGGCTCGGCCTCTACTGTGCTGTCATCGACGGAGATGCTGATCAAGTCTCCTGGCTTACCTACTTCCGTGTTGGCAGCCACGCCGTCGCCTGTAGATTCAATTGCGCTTGCCGCTGGTTGCTCTGGTGCCAAAGATTCCTTCTGCTCATCTGTTATGTCTTCCGTGGTACCCGCCTCACTTTCATCTTCGTCAGCCTTATCTTCTTCGGCGTATGACACTGTGCGCTTGGTCCTGGACCTGGCGGGCACAGCCTTGCGAGCTGGTACTCGTGCTTTTCTTCGCAGCACAGGCTCATCTTGCTCGCCCTCGACTTCGTCTTCGTCTGCCTCGACAGATGCTGACCTCCTCATGGACCGCGAACTGGTCTGGGAAGCGCCCGACACTGTGCGTCGGGGAGCTCTGGAGCGTACCTTCTTTGCGGCGGCGACAGCTACGTCGTTCTCAATGTCGCTCCCATCCTTGCCGGCCTCGTCGTCACCGGCGGTTGCGGCCAGTCGTGCTTTGGCCGATGCTGCTGCTGCTCTGCGTGGTGCCATGTTTTCTTGATTCAGCCGGTACTAATGTGGCAGCAGACCTTGCGGCCTTATTCGCATGGGCTGGCTAGAGAGCGTTACCCCAATGCAGTCAGATCAAGAGTGGTCTGGATGATCTGTGAACTACGTCTGTGTGCGTCAAAACATGAGAGAGTTACTACCTGAATATACATCTATGTAGGATGTCCGCAGGTTTGCTGGGCGCTGGGGTCCACAACAAAAGCGGCGTGGTGTTTTGTGGTATGATGTGCTGTCGCGTCGCGTCGCGTCGTGATCAGTGCCCGAAAGGAGAGCACGTGATACAACCCTAACTATCTGAAGACAAAACGCGTCACGCGACGCGCAACATGCGCGCTTTTGAGGAACATTACGTAATAGGTGCTCGTAGCTTCATTGCAGGGTCTCCTGCTTGAGATGGATGGCCCAGCTATTCCATAACCCATACTCAGCCCCGAGCTCCCGAAGACAGCTACTCGAAACGTCGGCTAAGTATCTTCGATACCTACTGTTCAATTGCGGACTGCAGAACAGCTCATCATCGGCAATCAGAGTGGCAGCTGCTGTAGCAGCATTCAACCTGCACACAAGAAAGGCCAGACGATGCACTCGGGGGAAGGATGGCTGAACAATGCCCAATTCCAACAAGCTCCGTGGTAACTTGACGATCTCCTCCTTTTTCTCTCCGGTTCGGGTAACTGGCAGTGCCGGCGCAGCAGCCAACGCTGCAAGGAGTGTCAGCGCGGAAAACGGAAGCAGATATTATGAGAATGCAGTCAATGAGACATTCAGAGAGTTTGGTCCGCCCACGAAAAAGCTAAAACTGGACGTCAACAGCAAGGCTCTTGCCCATTCCAGGAGCGAAAGCAACGTCCTCCTGACGGCTGCGGACAAACTCTCCCGCTGGCGATTTGTCGAACCATCATGTTCCACTCACATTGAATCATTAGGGCAGAACAAAGAACCGACATCGGATGGCATTAGCGAAGAAAGCGTGGATCAATCATTTGAAGAGCTCCAACGACATGAAGCATTCCGCAGAACGCTCTTGAGTGGCGATGTGCTTTCCCGAAATTTTGGCTACTTGAGCGAAACTGCCAGCCGCCCAGAAGCCTATTTAGAGTGGAAACAGGACTTCAGTGCAAGCGGTGCGGGTGGCGAGGTTGCTGAAACGGAGTTTCAGCGTGACCGTGCCAATTCGATCAGTGATGACAGCGACCTTGAAGAGATACAGCAACAGGACAAGGGTGAGGGTGAGGGACTGATACGGTTCAGCTTGCTGAAATATTCCGCACATTCTGCCGAAGATAATGGGCGAAAGGCGAAAGTCCCTGCGGATTGCACGAAGCCTGCATTCAGAAGTGAAGCGAAAGGGAAAGCCAACGAGAAAGCAGTTGGTCCGTCCGGTCTACCGTACACGCCACTTGAGGAACAGATTATCGAACTTAAGCGCAACTATCCTGGTGTGCTTTTGATCGTCGAGGTCGGGTACAAGCTCAAATTTTTTGGCGAAGATGCACGAATTGCTAGCCGCCACCTGAATGTAGTGAGTCTGCTGTTAGCATATCGTGGGCCTTCTTGCGGTAGATGCCGCAGATACTAATAAATTTCTGCACTCGCATTCGTATGGATCAGGCCTGTTTTCCAGACCGCAACTTCCTCACTGCAATGGTTCCAGTGCATCGCCTTCATGTGCACGTACGCACGCTCATCTCAGCAGGCTACAAGGTCGGTGTCGTGCGACAGACCGAGACGCGAGCATTGAAAGCCATGTCATCGAATGCCTCCAAACCCTTCACTCGCAAGCTCACAGGCGTGTACACCGCAAGCACTTGGGTGGAAACCCTCTCCGCTGGCGGTGGTATGGATGGCGATGTGGACGCCAACGGGCCTGGCAACTTAGCCAATCACAGTCTAGTGGCAATCGTTGAGAAGTCGGAGGACAGTAAGAACAACACAGAGGAACGTGTAACCATTGGAATTGTATGCGTGCAAGTCTCCACGGGTCAGGTCATCTGGGACCAATTTGAAGATACCAGGATGAGGAGTGTGAGTGCAGCTCAAGCAGGCAAAGTCTACCATGCCTTCACGCAGTGCTGACCGGGACTGTCCCGTGGCTGCGTAGGAACTCGAGACACGACTCGCGCATTACAGTCCGATCGAGATTCTCATGCCTCCGAAAGGCAGACTATCGCGTCTCACCGAAAAGATCATGAAGTACACGGCAGGCAAAGGCACCAGCGATGGCCGACCAATTCGGACGGAGCGATGGCCAGAGGACCAAATTCTGTCTTACAACGAAGCACTCAACGTGGCCACTGAGACAGTACAGACAAGCAAGCAGGCGGATGAAGCAGCCAAATCGGCAATGCTTGCGATCATCCTTTCACTTCCACATCTCGCGCTGCTCAGCTTTGCCGCTTGTGTCTCGCATCTCAAGTCTTTCGGACTTGATGCACTCTTTCAGCGGGCCTTCAACTTCTCCTCCTTTGCATCTCGTTCCACTATGCTTCTCACTGCCAACACTCTCAAGAATCTCGAGATCTTCCGCAACGGGACCGACGGGCGGGAGAAAGGGTCTTTGCTCTGGCTCGTCGATCGGTCTCAGACGGCGATGGGCAAGCGTCTGCTCCGCAAGTGGCTCGGCCAACCGCTCACCGACATGAAGGCGCTCAGGCATAGATTGGCCGCGGTGGAGGAGGTTGTAGACAAATCATCACAATCTGCGACGCTTGGCAAGGCACTGAGATTGCTCAATGGCCTGCCCGACCTCGAGCAAGGCCTTGCGCGGCTATCCTACGGACGGAGTTCCCCTTCAGAATTCTCAAAAATATTGATTGCGCTCAATCGAGTCACTACAGAATTCGACTTCAAGAGGGCATCTGATGTGCCACTGAGTAGTCAAATGTTGACAGACGGCATTTTCTCTCTTTCTGAGGGACGCGAAGTCTGCAAGCAAGCTCTTTCAGCGATCAGCGTGGTCGCAGCGCGCGAAGACAATAAAATGGATCTTTTCGCAGATCCGGAGCAATTCCCGTTACTTCAAGACGTCAAGGTCTTACTCAGTGTCAACGAGACAGAATTCAATGAGCACCTAAAGGAGCTGCGCATCGAGCTTAAGAGACCTTCTTTGCAGTATACCACTGTAGCCGATAAGGAGTATCTAGTCGAAGTTAGGAAGGGTGACGCAAACAAGGTTCCGTCCACCTGGATTCGCATCAGTAAGTCGCATGCCCGCATGCTTTCATCTAGGAGGGTCACCAACTAATCTAGACCTTGAACCCCACGGCAGACTCTACTACGAAAATGGTCCGCTTCCATTCGCCGCGCATTGTCGCTCTTATCAAACAACGTGACCAGCTCAAAGAGACATTGCAGCTCGAAGCCGACAACGCCTACAAGACGTTTGTCCAGGAATTCATGAACACCTACATCCCATTGCGTAACGTAGTCGCTTCTCTCGCCACGTTGGACGCCCTGAATTGTCTTGCGCGGCTTGCATCGCTTCCGAACTTTTGCCGTCCTGAGATGGTGGAAAGCCATGCAGAGTCGACAGGCCTCATTGAATTGGAGGACTTTCGACATCCGATGAGCGAAGCGATGCATATATCCCACTACGTCCCTAACTCTATCAAGCTTGGAGAGACGGGGTCGAAAGGAATACTACTCACCGGCTCAAACATGGGCGGTAAGAGCTCGACAGTACGAGCGATCGCGCTGTGCGTCATCCTTGCTCAGTGTGGCGCATACGTGCCAGCCCGATCAGCCCGTCTCAGCTTGCATGACTCAGTGCTTACCCGGATGGGAGCAAGCGATGATCTTGCAAACGGACGTTCTACCTTCCGGGTCGAGATTGAAGAAACAGCTGAAATTCTACGCGCAGCAACGGGGCGCTCGCTGGTAATCCTTGACGAACTAGGTCGGGGAACCTCGACAAATGACGGCACTGCCGTCGCATACGCTGTCTTACGGGAGCTGATGAGCCGACCCATTTACAGATGTCCAACCACTCTGTTCATCACGCACTATTTTTCTCTCGGCTCTGTCGCCTCACTTCCAGATCTGCAAGGCAGGCTGGTCAACATGTACATGGCTTACTCCGAACAAGTCGATGAGGAGACAGGGCGTCAGGAGATCATCTTCCTTTATCGCCTGCGGAAGGGCATGGCGAACAGCAGTTTTGGCATCCATTGTGCGTCCCTCGCTGGCTTACCCGAGCCACTTCTACAAGAAGCCACTTCTCAAGCGGAGCGTTTTGAGCAGGAGGTGGAGCAAAGGTGGAAGGAGAGACACCATAAGCATCTTGCTCGCATTGCCAAGGCGTTATGGGGGAGCCCGAAAGGGCAGTTGACCGAGGGCTTAAACTTCGTGTTGCAAGATGTCGCCATTGCAAGTTCCCATCGAAGAATTCATGCCTGGGCACAGTGCAAGTACGCAACATATCAATAGTATTATTTCGCGGGTCTTAAGTCAATATCATGTGTCCAAGTGCTCGGCTGCTGCTATGCAAGGAATAGCCAAGTCTTTGCCGCTTCTTCTGGCCGCAGTGTGCTTCCGTCCGGAATTCGTGGGCCTGGCTTGAAGAAGAACGTTGCCCATGTACCCGCACTCTCCACAAGCCCGTTGATGACGACGTGCGTGACCATGGTATGGCCGATCGCTCGCTCGTCAGTGTCTCCGTGATGGGGCAGATTTTCAACCGTGCCTCACTGTGTACGCCGTTCTTCCCGTACTCTCTTGCATGCGACTGATGCAACGTACAGGATATATGGATCAGATGCAGTCAGTCAGTATCGCGGTCCGTCCACCCACCTAGTCCGTGGGCTTCCATCGCCCTAAGACTGGCTTGAGTAAAGGCATTTTCTCCAAAGCTGTTGAATATAACGTCAACGCTTTGGATATTACCAAGGATGCCAGCAAGAAGGCTTGTTCTAATTTCATTTGTAAATGACAGCTCACATGCTTCCTGCCAAAGCACTCTTGGCGAATCTTTCATCCTGCTTCAAGAATTCGAAGGGATTTCTGATGGAGGCATTATCCACAGCCGAGCATATCTGCTTGTCAGATCATGCCTTGATGACCGCTTCCATGGCTTTCTCGATAGATTCGATGCTCGTAGCATCTCACACAAAGTCATGGACAACGGAGCGCTGACTGTATAAGCTGAGCCACCGCGAGCTTGGCGTGCTAACTGGTCCAGCTGCATGGTGAGAGGGGCGCCACGGCGAATGGCATTAGTCACTCGGTGTTGCAGCCAGGAGACAGCCTTACGGATCGATACTGACCTCTTTTGCCTACTCATCAAGCCGCTGCTTGCTGCGTGACATGACAACGGTTGTGTAGCCTTTCTTTGCAAATACACGAGCGCTGCACAGGTCCAAACGGGGGTTCAACTGAAGTGAATTAACAAAAGCGTAGAACGGACGGGATTAGGGACTCGTGCAACGCATACGTTTCCGAAAGCTAACCGGCAGCCTCGCACCCAAGACCACCACTACATGATTCTCGCGTTTGGGTTCCCATAGCGTACTTACTCTGCCCGAGTGTATCGACTGACATGTAAGGCTCAGATGTGGGCATCTGGGGGTTGTCGCGAGTCACGATCAAAGGGCTACTTCCGCAATTTTGCTTCGCTTCGAAGTGTAGGGGGCTTGCAGAGAACCCTTGTATGTTTCTGCTGGCCTTCGCCCATGTGATGGCGATGATAGACTTCTTGGCTGTAACCATTCTAAAGGATATAAGGCGAAAGGGCCACGCGATGCTTCCCATGAAACCTTTCGACCGCAGATCGGTGCTTTCAGTCAAGCGATCAGATTTTAGTTTGGTATCATTTGAAAGCCTCTCTCAGCCACAGGAAGCATCGAAGGTGGGCCTCCTGAAATCTGCATCGAGTTTACGGTACACGGCGTCGATGAAATGTACTCTGGCACGCTAGCAGAACTACAGAAGTGCGGGTTGCTAATAGTCTAGAAGCGGCATTAAGAATATCTTCCAGCGGGAGTGCGGCTCTCGGACCGAACCACAGACCTAACCCCGCATCCGGCGTCGTCTTCCAGAGGCCGGATGTTATAGTCTAGAAGGCCAGGTTCGGATGCTTTGTGGGATCTCTATTTGAAGGGAAATCCAGCCCGCATTCTGAATATTCTAGGCTCAGGCCACATCACGCGCGAGCGTTCGACGGTCGATCGACGGGCTTCAGCCATCCATATATTATAGGACTATCGCATGTTGTACATTAATGGGTAGGTGGGGGTATGATACAGTGACAGTCGCACAGCAATCAGTGGACACCGGCCAAGCTCTATTCCAGGCGTTCGACTGGAAAGAGAAAGAAGGAGCAAGAGTCAAACTATCGTTTATATAGATGGATCAGTGGTTTATGACACTTACGATAATCTAACCGATTGAGCACAACACTCTTGCTCGTCTCCTCAATTTCACCAGCCAAGAATACTTCGTCAAGAATCGCATATACTTTGTAGAAGTTGAAGACGAGATCCAGTTCACAGACATTGCCAAAGAACGTATCTGCAAAATGGAATTCCAGTCCAGGAAAGTCGGCTCACATCAGTCACCATGTGCTGCGATGTAGAAAGGTTGCGTCTGAGACATACCGAGGACTTCAACAAAAAGGTGAATCGCCTCCAGATATGCGAGCTCGTTATCGTTGGCATCCACGCAAACGCAGAAAAAGAGCCCTGCGTATCTGCGATAGACGATCTTGTGACTTCGGAACTGGAGGGTGCCAGGTGAGAGGAGAACCCAAAAGTTGGCAACAAAATTAGTCAAAGCATCTCCCGTTGGGAGTGGGGAATGGCCGCTCACTTCTACAAAGTTGGATTGATGACGCGTATCCCTCGGCGCAATGAGACGGTGCACTTCACCCTTGAGCTTGACCTTCTCGTCATCGTCGTAAGGCACGTAGAATTTGGAAAGGCGAGACTTGCCCTGCTTGTTCTGGACGAGGATGAAGCGAATCATGGTAGCAGCACGATGGCTCGCGGCTCGAGAAATGGCTGTGGGGAGCTTCTGCCGCCTTGAGAACCTGGCTATACCTGCTGGTGCAGACTACCCGCCCACAATCCCTCTCTGGAGATCCAAGTCATGCCATCAAAGAGCAGGTTGGGCGGTGTCTGGTTGTGTTAGTACTTCAAGAAACAGGCATCTGCGAAAGGTCTGCTGTCGTCTGTATTAAAGACAGGGAGACTCGTGTCGCATGGAGGGCGCTCACCAACGCTCGGTGGAGCGATTCGCGAAACAATAGGAAAGCATTACGTAACGCTGACAGCCTCGGCTGCGTATTTGCCGAACTATTCGTACATGTATGTATGTACATCATCGCCCATCGGCTGCCGTGCATTCCATCGCTCAATTCAATCCGCCGGACAGGGGCACCAAGCTGGTTGATGTCTCTCCTCTCACCCTGCAGTCCACAGGCAGTCGCCGCGCTTCATACAGGCGCATTCGTCCCACGTGAACATACATGATACTTGCAACTATTGCTCTCGCATGGGTTGGATATCCTGTTGGGCTGGAGTAACAGATGGCGAGCGGATGACATGCTTGCCTCCATCCACCGATGTGGCCTTGACGACTTTGACGACCATTCACGAACCACTGGAAGACTCACGAAAACCCGACGCCCGTCGTATACCTTGTGCCACCATGGCGGACGTTCAGCCACCGCGACGCTTCAGCATCGACGCCGTCATTAAGCCGTTCAGGAGCAGGAAGGACAGCAAGGTCGCCTCGCTACCGTCTGCTCTTAATAAGCCGACGGCGGTGCACGGGGGCGAAAAGAAGAGCTCATTGACAGCATCTGCAATTGCTGGTGCTGGCGCCGCCGAATCTTCAGAGACTAGCTCTACCCATGACGCTGCTTCTGGCCTTGTCCTCGCCTCGGCAAAGACCGAAAGTGTACCACGGAGAGTCAGTTTCAGCCCCTCCGTCGAAGAGGCTGAGACAATCAAGGAGCAGCTCGAGCAAGAAAGTGCTGCGCTCCGCACGCACACCTTACCGTCCAAGCAAAGAGCGCGAGTAGTTCAGTTTCAATTGAGACGCTCCTCGAAGGAGCCCACAGCAAAGGCGGCCAAACAAGTCAAACAAGAGCAGAAGATCCTTCGAGCTAGCAAACGTGACGACCACCAACACTTTGTCTGGAAAGAAGATGGCATTCACAAGGGTCATCACTCCCCGAATGCTCCGAAAGCAAAGGTCACTAACCATCAAGCGGTCGCAAGCCGGCACGCTCGCCTGCTCGAGCAGCTGATGAACGGCAACCCAGATGCAGCGAAGGCTGCCGTTAAGAATGCCAAGTCGGCTGCAAAGAAGGAAACTATGACTTACGACAAAGCGCAAGCAGCGAAGGCAAAACAGCTCAAGAAGCTGAAATCGGCGTTGCTAGACATCGACCTAGCCAATAGCATCATCGGCGAGCTGCGCGTCATGCAAGTCGACCCTGCTGGAGCAGCAGTCAAGGAGCACGGAATGGAGCGTGTCCTATATGCCGGCGCTGTTCCTGAGAGCATCACAGAGCCTGATGAAGACGCGTCCAAGCTCCGTACAGCAAAAGAGGCGCTGCACGAGGCTCGGGCAGCCTCCGTCCCGCCTACGTCCACAAGTCGCATGGTCTGCCTTGACTGTGACGAGAGCACAGCATCCAACAGGCACGCCGATGCTCTTGCGCAGCATGCTTCTACTGTAAGTACAGCTTCTGTTTCTTCAGCTCCGGTCAAGGCCGTAGGGAGGTTCAGCATTGTAGCTGGAGCTGGCTATGTTGCCAGCTGGCTCCCGTGGGCCGCCACCTCCCCTGCAAAAGGCTCCCAAACCACACACGCGACCAACGAGCTTGTTAAGGCCGCTTTGCCATCTGGAAAAGACCAGAACGCCCTTTCGCTTGTCAACTTGCCGCAACTACCGGAGGTTCCAACGTTGATGGGCGTCTCGCCTATCTCCCTCATAATCTCTCCCAAGAGCACAATCGTCACTGCAGGCGCAGACAAGCTTGGCGCATTCAACGCCATGGCGTCCATCACAGGCGCAGTCATCGAGGCATCAGGCACCAATGTCGGCCTCGCTGCACCAATCGACCGCATGTCTATCTTTGTCCATTGGTGGGGCTTCGAGGTCACTCTTCCGCCGTCAACGATCTCGTACCTCGGCACAGCGCAAAGCGTCTCTGGCTCCTTTCTCGGCTTTTTGCAAACCATGGCTGTCTCGGGAGGTATTCCAGAATTGGTTCCCTTCATCCGCTACATCTCCATGTTTGTCGATGTCGAGTTCAAGGCCATCGCAGCGCAGAACAAAGGAAACGGAGTTGTCATTGCTGCGGTCTGGGCTTTCCCCATGGCCCTCGTCCCCAGACCATGTGAGCTTCGCCTCCCTTTCCTCTTTTGCATTGCAACCTTTTCCTGCGCGACTCTAACCCCTAAACAATCCCTCGTCTCAGGGGACTTCGCTCCTATGCCACCTGCTTCGGCACCTGCCCCTGCGCCGGTTCCGACATCAGCGCAAGCGTCAGGCTCTGGCCCTGCGCCTACGCCTACACCGGCACCCGTCGCAATTCCTATGTCTACGCCTACGCCGGCACCTGCGCCTGCACCCTCATAACCGCCCGCATACTACATTCCACACATCCCACAGCCAAGCCCAACGTCCATGGTATGCTATCCATTACGATCATACGACAAAATGAACTGGTCTCCCCATTGCTTTAGAAAGGTGCCAGAGCACTCAATGACGTTACATGCTCTTAAAGTTTCATTCGCATTTATTTATCTTACAAGTTCAGCTGAATTTCCAGACCGTTTTGTCTTCCGACAGCATCTTCTGCGCGTCCAATCCAACAATTCTCTGTAGCTTGAGCAGATCGTATCTTGAAACAATGGCCTCCACCTTCACCTCGCTAGGTTCGAGCTCGTCTGCATCGGCTGGCTCCCCAGCCGCATGTACGAAGGGGAATTCGAGGATTTCCGCAAAAAATGCTGCATTCTCTGGGAGGCCGTAGAAAACAATGGTTTGGCAGCCGCGAATGCGGTAGCTGTTTAAAAGGCGTTGCGGGTTAGTTCTGGCTGGCGCCCGTCAAAAACATTGCCTGTTTGCAATGCTTACCGCTTGTAGAAATGGAAGCGCTCGGTCATGAGCAAGATCGATTTTCGGCCCGAGAAAAACGCTTCTCTTGCTCTCGAGATTTGCTTGTTGCTCGAATACCTAAGAAGATAATCGGTCGTCAGGCGCGCCATGCAGCAACCGGTTGAGGAGCCATGGCATCTCGGACGACTCACTCTGAGATGGCAGCAAATGTCACCTCCTTCACACCCCGCAAGTGTTGCTCTACACGCAAAAAGTCGAAGTACGACGGGACAAAGATGAGCATTTTACTCGCGCTCACAGCTGAACGCAAAAGGGCTGGCAATGTCTGCGGAATGAGCAGGGACATGAGGCGATAATCAGTCACCTGAACACTAGGACAATTACTTATGGTGCAGAGCATCTTACCTTGCTGGTGAACGTTTTGAAGCGTAAGTCGGCTTCCCGTTGGGGGTCAGCGCAGTCAAAGCGAGTAAACGCTTGCCTGATCCCGGATCGCACTAACGACATGGCTGGAGCATTGTGCATTGAGATGAGCCTTTTGCCAGACAAGTTGATAAGCGATTTTGAAAAGAGGTGGAGCAGCTCTGGAGAGGCATAGGAAGATGCCACAATGGTCTGTCGCAGAAAGCGAGATCTAAGATGGCAATTATAAGAAGGTCAGCCAGATTGTCATTAGAAACTGGCGTTGGGTTTGGGGCAACTGACTTTTGATCCAGATACCACTGCTTGACCCGTGAGAAGTCCGTGTCGTGCGACTCTTTAGGGAATCTGTTCATTTTCGAGAGGACGAATTTGACGTGCTCCCAATTTTGCATGAGCATGATATCCGCTTGGTCGATGACAAGAATCTCGATGGAGGAGAGAAAGTCGGCAGAGCTGAGCAAGTAAAAGATAGGTCTCTGCGTGAGTTTTCCCCCTCGGGTACATCTGCTGCATAGTCTGATAGAATTTACCCTTCCTTATCTATGCTGAGCCGAAGACCAAGAGGGCTGGCTAAAATGAGGTCGCTGTCATAATAGGTGCTATACAGCTTGAAGCTCTTACGGGTGAGCTTGAGGCCCATGTTGAAGTTGTCATCGATGTTACCAGCGAAGGTTTCGATGTGCTCGGCCGGGTATCGCTGCCTCGCCTCAGGCTGCGCGAGTTTATCGACCGCATGCTCCGGGAGTGAGTATTCTCGCTCGAAACGTGCTTTCTGGTCAATTTGGGAGCATTTCGAGTAATTCGCGAGTCGTCTCTGCCAATCGAGTGCACTATTGCGGAATGGCGCAAGGATCAGGACCTTAGGGCGAGTAAACCCTTGGTCTCTCACTGCTTCGGTATCAACCTCAGTGTCATTAGAAGCTGCGTGAGCCAGCTTTTCGTTGTTCTTAAGAATTCTTCTCCGCGTTCTGTTAAGCGTGGCGATGCGTCAGTTCACGAGACCATAGTCACAGTTAGGCAGCGCTGACGAAAGACACTCACGAGTGGGCATGCTCCATGACATGCTTAGCAATTGTTTCCCGCCACACGGATCGTTCTGCATGGGAGATGGTACAGTCTAGAAGATCCGCATAGCTACTTAAACTCGATTCTGTCGTCCGAGATCCTTGCGAGAGATGCGCAACCACAGAGGAACACTTTTCATTCCCATTCAGGCCCTCGATGTCCGGAACGAGCAGCGTTTCTACTTCTCTACCCGCTGCTTTAGAATGGCTAAGCCAAGGCAAGGTCGACTCTTTATTGGGAAGCGAAACCTGCTCTGCAAATCCTGCGCGCGGGCATCCAGATGCAAAGCAGGTATCGAATAAAGTCTCTTGGGTGGCTTGAGCCGATGTTGAAGCCGCAGGACCCGGACGGTTGGCCTTCTCTGAGGGATTGTTCGCATTGTGCGAGCCCGTCGTCAAGGAAGTCGTTGACGAACTTCTGTTGATCACACGTCGTCTTCTGGCCTCCCGCGTTGAACCAGAAGAGTCTTGCATAGGTGTAAGCTTACGCTTACCAGGGGCGGCCGCAGATACGTTGACAAGTGTTAGAAGCTGTGTCGTGATGGCTGACGACTCGGCGTCGCCCAGCGCATGTGTGGGTGGCATTATGCACTGCGTTCGGACGCTCTGCGAGTGTATTCTGAGAGGTAGCAATGTAGGCGGACGGGAAATGCGTCTGCCTTTGAGAGATGCAATTAGCTGCCTTCAGCAGGCGGCAGACGCTATGGAGCAGCTACCAATCGAGCTTGTCTATGTCAAAAGCGCGTGGCGGTCTGAGGGACAGGTTGGTATCATTTACTTGGAAAGATGGTATAGAAAGTAACACATAATGGAGAGATGAGAGGAACTGAGGAACTTGGAAGGAGAAGCAAAGACGGAGTTCGGAACTCCATTCTCTGGAGGGAGTAAAAGGACGACATTCGGTGCAATGTGACGCAACTGTCAGATATTTCGGCTGTTGGCTCCCTGTGATGGATGTATATTTTGCGGTCTTGCTTCTGCAATGCACATTTGCGACCCTGCGAGTTGCGACTGTACGGCGGATGATACACGCTGAGACTCCACTGCCAGCTATCGAACAGGCTTGAATAAGACTCAGTGCGCCTTTCGTACAACTGGATCCGGATAAGCTCGCAAGCTGGCTCGCTCGCAACGTTTCGACCCACGGGCCGCCCCCATTCCTCTGTCGGCAGCTGTCTCACGTCGCAATGGTGAGTCTGCAGTCTTGCTTTGAACAGTCTTGTTGAACACAGCTCATCGCATACCCCATCTCCCAACCTCTTCTGCCGCTTACAGCCGCTCCCGACGAGTCGCAAAAATGTCGGCCTTGGGAGAGCCATCATGAACCGCAAGGCTAAGGAAGCTCAGCATGTTGGTTCAAGCCAGCATCACACAACCGATACTGGCGGGCACCAGCCCAGCTGGATGAAGTTGCAATCAGTGACACAGGAGGGAGACTTGGAGGAATTCCTCAATACCGCGCAGATGGCAGACACAGATTTCACAGCAGAGCGACGCAACGTCACAGTCATCAGCGCGCAAGCTGGCCTGCAAAATAAGCACAATCCCTATTTGCTCACCGGCGAAGAGGAGGAAGAGGTGCGGAAGAAGCACAAGCAGAATCGGCAGAAGCTTCGGGTACCGAGAAGGTAACTGGGATTTCCGCGCCGAATGAAAATTTCATGCCGCCGTACTGACATCGACTTTCTCCTCCACATCAGACCGAAGTGGAGCAGCGAGAGCACCAAAGACCAGCTTGACCGCACAGAGAAAGACTCTTTTCTCGAATGGCGCAGAAGTTTAGCACAGCTGCAAGAAGGTATGGGCTTCGTTCTGACCCCATTTGAGCGCAATCTTGAAGTGTGGAGGCAGCTCTGGAGGGTCATAGAGCGCAGCGATCTTCTTGTTCAAATCGTAGATGCGAGAAATCCGTTGCGATTTCGCTGCGAGGACCTGGAGCGCTACGTTCTGGAGATGGATGATGAAGCGAAAATGCAAGGCGAGGAAGACGTGGCTCCGGAGTTCCCAACTGCAACAAGGAAACGACGCAATCTCTTACTCATCAATAAGGCAGATCTTTTGAACGAAGGTCAGAGGTGAGAGTTTTATCGCCAACTGTCGGAAATTCGTCCCAACGTATCACAGCTGAAATTGTTGCTCCTCGTTAGGCGGGCGTGGGCGACATACTTTGATGCGCAAGGTATCACATACGCCTTCTTCAGCGCCGCCAATGCCGCTGCCATCCAGGAGGCTAATGAGGCAGCGTCAACAGAAGTTGATTCTGTTGCGAATGATCTCAGTGGCGCATCGCTGGGAGAGAGCGGGGCGTCCACAGACAGCTCGCGTATCCTGACAGTCTGCGAGCTAGAGGCCCTTTTCGAGCGCTGTGCACCGCTTCCAGATCAAAGAGCATCTGCCATCGGGCATGCGGAGCAAGGAAAGTTAATCGTTGGACTTGTTGGATATCCCAATGTTGGCAAGTCTTCTACGATCAATGCCCTTATCGGCGCCAAGAAAGTCTCAGTCAGCTCTACACCAGGCAAGACCAAGCATTTCCAGACACTGCACCTCAGTCCGACTACCGTACTGTGCGACTGCCCTGGCCTCGTCTTCCCACAGTTCGCAACAACAGCAGCAGAGCTCGTTGTCGACGGGGTCCTGCCGATTGACCAGCTGAGAGAATACACAGGCCCCGCTCAGCTCGTAGCACAGAGAATCCCAAAAGATATTGCGGAAGCGATCTACGGCATCAAAATCCGTACAGGAGAGCTGATAGCTGATGAACAGTACACTGGCCTCGAGTTGCTCACGGCTTATGCGAGTGAGTCTAAGTGCGTCATAGGCGGCCGAATGGGACGCTGATCACTGCACATCTTCCCTTCGCCAGTTGCGCGCGGCTTTGCCCGACAAGGGCAAGGGAACCCTGATGAGTCGCGTGCAGCGCGCTACGTGCTCAAGGACTACGTCAATGCCCGTCTCCTTTACGCGAACCCGCCAGAAGGCGTTGACCCCGATGATTTCAATGCTGCACAGAGGGAGAAGCTCCGGGAAGAGTTGGCAAAAAGGGGCAAAGGCGAGCATTTCGATTCCACAGTCTCGCAAGGCACACCGCATGCTCGCGTCAAAGCCACCCCCATTTCAGACGGTATCGACGCGGCCTTCTTTTCTGCAAACAGCGATCGACCTACTATGCTAGGACGCAAAGGAGCGCCCGGCGCATCTCTTCGAGGTCGCATCGCAGCCGATGGCCGAGATGCTGGTAGTGTTGGCAACGACGAAGCCGCAGAGCTTCCCCGCTCGAAGAAACATTTCAAGGCCAAACGCCAGAAGGGGAGAACGGTTTGGAACCCCTACGAATGAATTTTCATACGTATGTACCCTTCTCGAAAAGATCCCAGTAATGCATTCTCCATCGTGAGCCGCGATATGTCTACAGATCGTCCATGGGCTGGCACAAAGCCAAGATGCAAACCTTGAAATGCAAAAAGAAATGTACGTCGGTCAGAACGAGTAGATGTTATCTTGGGTGGCGAGAGCGTAGTAGTGGCGGATGCGGGAGAGGAAACGCCAGCTCATGAAGTAGGCGTATAGTTGGAAGCCAAAGTCAATTGCGAGGGACAACACAAACGCAATGTAAAGGCTGTGGAAGCCGGCCGAGCATAGCCCCGATGGCATGGTGGTCGAGCTGTTTGCATAGCCTGCTTCGACGGATGCGCCCCACAGCTGGCCTCCATTGTTGCACCTGAGGATGGGAAGACGAGTCGTCAATGTCGTCAAAGGCGATGGAACGACAAGACGGATCAATGAACACTCACTCCCAAATAATCTTGGCTTGTTGGCGATTGAGTTGGAACACTGAAAGGACAGGAAACTGGAAGTGAGTCGCGAACCCCATGAGAGACGAATTGGGCATACCCACGCATGACAGCGGCACGGACGGCTGAGATCACTAGGATGACGGGCCAAAGGAAGAAGCAGACGCGCGTCCACATGTAAGATGTGTTGCCGTAAGCGATAATGTTGATAATGCAGATTGACATAACTGCCATCCCTATGCCTCCATAAACCTGCCACCTGCAATGCAAGGGTGGGGTCAGAACGCGATGAGAGCGACAACTATGCATGTATGGCTCAGATGCGACACACTCTGGGTAGTTAAAGAAGAGATATTGGCCGTCTCGGAAGAGGAGGATTGACCCCGCCAGATTGTAGAGCTGTATGCGCAGAGTACGGAAGATGGTGTCAAAAGCGCATCCTGGGGGGCAGCAGTGAAGCGAGAATAACTTACGGCGATGAAAATGCACCAGGCCATGGCGCCATGTCCTGCAGATGTCCCGTATTTCAAACGAACAAGTACGGGCATCAGCAATCCGCGTCGGTAGGCCTAGGAATGCACACGATCGTCGTAGCTCACGAAGCGGGAATACTGCAAACGGCAAGTGGATGCAAGTTCTTCAGTGGGCTGTATCGACCTGCGGATGCAGAAGATCGAAATGGGTCAGGCTGAACTCACTGAGTAGACAGTTGTCACACCTGCGAGAGTCGCAAACGATAAAATTGTCCAAGTACCAGTTGTATTAGCATGGCTGTGCACATTCATACGTGGGACGCGGCCTGTAGGTTACCCACCACATGGTCAATGATGGACCTCGTCGAGCTTCAGGGCTGAAACGTTGTGTCTGATAGTCGTCAAGCGTCGTCGGTGTCGTCGTCCTTGCGAGGTCGTAATTGTGAGGGTCGATGACCAGGGTATCAGGGCTCGTAGCTGGAGTTTTGCTGGCGTTAAAAGTCGTTAAAGGGGGGCCTTAGGCTCGCGTGGTGGTGAAGAGTTACCAGATGGATGGGGAGCCAAAAGGATCAATGGTGGATGAGCTGTGCTGCTGATGCGAGCGATGGCTTTCGCCACTCCGCGCACGATGCGACCTGGCGCGAAGCCCCTGAAAGTGGATGGAGCATGGAGGTGCGATCTGCCGCACTGCGCGACTGTGCAGAGATGCGGGGATGGTAAGATCGCGATGGTGCATTCAATTATCCCATCGAGTGCGGAGGCTTGCACACGTGGGAGCCACAGGTTGCATGGCTTTACAAGTGCACCAGATGCTCCATGTCCACTCGACATGCGAACAACCTGCACGTGCCACGGCCCAAAGAGAGTCGTACCAGGCGATGATCCCCATCTCACGAGTTGAGTGAGCACATCACGTGCAGTGCATATACATCCTCAAGTCTCTCACCGTCTCACCATCTCACTGCCCATGGCACTTACACTGACACACTCCTCTTACACTGAGTGCGCAGTGAGCCTTCGAGTCGCGACGCGTCAGTAGGGTCAGTCAAGCACAACGCAGCACAATCCTTTCCTTTTATCATCAGGCACAGAGGAGACGAGCAGCAGGAGGCTTCAAATGTACTTGCTACACACCTTTTCTTGCACTGAGATCACATACAATCCGACTTCCTTGCGGTTCATTCTTGCAAACAGGAAAGGCCAAAAGCAGCGGAAGTATCCTGCTCTTCGCTGTCCCCCAGAGTGAGGATGAGGCCACTGCAGCGTCATGGCTCAGGGAAAGAGGTATGCAGATGCAAGCGCCTCCGACGATGAGTACGACCGCGCGGACTCTCCAATCGTCCATGAGCCTGTGAGTGGAGCCATGATTGTCGCGTCAAAATGCTGGTGGAAGCTGACATGCGCTACTCGAACCGTCGTGCAACAGCAGAATGGGCCTCCCAAGACCAAAAGGGCGCGTCTTCAGAGCAACGATGCCTCCGATGATGAAGACAGCAATCAGTCATCGTCCCTGGCTCGGCAGACCGAGCATTATGCCGATCAGATGGCCACGCAGCTCGCCGAAGAGTACAGAAGCCGTCCGGTCTCTAGGCACGTGCGTGGTACACTCCCAAGCAGATTGAAAATACCTGCTGGGCCCTGCTGACGCACTTTGTGGACCCTCGGATCCTTCTGACCTGACGCATCATGCTGCTTTGCAGGAGAAGGCTGATTATGGCGTCATAGAAAAGGTCGAGCTTTTCAACTTCATGTGCCACAAGCGACTGAGTGTACAGCTTGGTCCCAACACCAATTTCATCGTTGGCAACAACGGAAGTGAGTTTCAAGCTGACATACATGATGTGATCGGCTCTAACGATTTGAATTTTACCTCACAGGTGGCAAGAGCGCTGTCCTGACCGCGATCACCGCTGCACTTGGTGGAAAGGCGAGCTGCACAAACAGAGGTAACAGTCTCAAATCTTTCGTCAAGTCCGGGGAATCGTGAGCACGCTAACCCTCCTTTGAGCAATGCATGCACAACTGATACGCGTTCCCCCGTCTGTTTTCCCTCTTCGCAGTGCTGCCGAGGTCATTCTGCAAATCAAGAACACAGGATCGGAAGCCTTCAAGCATGACGTCTACGGCGATCGCATCACCATCGTTCGTCGCATCAACGCAGACGGTGGCGGGAGCTGGAAGCTTAAAGGTCAAGACGACCGAGTCAAGACGACCAAGCGCGAGGAGCTTGATGCAATGTGTGACCACATGGACATTCAAGTCGACAACCCAATGTCTGTTTTGAGTCAAGATTCTGCTCGTCAATTCCTGAGTGCTTCTAATCCAGACGACAAGTACCTCTTCTTCCTTAAAGGCACGCAGCTTTCTCAATTGGCTAAGGAAATGGATGTCATGAAATCACACGAGATTCAGATGAAAGGTCTGGCGCGCAAGCATAAGGAGACACTGCCTGAGCTCAAGCAAGATTTAGAGGAGAAGCGCAGGAGATTCGCCTTGTTCGAGAAACAGCGCTTGAGCAAGTCGAGGTTGGAACATCTCGGCACTCAGTACATCTGGAGTCAAGTTGCCGTGCAACGCAATGTAAGTTCGATTGGCACGGTGATCCCCATGGTGATGCTAAACTTGAGTGTAATCTATGTCCTTAGACTCGGGACCGGGCGCAGGAGGATGTTGCTGTTCAAGAGGGCAAGATTAAGAAAGCAAACGCAGCATTGGAGGCTGCAGAGGTCAGACTGCGTGCGGCACTGACTGATTCATCTTCCTTTGCTGAAGCATTTGTCTCTTCGTCTCACCACAGGCCGCTTTGGAACATGCCAATGCGACCATCTCACTGCTGGAAGAAGAGAAAGATAAGGATCAGGGAGTCGATGATGATCTGCAGACCAATGAGGCCGCAGTGCAGCAGGAACTGGCCGCTGCGCTCGCCGCGGAGCATCAAGCGAAAGTACGTATCCTATACAAGACTACTAGCGCACATATCGAGCGAATTGTCACGGTTTGCTCGATGCTGATCATTGCGCAATTCCTGAGACCACAGAATAGACTCCACGTTATCAATGATGAGTATGCCAGTTTCAAGGCCAAGCAGACCAGCATTCAGAAACAGCTGGATGACGAGCTCAAAAAGATTGCCCGTCAGGGAGAAGCCGAGACCTGGAATGTCCGCCGAATGGAGTTGCAAGAGAAAGCGAAAAGCCTCCGAGAGAACTCGGACCAGTTGCTCGCCAAGCAAGACGTGCTGGAATCTGAGCTACCCGGACTCACTCACGCTTCAGCGAATGCAGATGAGGATTTGGCTCGCGGCCAAGCCAGGCTCAGAGATCTGGATGCAAGAATCACCAGTATCACGAACGCGTCTCGCGAGCATTTGACGGCGTACGGTAGGAACATGCCAGATATTGTGCGCGCGATCAACCAAGACAAACAGTGGAGGCAAAAACCGATTGGGCCCATCGGAACTTTACTCTCGTTAAAAGACCAGGCATGGCTTCCGGTGATTGAAGCTGTTCTGGACAAGGCCTTGAATGCCTTCATCGTCACCAATGAAGAGGACCGCGTCCGCTTGAACAGTCTTCTTCGAAAGTACAGAGGGTGGGTAGGCATGTGTTCGTACCTTACCCTGGAACCTTCTCTGAACCCGATCTCCTTCAGCGACGGAATTCCAATCTTGAAAGCATCGGACGAGCCCTTCGATTACAGCTCCGGTGAACCGGGGTCAGAAAACTTGACAATTCTCCGCACGCTCGAGGTGAGTCTCATGTCTTGTAGAACCATTTTGTATGCCATCTCATGTACTGAAACGAATTTTCGCTACATAGTTCCAAAGCGACTTTGTGAAAAGGCAATTGATCATCCGGCATCACATTGAGAAAGGCGTCCTTGTCAAACAACGCCGCGACGGCGATGCTTTGCTTCGAAGGCACCTGCCGAATGTCAAAGTCTGCTTTAGTCAAGACATGTTCAAAGTTACCGGAGGGTGAGCGTTAGATGCTTTGCACCATACGGCGTGGTATCTAACATCCTATCTCCCTCTCTGTGTGTGTGAAGGTACCGAGGTTCCTCTACTGAGACTTTGTACTCGCCTCACGGCCCCACCCGCCTGAGCAAGGATCATCAGGCCCAATTGGCGTGAGTAATACTGACCAGCGTGTGGCTAAGCAGTCTTGCTCATTGACTATTGCACCGTAGTCATTACCGTGAAGAGCGAGTGGCAATCGAACAGAACAAAGGTCTCTTGACAGAGGCAGCAGAGAAGGCCAAAGCTGAATTGCGTGAGAAAAAGCAGGAATTGAATCGCACCATGGTGAGGTCCTTCTCGCCAACATCGCGCATTCAAAGAAGCCAGCATCTGAAATATGTACTTTGGTGTCTAGGAAACCTCGAAAGCTCTCAAGGCCGCGCTTCGCAAAGCTGACGACGAGATTCAGCAGCTGACCCTTCGTCTTCAGGATAATGAGTCTAGCAGCGTGGCGCATTTGCAGGAGATGCTAGATGTGCGTCCAACCTTTCTTTCGTCTTTTGGCGTGTAAGAGTTCACTGAAATGAGCCGTTTCTCCTCGATCAGGACGTAAAGGTCCAGATGGATCAGGTCGCTGGCCAATTTGGCGGCGCCCAGACCGAATTGAGCGCTGCCCAAGAAAAGGTGCAAGAGATAGAGGCGAGACATGCGGAGGCTCGAAAGCAACTGGAGGAGAGGCAAAGTGGTCAAACTAAGATCATGGTGCGTCTCTAAGATTCAGACGTGTCCTGGACCCGAATGGACGTGTGGTAATGATCCTATTCGCAGAATTTCATTGAGAAAGAAGCTCTGAGGCGAGTGAAACATCAGCAAGATCGCGCACATTACGTTAAGCAGATTGGCCTCTACGAAGCCGAACTTGTTCAGAAGCGGGAGGTTCTCAAGAACGAAGAAGAGGACCTTGCTGTAAGTTCCCTTGCAATGAGCCAGAGCGAGTTGAGTGCTGACGTATGACTTCTTCATACAATCAGGAGCTCACACGCCAAGCACAGGAAGAAACAGGAATCCAACACATGGATTTGCCTCGCAGTATGACTCCTCAAAAACTCGAAAAGGTGAGTACGGTCACTGTCCGCGTCAACCAACTTGGATTTCCTGGATTTACCTTACAACTCGCGTATAGGAAATTGCCGCTATAGAAAAACAAATGGAGACGGTCGCTCAAAAGTACGTCTTGATAGTTGCATGTCTCGGGAAAAGTACTGACCGCCATGTCACCGGCTTCGCTCACAGCACCGGAGGTATGGGGGTGGAAGATGCCAAAATGCGCCTCGATGCTGCTCAAGCGGCCATGCGAGACGTGGAGACCAAGATTGAGACATTGGAAAGGTTTCAAAAGGTGAGCATGTACCCCGATGCCTGTTGCAGCGTGATGCAGCGAATATCTACCTTGCCTGATATGCCCATTGCACAGAGCCTCAAAAACTCGATTCATCAGCGTATGCAGCGTTGGCACGAATGGCGCAGCCTTATTTCGATCCGTGCCAAAGCCCTCTTCACAAGTCACCTTGAACACCGTGGCTTCGCCGGGACGCTTCAATTTGAGCATCCAGGTGAGAAAGAGGATGGAAGCAGAACACCAGGAAGGCTGCAGATACGTGTAAGTGCGATCAATGCATCTAACTTTTCGTGGCCGTTGCTCACATACGGATCGGAGATTCCACGCTACCAGGTGCGCACGGACGCAAGCACAAATGACGGTAGCGGCTCAAAGTTGAGGAAAGAGAAGGACCCGCGTGCGCTGTCGGGCGGTGAGAAATCATTTTCGACGATCTGCCTGCTGCTCTCCTTGTGGGAGGCTATCAACTGCCCCATTCGTTGCTTGGACGAGTTCGATGTGTTCATGGATGCCGGAAATCGAAGCATTGCGACCAAGATGATCCTGGACGCGGGGCAGCATAATTCAAGAATTCAATTCATCCTGATCAGCCCGCAAGGAATGGCAAATGCAAAGCTTGGCCCGTGAGTTGTCAGATTCAAGAAAATCCCGCTTACAGCGGATTTTGACGCCAGTTGCTCCTATTTCCTCTAGTGAGACACGTGTGATCGTCATGAAGGATCCAGAGAGAGGTAAGGCACGCCTTCGAGCTGTGGAGTAAACCAGGTAGCCATCTGAACGTACTTTCCTCCTCGAACTATAATAGGCCAAGGGACTTTGGATTAAGCAGCACTGTTTTTCCTTTCCATGACTGCTGTTTACAGGCCTGGCTATTTCTCACGCTTGTCCTCCTTTCGTGATCGTTGACTCAATCAACAAGGGATGTTTGCGTATACACATGATGAAATGGAATCTCGACGAGACATGCTCACTTGCACCCTAGACTCGTCTGTGGGATTTCCGCCCAGACATGATAGTACAGCTCTGAGGACCGAGAGTCTGGCATTTGAGGGCGATCCTTTACCGTGCGAATGTTCCTCCTTTTGTCATTTGCATGGTACGCCTACGATCGTTTAGGCTGTAAGCATATTGCCCTAGGCTTTCAAGAAAGTTTACAACTGCACTGCTCTTCAACGGTCACGATATGTGTCCACAAGGAGACCTGGTCGATAATTATCCCTAAGACTCGTCTCTGACGCCTGATCTGCCGTTTGCGCGCTTGCATTCCTCGTGCTCGCCACATGCTCCACGGCCGATACATTTCTCGGAGTTCTTCGCTGCTCGCTGCTCGGTTTGAAGTTGCAGGAGTAATGCTCATGGGTGCGAGGCCTCGTTTGTATTGCGCTGAGTGACGCTCTCGTGACATGTTGTGGCTGATGCAGTATTGCTAACCAGAGTTTAAAATAGGCTGAGGGACTTCAAACGCATCTCAAAGGGCAATGCCATGCGGTGCTTTTAAACATTGTAGTGGATCCCAGTGAAAAAGACCTGACATCTTGGCAGTTGAAATTGTGAGGTGGACGTGATGAGACTGTTCTGATTCCGATTCTGATGCGCTTTATTTGGTTCTGGACTACATTTTGCATGCCAGTCGCTTAGTTTACAAGCATCCACACCAACGCCAACTCTCCAGCTAGTAACAACTGTGCGCGGGGGGGGGCCTTCGGTCCGTCAAAACGCTATTGCGGATCTCGGGTGAGCTGCCGCCGGCCTAACCTCAAGTCCTACAACAAAAGCTCCGATTACACATTTCATTCTGTTCCCTACCGATTCGGTGATTCCATACATACCTTATGCATATAGTTCTCCTTCACTCCCTCTTATGTATGGAGAGAATTTGACCTCCCTCTTAATCGCCTAAAACTCTCTGCACAACGGTCTGACTCGAATTAAGAAGCAGATCGCCTGCTAGACGATTGAGATAGCGCATTCGGCGTCGAATACGATGGCGGACGAGTCGGACGCAGGCGATGAGCAGGGCGTATCAGCGGATCTCTTCGGGCTTGAACTGGGCCGCCTTCTCAAGGACCTGGGGGAGGATTTCTCGCATGAACAGCTGAGTCAAATTGGCGGAAAGATTCAAGGCACCCAAGCTGCGCTGGGCAAGCTACAGTCAGATCAGATCTACAATGACAATTTCGAAGATGAAGACGAGGACAACGCAGACTTCGGTGCTGATGCAGCAAAGTCTGCCGAGGAGTTATTGGGTGCAGACAACCATATAAAGAAGGCAGATCACTATTACCAAATGGGCCTGTCTTTGATGCCCGCTTTGGCATCTCAAGGTGTGTTACATTTCTGCTTTCTGATCTCAACCAGAACTGATAGATGGGCCTTGACTGGTGACACATTTCCGATGTGTCACCAGTCTCCCCGGCTGAGGAGTTACGCAGGCTTCTTCCAACGTTCGAATCGCGTGCAATCCTCAACTTCACGGATGTTTTCTCGGGTCCGCCACCGACCAAAAGGCGACGACTAGGGCAGTTTAAGAGCCAGTGTAGGTTGCATCCCGTCACAGAGGTTGGCAGGCCCGTTAATAACATCGTTCCCCTTGTAAGTCTTGAGCCGTTCTGAGGCTGCGCCACTTTCAGTACGAGCATCGGTGCGCGTACGTGTGCCGTTACACCGATTCCAGCAGATTGATCGGTCACCTGCAGCGCATCTTTCCACCATCGACTCCTGCCTGAAAGACCCAAGCCTCGCTGTCGAGGATTGGGAAACGTTTGCAGCCTCATTGCACGCAGGGTGAGCTTCTGGCAATATCAAAGAAATCGCTCATATTAATATCAGCGCCTGATGCTTAACTTGGGCCGTCCACAGGGGTCCTATCGGTGGTGGTGACATGCAGTATGAGCGGTCAAGTGCAACACTGGAAAGTTGGGAAGGTGCTATTCGGTGGAAGGAGGACACGCCCCTGCCAGCAGTAGCCCTAGTGTTCGATCCGAACGATCCGGAGATGATATTTGAGGAGCAGGTGATCACGCCAAGTGAGGAGATATTCCAATGAGTTGTGATAAATTGATGAGCAGCGACTAACAAATGTCTCACAGTTGGACCTTCTGCGCCACAACTCAGCACGCAAGGCCTGTCTTCCAGAGCAGCGCGGGCTGCCGCTAGTCTTAATCCGCTCAACCTGTCCAATGATCGCTTTTACGAAGTGCCTCGGGAGCATAGGCATAAGGTCAGGCAGACGCTCGGTCAACTCGTGGTACAGCATGCGGGGCCAGCTATCAAGCTTCAGTTGCCATTCGTGAGCTTTGTTGGGTACTGTAAACTTGACCCTCTTGGACTTATTCGTTACTCATTCCCCGCTCCACCAGTACAAAACACGATTGGCCAAGAGCGAGGTCAAGTCATTTCATCGTCCAGCGATGCAGTTCCCTGTCAATATCCCCATTAATTTCGGTCGGGTACATTCTTCGCGCAAAAAGAGAGAAGATCGCGGCAAAGTCAAGAAAGGCAAAGACGCGTCGGAAATACTCCGCAGCACGCGCGATCTGACTCTTCGGGACGCAAACCCTTTTGTTCTCTACGAGTACTCAGTGAGCATCCCTCATATATTCTGATTCTGTGCATGCTCAGCCTCCTGACGTAAAGTGCAGGAGGAATTTCCCCTCGTGCTGTCCAACCTCGGAATGGGTCACGTTCTTGTCAATTACTATCGCAAGAAGAATGCCAAGGACGAGAATATCCCCAAGGTGAGCTCCGCGAACTTGTGGCGATGTGCGCCCACAGTGCGCTGACAAACGCATGTTCCTGCTATAGAGCGAAGTTGGCGAGCCCTTCGTGTTGGATGTCTCAGATGAGTCTCCTTTCATGGGATTCGGCCAGGTCGAGGCCGGACAAATACAACCTACACTGTACAATAATTTGGTACGAGCCCCACTCTTCAAGCAAAAGGCTCGTGCAGGAGACTTCCTGCTCATCAGGTGGGTCGAACACACGCGCCGTGGAAACTAAACACTGATCGGTTTTTCCTGGCGAGGGTTATAGGCACACCACAAAGAACAACGTCTCGTACCTGTTGCGTGAAATACCTCACGTCTTTACTGTCGGTCAATTGTTTCCTGCGGTGCAAGTTCCGGGGCCGCATGCGAGGCTTGCCACGAATATGATCAAGACGCGATTGCAAATGATTGCACACAAACTTGTCCAGCGCAGCAAAGGCGAGCGTATCAAGATACATCGCTTGATGCGCTACTTTCCCGATCAAAATGAGCTGCAAATGCGGCAAAGGCTTAAGGTTAGTATCTTAATATCTTTAGGACAAGTTGATTGACTAATGAAAGCTTTTCTAGGAATTTATGGAGTACAATAGGAGAGCTGGGGACCCCGATCAAGGCTACTGGAAGCTCAAAGCGAATGTGGTTGCGCCAGACGAAGCAGAGTTCCTGAAGCAGCTTCCCCCAGAGCACATGGTTCTCTGTGAGAGTATGCAAGCCGGGCAGCAACGTCTTGTGGATGCCGGCTTTAATAAAAGTGCGGAGGATGGTGATGATGAGGACGAGGGTGACAATGAGATCGAGCAGTCGTTGGCCCCATGGGCTGCCAGCAAGAACTTTCTGAGCGGAAGCGAGAAAAAGGCAAGGCTTGCCTTGCATGGCGAGGGGGATCCCTCAGGACGGGGAGACGCATTTAGCTTCATTCGAGTGTCTATGAAAGAAGTCTTTGTCGCCGCAGGGGAGGGTGCAGAAGAGAGGAAAGGTGAGGAGGGAAATTGCACCCCAGAGTGATTCCATGCTGACCTTGTCTTGCTTAATTGCACTCAGCTGCTGCGGAGGCCGAAGCCATGAGCAAGTCTGGACACAAATACAATGTTGCAGAGCAAGAACTGATCTACAAGTCTGAAATCACAAGGATTTGGCGCCAGCAACTGCAGAGCCTGTCTTCCCCAAACCCGCCACGGATCCATTCTCAGGACCTTGTGCCTTTGCAGCGCGCCATCAAAACGTATGTGGCGGAGGCAGAAGCTGCTAAGGCCGCTCAAACGCTTGAAGAACATGAAGAAGCTTATGCTGGAGCTAAAGATGATGCAAACAAGGTTCTTCGCATTCGTCGACAGGTGAGTGTGGACAAGGCTGGCGACACTTACTGCAAGTGTGCTGATGTCAGTCTCTGCTTGTAGCGGGAGGGAAAATGGTACACAGAGGTTGTCCGTGACAGAGGAGTCATTGATGCGTACATGAGGCATCGGCATGCACTACAAGACGCCCAGACTGAAACGGAAGCATTAGTGCCCACAGGTGATGCCGACCTTGATGCCGCTCGTAGAAAACGTTTGGCTGCAGAAATCGGCCAGCTACAAAAGAATCAGGACCGTCGATTGCAGCGCAAACAAGCGAAGGCCGCGGCGGAAGGAACGTTGTCGCCATTCCCGAAGCTTCACAAGGCTTCCACGAAGGTGTGTCCGTCTTCAGCTACTTGATCCGATACCATGATGCAGCTCCACTCACAGAGTCTTGTCCGTCACGTCCGACGTTTAGCGAGTCTGCGGGCGTTGCGGTCAAGTCGGCCATATGTCCACCAATACCTCTTGTCCATTATTTGGCCAGTCGCCGACGGGAACTGGTACCCCTACCAGTCTTGCTTCAGGCCAGGCATCACACTCAATGAACGTTGGAATGTCCAGCACTCTCATTCCCGGCATGCATGGACCTTCTGCTGCTTCGCCACCAGCCGATGCACCAACAGGGTCAATGCAGAATGTGGCCCCTCCAAAGCTCAAGCTCAAGCTGAAAAGGTAGGCGCTACAGTGCCACCCTTCGATTAGCTCCTGTAGTGTAGCGTCAGCCATTGACTTAGGCAGAAAGAACGCATGCATACCAATCCTTGATCATCACCTCCTGATGCAATGTCACAGGGTGGTGCTGGCGCAAATAGCAGATACGAGAGGCGCCGTTACGGGCAGATATTCCATACCGAACTGAAGTGGCTCAGGTTGTGAATCTGATGCACGGTATTTAGGTATATATTGGCTGTTAGCACATTGCCAGAGTCGCTAGCAACGTCTAGCCGGCTGTCGATGAGATACAAAGGGCGTCGTACAACATCGCATTGCAGGGAACTTCAGCCTTCCACCATCACTTTCAAGTCTTAAGATCTCGAAAAATGGCACCGGTCGTCTACGCGATGCTTTCGCCAAGCTTGCGTGCAACCTTTGTTGTTCTCCCTCATTTGTGCTTAGTATCTCGCGAGGAAAGTTTGGATACATCGTCAGGCTTTTGCTAAACCTACATCTTCCTCTATGAGGCATTCTATACGCACGTTACATTTCCTTCATCAAATATAGCTCATTTAACTTGTAACTTCTGGTGGGAGATCGTCAGAAAAAGGGTGGTCACTATCGGTATGAGGATTGCCAGTTCGATTACTGAACGCCCCCCTCTTGACCTTTCTTGATGATGACAAGCAGAGGCTCATGATATTCATACTTTCCTCGAAATCCTCTTGGATTACAATTTAGGGGGACAATCCAGATGATCACTGGGCTTATATACAATGTGTACTTACCACCTCATTCAGCACATTCCCACTCCAACTTTGGACAGCAGGTGCATTTGGTCGGCCCAACCTGACTTGGCGCTCGAAAGAGCACAATTGCCAACTGACTCACCATCTGATCCCATCGCGGAATGACTGCCCCACATAGGCGCTTCGTTGCTAGACGATTCCCTCATCAATCACGCCTCCATTGGCCGCCTCTGGTGCCTCACCAGGTCGAATGACGCGGCTGACCGCTTGCAACACCATGCTTGCCAATACGACGGGTGGGTCGGGCGCTGGATACCGGTGTAGGTGGCGATTCTGACGGACCAGAGTCGTACTCTGCACGCAAGAAACGCCCAGGAGATTGCTAGGTGGCATCATGACGAGCGCCGCGGTTTCCTGGAAGTAGTTTGTCGACCCAGGTTTGCCCGCTTCTCTTCTGACTCTTGTGATCGCCGGCGATCATACTGGCTCAATCCTCAGAGATGTAGAAGCCCTTTATGAAGGCAGGAATGATTAGTTTCATACATGTCTGGGGAGCCTACAAATGGTCGAGTATGGGTGATAAGTGGGGGAGAAGAGAGATACTGGTGGATGTGCCGATGGTGAGGGCCCCATGTCGCCATAGGGCTACATGCATCGTCACGTGTTTCATTCCATTCTTCATAACAACACCCAAAATTATGACCTTGCTAGGCAACAGGCTGTAGTCAGTGGGAGGACGTTTAATCTGAGAAAAAAGTCTCGTGCCCATTGGCCAGATCGTACCCATTGCTGCGCACCTGCTTGACAAATTAAAAGGGACCATATGCGCGGAGAAAATTCTGTCCCGGCGGCCCACCCGCCAACTTGCCTCGATGGTTTTTGCCCTGATGGAGAAGTGCATGAGCTACTGCTGTCGATACAAATGAACATGCCTCTGACGCTATTGCGTCGCGTGCCAGTCCATGGCAGCATCACGGAACAGATTTGCGCTATGCAGCGGTGAGAGGGTATTAGAGGGATGCGGGTCTGCGAGAGGGAGGGCATCGGAAAGCGTGCAGAGCGCAGAAACACAAGAGTCGCGGGTTATGCGGCTGCTGCCTCCAAGTGTATGGGTATTTAACGCTTGCAAGGTCATGTCAAGTAGACAAGGCCAACTGCGTTGCTACAACAACGCCTTGAAGCGTGGATTCGCTCGTGCAGGCCCACAAGCCCGTCTTCACCTTTGACAACCATCTAAGCGATATTGGCCGACGGATTGTGGGGAGAGAGGGGCACAAGTGTACAACCTTGTGGGCAAAGAGTCAGCGACGAACTTGCCCTTGGACTCCACCGAGTTATCGGGAGTCAATTCCGCGGGCAGCCCATAGGGTCGGAACGAAAAAGCGTGAGGTGCAGTGGCTGTGTCGTGTGCCGAGCGGGAATCGACCGTACTCTAGCGATATACCCTGAGGCGTAGTCTACTAGAACGACAAAGCCTTTCGCGGAACTTGTGTGTGTAGAGTCACCTTTACATGTTAGAGTAAGTCATCTTTGAGGCGGAGCCGTTGCAATGTGTTATGTAGCATATCAGAGCGTGGGAAGGTGATAGGCTCCTAAGCTGCCTGCTTGAGTTGGTGATACGCTTCTCACTACCCGCTGCAGAACGGACCTTTGCTCTACTGAACGATGGACACAACCCCTTAGAGAGAAACCGAGCTGTGGACGCTATCGGTGCCACCGTCTTGACAAATGCAGATGAGGTTCTGGAAGACATGTCAGCGATTGCATTGCTAACCCTAAGTGAACGATCTGGTGATCTCTAACCACAAGCTCGGACGGCGCTACCGCAATTGATGTGCGAATGGCCATCGCCCTCATGATGAAGCAGACCTTACATGGCGCACTGCAGATCTCGGATGGCACTGGAGTAACGGCCGCACGTCCACGCGAATTAACGGAGCGAGCCATATCGAGGTACGAGGAAGTACGTTGAGGCGGCACTGTCTATAATTCACCATAGGGTCATGGAAGGTTCGATAGCAGAAAATCAAGCTTCAGAGCCTGTACGTGAAAGCTAGTGCCTTGTGGATATATGAAGGGCCGCACACAGCGGCTAGAGTTCGTGTAGCGTAGAGAATAACAAGATGTCAGAGCACTCGATCTTAGTCGTAATGCGCCATTCCTTCAATACTACCATACCTTGTACCTCAAGTGCCTTCTTGAGGTAGATGTCGACGACGTTTCCGTTGTTGGACTTGACACGGATAAGCCCATAGTCGCCCTTGGGCACTGCCTTCATTGTTCTGCCATTTGGTGAGCTTGATGACGGTAGAGTCCTTGATCTTGGTGGAGAGAGCAGTGCCTTCAGGGGTGAGGGGGTGCGAAGTTCCGTCGAGGATGGTTTGTCGTTGACATTCATGCGCTGCCTGCATGTCAACACTACAAATGGTGAATGCTGTTATAGCATCTGTCGAGCTGGCGGCCGGTTTCTCCGCCGAGATGCGACCCTGCGCGCTTCTTTTCGATCGACATTCGTTTTGCAAGTGACCCTACCGCAATTCCTGCAAGGTAACTTTCTTTTGCCACCATATATGGGATGCTTGTTGAACATGACTGTACCAGGCGACTTGCTGGCATTTTTGCGAAGCTCTTGAAACCCCTCCTAGAGTAATGCTGGGACATTATGTACTCTTTTCAAATGATTGCCAACGTGTTTGAAAATCTAGACAATGTTGTCACCACGTAAGCCGAGTCCGGCCTAAGTGACAAGGTGTTAGTCGGCCTTGGCATTTCAACTCCTTCTGTTTTGATCTTGCCATACGTCTTCCAGGTGAGGTCGCGGTACTCCTGAATGCTCACTATAGAGTCATTGTTAACGGCCAAGAGCCTCCCTTGTTGGGTTGATACTTGGCCTTTAACATGTCCCACAGTTCCCTAGCTGGCCTCATCATGCACATGGAGTCAATGATCTCGTCGTTGATGACAAGCACCAGCGTTGCCAAGGCCTCTTCTCGTCTGCGCTCGCTTTCGGTGATGATGCTGCCATCCCCTCAGGGGTTTACTGACCCCGTGCCAGTCACGTAGCCCCCACATGCCGCCTAAATCATTGGCATAGGGGTTTTAAAGCCCACTCGCATCGTATTTGCCGCCATGAAGCTTCTCGATATTGGCCGTGGCCCCCTTGGAGATCGAATTTGCTGCCATTTGGGTCCTTTGCTTCATGTCGCTTGAGCGTTCAATTTGGACTTCAGGCTTTGACCTGTAACATCATGAAGGACCGGCTGATTATGACTTAGATAGGATGTTCTGACGTCGTTCTCTACGCTACACGAACTCTGGCTGCTGTGTGCGGCCCTTCATACATCCAGAAGGCACTGGCTTCACTTGTAGCCACTGAAGCCTGTTTCTTTCCTCTTGAGCCTTCCATGCCCCTCGATGATGATTTATAGGTAGTGCTGCTTCGATGTGCTTCCTTGTACTTCGCCATGTTTCGCTCTGTTGGCTCGCGCTGACGCATTGCTGCTGCCCCTGTGTCCCTCCTGTAACACGTCATCTTGATTCCGGTTTTCTAACTCCCCCGGAGGACATCATTGACAATTCTGCGGCTCAGGACTCGGTACTCCTGTTTACAGACTCGGCTGAATACCAGGAGTATCCCAAGCAGACGATTCCCGGCCACGATCATGACCTTCTTCTCTGGCTTTTAAGGTCTGGCGCCGACAGCTTGCACCCCATATCGAGCAAGCGACTATGCGATCGATCTCGTCGGGTGTGCAAAGCCAACTTTCAGATGCCTCTACCCCCCAGTCCTGAACTCGCAAAGTTAGCAGCATGGCTGTGGGAAAGTTTGCCTAAGGGGTTCACAAGCCCGATAAAGGCCCCTTCGGTGCTCCAATCTTGTTCATGCGACGTCTTCGGGCTCCTCGCAGCTTTGCATCCAACTCATAGTGTTGAATTATGTCACAGTCAAGAACAAGTTCACCTTTCTGCTCATCGACCATACGTTTGGCCAGCTCGCCGGCTGCAATGCGTTTCACTAAGCTTTATCTCCACGGTGCTTACAATCTCTTTCGCATTCACAACAGCCACTAGGACACGACGGTGTTCAGGGCACGATATGTATTGTTCAAGACTTTGGTAAGCATCTTGACATCAAAAACACTCATGCAACTCTCCAGGCCCTCGTGAAAGTAATGTTCAAGGATCTGCTAGATACGACAGTATAGGTCTATTTGAACGATATACTTGTCTTCTCACGCGATCCGTTGCACCACTGTGCTGATGTGCGCGAGGTCCTCCGTCACCTGATCGAGAACATCGTTGTGGTCGAAGCAGAGAAGGGAGAGCTCAGTAGCACACGGACCGAGTACCTTCGCTACGTCGTCACAACTAGCTCCCCCAGTGCAGACAAAGAGCTTCTCCCCATTGTCGAGTGCACCCGTATTTGGCGGGGGTAAGTCGAGTTGGTCGAGATGCTTAACGTCTATCCCGGCCATCCGAACCTAATAACGGTCATGTCCCTGGAGTGCTGTGTCTCCTTCACATCGCTGGTGCAAGAAGCTTATGCCGTTTCGACTTGCCATCCATTGGTGACCCAGCAAAGGCAACAGCCAGGCCGAAGTGATGTCTCACCGCTTCGACCTCTGGGAAGGAGAGCAAGCATTGCAGGCACCCTCAGTGATGTCGCTCGAATCTGTGAGCGAAGTAGTGGAGAGATATCCGCGCTGCGGGACGCAAATCCCGAGACTTCGAAAGCTCCGAGAACTTTGACCCCATCGAATTTATCGGATCAGTTCTGCTATTGGGCCATTTCGTCATTACCACCTCATCTCCCACGCTCTCTGAACCATTCAGGATCGAAGATCTGCTCTACATCAGAATCAAGATTTACATTTCTTCAGCTGCTCATAAATGCTCCTGCATCTGGCTCATGACTCTCCGCTCGCAGGTCACAAGGGAAGGAATGGTACCACGTTTCGACTCACTCAGCACTCTTGGTGGTCAAGCATGTGAGGCTCCATCTTAGACTACGTCTCGACTTGCGATCTCTGTCAATATCGAAGATTCCACGACATTGCCCATATGGCTTCCTGGATCCGCTCTAGGAGTCATAGCAACATTGGATGACCTGTCGGCCGATCATATCAAGGCGCTCGCTTCGAGCGATGGATGGAACGCAATCCTCATCATTGTGGACCTGTTCAGCAAGTTGGTCAACTTCACCCCCACCACAGTACGGACGACTCTCACAAGGTGACCGGGAGGTTCATGTGGTATTTCTTTGCCAATCACAGCGCTTCCGATCGGGGGTTCGCCTTCGCATCGCACTTTCTTCCACGAAATCCTATGACAATTCAAGGCCACACAGGGTTTATCTGCTTATTATGCCGCTACCAACATGTAACCCGAATGAGCCACTCAGGCCTGGGAAACTTATTTGAGATGCTACGTAGAGTATCTCCAGAGCGACTGGGTCAGCTGGCCCCCAATAACACAATTTGCTGTTAACAGTGCTCCTTCTGTTTAACCTGACAATACCCTTTAACGTGGCCTACTGCGCATTTTGCACAGCGACATCACCCTGCCACATCCTCTGTTCCTGCTGCAAGTAAGCTAATTGTCGAATATGTGAGAAGTTCAGCAGCTCGCGCCAAAGGCACTGGCGCATGCAAAGAAAAGGTATGCGGATTACACCCACCAACCCCTATCCGAAGCTCCCTCTTTCTTGCACTAGGCTCACTCGTACTGTTGCGACAAGATCATATTGCAAACACGCAGCTATCGAGGGCGCTTTCGCAACTATTCGTAGGACCGTTAGAGATCGTCGAGCGCATGGGGAATTTTACATTTCGACCTCAGCTTCCACCACAGATAAGGATACACGACGGGTTCCATATCAGCAAACTCGAACCATACAAGTTCAGCATCATCCCTGATCGACTTGTCGCTCCGCCACCGCCAGAAATCGTAGACGACCAAGAACATTACTCAATCGTCACGATCCTCGCCTCACGCATCCATCGCGGCAAGTTCAAGTACAAGGTTTCCTGGTTTGGCTTTGAACGAGAAGACGATGAATGGCGTCCAGCATCAATCCTATTACACTAGGCAACTGCTGACTCTGCTTTCCATTCTGCTCACCCCGACCGACCCATCAGCCAACACTAGTGAAGCTAACATTCGCCAGTACACCCGCGATGCTGCCACCGCTTCCAATCCCAAAGTAGATCAAGCGACTTCAGGAGGCCGCCATGAGAAGGGGGGCGCAGTCACCGGCCGGCCATCGGTCATCACCAGGATTGGTTGTCGAAGCGTTCGGCCCCTGCTGCAAGTGTAGCAAACACAGGCTGGTCGGTGGGCCAGATTTGCGCGATGCTGGGGCTTTTCGCTTCTTATGACGCTCGCTCGCGCCTCGCCTGCATTGGGATTGTGTCCGAGCTACCCGAATTCCGATCATCTCTTCACCCCATATTCGTCCTTTCCATGCTCCAACGCTGTGCTCAAGGAAAATTGTGGGCTTAGGAGCCGTAAAGGGAGCAGCCGTTGTGCCACTTTTTCTAGTTGGGTAATTGTGCGATCTGCCTGGTCTTTGGCTCGCACCTGTCTTGATCCTTCATGCTGTGCCTTTGAGCGGACATATGTTGTTGACAAGGTTACACGCGCGTCCGTATGCTTGGGATCTGACTGAAATGTAATTGACCAGACTTCACCAGTGAGCACTGTGGCGTATTCGCCGGGTTCAAGATTCTCTAACAATTAAAAACACATTTCTTTGAAGTAGCGGTTATCGTTGAGCAATGATTACTGTCTAGGGCTCACTCGAGGCCGTATCACCTCTCCAGCCAGACCTTAACAGAGAGCAGAACCGTTCAAGTTTTCAAGAGGGAATTCGCCGCATTGGATGGAAGAATTGTGGTTTCGAAATAGGCTTCTCCTGCTAATCGAAGTGGAGCTGCACTTGGTGTAGGTATGGGGGAATCCGAATTTAGGCAACATCAGATATGTCTTGTCGAAAGACGGCAGAGACTCTGGGAAGCAATATTGACTGTCTCAAGTAAAGAGACGGGGACACTTGCGGAATCTTCATTCTTGCCATGACAGGGGAACTGTGCTTTCAGAGAGCATGCGGTCAAGGTGAGCAACGATGGTCCGCCCTTTGAGGCGAAAGACATCAGTTAAAAAAGGCTGAATGTCCGGCTTCAGCATAAGGAAACACCTGAATTCATATGGATGACTCTGTAAAAAGTTGAGCAGTAAAGCCTTCGAGCCCATGTCATGGCGTGAATGAATGTGAACGTCCCAAATCAGTAAGAATGTCGAACCTTGGAGCCTTCTAGAAAATTGGAACTTGACAGGCGTGCGACTTCGGGATAAATGAATAGGACGAAACAGTCAATAATGCTCGTGTTGGTGCCAGATTGTCCGAGAACTATCTTGCGCGTGACATAAGAGGATCGGACAAGGAAGGGCTGTCGTAGGGTGCAATGGCCAAATAGACGTCGTGCAACTTGTACAAGGTAAAGGCAGGGAAGTTGGAAGTGCAACAGTGAAGCGAAAAGTGCAAAGCCTGCTGGACACACTATCAGGAGCCGCCAAGAGCTCGAGTGAAACGGGGTTGAGGCCTGTTCCAGTGCCATCGGAGTGACACCAGGCAAACCTAATGGTGCGTCAAGTAACGGCCTCAAATTGTTGTCATGACAGATGAATCGTGACTAGAAACCTTTCCATTCGTAAAAGATTTTCTGCTTATCGGCCGAGTGAAAAGGAGCTGAGTATGTATTACGTAATTGTTGAGCCCGGCCAACCATTCACTGGTCGGCGGTGAGCCTTTGAGGCATATGTGTTTGGTGATGGGAACAAGGGCGTTTAGCGCTGTTCTGGCGCTGATTGAGTCGCGGGCTCGCTGAGGCCTGAGGCCAAGGGCCTGACCACCGTCAGCACTCAGGGAGAATCACGTGATTAGCCTGAGCAGTGCCGGTCACCAAGGCAGGCTGACGAGCGGAGGTAACAAAAATAGTGTACATGAAATATACATACGGGTATACACCCACATATGTACATACTGAAACCAGGGGTCAGGTACACTGGTGCAACCATCCTCAAGCGGCCCAGGCATATTGACATTTTCTTATCTTTGCGTACTCTGTTATCTTTCATAATTCCAACTTTCATACATCCATCGTTTCTCATTTGGTTCATCACTCAAAGCTGAGGCGCTGAATAATGACTACTGATGGAGTAATGAGTACCGATGACTAATTACTGATGCATGATGCTTGCGCAGGTTGTTCCTTTTCGGATCATAATAAGATGTTGATTCGTTACAGAGCTAGTCGGCTTCACTCCAATACGGAGCTTCAACTTCGCACAAGCTGTTTCACGTCTTCTTCATTATTGTCCATCATCCCTGAGTCCAACTGTAAGGTATAAAAACCTGTTTCTTCATCATTGTACACCGTAGAGACGACGCACAGGATCCTCAGCTCGATCTCGGACATTCTTCGAGGTACCAAATCTCAGTCTTCATTGAATACACGCCTTTCCGGGCACTCTTTAATTGCTTGCCTATTCATATGTCGGAAAATGAGTAAGGACCGTATCATGATAGACTTGGCTGTACGAGCATCTATGTGCCACCATGCTGTTCTACAGTGACCCCAATACGATCCACAAAAAAATGTACAAGGCACAAGAGTGCAACAATAGATTGACAAGAGTGCGCTTCCTTGACGAGCGAACTGAGCGTTTAGCTCGCCGTAACGAGAACAACGAACCTGCTATAAGGATGACGCAGCCTGGAACGCTCAAGAGGCAATGTCTCGCTCGTCAGCTCGATGCAACTGTAAGGTGCCGATCGAGCGACGTTCATCGACAGTTAGAAGGCGCTGATGGACAGACATATACTAATCAATTTGGTGAAGCAGCAGCGCGAGCATGAACAAGCGCACGCACGGTGGCCCATGCGGAAGGGGATGGCTCTGGGCCAAACCGGATAAGCGAGGGGTTTGGCCTCGCTCAGCCACTACCAGGACCCCGGGCCCTAAGGATAGAGCCGTTAAATGGCTTCGAGGCTTCAAAACAAGAAATTCGTTCACAGGAACGTGGGGTAGTCATTCCATATGTAGAGTCTCTAGTCAGTATAAAGTCAGTAGTCACTGTGACATGAATGCTCGTTCTCTTTTCTCCGTTTGGTTCTTCCTTTCCTGCATTCAGAAAATTAAAAATGTACACAAAATATATAGTGTTGTTTTGGATGTATACGGAAGTTGTTCTTGGCGTCGCGCTCTGGTGGCATGAAGCACCTCCGCAATCTGCTACAAATCCCCACATTTTTGTTAGAAATATGAACCAGTTGTTCACATCCGCACTGGATGTATGTGTACCTCCCCTCATCAAACGCAGCGCTGGCAACAACGCCATCTCAATCCTACCACCATTAATCGAATCCATGTATTCCTTCCAGCCGAGTTCTTTGTAAGAATTCAACGACCTCGGGTCTCGTGTGATTGTGACCTGGAAGGGACTTGTCCACTCCAGCTTTTTCGCATACCATTCTGGGTCACTGACCTCGCCCGTCAATCTGATTCTTTCAACCACCTCAATTGACCGCAAGTGCTTCGCGGAGCGCTTTCGACAGTCACCAATGCTGGCTGCGCTAGCTCAAGCGTGTAGCGAAACTATCCTGTCGTCCACCTGCGCCTCCTCTGTATCCATTCGCTGGATGCCCATCTGCTATCCTCGGCAGTCTAGGAACTCTCGACACCATGGTCAACATCACGTGAGTCCCCTCGCTTCGGACCTCACAACTGAATTGAAGCTAACAGTACCGTATTGTGGTTGTCCCTGACCTCCACAGCTATGGCGTCCTAGTTGCGCCTCAAGGGACGAGTAATGCTTCGAGCAACATCGCTCTTAACGGCACAGACCTCATTGTCACCTACGACGAAGGGAAGATCGCCTCCTACAGTCCTGGCGACATTGCTTGGATCCTCACTGTGAGAAACGAGCCAAATTCACACGTTCTGCTCAGCACTTTCCCCGCTTACCTCAATTCACATCTTTTCAGTGCACGACCCTTGTCTGGCTCATGATACCTGGACTGGGCTATCTGTATTCCGGCCTTGCCCGACGCAAGAATGCCCTCCATCTCCTGCTTTTGACTCTCGCCGCTCTCGCCGTCGTCTCATTCCAGTGGTTCTTCTGGGGCTACTCCTTGACATTCTCTCAGACTGGCGGCGTCTTCATGGGCGACCTGCGCAACTTTGGCTTCATGGGTGTTCTGGAGGCACCGGTCCCGGGTGCAAATAACAAATTGCCCGAGATTGTCTACGCCATGTACGAAGTACGTGGATTGCTTCACAGCGCAAAGCTTACAGTTCCCAGTCTGACCCTTTTCACCTTTGCAGGGCATGTTTGCTGCTTTGGTTCCCGCAATCGCCTTGGGTGCAGCGTGCGAGCGTGCTCGGGTCTGGCCATTCTTGGTCCTCACTTTCTGCTGGACCACACTAGTCTTTGACCCCATCGCTTGCTGGGTCTGGGCGCCTAATGGCTGGGCTTTCAAGTGGGGCGTGCTAGACTACGCTGGCGGTGGCCCAGTCGAGATCGCGTCTGGTATTACTGGAACCGTCATCTCTTACTACCTAGGACCTCGCCATGGGTACGGTACGGAACGCCTCCTTTTCAAGCCGCACAACGTTTCACATGTTGTTCTTGGTACAGCGTGAGTTGCACGCGTGTTTTGCCGAATCTCTAAACGCGTATTTTGAAGTTGATACACGGTCTTCCCTCACCTTTTTGATTGTCACACAGCTTTCTGTGGTTCGGCTGGATGGGTTTCAACGGAGGCAGCACCTTCGCTGCAAACCTGAGAGCAGGCATGTCCATCGCGACGACCAATACGGCTGCGTCATGCGCTGGATTGACGTGGATGTTCATGGATTGGAGAATTGAGCGAAAGTGGTCTGTGGTCGGATTTTGCACCGGTGCGATCGCAGGCTTAGTCGCCATCACGCCGGCCGCCGGCTTCGTCGGGTGAGTGAAGTTTACATCAAGTTCTTTTCACTTTTGCTTGTGCTCAATACTCTCGTTGGGATAACAGCGTTCCTGCATCTGTTCTCATCGGCGTTGCGGCAGCGGCACTGTCCAACCTGTCGACTAGCCTCAAAAATTTGGCTCGGTGCGACGACGTCATGGATATCTTCGCAGTCCACGCACTGGCGGGTATCGTTGGTTTGCTCTTGACCGGCATATTTACCCAGGCCAGCGTAGCGAACAACGACGGGTACCTTGTCATTGATGGAGGTTGGCTCGATGGCAACTGGATTCAGCTTCCAAAGCAAATCGCTTGGTGTGCAGTAACTGTGGCCTGGGCAGCAGTCGTGACTTGGATTCTCATGTTCGTCATTGACCACATCCCTTACATCGGGCCCTTTCGATCCACCGAACTGGCCGAAATCATCGGGCTCGATGAGGACCAGTGAGTCTCACGCTTCCATATGGATGTTCTCCTGATCTGCCCAACGTACTGAACCATTTCCTATCTCAGATGTGGAGAATACGCGTATGATTACGCTCGCGTCAACCGCGATCTCGAGGGCAACTGCGACCGAAACCTCACCAGCGCACGTGACGAGCCCTATCTGGATATCCATGAAAGGGTGGGCCAGAACCCGGGTTCTCCCGACATTAATAGCGAAGGAACTCGGAGGGACTTTGGTGACCCCGGAGCCAATGATGGGATGGCTACGGGCTCTGATCAGGAAAAGGGCCATGGGACCACGGAAAATGATGTTGCAGAAGCTACAGAAGCTTCTGCCTCTCCAGCGTGAAAAGTCGCTTTTGTCCTGTATGAAGATAGCGGCCAGCATCGCGTATTGGAATCTCTTAACTTAGACGCACGCTGTTTATTTATAGCGAAAGCAAAGCCTTGTGCTTTATACATTGTTAAAATCTGGGGAAAGTGATGTACATTGATGGATCAGTCTGTCTTGTTGCGCTGTGGGTCTGCCTTTCACCCTTGGGGTGCGGTCGTGTGACGACAAACTGAAGATCACTCCGAAGCAGGTCGGCGCAGTGCTGGTGTCCGTAAAGCGCAAGTCGCATGCACCATCATGTACCAATCAGTGTCTCGGCCCCCCCTTGAGCGCGTGCCTTGGGACGAGGCCGCAACGCCGCATCTGCCACACTTGTAGGGTAACAACTGGTACATACTTCAAAGTCGCACGCACTTGCTTTTGTCACTGGGAGCTCCCAGTGGCGAGATGGAATGAAAGCCGGACGCGATCCTTCTCTTACATCTTCACTCTCCTTTGCAGCAGCGACATGTAGAGACAAGTCTCGGATGTGGGGAACGTCAAAAGGAGAGGAGAGGAAGATGAGGCGGCTTCTTTCGTCTTCTGTGATCACCACGTGACGGCTAACGACGATTATTGCACTTTGGCGGTAGAGCCGCACAGGGCGGAACAACAACACAATGCACAGAAAGGCGCACTTGGCACCAGGCCAGTTGAGATGATCGATGATTCTTCGAGGTTCTATCGAAGGTGCGGCACAGTATAATAAATACCTCGTCGTCAAGACAGTATCCCGGAGGAGTCTGTATTGCTAGTAGTCTGTGTTGACGGAAAAGGACTACACGCTGTTCCAACAGACTTGCCACATGCCTTTGGAGGGCATTTGTGCATGAAAGTGATACCCAGGTCATTCTGTGTCTAGTGTTCTAACTTGCCAAAAGAAAAGTCATTTCGGGGCAACATCACAAACTAACATCACAACCGACAAGGTCAAGCATAATGTCCACTTGGAACAAGGTGGGTGCTGCGGTTGCACCTGGACGGACGTTCGGACGAGCGGACGTTCGGACGGGCAGATACTGACAATAGGACATCTCTGCGCCCCCAGCATTACCACTGGAAGGTGAGAAGTGTTCCTCAAATTCCAACACAAGTGCTGCTCAACACTCAACCTTTCTTCCTCTCGTGGTCCTGGCAATTCCCGCTCGTAAGACCAAGGGTTGCACTCCATGGTCGAAGACTTGGATCAAGACGAATCTCGTTGGTCAAAAGGCCAACACGGAGGCTGGTACTGTCCAGGTCACAGCCCTAGAGTCGTTCGAAGGTTCGTTTATGTTTCCCAGTGAAAGCCTTGTTGTTGTTACTGATCTCTACGTACCGTTTCAGGCGATGTCGAACTTGGAAACCGGAAAGGGAAGCTCATCACGATCTTTGACTGTGCAGTCACCCTGGCCTGGGCTGGTTCGTTCTGGTTTTCTTTTGGACAGAATGTCATTTTAACTAACCTAGAGGTCAATCCCCATCGGTCAGATGAAGAAGAGAAAGTTAAAGGGACCATCACATTCCCAGAAGTCTGTCACGAAGTCGAAGACGAAGGGACTGAGTACATTGTGAGCGCATGAAGGCTACATTATGCGCCGTCATAGTCAGGTGGCTGACGGAAACCATGAGCGAATCTTCCTTAGCACGAATCGGCACTGACGGACGCAGGTGGCAAAGACGGCCAGACTTTCTTGGACGGTGTTCGGCGGCAACTTATTCCTCTTCTTTTGAAAACGTTGCACCGCTTCCGAAAAGACTTGATCCAGCAGCATGCCTCCGATTTGGGTCACGATGGCCTGGGCACGGTGACACCTGCGGCTTCTAGCGGCCAATCTGATGTTCCGGTTCCAGAGCGAAGCGACTCGGATCCTACTCAAAATACCCGCCATCCTTCTGATCCAAAGAAAACTTCAAATGCAAATCCCATCAGGTCGAGTTCCAGAGTCATTCGTCAATCTGCTCATCTTGCCATCAGCCGAACCGATCTTTGGGCCTTGCTCACGGATCCAGATCGCATCCCCTTGTGGACCAAGGCTCCAGCAAAGGTGAGATGTATCCTCAAGTAGATGGGGAACAACCGCTAAAATTTGCTATTCTCAGTTCACTTTGAAGGAAAATGAAACATACACCCTCTTCGGAGGAAATGTTTCGGGTGTCATCAAGCAGATCAAGTTTCCGGAGCACTTGTCGCACTCTTGGAGACTATCGCAGTGGCCCGAAGGCCACTTTGCCGAGCTCACCATAGATCTTAAGGAGGGGACAGACTCGACTGAACTTGTGCTTACACTCACGGCAGTGCCTTCTGGTGAAGAGGATCGATCCGAAGTGGGGCTGGAGACATACTACCTCCGCGGCCTGAAGGGCCTTGGGCTGGGAACCATTCTGTAAGACTGATTCAACGGTACATTGCATAATGCATAGGCAGGTCATGCGAATTATTGGTGTATGCAAGTATGCTACGTATTAGGGTCGAATGGTTGTTCATGAGAGGTGGAATGCAGTACCGCCTTCGAGCATAGCAGTGTTGAGTCTTTGGCGCATGACCTCTTTGCCAGAGTAAGAAGGAAGTTTGAGGTAGTTGACACATGTCATGACACTTGGCAAATAATCATCCGGTTTCAACGGCGCCTCGTGAGGTCGTTTCACGACAGTCAGCTGAGGATGCAAAGCCTTGAACCCCCCAATGGGTAATTTTGGCGAGCCCGTCAGCCATTGAAGAAACGTGCGGCGCTCTTGGTCGGTGAAATCCTGCATGATGGACAGCAAATTTCGGTAGGGTTCGCTCTCCGGTGTGAAGCCATGATCAGGCTTGATATTGCTCAAGAGAGTTTCCGCAGACCAATCTTCCTGTGAGTTGCCGAAAAGCAGGACGAGCTCGTCGGCGGTGAAGGGCTTGAGAGAGCTGAGCATGAAAACTTTCTCGAACCCCGCACGGAAGGATTCAACGACTGGCTGGATGCCACTGTCAAGGTACGCATCGATAACCGCGCTGATGTAGTCGTTGACGTTGTTTCCGCTGACCTTCTTGTCGCTACCTCCGGGGACTAGCTCATAATTGCTGTCCCCTGGTAGGGTGAAGTCGAGATGAAGCGTTGCGACATCCTCAGGAGCGACGCTCTGGATCGCCTTGAGGGAGGAAGCTAGTCCACCATCAACTTGAGCAAGCGTGTCGAGATTGTATGCGACCTTGCGACCAAGGATAGCCGATATGAAGAGCCGCGAGAAATCGATTTGGACGATGCGCGAGTCAAGCAACGCCTTGGCCACAAATGTTCCGAGAGTGCGGAACAATCCAAGACGCTTACTACCTTCCAAAGTGGTCGAGGCACTTGACGAGATCGGAATGGGATACAAACCATGAGCTGCTGACACGTGAAGGCTCTGAGGATTCGTTTGCTCGTCCAACCAGATGTTATTTTCTTTAAGCGCAAAGTCTTGGGAGACAAGGCTGTAAAATTCGAGTGTTGGACCAAGGCCAGTGCCGACCTCATCGAAGTATTCTACCTCAAGAATTGACGAGTTCGATGCATAGAGATCGAAAATCTTGACTGCAGAATCGAGCAACCGACGCCTCGAAATCCGCACCTTTTGCCTTTGAAGCCGGCTCAAAAAGCCAAATGAATCCTCATTCCTTCCGTTGTCACTTCCCCGGTGCAGAAGTTGCCATCGCGCAATCAATCGCGCATAGCCAAAGCTTGTTGACTGAAGAAAGGAGAAGCGCGTCTCAAAAGGAAAGAGGAATGGATACTCCAAAGGGAGCCCCACTGCCCAGTCAGGGAGAGAGGTACTGGCGACGATCAATGGTTCTTCCAATTGGCGATTGAGCTTGGCGGTGAGTTTGTTGTTGATGAACAGTGATGTGTCCAAATGGCGAATCCCAGACTGGGAGCTGTGCCTTGAAAGAGAACTCATTGCATGATACAGCACTTCCAGAAGGCGCAGGATCTTGAGCTCTGTTGAGTCTTCAGGGAAAATGCTGCTTACAGCGGGTTGCTTTTCGGCGGCAATGCCGTAAATTTCTTTACCAGTGGCCGCGTAAGTCGTCAGCGCATCTGCTGAATGGGCCCTCATATAAGACTCACCTTCGTGATCGCGTGCGCGAGTGCCCGGCACCTTTCTGAAGCGCACAGTGACGAGGTTCTGCCAGATCGTACGTTCAAAAGAAAATGACGCATTCTTCCGCTTCTCGGCGCGATAGATAGCGCTGAAAATAGTCTCGGGTAGACCTACGTCCTCGCCATCGACAGAAAAGGCCAAGTGCCAATCTGTGGCAGGCTTTTGGACGGCCTCAGAATAAGAAGCCAACTTGGTCTGAGAATTGGGCTCGGCAGTACTTGTGTTGGCCGTATCAGGAGCAGACACATTCGTTTCCTGCTCTTCGGCTCTGGAGCCAGGAAGTTGCCGAGCTGAAGGGTCTCCAGATTCGGGGGGGCTGATCTCCCTTTCGATAATGTCCAATTCTTCAAGGTCCTCATCGAGGGGATCCATGTCATCGTGCATGAGGTTTTGCATGAGTGCGTCCGCAAGAGATGCACTTTCCCCACGTAATAGACCTTGCTCTCTTTGCAGAGTCTTGTCAGCCTGCTCATCGGAAGTCACCTGACCAGGGTGCGTTGTGGACCCTGAGTTCTGGCCGCTTGCAACCCCTCTGGTGTGCGCTTCCACTGACTCGGTTGCGGTCGCGGTCGATGCACCATCTGAAGTCAAACTGTTCGTGTTCCGTGTTGGCTCGCGCGGGCTCTCTTGCCCCTGAGCTGCTGCAGCGAAGGCTGCAAGCACAGATGAAAGCCTCGAGGTGCCAGGTCCAATAAGCGAATTCCCTAAAGCGATCTTCGGACGCAAGAAGTCATGTAACGAGCCAAATGACGCCACCGCATGAATGCTGACGATGATGTTGTTGCAGCTTTTCGGAATGCCATCAGGATCATCGGCCACGAGCCGCAAGCGAATCTGCTTGCTCAGTGCCGCTGCTGGAGAGCGTCGATGCTCATCATCCAGGCTTCCGGCTACCGAAACCATCTCAACCCTTTCAAGACGGCTAAGGCTTTCTTGAAGTCTCTGAATGAGGTTTCGAGATGATTCTGGCATGAACTTCATGGTGTCACGAAGTAGGCCTTTTCGCCTACTCGCAAGGCTTGCGTCGGAGTCTGCATTCAAGAAGATGAGCAGTGCGTTGATCAATCCCGACTTGACAACCTCGAATCCTGAGAGCCCTTCGCCATTGGACTGGAGGAGAGCAAAAGCAGAGTGCAAACATGAGGCAGCGGCCCCTTCGGATTCAAAGGATCCCGAGGCGATTTGCTGTGCGAGTCCACTCGCCCGCTCGAGGCTGTCAGCCGTGGACGATTCTGTATTATTGGGTGTCTTTTGCTTGTGCCTTCCAAACACAAGATGGACCATGCGAGCTCGCAGGACATTCGCATCCTTCACTTGCCGTAAGCCGCTATTGCCAACTGTCCCCAGCTTCGGAGCCTCTGAGGCAGGAGAATCGTCTGTGTTTTGAGACTCCGTCGAGAGCGTATCGGCAGGAAGTCCAATGGCTTTGTTGGACATGCCAGTGTCGGAAACAGGTTGCTTTGCTAGCTGCTTGACTTCCCACATGACTCCCTCTCGCTCCAAGAGTGCGCAATAGATGTGTCCCAATTTGGTCAAAAGCAACTCGACGACTTGCAACGACCCTTGTATGACAGTCGGGCTGTCCTTAGAAGACAACACCCCGGCTACAAAAGTAGACATAGGCACAGACTGGACAAGTACCGCAGAAGCCAGAATCAGTACCAGACCAGCAACAGCGACTATTGATGACACTCACCCGCAGCAATCCTTCCAGTTGAGATGCATCGGCAAAAGCCAATATCTTGAGAATCGCAGTCATGGCCTTGGAACGAATGCTTGGAGTGATGGAAGCAGTGTGGATGTCGACTAGTGCGGGGAGGATCATGGCGCTCAGTTTCAAAAGACGGTCTTTCTGCTCGTTGAGCATTTCGAGACGTCTAGCGTGCGCCACCTGAGCTGCAGCTTCCTTCGACCCCTTGCGATACTCTTTCTTGATTTGGGACGCTTGGGATGTAGGGGCTGCCTCGACAGTGTCTTCAGAACTTTCCATCTGCGAATTGGCGGTGGGAGGCTCGAGACTGTTCCTGCCCTTGGCCACACCCTCTCTCTTGGCCAATTCGTGCTTCTTTCGTTTCAGCGCTTTCTCCGAGTAATTGCGCTGATCGAATATGTCTGTCCACGGAAGTGGAGGGAGCAACTCGCAAACAAGCGTAAGAGCTTCCTGAATCTGCTCTTTGGGCTTCGTTGACAAGTTTTGGAGCAGAGTCATTTTAACGACTGGGCTTTGGCCTGAGATCGACACGTTGCCTATAGTTTCGTCCGGCTTACTGAGCGGGTCGGCAGAAACAAGGTTGCCAGTATCAGCTGCTTTCGAGCCAGTGAGAATGCAGTAAAGAGTCGCGCCGATGCCCGATTGCAAGAGATGCGCGGTGATCTGTGGAGTTGCTTTCGAAGCGTTGCACAACGCTTTGACGAGGTCGGTATACATCGACGTGCTGATGATGGCGCCACTGGATCCATTACTGCCTGCGCTCGGCTCGAGGACAAATTTCGTAGCGGCGCAAACATCCTCTGTGATAAGCGTTTCCAAAATCTCAGGAAATGCTTTATAGCTGTCGATGATGCGGACTACCGACCGGACGGCCGATTCTTTGAGACGACGATCAGGCGACGCGAGCATGCCCTGGATCTGAGACATAGCATCTTTGACCTTGTCAAAATTGTCCGAATTAAGCTTTCGACAGCAATTGGAGACAGCGTTCATCGCAGTGCGCTGAACATGAATGTTGAAAAAATCGATATACTGCAGCATTGCCATCAAGCCGCCTTCCTCGACGATTGCATTAGGATAGTCGACCGAGATCTTCTCCAGCGTCTGTTCATTTGCACGACAGATCATGAAGACTCGTCAGCAGAGTGCACCAGCGCTGGCCATCGGGCAGACTAGCTGCTCACCTGCAACACCTGCTCGGCGAGGTCGATAAATTCGATGAACATCAACTTCGAATTGAGCAATGGGATAGCACCATTTGTGACAACGCTGTGTGTCGCATATGGCATCGCCTCCATGAGATTGGTCAGGCATCGGGCTGCCAGAAGCATTATTTCCGTGTTGTCGCCCGCATCTGCAGCATCAGCCGCTGCAAGAGCAGCCGCGACGTCAGAATCTGGCGCGACAACACCTGACTCGATGCTGGCATCACTAGGGTTGCCCCCGAGCAAGGCGATGAGCTCTTTGACAAATGACTCCGTGGGAAAGTAGCCTGCGAGACTGTCCTCGCTGCTGACACTGAGTACTTCTGAAAGCTCCTGCAAGGCCACCAACCGTTCGGCGGGATCGAACCGATTGCGCAAGGAGCTGAGAATGGTCTTGAAGCGCCTGGAGAGGCCCGACAAGAACCCCGCCATTGCCCTTAGGTTCATACCGAAGCCGTCATCATCATGGTCGCCTCCTGCCGCATACTCGTCGTCATCCTCTTCGTCATCCTCTCCACTTTCGTCCTCTTCATCATCATCTTGATCGTGATCTTCTTGCTCAACGTCATCGATGTCGTTGCCTTCTCCCAAGTCGTCCTCGCCTGCTGTGTCAGTGGCATCTGACTTCTTGGTAGCTGTGCATGTCTTTGCTACAACCGTATTCAAATGGTGCACGTTACCGTCGTTCGCGTTGGTCTCATTCAAACCCGAATCTCTGATTGACGATATACTTGCATTCGAGCGCTTTACCGCGTGACTACTTGAGCCAGAACCAGAATGGTCAGACACGACATCGCCAAGCACAGCGTCGCTGGCGCGGCCGGCGTCTTGTATCGACCCGGAGTCGAGGTTCATGTCATCCGCACACGAGTCCCTCACCGCTGCAGAACGCAAGGCCCGCTTCGACCTGGAGGCACCAGCCGCGCGTGAGGTCCGCGCTTTCTTCGCTCTTGCTGCTGTCGCACTCCCCAATGCAGCTGCTGCCGATGCTGTAGGGCGCTCGCCAGTCGTCTGAGCTCTAGCAGCACTCATGGCTTCCGAAGGGATACGAGGGCGGAAGTTGTACGTGGCCCTGGGAAAGGAATCGGCAGCTACAAATGCTGCCTGACTTTGCTTCTTGCTGGGAGCCGCTCGTTGAGATAGACTAGCCTTGCGTTTACGCCTAACACGCCATGAAAACACAGAGAGCGTCAGCAGTTCTATCCAGGAAAGGGAAACAAGAAATTGTCACTTACGAAATCCTTCTTGTGTCGTCGCACGCAGGGTCTGCCGTCACGTCTGCAAAGGCCTCAAAGGGTGAGGTGTTGCTGAGTGGCGTGGTCGGCGCAGTCGACCCGGCGCGACTATCTGCGTACGAGAAGGTGGAATTGGCGAAGGATGAGACGTCTGAGACAGACGCCTCAGAATGTGAGCCCTGTTGCACTGTTGATGAATGTTCCTCTGAAGGGTGGATAAGAGACCCTGAGAGTCTGGCGGAGCGTCTTAGCGACCCGGTCCGGGGACCGGAGGCTAAGGGCGACGCTGTAGGTTGATCTCCAGATTCTGCAGTTGGGGCACGAAATGGATGCGAACTATTGGATTGGGGCGATCCAGCAGGGACGACTTTAGAAGCGGCAGCGAGCCTCGCACTGCTCCTGCGTCGAGATAGCTTGGACGCGTCCGGAGCTGCGATGGAGGCAAGAGCACTGCTTTGGGAGGTCGACGTGCGTAGTTTTCGACACGCGTGCTCCATGAGGCGATTGCTTCAGTCGGATCTTGGTAAGGGGGGTTGAGGTCCGGCTGCAACGGAGAGTGCGACCCGCTCGCGCAGCTGTTGGCACTGCTGAAGCTGGGGCTGCTCCTGATGGTAACTCGGAGTGAGGGGTGTCATTCGAGATGCGGCTCGTTGTGCGCCGCGCGCGATTCCGGTTGGTCGCTTTGTAAGTCTGCTGATCTGCGCTTTTGCCGAGAGTTAGGGAGCTGCAGATGATGGTTGGCGGCGAAGTAAATCAAAGTTGAACTGCTGTAAGTCTTACGAAGGTGTGTTTGTTGGTCTTGGGGGTACGATATCAGTGAAAACAGATATATATGCCATGCTCGCTTGAAAGTGTACAAAAGGGATTGATCCCAATCACAGCAACAGCAGCAGATTGCGCTGCGGAATGGAACCAACGGAACGGAGGTGGTGCGGTGCATACACCACACCATACAGGGAATTGAACCAATCAGAGCTGTCAAATATATCGACAACCATTCAGACTATCCGCTATAATCTAGAGCATGTCCACTGTCCAGTGGACACGCATCGTTCATATATGCATGACCGGTATACATCCAGCCAAGAGCACAGCCTACGTCAGGCATGTGGGCACCTCAACGAGACCGATGAAATTTTCAGACTCGGACAGGTATGACGGTTACTACCCGCGCTTGGCGAAATAGTACATGATCAGGTCCTGCTGGCTCTGAGGGAGTGGCGCCAGCATCGCAATGATCCTCGACGAGTCCTGCAGCTGATGGAACGCGCACATGATCGTGCTCATTGCGCATTGTCGTACGTCTGGAGCCGGGTCATTCAGGCCCTGTCACACGCGCACGTGAGATTACACAAGGTCAACGCCGAGATACGTGGAAAAGGCGAATGCCAACTCACAGCTTTTATTGCATATCGCAAACGCGGGAGCTCGTCCTCAATCACCTCGGGCGGGATTCTCTGTAGTAGCCGCTCATACGTGCGCAATGCAAGCTTGAGCACCTGTGGCTGAGATGCTGGCAGGCCCTGCTCTTGGTCTGCGGCAATCCGCCGCTCTGAAGATCGCTCGCTAAGCACTCTGACACACATGACCGCATCGGTATGTTGGGACCAAGCATTTAAGATGGTCTCACATGCTCCACTCAGCGACCGATCGGTAGCCAAGCGCGGATCCAAAGCCAAATCCAAAAGTGCTTCCTCCTGGCCAGATATGGCCAGCGTCTCGCGGTGGTGCTCCACGATCCTGTGCAGAACGACCATGGCACCAAGTGCTTCGTTTGGCGTCTGCAGGAACTCACAAAATTCAGCCCATCAGCACAGTCGGACATGGTCATAAGGAATGTCAATGGTGACAATTCGCACTCACTTGTATCTTGTCCCCTACACACCTGCAAAGCAAGCCAATGAGCTCGGCAGCTTTTGAGGGATCGATTGATAGAGGGTGAGGACTACCGTTCGCAGCTCGATGAGAACACCAACGTGCGAGCCGTCGGAAGAAGCGGAGATCCGCTTGCCCCGCGGTCTGAAAAGGGCCTAGCCATATTTCGACATCTTCTAATGGCATCTCAGTGTCATCCTTCCCCGCTTCCAATCGATCGGCTCGCTTCAGGAACACATTACGGTCTCTCCTTGGCAATTCTGCGTCCCCATTCGCGCCCTGGGCTGTCCTGAGTGAGCCATTTGACGTCTTCGGAATGTTCCTCGACTGCCCAGCATCAGGCGGAAGTAAAATAGGATGAGGTTCGGGAAGTGCGTGCTCAATGGATGGACCAACCGCTGCCTTGCTTGTTTGCTGCGCTGGCCGTCCGGGAAGTGCTGCTGCCGCTGCTATGGCTTCTGCCTCATCTGCCCTTGGCTCGGGCACAGGAGGCGCGCTTGTCTCGGCTGCCAGTCGTTCTTCCTGTAGCTTTTGCGAAGCAGCCCGTTTGGCAGCGAGCAGCGCCTTGCTAGGCCCCCCAGGGCGACGGGCGGGCACAGGCGCGCTGGTCATGTGAGGTTCAACTTGCTTAGCCGAGGCCTCAGAAGGGGCATCAGCTAGTACCTGACGTTTGACGGAAGCGTCCACTTTTTCGAGTAAGGCGGCCGCGTCCGTGGGCCAGAGCGATTGAAACAGCCAGTAAGCTTCCCGGGCATTCGCCCTCACGTCCTTATTTTGATCCTGGAGTGCTTTCTGTATAGTGACATGAAGAAACTCGCAGACACTCTTGTTCCCAGAAAAGCGTTGCCGGTCATTCCGGTGGCTTTTGAGCAGGGTCACGACATGCTGCCAGACAGCAATTCTGATTTGCGCATTCTTCTCCTGCATCCCTTGTTGGAGGTGCGGCAGATACGCATGGCGGAAAGATGTGCATTTGATCAACGCTGTCACGGCTGTCTGACTTGCTTGCGCAACGATGCGTTTGGTGAAGCCTGCCATTTTGAGCATTGAAGTGAAAAACGCATCCCCGCAGGGCCCTAGATCGTCCCGAAGAGAGCAGGCCAGCTCCTCGACGAGGGCGATCGAATGTATTGACAAAGTCGTTCGAAGGCTCAAAGACTGTTAAATTGCTTTAATGAGACACGGTGCTGGTGGGAAAACAACTCATACTCACAGTCTTGATGATGCCATCTTGATGGGTCTTGATGCAGCTCGGCAGAAGCTTGCGGGCATCCTCCGGCAATTCATGATTCAAGAGGCCACGAAACTGAATGATGCTGTGTTCTCGAGCGAGCCAATTCTGCTCTGTCTCTTTTCCCTGGGCCAAACAGTAAATGGGACTGTTATCCACTGGTCTGCGAGGCCCCCGGAATGAACGCCGGTCTTACCTCGAAATGTGGCAGAGATGATGTGAAAAGTCGCTCGAGTTCTTGTCGCGTAGAAACCTGTGTCAGCGGCAGGTAATTGTCAGCTAGAAACACACCGTTCAGGGTTTCAAAGCTCGCGACTCACGGTGACTTGAGGCACCGGTGTACCTATGGAAGGTTGATGGGATGTGCTAGACGTTGAATCCTCTGAACCTGGCGCAATATTCTCTTCGCTTGGGATGGAAGCGCTTGCATGGACCTCGCTAATGATCTTGTCGACTAGCTGCTTACGTATACCTTGTCCTTCGAGCTCTCCGTTGAGGTCTGCTTTAGCTGCAGCATTAGCGGGGCGAAATATAGAGATGATAGAGTCTCGAGCATGCTCGCGAACCCGCGGATCTGAATCTTGGAGCATCTCTACAAGAGAAGAAAGCAGAGGCTTGATGTGGAGCGAAGGTGCACGGTCTCGAATCGAGGCCAGAACGATCAGAGCCTGCGAAAATATCAATGTTCAATATCCAATATTGATCATTTTCGATATGCGCCACCACTCACTTGTTCCCGGATCCGTGCCTGCTTGTTCCTCAGTGCGTGACCCAAGAACAGGACAGCATAGGTATCCGACGGGCTCTCAGCCGCTTTTCCCTTGGAAGTTTGGTAAGAATGACCGGACGTTGATGCAGCGAGTATACCGACAGCAATCAAAGCCTTCGCTGCAGCTTCTCTTGTCTTCTCTCTGGCATCACCCAAACGATCGATCACTGGCACCGTGCCATGCTCGACTAGAGACCGTATGAGTGTGGCACGGGACGACTGGCTTGGGTCCATGACGATGATCCGGCCGGCCAGTTGTTCGACGATGCCGAGAGCTGCAACAGCTGGAATTTGTTGCGCATTCTTCAAGCTTGCTTTGAGAGCATCAACCAAAGCCCCAGGGTCAGGTATCTGGGAGAGAGAAATAAAGTAAGAAAAAATACCTTGAGCTCGTGAATACAAAAGCAGCCAGCACAGTTCGGGTGCTCACTTCGGCCTCCTCGCGCAGCGCCTTTGCCACACTCCCCAGTATCACGACCTTCGATTGCACATCTGCAAATACGCAGGGGGCTGTAAGGGACATGGTCGCTTTCGCTGCGGGCTTTTGGGTTTCCGCACCACCATTAACACTCACCGGCCTGAACGTCGACTTCAGTTGCCAACACCAGCGCGCCTCGGTCTTCTTCCACGCTCATTTCGACAGGAAGTCAAGTGCGATCGCAAGTAAAATTCTGCCTCGATCATCTCATCTGCTGCGCGGGAGCTGCAGGCCAGACGCATGAAAGTGCCAAACAACTCGCATCAAGTTTGAAGTTGTTGTTGGCCTGTCACCATGACGCGCTGCGTGCATTTTGCTGGACAGTCTAGTCACTGTTGGCGGGGTCCCTCTGCTCTGCCTATGAGACATATGGATGTGCCACAGAGTCTCTTTCGGCCGAGAGGCTGCTGCGCTGGGAGAGAGGTAAGAGAGAATGCAATGGCCAAAGCGAAACCGCGCGGAGACGACGCGCAAACTGCGCAAACGAAGCACTATCTCCATCGACAATTGATCATCGTCCTCTTTAACCTTTGACGTGCAACACCGAGCAAGCCACACGCTCCTGAGCGAAACCCTTGACAAAGTCGCCCATCATGCCGGCTACCGTTCTCTCCAGCAAAGTAAGCGGTCTCAAGTTCATGCAGCGAGCCGCGGCTCGCTCTGCAATCAAGAAGGGCACAACGCCATCCTCTCATGATGCCATCCCTGTCCAGCCTCCGGCACCGGCACCAGAGAAGGCTCAAGCGTCGACCAAGACCGGTGATGATTCAGAAGAATGGAGCCTCACTGTCGCCCCTGGAAAGCACTCAAATGAAAATGAGCTATCTACGGGTATCGTGTACGATGCAGATTGGAGGAGCTGGGTGGGCGATGGCCGACCTTCCATGGGGCTGCGGAAACGGTACAAAGACGGGGAGGATGAAGAGGAAGCAGAGCTGAAGCGCCGCAGAAAGGGCGAATCCGAAGCGGAAACTGCGCCCAAGCGCGACAAGGGAAGCAGCAAAATGGAGCGCGGGCGATACACCCAAGGACCTAAAGGTGGCCAGCGAGGAAATGACACTCGACTCGCATTCAAGAAACCCGCCAAATCCTGACCTGCACTGACAAGATTCTCAGCAACTAATTATTGGGCGACTCTCCTTCGCACTTGCTCCTCGTTTTAGCGCGCGATTGAAGCGTCTTTTCGCCACCTGGTCCCTCTCAGCTTTCCGGTCCCTGGCTGCACCTGCATTCTGTCTTGGCGAGCGAAAAGCGCAATGTGCATGGCGCAAAATAGTGTGGCACATCGATGCATCACCCTGAATGCTTCTGTCGGAAATATTAGAAAATTCAGATGCTGGCTCATGCGGACCACGACCCTGAGCAGCATTTATCCGGCTCTTCAAGCCCAGCATGAGCCGCGGCAGCATGCAGTCATATAGCCGCTCCTCGGGCTCGAACTGCCGGAGCGCCCCACAGCCCTTCCAGAGGCTTCGCTATGCATGAAGCTGAAAGCCGGCACAGAGCATATGGCTACGATTACATACGACCTCTCGTACGCTGATATATAGAACCAACGCTTCTAGAGACCATCCAGGGCAGTGTACTCCAGAGCGAGCGACCGCACAAGCAGGATATTTGAAAGTCCATGCCACCAATTATACTGCCGCCGCTGCCGATCTGCATCACAAGTGGCCACGCGACTTACTAGGTGCCACAAGCGAGTCGCATGGCGAGGACGCACGAAATAGGGCAAGTCTGCTTGAATAAATTACGGATTACGCATGGACAGCTCTTCTCGACGTCTCAGCCTCCGCTTCCGCCATGCTCATCCGCGCGCTCGGGATCACAGTGTGCGTCACTTCAAGTATGGGCGCATCGGACCTGCGAGACCGCAGCCATGCATGGCCTTCGTTGCTCCTCGACATGAGCTCCGAAACAGAGGGAAATCCACGCATGCACTGCTCGTGCAGCGCTGCCATACCCTCCGCCGTGTCGCGGATGTCCTTTGGGAGATGCGCAGTGGTTCCTTCTGTAGCCATCGTACCCTGTGTGGGGTTCGCAAAGATTGATGAATAAGGCTGCGAAGTATCAGTGCTGTGGCTGGCGGCACACATAAGCTTCTTAAGCCTTCTCCGTAAATCCAAGTTTGGCTCCGCCGTCTCTGGAGCTTCACTAGGGGTGTCCACTTGCCCGCTCGTAGAGTCGCCCGGCTCCGAAAAGACAAGTATGACAATGCATTCCCCATGCTGAAAGTAAAACGGGGGTTGTCAGGCTCCCATTATCAAATAGACAAGTACGCTAGACTCACAAAAAGCAGTCGAACTCTTTTACCCTCGAGAGGAGCCTCAGTCCCGTCCGCGTGTCGCCTAGGCCAGGCAACGAGTTTGAAGGTCTGAAATTCAGGTGGATCTGCTTCTTCCTCGAGCTCCTTGGCTTCCTCTGTGTTGTCGGGGGGACGCTTCCCGGGAGAACCCTCGTTGTCCACCGCATCTGAACTCTCTATCGGGCCTGGCAACTGTGGCGAGGAAGACTTTGAGAACCAAGCCGACGAGGTCACAGATATGGAGGGGAATGCACGTGGTGCAGGGTCTGTTTGTTCGGGCGCAGATGTCGCCAAAGCTGTCAGTACGCTCTTTGTTGGCTTTGCTGGATCATCGACCTTCGCTGCTGTAGGTGCAGCCTGCTCTTGATCCTCTGCAGCGCCCCAAAATGAGAGAAATGATAGCCTCGAGCTGTTTCCCCTGACGTCCTTCTTCACGCTAACATTTGAAGTGGCGGGAGTAACTGTAGCGACCCCATCAGGGGTGTGACCTAGGTCGCCGCGATCTGGCGGCGTGATGAGAGGACCATAGGTCGCCAAGACGTGATCGATCAGAATCCTAACGTCGTCGTTGGAAGAGGGCTTTGTCCCAGCGACTGATCGACATGACAGTCGACAAGTCCCTCTGAAGATCATCGCTTCCCGCAGAAGTTCCTCATTACCTTTTCGCGTGCCCCTTTGGCTAAGGGTATACCTGCGCCCGACAATGTCGCTCAGAGTTGAGTCGAATTTTTCCGTTGTGCGTTTCGTTTTCAGGTCTTCAGACGGATTTACGGGGTGCTGTACCAACAGCAGATTGCTGAAAACTTTGAAGCGGGGCTGCTTCTGGGGCTGTCCGAAAGGATGCTTTTGGTCTCCCTCGTTATGCAAGCTTTGCAGATCCCACCGCGAAGCCCACACCGAGAAATACTTTTCCAAGCTCCTTTCAAGCTCTGCTCGGCCACTTGTAGGAAACCTCAAAAATGAGGTTGCGCTCCCGTTAAGCATCTGCGAATCGTGTAGAAAAACAGTTAGCGTAGTGCACGGGTCAGAGTCCCCTGGCATGAGATTGGATTGGAGGTCTGGCTCTGAACCTACTTACCACCCAAGTGTCCCACGCAGAGCCCAAAGCGCTCACGATCCACGTGTCAGGGCGCCACTCCTCGTCGTACTGCCAACGCAGTTTCGGGGTCGAAGCTCGAAGCCAGCGCGGTGCTTGAAGGCTCTGTATGTGACGCAATAGTCAGCGTTAGCATTTGTATGAAGTCAACCGGGACACAAATGCTCACGAACCACCATGAGCCAAACATCATCTCCCAGCTCCAACACTATGTTTCTGTGCTTTTGCGAGTGAATTACCCACGAGCGATAATGCTGGTTCTGAGGAGCTTGTGGTTGGACCTGACCCTCTCCCGTCATCATAGACAGGTAGAAGTCCGTCGCGCCGCGCAGAACACGAATTTGCCTTCGTATCTGCTCTCTGGTCACGGCCAGCTCTTTACTAAAGTAAAAAAGGATGTCGATTTCGGAACTATCTCCGGACTCGCCTTCATCTTGGGGTTGCGGATCGTGGGCATCTGTTCCTTGATTGGAATTTTGCCCTGATGCTTTCCTAACCGGCGACTGTACGCGGTGAATTGCGAGCCATGAAATGCACGCTGCTTGATAGACTGCCTTCAGATCAGCTGAAATGTTTCCCCCAGAGGGCTGTGAGCTATCTCGAAACGTGCTGTCCGCAAAAGCGCTCTTAAATGCCGAAGTGATGGAGTTGGGCAGCAGGAACGACATCGTGCTGATAACCGTGCGGCTGCCTCAGGATTCACCGTTGAAATGACGTGTGCATCGGAGCATGACGTTCCTGGCAGCGACCTGATGACTGCAATATGACCCCAGACTTGTTTTGAGGGTATTTGGAAGCGAGTGATAGTTTGAAGAGAGGGTATGTCCGACTTCCAGAACCAGATGTGACATTTGAGATGGCCGCCCAAGTTGATCATCGTTGATCTTGGAGAGAGGAGAAACGCGACACGGAGCGGCCCTGAAGAAGTCAAAGATATGTGCATATTCACATGTCACGTCCAGTCTCGAGTTATGAACATCGTCCGAGCGCCACTTCACATCGCATTCCTAATCATAGATCGCAATTTGCAACGCTCTAATCGATGGCGGCAGCTCTATCGTGACGATCTATGCTACCACTCGACCTGCTTGCACTGCAATCGAGTGCTTGGCGGTTCTCCGCGCGCTAAATAGCAGCTCCCATCTGTTCATCGTTACAGGACCCTTTGGTTGCTGACATTGATGAGGCCGCATGACGACAGGCCGAGAAACAGACGATGAGCCATGATCCTTGAGTGTAACAAAGGCCTTCAGCAACTTTCAAAATCAGCGTTAGATACACCCGCAAGATGGTCGCCGGGTTCGCTGGGGCACCCGTCAGCAAAGGTTCGCTTCCAGCTACAACTGTCGGCCATCTAGTCCATGATTTTCCCGCAAGGGTGGTGTACTAATCCTGTCTCTCTCGTCTTCTACGCTACAGGCGCGATCATGCTAGTTTGTTTCAGCTCTCTGCTCACATCGACCCTCAGCTGGAAGCAATATGTACACCTGCAGATCGTGCCACATTTAACTGTGTACCGTCAGGTGAGCGGTATCGTGGTCCCGAAACGTGTTCACATGGCTCTGTAATTGTTGACAAGCCAAAGACTGCATTTTGCAGTACTGGAGGATCTTTGCCCACTACTTTTGCTTCACCGACAGTGCGGATCTTTTCCTAGGCCTCATACTAATTTACCTATGTTTCCGGGAGCAAGAAAGACGGCTCGGCAGCACCCAATTCTTCGTCATGCTCCTGCGTATATGGGCACTCCACGGTGCTATACTCTTCGCCATTCTGAGGGCTCTCGTTGCCATCACCAACACGGTGCTTTTACTCGACTCTCATGCCTACCCGGTACTTACGCACGGTTTCGCTACAAGCGGCCCTTATCCTATCACTATTGTCGTTCTGCTCCACCAGATGCAGACCTCCCCTGGCCTATGGACGGTCCAAGTCGGACCCGCTCAGTTCGACGAGAAAGCCATACAGGGTCTTCTCTCCCTCTTGGTGAGGCAGCGTTAGACAATCTTACCACTTTTACCCTTCGAGCTGACGAGATATGACTTACGTCACACGCAGCTTGCCTTCTCTCGCAGTGGCAATGTGCTTGGCAGCTGCATAGCAGTTGCAATCACTCCCCTCTGCTTACCATGGCCGCGAGGTACAGATGGAAAAGCATGTAGCACTGAACTGCGGTTCAGGCGCCAAGGAGGCGCTTTCGCGCGATTGTCTGCCAGTATGACCTCTTTGCTGTCGTTTCTGCTGCTGCAACGCGTCTCGCGAGCTGTGGTGCATAGCCTGCAAGTAGCCGCCTTGAATCTGATTGGGAACACTCGCAAGCCGCCTAGAAGCAGTCGAGCAGAGCGGCGGCGGGACCCCACCCTCTCTGTTCCAGCACCATTGCCGCAACTCAGCTCCAACTTCTCGTTTAACATGCCCCGGTTCCAAATACGTCGACCGGGCGGCGCGGCTGCTCAAACCCATGCGAACCTTCCGGATGGCGTGCAACATTTTCTCCCTGTGACTGCCACATCTGGGCGACCACCGAACATAGCTGCGCCAGATGCTTATGATGATAACGCTCGGGACTATGTGCCGCCAGCGGCATTACCGGATGGGCAACTGCACATCGAGCCTCCCCCTGCATCCGGTATTCGCAGCATCTTCCGTAATTGTGAGCAAGAATGCCGTTTAATCAAAGACCCTACTCCTCGCCAATCTAGCGTCTGACCCCTCTCCCCCTCTTCCGCCTTCCTCCATCTTTCATGCTTCGTGCCTACAGCACTTCCTGATCCAGTGATGCCTCGCAGCCCGTCCGCATCAGCAGTAGACCCACCGTGGGAGCAGCACATCGCGGTGCTGCAAGATGCATTCCCTTTGCAGTCGCACGAGTCGGTTGTACAAGCATTGCAAGAAAGGTGAGCAAGCGCGACTTACGCTAGCCTTTAGGGAGAGGAATGGAAGAGTGGTAGATGTCTAGATTATCTATGCTACAGTTGTCCCTGCATGGTGTGAACGTGAATGAAGGCCGTGATGCTCAACTGCCGTTCTCCATTTGATTTTTTTTAACTAGCAATGGATCCTATGCACAGGCAGTGGAGCGCTTACTGTCCTCTTGAACTTGAGGTGACGCTGAAATGCGCGCAGCACAACGCAGTGCCTTGCTCTTGTAGCATATCGCGATACAAAGCATCGAGTCTCTTGTTTCACGACGGACGATGGGCACGTACGACACCCATTATTGGGCCTGTGATGGGCAGTTAGATGCATCCAAACATGGATGCATGTCGCAGTGCTACAAACGCTGCAAGCCGCCCTGCGGGTGAAGCGGCCACGCCGCATACGAATGCGTGCGATCACAGTTGATGAGAGGGTTGGAGGCTTTGTGGCCTCTCCAGCTTAGCCACGGGTTGAGAACATGAGCACACCACGAATTTCGCCTGCTGGTATCCATCCTTTGCTCCTCTTGGCCGCTGTTGAATACACGCACTGCCCCGTTGTCCAAATCAGGAAGTGGGTGAGGCCTGGTGATGAAGAATATGCTGGACGAGCTCAGCCGAGCGCTGCTTGTGCTCCTGCGACTCGGCGATGAGGGTTTGTGCTTGCCTTCGCATTGCCTGAGAGGACGGCGACTTGGACAGCAGGAGTGAGAGGGAGAGAGCTTTGGAAAGGAGGAGCAGGTTGTGCGTCGCGCGTACCATGGCGTCCGCCTTGCTCTGCATCTGCAGGCCGTCTTGTGCTATCCGGAACTCGTCCTTGTCCGCGACAGTGGCGAGCTCTACGATGCCGCGGAAGGCATCGAGCAGAGTGGCGATCTCGTCATCGATGGTCTTGTTGGCACTCTCGGCCAGTGCGTCCAGGTGCTCCTGACCGTAAGCGGCTGAAGCGGAGCCAGGTCCTGCTGCATCAGTAGGCCCGGAAGAAGATGATTGGCCTGCCGCAACGCTTGTGCCGGGTCGGCCTTGGTCAGTTGAGGATGAGTTGCGGTTTCTGCTGCTTTGCACTTGAGCGCGAGAAAACCCAGGTGGGAGGTGACCGAGGCGACCGGTCTCGAGGCGAGATGGCCGAGATACGTCTGTGCTGAAAGGCCTTGTTATCGCGTTGGCAGGACCAGCAGCAGCAGTAGGCCCACTGCTGTCCGTGATGCCAGCAGCGGCCGACCCAGCATCTACCGCACTCATCTTCCACCACTATGTTTTTCCCTTCTGCCGGGCTTTAGCGATGAGCCATGCATGTCCTGCTGACCCCCTGTTGTGCCCCGTGTGCAACTGATAGGAAATTCACCGCCTCATCCACGCGAGCAGAAGAGTTCGGCCAAAGTGCCGAGTTCGCGGGTGGGTGTGTGACTTGTGAGGCGGCTGCCTGCTGTGCGGCGCTACCCCAATGCCACCGACCAATGATGCTGGTTGCTGGTGAATGTCTGGGCTGGCACGCCGATCGAGAGTGTGGGATGGGGCTACCCTGGAGGTGTATCCCACGAGAACACAAGACATAAGAGCTCGCGATCCGGCTCTCTCGGCCGAGAGGAACCGGCCAGTGGCTCCGCTGCCCCGTGCAGGGCGGCGGGACGCCGAAGCGCCGAACTCTGAGCGCAGCAAAGCCCCTCAACATCGACGGCGATGACGGCGACGACGTGGATACCCCGTATGCTATATAGTACCCCCGTGATCATACACCTGCGTAGCCGGGTCGAACGACTTCCCCTCGCCATCGTTTCTTTTTGCCTCATCACCGTCATCTTCGTACCTTCCTCCATCCCTACCCCTGCTCGGTTCCTTTTCTCCGCGAGCACGCGTTGCTACGCAGCATGCACGGATGATGACGGAGACAACGGCGGAAGCAGCAACAACAGCAGCGGCAAGCGCGCAATCAGCACCGGCCACGAGATTGCTGCCCGTAACCATCGACGGCAAGCATGCTCACCTCATCCTAGATCATCACATTCTCCACATTCACAAGAGCGGCAGCCCGTCCGCTGGAAATGATGCAGGTGCGCCTCATTCCTGGCGTTTGCTACCTATCCAAGTGTCCTTAAATTCCTGAAGCCTTGTATCTCTCTAAACACAGCTTTCGATCCCTTGCAGGCATATGTCGCCGTGCCGCATGTGCTCGTACTCCGCTGCTCTCTCGTAGCTGACGCGGACGGAGCCTCGCTCCTGCTCAGCTTCCTCTCTCCCGCCCCTGGTAGCAAAAAGGTCCGAGAATGGCTTCGGCACAGATCAGCGATGGAGTCAGCATTGGCCACAACCCATCCCCCCAGAGTCAAATTCGAAGAGCTCAAGGCGCTTCTCGAAGGACCCTTTGCCAACCTGCGTCTGACCAAGGTGGAAGCACGCGTCGCACCCGAACACACTGACACTGCAAGAGAGTGGGTGCAACGTGCTTCTGACTTGGCCTACACATCTCCCATCACCGGCGCACCCATCAAGCCCTACCGACGTCTCCGCGTGCTCATCAACCCGTTCGGCGGACCGGGAAAAGCAAGGGTTCTGTACGAGACGCGCATCCGGCCCATCCTTGAAGCGGCTGGCTGCAAGCTCGACGTAACAAACACGACACATCGCAACCACGGCCTCGAGATTGTCCGCGACGAAGCGGAACTGCCGCGCAGCTGCGACGCCATTGTCACCGTCAGTGGGGATGGACTGCTGCATGAGGTGCTCAATGGCTTAGCTACTCGCCCGACCGATGCGCAGCACGCGCTAGCATCCCTGCCAGTTGTTCCGATCCCGACGGGAAGCGGAAACGCGACCAGCGTCTGCCTCCTCGGTCCCCAGCAAGGCTTCAACCTCGCCCAGGCAAGTCTCAACGCGATCAAGGGCCAGGTCATGGCGTTGGACATTTGCAGCGTCACCCAGCCGACCAGCGAAGGATCAGCCGGCGTTCTTTCACAAACAAACGGCGCCGGCGGATCTACACAAGGATGTGGCAGCAAGCGGCGGAGCCGAGCGTTGCAATCTGAAACGGCAGAACAGGATGGCGGTGCGGACGCGCAGGCGCCATCCTCCGTACCCTCTGCGTTCACTTCCTTTACACGCTACTATTCCTTCCTCTCCCAAGCCATCGGTCTCATGGCAGACGTGGACATCGGTACGGATCACTTGCGCGCGCTCGGCGACACACGCTTCATCCTCGGCTACCTCGGCGGCGTCGTCACCAACACGGAAGCGCTCGTGCACGTTGACGTCAAACTCGGCTCGAAAGGAACCATCAGCCGTGAGGAGATGCGCGTGCGTGCGGCGGATAGGTGCGCGTTGTCTGCCGGTGGTGATAACGATGCGCAAAATGTAGATTATGCAGTCTCATCTCAAGCGTTACCAGGCCTGCAGCATGGGGCTGTCACGGACGATATCGGCGGCGACAACTTGCCAAGTCTCGATCTCCTAGACCCGTCTTGGACCAAGTCGAAGTCACTGCTGCTGAAAAATAGCGGAAGCACCAATGAGAAGAGCAGCCTAGCAGCGAGCGGATCCGCCGAGACGAACGGCAGTAGCGCCACCGCCGCCGCCGCAGGATGGGCGCGTGTGCGGCACCCGATCTCAACGCTGTACGCAGGCAAGCTGCCATATGTCGCTCGCGACCTGATGCAGTTCCCATACGCTCTACCGGGCGATGGGACGATCGACATTGCGCTGCTACTGCACGCCGGCGGCCGGGCAGGCAAGCTGCGCACGATCGCCGGCGCTGAGACGGGAGCGGCGATCTATGACAAGGCCGTCAGCTACGTCAAAGCCGAGGCGTTCCGCGTGACGCCGCGCCTGCCTGCGGGCGACAAGCGCCTTAAGAAGGGTGGGCTGATCTCCATCGATGGCGAGGCTGTGCCGTACCTGCCGTTCCAAGTCGAAATCACGCCGGGCTTGCAACTCAAGGTCCTCAGCGTATACGGCAATTTCCTCGCTGCGCCACTCGAGCCGCCAGCCAAAAACGGCGGCAGCGGAGGCAGTAGCAGGGACAACGAGAACGATAGTAAATAGGGATTTGGGCGAGTTGTGGGCCAGATTAACGCATCCCTCAGCCTGGCAGTCAGGCTGCCGGTGCTCCATAATCACCCACAGCTCGCCCTTCTTCTCGCACTCCTCATCATACCCATCGCGCTCTTCCTCCACTTTTAAGTAGGCTGGATTATCTCAAAACACACAACAAGGAGGTTCAGTGTCTCGCAGATTGTAGCTCAACGTGTGCGCGACACCTCCTGATAAAGGCTGCGTGTATGGCAGAGCAGATGTCTCTGTATTATTCTTTTTGTGCGCGAGCAGAGTAAATACATGCCTTGCTGGCTCAATTGCCAACAGGGTACATGCAAGCTGGTCACACGCGGGGCGATGGGTGAACCATTTAGTCAAAGAGACCGAAGCCCATGTCATCGTCCGACTCCTCGGCGTCCTCCTTCTTCTCCTCCTCGGCAGCGGCAGCAGCCGGGGCGGCCTCAGTGGCAGCAGCAGCGGCCGGGGCGGCGGCGAATGCATCGGGGTTGGCCAGGTACTCCTTTGCCTGTTAGAATCACAAGCGGGGGAAAGGAATGGGAACAACAAAGTAGTCAGCATCGACGTAGTGTATTTCTGTAAGCCTGGTGCAATGGCATCTCGGTGTAGAGACACGACACTAGACTTGACAACTCAAGAGGTGGCTATCCACATAGGCGCAAACAAAGCCTGAGATGGGCGACTCTACCGCAACGAACTGTGCCTCCGCCGTTTGCCCCTTCCCCGATCTATTCCCGCTTCCCACTTCCCACATCCGGTAGCAGTCGTGGCGACCTCAGGGCCAGCGGAATGCTCGACCATATGCTTCTCGTCCTCAGCTTTTCAGCCGATCCGAATTTTCAGTGTGTAGCATCACGTGGTCGTCGACTGAGACTGAGCTCCGCTATCCTACCCTTGTTTTTGCCACCTTGCCAACTGGTCCACTTCCAATCCAACTCATAATGTAGCGATCACAATGAAGAAAGCTCACCTTCTTAGAGCCCTCGAATTCGTAGTCGGTGGCAAGCGAGACAGCAAGGAGGTTCTTGTACGAGTTGACGAGCGAGTGCGCAACGCTGGCAATGGTGGGGAAGTTGAGCGCGAGCGAGATAGCTGCGATCTGCTTGATACCAGAAGTGAACTGCTTAATCAAGTCCTCCTCCTCAACGTCCAGGACGCTGCTCTCAAAGGTGTTGCCGTTGTCGTAGATCTGGACGACAGTCATACCGTAAGTGAACGGCGAGATGTTGAGCATGTTGAGCAACATGGCTTCGGAAGATCCGACACGAGTGCCAGCAGTGACGACCTTAACATCCGAGACGATTTCGATCGTACCGCGAGCAATCTTGGTGGGGACACCGAGAGCTTGGAAGAAGGAAGTCTTGCCCGGCTCCATACCGGTGTTGCCGGCCTTGACAGTAACATCGTCCGGAGCGTAGGCGCCAGCCCTGGCAGGGGCAGCGACACGGTTGGAAAGGATGGCAGTGCGAACCTCCTTGAGGTCACCTGAGGTGAAGACAAAGCCGATGTTGCCCTTGACGTGAGGCATAAGCTTCTCGAACTCGGGCTTCTCAGAAATGATCTGGCGGATAGCGCGCCTGACCATCGTGTTCTTGCCCATCAAGACGACGGCCTTGCCGCGCAGAGAAGCACGGATCTGGTGCATCTGCTGGGAACCGACATTGTCGACATTGACGATGAAGATGGAGGTGTAGGCCTCGAAGAGCTCGTTGAGCTTAGTGAACCAAGCCTCCTTCTGAGCACGAGTGCCACCCATTTTGACTGTTTCGTTAAAGAGTTGTGCGTAACGAGGGATTTACTTCCTTTCGAAATTAAGGAATGTATGTCCTTTTAACAATTCAAAGAGCCGCCGATGACCACGACACACGGGATGCAAAGGATATTTACTGAAGGCACGACAAGGACGGCAGTCAGTCAGCATTATGTTTCTTTTCGCACATCATTCGACAGCGGCCGCCATCACAACGTCGCTTCCGTTCATACTCACAGGCTCTGCGTTAGCGAAAGCAGTCAAAGCACTTACGAGATGCAATGCCAAATAAGTACGACCCATCGACCACAGCGAGCATGCTTCCCAGCGCGAAGCCAGGTAGGTGTAGGCAGCGGAGTGGGCTGAATAAATTCCGCAGGGTGAGCGACAGTCTGAGCATCAGAAAGTGTGAGACGCCGAGGGCCCAGTGATAAAATCACCGACATCATCTTTTGTAAATCCAAACACCATGGGGCCCTTTCCGCTGGTCCGGACGCTTGGAGCATCAAGTTAGCTGTTGGACACATCGTGCCAAGAAGTAACACAAAGGCTTGCTCGACGGGCGCGTAACCACGGTGAGGAGGTCAAGAGATGAGGTCCGGGTTCACCGTCGTGCTCCTTGGTTAGCGACGGGGAAAGGCAAGCGGCCATGGCACCCAGGCAGTTGCTGTTACTCCCACAGCGGAGCTCAGCATCGGCCGCCGCCGCCGCGCCTCGATCCATCCCGGGGCCGTCCCGACAGGGATCACAGTCATGCGTTGGCGCGATCACAACCGTCTGGGATGTTCAGGTGCCATCATGGGCACGGCAAGCGCGTCCTCGTAGGACGATCGCTTCTTTATCTTCGGCTGCGTGTCAGCATCACGTGAGCCATCGTCGGAAGGCGCAGAATCTAAAGCATCAGCAACAGCAAGCACGGGCATCCTCATCGCATCGAGATGATGAGGACCGCGGCCAGCTCTTCTTTAAGAGCTCTATGTCATCATCGATCGAGGCAAACGCGGATCACCCGTACGAAAAGCACGATGAAGGAGTGTATGAGGCGCTATTATGGCAACGACTCCGCCGAGCCAAGCAGGATGAGGACCGTAGAGCGCTGCAACCCCATGCAGCCCCCTCTCTCAGGTGGGCAGACGTGGCGGGGCAGCGTCAAGCTGGTGCTGCCTGGCCGTCGCAATCGCCTCAGAATCTCACACCCGACTCAGACAGCATCCAAGCTTGTCTTCCTCTCATATACGGACTCCCGGGGAGACCACCTGCTCCACCTGCTCCACCGCCGCCAGCAAGCGAATCAGAGCAAGTTGCTCAGCCGCCCGGTCGGGAAGCGCACAGACCTTCGCAGATGTTCCATCGCCTGTCCACCATTATTCCACCGGAGACTCTTGACAACCTTATCCTTGAAAAGGCAAGAGCTTTGCTCGCAGGACGCCTCAGACCCAACGAAGCGTCGACCCGTGCCCGCGATGAGGCACTGACCCTGGTCGAGCGCATAGGCCCAGCTTCCTCTCCAAATATTTCATTAGTCGAGCTGGAAATCAACACTCTACTCCTAGGTGTTTCTGTCAAGGCAGTGCACAGCTCCTCGGCTCCGTACAAGCGTTATTGTCTAGAGATCGAGGCCGCCAGGGCCTGCTACCTCGATCTTTTTGCGGCGCTTCCCGGTACGCAACGTGGCATACCGCAGGAGCTCCTGCGGTTGCAACGTGCAGCCGTCTTCCGGTTATTTGAGCTCCTCTTTTCCTCAGCCAATGCAATTCTGTCGCAGCTGCAGCAGGAGGAAAGGACACTGTCGCAGCTCAACGTCGCATGCGCGAACCTAGTCGTCTGTGCACGACTCGCATCGGACCCTCTGCTCAAGCCTTCTACGTCTCGTCTGCTCGTCAAACGCCTGATTTCGGGTCTTGCGGAGGAGCTGGCAGCGGTGAGGCAAGCACATGCTAGGAGCTTGCTCCAGCGAGCTGCTATGGCAAAATGTGAGACAGCCGCGCTGGATAAGAGCGTAGAGATGCAGGAGAAGTCTCACATGCCATCAGCGACGCAAGAGGCTCGCGTGCGCTTTCGACTGCTGGAGCGGAGGATCCGCGCGCTTGCCCACAGCGTCGCTGATCTGCTCGAGCTACGCGTCTTCACGATGGAGGAGGAGAAGGACCGAGCGCTCGTCGAGAAGGTTGTGCTCCTAGCTGCGTCACGGCATGCTACGTATAAGCCCCTCCTTACGCTTGCAAGAGCGGCATGTGCGCAGGCACGGGCGCTACCAGCGCCAGGAGAAACGGCGGGGAGCGGGATTCACTCCGCCGACCCCATGCTTTTGAGCGAGGTGACTATCTCGAAGACACTTCGCACGCTGCTCGATGGGCAGTGCGGCGCACCGAAAGCCAAACGGTTGGATTTCTCTGCCGAGCGTTACAACGCGATTCGCGAATTCTTCTTTGAGATCCTGCATCCTGCTCAAAGATCGCGAGATCTGCATTTGGTGCTCCTCCGATATTTCGGTGAGGCGCCCATCTCGAGCAGCCCTCAGCCGCTTTCGGCGGCCGCATTGGCGGGGGCAGCAGCAACCGCAGACAATACCGACGACGGGAGGGGCATGCATGATCGCGTCTGGGCGTCGCTCCTCGCCTCCTTTCCAGATGCAATTGCGCAGATGCCGACGTTCGCCGCGCGATTTGAGTCGCATGCGATGCACGGCAATGCGCAAGGCATCGTTGGGGATCTGCTGCATATGCAACGTGCGGGTTTGTTCTGCGGTGCCTCTTCGGCTCCTATTGCTGCTGCTGCATCGTCGTCGTCTTGTCTTGCTGTTGCGAGAGCGTCCCCTCCGTCGACGCCTACACTGATGACGGCAACGATAACGACGACGGCGCGTGGGACTGCGCAGGATGCAAGCGCAAGTGTGCAGCTGGATGTGCTGGATGCAGACATGCTCGCTCATGCCGCCAAGGCGTTTGACGCAGCTGCGAAGCGCAAAAAGGCAGGGGCAACATCAGCGAAGAATACGCGCCAGCGGTGATGTGATGCACCGCGCGACAGAGTGGGCCATATATGAATTCCCACCCCACTCCCCACGCGTCATGCGATGTGCGGGCATTTGTAGCAGTAGCAGTAGCAGCAATCTGATGGAGCAGGACACAGCCAAGGAGCATCAGTTTCAACCACTTTGAAAGCATGCTATTCCATTGTCACGCTCTGCTCGGTGCTTGCCGGCAGAGTATGAGAAAGCGAGAAGGGGGTAGAGGGTGTGAAAATGCTACAGAAAAGGGCGGCACGCGGATTATGTTACAGTGGTTCTTCTAGAAACGGGCCCAGGAGCGGTCCGAAGAGGAAGGGTCAGTTCATTGCAAGGGGTCCGTTGTTGGTCCATTTTGCGAGATCGTCCATGGCACACAGACAGCGAGAGAACAGAGCAGGGTAAGAGGCGGGTGTGAACAAGGGGGCAAAAGCAGCAGTAGCCTGCACCAGGCTGCTTTCGTGTATCATAGCGTCGCACTGTGCGCCTGGTCCGCCCAAACGGCAGCAGCTGCTGCGGCAACTTGCTCCCGCTTCTGCATCTGGGCGTCCTCGGCCTCGATATCCGAGCGCTTGCGCCACCCCCACCATTGCTCTGCAGACCAGGGGACCGACTTGGTGTTGGTCTTCTTTGTCGTAGTAGTCGTTGTCTTCTTCTGTTGGTGTTGGTGCTTGCTACTCTCTTTCGCCGGCGCTGGCTGCGCCTGGCTCTCGCCTCCGCCGCCGTGGTAGCCCTTCAGCTTGACGTCAGCCTTCCGGAATAGGTTCACAAACCAGTGCGGCAACGTCGCTGGGCTGGCCAACGTCGCCGAACTGGACGCACCAATTTTGCGGAAAGTGGTGCTGCCACGGGTGCTCGCGAGCGCCAAAGCGCGGCGCCCGCTGCCGCTGAGCAGCTGTCCGATAATCTTGCTGAGGTCGGAATTGCCGCTGAGCGCGCCAATCGCGGACTCGATGGCGCTTAGCGAAGGGCATCCCGGGCTGATGGTCGTTGAGATGGGTATAGCGATGCCGATGCCGAGGACGGAGATCTTTCCGTTTGCCTTGATGTTGAGAGTGACGGTGCCGGAGGAGCTTCCGCTCCCACTTTTCCAGCCGCACTGCGTGGCGACGCTCTGCAGCGCCTCGTTGTTGGGGTCCTCTGTCGGGTTATACAGCGAGATGCTGAGCGGGAAGTGGATCGTTGTGTTGGTGTTGGCGGCGATCTTTTGGTTGCTCAGCGTGCCTTTACCGATCGTCACGTTCGGCACGTTCTTTGTGGTGATCTGCAGGAAAAGAAAGTGCTCAGCAAGCAAGCTCTTCTGTAGCATGTATGTAAGGGACGAGCAACTCACCACAGCGCTGAGGTGCTGGACCGTCGCCGAGATCGAGTTTGGGTTGGACACAGAAAAGTCGATGGTGGTGTTAAAGCCAAAGGCCGAGTTGGTGGCATCTACGTACGGCACCGGGACCGTCGCTCCGTCAAGCGCAAAGTTTGGTGGCCGAGCGAACTTTTAAAAGGGAGGGGATCATGAGCGACGCATGAGGGACTGTATCAGGTGTGTCAGCTCTTGAGAGAACTCACGACAAACACCAGACAGACTGCCGAGATGATGGTGATGGCAGCGAGGATCACAACGCAAAAGATGGGCCCGCAGACTTTGGCGAAGTGGCTTCGCTCCTGGAACGCGCGCTTGTCCTCCTTGGACCAGATGCTCTTCTCCGAGTAGGTCCCCAAGGGCGCTGCGACACCACCCGGCCCGAATGCGAACGAAGGGTCACGCATCGCGTGCATATTTCCCGCGCCGTGGACGCCACCAGCGTTGTCCTTTTCCTGCACGCCATGCATGTCACCGTCAGTGCCAGCTGCGTCGCTCACGAGCGAGTTGCTGCGCTGGTGCAGGCGCTGTGCTTGGTTCGCGTACGCAGCTTGGTCGGACTCGTTGGTCGGATAGCGGGTGTGGTCGCTGTAGTTGCCACCGTATCCGTCCTCCCCGCCGTCCTGTGGGTAGGTTGGATAAGACGGGTACGAGGGATAGACGGAAGACTGCTGGGCTTTGGAGTCAGTGAATGGATAGGACATGCTACAGCCAGCCTAGTGGCTATGTGCATAACAAACAGCCCAGAAGCAGAGGCGCCACCGCTGACTGCACCCAACGGTCTTGTGCTTCGGCCGAGGTTTTCACTTGGCACCTGCACCCTGCTGGCCAGCAGTGAGGAGGGTTGCAGTTGCGTGCGTTGTTGGATTGAATGCACGCTCCAAGCCAGGAGGGAGATGACAACTGCCTTTGATAGCTGCTCTTGCTGCTGCCGTGATGGGGTGATCGTGGTAGACCTGCGGAAGAGGAGAGCGACGCAAAGAACAGCGAACAGCGTATTGTTGTGGGAGTCTCCACATTTCGCCTTTCTACTGCGCTGTGCACCGTCTGTGCATGAGAGCAGTCTCTAGCCGCCCTCCAGACTTGGCGGCACGGTGGTGTCTCCTCCGGTGCGGTTCCGCTGCTGCACTGCATTTGGTTTTATTCTTCGATCGCACTGTTGCCCCACTCAACGTTCGCATCCTCGCACGGCGCCCAAGCAGGCAGGCAGGTAGATGCAAGCGAATATCCTAATTGTCGTAGAACTAAGAAATATGTTGACCTAGACGGCTTTCTCTCTCTTTAAGGCGAGAAACTTGGGCGGAAAGAAAGGGGTGTTGCTCCATATCGACACCAGTTGTGACTTGCGCCGGTCTGATTTCTTCATGCTGTAATGCTTCATGCCTTCAAAGGTTCATCTTGAAGCCGCAGAGAGCATGGACTCAAAGATCGTACGTCATCAGCTGATGGACGACTGTCTTCATCTCAGTCTATCCTCGCGACATTTTGCGGATTGAAAGTACATTGGTGATCGTTCGGTATCTCACTATGTCTCGCGCCGTCCACCTGAATCCAAATGCTCGTGCCTTCCTGGATAGGGTTGTTATAAAGGAGAGGTATGGAAAAGGCAAAATCGTGCCGCAAGCAATAAAAGAGACAGTAGTCAGTGGCAAGGATCCTGTAGGGAGACATAATAAGTTGTTGGAGAAGCTGCGTATCTCATATCAGAAGCGACCATCAAGAGGGCCTTGAAACAAGTCAGAGTGATGGTTGAGAGTTCGGACAAGCCCGAGCCTAGATCTGGCAGACCGATTAGAGATACGTCATCACCTACCTCGTCCGTTGAAACAACGCGATCTATCCGGGCGAAGCGGCGGCACGCTTGGCGCAAACCCTCCAGGCAAAGGTCACGCCAAAAACTATCTCTAACTAAATCACAGAGGCAGGGTTGTCCCCCAAGAGGGCCAACAGCGGTTACCAGGAGCAAGGTGAGCTGCATCGCGAGGTATACAACGTGCTTAATAGATAGTTTACCGTGAGGCAAATCTGCTTGGCTGACGAGGCTGATCTCGACATGCGAACCACCCGAGATGTCGCCAGGAGCGAAAATGGCATACCGCTCGTCATTGCACGGCAGAGGCGGGCGACCGCGCTGGCATGGACGACGATTGCCTCACGTCGGGTGAGAAGCCGGTCGACCGAATCGGAAGAGCGGATGATTTCTAGACCCATCGAGCATGTCAGTTTCGGGTCGAGGGAGTTGAATAGGAGGTGATTGTAGGCCGGCGTGATGGTGCGACGGGCGAATGCCACCTCCTTGAGCCATTTGGGGCAGTGAATGGGATCATCATCGTACTCCTGGATCACCTTGTCCGCCCGAGCCAAGATGCCCCTGTTCAGACAAACGATGTTGCCAGGGTGTACGGTCCCCCCCCCCTTGGATCACTCGTCGCCGGGGCCAGTGCTGCGATCATCCTGTGGAGAAGCTCGGTAGGGGAGTGGGGGCGGCCCTTTGGTGGCATGTCGACGAAATTTTTCCGTTGTAGACAGTTGACGAAATAATGGAAATACTTTTATGAAATCTATTGCATCCGTCGGCGCTCACAGTAGACTAATGCGCAGAGATGCAGAGGAACTTTACGAAGGCAGGGATCATGGGTAGGTTCATTCAATTCCTAAGAGCACACAAGTGCACATAGCATAGCCGAGCATGGATGAGAGGGGGAGACGCTAGAAGATGGGCCTATGGTGGGGACCACTTCACCGCAGGGCTGAATACACGGTCATGTATTCCTTCCGTCCTTCACAACATTACAAGCCTTCTCGCTCTTTTGCTCCCTCCCATTGCGCGCGAGCGTATATACGGTAAAATAATAGGTTACATACGTGATATATACATTTTCGTAATCTAAAGTACGTTTCCTTTTCCCCTTTTAATGAGCAGCTTTCCAGCGTCCTGGCGGGGTTGTAGAGTGGGGAAATGGTGATTTGCAGTGCATTATGGTCATGTCGGTGTCAGCGGGAACTCGCTCGGCAAGTTCCCTCCCTGTGTTCCCGTTTTGTTCAGTTCTTGGGCAACCATTTGATGCCAGTGCTGGGGCAGTTGGTGTCGCCCGCGAGCGGGGCCACCTGCGTGAAGGCATCGGTTGTCGTACTGCGACCGTTAGTGTGGAAGTAGATGTACACCTCGTTCAAGTTGCCCGATGTGCAGCGGAAGCTTGTCGTCTGCCCGAACGCAGCTTTGGTGCTATCACAAAAATAACATCGGCATGTCAGCGACACAGGTACAGCGACAAGGATTCGGCCTTGATGTCTGGAGAACTCACGCGGCCTGCATCTGGGAGAGCGTGTACGTCTTGGACGAAGATGGCGTGATGCCCGCGTCTGTGAGGGCGCCGTAGATGTCATAGCTCTTGAACAGATCCGTCGTCGTCTGCAAAAAGTCAAATAGGTCCTCGTACTGCGTATAGTTGGGGTAGCAGCTCGGGTCGAGCGTCGAGATGCACGTCATGTGCTTGGCAACCTCGTGTTCCCAGAAGGACTCGTTATCACCGTTGATGTCTACCCAGTACTTGTTCATGAAGTTCAGCAGGCCCGTCTTGCCGGCGTTCTTGAGCTTACTCGAGATGCCCATGTAGGCACGGCTCGAGTCTGAAACCATCCATCCGTCACGGATTCAGCAGCAGACCTTTACGGCCCAGCCCCGATGTTTGGATACTCACCGCACGAGCTTCCGTATCCGCCATTGCAGTAGTCAGGCCATTGACCGTGGATAGTGAACGAGTCACCCGGGCCCGTTGAGGGGTTGTAGTCCCAGAACGTGGTAAGCAGGATCAGGCCGCCTGGACGGTTGACCTGGCAGGTGGACGTCGAGTTGGCGCACGAAGTGCACGAGGTGCAAGCTGCGTACGCGGTGCTGGCGAGCGCGACGAGTGCGCTCAGACCGCGGAAGAACATGATGGAGGGGTGGAGGAAAGGAGTATGCGGATGTGGCAGGACGTACTGGAGTATCATAATGCGATGACTTTGAAAGAAATGCTTATATGGCCTAACACAAGAGAGGGGGAAGATCACGACGTATCATTTGGTCGATTATCGAAAGACCTAACTTCGCGTGCTCCGCCTATGAATGTAATCACACAAGCTGGCAACGTGGTCGGTGATTCAGGCCCTACAGATGTTTCAGAGGGTCACATGTCAACAGCTCGAGGGCGGCAAGCATAAATGCAGATGGCAAATGATGCACATCTGGCAGACGGTGCATGTGCATGCCAAACAGAGAGACCCTTTAGGGCAGGAGGCAAGGCAGCAAGCAGAGCGCGACGCGAGTTATCAACAATTGCAGCACCCCATCTCATATTCCCATCAGCAGACTGACGGCCGCCGGCCGAGGACGCAGGAAATGTGTCCGCATGAACAGGACATGGCATGATACGTTTCCCCACGTGATGTATGACGGCAACGTGGATTTTTGGCGTGCAAGCTACAAGCTTGGCTGGCTAGCTGCCCGCTGCACCGTAATATAAAGGATAATACGTAAGTAGTATGTAGTGATGCTTGTGGCGCCACTAGCCCGCCACGCTCGAATGTAGAGTGTCGAAAAGGCTATCTGAATGCGAAGATCGAGTTAAAATGAGCAGCTAGCACACTTTTTGGAGGCCGCATCTGACAGCCTTGTGTTGAATGGGAGTGATCAATGGAGTGGCCGCTTGCCACATTCATTTGAGCAATCGCGCATGGCTGCAGTCTGCTGTCACTTCCGTGGGGGGGGATCACGTGGGCACCCCCATCGATGCCCTCGAGCCTTGGCGACTCGGAAACTGCCTGCGTGACGAATTACATGTGGATACATGAGAGGCAGTACGAATTATCAAAACGAAAGTTACCTGGGGCCTGAGCCGGCGCATGGTGCTTGTAACCCTATTCTTTCCTCCATCGATTTGTCCTCTGTATTCCACGCACGGACCATTGAGAGTTGAGAGAATACAAAAAAGGTCCAGGCTCGAAACATGACTGATCGTCACTATATTGGATTTGATTGTTGCCGCCATCACCGTCATGCAAGTGGGAGTATGGATGTTCGCGGGACACGAGGGTGAATGAGGACGGGACTTTGCTTACTGTAACTTCAGCAACCTTCTCTCTTACCCTCCTGGGCTCTTCATAAAGGATGTTAACACGCGGCATCCCTAGAGCAGCCACCGCCCTACGACACAAGCTAGCAACGGCTCCGCCCACGCCACTGGCCTTTGCGCACCTGCTACCCTCACGTCGCTTCTGCGTTTGCTCCAGCAACCCGAGCCGCCACGCAAGCGTGCCCACCAAGCTCAGCGGCACCATGTCGATCAGATACACCGCCAGCATACGCTCTAGAGAGCCCGTAAGCGACGACCAGACAAAGTGGGTTGGCCTGCAAGCCATCAAGTGGATCGACCCAGCAGGCAAGGAGCGGACGTGGGAAGCGGCCGACCGCAAGACGCGCAAGGGGGAGGTGGACGCCGTTGCGATCTGCACTATCATCGAGCGTCCGTCGTCGGAGCCGCACATTCTGCTCGTCTCGCAGTATCGCCCCCCTGTCGATGGCTGGGTCGTCGAGATGCCAGCCGGCTTGGTCGACCAGGGCGAGGAGGGAAAGGAGGGCTCGACGCGCGCTGCGCTGCGTGAGCTGCAGGAAGAGACTGGCTACGGAGGCCCGAGCAGCGGTGATGGCAGCGATGGGCGAGGAGAGCTGAACGTACTGGAGACGTCCGACATCATGGCAAACGACCCTGGCATGAGCGGCGCCAATATGCGCCTATGCGTCGTCAAGATCGAAGTTGCGGACGATGCGCCAGAGCCGGTCGCGCAGCCCGAGGAGGGAGAATTCATCGAAAAACATCTTGTACCGCTCAAAGGACTCTATTTGACCTTACAAGGTACGTAACCCTCCGCGACTGTCTCTAAGTGGCAAACCCCCGAAATGCGCTGCTTACCCGCCTCCTTCTCGTACAGAAATGCAACGCAAAGGCTACAGCGTAGACGCGAGACTCGCACACTTTGCCGTCGGACTCTCCATTGCGGATGCAGCGGCACAGGGTGGGAAAGGTGCATTTATCACTGCTTTCTCTTCCACCGGTGCCACACCACGGAGCTGAATGGTCAATGCACGCCTGAGGTGGAAGAGCTTAGACAGACTGGCAGGTTGACAAGCGCAAGACGTATTTTCCTGCCACCCTATCTTGTACTTCAAAATTCGACGACATAGGCTCCGGCAACTGCGGGTCGTTTTGGGTTCCGACAAGCGAGATTGTGGAATGGGTCATGTGACCGTAGTTCAGGTAGTTGAGCCCTTTAGAAACAACCCCCTCCCCCCGGGGCCCACGCTCGCATAACGCGTGTCATACAAGTCTTGAACCCTTCCCTGAGACAGACGACGGGAAAAGCAGTACAGTGTCGATCCCGGACATGTTTCAAAGCGATCATTCTTCTTGGGTTGATGCGAATTTTCCAGGCTGAGGTTGTCGAATACCCTCGTGGATGACCTGTAATTCTGCTAATCTGCGAGCCGGTAAAGTTCAGGGATGTGACGGACAACTACGTGTCCGTTTCCATCTTGCGGGGGAATACGATCACCGTGACCAAGGGACAGTACCACTATGAATCCTTCCTGAAGGCAAAGGCAAGCCAGGCAAGACCCATTCTACACTTCTTCGAACAGGGCACTTGCAACGTCTCACTCCCATCTTCTACCGACCCCAAAGCTAGCGCAAACAAACAGCAAAAAGTACCCAAGAATCAAGGGGCCTCACAAGTTGCCTTCAGTTTGGCTCCGCCTTCGCGGGTCCTGGCATTCTCCTTCGCAAACCGCTTGGGCCAGCAAAATGCAGCTGCATGAACAAAGGGGAACAATGCTTCAGGATCGATTCCACACTGCAAAGCTCTAGCCGTACACGAGTCTGCAGTGAGCAGAAGTGATCATGCGTCAATTCCGGTAAGACAGGCTCCGAGGAATGGCTTTCATCACTTACCTAAAGATATCATTGAACACGTAGAACGAGCCGCCCTCTGGGTTCAGGGTGAAGGTTTGCGTGAATTGAAGTGGCGCTGGGGAGTCGTCGACCTGATAGACGCAGCGAAATCCAGGTTCTGGCGTTAAAGTATGTTTTGCAGAGATCACCCGAAAATCATGCACCCACCAATAGCTTGCCGGTCACTTGCACAACAAGGGAGGTGCCGTCTGCACCTGTCGGCTGAACATCTTTCGTGTCAACCTGGTGCTTCACCTGCTGGAATGGCAATGACTGCAAGCCCGGAAGGCATGTGAGTAAAGAAAAGTGCGAGCATGGTGGGTCAGAAGAGTTCCCGGCATGCGGACTGTCGCTGTATGCGCCAAGGTCGTGAGAGCGATGGTATAAACATTTGTACCTACCTTGAGCTTCTCGGTGATCGCTGCAGCACCTTGCGTTTGACTGCCCTCGAAGGTGAGCATCGAATGATCCCGCTGGTAGATTGAGCATCAGTGTGCATGTGAGCGAAGGAAAATTGTGGATGCGGAGAGAATCACCACAGCGAAAGACATCGATGATAGGCGAAGTCGGTGTCAGATGCACTACGATTGCGCATTTGCTTCTCTGCGTCACTTACGTAAAGACTCGCAAGCTGGTCTCTTGCGCTGTCGAATTGGGAATAGTAGAATTTGACAAACTATGCCAGGGCGAAGACATGGTGGCAGAGAGCAAGAGAAACAATGGTTAAGAGCTGCAACCGCGCCAAGTCTTTCTTCCAGAAGCAAGCCCTTCGAGCGACCGCAGCGGGAGCTGGCGGCAGCGGCGGCGGGCCGAAGGATGAAGGGCGGCTTACCTGATCTGCGACTGCCTCCATCTTGATGGCTTTTCGGTGCGTCCGAGTCAAGTAACTGATGTCAAACACGAGCACAAGTACCGAAAGTCAAATGGCCTTGCTTCGAGAACAGTGAGAAGATCATGTTCATCGTTTCGCGATTTTGGGTCGAGCTCTCTCTCGCATCTGTGAGGTCTCTCTCGCTCTCAGCTGCGCACAGGTCAAAAGGCGCACGCTGGCACGTGACACTTCTCAGTGCCACCGAAGGCACGACGCGACACTTCCCAGCGCGAAAGACACCCGCGCTTCTCGGCCGCGGCGACGGAAAGCAACAGTTCTTCATCAAGCCCCTTTAGTTAGCGAGGACTCGGCTTCCTCAGCACCAGAACATCCGCCTGAATGCATCTGTTCCGCTCGTGCTATTCCTGTCACGCAGGAATGCAGGAGGTCTACGGCAGCACGCACCTGTGTGCCGATCATGAACCACGCAAATTTGGTGTATGTGGAGACCTACGGTGACATGCTTCAAATCACGGACTCACGGGTGACTTTTCCACACAGCGGGCAGGCGGCACAGCGCGCGGGCTGGGCGAGGCACGCCCAGCCCTAGGACCTGGTTCGCCTTTGACAGGTTGGTGTATGTTGTGAGGACCTGACGAATTGTATAATCTCTCCAGAGTTACAGGCCATGGCCCAAAGTCCGTCGAATATCGATCATGTACTCTTTCCTTCCAATGTTCCGCCCATCGAACGAATCCAGCCACGCTCTGCCTAGACCGGCGTTGCTCGCAGATACATAACAGATAAGCGGATACGGCAAAAAGACCAATGTGTGCATATATGGATACATGGTATAAGGCGCATAGACGCTCGTGTGACTCTGACAGAGTCTGGTCGGCGACAGGCAGTGCCCTGCGCTGGCGCTCCCAGCTCTCCCACCGCAGTCTGCACAACAAAAAGCCAAAACGTCGCGGAGTGGATGTTGTTGGCCTCGACCGTTGGCGGTTATCGTCATGATGCTCATCCTTGCTGCACAAGAGCACACATGTGGGCCATGCATCTCCAATTGACTTCTACCAAACTGCCCCACACTTACACGGTCGCGGAAAACCATGACCTCGCACCCCCCTACTAGCTTCTACCACTTCGGACCCCGCTCACAGCTTCGGCGTGTTCCTTGTCGGAGTGCATCTCACGGCAGGATTCGTATTCGCCGGACTGCAGGCTGTATCGCAGGTCTTGAGCGCTAAACTGCAGCCAAAGTGCAGTCTACACATACGGCTCGCAAAGTATCGCGGGGTAACTGTCGGGCGTTCAGCTCGGGCTTCGGGCGACAGCCGATGAGGGACTACGATGGTGCACGTTGAAATGGCACAGGGTTACTGTCTGGACCTGTCTCGCTCTCATTTCCTTTGGAAGGCAAGGGGGGTGGCCGTCATGCGGCATCGTGACTCTTTTTTACTCGGCGCAAACGAGCTCCTGCCGTCATACGCGGCGGCTCTGCTTACTCACTTGCTTACGCGGCAGTGTCATCAGTCTTCTTCCCAAAGCCTCGTTAATGGGGAGTTGCCTCGACGTCAAATGTCAATCGCCCTTGAATCGAGCAGCCCGGCAAAGTATTCGCTGCAATGGGCAAGGCCACAATGGACAATCCCTTCTGGTTGACGCATCCCCCCCTCAGTCTCCCTCTCTCTTCCCCTTTGCAAATCATCTTGAATAAAGTAACTTTTACCATTCCTTGACCTCGCTCCCTCTTCTTGGTTCTCCCTTGGCTGCCTGGTGTTCCCCAAAGACCTTGATAGCTAGACTATCAGGTTGTTTCTCTCCTTATTTCACTCTTCTCTCCTTCTGTTTCTTGTCACTCATTTCTATTCTGGAGCAGGTAGTGAGTAATGCACCGGAGGTGAAAGGACACGTCCGCATTTGCGTCCCACTGATTGCTCGCCTCCTTCATCAGCTCCTTTTCCCCTTTCCCTATCCTTTTGGTCCTTCCAGCTCCGTGGCGCCAACAAGCAAGAGATCGTCCTGTCCAGGCAAATCTTTCAAGTGATCCCGACGCGACGCTCGGTATAATCTCGACACCGATCGACCATTTCAGCTCCGTCCAACAGCCTGCCTACTCGACTGCTCTGTGTAGCTGTCGAATTGTGTGCACACGGAATCAGCAACAAGCTATACCGGGGACATTTCCTGCCTCACGGCCACGGACCACCGGCACGGGGGCTTTTTTGTTACGGTCTTCAGGCTGGACACACACGAAGAACGCCAGCAGTGACGCTTGCTCTCCCCGTACAGAGTGAGCTCCATCAACAGTCTTGCGCGCTGCCATGCTAGTCTACACCAGGCTGGTCGGCTTGGTATGGCTGGCCATAGCGGCTAGCTTGATAGACGGTACGCCGCCTAGTGGAGTTTCAGCATTGCCAACTCGAGCGGTCCAGATTCATCAGCAGCATGATCTAAAGCAGCTGAACAAGAGGTTCACCAACCCTAGGATCGGAATCGTCCTCCAACAGGCCAACACATCTTTTCCCGACACTAGCGGCAGCAACAAAGTCCCTTTAAAGCGCATGGACCTTCCAGAGGGCACAGACGCGCTGCTGGTACGTCGAAGCTAGGAAGAAGGTGCAAGCGTGCGGCCAGCTGACGAGTCGTTCCAATTGCTCACGTCCAGGCGTTCCAACATCATGTCAACAAAGCCAACGCAAGACTTGCCAAGAGAAATGGCTTACCTGAAGGCGCTGGTAGGCTCGACGCGGTCGAGGGTGCAGCCTTACGGCGTCGGAGCCTGCAGAACCAGCAGGCAGGCGCAATGTCCCCCACACGGCTTTCAGCAGATAATACGCTCGATGAGCCGCAGAAACGTCTGCTTTCACAAATGCAGACTGCAAATGAAGAGGTGGTCCGAGAGGGACCTGTCAGATTGTCAAAGCGCAAGCTCTTGTTCAAGCATGGGCGCGTCGGAATCGTCATGAAAGACCCTTCCACAAATGCCGCCACCGCAAGCATGGCCAAGCGCTTGTTCGGAGGTCTGCTCGACGGTCTATTGAGTGGCGGTTCTTCGAGCGGTGCTGGTCAGCCTAGTCAAACGGCACTTCCACCCTTGCAGCCTTCCAGCGCGGTGATGCCAATGGCCGACAATAGCACCGTGATTGGGCAGCCGCAAAACAAGCAAGCCCCCGCATCCTACGCGAGTGGAGGTTATCCGAAAGCGGATCTGGCTGCAGCGATCAGCGGTGGATTGCAGTCCGCTTCACCGCCTGTTTCCCAAGGCAGCTTGGGGCTCAATATCGAAGCGAATGACGTTGGCTACGTTGCAACCATCCGCATCGGCAGTGCGCAAACACCCTTTCGCATGCTGATCGACTCGGGATCGGCCGATACTTGGGTCGCAAGCACGGCCTGTCAGCAATGTGGAAACGATCATCAGAAGCTTGGCACGGAAGTCTCTACGTCGTTTCAACACCTCGCTGGCTCCAGCTTCTCCATCACGTATGGAACTGGCGCTGTCCGGGGCGCACTCGGTTCGGACAACATCAATGTTGCTGGCATGACGCTGCAAAATCACACCTTGGGTCTTGCAACGCAAGAAACGACCGACTTCAGTGACCCATCCGTCCCTTTTGATGGGCTTATGGGCCTGGCGAAGACTGAGCTGAGCAATTCCAACACGCCCACCCCGATCGATGCCCTGTACCAGGCAGGCCTTGTCACAGCGCCCGTCATGGGTTACCACCTTGGGCGCGTAGCTGACGGCACCAACAGCGGAGAGGTGACATTCGGTGCAGTGGACGCGCAAAAGTATCAAGGAACGTTGCTGGAGATCCCCAACGTCTCAACCAAAGGTTTCTGGGAGGCTGCCGTAACGGGTGTCTCTTATGCTGGACGAGACCTTGGGTTGACAGGCAGAACAGCCATCTTGGACACGGGCACCAGCTTGATTGTCGCACCTCAAGCTGACGCGGACGCCGTTCATGCTGCCATTCCCGGCTCGCATGCAGATGGGCAAGGCGGCTACACGATTCCTTGCACAACGACGGGCGTGTTTGCTTTCAAGTTCCAAGGTCAGACATTCGGCATCGATCCACGCGACATGACCTTCTTGCCTGTCGACCAGAACAACCGGAAGGGTGATTGCGTCAGTGCAATCTCTGCCGGTATCGTTGGCGACCCGAATGAATGGCTTGTTGGTGCCGCCTTCCTCAAGAACGTCTACTTTGCGACCAATGCTCGAGATAACATGATTGGTATCGCAAGGCTGGCGCCTTAGGCTATGCCGGAAAGCGTTGAGGCCTTCAGCCGGAGAAGTCGCGGGCGGATCAATGGAGGGCGGAGCTCAGATATTGCAAACACCTCTGTACTTCTCATCTAACATCAATAGCGGATTGCCGAGGGGCTTCCAGTGAGCGAGGTGGAGCGAAGTTCATGCTTGAAGCATGCACGACGTCGTTCAGCAAGAAGAGTGAATAGTGAATGATCTTCTGCTGCCGAGCTGATTGCGACTACGGAGCAGTCCCGTCCATGCTTGTCGGCTGAGATTGGTACATAGAGCTGCCGGCCTGCCGCCATCAAAGCACTTGCATTCCAATTCAGCACGCGTCAGTCCGTCAAGGATCTTTGTTGCTCAGTGGCTTGCATGAGCGCATCCGTTCAGAGGTAACAAACAATTTGCCACTCGGTTTCATTCGACGTCGATGTTCGAATATTGATTGAAGAGAATACATATACGGAGACGGGAGGGCCAAAGGTGGAACCGCGACGCGGTTCCTTGCAAAGAGTTGTGAGATGTCCCCATTGTCGCCGCACATAACATTGTCCCACGTTCTCATTCTGCGCCACCCTGTCTTCTCCCCATGTTACGCTATTCGTTCTGAGCAAGGCGGCAACGAAAACACAGCGAGCCCAGTAATACGGTGTGGCTGGCGGAGACATCCAAACACCGCTGATCCGATATGTCCTGGTTCTCAAATCAATGGTCAAAGTGGGCCGGCGACGACAGCATGGCATCCGCCTCAAAACCAATCCGACGGATCGAAGTGGCCTGGGACAGGGATAGGTACATACAAACGCCGATAGGCTCGCATTCAACCAGGTCTGCCAAAGTGCTGATATCAATTTCCCGATGCAGGCTGCAAGTCGTCCTACCACGCTCGGCGTCCCCCAAGCTAGCCGATCTCAAGACAGAAATTTCCGCAATCACTTCTATCCCCTACGAGCAAATCAAGCTCGTCTACTGCGGGATGATTATGAAGGATGATCGCGCGACACTGGAACGCTTTGGCTTGCGGGACGGTTCCCGGGTCATGTTAATAGGGACGAAAGGCGGGGTTCCATTACAAGGCGACACACCTGGACAAAAGCAGAGTTCATCCCATGCCGGAGCCAGGGAGGCGCAGGACCAAGCTGCGAGATCACGAAAGCAGAATGAGGAAGATCTTAGCGAAGGTGGACTGTTGAAGCGGATTCAAGATACTGTCCAAGGGGTTCGCACAGATCTCCTGCCAGAGGTCGAGCAGTTCGAGAGGTCGACGCTCGCGCTCGGGAACGCTGCATCGGCCCCTTCGGAGCAGGCAGTGCACCCACCAACACAGAATGGCACGCCAGCTGGCGTGCTTACGCCACCTCAACTAGCCTTTGAGCATCGCAAATTGTCAGAGCTTCTGCTCAGGTCGCTCTTGACGTTGGACGGTGTCCAGGTCAACAGCGACATGACGCGCGCTGCTCGCAAGGCAGCAGTCAAGGAAGTGCAGGCGTTATTAGATCGAGTAGACGCTAATTGGACGAAAGCAAAAACACTTGGTGTAGCTTAGACATCACATACATTCGGCTTTACGTGGTTCCGCACCAAGTAATACTAAGCGATCAGTGCTACGACCCTGATGTGGCGGGGTTGGCCTCTCCCATTGTGACATCGACGATAGGACTGCCGGCATCCGTTGACCCGATTGACAGTGCGTTATGATCGACAGGCTCGGTCTTCAATACCGTTGCCACTGGTCCTGTAGGAGCGCTTAAAGCAAAAGGCTCTAAGGACCCTTCTTGCTTCAAAACGATCTGCCCCACTCCATCTTCCGTACTTGCAAAAGGCCCTGTCGTAGGCTTGGGCGCAGGTTCTGGTGCAACTGGTGTAGCTGCCTGAATTTCTTCCTCGATGATTTTCGATGGGTTGAACTTGCCCTCGATCGCCTGTGATAAAAGCTCGAGATCATCCATAGGCACTTGCCCCAGAAGACGCAGATGTTGCTGGCTGGCTAAGCGAAGCGCACGCCAAGAGACACTGTAACCTTGCTCGAGGAGCGGCGCAGCCTTCAGGTCTCGACGTTCCTTCTTGATCGACGCGTCGCTCTCCTTTAGCTCCACTGTGCTTTTCGCGTACACTTCTTGCAGCTGCTTCTGAACATCCGCGCTGGGCACAGCGCTCTGCAATTCGCGCAGGGTTTTCTCTAGCGACAAAAGTTCCTCCTGCTTGGAGTTGCGTTGCGCTGCAGCCACTTGGGAAGTGCTCAGGTCGAGCTTTTGCAGCTCTTCTGCCAGCTTCGACTTGCGCAACTGCAACGTCTGAATGCGGATCTTTGCATTCTGCATCGTGTTGAGTTGTGTCCGCGCCGTCTTGTTCCGTACTTTGCGGCGAAGATCGTTTTCTCGCCGTTCAACACCTTTAGGCAGGCCGATCTCGGACCGGCGCTGGTCGGATTTCGTCTCCAGCTTGCGCCATTTGTGCGCGTACGCGTCAAAGTCGTTGGCTCTGGGTCCCCACTCAAGCTCCTCCAGGCCGTCCGTTGCGACATGGACATAGACTCCGTCTTCATTCTCCCTCCGAGTCGTGCCAGCCTGTGGAGGCGGCACACCATTATCCCAGAGCTTACTGAGCGCAGGGGTGCCTAAGCGCTGCGGGAAGATAGGTAGTTTGCTGAACAAATTCGACAGCGCTGTCTCGAATGATTGCATCTCGCTTTTGGTCATGGGAGGCACCTCCATCGGCTGGCAATTCATAGCTTTCCATTCAGCCTGCAGGACGAAGAGACGTTTAGCGGACTCCGTTGATCTCGTAATATCCCTTCGCACATTCGCATACGCACCCAATTGTGCTCGCGGCGCATAGTGTTCTTCGTTGCAACAGCGTATGCTCGCGGACCAGGTATTTGATTCAAATGCGTCAGTATCTGCTTCCACGTGCTGTTGCACCATTCGGCCTGAATTAGTGCAGGAGTACGGTTTGGAAAGCATCAGTGGCGAGCATGGTCATCTGTCGGAAGCGGGTCATCACTCACAGAGGCTTCAGTGAGGACCCAGGAGCGCAACAAGGTCTTGTTGGTACATCGTGCAGCCCATTTTGCTTTTCGCGCCTGTCGGAACTCGAGGATGTACTGAAGCAGGATCAAGAACTGGACAAGTATCTGGCGACGGAAGGAAGGCTCGCGAACCTGATGGGACGGTAACAAAGTCAACCCAACTCTCTCCGAGGATTGACACCCAACCAAAGACACTAACCTCCGAGTCCAAAAGTTCGCGTCCTGTGAGGTATTTGGGAAAGAATGGCTCCTCTTCCTCCTCTGCTTGATCCGTGTCCATAGCATCCGGCCCTGCTTCGCCTCCATTAGCATTGCTCTGTTGCCGTGATTCTTCCTGAGTGTCAGATCCGTTGAGCATCAATTCGCGCTCGTTCACTGCCATGAGCAGATCGAGGATCCTTTGGGTCGCATATTTGAACTCCTTCAATCCTCCCGCGTCGCTATGCAAGCCTTTCTCGTACTCCTGATCCTCATCTGGTTCCTTTCCCTGACGCCTGCTTCCGTGATCACGTTCCCTCTCATCTCGGATCTTCTCCTCTTTGACTTGGCTGTGGGGCTCATGCACCGCACGCGGAAGAAGGTTGGGGGGTAAAACCGAATCAGCTTCGAAGATAAGAGAAGGGTTGGCGAAGAATTGTTGCATGCTCCAGAAAAGGATGTAGAAGTCTGCGTCGGAAGTCGCACGCTCTTCGAGTGTCTTCTCCCCGGCTTTGCTTCCCTCTGCACTGTTTGCCCCTCCCTCCTGCTCGGCCTCTTCGGCTGGGGTTTCTCCTTCGTCCCCTCCATCCGCATGTTGATCCTTGATGATGGTCTTGTTGTCAATGTGGAAGTCGCCTCTCGTGTTTAGCCCTGATCTTTCTCCCAGCGGAAAGACTTCTGTGAGCAGGGACGCAATCCTGCCGGAAAGGATGGTATGCCTCATGAAAGGCTTGGCGAGGCGCCTTCTTAAATCATTACAGATGCGCAAGAGAACCGGGCTCTTGGCACCCTTTCTGGTTCTACCGGATCCTGATGTGGTACCGGAAAAGTTCTGCAGAACGGTGAGAGTAGGTCATATGCGCACTGCGGAAACCGCATTTCGTTTAAGGACGTACCACTGTGATCTGTGCCTTGCGGCTGTCAATATAGTCAAGCATTTTACTGCATCCCTCCAGGGGTAATGTCTCCATGACTCCTTCTATTACAGTCAGCGGAGCGACGGCTTCACAGAGGCCTGCGAGCTCAAAGGATAGTAGCACGTCGCACCTATCAAACAGTTCTCTCAATTGCACATCATCTAGATTCGTAGACTGAAGGAAGGGATTAGCTGTTGGCGCCAGTATCATTATCAAAGCCAAAGGCAAGGGGCTCACAGTGCTCGCTCGCGACGAGCCCGGCCGCTGTGTCACCTTGACTCGCAGAAATTGACCGAACGCGTTCGTGCGAGCCTCTACGAGCTGATTGTGTCTCTGAGCTTTGACTTGAGCATCCTCACGAACTAGCTCAAGCGCTTTCTTTCGCTCATCTTGGTCCCGTTGATGCGCATCCGGTGCGAGCTCAGGTAACAACTTCGCTTTCTCTGCGAAAATATGCTCCGCCGATTCTTCCTTGAGCAGGTCCAGATTGCTGGCCCATTCACTGATCCGTGTGTCAAGGATGGGGAAGGTCAGGTCGGGCGGTAAAATCAATTCCGAGTGCGAATGATCCTTGCGCAGCTGGGCGAGGCCTTCGAGAAGGGATGCAACAAAGTTGGCCAGCTGCGAGTTAAGCTCGGCGACGGAGAGCCTAGCGCTCATCTTTGGCTACCGGCGCCGTTTTGAGATGCCTGGTGCATCAGTAACGCCGACTGAAGGCGTGCTTACGTCTGAGAAAGACTCCGAGCGGTCTTCAGACACACAGTTCCTGCAGAGGGAACGACTGCTGTAGCCTAAAAGATACCCAGAGCCGCTTCAAATCGGTCCAAGCTCGAGTGAGGTTCTTGCCGTGTGAGATGGCGATGAGGCGGAATGGCGCCAATGAATCTTATTCTTCGCGCCGCTGCTGTCATCAAGGGCTACTCATCACTTTGGACAATCTACAACACGGAGCTCCTCGAACAACCACCTTAACCAGGCCGTGGATGATCATCTGGCCAGGGACAGGCTCGCAGGGATAAGGGGCAAGGACGACTGAGAATAGGTTCGCAAGATTGACCACAATGTCAGACGCAGAAATGAACCGGAACGACGCCGATGTCGAGATGGAAGATGGTGAGCGCTCAGCCTCGGCCGCACCGTTTGAAGCTTCGTGCTGCACACCTGACAGCTACTGATATGTGCATCATTGCTGATCCAGACCCTTCCATCAAGCGAAAAGGGAGAGGCTTCAAGCCCAAGGCGGGCGACCACAGTGAGGTTTTGGATGGCGTTCGCAGCAAAGGATTTGACAGGGTAGATGGCGCAACGCAGAGCCGAGAAGCGCGATGTGAGTGAGAAGCTACGGACGCCGCCTAGACTTCTTTGCTCTGTCGTCTTTGCTAATAGTGATTCTCGTTTTCTCGGCCCCGGATCGCAGCCGTCGAAGGATGGATCGTGCTGGTGACCAATGTACATGAGGAAGCAACGGAGGAGGAGGTGATGGACAAGTTTGCCGACTTTGGCGAGATCAAGAACCTACACCTCAACCTCGACAGGCGGACAGGCTATGTCAAGGTGAGCACCCTGACTTTTAGCTTGAACTTCTTGGCACTGACGTTCGCTCTTCCGCGCGGCAACGACGCTAGGGCTATGCGCTGATCGAATACGAAACGAACGCAGAAGCGCGGACAGCCATTCACGCATGTGAGACGGGGTTGACGCTAATGGAACAGGAGCTTAAGGCAGACTTTGCGTTCGTGCGACCACCGGCACTGGCTTCCGGGGCAGGCAAAGGAGGAGGAGGCCGACGAGGGAATGCAGGCAGCGCGAGGGCGAGGAGTCGAAGTCCGTCACGCCGGTGAGGCCTGTGGACGAAATGCCCCCAAGGAGGCGCACTCGCTCGCTGGCCGGCCAATCTGCTCTGGCGCAGGTCACCATTGTATTATTCCGCTTTCCATGCCATCCTGCGCTTTAGCACTGCAATCTTGGTGATGCAATGGCTGAGGCGGTGGTGAATGCAGTGCAGTGGACACGAATATCGTACAAAGGGGGAATCATGCAAGAGCTTCATCAACCATCTAACAGGCGGCTACAACCTATGGGTGCGTGTTGCTCTACTAGTAGGACGATTGGCCCGGCTCCTGGTACACATTGTGCTTGCAGCTGGCGGAGCCGTCGGGACTGTGGTAGTGGCTCATCTTTTAGCCTTAGGACGGCTGCGCAGAGCCCCGCTCCGACATGGGAATGGTGGGCGTCTGCGCGGCATGCTGCCGCTGAGGGCACGACTGGGGTGTGCTGCTGCGTGTGCGGCTGCGCGTACTGCTGAGCTACGAGCGCCGGCGCGGCGTAGTGCTTCACTGGCGCGGTTGCGCTGAAGGATTGCAGCTTGTCGTTGTAGGCTGCGTAGTAGTTGTTGTTGTTGTTGCTGGTGTCGTGGGCGTTGAACGAGTTGTTGCGCTTCTCCACATCGTCTTCCTGCTCGAGTGTCGCGCGCCTGCTCTCCGTCCGTCCCAGGCGAATGTAGAAGATGAGCGCGACGATGTCGAAGAGCCAGGAGACGGCCCAGCTGAGCTGGTTAGAGGTTGCGTAGCAGAGGAGCCACTCGATGCAGGTGATAATGAACCGGCACAGCATGCTGTTAAATTGGCTATCCCTCCTCTTGAACAAGAAGTTGGAGAGGATATTGGCCATGGGAGTGATCAAGCTGATGACGACGATGAGCACAACTGCGAGGGCAAGGGTCGCTTCGGCGCGCGACCTGTCGTCCTGGGCCAACTCAGAGGCGTCGACCGCGTGGGCGGAGGCGATGCCTATACGATTGCCGACGACGAAGAAGACATAATCAGCGTCGTAGAGATCCGCCCAGAAATTGGCCGTCAGGGCGCCTGTGGTGCCTATCGGCAGGCTGAGGAAGTCCTAGATCATGCTGCAGGTAAGGCAAGAGTTGACGTACGCGCGAACAGAGACGATTGTGGCAAGAGATCTGGCGCTGGTCTGGGCTTGTCACGTGCAGAGACGAGTTCGTGTTGAGCCTTGTGGTCAAGAGAGGCGTCTTCTGGAAGGGGAAGGGGGGGGGGGATGGATGGGACGGGGAGCTTGGCAGTGAAGGCGTTCAGTGCAATTTCAACATGGCCAAGTCAGTATGTCTCGTCGTCGCCGTGGTGTTAGGACTCCTGTCCAAATGGAGATGTCCGTAGGTAGTCAGTCCATCGCTCGCCATTGGCCACCATCTCAAGGGTTGGTGCGACGAGACTCGGAGAGCCTGGAGTCTCCCTTTGCCGTCCTTTTGTCTTCCATGGTTCTGGCGCAAAGCTATTATTAGATTCGGTGGGGGGGGGATGGCGCAAAGGCGATGTAATACACTCTCCTCAAAGGCAGGCAAGCACCTTCAAGGCTGACCTGGACGAGCTGAGCAGTGGGCGCCTTGGATAAGATGTCTTGGGATTGGCGTTACACTCCAACTCTTCAGCAGTGCGGCGCTTTTCTCCCCTTCCCTCTTCTCTCTTCGACCGAACTGCACGTGGCGAATAACTGACGAACTATCAACAGCTCGAGTCCAGTTGGCTGGCGCGTGCGTACGGAGCCTCCGAGAGCTTTCTTTCATTTGTTGTTGTGAGGGCGTTGTTCCTTTGCGGCCTGGTTGCGGCCAAGGCTAAAGCGAGAGAGCATGGGGATGGGCTTAGTGCACGCACGCATCCGAGGTCTGACCGAGCTTTCTGAGAACACCCACAAGCGTGTCAGAGACCACCGGATGAAATGGACATCATCGCCCGACAGACTTGCAATAATCTCCGTTCTGGCTCTGGAATGGACGACCGGACCAGGGATTGACCTTGAAACTATTATAAATTGCTTGCGTCTTGACGTTTTTAGACCAAATGGAAGGTTGGTGTACACCATTTGTAAATGGGAAACCTTGACCGAGTCATCGCACCAAAAGTGTCACTGCTTCTCGCTTGCTCAAAGTTGGCAGGGAGCGAGTTCGATTCGAAGGGATGCCCGCGAGCCTGGATCTGGACGCAGGTCCAGGCGACCTCGACTGTTTGTCGGCGCCCTTACGCCCCGACGTCGACCCAGATATGCTCCCTGAGCCGAGCTACTTCACCGAGCTCCAATTGCTGGACTGTTGGGCCGATTTGCGGCAGCAGACCGCCGGCGCAACTGGCGCTAGTGCTATCTCCCAGGATGTCGCGCATCCGATCCTCAACGACAAGAGAGGCCAGTTTGGCTTGCTCGACGTGGAGGACATGAACGAGCTCTGCGACTCAAGCCTGAAAGTCGGACATGAAGAGGGGGCTGAGGATGATTTTCGGCCGAAACTGATGGTCTGTCATGATCACAAGGGAGGCTACAAGGAACAGCCTGATGCACAGTGTTATACCTTCGAGCATTGGTGAGATCCCGCAGAGCCCACGTCGCAGTCACGAAGGATTCGCTAACAGGCGTGCAGGCAACTTGCAGACTATTTTGTCTATTTTTCACATCATCGTGTCACCGTGCCACCCCCAGCTTGGATCGAAGCGGCACACCGGCACGGCACCAAGATCCTCGGGACGTTGTGCGTAGGCGACCTTCTGCGACATTGTGCCAAGCGATGCTTGGGTGACTGAATCCAACATTTTTTGTTTGCAGGATATTCGAATGGAAGGAAAGCATTGCCGAGCTATCGCTCCTTCTTCGCGGTCCCGAATGCGAGCACATCCCGTTGCTGGGGCCATCGTGCATCAACCACAGGAGCGTCGCCAACGACACTGCAGCAGCTGCGCTCCTCTTTTCGCCTCATTTTGCTGATGTGCTCATCACCCTTGCGCTTCAGCGCGGCTTTGATGGCTATCTAATCAACGTCGAGGTCCCGCTCGATCTCGGCTTCCAATGCAGTGGCGAGCCATGGCCGTGGTGGGTCCGGTCGCGCGTGCGGCACATCGAGATGCAAAAGAATGCTACGCGTCTGCGAGCGTGGGTCGCTTATCTGCGCTTCGAGGGACGTCGAAGGGTGGGAATTGCGAATGCACGCAAGAGCGAGCGCGCTGCAGGACGGAACCGGCGTCGCGAGAGCTGGCACGTTGCGTGGTACGACAGCGTGACAATCGACGGCGAGCTTGCGTGGCAGGACGCGTTGACGCCAGCCAACCAGGCCTTCTTCGAAGTCGCCGACTCGATCTTCACGAACTACACCTGGGTGCGGCCGCCAGAGGCGCTGCCGCCGGGCCAGTTCCCGCAGTCGGTGCATAGCTACACGGGCGCGCCGCAGGACGGCGGCTTCCACCCTGCGCTCGTCGCGTCTGCGCGGCTCGCCGAGCAGATGCGCCGCGCACGCAGCGACGTCTTTGTTGGTATTGACGTCTTTGGCCGCAATTGCTGCGGCGGCATGGACTGCTGGAAGAGCCTCGAGATGATCATGCCACATCGCACTCGCGAAAGGGACGAAGCGCCACCTGCAGGATTGAGCGTTGCGCTCTTCGCGCCTGGATGGACGTGGGAACACGACGAGCCAGCCGATCAGCCAGGTCATCGGAGTTGGGAAGACTGGTGGAACGAAGACCAGCAGTTCTGGCGGCAGCGACAGCGACAGCGAAAAGAGCAGACGCCCGGCGACGCGTTCGCCCTCAGCCGCTACTTCCCCCCACGAGTTTGGGAGCTGGACTACCACTTCTTTTTGATCGGCGCTCAGAGCTTTTACACCAATTTTGCCATGGGCTCCGGCTGCAAGTGGTTCGTCCGAGGTGCCTGCGTGCGCGACTGGAGCGAAGAGAGGCTTGATGCTACCGTAAGTGGATGGACGGACGTCGCTGCCAGCATGCCACAGCCTCATTGGCTTTTACAAGATCCCGTAAGTTCAACGTCAGCGCCATCTCCTCAGGTCGCTGGACCCGACAGCCGCGGCTTGGACATGGAAACGACAACGAGCGATGCTTGGTCTGGCAACACTTGCATTCGCGTCAGGGTGCGGTTGAGCAAGAGTAGGAGCGGGGTGAACGGCCGCGCGGGGGTCTTTATACCCTTCTTCAGGCTGCGGCTGACCGAGGCAACGCCTGCAGGGTTAGCAGATCATGTAGAGGGTCTCATGGTCCAAATCACCGCTGTCATCAAGAAACAGGACAGCGCTGCCAGTAGCGCCTGGACTGTGCGGCCGCACCTGAGAGCTGCAGGCGCGAGCGAGGTGCATGAGGCAGGTCCAGCAGGTGCTCAGCCCGACGCTGCAAGGGTGGCCTCACTGGGATGGCGGGGGACCGAAGCATGGTTCCGCTGGCCTCAGACCGCCGAGGAGGCCGAGCTAGGCGTCTTGGTTGCGCGGGATCACGAGTTGCTTCAAGAACGAGAGGAGGATGAAGCGGCCACAGTCAACTTTTTCGTCGGCGCCCTGTGTCTCCGGTCAAAGGCCGCAGCAGAGAGACAGCAGAAGGAGGCTGTGATTTCTGTCCAAACTGCAGCTGCAGCGCCAGTACAAGAAGCGAGAGATTCGGGGACAGTCTCGATAAGCAGCGCCGCTAGCAGCAGCAGCAACAGGGGCTTCGCGATCCTCGAATGGGCAGACTTTGCACCCGACGCGCCATTTTACGAGCTCTTTACACGACGTTCGCCCGAGGCGGGTGGAGCGAGGGAGGATCAGGAACAATGGCTCTGCACGGCTACGCGCGAGTACGGGAGGACGGAAGTGGTGCTCTCGAGTGAGCGCACCGCCGGGCGAGAGGTCGTTGTGCGCTCTCTCTTTTGAATGCATCGCAAGAAGCCATTCACCGTGCAGCGCAGTAGGGGGGATCAGATTTTGGAGTCCAACCAGAAACAACCAAACCATGTCGCTGCCTTGTTCCGTTCCGCTCTTTTTTCGTGGGTTTTCTTCTTTTTTTCTTTTTTTTCGAGCGCTCTCTCGCTATTCTCGGCTACTGCCAAAAGATTTTGGAAAGATAAAAAAATTCATCCAGCGCAGAACGAAGAGAACTGGCGGAAAACCGAAAGAAAAAAAAAGAGAACGAGAGAGTGCAGCAACGAGGAAGCGAAACTGCGAAATCCGTCGAGGTAGCTGTAGCATGCACTTGTCTAATGTATACCGTCACACCGTTGCACCCACGCTGTAACGCGCATGCATGCACCCAAGCAACTGGCCCTTGTTCCAGTCTTCAAGTCGAGTGCTTGCAGAACAACCCCCCACCCCCAGTGTCAACAGTCGATCTCGCCGGAAGCGAAGGGCAGACTTTCTCCCCCAACGGCGCAAGAATCCTGATCGTGAGGCCATTGCTTCTGGTGGCCTATTGTCGACAAGCTTGTCTTTGTAAAGTTGGAGATTGTCCCTCCAAGCTGCAGAGGGCGGCTTGATCCTTTTCGCCTTATATCTTTTCATTCGTCTCTTCCCGGTACAGGAGCATTCGTCATTGTGCAACATGTGTGGGATCATGGCTCTCCTCCTCGCCGAGGGCGCAGCAGCCCCCGAGATCAACGAGGGGCTTTCGCTGCTCCAGCATCGTGGCCAGGATGCAGCCGGCATTGTGACGTGCGGTAACAAGGGGCGATTCTACCAGTGCAAGGCCAATGGTATGGTCCGCGACGTCTTTGACGCGACCAGCTTGAGTAGACTGGTGGGCAGCATGGGCGTCGGACATGGTGAGCGCATCAGCTGAAGGAAGCTCGGCCGGAGATCTATTTGCATGACACTGAGATACCAATTCTCTCCCTCCTTTTCCTCCTTGTGTCTGCTCTTTGTTTCACCGCACAACCTCAGTCCGTTACCCGACCGCTGGGTCCTCAAACCATGCCGAGGCGCAGCCTTTCTATGTCAACTCTCCGTACGGCATCGTCTTTGCGCACAACGGCAACCTCATCAACACGAACGAATTGCGCTCCTTCCTCGATGCCGAGGCTCACAGGCACATCAACACTGATTCCGACAGCGAGCTTCTCCTCAACATCTTTGCCAACAACCTGCAAGCCACTGGGAAGTTCAGGTGAGTGTTGCCCACCAGGGCATCCATCACTGCCGCAATGCTTTCGCGTCGAAAGAAGGACTCGATGCTAAGACGTGCGCTCCGCGCTTCTCGCAATTCAGGATCAACGAGGAGGACATTTTCAATGCCATCGGCGGATTGATGCGACAAGCGCACGGTGGCTACGCGTGTGTGGCGATGCTCGCCGGCTTTGGTATCATCGCCTTCCGCGATCCGAACGGCATCCGACCGCTCGGCATGTGTTCGCGCAAGGCGGGCCCTTCCGCTACCTCCTCATTCGGCACCGGCGGCCGTGCTCACAGCATGGACTACTGCTTCACGTCCGAGTCGGTCGTCTGCGACGCGCTTGGCTTTGAAGACTTTGAGGACATCCGACCTGGCGAAGCGGTCATCATCACGCGAAACAACGTCAGTCGCCGCTTGCTCGTTCCGCCAGCGACGGCGGTCAATACGTACACCTTCTCGCCTGACATCTTCGAGTACGTCTACTTTGCGCGTCCCGACTCGGTTTTGGACGGCATCAGCGTATATCGAAGCAGGATGGCCATGGGAGACAAGCTGGCCGATGAGGTGGCCCGAGTCTTAAAATTAAAAGGGGAGACAATCGACGTGGTCATCCCCGTACCCGACACGTCGCGCGTCGCGGCATTGCAACTGGCGCAGAAGCTCGCCATTCCGTACCGTGAGGGCTTTGTCAAGAACCGCTACGTTGGACGCACGTTCATCATGCCCGGGCAAGACGTTCGTCGCAAGAACGTGCGGAAAAAGCTCAACGCCATGGCACTCGAGTTCGCTGACAAGAATGTCCTGCTCGTCGATGACTCGATCGTGCGCGGTACGACGTCCAAGGAGATCATCCAGATGGCGCGCGACGCCGGCGCGCGCAAAGTCATCATAGCCTCGTGCGCCCCGCCGATCCGCTTCTCCAACGTGTACGGCATCGACATGCCTAGCCGACACGAGCTCGTCGCGCATGGCCGGACCGAGGAGCAAGTAGCCGAAGCCATCCACGCAGATCTGGTCATCTACCAGACGCTGCCGGACCTCATCGAGAGCGTGCGCCAGCTCAACCCTGAGATCAAGCAGTTCGACTGCAGCGTCTTCGATGGCAAGTACGTCACCGGTGGCGTCGACAGCAAATACCTTGAGCACCTCGAGGGCCTGCGTAGCGAGAACGCAAAGATCAAGCAGAAGAGCGGTGCCATCAGCTATCCTGCTGGTGGCCTAGCGGGCGGCGCTGGAGGCGAAGGTCTCAATGATTCCAAGATGGCCGTTGCGCTGGATGCACACGCCGTTTCGGGAGAGACAAGGATCCTCGGAGGTGGGGATCACGTAGAAGAGACACACATAACGTGTAATGGGCCGATGAATGGCGCTGACGATATTGGGTGAGTAAATGCGACTCTGCCCGCCCGCACCACTGTTGCCCCTCTCTGACCTGCGCGAATCTGATCCTTTGCGTCTGACAGCCTATATAACGGCTGGACGCGGTGAAACCATTCGGTGATGGATTCGGTCGTCGTCGCACGGAAAGCCCAAGGGAAAAGCGGGCATACTTGTACCTTATGCGTTTTATGGTGATACAGTCCATGTTCTCTCATTTACTGCGCAACTGCATTACTATACATCCTCGTCTTGAACGTCATCGTCACTATCATCATCGTCGTATTGCGTCCCTATTCGCCCAGCTCCTCGTTCTACCGTCGCGCTCGCAGCCATTTCTGCAGTCATGGCGTTCAAGCCTGCCGACTCGCTGTCTTTGTTGGCACCCGCCGCATCGCGCCCTGCCGCTATTCGTCTTCCTGCATTCCATATCAGGGCGCAGAGTAATGAGGTAGCAGGCAAAGGCAAATCAGTTCAAGGCAGCCTGTTGAATCTACGCTGATCATCGGTCGACGCACGGATCAAGACCAGGATAGTTTCCTTGTCTTTGCGCTCCACTTTGCCTAACCGCTTCTTGAGGTCACGCTTGAGGTCCCAATTTGGTCGCTTGGGTGCGATATTTAGCAAGTCCTGACAGAAGATGTCCCGGGGTAAATGCAATGCGATTGATGGCGAATCAGTAATTGAAGTGCAAGACTGCTGGGAAGCTGAACGTACTAGCTCTTCTTGCCGTTTGGCTTCATCCTCTTTAAGCACTCTCTCCTGCAAACCCTCGACAGCTATTGCAACGGAGAATGGGAAAGAGAGCAGAGAGGCATGTCAGTGCTGTGACCTGTTTCGTTCCCTTGCGCGGGAACACATCCATGCCTACCTTGCTCGACCGTATCCTCTATCCCTTGCCCAGCAGCGGTCTTCTTCATCTGCCTGTTCTTCGGATCGTAATTTCTGAAGCTTCTCTTGATTAGAAGACCTTCGTCCATCCCTTCGTCATCGTCCATGTTTCGCGGCTTTGCGGCATCCCGTGACACCATGCCTGCATCTTCATCTGCTTTGCGCTTCCGTAGAGCCGCCAACTTCTCCTTGCGTGATTGTGCGGCTGCTTCCATCCTGATGGCCTGTGACGCAAATCGGTCTGCTCCAGATTTCTCGGTTTCAGATCGTGCACAGGGCCTGTCAGCCTGAGGGGAAATGTAACCGATAATCGAAAGGTTCTCCTGTGTGATGAACTGTGAAGAAGTCGATGATGGCGAACTTCAAGGGTTCACTAATAATATTTCACGTTCTCAAGTGAAGCTCTTAATAGTGAAGCGCGAATTCCGCTTGCACTTTCTTGGACAGCCCACACTCCTCACTTCAGACTCTGAGAGTGTGTCAAAATCAAGTCTTCGCACCGTCACATCTCCAACAGCGACGCCGCCGGCGTCCATCGGCATAAATTTCCCCAAAGCGAACGCAAGAGATAGGCCAGGAGGCGGCGCTCAAGCAGCTAGCTGCTTTGCGCAAAGAGGCGAACTTGAATTTGCGCTCGCCAACAGCCACCATCGGGGGATTGCTCAAGTGCACCGCTCTGCATCATCGGCTAACATGTCGCGTAGCAGCAGCACCTTCGGCGGCGGTGCTTCCAGCTCCACCTCACGCTGGGACACCGCCCGGCGTCAAACTCGGCTCCTCGAGTCCTCTCTGGATGCAAAACTGACGCTGTACTCACGCGTGCCAAACGAGATCGCAAGCTTGTCCGCCGGCGGCGGACATGGCGATGGCAGCAGTTCCTCGATCTATGGCGCATACGGAGGCAACAAGCGAGATTTCACATCTGTATCAATGGACGGCGCCAACGGAGATAGCAGGATAGACCCGCAACTGCAAGAAGCAGAAATAGAAAATCTCTTGGTTGAGCTTACCGCATCGGTCGACTCGCTCACGACGCTGCTGGACGACCCTAGCGTGCCGCCCTCCACGGTGCAGATGCATGCAGTGCAGCGACATCGAGAAGTTTTGCTCGATTTCCAGAGGGACTACCGAAGACTCAAGACTAACGTGCAGCACGCGGTGGATCGACGAGACTTGCTGGGTAATGTGCAACATGACATTGAGTGCGTACATTATGCTTCAACGTTGCCTTCAACATGAGCTCACTGGCCTCTGTGCTTATCTCTCCTGTGCAGCTCATACAAGGCCAGGTATACTTCGGACACGGATGCACTGCTTACAGAGCGGTCTCGTCTGGACAATTCGCATTCGATAATCGACTCAACGCTAGACCAGGCCTATGCGACACGGCAAGACATTGCAGCGCAGCGAGATCTGATCGGGTCAATAGCATCGCGCATGACGCGCACTGCTCAATCCTTGCCCGGCATCAACGGCGTCATCACCATGATCAACAGACGAAGGCGGAGAGACAGCATCATCATGGGTCTCACCATCGGCATCTGTACTGTGCTCATCCTCATGTATATGACGAGTGGATGGTAACGACTCAGAATATGAACACATAGATGGCGGTATCAGTAAAATGCATTTTGGTCGTGTCTATTATACATGAATGATGGCATGCTGGAACATTATGCGCCGCTCTTCCAGCTGAGAAAAAGCAGAGTGAAAGTTTCAGTAAGGTTGTTGAGAAATGCTTGTACCAGGGAGTCGCCTTCGAGGATACTCACTAAGCAATATCGCCATCCACCATCTCGTATGTCTTGCCCTTCTGAACATACTTTCCGGCCGCCTTGCAGCCGTTCTCGCTGCCATGCTCCTTGAGGTCATTGTAGGCCATGATTTCACCGCAAACGAACTTGTTCTCAAAGTCAGTGTGGATGACACCAGCCGCCTGCGGCGCCTTGGTGCCTTTCCTGATCGTCCACGCTCGTACCTCGTCTGGACCGCAGGTGAAATATCGGATCAGGTCGAGACCGTCGTAGCCTGCCTTGGTGATCTTGCCCAGGGCGCCGGTTACGTTCGGCCCGAGCGTTTTGAGCTCTTCCGCCTCAGCTTCGGGGGAGCCGAGCTGTAATAATCGCTCCTCGAGCGCAACGCTGAAGGGGATGAGCAGGTCTCCCGGGTTGTTGGTGTCAATCCACTCTTTAATCTTGGGGAGCCATTTGTTCTTCTTTCGCACGTAGTCCTTTTCGCTCAGGTTGACGAGGTAGATGACCGGCTTAGCGGTTAGCAGCGAGAGCGTGTTGACGACGTCAATCTACAAGAGGGAGAGTTGGTCAGCTTGAAATTCAAGGTCAAGAAAGCCGATGCCTCTTATTCCTATATTCCATATCCCTCCCCCTATGTCATCTTGATTCAGAAAAGTAACTATTTGTCTCAAGGAGGCCGCTTCCTAGACGGCTTCTTTCGAAGAGCTGGGTTAAATCGGGCTTTATGCCCTTTGTCATCCTTGAAAACCTCAGTCCGACACCATCGTCGATACAACACCTCACCCCACATTCCCATTCCAGAAGAAACGAGAAAAAGTGTGACTTACCTCCTTGTTCCCCCAGTCGTGCTTGCGAACGTCCTTGTTCTCCTCTGTGAGAACGTTCAGAACCTTCTCGATGATAGCGACCTCCTCCTTCTTCTTCTTGTCCTCAAGACTGTTATTCCCTGCGCCCCGAGCCTTGGATCGAGCCTGTTCTAGCGCCTTCTCTGTCCATTCGATGTCTTTCAATCGCAACTCTGTGGAGATGATCTCCATGTCTCTGATCGGGTTGACATCGCCCTCAACGTGGATGACCTCCGCGTCGTCGAATGCTCGAATGACTTGGAAGATGCCATCGACGGCCCTGACGTTGCTCAAGAAGGCATTACCGAGGCCCGCGCCAGTCGACGCACCGGCTGTGAGACCGGCGATATCGATGCAGGTGAGGAAGGCTGGAATCTGGTTCTTAGGCTTGTACTGGTCTACGAGCCAGAGGAAACGCTCGTCGGGGACAGGCACACGAGCCTCTTCGGGCTCGATGGTGGCGTAGGGAAAGTTGGCAGCTTTTCCCAAGTCGCACTTTGCAATGACGTTGAAGAGGGATGACTTGCCGACGTTGGGAAGCCCGACGATGCCCATCTTGAGGTTGTTCGATGGGCGGCCGAGCTTGGCCCGCTCGACCGGGGCAGCCTTCTTGGGTGGCATTTTCTTTTTTGCTGCTACAAGCGACGTGGCAGAGAAATGGCGGTGTCGGTTGTGTGGCGCAGCGAGAACACTCTGTGCAACCAGCTGCTGTCGCTGTTCCAAGTGTCGAGAGGAAGGAAGGGTGGGTGTAGCCAGGAGACAGAAGGCCGTGTGTTGAGTGCCGAAAGGGAGGATGGGGCCCTGCTGCGCTGCTGTTCTTGCGGTCCTGCCGAGCTGTCTGATCATGCAAGCACTTTCCTGTATGGGCTGCGATGTCAGTTTCAACAGGCGAATGTGTGCTTACGATCAACGGCCCATTTGTTTCTCGCGAGGGAGTAAAGGTTGAGAAGAATTGAATGTTCTTCTGGCTGGCAAATGCGTTGATCTCTTCGTCCCAGTTCCATCGACAGTGTCTTTCGCGCTTCAAAAAAATTCTGAGAGAGGGTTTACGTGCGGAATGAGGCACTCTCGTTGAAGAAGTTTACACGTAATCCCACGCATGCCGAGCAATGTGAACCTCGCCCCACTGCCCGGCAGCAACTGGCGCCCTCTGCTCTCGTGCCCCGGCTGACCCTCATCATCCAAGCACCTCATCACCATCAACCTCCATCCCCTCTCCATCAAACACCAATCTGAGCCTTGTTTCTTTGGCTGTGTGGGCTGTCTGTTCTCGTTCTCTTCGACAGCAGGGACATCTGTCTTCGACACCGACCAAAATATAGGGCGACCTTGCTACCAGCTGCTGGGTAAGTCAGGCGACGGGCTAATGAGCGTCCCAGCGACACTGCCATCGCCTTTGTCGCGGAGGGATTGGCCGCTATCATGTCAACTTGGTGGCATAGGTGGAAGCATCCCTTGCAAAGGGTCCGCACTTGCTAGCGTGGGGAAGAAGGCTCTCCAATCATCTGGGGGGCTAGAAATGCGACGGAATAAGGCTATGCTGCCATCCCAAGGCAAGGGCTGAAGGGCAGCTGTAATTCTGTCCTCGGATTGACTTGCTACAGGGGCTACAAAGCAAACTCGATTATTGGGAAGGCCCATCCAGCGCATTCGATCGGAAAAAGGCATATGTGACTTGTCTATGCAGCGTCTCCACCAAGACATGGAGAGCTCGCCTTGGTCGGAGAGTACACGCGACGGCAATGCTTGCTGCTGGTCTCCCCACGACGAGCTACCTGCGCGAGGGATCTGTCTTCTTTCTGACATGACCACATCTGGCAAAAAAGGATTGTGCTGATGATATATGCTCGTTTGGTCCGCAGAGCTCCCTTTCAAGGCAAAATGCGCGCCTTTTCATCATTGTCCGCGCTCCTTGTGCTCTCAGCTGCGCCATGGGTCAGCGCCGAGTATGTAGGGCTGCCGAAAGCCACTCTTTTCGCGCGACAGGTCAGTTGAAGGAAGTGTCCACATAGGACAGATCTGATCAGTGCTAATTTCAATCTATGACCGTTGCTCTCTGCAGGCTCAGGTGGCAGCGGGTGGTGGCGGCGGTGCACCGTCGTCGGTGGCAACGCTGCAGTCGATTTCGGGCTACACTGCGCCGCCTTCGGCTCAGCTCCCCAGCCCTACCAACTACTCATCTGGTTCTATCCTCAACACTGCGCAGATCCCAGGATGGAACGACACCACGCGGCCAAACAGCGGTGCAGCAATCTATGGAGGTGGAGGGAATAAGCTCAGTGCGGCGCAGTCGAGGTACCAGAGCTGTTCCGCTGTCGTTGCTGTCGGTGTCGTCGCTGCTGCTGCAGGATCTCTTTTCATGATTATCTGAGTATGGTCCCTGCACATCGCCCAGACATGCGGTCACCACTCTTACGATCTGGCTGGCTACAACGAAGGAACGTTTAGCTTCGTTTTCTCAGCAGGTTTGACCACCTTCCCGCAGCTCAGACCACCTCATCACCCGCCCCCCCCAATGGACCTTACTACACCGTCAATTCTGTCTTGTGCCCTGTTGTGGCAATCCCTCAGCACTAGATTGCATCCTCCCCTTCGCTTCCCTCGCGACCGATCCGAATACGCACGCAAGCTTCTCACAGACATGTATTATCACAACCCCCACTTGGTATCGTCGTTGGTTTGTCCTATGCGCTTTGAATCTGTCTGCGAAGCCCGGAAGCGTTTCTTGATGTTACAGAAATGTTCATATGGCGGCTCACGCTCACAGTGAACACTTTGCGGGGCACGCGGCGCTTTCAATCTTTACATTATCCAAGGCTAAGGCCCAAACATTGCAGTATGCGGAGCTTAACTTGCGAACAAGGAAACAGTGGCGGAGGCAGTCAAGGGGGAACCACATAATAAAGCCGATCACCATACGACGTGGGGGCAGGGAAGCGAAGAGAGGATCCTAATCAGTGAGTTTGCCGCGAGGAGCAAAGCGGACAGACGGAAGACATGGCTCGCTACAAGGCGGGAAGCGTAGGCATCTGGTACGCTTTGAGTTAATCCACGTTCAGTCCCGCGTTGTGGCCAGCCGATCCCTTTTGAACGCTTATGGACCTTATGTGAGCCTGCTGATGACAAGCCTAGCCTTGGGCCTGGAAAGTGCTATCTCTCTCTCCACCTCGCTGCTCATGATTCTTATGCACACCCGCCTGGAGTGGCCTGTCACCAGATTGGCGAGAGCTGCGCGCCTGCGCCGCCTGGAGGTTGCTGCGCTCTGCAGGATGCCCTTTCCTGTTGCTTCGGAAGCTACGCAAGTATGGAGCACAAAGCTTTGGACAGGGTGGCGACCACGCAGAGAATCATGGAGGAGAAGGGGGTTCTAAAGTGCTTCTAGCCAACGAAATCCCCAACGCATGCTTGAGTAGCCCAGCAAGTAATTTTAAGGTCCTCCCAAGGGAGACTTTTGGTGAGAGCGTCTCTACCAAAGTCCCATTGAGACTTGAGTGGGACCTATATTCTTTCTTTTCGCTTCGTACTTAACTAAAGAAAGTTGGTTTTTGGTTGTTTGAAGTGCGGCACTGCGAAAGTGTTCGGGCGCTCCGTGGCTTGTAGATGTTGGTGAGGGGCATATCCATCACGGTGACCATCACCATCATCATCATCCCTGACCGTTAACCTCCTCTGCCTCACTCACTTCACCTACTCCATCTCGGACATCGACCCTTGCAAATCACACTGTCAGGAAGAAGGGCAGACGATCGAGGCGTCTGCAACGATCAGAATCGACCAGAAATGCCGCTGTTAAGCTGCCGGTCATCCTCCAATTTCGACTCGCTCCCACGCAACGCACGCGGCAGCCGCGCCGCGATTCATCGCCTACAGCATGTGTCCGCCAATGGTAGCTCCTTCGATTCGATCCAGAATGGCCAACAGCATCAAGCATCTGAGAACACACTGACAGGGTTTCCTAATGACTCGGTCAGCGGGCTGGTTTCCAGTCCAGGGAATTTGCAAGCAGCACCACTGTCAGCCAAATGGCCATCTAAGGTCTCGCTTCATGACCATGGTGCGTCAGGCGGGAGCGACGCCACGGTTTTCATCGGCGGGGGTGGGGCTACCTCTCCTTCACACGAAGCGAGCTTCAAGCGAACTAACAGCCTGCTTAGCCGTAGAGGCAGCAACAGCACACAAAGTCGGCGAGCGTTCAAGGCGAGCAGCGCGGCGCTCAGCCGACGCGCCCCGCCCGTCAGCAGTGATTCGTACACCTTTGTCAGCTCCGATATCGATCATCCAGTAGCAGCAACAGGGGAAGGTTCAGGTTCACGCAGAAGTGCAGACATGTGTGTGGAAGACGAAGTGCTATTGGAGAACCAGCGTGCCATGCATGCCCCAATGATGCAGAGCAGGGCAAGCTACCATGGCGTGACGAGCCTCTCGCACGGCCGAGGTAGCTTCAGCGTCGAAGAGCGAGGGAGCTGGGGAGTGGGTTCGGTAGTGCCGCAGCCCCCGTCGCCTTCCAAGCGCAGCGGAGCATTCGTTCGCAAGAAGGCCATTTCTGGTCCCACACGGCCCGCGAGCGCCGGTGGTCTTATCGGAAGAGGTGCAAGGAACGACGGAATGCAATCGCCGGGCGGCAACACTGCATTTGGCGGTAGTGCTTCTGGGTCTTCCCAGCCCGCGAGGAAACGTGTTGTACAGAAAAGCATGATTGGGCTTCCAACTAATTTCCAGGTGCGTCCTCAGAAGCGACCTATGTTGCATGGCTTAGCACAAGCAGCTGAACTAATTTCATCGCCTACCACAGCACACTGGCCACATCGGTGCATCGAATCACACAGCCGCCACATCCAGCCTTTCCGGATCCACGCCTTTCGATGCCGAGGCCTTCAAGAGCCAAATGGCAGATGTAGCCGCCGCTCTGCGTATGGACGACATTGGCCTCTCCCTCGCTAGATCATCTTCGGCGACGCCATCCATGGACCCAGCCTTGACTTTCGCTTTGGCTTCGTCCGTTGCCCCACAGCCGCCGAATGAAGCCGCACACGGCTTGGCGTTTAACTTAGATCCGATCGAAGAAGAAGCAGCGCGTATTGCGACGCTACAAATGCAGAAACAAAGGCATGCGGCATTAGCTGCTGCACTGGCTGCTGAAGCCGGCATGTCGTCAGAGAACCCTCCGCCTCCTCCACTACCAGGCGCTGCAGTCGAGGTTCAGAGCATCAAGCCGGCGCCTAATGCCACCGGCGCAGCTGAGCTGCCCATTTTCGCGTCCAACATGCCTGCTTCGTTGCGTGACCTCATGACTGAGAAGTCAGATCTTGGATCGTCCATTGTTGCCGAGCTATCTCAATCAACAGCAGCAACAGCTGCCATGCCTTTTCGTCCGAAGGACAAACACACTGCGTCAACCTCGTCCGCCACGTCTACCAGCTCAACAGGCAGTATAGGTGTTGCTACTGCGCCAGTCAAGCTCGTGTACAACGGTGTACAACGCAGCCAGTCCCAGAGGCTCAACCAAGGTCCACGCCCCGCCTCCACCGCAAACGTCGGAGTGGCCGCTGCAGCGAGTGACTCACCAAGTGCAGAGGCCGAGAATGGCAGAACTTTGCCATCTTCACCGAGAGCTCCTTCGAAGCGTAAAGCGCTTCCTAGCATGGGCCCGCTTGATTTGTTACGCCGCAAGTCTTCCATGACGCTGCGTTCAGGATCATCCTCTGCGCCCATTGACGTCGAAAACGATTTCAGCACTGCTGCAGTGCTTGCTCCGCCGATGGCAGTGGCTGGAGCGGAAGTCTCCCGGGAAACCCTCGAGGCTTGTTGCGCATTGCCAACACCGGTCAGCAGGCCCATGTCTCCTTCTACTTCCGCACCTGTTGCGGCGGCTACAACCGGAGTTGGCCGCCAGCGGCGCAAGCCGGTACCTCGTTCGCTTGACGATGATGACAATTCAATCGTCTCGCATTGTATGTCTCCGAGCACGGCAGGAACAACAGCAGGAGCAGGAGCAGCACTGCCGCTGAAGATTACGGACAAGGCTGTTTTGCCATCTGCTCCAAATCACTCGGTCACTCTTGGCGTTCCTACTGCTTCGGATGCCGCCACGAACATCAGCGGCAGCTCCGAGCTTGGACAGTTGCAGGGCACAATCAACCGCGCTCTGCTGGCGCGCGCGAAACAAGAAGAAAAGCAGCGTGTTGAGCACGAACGTAAGGTGTCCCAAACAACGCTACCGCAAGCCAATGCGACTAATGGCGACGCAGACATTGCAGCAAGGTACCTTGCGGTAGAGGCCCCAACGGCCGCGAACGGGAAGGCGCTTGTTGAAGGCCCCGGTGGGAATTTGATCACCGATACAGCCAATTTGCGCTGGAACTCGGCGCTAAAAGAGATCACACTGGCGCTGGCCGCAGAGGACCGTAAAGTGGAGGATGAGCTGGATTTGCTGAATGGACTTAAAGCGGCTGACGAGGCCCTCGCACGGCTGGGCCAGTCATACGTTTAGAAAGAGTTTGTTTTTGTATTGGGTCTTTTCAATGGAACCTGGATACATGGTCCCACTCAGAAGTGCCTTTCAGCCAACTGCACACCTGACCCGGGCACTAGGCACAACGATCTCGCAGTTCGGGACCGGTCCCTATTCCCGCTATCGTCTCACTTGTCGTTCCAGCCTATGTCGCCATCTTTGCGCTCAATTGTCATCGTCATCGCCTACTCCGCGAACATTTTCCTCCGTCAGCGCTCTCGTCGTTCATCCAGTCAGCAGAAATGAGTCAGCTATGTATGTACTCTCGCAGCATCACCAGAAAGGAATATAGACCAGATGATCATCTGATCAATGTTATGCGTGGTATGCTCGGAGCAGATGGCGATGAGAGGCTGTCATTCTGCAAACTTGCCATATGAAACAAGGCGGATCAGGCTCGATGAAACCACTTCAATCGGATCATTTTCAAGGATATGTCGCGAAGGAGAAGGAAGAAGCGAAGCGATGAAAGAGAACACGAGGAGGTACATTGCATAAAAGAGCGCAATACCCCTGACGCCTATATCGATACCAGATGCCTTGAGGTAATTGACCAACCCGAAGCCTTCTCTTCCAAATTGCGGTTGCCGTCCCCGAACGACTTGGAGAGCGCTTGCGCCGTGTTGGCGCCGCCAGCTGTGCAGCATAAGGAGGGAAAAGGAGGCAGGGCGCCGCCGCAGCCAGCTGCCAACAAATTGACCGTGTGAAGCAGCACAGTGAGCAAGGCTCGTCGGCTGGACACGGTTCCAACGCACCAGCAGCGCCGATGTTGACGATGTCCTTGAGGTCAGACATGATGCCCTTTGCTATTTACCGACACGCCATTTTATGACCTCAAGCACCCAAGGGAGACGTTGAACGGGCGGGTGCGGCTAGGTCGAAAGAGAGGGGGTGGGGGAGCGAAAGGGCAAGCGAGGGGACAGAAACGGGTAGAAAGTAGGGTTGCGCTCCTGTCTGGATGGTACAATACTCATATCAGGTCTGCATAGCGACTAGTTTCAGCGCCGCTCCCGAGCTTCCACTTGAAAATGAAAGACAGGGTCACAGACAAATCACATGCTTTCACTTCCTCATTCTTCCTCGGCATACCTGGACCCGAGCAGCCTGGAGCAAACCGAGTGCGACGGATCCATAGCTGGTGGCATCCAGGCTGGAGAAGCAACGGCGAACAGCATACGTGACAGCTGTACAAAGCCATTGTGGGCTTCTCTGGAAATGAGACAACGAGGTATATTTCGCAACTGGAGAAGCGCAGTGCATACATCACAACTTCACGTCCATACGTTCATTGGCCGATCTTAAAGCAACGGCGGCATGTAGCGTAGCGTAGCAAAGCAAGCAGCACACACCTGACAGGCACTTCTTTGGCCTACTGCGACTTGTAGAGGCTCTGGAAGTTGGATAAGAAGAGCCCCTTGCCCTTGATCAAGCTGACCGTCCACTCGCCAAGTGTCGCAATCGGCGTCTGTATTGCGCCGCCGGCGGGGCCAAGTGGCACGGCGATGAACGTGGGCAAGGGCTTGTATGCATTCAGCTTGATACCCGCCGTTGCTGCCTTTGACGAAGAGGAGCGGACGAGTGCAGCGATGTTAGCGGCGATGACGGGGCCCTGGTTGTTGATTTGAGCTACGAGCTTACCCCCTGGCGCGTCCGAGACGTCGCCGAGGGCAAAGTAGCGCTGCATCTTTCCTGCGTCGTCGGAGAGCACGTGGAGGCTCTGCTCGTCGACGCGCACCCATTGCGTTGCAGGGTCGACGGCCGACGCGTCGAACGCGCTCACGAGCTGCGAGTTGGGCTTACCGCTGAACGAGAGCAGCGCAAAGTCCACATCGCCGACTGACGTGCCTTTGGCGGTGGTGAACGTACGCGCCGCCTCCAGCGAACCGGTCGACGACGGCAGCTGCTCGGACGGGATGGACTCTTCGAGCAGGACGTGCACGCCAGCTTTCTGCAGCTGCGCCGACAGTTTCGAGTGCAACGACGCCGAGTACTTGCTGCCGATCAGCTGCTTGCCGTTGTGCACGAGCGTGATCTTTTTCTTATCCTTCCCACTGTACTGTGAAATCACTTCGCCGATGAACTCGACACCGACAGGTCCGCCGCCAACGACGAGGATGTGCCTAGCTGCGGCGATCTGCGCCTGCATCTGCTTCAGCGACGCGATCGACTCGGCCTTGCTGTGGGATGCCTGGCGACCGGGTGTCTGGTACTTTGCGCCCATGGCGAGGACAGCGTACTTTTGGGGATGGTAGACGGAGTGCCATCAACAGTCGTCAGACGCTGCTCTCTCATTGTATCCGCACGAGCAACTCACATCAAAGCTGATCTTCTCGCCTGCGTCCGTAACGACAAAGTCCTCACCGAGTTCGGTGACTTTAGTCTTGGGCTTGACGATGTGCCGCGAACCGGGCTTCCAAAACGTGGCGAGATCGGCAAACAGCTTGTCCTCAAAGCCGGGCTGGACGGAGGCGCGCAATCCGGCGACCTGCCAGAAGGCAGCCTCGTTGGCGTCGATAAGCACGATACGATGCGTTTCTGGGAGGGATTTGGCGAGTGCCCGGGCGACGGTGGCGCCGCCGGCTGTGCAATGGGGTGAGGGGAAAAGAGGGGGAGGACCCGTGCTGAGCTGTCAGCTGTGGAGCCAAACGTACTACGTACGCAGGAGAGTAGCGAGGCAGGGGATGGGTGCGCAAACTCACAGGCAGCGCCGATGATGACGACGTTCTTGAGACCAGACATGGCGTCGTTTGCACAACCGGAGCAGAGGCAGGGCCTACGACTGGGACGAGGACCGGGTGAGATGCAGGCAAGAGGGAGGTTGAGGTTACGAGTGGGGTGAGCGATAAGAGGCGCAGTATTTATATCGATCCGAACGACCGCTGTTGGTGCGATGACGATGATCTTTCTTACAGCGAGTTGGGCGATGAGACGAGAGAGATGGAGATAGAGTGAGGTGGATGTGTACAGATTGTGGGTCCGTCAAGCCTCAATCAGCGTGAATATGTGAGACAGGGGATCATGCCGATCCATCTCACATCTTTCATCTGTGACCATTCATTCATGCCATTCAGACTTGTTTCGACGCCTCCGGAGCTCCCTTTCCTATTGGCGATCGATCTTTCTTCAGGCTGGGAGACGCGAAGCGAAGCCACCCATCTGTATCTTATTCCCGAAGCGACAACCTTATGTCCGCCACTATGTCCTTGATTGTGCCATCTCACCTCGGCGGGCCGAGCCCAATACAAACAGTGGACCAAAGGGTTACGTGATTGTGTATTCAGCGCTGCTGCTGGGCATTGGCCGCGCCCCACGCTCCTACGACTGGGATGAACATAGCCAGTGTGGTCGCGGGTCGAGTGCCTTGCATCTCTGCCTATTGGTCTACTTTCACTGCCCATGCTCCCAACGGAATTCACAGATGGAAACAGCCGTTTCACCTATGTTTCCGGTATGGTCATCATTATGGCAGGCGCACATTCCCTTGCAGTCTCTCACCGCAGCAACAGCATCTCGCGCAAGTCGTATATCTGTGCATGCATATCAGCAAGATCAGTAAACTCACCCATCGGAACCTATAAGCCCTAAGGACCGGCGGCCGTTAGAAACGCGGGGGTAGGCGCTCACAGTGCCGGCCGGCGTGGCGTGTTTCCTCATTCGTTAACTTTAAATTTTCAGTGCTTCAGTATCCAATCACGCGTACATGGCTTTGTAGGGTTGTAGTATTTACATACTATGGAAGGCCCTCATTTATCTATCATCGATTACCCTGCTAGCAGTAACTGAATCCGCCGCGCTGCTTCGTGCCGAACGTAGAGGGTCATCGCGAATGCATGTATGTATCACAGCCTGAGGGTACAGGGTGTTGCGCTAGCGATTGTATCGAGTCCCATGGCTCTGATCCGCAGCCGTTAGCGGAAGGAGTCAAAGAAGCCCCTCCTCGTAGTCCTGTCCTTCCTTTTTTCCTTTGTCAAACCTGCGCAGGGGACCGTGCCGGCCACGTTCCACGGCTGCTGGGTCATCATGCTGCTTTCACCTCCTGGTCCACCTTTGCACCCGCAGCTACATCCGTATTCACAACGACATTGCCGGCCTCGGCCTCGTCAGTGCTGGTGCTAGGCACCGAGCCGCCTGCTGGAGAATCGTCTTCCGCATCCTCTGCTCCTTTCTCGACTGAATCCGTTGCTGCCCCCTCACCAGCGCCCGTCGCGCTTTCGAGTTGGTGCTCCCCAGCTCCAGACGCTGGCTGAGAGACAGTCGCATCGGTCGGCGCTTCGTGGTGTTGGGCCAGTGCCACCGACTTCGGCTGTGAGGCGGGCTGGGGCGCATCACTCGCGTCCACTTGCGACAGGGACGCGGCAATCGTCGTCTTCGGCTCCTTCCCCTGCTCCGTGTCTGCCAGCTCCGGATCCGCACGTAGCGCCGCATCGCTCGATATCCCTGCAATCGACGAACCCACCGCATCTTGCTGTGCGGGCTTTTCTTCTGCCTTGACAACCTCCTGCTCAGTGCTGTCCGCGGGAACGCTCGTCTCCGCACTGGACGAATGGACTCTGTCTTGCGTTGGCCCCTCCGCTTGAGAGCGCCCGGGCTCAGAGGGACTGGCTGGCGTGGATGCTTGCGTAGTTGCAGCAGCTTGCTCTGCCCGACTTTCGGCCTGCGCGGCCTTCTCGCCAGCAACAACACCCGCCAAAGACTCATCCGTTGCTACCTGCTCTGAAGATGCGCCTCTGCCTGCAGAATTTTCCGAGGGCTGTGATGTTGAAGGAGCTGCCGAAATCACCCCAGCAGGCACGGCTGTGCCAACTGGACTTGACATGGGCGCTTGTGAGGAAGCCTGCTGTTGTTGCTGTTGCGGTTGCTGCTGTTGCTGCTGCTGTTGCGCTTGTAGGCCCCTTTTACGTGCCGCCTCTGCCAAGCGTTGCTGGAGTGACATGCGGCTCGGGCGCGTTGGCGTTCCAGTGCCCGAGCCGGAAGGCGAATCTGGCTGGGCGTTTATAGGCGTCGTGGGCGTCCCTGGTGTGGCAGGTGTGATGGGAGTCTCAGGGGGCACCTGCTCTGCTGCTGTCGATCCGTCATCTCTGGTTGAAATTGCGGAAGTGGAGTCCCCTACTGCGAGTGCGGATGACTCAGATGACCGCCTTGCAGTAGAGTCAGCCGATCCTCGGCGGGTCTCCGCATCTTGATACACAAGCGTAGCCTCTTGAGATGTCCTTGACGCCGGCTCGTTCTTTGGCGCTGCTTCGGGTTGCACTACACCCTCACTTGCCACGCCCACGTCCTTCGCTGGTGTCGGCGGCGCCTCCCCCGCTGGCGCCTGGGCAGCCGAGCTCCCCTCGCCAGGCGGAGCCGCTGATCCATTACCAGGGGTCTGTGGCAGCAAGTCGAGGTTGGTGCCATTTATTTGCGACGATCCATAATTCGCATGTGATTCAGGCACACCAGAGTGTGGCGCATCATGGCGCGGTGGTGGAGAACCCTGCGCGGAATGCACAGCGTCATGGACGGCGCCATCGATCATGCTTACAGGGGGAGCGGGAGGCGGCGTAGCCATGCCTCTGTTGCGACCGAAGCGCAGAGAAGGGATGCGCGGCTGATAGGATATGCCTGCAGAAACTGGCGTCCCAGGCATCGGAGACTCCGGCACCGGTTGAGGTGGCGGAACATGCTTATCTTTCAACACCTTGGCGAGTTCCTGGAAAGCACGAGCCCTTCAGATAAGTCCTCGGACGTAGGATGCAACATTTGACCTGTGACTCACCAGCCCACTCCATGTCAGGCTTTTGAGCGACCCCATTTTTGAATTCAGGTGCTCAATGTCGAAAACCATGCGGGCCCGCGCCCCTTCGTTTCGGATTTCCAAGCTCAAGAACGCTGCAGCTGTCCGCTTATCAATCGCTGCGAGGACTTGACTCATCACACCATCGATGGTCTGTGTTGGAAGGTAGCGGTATAGCACCTTGTACAAGAGCGACGTTTCTTTGACGAGGTCAAGCATGTACTTGTTCACCTTAGGTTCAGCGCCGCTTGCTTCAGCGTTCCAATTGATGCCCTATGAAAAGTCATTCCAGGGGGTTAGCGTTGCATATGGAAGGATCGAGGCTGCAATAGAGAAGGAGGGGCACGTACCCGTAGTGCCTTGCAATGAACACTCAGCCGATCGCTCATGATGGCAACAAGCTTGGCATGGATCTCGTACTGATGCTCTTGGTAGTCACGCTTGAGCTTGTCAAACTCGGTCAGCATAACTGCTTGTCGTGCCGTGAGATGTCGACGGACGGTTTCGCGGATGTACGGAATGAGCGCGATGACCACTGAGAGTGATTGAGACGCCAGAGCTCCATTTTCAGAACGCAAAGTCAGCCCATGCGACCTCAATCTACTCGGTGGTATTCTATTCCTCACCCAAATGTTTTGCAGTGATGTTCTTGAGGCCCGCCGATCGCATGGCTCCTGCTCCCAGCACGACTTGGCAGGTTCTAGAATTGAATTGCTGATAAGAGATGGCGTAACCTGAGTCAGCAGAACACATTTCATACCGTCAACACTGGCTGTACTAACCTTGAGAAACTCGACTACGCGCGTCATGGCTTCGGTGGTGAGCAGGGGCAGATTGACAATAACGCGTATGTATTCGCCCAATTGGGAGAGCATGTCCAGCGAAGCTTTGACCACACAGAAATCGCGATTCTCGATACGCAACGTCTTAAAACCGGCGACAGTACCATTCGCCTCCGCATGCGGTTCTTTCGACGAGGAGCCGTTCGTCTGCTGCTTGTCGGAGCTATCTGTCGATGGTAAGCCAGATATTATTACTGCGTCCTCGTCCTCTTCAGTGGACACGATGAATTCTGGCTGGTCTTCCGTGGCGCTGTTGACGATACGTTCGATCTCGACCTGCAAAGCAGCATCTACGTCGACCTGATCCCATTTCTCCTCTTCAACTGCTTTAGCGGCAGCTGCGACGCGCATATGGTGGAAACTGACCAGGAAGCTCTTGGCCTGGTTTAAAACGGTCCCGCGGAGCCCCATGATCATGCGCCGGCAGATGAGCTCGGAGCATAGGACGAAGGACCAGCAGAGTTGGAAGACGGCAAGGAAGTCCCGCAGAGTTAAAGACGTGTGCTGCTTTGCGCGAATGGAGATGAATCTGGACACGCACGCATGTGATAGCTCGCCAGCCGAATGGAGCAGCTCGCGGGCAGCACTGGGGAGAGCATGCGACACACCCTCCGGCATGTCGTATTGGCCCATCTTGGCATCTCCATTTGGCGTCGACGTACCGCTGGGAGAGTTCGGCTCCTGTTCTCCTTCGTGAGCCATGTCGTGAAGCAGCGAGAGGATGACACGAGTTTGAGCATTGATCCCCCCAAGATAATCTAGCAAGGCCTGGAAGAAGGTGTGACCCATTTCGAGGAAATCCATGTGAGGCATATCTCGAAGCCTTCTGGCCGCGTCGTCCGCATCCAGCATCTCTTCTGTCAGAGCCTCGTCCCTCGTGAGCAGGCTGTACAGCTGCGCGTGAGCGGTAACCAGATGCCCCTTCACCGCCTCGCGAATTGCACTAAAAGCGACGTCGCGATATGCGGCTAGCGCCCTTTCCACTCCTTTGGTACGAACGAGGCCAAAGATCAGACTGGATATCCGTTTCCGCAACAGCTCATCACTCAGACTGGATATCCGTTTTCGCAACAGCTCGTCAATCTCATTGAGCGGAGCAGGTGGCCTTGGTAGCACCTTTGCAATTTCTTCACTAGTCTCATTGTTTTCTTCACAAAGTCCCCATGAGCGTTTGGCGCTGAGCTTCCCGGCAGCGATGCTGAGCGAAAGATTGATCGACTTGCTCTTGTGAGCACGCAGAGCCTTAGGATCGCGCATGTTGACGTCTTGAGACACAGGTTCGGCCGGCATAACACGCTCGGTGAGCTCTTTGCTGAGTATGTGAAGCAGATCCTGCTGCAGTGCACTAGCGATGTGATCGTGGTGATTAGCAAAGCCGGAGATTATAGAGGCAACAGCAGGGACCTTGGAGAAGTCAATGTCGTCCGTATCAGACGTCTCCAGTGCATGGTCGTTTGCTTGGGATGTTCGTTTCCGCAATAGCATTCGTATTGACTCCATTAAGTCCAACGCCTCCTCGTATTCCCCATGGGAGACGAGCAATGTGACCATACTGCGCCGTTCGATCAGCTCTTGCACCGCTTGCACCGCCTTTGAAGTGCGTTGAAGCTCTCTGCGCCTAGCCTGCTTCGCAATGAGCTGCAAGCCTTTCTTGGCAAGCCGGTCATCGACCGCCACAAGCTGCTCCTTCAATATGTTGACTTTTTTCAAGCACGATGTTGCCTCTGCGGACAAATCTTGGAGATTGCCCAGCGCAGCAAAGAAAGAGCTTGATCGAGCACCGATCTCGACAATCAAATGCTGCTCGATGACATCCGAGTAATAGCTCAGCTTTTCCTGTAGTATCTGATTGAGACCGGGCTCGTATGTAACCGCATCTCCGTCTTCGTTGCGCGCGTTTGCATTGGACTTTTCTGATGCTGTTGAATGCTCGACCACGCTCCCAAAGACGTTAGGGCTGCTCAGACTGAAGCCGTCCTGAAAGTAGACTTTGGGGACTGACTCCAAGGAGGGCAGTCGTTTCCGAGACGTTAAGCGAGTCGGGCTCTGTGCTTCACTCCTCAAAGATGCTACGTCGATTGAGAAGCGGGAAGTCCCAGCAGCCGAGCTCTCCGGAGCGTCGAGCATCGGGTCCTGTGCTCGTTCCTGATGTCCATCTTCGCTTGCTAGATCATCTCCATCTCCTAATCGAGCTTTTCCACGTGCGCCTAGACGCTGACTGCGAACGAAGCGGTCCCATTCGGACCGAATCTGCTCGAGATAGGCGGCATGATCGCTCTTGCGCGCAGTTGGCAGCTCACTATATGAGATGGGGAGAAGTGGGTATCGCGAGGACTTGGGATCGATGGGATTGGAGCGTTTCGTCGGATGATTCAGGACAGTAGAGATCGCTGTGAATCAGGCGAAGTGAAGCGATTTCAACACCGAAGCCAAGGACTTGACATGATGTAAGTAGCTACTTACCATTGAATCCGGTCAATGCTACGCCTGGTGCATTGGTAAGGTCCGCGAGCGCAATCCCATCGAAGCTCAGCAGCCTCCCTCTACCTGTGGCGCTCCCCAGTCTAGAATCTATGATGGACCCTTGCACTGTGCTTCCCGACACCGAGCCTGTCTCTGTGATGGCATCATCCGAATCGTGAACCCCTGCCATTTCGGCGTCAGCGGCGGTCGCACCTCCAGCAACACGGTGGATGGGACGGCCGGATCTGCTCGCCGCACTGGCCTGCCCGCGCTTGGGGCTTCCTACCGAGTCTGTAGGAGATCCATATTCAGACGCTCGAAGCATTGTTGGTGCACGAGAGAATGGCTGCAGTTGCTCGGCCAGAATTTCGTGTACTGAGATGGTGAGAGATGGCGACTTGTGTAACGCCACACTTGGTCGTTGACGACTCTGTCCCTTGTGCCATATGACCTGGTCGCAGGCCCCAATCACACTCCTTTTCTCAGCACATGACAGGACGAACACACAAGCGAGCGTCACTGGGTGTCCGTGACGGATCGAATGAAAGGATGACCAAGGGTTGCAATGTAGACAGGTCTTGACCGTTTTAGTATTGGAAGGTTATACAATGGTGTTTGATCAGCTGCTACATTTAGTGATGGTACCAAGGGCACTACGGCAGTGTGGCGCATGAGCATACCTCCCTCACCATCACCAATCGACTTGACTCGACCATGGGCATTGACACCATCACACACCAGCATCCTCCGGATCCAACGGGACATGAATGATATTGTTGCAGCTGCCTGCAGCCCCAGAGCACCATAACGGTCCAGGGCAGGAGCTTCAAATGGTGGCGAATCATCGACCCACATGTGCTTTCAGAATCCAGGACCCTTAGCTTTCCTTGAGCATTCCCAGCGCAGAAGTGGGGTTTATACCATCACACTCTAACTTGTGCAGACAACATAAGATACATCTAGATACTAATTACCGGAGATGCACACAAATTCCCGAAGACCCAAAGCGATCCTGTCTATTACCGCACTAGGTATGTCCGCGCCGTCTGCGCAAAAATGCGTAAGGATCGAGGGTCACAAGGTTAGGGATCACGCGGCGCCAGGTGGGCCTTGAGCGCTTGTGCCAGCACCATCGGCGCCATTGCTTCCACCGCCCCCTCTGCTGCGTCCACCGCGTTGTCCTTCCAAGACCCCTCTAACACGTCCCCTTCCACGCCCTCGTCCTCGTCCTCGACCACCACCGCCGCTATGACCAGCCGCCGCGTCCTCTCCAATTGGTGCAGAGCTTTCTAGCGCAGCCGCGCTCGCTGACTGTGTAGCACCCGCAGCGACATCAATGTGAACACCGGGACCGGCATACCCGGACCTTTTCAAGCCGGCAGCTCCTGCAGCATCTGCAGCAGCGCTGCCCTTTGTTTTGCGCGATCCCTTGGCGTTCCGTTTCTCCTGCAACTTGACACGTCTAGTCTCCTCCGCAAACCACTTTTCGAACTCTTCCTGCTCTTTGCGTTGACGCTCCAGTGCCTGCTCGACTTCTTTCTCCTCCGCTACAATTTCCGCAAACGACTTGCGCGATGCATGGGCGCGGGCGAGCGCGACTTGCTGTGCTGCGCTGTCCTCCTTGCGCTGTTGCTCTTGGATCGCGAGGAAAGATGTAGTGGTAGGCGACATTCCTGGACGCGTGGAAGCAGTAGTACTAACTACAGCTGCTGGAGAGCTGGCACCTTGTGATGAAGGCCTAGGCCAAAGCGCGAGCGAAGGGGTGTTAGGAGTCGTTGTGGTGGACGCCCAGGCATTGCCCCCTTCATTGCTGCCGAATCTTCGTTGCTGTTGCGTCGCACCTCTACTGCCGTTCCGTGTAGGAGTAAAGGTTGGAACTTGCATTGAAGATCCATTTGCAGATTCGGCGGCGCCCCATGATGAGAGCGAAAAGGCGCAAGGCACGGCTGCTGGTGAATTAGATACCGCACGCAAGAGGGGAGATGGCGTCAATGCGCCTGTCGGCGGAGAACGGCTGAAAGCTGGAAAGGAAGGCGGAGAAGCCAATGGAGCGACTTCGCGATCCAGGGTCTTCCATGCCGGAGATGCAGCTGGCTTGCTCTGCATCCGTTGTTGCCACGGCGAGGCGGGCCCAATTGTTGCGCTCGCAGGCTGCATGGTTGTGCCTTCGGGCGCTGATGATTGGCCTTGCTGCGCGGTCGACCGCTTGCGATCCTTTTGAGATAGCTTAGGCGCGATGCTGATCGACCCAAGATCCGCTAAGTTTACGTTGGTCTGTGCAGTGGCCTTCGTCGGCGTCGCTGCCCCTGAATTGTTGGTAGAAGCGCCTGGGGTACTCTTCTGTTCTGCAGCCATGATGCTCCTCAAGTCGAGACCAGGTGAAGCAGCGTTCGGTTTAGCAAGCACCGCACGTGCGCCCCAGGGTACTGCACCCGGCTTACCCTGCATCGAGCTACCTCCGAGCTTCAAATCAGTCATGGCTCCTGACAAAGTGGAGCGTGAGGCTGATGCTGAGGCCGATGGCAGCTCAAAATCGTCCATGTCGAACATCAGGCCCGAGTCTGGCGCGTTAGGCAGCACAGTCAACGGTTTCAGGTCGGGGCTTGCGGCCGAAAAGTTCGAAGCAAGAACGCGTCGCCGCGAGTCCACAGGTGCGACGGCCGGGGACTTGGGCTGACGTCTGGGCATACGCTGACTGACGAGGTTAAGTGAGGGTTTGGGGATGTCAAGATCGCGCACGTAGTCCTGATGCTTGACCATTAGCACTGCTATACGGTCCACAGAGGCTTGCCGGTGCATGCGGTCGTTCTGGCGCGCGCGTATGTAAATCCCCAGATCCTTCAAAACTTTGTGCTCAAGATCGTCAAGCAGCCCGCTCTCCAAGAACGGCTCCAAGTTGCGCGCGCAGAGATCCATGCAGGCCTCCTTGAGCGTCTTAGCGTGGTAAAAATCGGCATCCGCCATAATGGACGCAACGTTGCGCGACCAGATCCGACGCCGGAGAATGGCGGAGCATATGAGTGACAGTTTGCCTAGCAGCAAATGGTCGGCGGATACGAGGACATCGACAACAAAGTCGATGAATTCTTCCTGCGTTACGTCTTTATCGGCGCCGCGGAAGACCTCGACGCCAGAGTCAACGTATAGATGCTGCAGAACCACGCTAGCCGTCGCCCAATCAAGAGGGCCCATGTCGACGTCAATCACCGCGTGCGAGTCCCATCTCCCGAAGGAAAAGTCTGGATGAAGTAGTGCGGTGAAGAACGGCGAGCGCCGCAGCACGACCGAGTGCGCGGGGACGATGCGGTCTTTAAAGTGTAGACGGACATCGTGGATGGCCGAAGCAGCGGGTGGTTCACGATCGACATAGTTGTCGAACGCGCTCTGAAGGCATTTGCGTAGCGACGCAGTAGGTGCGCGCGGGACGGGCGAATTGAGTGACAGAGAGAGCGTGGAGAGCTGCAGCAGCTCAACAACGCCCTTGAGATCTGTGAGAACTTGCGGTCTACTGATGCGCAGCGCTGAGTACTGTCGCTCGATTTGCATGCCGATGCTAGCGGTCCAGACGGGTGGCAAGTCATCAGTGTAGATATATTGCAGAAGGAAGAGCGCAGCGTGGAACGAGCAACTCGGCAGCTTGACCGTGACGATGCCTGGCGTGGGCCCCTCGACTATGACTCCGGGCGGCAAGTGTGCTTTTGCCTGCGCCGAGTCAGGTGCTTCGAGCGCCGCTGCGAGCGTGGGAATACGCGCGGTGAGGATGATGCGATGCGCGGGGATGTATTTACCACCAGCGATGACGAACAAGTCACAGCCATTAGGCGGACGCATGTTGTCCGGACCGTAGACGACAACGCCGCTCTCGCTTGGATTGTCCCATCTGCGAGCAGCCTCGGCGAGAAGCTGCGCCATCTTGACGTACTTGACAGTCGAGCCGTGGTCTTCCTCTTCGTCCGAGTCAGTCTCTGACTCTCCCGCGCCAGCATCCGCCAGTGGCGGCCGTGCAGCGGCAGTTGAATCGCACACGTCCGCTGCGATGCTCATGCCTTCTTCCATATCACCATCAGAGTAAGAGCGAAGGTGCGGCAACTGATTCTGCAGCGCTTCCTCCAGGGACCGACCGCGAATCTTGATCTCGCGGCAAGCAGCATCCGCTTTGATTGCTGCGAACCCGCCGCTCTCATTCATAGCCACCTTGACGACCCGCTGCAGATACGGCACTGCGTGAAACTTGAAGCCGCCACCTTTACCGGACGAGCCTCTGCTGCCAGCACCGAGACCGGCACCTGCGCCAGCTCCATCACGCCCCGCGGCAGTAGCGCCACTCACGCCAGCGCCACCCGCACTGAGGGCGGTGGCACTGCCGCCAGGATCGTTGCGCCGCGCGCGCACAAAGACATGTCCGGATTCGGTACAGAGGATGACAGATCCGTCTGAAGCGATCGCGACGTCTCTAACCGCGGTGAACTTCTTGCGGACAGACCAGACGAGTTGCGGTTTAGGCGTGATGTTCTTCAGGCTGGTGGCCGAGCCGCTCTTTATGTACTCAGACGGATGGTCGAGCGAAAAAGTAAACAGGTCGCCCATGTCGCTCATTGCCGCAAATGTCGTTCCGGAGCTGGTAATCTTGTTGATGATGGGCTTCGGGCGCGCCTGCTGCGGACGGAAGATGTTGGACGAGATCTCGGGGCGGAAGCGGTTCAGCGGGAACTGGACGCGGTGCGTGGTGTCGTTGTGAAGGACGAGAACATCCCAGTTGGTGAAGAGACACGCGGTGGCGAAATCCGTTGCGGCGACTTGCTTGATTTCCTGCGAGATGGTGGTCACCTTGCGTGGAACGATCTGCACCGGTGTTGCATAGCGGTCGTAGCCGAGCTGACCGGTGTTGGTCCCCCACGTGAAGAGGCCCTCAGCGGAGAAGACAACAGAGTGCATCTTGCTCGCTGCAGCGCCAAGGATGAATTCCTTTTTGAGGGCGCCAACAACCTTGCGCGGTGTGATTTGCGTGTCCAGCTCACCGCCTGCACCGGCACCTAGACTTGTACCTGTACCTCCACCTGCGCTAGCAGCAAAGGCCGCGAACCCGCTACTTCCGCTGCCGCCAGCCCCAAAAGTAGCGCTCGCCGCTCCACCGCCCTTGCTCGGCGCGCTGCTGGACGCGACAACGCCAAGGCCGTGCTCGACAACGTAGCCAAGCTGCGAAAAGCGATTGAGGCCGAACGAGTAGACCGCACCGCTAGCGCTGACGATGAGTGTATGGTCCTGCGCAACGGCAATGCTCTGCGCAGTATCGCTGAAGTCCTGCAGCGGTTCGAAACGGGTCTGCATCCCCGTCGCGCGGCCCAGACGCCCACTGCTGCCGATGCCGCAGACCCAGACGTTGCCGCTACGCTCGGCGGTGAGAAGGACGGTGTGCAACTTGCTCATCCCTATGTCCCTGACGCGGATCCGGTCGAACCGTGAGCCAGGCATGCCAGCATACGATGCTGTGCTAGGAGGCGTTTGACTGTTGTTTGGGTCACCGTCACCGCTACCGCGACCGAGAGCATCTTCCTCCACGCTGCCGCTGCCATTGTCACCAGCGGGAGCCGTCTTAGATCCGCCGCCTTCCGCCCGGACAAGCTTGACGCGATCTGGCAGATGCCTGTCATTCCCATCTCCGAGGCCCAACGTGTAGTTCCGATTGACGCCCCACGCCAGCACGTCGGACCCTCCGAGCTGCGGGTCGTATTTTGGGTTGGTCCCAGAGACGGTCGAGTTGTACAGGTCGAAAGGCGTCAGACCTTCGAAGTCCTTAACGCGCAGATCAGTGTCTTGCCGTCGCAACAAGGGGAGTGCGAGGAGCAGATTGCCAATGTACAGTGCGCGGTGGAGCGGTGTCCAGCCTGCCACGGGTGCGCGAAAGAAATGCGCTTTTAGCACTCCTTTCTTGTGAAAAAATGCACGCGTGCTGCGGCTCACCACTCTCATGATCCTGCAGATTGACGTTGACGGCAGGATGCGCTAGTAATGCGTTGAAGTACTCGATCGCGCTCGGCTCCAGGCTGCTACAGACGAGATGGAGCGCCGTCCTGCCGGCATGGTCCCGTCGGTTGACTTCGGCTGGCGAGCAAGGCCCACCTCCGACTGGCATGTGTCCTGCATTCCCCCATGAGATCCCCATGCCTCCGCCTGGGGACTTGGAGTACGACGAGTATGGATACGACTGCGCAGCTCCGCAGGATGAAGGGCCTGCGCCAACACCGCCATTTGACCCGCTCGCATTTACACAGCCGCTCCGGGTAGTTTGGGTCGCTGTGCTGCCATCTTTGCCGCAACCTTTGCCACCACCCGCGGCGCCTGCAGAGCCCTTTTCCGTCGGGATGCCTTTGACTGTGCTCCGCAAGAGCGCGAATGATGCAGCGTGTCAGTTCGTGACTCCCATTGGCCTCCTTTCCTGCGATTCAGTCTCTACTCGTGCAGAACATACTCACGTACGTTGCGAAATCTCTGCAGATCCCGCACATGCCAGCAGTCGATCAGGGTGGGGACTAGGTGAACCATGCAAGGTAGGTGAGTGGAAAGAGTCGAAAGGAAAGAGCAGACGGCAGGACGGAGAAGCTACGCCTACGTGGTCACTCTTGCTTCGGTCACGAAGCACCGAGTGAAGCACGCTTGACAAGCTGCTCTTTCCTCTCTGCTTTCCTCTCGACGAAGAGCCTTTACCCCCGAGGTTGCCCGTGAAATAGCCGGACGTGGGCTGGGCGATATTATTCTGCTGCTTCCCAGGGAAAGAAAAAAGCCTCTTCAGGACGCCAGCAAAATCCGTTTGGGCAAATGGAAGCAGTATTTCCTTTGCGTCGAACGCGTCGATACCGGTTACCGGAAAGGATGGAAGGGACTGATGAAAGGTTTGGGGACGATAATGAGCGCGTCGAGATGTGACAAAAGGCAGTGGGCGACACGTGGCGCGTCTCCTCTGGGCGACGATGAGTCACGGTGGGAGCTGGAATTGACTCGATTCGAATTCTTTGCGTGCGATAAAGGCTAGCTGACTCTTGTCTCCTTCTATGGAGGCTGCCGTGGATAGGATGTATCAGGCTCACCGCCTTTAGAGTTGTTGCAATGAAGATGACTATCAGATGTGCTTCCGTCCAGCATGCCCCGCGTCCATTCCATCACAACGTGTATGCTGTGCTGGCTGGGAGCCTGGGAGATTGCCAGCGACCCGTACCTTTACGCGATACAGGCAGTCAAGTTTTTCACAGGCGCCGCATGGGACACCATTGGGGGAAAATTCCCCGGTTTCATCATCAGAACCCGAGGGGAAATTGCCCGCCAAATGTGAGCTCCGGCGCATCTCAAAAAAACTATTTCAGCAGAAAGAGCCGATGAAGCAAGCAGCACGAATGGGACACTGGATCTCCTTTTCGATTCACACATAGGCTGCAACGTGCTGTCAGAATGGCTCCTTGGCAACATGGGTTCCGTTTTGGCTTCTTTGTAGTCTTGTCTACGCAATTGTCACCACTGCCGGCACCACTTTCTGTCTCGGCCTCCTCACAATATGCACCGATGGGGTGGCACACGACTTGGCTCACAAGCTCACTTGCACGGTCAACATAGCCCATGAAACATTTCAATTATGTTTTGCGCACCTTCTCTTCTGTTGGCGGAGTGCGTTGCAATGTCTTATACTCAAGGGTGCAATGTCCCATCAGCGACATCTCAAGCAGCGATCACGAATGTCTGCCTCTCCTCCGTGAAATGGTCTGCAAAACGGAGAACCGTTCCCTTGGTCCTACCGAGCTTCCGAGTCATACAAGCATTGCTTCCGCCAGGCGGAGCTTCGAGTGCTGACGGATATCCAGCCCCTGCACTAAAATTGACCTTGGACAGTGCCACACCGAGTGACGCTCAAATCTACGCCTATGAAATACCCCGTGAGAGCGACCGCGAGCAGAATATCTGGACCGTCGAAGAAAGCGATTTGGCGCATGTCACAACTGCGGGATTCAAAGTGACTCACCTCAATTCTTCCTGCACCCACTTACACTCATACGAACACGCTAAATTCCCCGCCGGCGACGGTCTAGCTCTTCTAATTCATCATGCAGATCAAGGGGACCGGTTCGTGGCAATAGAGGCTGGGTAGATCGCCCTGTTGTAACAAGTGTACGATCTGATTGTGTCAAGAAGGAATCCAGCATTGTAAAAGCGTTTGACTTCCGTGTGAAGGCCCCTCATTTTCTGCAAATTCAATTCTCTTCTCATGTTGAAGGTGCAATTGGCGGTTCCGGACGGATGGCCAAAGGGTGCATTTTTCTTGGGCAAAGAGCTCTCGGTAGGCCGCAACGCGAGAAAGATGAGCACCTGCAAAGCCCATTGAGCTTCATTCTGCCCTTGTTGCTATCTCGCCGCCGCAATGGGTACAGAGCGAGCGGCATGTGGAAGGATGTGCTTGTCGATCTCCTTAGACACTGGCATGGGTTTGCGCAAGATATACTTCGGCAAGCGTAAGCATCACTGCTGTACAAAGGTATGAGTCCTTCGGTGGAATCCAGAACCCCGATTGGGAAGTTATCTGAGCATCGGCCTCGTCTCCGACAGGAGAGCATGCTCCTTGGCACACGTCACGTGTGACACAGCATGTGATTGATCCTCTGCCCTTCAGCCAGGCAACACTTGGCTCGGGAACTTTGCATCAATGGCGAGATTACAAGTGACGGCAGTAAACAAAGAAGCACAGTCTAGCCCGCACACCAGGCTCGCCGAGTCCTTGATCGATAGTCTTTGAGAAAGTAGTAAAACTCTGCGTGGAAGATGGCGGGAACAGGGAGTACGGTGCTGGCGTCAGTCCGACAGTCACTTTCGGCAAGAAGGTCACCGGCGTGCCGAAGTGTCAAATTGAGCACATGACATGCCGAGTGAACAGACACAAAATTGACACAGCGCAAGATTGAGTGTGCATACTGTTCTTGCAGGGGCGGGAAACAGGAGGCTGGGGCAGGTTGCCACGTCCATAGAACATACAGTCGAAGTTTGCGCGGCTTCGAAGCGACGGTTCTCTGATCGACGAGCAGGCAAGGAAAAGCCATAAGCAGACGCAACGTCGAACGATGTGCAATCGGGAGGAGTGGAAAACCGGATGGTGGAACGCGCATACGGTGACAGCAGGGCATCCAGGAGAAGAGAATTGGCAGGGAGGAGCAGGCCGACCCGGCAAAGGATTCGAGGGAGAAGGGCGCAGAACATACCTGAAAGAAGAGGAGAAAGAAGAAATGGAGGTTGCTTTAGAAAACAGGTGAATGAATGGAAGAGAGCTAGTGACAAAGAATGGAGACGACCGATCCAATTGTGCCAAAATGTGAACCGTGGCAAATGCGGATCCCCAATGGAGACACTGAAAAGCAAGCGCCTCCGATCACAACTGGTTGCCGCAACTTTAAACGGAAATTGCGAGCAGGCAGTTCAATAGGGAAAACAAAGTAGATCTTCTGGTAAGAAAAGGATCTAAATTACAGATCCGTAGAACACCGAGATGGTGAAGTGATGAGAAGGGAGGAATGGCGCATAGCGGACACGTGCGGGGTTGGACCAAGTTGGGATTTGCTGAGCCATATATTTGTATGGTGACTCTCCTACGTCACCGCCATTCCGGGGGCTGGAGAGGAGCTGGGAGGAAACGGAGTCCGCTCTCGTATGTGCCACTGTGACATGTAACCCTACTTTGCTCATTCCCTGCCATATCCAATCTCCGCGTTCCGCGCTCCATGTTCCGCATTAACCCTTGCTACTCGTCTGGCCACACGCCCGTGGTTCGGGCCGCGGCTCGCTCGCTTCTTCATCACCATCATCCCATCGCTTTTATGCTCTTGGCCATTCAAATGAACGAGCGGACGACACAAACCGTCGCACTTTGCATTCGCACGAGAGACGGAACCGAGGAAAGCCCCTGGACCATCTGATTTCAGCGCTTGGAGAGGCGGTGGTCAGGACAACACGAGAGACCGTCGCCACTTGCACGCTTGGCTTGTGGTTTGTGGAACACGTGAAGGTGTCCTGGTCGGCGGGGTGCGTCAAGCACTGGGAGCTAACGTCACGAACTCGCCTCATTCAAGCAGCATGAATGCCATCCCCGACATGGCAAAGTCGATCCTGCGGACATCAGCGGCCAACCCGGCGATGCGGACTCTGGGAGCAGCATCAGCAGTAGGGGCTGGCGCCCATTATGGCAGCTCCTCCCTCGCTGAATCGAGCGAAGCGACCTGGGCGCATCCCTTGCTCACATTTCTGCTGCAAATCGCTGCTTTTCTCAGTCGCACATTTCAGTCACTCCCAGGCTCTGCTATCCTAATGCGCTACATCCGCTCGTCCTACCAGAATGACCCGGTGCGCTCGCTGCTCGAGCTCCTCCTGCTCGCCTTCGCGGTGCGCACCGTGCTGCAAAGTCGCACACGCTCCAACGTCAGCGGGAGCAACTTTGTCAAGCTGACTGAGGAAGAGATCGAGGACCTTGTTGCGGACTTTACGCCGGAGCCGCTCTGTGCACCACTCAGCGAGGCAGAGAAGGCAGAGCTCGCATCCGTCCCACTCATTGCCGGCGCCAACTCGGCCCGGCCGAGGGTTGCGCTGCCTTTGAGCATGGGCGGATCTGCAGAAGTCGGAGGAAAGACACTGCAGGTGCTCAATCTCGCCAGTTACAATTTCACAGATCTTGCAGGGCAGGACATCGTCAAGCAGCGGGCGATTGAGACGTTGCGCGAGTATGGAGTCGGAAGCTGCAGTCCCCCAGGCTTCTACGGAACGATTGGTACGTCCCTTTGATGAGCTCTCTTCACTTCCGCACACATGCTCTTACCTCAGTATCTTCAACTCTGCACAGATGTGCACATGAAGCTGGAAGCCGACCTGGCGCGGTTCCTCGGCACCGAACGCGCCATCATCTATGCGCAAGGCTTCAGCACGGTTTCCTCGGTGATTCCGGCGTTCTGCAAGCGCGGAGATATTATCGTCGCAGACCGCGGCGTGAACTACGGCATCCAAAAGGGCATCCAGATTTCGCGCTGCAACGTGCGGTGGTACGACCACAACTCGATGTCATCCTTAGAAAAGGTGCTGCAGGGCATCACGCGCGAGGACAAGCGGCGCAAGGGCCCGCTAACACGGCGCTTCATCATTACCGAGGGCATCTTCGAACACGATGGCCAGATGACGGATCTGATCAAAGTTATGGAGCTGAAGCGCAGACACAAGTTTCGCCTCATCCTCGACGAGTCGCTTAGCTTTGGCACAGTCGGAAAAATGGGCCGTGGCATGACGGAGCTGTGCGGTACGCCAGCGTCCGAAGTGGACATTCTCGTCGGCTCCATGGCCAGCACGCTCGGATCGTCTGGCGGCTTTGTCGCCGGCTCGGAAGTCGTCGAGTTTCACCAACGCATCAACTCGGCCGCCTTTGTCTTCTCCGCCGCGCTGCCTGCGCTGCTGGCCGTCGCATCTACAACCGCGATCGAGTGCTTGCAGTCAAATTCTGGTGTGATGGACGTGTTGCAGGCGAACATCAAGGCGCTCCGCAGCGTACTCGACACTGTCGAATGCATTTCCATCCCTTCGCACAGCCCATCGCCCATCATTCACATCCAGGTGCGCAGCATAAATGACCCGCACCCGCAGACACCGGCGGACAAGCTGCCGCCTTCACATATAGCCCGTGTGAACGACGAGAAGGGCGGTGGAGCAGCAGGCTTGCTCGCGCCTCCCGTGGCCGCTGGCGTAGCAGCACTGGCGCGACAGGCCGCTAGTACGCACGACCTTCCGAAAGAGGAGCAAACGCGGCTCCTGCAGGCCATCGTAGACGACGCACTGCTCAATGGCGTCTTGCTCGTACGACAAAAACGTTTGCCGAGCATACAACCCAAGATCCTCGAGATCGGCCCCGATGCGAGGCCGTCCATCCGCATCGCCGTCAGCACTGCTTTCACGAAGAAAGAAATCGAGAAGGCCGCGAATGTTATCAGAGCCAGTTGCATCAAGGTGCTAGGGAAAAGATGATGAAGAGCGCGTGGCATGTGTGCAAGTTGGACAGAACCTGAGGGTAGCATTTGCTTAGATAGGTAGAAAAGCAGAAGGCACAATGATCAGATGAACTGCTGTTATGTACTCTACAGGATCGCACTGGTGTGTCTTCTGCATGTCACCTCCATCCAGTTATGGCGGCGGGGGTCTTTAGAATTACTCAAGTCGGCCGAGTCATAGCCCGCAAGTCACAAGATCAATAACAGAACATCAAGGCAGATTGCGGAAAACGAATGCTCGAATCTATGATGCATGGCCTTCTTAAGAACCGATAGAATGCTCCCAGAAAATATTGGCAGCAGTAAAAACGAAGGCAATGGGAGTACAAATCAAAACTTGGCCGGCGGTTAAACTCACGCATGAAGTCCTTGCATTCCACTGACAAAGAATGACGGCGCATTGCGACTCTTGACATCCCGCTCCAGCAAGCCCTTCGAACATTCATGTTGCCTTGGATGCCGGAGTGCGAGCTACAGTCGGAGAGGTAGAGGCTTGTGCTAAGCCGAGACGTGGGGCCATGCGTCAGTCAACGCTTTGCCCAAATTATGCATGTGATGACCTTTCCCACAACCTTGCCCATAGCCGCTTGTCACGTTCCTCTTAACACGGGATGAGTGTGCACACCCCGTTTCTCAGAAGTACCTGAAAATTTCACCAGGAGGAACAGAATCACCACGCCGCACGTCTGGCTAGGAAGCCAAACGAGCAACGTGACTTTCACGTTCCTTTGAGCGTCGTGTTTACTCTCCTACCGCATGCGCTTCCACGCAAGCAGTTGTCGTGTGCTTAATTCTACATCTTCGAAGCAGCCCCTCCTTGACTGTTCACTCTTCGCCGGGCCACGAGCGTCCTCACCGTACTTCAAGCTGCGCCCCCAGTCCCTGACTCGCCGGAGATGTCCTGTGTGCTCAAGCAGTCACGCGTACCTTTTTGGGACTCAAGGTTTACCCTATTGAGATATTCCGGCGATGCATCTTTGACAGCTGAATGGGTTGCATCACCTGTGCGCCGTGCAAATTCTGTGGATCCTCACACGTCTCCACCCGTCCCGAAGCCTTCTCTGAACATTGGCGGTCGAGGCGAGAGCGTGCTGCTGCATGACGCCCATCCGTTGCTAAAGATATTCAGCACCATGTGTAATGGGCGGCATGATAATTCGATTAGGCGAGGTGTAGTCCGAAGAGCTCGTAGCGAAGCGATGAATACCTAGAGGCGGAACCGCGAGAGAGACGCGCGCTCTTTGCTTAAAAGTCTACACCGCTCCAGTGCCACATTGACCTGTTTAGACCTCCAGACTCCAGACTGACTTGACTTGAATCAGTGCTTATAATCTGGAGGGCTTTGGCTGTCGTGGTTGAACTTCATCTTAGCCGAACGGTCTAGCATCAACGTTGCCAGTTGCCACAGGAAGAACATGGGGAGGCTTGTGGTGCCAGCCTGCGCCTGAGAGCTTTGACCCGTGAAGCAGCACGCTGATGCGAATTGAAACTGATTGACGGTTCCAGTCAAAGCCATACCTGATCGAAGCTTTAGTTCACCTCGCCGACCCACTTGGGCTCCTGACTCCTCCACCGACAAGGATTGACACGGAAATCTACCGACGATTCTTTTTAAGCATTTTGAACGCGTACCGAATCCCAGAATTTCCAAGAACAAGATGAGCAGGATGATCGGTCGCCGACCCTCCAAGCTCGAACTGAACGCCATCGCAGCAACGGACCAGGAGCACGTCAAGTCATCCGCCACCGCATCGGCATCAAGTTCGAGCGCACAGGCAGGTCCGAGCACAGGTAACTCTATGTCAACCATGCGAGCATCAGGTTTAGCCGATAGCAGTCCTGCGCTCGCGGCGATAGATGGCTCATGGCATGATACCAGCCTGCTACAGAGCCCTGCGCTCAACTCCGGCCTGTTCTCTGCGGGCTTCAGCGGCGCGGTCTCTTTGCCGCCTAGCGCGTCCAGCTTGAGAGATGGGGAGGTGGCAGCCAACACTCTAGGTCTGCCTACAACCAGAGACGGGATGCGAGTCTTATTTCAGAAGCGTATACAGAGCTTTCAATATGTGAAAGGGACATTAACAGGGTGAGCTGCATGGGACTGACCTAGGAGCGAGCGAGGCGGTCAGTTTTAAAATCTGAGCGTGGTATGTTCCCCTTCGCAACATAGAAAGCAATTGTGGATGAACACAGTGCGAATATCTAGGAAGGATCTGGAGGCAGCCTTTGACTCTGAACGTGTACGGAAACGGTGAGTTCACAGCCATCTGGCTCTTCATGGGTCCAAGGACGGAGGAAGAACTGATATATCGATCGGCGCCAAAGAACAACACGACATATGGTGATCGGTATCTCGATGGCGCCACTTCTCGAGATCCGGTCCGCTCCAGAGTTTTGCAAGGCGCTGCTGAACATTATGAATGAGGTGGACACCTTCTCGGAAGCCATCGAGAAGGACAAGGCGAAAGTTCGGAACATATTCAAAGCCAAAGGCAAAGGCCGCGCTGATTTGACTCTGCCGGATAATGCCATCACCACCGTCGGGATCAGCGGTGACGCTGCGCTGCTCTGGCCGAATATAGTGAGTAGCGGCAGCACGCTGCGGCCACAAAGCATTCGTGCAGGCAGACTCACCAGCCACATATGTCCCTTGCTCGTCTAAAGCCGTATCATCTCGATTTTTTCCAAGTTTTCATGACGCTTTGCGACATCATAGTTGAGACGTATCACAAGCTGCTGCTATTTCTGGGACCATCCAGCCCAAACGCTGCTGCTAACAACGGTGGGCAAGCACTCGACGGCACCGCCCTGGAATTTGAAACTGCGACCGCGGCACCGGTACCTCTCACTGCCGCCTTGCAGGACATCATGCTCAAGGTAGACTCGAAGTTCAAGGTACGCCGATATTTGGCTTTTATGCATGGTCGCATCTGACCTGACCTTGCTTATCCTCAATTCGCCCAGAAAATCTTGGTGCAAGTATCGAAAGAGATCGATGGGCTGGCACGCCATCTGATCAAAGAGGAGCTCGTCAACCTCGAGAGCGCCATTAAAGGTGCTTCGCTCAGCACCATGGCTCATTCTTCACCACCTATACCGCAAGTCAACATGGGGACAGGCAGCAGCATGATGGGTAGCATACGCGGACACTACTCGAATTCATCCGTCTCTTCCACTTCTGGAAAGCTCGCGGGCTCATCCTTCGGCTTTACACCCGCGACTCTGTCTTCCACTGGTTCGTCGTACTCTAGCGATGCGGGGAGCCTAGGATACGCCACCACCAAATCGTGACGCTCGCTTGCTTCGGTCGTTAATTATGGCAAATTAATGCAGCATGCACACCTTTCGAACGCCCTCATCTACCCCATTGTCACTGTTGCAAATGTTGTATTCCCACCCTCCAAGTGCACGGTATGCAGGCTGAAAAGTCCTGGCGTCATAACATGCGGCGCGTAGCCCCCTGCCTGGCTCTGCCCAATGGTATCTTTAGATAAGGAAGCCGATTCACGCATGCTTCTAAAGACGGAGTCGTTCTTGTCGAAGAGCTCGACCGGTGGCCTTGTCTCCGCCATGCGGGCGGTTTACATTACGATTGCCTGGAGAGTATTCATACAGAGAAATTAGTCATGACGCCCTTGAATTGATGCGTTTTGAGTTGAGACCGGCTGCATGCTCATAAATGATTGCTCCACTGTGCGACGCAGGAATCTGACAGCGGTCAGCTTCGTGTAGAAGCGCTTTGGATCGCTGCGAAGCACGACTCACGCTATGCGATCAACTGCACCATCTGTCTCAGACTTTGGATGATCATGAAGGCGCAGGCGAGCACTGCGCCGAGATTTCTCGGCGACCTGGTTCACAGGCCCATGTCCACGAGTCCGAGCATGAGCAGGACGGTGTTGCCGATGCTGTCCGTGTGAATCTGCACCTACTGCGCGAGCGCAATGCTGACGAATCCTGCGCGGTTGTTGTAATCGAAACAGAGGTTACGTTGGCAGATGAAATCTTCCTGCTGCGAGCAAGCGTGGCCCGTCAGCACGCCGTTGAAAGTCTCGTCGTGCAGGGTGTAAACATGCGAGGTGACCAGCGCCTCGGCGCGCTTTGTTTCGTGCGAGCGGCGCTGGTAGAAACTTTGGATGATTCAGAAGGCCAGGACGAGCTGCAGGAATTCGAGGAAGAGCCAAAAGAACGCGTAGGTGACAATCGCGCTGTCAGTCGATGCAAGAAAATGCGTCAGCAGCGTTGCTCCTGTTTCTTTTTTGAAAGGATTATCGCCAACGTCGGACGGGCATTCACAACTTTACAAAGACACCGAATAGAGGGGTGGCGAACGCAAAGCAGAACTTGGCAGCCTGGAGGTCCATGGTATCGACGTCCTTGGTTAAGCGCGACTAGGTACGCCCGGTGGGCGCCGTGTTGAATCACGCAATGGGAACCCGGAGCACACCGCCATCGGCGGTGTGGAAGAGTGTGACGGAGGCGTAGAACACGGCGAAGTTCATCATTAGGTTGCTGACGAATGTGAAACTGGCGCACTCGGCGCCGACGCCAGCGTAGATGCCAAAAGGCCAATATAGTCTCCCGTGTGGAAGCCGGGGATCTCATTGCCAGTCCAGAAGCCGAGGATGAGCGATTTAGCGGCGTTCCAGCCGTGCTGGCGGACAAGGGGCGCGAGCACGATCGGGAACCAGGAAAATCATCCGGGTGCGGTGATGTACCCGGCGTACACCTTCCACCCGACCGCGCCAGCGGCACGCTCTTCGTCCTCCATCAGCTTCTTGGTGGATGCGTTCGACCCAAACTGCGATGCCCTGTCTTGCTTTGCTGCCGCCTCGCCTTTTGATATTGCTTTCGCATCCACATCCGCCTGGCTGGCTGGCCTTGGAGTCGGCGGTATCGGATTTTACGCGGGCGCTTCGCGCCGCGCGTTGCCCAACTCCTCGAAGCTTGGCGAGCGCGCCGGCGGTGGTGACGACGTCGCTGGAGATGTTCTGCTCGCTGATGATGCCATCATCGAGGAGGATGATTCAGGCAATGTGCGGGAGGACATGGAGCTGGTGTGTTGCGAGGACGCGCCTGGAGCGCGACAGAGGCCCGGCACCGGCGAGGAAGCAGTTTTGCAGGATGCGGTGGCCGACGTGCGCGTCGACGCTGGAGAGTGGGTCTTCGGCGAGGACGATGTGGGAAGGGACGCTGGAGGCAGTGCCGGGACCTCCCTTTTGACCTCCTCGCCGGCCGCAGCGCGGCGGAGGAGGCGCATCCGCTGTTCGTGCGCGACGTTCCGCGCTCTTTTCTTCTTCTTGTGCTCCTTCGTGATGCGTTTCGCCTCAGCTTGCTTCTCCTTGGCGTGCAGCTCCTCCTTGGTCGGGTCGGGCCGCACCTGCACCTGCGCCTCGGCAGCAGGCATCCTTTTGTCTTTGTTGAGCCCGTCGACTGGCCCGGCCTGCGAGTCGCTCGTCTGCCACCTGTAGCTGCCTTGTGTGCGCACACCGTGCTTGCTGTCCGTTGAGTCAACGCCCTCGAGATCGTCGGCGAAGAGGAATTGCCGGCGCTGCGCCGCGCGCACACTCACAATGGCGACGGGTGCGGCCCAGATGAGGTGAACGAACACGACAACGCGGTCCATGCGGTAGGTGTCCATGGAGATGAGCGTGGCAATGCGGCTGAGGTATGCGCGTGGTGCGCGGCTGCGCTGATGACAGAGGTTCTTGCGGAAGCTGGTGGCGACGTGCGCAGGACGATGCCCTGCGCCTGGTCGGATTAGATGACACTGTTGAACGGATACATAGCGGCCTGCTGCACGACGTACAGCCCGATAGCGAAGCCGTGCCCTCAGCGGTGCGCTCGTGGCCTTGAGCGATAAGTGGCGCACACGCTTACGCGTGCGACCGCAACAGGTAGTTCAGAGTTCAGCAAGCCCTGCGTCACCAGTGGCGAGACGACAGGGAGGATCTGATGAAGAAGAAGAGGAGGCCAGTGAGTAATAGGGGGATAAAGAAGACGCTGCCATGTCGCGATGGGGAGGGGAATGGGAGAAGGCTGGCCTCAGCATTCGACGCATCTAGCACATGCCAAAGCCATGAGCAGCGCAACGAGTGAGCAGACGGACATGCAGAGACGCACCGATACACGACGGCCAGCAGGCTCTCGCTGGGCTTGGGCCGGCCGCGCTGAGAGCGCAGGATGGGGTGGATGGATCAGGGTACGGTGCGCCAGAAGGCGTCCAGGTCATCCGCGGCGGGCTCCTGCTGCGCCTCAGCGGATACGGAGGTACAATCCGCGCTCAACAAGACGGCCCATGGGGCCGGACCGGCGGCACAGGCTCATTCCCCACATGTCTGGGGATGCAAAGGCGGGGCTTCACGTGCATGCGTGTGTCAGAGGGTTCCCTTTCTTCGATTCCGCTCAGCCAGCGAGCCAGTCAGTCAGGAAGTCAGCCAGTCGTTCATCGAGAGCAGACACGACCGGGAGGGGCGACAGTGCCATAGGGGCGAAGAGAGGCCGACCCATCGTCCCTCTTGAGCGGCGTGCGCCATCCCTGCCAGAACAGCGCGTCGAACCGCGTGAAGAGCAGGTGGGAGGCGACGTTCGACGCGGCACCCGGGACGTCGACGCCAGCGCCGAACGTGCGCTCCTTGTCCTTTTTATATAGGTATCAGCGCCGCGTCCATCCGCGCTGCCGCTGTCCCTTCCGCTTGGGGCGTGGACTGGGGGACCAGTGGGGCTTGGTGTAGTGTATGTCGTCCAATGGGGCCACGGCAGAGGATGACGGTGAAGGCATCATCCCATCGCGTAGGGACCTGCGCACATCGCGCAAAGGGAAATAGGTTTCGGCTGGAGAGATGGTACGTGCCCCTGGTACCGCATAGAGGGCGGGCGATGAGAAGATATATTATATATAGCTCAATGAATCAATATCGGAGGGCCAGGCGTCAGCAGGGATAGGGATCCGTCTAGAGGAGGGGATACAGACGACATGTAGCGAACGCTGACTTGCCGACCGGGGAGGAGGAGGAAGATGTTGTACGTGTTATATCCAGTGCAGTCGCATTGCAGAGCCGTAGCGCAGTGAAGAGTACATTGTATAGATACCATGCTGCCATACTAGCTGGGAGGGAAATAAATTAATTGAATGCGCAGATGGTCCCACGACGACGACGACGATAATAATGATAATAATGATGATGATAATAATAATAATAATAATAAACCATACCCAATGCGTTTGTTGGTTGGTGCTGGCTGATGGACCCATCATATTGTTGGATGGCTGCCGTCCAGTGCCTAACCTTAACACGCCCACTCGGCCGCCCGCCTTGGGAGACTTGATCGGCGCCGAGAGAGTGTGAATCAATGCGGCGACATTCCCCACCAGAGCAAAGGGTGCGTTAACCCTAACCCGATTCTCCAAGGCCCCATCATTCATCATTTGCAATGGCACCAATCCAACACCATGCTGCAGCAAACGCCAAGCTCGAGTCTTGCACAAGCTAGAGGAAAGAAAAGAAAATAATACGCTTGCATGCACATATATACATAGCGAGGAATTAGAGCAGCATGCATACATACATGTCCTGCAAGCACCAGCGCGCCTCGGCCGCCTGATGGAAGCCCTCTGGCTGCAGCTGCTCCTCCCCCTTCATGGCGCATCGACCCGACCCGCTGCCGCTGCCTTGTCAGAAGGCGCCGTCGCCTCGATCGGGAGAAGAGGAGCTTCTGCCACCGCAGCATCAACACCCGCGCCCGAGGAAGCGGCAAAAAGGGCACCCGAGCGCTCGACATTCTTTGCGCACCCGTCTCTTGTATCGCCAGGAGTGGAAGTGGAAGCGGACGTGGACGTGGACGTGGAAGCGGCCATAATGTCATGGTCAGCTGCAGCAGGGACAGTGCTGATTGCCCCCTGGCACCTGCTTCAGCAGCCGCTGATGTGGGTGCCGTATCTGCCTCTTTCCCCCCTGGCACCTGCCTCAGCAGCCGCTGATGTGGGCGCCGTATCTGCCTCTTGCCCCGTCTCTACTTCGGCGGCTGGCTGCGCAGCGTCTTCCTCGGTCGCGTTCGCGTCCGTCGCAGTGGGTACGTCGACGTCCATGGCGTCGCCAGTAGCACTAGCAGCAGGCGGCGGCACAGCACCTGTCCGTTGCGGATCAGCGCCGCTCGCAGCTTCTTCTGGCACCCGAGCCGTGTCGGGGACCTCAGCCAGCAGAGCAGCAGCTGGAGCAGCCACATCAGCTGGTTCAGTCTTCTGCGACTGCTGCCCTGCCGTGCTGCCCGCATCAGCATCATCTGCAGCTGCAGCTGCAAGAGGTTGTGCCTTGGGACTGAGCGCTGTTGAAAGACTGCTAAATGATGGATCCGCTTGCTGGTCAAGTCCAAGCGGCTCGGCCACTATGGGTGGGATGCCACTCGGAATGTTCTCGCCGTGCTCCTTGTTGATCTGGTCAATCACCTCTGCCTCGTGCCGGATGCGCTCTTCCTCCGTCTGGCCACCTTCACCGCTCTTTCCGAACCCGTCTCCGCTGCCATCCTCCATGGTGGCATCTGCTGGCCTATCGCTTGCGCCTACTGCACTTTGCTCCGCGGCCCTTTGCTCGTTGGCTATCTCTGGCGTCGGCGCCCGCACCAGCCCGACGCCGAGGATTCTGCCACTTGCAGGCCGGCGCGCCCACTCTTCTAGCTGCCCATAGTCTGCGTCATCGTCCTCCGTTGGCCATGCCTTGATCGCCAGCGACTCCTTTAGCTTGCGCATCTTTTCCGCGTGACTATCTTGCAGTTCGGTAGTGGCGGAGCGCAACTGCTGCACGCGTTCCTCCAGCTTTTTTGGAGTGAAACCTGCATACGGGGATGGCCCTGGCCGCAAATGTTCTATCGAGCAGCCCGAGAGCACGATGTCAGCGCATCATCCAAGGCAATGTATTTTCTCAGCTTGATTCTCACCCATCTTCCGCGCGTCAAAAATCATGGCGAGTAACTCATGACCGCGCTTGTATCGGGCAATGGCCAGATCTCTCGGTGTATGTCGGTCCAGATCGTCTGCAGATAGCGCCTGAAATCAGCGCCCCATACCACACATTCAGTCCAGCTCGGCGCGGAACTACTAACCTAGAGCCAGCTCGGTCGCCTCATCGTCCATCGCAATCCCCAGCGCCATGCCAGAGGACATGCTCTGCTGCTGCTGTGCTACAAGCAGCGCCTGCTGTTGCGCGTGCGCGTGCGCCGCCGCGGCAGCCTGTTGCTGCTGAGAGGTCAAGGCGGCGTGCGATTTGGCTTGCTTTCGTTTCCTCTTGCCTCCGGCTGTGACACCAGCAGGCGACTCTGTGCCGCTGGCCGGCGCGCCATATCCGCCGTGGGACGTAGCATGCTGCATCGGCGGGCTGCCCGCCAACCGCGCGTGGTGAGCCATCGTGCGGATACTGTCTGGCACCAACGCGTTTCCACCCTCGTACTCAGCTCGAACCGGGATGGTTAGTTCAAGAGAGTGCCCACGCAGAAACGAGTGTAGAGTTTTTGCAAATGCAACTTGACAACAGCGAACGGACGTACAGTTGGATGCGAAGAGCTGCATCTCGAAAGCAAGTTGACGCTGTTTTTAAGCGTGTGTTGCACAAAACGCATCACGCGAATTCTGGCCAAAAGCAATAAAAGTCTAAATATTATCCCCGTGTTTCCGCTTGAAACCAACGAGATTCCTTGTATATTATTTCTCAAATGCGGGGATTGTGACGCAATCAGGCAATAATCAATTCGGAATGCGCAAGTACCGGGATTACCGTTTGGCACCATCACAAAACGTCCCATGACGAGGTCTGGCGAGTCTTCTCAGCCTCTGAACCACCGTTTCCACGCCTGCGGGATACAAGTTGGCCTTGTAGGACCCATTTTCGCTATTCGAGCGTGCGAGTGTTCTCTTGCGGCCGCTTCGGCACCTGTCCCTATCCACTCTGGTCTTCCAACCTTACTTTTGCGCTATGAAAGCCATCACTGCCGCCTCGATGCGAAGAACGGTGCCTCAGCGTACCAAGCACGACTCTCTCCAACTGATACGCAAGGCGAGCTCATCATCTGCTATTGCCTGGCCGCCTGCAGATCCGTGGAATGCCATCGTTGAGTGGAGATCCGGCGATCGCGAAGCGCACGTGCGGCCCGGCCCGCTTTCACAATGGCGAACGACCGTGAAGATGAACATTTGTACTGCAGACATGAGGACCACTTGCTCGAGCAAGATGATGTCAGGTATGCATTCCAAGCATTTTGTCGGTTCTTTATGAGAAAGGGGGCAATGGAACTGATTTCTTCTGATTTCGCAGACTGGCATGCTGGCTACGATGCGACCGCAGTCTCACGACTAAGGGCAGCTGGAGCCGACATCATCGGAAAGACAAATTGCGACGAGTTCGGCATGGGGTTAGCACGTTAACTTTTCTCTCGTTGGCGCTTTCTAGCAAGCGTAACTTACTCGGAGATTTTCTTTCCAGATCCTGTAACATTCATACCTTCCACGGTCCCGTACGGAATCCTGCAACCCCCGAAGATCAAGCTGCTAGGGCGGCTGGGGGTAGCTCTGGGGGTGCAGCAGCAGCCGTAAAGGCTGGTTTATGTCGGCTGTGAGCCATTTCTAGAGTGACTATCACAACTGCGTTCCAGCTTTGACCGTCATAATACCGCTCGAAACACCATTTTACAGCGCACTTGCTTCAGATACAGGTGGGTCGGTCAGATTACCAGCGGCGTATTGCGGTGTATATGGCTTCAAGCCATCATATGGCCTTGTTAGTCGCTGGGGGCTTGTGCCCTACGCGGATAGTCTGGACACCGTAGGGCTGCTCGCAAACAACAGCGATGATCTGGCCCTTGCATTCGGTGAGGGCATCATCAATGGAGCCAGGTGTCCTGTCATGGCCAGCATCTAATTACGCATTCTAAATCCGTGCAGACGTCATCAATACCTTTGATCCTCAAGATCCTTCCACTGCAAATCCAGATCTTCGCAAGAAAGCTGCGCAGAATGAACAGAGCTGTGTAGACAAATTAATCAATGGGACAAACCTTCAAGGCCTTAAGATAGGGATCCCCAAAGTGAGCCGTACGAACTTCCAAATGCAGCACTGCGAGCCGTGCCAATAACTCCGAACCCCCACACCTTAGCAATATTTCCCAAAGGAAGTCTCAAAGAGCGCAATAGACGTCATATGCTCGGCCTCTAAAGATCTAAAAGCTCGAGGAGCCTCAATCGTGTCTGTCGATCTACCTTCAACGCCGCGCGCACTGGGCGCTTACTACGTTCTCGCTTCCGCAGAAGCAAGTAGTAACCTGGCCAAATATGATGGTACACATTTTGGTTACCGCGCCATCGCATTGGACGCCAATGGAGACAAGCTTAGCGACATTGACAGGCGTGAAAAGACCCGATCCGAAGGTTTTGGCGAGGAGGTTAAACGGAGAATACTGTTGGGGACGTACGCTTTAACGGCCGAGTGAGTCTTTGTCAAACTGATCTACAGAGCTGCTGCGATGTATTCTCTTACACAGCGCGCAATTCTTCAGCTTCTTTGGCAACTACTTTCTAGCGGCGCAGCGGGTGCGTGAAGAGATTAAGCACGACTTCAACAATGTCTTTGGCATTGCCGACGTCCGAACTTCGCGCTCGGGCGCCCAAGCCGGTGTCGACGTTCTACTTCACCCAGCAGCAGTGTCTGCAGCACCAAAACTGAGCGACATTCAGGAGGCCCATGCAGCAGATGGAGGTATCTCCGAGTACGTGCAGGACGTCCTCACCACTCCTTCGAGTCTTGCTGGCTTGCCGTCTCTGTGCCTTCCTATCGGTCAAGACGGCGACGGCATGCCGATCGGCGTGACCATCACTACCCAATGGGGCTGTGATCGCTTACTATGGCCGCTTGCACGAGCTTTACACGGCGCAAACCAATAGGCGAACCCGATCCTGAAGCCTTGCGACATCGGGCATGATAGTGCTACATGTGTATGCGTAGTGTACATATGAGCCCGATTCTTTCCCGCAATCAGCCATGTCAAAGTCCATCATCTAGGGGGAACAATCAAGCGAAGTACTTTACTTGCGCTCTCGCACAAATAATAGCAGCCACACCAAGCTGAGTAACGTGAAGCCGCCAAATTGAATACCAAGTGTCGCAATATCGGGCCACCAGAAAGCTTGGCTATTGAAGCCGAAGCTGCTGATGATGGACGCTGCCGGGACGTCGATGTCTACGCCGTATTTGTGCTCTTTGAGAGAGAGATTGCGCAGCTGAGATGCAAGACACGGAGGTCGTCAGCATTGAGTCGGATGCAGGTTGAGAAGTGTGCCAAAGCCTCTGCTCACCTCATTCACAATCAGAGCCTCGTACGCAGCGTGGAAAAATGATAAGTGCTGCAGCCACCTTAGTCCCACGGGGATGCGATCGCGGTTGATGAGCAGTCCCGCAAAGAGTAAGCTGAAGAGCATCGTGAGTGATCCAGCAAGATTTGCAACGCCTGTGTCCTTGATCGCGATGCTGATGAAGAAGACAGCAGAGCTAGCCGCCAGCGAGAAGAGCACCAGGACAAGTAGGAATTTCCAAAAGGCCGTGACTTCTGGGATTAAGCCCACGAGGAAGTAGACGATCGCGCCGAGGATGAAGGGCGGGATGACGCGCAGCGGTAAGATATCGAACAGTAGCTGAGCAATGCATATCGCGCATTTCCAGCGTCAACACCTAATATTGTAGACATAGCGCAATGGCACACTCGCAACAAACTCACCTTGGAGATGAAGTACGTGATGGGTGAATAATATCCGTTTGCTCGTTCCTTGACGAACAGCGCGCGCTCGTTGGCGAAGACACCGAGTGAAGTGAGGCACGAAAAACCAAAGAGGCTCAAGATGAAGAAGAACAGCCCAAGGCGGTTCTGGAAGCCCGAGATGTCCGTTGTGAGGTCGTGGTAAAGCAGACCGCAGAAGAGCGCAAGCAACGCTGCCATGGCGTAATGAGCCAGCATCAGCATTGGATTCCGGTACTTCCGAGCGTAGATTTGTGTCAGCAAACAATTTGGTTTGAGCACATGGATGCGAGCTGCCACTCACTAGGTTCTTAAACGCCCGACCACTAAGAATGGTGAATTGCATCCAGAGTCCAGCCTTCTTGTACCCCTTGAATATTCGAGTATCTCTTCCAGTCGACACAGACACTGCGTCGCCATCGAGTTCGGTGTTAGCCTGCGCCTCGGAGCCGGGGCTTTTGGCGCTCTCCAGCTCGGCTCGCAGATCAGCCGCAATGCTTGAGGCGTTGTACTGGTCGAACAACGTCTGCAGTCGCTCTGATACGGGTTGAGCGCCATTGCCTCGATGCTCGAAAGTGGTTCGTGCATCTTCATTAATGAGGCTCCAGCGTGAACGAAGGCTGGTTGTACGCGGCTCAGCAGTCGAGTGAGGACGCGTCCGCAACTCCGTATCGTTACCATCTAGTGCGGCTGCGGCTGTAGCTGGAGCTGGGGCCGAGGGTGTCTGACTCTCGATGGCACCCTCGATGTCAACCTCTTCGCCACCGTTGCCGGACTTCTCGTTGCGACTTGCTGTAAGGTCGATGAGGTAGTCTGCGACATTAAAGCCGATCGGGCATGGCTGGCCGATCTCATCAAAGTAGCCCACACATTTTTCGAAAGGGCCCGAGTAGACAATATGACCCGCAGCCAGGAGGACGAGTTGATCGAAGAGGGCCACGATGTTCGAGCGCGGTTGGTGGATGGTGAAGATGATGGTGCGTCGGTAGTTGCGCGCGAGGCTCGCAAGCGACTCGACAACATTGTACGCATTGTAACTGTCCAAACCCGACGTCGGCTCGTCGAGCATGAGCACGCTGGGACTCGTGACGAGCTCGCATGCAATACTCGTGCGCCTTGCCTCCCCGCCACTGATTCCTCGGATGCCGCCGCCTCCGATCCTGCTGTCTTTGATCCCCAGGATTCCAAGCTCCTCGAGCGTCTCGAGTGTCCGCAGCCTTTTCGCCTCGAGTGACATGTCGCGGGGTAGGCGCAGCAGGGCAGAGTACAGCACAGTCTCGTACACGGTCAGTGTGCTCATGAGCGTCTCCTCTTGATCGACATAGCCGACGATTCGCCTGAACTCGCCGTTGCTGATCTCCCTTCCATTGACAAGCGTTTTTCCAGCAACAACACCGCGCTTGTTGCGCCGTGCGAGGATGTCGAGGAAAGTGGTCTTGCCTGCGCCAGAAGCGCCCATGATGGCCATGATCTCTCCGGGTTTGACGCTGCCACTGACGCCTTCCAGGACAATCTTTTCACCTAAGCGATAGGAGATGTTCTTGAAGTGCAGCGAAGCGGGCATGTGGTCGCTCATGAGGCGTGTATTCTCTTCCTCTGGCAGGCGAACCGCTCCCGTCGCGCGGTCGAACTGGTCGTCGCGGCCAAGGAGGTAGAGTACCGCCGAGGCGATCGCGACGAAGAGAACGGCTCCGGCGGCAGAGAAAGCGACCCAGAAGACGGAACGAGGGGGGCTCGTGGGCGGCTGATAACCGGGAACCTCGCTGTAATGCACGCATTCGCCAGATTCGCAGCCAAGGAAAATGGCTGGATCTCCGAAGACGTCCGAAATGAGCTGGTTCATGGCGGGCTCTTCGAAGCGACAGTCTCGCTGGATACCATTCTTGTCCGCCTTGGATTTGCAAACGAGCTTGCCAGGGCCTTTGATTTCCTCAGCGAGGAACTCGGAGATGTCAATGCTGCCTGACTCGCCGCAGAGCATGCGGCCCGGGATGCAGGAGCACTGAACCTTCTCGCACTCGTACCTTGTTGTGTTTGTGTTGAGCGATGGGGAGAAAGTTTCGGAACACTGATCTAGAGCACAATAAAAAGACTCCTGGTGACCAATCCAGAACTAGAGCAAGAAAGCAATTGATGCGCGGTGGCGTCAGCGCCAGCGTCATCCTTCAGCAGCCGGAGCACGCTGTGATCCCACCTGAAAGTTGCACCCTTCATTGTTCTTATCACAGCTGAACGTGACCTGTGGCGGCCGGCCGGGGAGCATGTCGAGGATCTTGCGATTGGTCACATCGCATTGCTGGAAATTCTGGCGGATTGTTTGCCCGCCGGTGTAGCATGTCCCGTTCTCGCCGAGACGGTCGCCTGCGAGCAGAAAATTATCGCACGCTCGATCGCTCTGGCACACATTGCAGTTGATTCCTGCCCACCCGTCTGAGCACTGGCAGCCGAGACTTCCGTCTTCCCGAGGAAATCGTTTCGAGCCGTCGGCTGGGCTGCCGCACAGCGGTGACAGGCAGTCCTGGCCACCAAACCCGATCGGACACTGACAAAGACCATCGTATTCATTACACTCCCCAAACTGAGCGCAGGAGAAGGCCGGCAATTGACAATTGAAGCACGACGGCTCGGGGCAGGGTGGGCACCTTGATGACCGGTCGTCTGGGAGCAGAAATGCAGATTGAGTTGGGGTTCCAAGGCGTAGTCGGACTGTTGTATTGGTCAATGAGACACCAGCTGAGGCAGCCAGCAGCGGTGCTTGGAGAATGGCGAGAAAGAGCACGAACATTACCATGCTCCGCCTGAGTGCAGACTTCCCTGGACCGACCATTGTTACGCAAGCGGTGCTATGGGACCCAGGACGCCTGTGGCAACGGTGCGTGTTGAGCTGCCACCAGTCAGAGGTAACGCGTTGCAGCGTCAAGCGCGCGGACAAGTCCAGATTATGCGAGCGCCTCTTCTCGCTGTTCAGGACGTAGGCCCTGTATCCTCCACAGCAGTACACTCCCAATGTATGGACAGGATGTTTGGGATAAGAGGTGAATCGATCCCATGGGGGAGGGGGATCGGTCAACGGTCATGATGTATTGTGTATCTGCTGTTGTTCACCTTTTTGGGCTGGCTCGTGCGCAACCATGTGTGACTGAGAAGGGCTGCGTGCAGTTTGAAAGATGTACCATCCGCCTCTCTCAAGCGATCTCTCCAAGTATTGCTTGATCTCAACCGTCCATATTTATTCATTGATACGCTCGGCACCGCAGATAAACCCCTGCATCACGGTGGCACGGTCGCAATATTCGCTATGACTGGGTCCCCAGCTGGAAAACTCTGATGGTGTCTCTCTCCAGGCTCGGTGTCAGTACATTGAATCGCATTCAAAAAAGCAAGTGGCTTGGCTCCTGGACAGTGCCACGCAGGCCGAGAAAATATTCACATACTTTTTCCAGCTCGTCAAGGAGGCTATTGCTGTCGATACTGAATGAGTCAGATCGCTAGCAGAAGGGGTGGATATTGTACAGATTGGTTAGGAGTGCTCAACGCACATCTCGATTTGGATCAAACATTCTCATCATGATCCTCTCACCTGTGCTGCCAGACCTGACGACAGCGAATTGGGGGGTGGGGGGTGAGAGTTTGGGTTTGTGATGCGTGACTTTCTGAAGCCCAAGAGAAACATATAAGCAGTGTGGAGTGAACAGCGCCGCCTCTCCTAGATTGGGTAGGCTGCCAGGGAGCAAAAGACACGAGGATGGCGCCAGAGAGAAGGGGAACTTTAAAGAAGGAATGACGGATCGCATGTGGATGTCACTGACCCCGCCAGAGATGAGTTAGCTCGAGCATATCATGGCGCAAACGAGCGCCCCAAAGAATGAGAATGGTCATGCGCTTGTGCCTGCCGCCGTAGTTCGCACGGATTTCATCCCCACGGAGGAAATTGAATGTCTTAGGTAACTCGACCAGTGACTGGGCCGCGGTCGTTCTTTCTTGTGGGAGCAATGGGCATCACTGACGGTTTCTTCGATCTAAAAGGTTTCATCGTGCTTACTCTTCCTTTTTGTTTGTCTATCTGCACCGTTGCTTTGGTTGGTTGCTTCCCTGGTCGCTCGGCCGCTTGCTTTCGGTGACAGAGACATCGCGTCCACATACTCGTGCGCTCTAAGGAAACAAAGCGAGGGGGCAAAGTAGGACGTTCGGTTGAGCAACGGCATCACGTCCACGACGTCCCTCTGCGCCCACTCGCTGTCTCCGTCGCTGATGGTGTTCGCGCCGAAGCTAAATCCATCCTCGTAGACGAGCGCGCGCACCTTCTGCGTGAGCAGGTTCGAGTAGTAGCACACCGGTGCGGTCGACATGGCGCGTGTGGCACGTTGGTAGTCGTAGCACATCGAGTTGACTATCGTTTGCAGTTCGTCTAGGCCGAGCCTGTTTTCGTCGCGCAGGACAATGTACTTGGACCGGGTGTGCCGAGTCCATGAAACCCGCGTGCGCCTGAATGTAAAAGTCGTACGCTAATGTGTGTATGACGCCTGTGTCGACTACCGTGCCGACGGGCAGGTTGCCGCTGCGGTCGTAATACCTGTCGTTCTGCGCGAAGCAGCGGATGTTGTGGCGGCGCGTGCACACAACGTACGTCAGTTTCGGCTCGCAGTCGCTTTGCAGGCTGTGATAGCCGTTCCTGATCTCCTCGATCTCAAGGTCCCTGGCGTGCGCGTGCTGGCCCTCAGAGATACCATCGCGGAAAACGATGATGCTTGACGGCAATCACCGTTGTGATACTTTTGCCAGATGCGGAGGTGCTCCTCAAAGATGATCCGTGTATTGAGGATGATCTCCTGGGACTGGCGGCCACGCTGATACTGGTTGAACTGCGACTTGATCGGGCTCGAGATCTTGCCGATGTCCGAGTCGATGACGGCAAACAGACGCAGGGATCGAGGGAAGACCTGTGTTGGAGCCCGTGTGGGTGACGTCCATGCCGACGACCATGGCGCCAGGGGTTATGAAGGGCAAGGCAGCGGGGTCGACGATCTGGTTGATACCGCCGAGCTTAACATTGATCTTCATCGCGACGTTGGCGCAGTACTGTAACTGACCACGGTCGTTGAGGCCCTTCTTCACCTGCAGAACCTGCGAGGGGACGAGGATCTTGGGACGCATAGCGCACTCATGCTTGATCGCTTCATGCAGTGGTACCTCCTGGCCGTCGAGGAAGATGACAAAGAGTTGTGGGTCCATGGACCTGCAGGTGCGCTCCCAGGCGAGCTTACCAGCGGCCCTGAGCTCCTGAGAGACGCATGGCACACAAGCAGCGGCAATGGAGCTGCCGGAAGGGACAATACGCATGTCGACGGTGTGACACACGGGCTCCTTCTCGATGTAGACGCCGAGGGCGTGCATCTGCTCGCAGAGACCGCGGTTAACAAAGTGCGATCTTTCCAGAACTGCGGCGCGCGTAGTTGATGACGGCCCAGCAGCGGAGGCGCGAGTCGGCCCCTTACAAAACTTAACATTGGCCAGGTTACACCCTCCGTCCCTCGTCTTCATCGAGTGACCAGAGTAAGTCACATTGGGAGGCGGCGGGCCACGAGCAGATGTGGTTTGCATTTCCTTGTCTACCCCCCTTCCCCCCCTCCCCCCCAGAGTTATTCACGACCTCGCCCTTGTCATAGAACAAGTTCTCGCGGATCTCGTGCGTGCGTTTCATGCGCTCCTTGGGCCTCTGTGCCGACTGTTTGATTATGTCCTGCACCTGCATGGGTGTCAGAGATAGAGGTTGCGGCGGGTTATCTGCCTCAACCTCGCCCTGCGCAGCGTGGGCGGCACGTGCAGGTTTGTTGCCGTTGAAGAACTTCCTGCCGCCGGCTCTGTGCACCTTGTAGATCTTGGAAGGGTCGTGCCTGAACAAAATGTCAAGAGCTTACATGGCAGTGACGACCTTGTTGAGCAGCTTTTCATCACCGGTGTTCACTTTTTCGCCATTTCCACAGCAGAAGTCCTCCAGGATGGACAGGTCAACCTCATTGACTTTGCGGATCTGTACGTTGAACTTGTTTTGGCCCTTAGACTTGCGGCCTGGGGAAGTAGGTAGCTCAACTTCGAGGGTGAAGTTGATCAATGATAGGGGTTAGGTTATATACGCATTCTTGCGTCCATCAAAAGCAAAGGAGGCGGCGACCTTGGGGGTCAGTCCGTGCTCTCCACGCTCTCCAGCCTGCTCGAAAATACGCTAGGATAGTCGCAGAGATAGGAGCTTTTGGACATCGGCTCTGTCACTAGGGCGGCGTCTGTCTGATGCACCTTTGAGTGGCTCCTCACGGTTGATGATGGCCTTAATATCGATATCATAATGGAAGGCAGTGCCCGAGAAAGCGTCCTCGTCTGAATTTGGCAAGTTAAGCTTGATGGGGAACAAGTTGCTCATAACATTTATCAGGCGACCGGCGTGGCTTCCCTTGTCAGGGCGGAGTGCAAGGTCTGTATGGACGCGGCGTAAAACATAGGAAGAAGAGCGAGAAGGCAATCGGAGCAAGCTCTCTGCACGGTTCGATGCAATTAAATTCCCCCCAGCAACGTGGACCCGCGGCCGCCAAGCTTGGCGTATTCTTCTTTGACATCAACCATGCCCTTAATTAGTTTGCCACTCTGGTTCTTGAAGCTTCTTGAGTCTGCTTGTGCGAAATGGATATTGCTCAATCGGACGAGCGGCTGGAACCGTGTTTAAGGGGGAGGGATTGCTGATGATGTAAGCTGGAAGAAGAGAGGCCGTCACTTGTGACGCATCCTGGAGCCAAGGCTGGGATAGCGTTACGTCTGTGCGCTATTCGGACTCCTCCCGACAGCCACAGCAGCAGCGGTCAGCAGGCGGGGGACGCCCTGAGGACGTGCGCGAAGGGACTCAAACGAGCAGCAGGCTGCGGCGAGCAACAGATATGCAGGGGATCTCTCCAAGTGTTGGAAGGGAGCGAGAAAGGTTCAGCTGGCTAGCTGCCATCGAAAGTCATACAGTCACGCACCCCAGAGAGATCTCCCGCCGGCGAGACTAGATGGCGGAGTATATGACCAACTCATTGAGACTCAACAGGCTGCCCCTCCATGCGCCTGCGCGTCTGTCCGTTATTCCCCTTTCCTTGACGAGGCACGTGACCCATTTACGCTCTCATTGATCGCGGTTCGCGACACGAAGCGATGCAAACGCGCAATACAGCTTGATTAAGGCTTCACACTGTAATCATCTCACCAAAGGCTGCAGGCCTGAATCGAATATTTGCTGCTTCAACGGGGCAAGCGGAGGTTAGGGTTATGGTCTGGATCTCGGCCGAGCCAGAAATGTGGGCCACAATAGCTGCTGAACTTTCAATTCAACGATGTACTGTACACGTGATGCGCTGATCTTCATTAGAAGCTAAAAAAGTCAAGGGGTGTCTGGACTCTTTCTCGCACGTTCCTGAGGATCCACTCGTCCCTTCCGTCTCGGGTACCCCCAACACCTCTTCCAAACTCTTGCTCCGCGACCACTCCTTCGAATCCGGGTCCGCCCAGTCGGACATCGCTCGGCGTCAGCAGCGTCGAACTCATCAGGTGCGGTGCGAGGCTCGAGTCCGAGCGCAAGCCGTCGGTAAACCGGTCTAGCGGGCTGTCCGACACGATGGCCAGAGGCGAGTCGTGCGAAGTTTGGGGTGTCGTTGATACCATGCGCAGGTCCGTCGTACTGCGCCCGAGTCCCAGGCCCATTCCCATGTCGAGATTACCTTCCTTGCTCGAGATGGATTGCAGCGCGTAGACGTCATCGTCCGTTTCCCCCATCGCGGGTTGCCAAGGCATTCGCATGGCAATCGGATCGGGGTCTCGTATCTCTTCTCTTTCTTCAGCCTCCTCTTCTGCACTGCTGCCACTGCTGCTATCCTCACCGTGCGTTGCTGCGAGCCGTCGGAGATGTCGTCTGCCCTCCCTGTGCGCCGCGAACGCTGGCCTGACTCCCGCAAAGCTGCCCATCGAGTTGATGCTGTTCTCGCGGATCATTGGGCTGGACGTAGCGCTCACTGCGCTCGCCACACTGTCCTCCCTGACCATTGCCGCGCTACTGGCTACGCTACTGACGCTATCACCGCGCTGCATGCCTAACCCCTGTGTAAGCATGTCTCGCCCGCTGCTGCTGCTGGTGGTGCTGATATGCGAGCCCAAGCGCGAGAGGAAAGGTGCGAGCGGCGAGTTCTTGTGCAGCTCTTTCACGCGCACTTGTGTCGCCAGGTCCCGTCCTCGGCCGCGAGTGCTACCCGCGCGTGACGGCGTCCTTTGCTCGAGACGCACGGCGGAGATGCAGCGCAGCGATGGTGAGCGCATGGCTGGGGACTGCTCGTTGTCGTGAGCCGTTTCACCCGTGCCATTCAGCTTCGGTGATGTTAGGAAGAAGTTACCGCCTCCCTTTGAATCGTGAAAAGAGAAGGACGATTCGCCCGTGAGTTGCGCAAGTGTCTCCTTTCTTGCCTCCAGCTTGCTGCCCTCTGAGCGCTCTGCCTCGTCCGTCTCCTCAGAATCATTATCAAAAGGACCCCTAGCTCTACGCTTTGTAAGCGCCGTCGCCGCCTTTTTGCTCTTGCCGACTTTGCGAGCAACATGTTGTGCCACCAGTGATTCGCGCCGAGTGAAGTCCGCGCTGCGCCGCTCACGCTGCGCAGTCGGTACTGCTTGCACAGGCTGGATGTATGCGCTTCCGCCACTGTCGCTTGTGATGGCGCAACTGTTCATCGCAACGGCCGTTGTGAACAACGGAACGCGTCCTTTCATAGCAGGTACAACTCCGGGTGTAGCCACGCGCAGGGCAGTCGGCTTGTACTCGTGAGGTGTAGAAGTGGCCATTGCAGAGGCTGTTGCTGCTGCTGCGGCATGTGCAGCAGCGAGGATGTGCTGAGACATCTGCCTCTCATTCAGTACGACACCGTCTACGGTGAAGATCGGCGTGGCGATACGCGAGATGCTTGGCGATGCAGCAGAGTTGAAAGCGACACTCACGAGAGATTGAGGACTGGGGGCCTTCGAGTGAATCTCTCCTGCGCCTCCCTCTGTCGCTTCAAAAGTGGAGACAGCCCAGGCTGTCATTTGCTCGGACTTTTTCCGCTGTTTGATCGACTCGCCGGTGGCAGCTGCCTTCGCTAGAGCTTCGATCAACGTCGCATCAACCTCCTTGGGTAAGGCCAATGATCCAACCGCATCTATCGGGGAATCAATGATCTGCTTCCGCTGTCTTGTAAGGCGCAACGGGGACGATCCCCGGCTGGTTCCTTTTTTGCGCATCTCCCGGCGGAGCGTCTCGTCGAGGTTGTAACGCGGAATGAGCCCCTGCATTGAGGACGCCGCGGCCGACGAGTGCTTGCTGTAGCGGTCCGACTCGCCGACCTCTGATGCGAGACGGCCGTACTCCGGCGCGTTTAAGCCACGGATAGGTGACATAGTTTCCATGTTGCCGATACCCAAGCCTATTGCTGCGCTGCCGCAGTCCGAAATCCTGTAGTTGCCAGATGATCATGAGGAAGGACGTCAGCAAAGGTGTCCCGCGTACCCACAATGAATTCGGCGTGCAAGGACGTGTGCTTACGTTTTGGCACGGCTAGATGAATGGCTGAAGCTCGACTTTACCCTTCTCGCGTTCCTGTCCGGAAGCTTGAGGCCCCCTTTCTCTGCATCTCTGTCGCTCTCTTGGTCCTGTTTCTCTTGTCTTATCTCCTTGCTGCCTGCAACTCGCGGATCCCAAACAGCCGGTGCGTCCATGTTGCGGCCATGCAGTCTCGCGCCGTTGACTTCGATCTCCACCGTGGCCCATGCTGTCGGTTCCGGCAAGTCGTGCAACACGAGCGACGACGGGCGGGGTATGCTGAAACGTGAGAGACGGCGGGTGGCCAAGTCGGGACGGGATTCCGAACCATCGCGGCTGCTGTTGTCGCTGGAGGCGCGGAGGCATGGTGTTGGCGAGCCAGGGGGGCGGATTTCGATTTCACCTTCTGTAATTGGATGCGGGCTTATCGAGACTTCAGGTGCGGAACGCGAGCGCAGTCTGCGGAGCGGCGATGAGGCCATCTGCAGCGGGTCCACGAAGATTGCTGTCTTTGTTTGCAAGTCATTCTTTCCGGCGGCATGCTGCAGCAGCTGTTGCTCCGCGTGCAAGCTGTAATTGAAGGGTGTGGCAGGGCCAACGCTGACTGTAGTGATCCGACGAAGGTTGCTGGCGGTAGTACCGGAATGAGCATGCGAGTTGGACCTGTCGGCGAAGGCGACTTCTGGCAAATCCTCTCCCGGAAGGACAATAATGCTATCTTGCCTCTTCTTTAGTAGTTTGGTCGAAGCCTTGGAGGGAATGCGGCTGGATGGAGAGCCTTCGCGTCGCTCTCCAAGTTGTTCTTGCTCGGCTTCCAAAAGCTCATGAGAGGGCGATCCGACACGCGGGACAATTTCTGTATGAAGACAGAAGCGCGGCGCTTTGAGCACGGGCACTGTTAGACGATCGTTGTCGACCTCATCCTTGAAGGGTGCCGCGCCGACCATGTCATCATCACCAGCACCAAAACCGACACCTATGCCAAGCCCTCTAGCTCGATCTTTGCTGCTGTCGGTTTTCCGGTTCTGCTTCGCCTTGCGATACTGGCGACTGTAGATGCTGCCGCCCTTGCGGTATTGCTCATACCCAAGACACGGAGAGGCATCCAAGTCAGTGCAGTAGCCACCCTCATCGTCCGATTCGTGACATCCGCCCTCAAAACCCGCCTTCATCTCTGCCATGTGCTCCACATTTCTCGTGGCAGCGCGTAGTTCCTTGTCGACCCAGTGGAACAGCTCGCGCTCGAATTCGCTCTGCACGTCCGGGTCGCTAGCACGACGGTTATCCTCTTCAGAAGCCAACTGGCGCGCGTACTGGGCAATCGAGGCTGCTTCTTTCGTCGAAGGGAAGACGATGGAAGGGGATGGATAAGGAAGTGGAGCTGCTTGTATTTCCAAGGCACTACCATTGTGGCCTCCTTCGTGCGGGGTGAACGGCAGCGAGAGACGATAAGAGTTCTTGAGGCATGACTGCATGGCTGGCTTGAGTAGCCTGGAGGTGATACCAAGCTTGGTCTTGGAATGCCTAATGGCCGAGTCTGTAGAGCCCTTCATCTCAACCTCGGGCGCTCGAATGTTGTAAACAACTTCAGTTTCGCTTTCCATCTTCTCTAGGTGGATGGTGCGCTTGCTGCTGCCGAGAAAATAGGCCGAAACAGGCGAAATGGCATGATGGATCGCAAAGCTAGCCCTCCTACTACCCCCTCGGCCACTAGTAGAGTTCGCGCCCAATTTTTGCTTTGACGCTCCTCCAGACGCGCGGCGGACCTTGCGGTCAGCGATGAAGAACGTGCTGCGAAGCGGCGAGATATCATCTTCCTTGCCGCCTGTGCCCGTCGACAAGTGAGTGGGCGCCTCTGCCTCCCATTCCACGGTAGTGAAAGGGTGAACATTTCTGCTGTTCCCAGTACCATGGGTGTAGTGGGGCAGGTGGAACGAATGGACGCGATTTGCGACGATGGGACGTAGCTTGCTGATTACGTGCTCGAAAGAAGGAACACGGCTTTGTTTGGGACGGTTGGGCGACTCGCCGAGTGCGAAAGGGGAGCAGACGTTGGCACACATATCTTCGGTGTTCACATCCAACCGAGGGCTAGAATGGAAGACCATCTTGCGCTCGCAGTTGGTGGTGCGAACTGGAACGCGTCAATGCTCGAATAGGACGCAAAGGCGTGTTGACGAGATCGAGGCGCGGCTCGCGGCAGCCACGTTGCTGTTGCGAAAGGCGTAAGTCACAGTAGGCGCCTGCGCCTAGGATGGCTACCCGCCGCGTAGCAAGACAGTCAGCAACTTATAAGTGTTACCAATGGATGGAATCCTCCCACTCACGAACTGTTGGACTACGCGGGTGTTAGAGCCCTGCTCTTTCAGATATGCAATGTCTTCGATGCTGCGTTTCGCGCTTCCTATTGCTGTTGATATGCTGAATTGTCTGTTTCTTCGACGTTAGAAATGATAATGTGAGATGTGAAGAGACGCAAGACGATGCAGGAGATGATGGGGCTTTGGACAAAAGGAGCAGGAAAGGGACAAACATGGCATCCACCCCAGTAAGCTGTACTTATAATACACCTAGCGCGCCGATCGGACGCCAAGCGAAGATCTCAATCAGCGAAAGTCGACTGAACAGATGGACTGCCCGGGCTCAAGTTCGTGACGGCTTGTCGCACTTGAGCTGTGGCCAACCACCAAAAAGGACAAGGTTCACGTGGACACCTGGTCGACCCGCTCATGATGATGATGCATCGGTCACATGCTAGGAGAGTCATCCTGCTCTGGACGGGGCGCGTTGAGCTGAAGGACCGTGAGTCTTGGATGGCCAGGAACAGTCGCTGCAACTTACTTGGTCGGCTAGTCGACTTACTGGACCTCCATAGTGGATGAAACGACGAAGAGTCAGTTCGTCGACTGGATGAAAGACACGGCCCACACGTACGCGGACTAACGCGTAGAGGGTCGATCAACCGTCAACAAACAGCGGCCTATGCTCTATGAACCTTTGGCATCGGTCCGTAATCGGTGCAATTGTCTCCGTTTGGTGTTTCCATTAGTTTATTTAGTTTCGAGTCACTTGGACTATCTAGTCTCAGAAGTCACTTAAGTCAAACACGCACGCGTCTCTCTCTCCTCGTGAGCGCTATAGCGGGGGCATCACCAGCACAACTTACCACAAGGCCACAAGTTTGCTGGCTTGTTGTTACCAACTTGTGCTTGCTGAATGCCACGACTGAGTGAGACGCAGGGGAAGAAAAACCTCGTGTGAGAGTGAGGAGGAAAAATCGACGTTTGAGCTACCTTGATCGACGGCAAAGCAATAATGTCAGACGCACAACCACCAACAGACCCGACAGCGAACGCAGCCGGCAGCAGCGGTGCTGGCGACTTACCCAAGGATGATGACAACAAGAACACGCCGTCATCGTCATCTGCGGTGGCAGGAGGAGCATATTCGTCATCAGGCAGCTCACGAGAGAAGAGCTCATCTGACGACAACATGTCGGAAAATGCTAAGCCGCCAGAGGAGGAGCCTCTGCCTGATGAGGTGCTCAATGCGAGCGTGGAAGAGATCCAGACGCGGACGCGGTTGCTGGAGAATGATATCAAGGTCATGCGCTCAGAGAACATGCGCTTGATGCATGAGCAGACGATGATGCGGGAGAAGATCAAGGACAATGCGGACAAGATTAAGCAGAACAAGGTGTTGCCCTATCTGGTGGGGAATGTTGTCGAGGTGAGCATCTAGGTGGAGTATTTATAGCAGCAATTGTGCACCAAGGTACCCTTTTCAGCACTGTGCTGACATTCCCTCATCTCTTGTGGGACTTGCTGCAACGTAGATTCTCGATATCGATCCAGACGTGGACGAAGAGTCTGAAGAAGGCGGCGCGCAGATCAATCTCGACACGCAGCGCAAAGGCAAGTGTGCGGTCATCAAGACGTCCACGCGCCAAACCATCTTCCTGCCCTTGATTGGCCTCGTGCCGCCAGAAACGCTCCGGCCGGGTGACTTGATCGGCGTCAACAAAGACAGCTACCTCGTGCTTGACAAGCTTCCAGCCGAGTTCGACAGCAGAGTCAAGGCGATGGAGGTGGACGAGCGACCAACGGAGCAGTACACTGACATTGGTGCGCCCTCACTCTCTTTCTGGATGGCCTTTGGCATCGCTTCTGAGACTGACATTTCCTAATGCTTCTTAGGCGGTCTGGACAAACAAATCGAAGAACTGGTCGAAGCGATTGTACTTCCGATGCAGCAAGAGCAGAAGTTCAAGAACCTCGGTATCCGGCCGCCCAAGGGGGCGCTCATGTATGGCCCACCAGGCACAGGCAAGACGCTTCTGGCGCGTGCGTGCGCAGCACAGACGAACGCATGCTACCTGAAGCTAGCAGGCCCATCGCTGGTGCAGATGTTCATCGGTGACGGCGCGAAGCTGGTGCGCGATGCGTTCGAGCTGGCGAAAGAGAAGGCCCCTGCGATCATCTTCATCGACGAGCTCGATGCAATCGGCACGAAGCGCTTTGACAGCGACAAGTCCGGCGACAGGGAAGTGCAGCGAACAATGCTCGAGCTGCTGAACCAACTCGACGGCTTCAGCTCCGACGAGCGCATCAAGGTCATCGCCGCGACGAATCGCATCGATATCCTTGACCCGGCGCTGCTTCGCTCCGGACGGCTGGACCGCAAGATTGAGTTCCCGCTCCCGAACGAGGAGGCCCGCGCGCGCATCATGGAAATCCACAGCCGCAAGATGGCCGTCGGCCCCAATGTCAACTTTGAGGAGCTCGCGCGCAGCACGGACGAGTTCAACGGTGCACAACTCAAGGCCGTTTGCGTCGAAGCGGGCATGATTGCACTGCGCGAGGGTGCGACGCAGCTCGACCATGAGCACTTCTATGGGGGCATCATGGAGGTGCAAGCCAAGAAGCAGAACGAGATGTACTATTTCTCGTGAAAACGAGTGGCATTGAATCACATGCGCTTCCTTCTGGTGTTGCTGCAGGTTACCATCCCCCCTGCCTGGGGGGCATCCTCAATTTCTCCAATTGACCATCATGACATCATCCCGGACGGGCAGGAGGGTGACGTTGACGCGATCATCCTTGAGGATCATGTCGTTGAATTCGGAGATCGCTTTGGCGTTTACCAGGTTGATCTGTGGCTCTACCTCGAGCAGACCGGGCGCGAACGCCGTACCCTAGTACAGACAATGATAGCCAAGGAAGAAAAAGAGACTATTAGATAGGAGTCCAATACAATTTCTATCGGTCCGCTCACCTTGCAGAGCGTATTGTCGATCAAAAGCGTTCCGGTCTTGGCTAGCAGGCCACCGTCAATGATGAGCTTGTAATACTCCACATACCCTCCTTTATCGGCATCGATGAAAATGAGATCGAAAGGGCCTTTGGCCTTCTCCGGAATCGTCTTGCTATCTGACGAGCTGCCACTGGATGGAAGGAGTTTGAGGCTGTCGGATGCCTTGCTCGTCACGACGGTTATGCGCTCTGGGCCGTGGCCGGCAGCTCGGAAGTAGGGCTCAACGAAGCCCTTGAGGTACTCCATCAGCTCGAGCGTCGTAACGTGCGCCTTCTGGTCGTCACGCGGGAGGTTTTCGGCGATGCAGAGCGTGGTAGTTCCCGTGCGCATGCCCACTTCGAGCACCGTCATCGCGCATATGGCGCCCACGAACTGGCCCAACCATGCGCCCTCGTACGGCCCGGCGCAAAAGTGCAAGTCAAGCTTGAGGCTGGAGGCACCGCGCTCATATACGCCGGCCCAATCGTGCGAAGTGGTCGCCTGCAGCAGCGCAGGTAGGCCGGGTAAGTAGAGTGCGAGTCTACGTACGGTTCGAAGGACGAGAGGAGGGTCTGTGCGAGCCGCAAACGCTGCAGCGCCGAGGTGCTTGCTGGTGCGCCGCTGCTGAGCTCGGAGAGGGCTTCGGCGACCAGCTTGGACGCAAAGAAGAGTGGCGTCTCGGCTGGAATGTCGATGCGGCCCTTGATCGCGGAAGTTATCGTGAGAGACGTAAGGTACAGTACGAGCCTCGCAACTAATATCTGATTGACAGTGCGACCGTGATAATTAGGAGAGACCGTCGTTGAATGGAAGCGGAGCAGGAAGCACGGAAGCTCGCACTTCATAAAGCCGTTTGTTTGGAAAGTCCTGGCTTACCAACTGCATTTCTCGTCTGATCATCGATCGTAGTCCACTCACTCGTGTAGGTTTCGACCGTGCGCACGAGCTGTTCGTCACCGTGTCAGGCTTCGTATTCCCTGAAGTTGCGATGTTGGAGGTAGAGTGCGATGCTCACTATGCGTAAGACGAATAGATATGTACAGCCTGGGTTTGAATTGATCAGTTGGATGAGCTTGCCCTTCTACGTATTGCAACTCGAGGCATATCAATCCAACGTCAACGGTTGTACACAACTACTATCACATCTCGTTTTAGGCGTTGTGCGCACATCGCGAAACGTGTGCGGGGGATGTAACACTTGCTGCGAATGATGGAAATGATCACGTGTCCATTTATTCGCTTCGGTGTGGCACGGCAATGGGCCTCACCACCGGCACTTCCACCAGCCCTTTCTCAATGCTGGTCGACTACGGTTGGTATATGCACCTGTATGGTTCTCAGACTTGAGAATCTAGTCTGATCCCTTCCCTTGTACAGTGCCTCTGCACCTCTGGGAATTGGTCTACTGTGAGCGCTGACGGTCGCAACACCAGCAAAGGAGGGTTCTATTTTCTGGCTTGCATTGGCCGGCCGGGCGCGGGTGGGCCGGGTTACTGGCTGGCTGGCTTGTGCGCGCGCACTGCGGTGCTGTAACGATGGGGGGGGGTGTATAGTAAGTAGGTAGAGTAAGTAGTAAGTAACCTTTAAACCCTCCCCCCAATGCGCAGCGATTAGGAGTCTATGCGCGCCCATGCCAAAATGTGAAATTGTACCGAGGGATGGAAACGCGATTATGGGCTATAAATTCAGATATTGAGTTTACTTTATATTTTGGCACGCACTGAGAAGTCGCGATTGGCCTGTCGATCATTTTCGTGTTCAGCCAGCCGGGCATCCTTACTTCATCTGTATCCATCCAGCCCATCATGCACCTCCAGGTCCAAGTGAAAGGGAGAGAGAGAGAAAGAACCTGGTAGGCGACCGACAAACGACTCCAGGTTGCCGCGTGCTTGAAGTGCTGGTGGTCGGCTTGCTCTGCTCCCCGAACCTCTGGCGAATCCAGCGTGTACCAACCAACCCATCCATCCCCTCTCCCACTTTCACGTTCGCTTTTTCCGACACTACCTACGCATGCCTCAGACACATCGCAATCAAGGACACAGCACGGTTGTCGCCCTTTTACACCACTAGGCAAGCATGAACGCTGCCGGCTTTTCCACCGGCAGCGGCCCTAGCAGCGGCAGCAACATGCTCATCGAGGATGACGCCGCTCGCCAGACACGCGAAGCGGCGCTCTTCGAACGCTTCCAGCAAGTCTTCTCACGTGCGACGCTGCCGAGCCAGCAGCGCGATGCCAAGTCCCGCTGGACCAGCCGCCACCTACCCACGCTCAACCAGCTGCGGTCCGATGGCGTCAACGGGGAGATACAGCTGCATGATGGTAGGCTAAGAAGCCTGTATTGGAAGGTGTGTGTGGTGGCTCGTCACTGTAGAGGCGCTGATGGAGGACTGATGGATCCTGTGCGTGCGCAGCTTTATTTTGACCACCTGCCTCTCCTAAAGGAATCCAAGAATGGTGACCCGCTCTCTCCTACCCCAGAGCAATCCGGCAGCAGCTGGAGCCACACCAGTACCAGCGCGTGGTCAGACACCTCGTTACTCCTAGCCCCCACGGCCTCAGGTCGCACCTCTAGTCCCTTCGACGATGCTCCATCACCGAACGCATCAAGCACATCGTTTCCTACTGCGCCCGCCCCTCCTCCCCTTGGCCGACCTTCTTCCTGGTCCAGAAGGAACCACCGCCTCCTCTCCTCGTGGCAGCAGCAGTGGCTCGTGACAATTGCAAAGGAACGGACACATTACGCGCAGTTGAGGCGTCATCTTCTCAGCAACCCCGGCAATCCGACCAGCGTCGGTCCAGAAAACGATGGAAATGACAACTACGAACAAGGCGGTGCTGCTAGCAGACAGCGCGGACAACTTCAAGGCGATGTGGGCTTGCACCCACGCTCGCCTCACCCTGAGAGCCTGACGCCTAAAGCTGCGTATATGGGCTTTGATAGATTTGATCTTCAGCAGCAGCAGAGGCTAACAGCAGGCGATGGCGGCCCTGCTGTTAACCATGCCTTCGGTGGACACTCCTCGCAGCAACCATCGTCGCCGATGTGTTCAGATTTGAGCATCAACAACCCCCTCTCCCTAGCATCCAGTAATCCATGGAAGAGGCATTTCACCAGCATGGAGCTCCTCGCAACCATCGAGGCCGATGTGAAGCGCACCTTCCCAGATGTTAGCCTCTTCTCTTGCGCCAGTGATGAAGCCGACGACGATCAAACGAATACTGAGCTTGCTGCAGAAGGAGGAGGCTACGCAGCGGAAGAGCAGGCCATTCGCCAAGCGGTGCGAAAAGGACTGACGAACGCGCTGTTCGTATGGTGCTGCATCCACCAGGACGTTGGGTACCGGCAAGGCATGCACGAACTCGCTGCCACTTGCTACTATGCTCGCTGGAAGGACAGGATGCGCGTACTCACCAAGAATGACATCACTGGTACTACCAGTGCCAGCCGCCGACGCACTGACTCTTTACCACCGCATAGCAACGGTAGCAACATCAGTGAGGATGCAGCGCTGGGAGCCAAGAAGGACGCGGCGGTGGATGAATTCCTGCGAACCATGCTGGACGAAGCATTCGTCGAGCATGATGCGTATGCGCTCTTCAACTCGCTCATGCTTGGCGCCAAGACGTGGTACGACTGGCGCCAGCCGTCGTCCCCCACGCTCAGCGGACCTGCGTCGTCTGACAGTTCCTCGTCTTCAACGTCACCCTCCGTGCTGGGGACGACTGCCGCGCCGATCGTGCTGAAAGCGGAGCGGATCTTCTCGCTCCTGCGCGCAGTCGATCCAGCGCTCGCCTCGCACCTCTCCGAGCTTGGCATCGAGCCGCAGCTCTTTGCGCTGCGCTGGGTCCGCCTGCTATTCACGCGCGAGTTTCCGCTCGAAGAGGCGCTGGAGATGTGGGACGGCATACTGGCGTATGACGGCCTACTCGACGGGATCGACGACGGTCCGGAGCTGGGAGAGCATCATTCGGTGACGGGACAGAGCGGGCGCGAGGGTGGGGCGGATGGGAAGCGCATGCTCGTCCTTGTCGATCATGTCTGTGTCGCTATGCTTCTTCGGATCAGGGCTCACCTTCTCGCGGGAGGGTATAGCAGTGCTCTGCAGAAGCTGCTGCGCTATCCGGCTCTTCCACAACCGAAACTTTCAGACATGAGTGCACCAGGAGCAGCAGCAGACGCTGATGAAGAGCGCGAACCTGGGCAGCACACGGGTTTGCTCGTGCGTCAGGCTATCACGATCCGTGCAACGCCCAACCCGACTACAGGCGTTCAAGTGGTTATTCAGAACAGGGACAAGTTGGGCATCGATATGGTCGTCGAACCTTCAAATGACGACACGTCCCCGCAGCTGCAGAGATGTGTGCGGCCTGGCGGTCGCCCCTCGGCTGCTCGGACAGTTGCCAGCGGCAGGACGTTTGGGCAGCGGCCTGGACTAGGAGCAGGCATGTTTGGTGGCCCGCTGCGGGTGCAAGAAGCGCCAACAGCTGGTGCTGCGCGACATTCTTCTACCCCGCAGCAGCAGCAACTACAACCAACCTTTCCCTTTTCACCTACTACGTACTTCCCGGAGGGCATCAGCGACCTTGCCAAAGGCCTCTATGAGCGGTCTGACGCACTCGGCATCAACCGCGCTGTCGGGAACGCTATGTCAAACGTCAATCGCGCGGTCAATGCATACACAGCTGCCGGTACCGGCCGTGGGCACACTCGACCGGGCGGCGATGGATTTCCACCGCTCGTGGATGATATTGCGAGTCGCAGGCTCAAGACGCTCGGCAAGAACCCGGCTGATGCAAATGCCGCGATCTCTGCGCTTCATCAGTCAAATCAATCTTCAGGTTCTGATGCAAACGCATTATCTGCTGAGCTTTCAGCTCTGAAAGGGGCCAACAAGGCCATGGGCATCGCGATTGCCTCGTGCGTAGAAACTCTGGAGCTTCGCTGGAAGAACGGGCCTGGTCCTCTGCCACGTGCGGAAGAGCGGATGACGACCAGTGGCTCGGAAAATCTCACACAGGACGACATCTCCACACTCATGTCCATCACCGCACTGAAGCACATTCGAGATGTGCTGCTTGGCACCGCCAAAGAGTACGACCCGGCGATCTTGGGCTCTGCCGCCGCAGACACGACAACACAACCCAAATCTGAAACGGGCCCCAACTCTGCACCTGCACCTGCGCCCAAACCCACCTCTAACAAGCAATTTTCTGCCGCGCCACCAATAGACGCAGGTCTGGCGCCCGGCACCCCGTCCACCGGCCTGCCACGTGTGCCCATGAGCTCACAGCAGTCATCTCCAGGTCTAGTTTCGGGAACAGACATTTCTGTCAGGTTGCCGAATGCACTTGAGCAGAACAGAAGAGGCTCTTCAAATTATGTTCAAAATGCGACTACCTGCTCGCTGTTACCGAGCTCAGTGCCATCCATGGCCGCACAAAGCAGCCTTCCGAGTTTGACGCGCTCCCAGTCGCCGTTGGCATCGCCCGAGGAGCCGCTGACTGCAGCTAGCTTTACTAGTGCTAGGTCGATGCAGTCTGTTTTGGACTCCGGCGTCGAAACGCTTATAGTAGAGACAGGCCCGCTGGGCCGACAGCCCAACAATCCTCATCCACCCGGTATGCTTGTCTCTGACCCATTGGGGGTAATTTAGATTCGCGCGCGACAATGTCATGCTGAAGGCCAGGCGGCCATTAAAGATATCAAGTACTATCCATGGTAATCAGGGTGCTGTTGCCCTTCGGTGGCATCAGGCAGGATACCGCTCTATTAATCGCCTCAGCAAGTCCTCCATTCTCTCATTCTGCTTCTCCAGCCGCTCAATCTTGGTTAGCAGCGCATCAGTGTCGAGCGGCTGTTGCTCTGTTTCCACCTGCCTGTTGCTGCCGTCTGGCATATTGTCTCCCGCGCGATTGCGCCGCCCAAAAAGCTTGGCGAGTGGGCTAGAGAGGTGGCCGAAGCCTTGAATGTAGCCGTCATCCGACGGACGCCGTCGCGCACTCTCGCCTCCCGACAGAGCGGTGCCTACATCATTTTCCTGGATCGCGTTCGAACGCGCGTCTGGGTGCGGTGAAGCACCCGGCTGTTCCATCAACTGGCGGCTGAGACGATGCGCAGCGTCTGCATCCACGTTCGTTTGCTCCTGAACCTGTTTGAGAGCTTCAGATTCCCAAGAGGATTGCGCGTCGTTCCCCATGTCGTGTTCGCTGATGAACACTTCGTCAATGACCTCCAGACTGCCTGCCTTACCACTTATAGAAAGAGGCAGCCATGTGAAGACCTGGCCTGCTCGTTTGGCTGTGATTTCGAACCCGCTTCTGAACTTCCAGCGCTCCGCCACATGGATCCCGAGTAAGATAGGAAATGACGTGAAGCGGATCAGGAAGACTGAATCACAACGCAGAAATGGTCAGGATGGCGCTGCAACCGGCGCATTCGACGGGCGGCGACTCTCACCATTGAGTTTGTGTATCCACCTTGGTGTGAGAATGAACGAGGCAGGATAGACAATGGTAACGCACAGCAGGTTCAATGGTGGGACGTAGGAGAAGAGTGCATCCGTGGAGACGCCTGCCAGTGTCTGGAATGTATGATGGAATTGAACTTCCTCGGCGGCATTCTCGCGCACGACGGAAAACGTGTTCGACAGGAGGGAGACTAGCACCGTCAAGAGAAGCGTATTTCTGTGCGAGTGCGAAGCGTTTCAGTGCTCTGTAACGGTGCGTAATAAAGCGTGTAGGTTTGACTGACGAGACGATCGAGTATAGTACCATCAAAGGTGGGCCTATCACTTCATTAAAGTTTTGCGCCGCGTCAAAGCCAATGACTGTTCGATCACAGCCAAAAGCAAAGGATAGTAAGACTCCCGAGCTCGTTTGGTTCTTTCAGCGATGACTCACATGTGTTTCCAAACCAAATCTTCAGCATCATGTCCAGGATGCGGAAAGGAGGCCACTTTTCGTGATCAGAGAGGGTGTAAAAGGCGTACCAAAACCCGCTAAAGCACACAGCAGCCAAGCCAATGAAGCTGCAGAGCGTGTCGAGAGTGGGACACATCGCGCGTCAATTGCCGCGCCTGTCTCCGAGATGGTTTGAAGCAGTGACAGACACTCACAAGGCAAAATCAGCCAGCATCTCTCGCAGCGCGAGGAGAACAATGTTGTCTCTGACGAGAGCGCTGGCGACTCGGGGACAAAGCAGGACTGCACCGAGAGCAAGGATATCAAAGCTCATGCTAGAAAGGTCTGCGTTGTCTGTGCGCAACGCAATGACGCGCATGCCCAGCCACACGGTGGCAATAACCACAAAGAGGCTGTCGATGAGATTCTGATGTAAGGGGCGCCCAAGTCAGTGCCTTTCGGCATTGGCTTTGTTGGCTTTGTTACGGTATGCGGTTGCACTTACCCATACTGAGCCGAGGTAAACATTCCAGCCGTGCTCCTGGGCTTGAGCCACCTCGTCTAGTGCAAAACCTGCAAGCCAGATCGTGAATAGAGTCTCCCACGTGGTCCAGGTTGGACTTTCCTTCTGCCCTCTGCAAGGACGACGTCGAAGATATGGACTCGTCAAAAGTTGCCGCTCCGCATGTGTGACAGGAACCATGCTGGCGACTCACAAACAGAGAATAAAGAAGCCAAACAGGATGATGAAATTGAGGAACTCCAGGCGACTGCGGACTTGTGGCACTTTGAGCCGGTAATGATTGAGCAAAGGCGCGGTACGGGGGTCGTAAATGCTGAGCGGCTTGCGCTTGTAATCATCATTTAGAATCGCATGATTGGACGCGCTCGAAATCACCACTGTGCCTTCCCAGATACCCTGGACGACTTTTTGGCAGAGTGGCGACTTGATGAATTTCTTGGAGGAGGAAAACAATGCAAGCTCCAGCGCGGAGCAAGACGCCTGAGCTGCATCACGCTGTTGACCTCTGCCGCCCAGGTTGAAACGAGACCCGTTACCTGATAAGTTGGGATTGGCGGAACAAAAGCCGGACGCATTGGCAAGCATTACATTACGGCGCGTGGTGTCGCTTTCAGATAGATCCAAGCTGTGATTTGCTTCTTGCTGGCGTCGTAGCTGCTCTTGGTACCGTGGGCTAAGCTCTATGCCGTTAAATGGTGAGAATGGTGCTGTCAGGACTGTGACGAGCTCGATGCCATCGGCGCTGAAGGTTCGGAGGAGCTTGATGGCCAAGAGCTCGCACATCATGCCGCGCGTTGCATTGATCTGCTGGAAGGCAATATCTGCTGAAGCTTCTCGCAGAAACTGGATCTTGTTGAAGAGGAAGCCGTAAATTACGGCTGGGCTGCGGAGCTTAGCGTATTTGACTGCCAAGGGCCGGACAAGGGCAAAATTCAAATCCACCGACGTGAGCTCCTCCCAAGTCAGGTGGGTATCAATCGTGCGCTTAACGTCTGAAGCAGAATTGCAAGAACTCTCAGTCAGGCTCTCGCACAATGGAAAAGTGCTCTCGCGACTCGCCTTGATGAATCAGGTGGATAAGAGGGTAGGTTCTTTGCCTCTCAACCTGCAAGAACAGGTCGTCGACTCTTGCATCATGGCCGCCTTCACCAGCTTGCCGCCTTTGAGTGGACAGGCGCGAAATTACGTCCAGTTCTTCGAAATCAGTCTGTAATCTCCGTGCATCTCGTCCACCTGTCGTGCCAGATGCACCCCTATTCGCCACTCGGGCAGGATTGCCTGCAGCGGCAGGTTCACGGCCATCGCTATCAAAGAGATCATCACCGTCTCTGGACGATATTATTGGTGAAGCTGGAATCTTGTCGAGGTCCAGTGGCGCAAAAGTCAAATTTTTTAGCAGCTTCTTGGAATTGTTCGAGGACTCGATCGCGGCAGCTGCGAGTGCGTTGGACGGCACGTCTATGGCGTCGTCCGGAACACTTGCCACACTACGCCGTTGACTTGATAGACCTCCTTGGGCGATGCTGCTACCAGAAGCGTTCGTGGTGCATCTAGACGTGCCAGCCACGATATTGTGGTGAGCAGACGGCATGCTGACTAACTTGTTGTCCGTCAGCGCGCCAGTATTGGCCGCCTACTGACGGTCTGAACCTGATCAATACTTGTACCTTCAGCTCCTTGTCAGCTGCGAGCGCAAGGACGCCATGTAGGGGTGCGTGTTGGCAGCAGGGCGACGGATACATATATTTGCTTTGGTTTTGGACCCCGTTATGAATGTAGCCGTGAGTCGCAACTATCCTTGCTAGGTGCTTCATCGAATACAGTTAAGTGTATATCTTCATAGTGACACAGCGTTCTAATAGTGGAAGCTCCCCCTCCAGCGGCGCTGCGTAGTGGTATGTGCACATAACGCGGCGTACATAAGCGCCCGCATCAACTCCACTACTAATTTAAAATGTTTGTGATTCCCAGATGCACGCCTTCGTACACTTTACGCTGAAGAGGCCTGCATACGTTCCTTTAGTACAAAAAGCCAGTTCGATAACATGCAAGATGCCTTGGGTGTCATCCTGTCACAGATGGGCCTCGATTGCCCTGGTTATGCACACACAACCGATAGAAGCAACGAGAACGTGGTTAACGGTGCCTCCAGGCAATGTGATGGGCTAGGGGTCGAGAAGTCAAGTACTTACTGTGCAGGTGTCCCAAGCGCCGGCTGTGGTTGGGCCGCATTCACGACATCCCTTGGCTCCTCGCGCACGAAGCGCCCAATGTACTCTTCCCATTGGTCGCTTTCGGCCAGCAAACCTTCACGATGCGCCTTGGCATCCTCGTATGCTTTCCACCACCAGCTGTGCGTCACCGCATCTGGGTCATCTTCCTCGTTGCCAGGGTAGCCCACGGCCCATGGTTTGCTTGTGGAGAGTGAGAGCATGAAGAGGCGGCAGATATGTTAAAAAAACTTAACCACGCACTTGTGCACATTCGCGATGACTTACTCAAGAATGTAGTGCACGTTGCGGACCTCCTCGTCGCGCCAAATGTTGGTGTGGCACTTACGCAACGGCTTCAGCGCATTGTAGACCCAAGGGAGTGGAGTGAAGCGTCCTTTGTAATATTTGGCGAGGAAGTCCTGATCTGGGAAGCGGAAGGCCGGGATCTCTGGATCTGTAGCGATTTGCCTGCTCATATCCTCCATCACCGCCTTGGACGGGGTAAGCACGACGAGGCCGCTGTTCAACAAATGATAGTTGTCGCGTGATTCTGGTGTCACGGTTGTGGGATGAGTTAGGGCGTCGGGGTGCGACTGTGGTGTGAAAGCACAGTTCGCGGATATCCTATCGTGTAGCGCGTGAATATCTGAGCCTTAGCAACATCCAGCAACAGTGTCAGAGATTGAAACTAACCAGGATGCGGGGTATGACGCGACCTTGCGAGGGTTGCACGTGCAAGCGAAACTCGCAGCGATGCCGCTGTCGCTATCGAGCTTGCAAGTCATGAGCTCATCCATATTCCTCCTGACCAACATGTCCGAGTCGATCAAGATCACGCGCTCATACTCTTCCAACTCAAAGGCACGAAGCTTTGTCCAGACGAGCGAGAACCGTTCCTCTGCAAGCATCTGCACAAGAAAGCAGGAGATGGGTCAGATGCGGTTTGTATACGACCGCTCGCAACGCAGTGAGCGGCGATGCACCTCAGATTTTTGCGTCGGCATGAGCGCATCAACTCTCCGTACAATGCAGCCCATCTCCTTGATGACTTGCTGTGCCTCCGCCGAGACATCGTCGGTCACCATTACGATAAGCGGGTATCTACTTGCGTTCCGTCCATGCAGCAGGCTGCGCGAGAAAACGAACAAGCCCGGCAGGTACTTTTCGCCAGTCAGCAGCGTCGCCCAGGCCTTCTTTGCCGAAGCTGAAGAAGAACGCAGCGAAAAGGATCGGACGTCAAGAGAAGTGGTATAAGGGTCATTTCATAAGGGCCACGGTGCTATGCCTCGAAGCTGGTGCAACCTGCATTACAGTGGGCAACTCTACTCACTGTCTGCGCTGGTAGGCACGGAGGTAGCTGTGACAGGGGCCGCAGAGGCGCTCGGAGCCGAAGCCGACGACTCCGGGCCTCCGGGGCTCTTTGCATGGGCAAGAATCCAGCTGAAATTGTCCAAAATGCATGCGCAGTTAGTCCTGGTCACACAGTTTGGTGCAGACGGCGAGCACTTGCCGACCGCGACGCAGAGAACTCACTCAATGACATGGTTGATGGCTTTCACCTTCTCGTCACCTTGCTCGTTGTGCAGTTCATGGTACAATCCTTCCATCTCGATCAGCTGTTTGTCGTCCGCCTGGACCCTCTGAATAAAGTCTCTGCTACCCTTGATGTCGCACACCTTGTCCGCCGTGCCGTGCACGATGAGCAACGGCTTGTCATTGGGAAAATTGACGTACTCCTTGTTCAAGATGTTCAGACCACTAGCAAGCGGACCATGGATGGCTTTGAGGTAGACCTGGCCATGAAGAAATCAAACTTTGAGAGCTTGAGGTAACTGTACGTGCTCGGCTGCACAGGAATACGCACATTGGGGTTCGTGAACGGGTTCTTTCGGTATTCCGCGACCACTTCCGGGTCTTTCGACACATATTCAGGATTCAAAGGGGCTTGCTTTTTGGCGCCAGGGTAGATAGAGATGAGGTAGCCAGCTGCTGTTGGTACAATCGATGGCGGATTCTGCGTTGGGAGTGCGTCAGCCGCTTGTAAAAGAACTTGCAAAAGACCACCGGCCGACACTTACGTCGACGAGCAGGAGCCATGGGGCGAGCGCAACGACTCCTTTTACATCTTGAAGGACGGCGCTGGGGAAGAAGGCCTCTGATTTGGGCCTGGTGAAAGTGGCCAATGCGAGGCCTCCACCCTGTGAATCGGATGATAATGGTCAGTCATCATGAGACAATGAACGCCGTTGCTTCTCTCACCATGCTGTGGCCAACGAGAAAGAGGGGGACGGACCTGGGACCATACTCCTGGTCGAGCCTCTTCCTTTCGTCCTTGAGAAACTGCGCAATATCCTGATACTGCAAGGATCTCGTCGTGTTGCCATGGTTCTTTTTCCAGCTGTCTGTGCCATCCTTTGCTGTTTTCCCAAACCCTCGCTGATCAAAGGCTGTGACTGCGATGCCCTTGGAAGCGAACACGGGAAACACATGGTCGTATCGCTCAATGTTCTCCAAAAATCCATGAATGAAGAGGACAGCAGCGGTTGGCGGGCTCGTGGAGGGGGTCCATCGCTTCACAAAGAACTTGATGGCTGGTTTTGCCTCGCTTGGCACAAACTCTGTGCTGGTTGTGCCTGGATTAGCGACAGGAATGCTCGGCATCGTTGCTAGTTCTGGTCATGTGTCTTCTTCCTATTGATTTACGGATGAAGCAGGCAGAGCGGCGGACTTGACCGATTTGAACAAGTCTCGTGCAATTCTACTCTGCGGTGGGATCGAGCGCGGTTTGGGATGCTGCAATACAGGGATGAGCAGCAGGACGATCGATCAGAGCCAAGGACTCTTCTTTCTCTCGACGATGGAACTTCTCGTGCGCAGCAATGTCGGGTAGAAGAAGAATGACATGTGCAGGCGAACATCAGTACCGAGCACCAGATACGACGGAATCAAGTAACGAGGGCACGGTGCACTGGTGGCCAACAGCTCCGTCGATTGACGTGTCGAAGGCAGAGTGGCACTGCGGCTGTGTGCAATGTGGGGCAGCGCATGCTGCCAACATGTCATGAAAGTTGAATGGCCCGCTCGAACATACATATATACACACATTTGTGATTGTCTGAAGACATCAAACTCTATCTCTCACTCGCACGGCCTCGCCCATGAATCGCGTTCTAAAAGCATTCGGCAGTTTGGAGAGACCATCGATCTGGGATCAGAAGGGATCATACTGTACGTGCTCGCAGTCGGGGTGTGCATCGTTTTCGATATTTCCTTCTGAGGCGTGCTCCGTTCCAAATTCACGTACGTTCCAATCTGCCTCGGCCATCAGCGATGCTGGGTGCCGCCTGGAGCACCTGTGGAACAAGGAATAGTTGCCTGAGAGATCTGAGAGCGCAAAGTGTTGCATCACCTCAAGTTCGATGGTTCCAAGACTGTATGGCAGTCGTAGTGATCAATTCTTTGTATATACACTTGATGCAATGCGTTTGTATTATCTTCAATCAATTGCTCGCGCCCACTTTCTCCCGCACGACGTACCTCCAAACAAGAGTCATGCCTTCACCTCGATCAAACTGGGCTTCAAACCAGTGCCAACAGGCCCTTGGAAAGAGCTTGCGATGCCAGCGCCGATGTCACGCTGGCCACGCTCCTCCTTTGCCTTGATGCACTCCGTCACGTAGTCCGTGAACATCTCGCTGCAGTCTTCTGGCCCACCGGCGTGCTCGGGGTGGAACTGGACGGCCCAAACCGGTTTGCGGTCAATCTTTGGCGCTGTATTGGGGAAAAAAGGAAGAAAAGGGAGAGAAAAGGCGAAGGTCGTGGACATAGCATCAGCAAAAAGCCAAACGCCACGCCGGGAATTCGTGCGAGCACTCACAAAGTCTGATACCCTCGATCGAGCCGTCATTCGCATTGACGAACCATGGCTCCCATCCATCAGGCCACTTGCCATCTTCGATGGTGCGCGCGGACTCTTCGAATTTTAGCGCGTACCCATGGTTCTGGCTGGTGATGTAGACACGGCCAGCCTTGACCGAGCTGCCGTGCGTGGAGATGGCAACCACGGGTTGATTGTGGCCCCTGTTGCCAAACTTCATACGGTATGCCTTGATGCCGGCAGCGAGGCCAATGATCTGATGACCCATGCAGATGCCAAAGATTGGCCTGTTCCACTCATCGATTGCTTTCTTGACGACTCCGACGGCGCTTGGGATTGAGTACGGGCTGCCAGGGCCGTTGCTGAGGAAGAGGCCATCGAAGTTGTCCCGCACGGGGTTGAAGTCGTAGTTCCAAGGAAGCACCGTAACAGTTGCTCCGCGGCGAAGGAGAGAGCGAAGGATGTTGGCCTTGCAACCAAAGTCCAGGAGCGCAACATGCACCTTGGCTGCGGATGCACCCCCGACGGGGTGAATAGTGTACGGCTGCTTGGTCGAGACTTTTTCGATCAGGTTCTCTCCCATCGGGTCGTAGAAGTCTGAATTTGCGGGTGGCTGCTCGTGGCCTGCGCCAATCTTGATTGCGCCAAGAGTGGAGCCTTGGTCGCGAAGCAGCGTGGTGAGTGCACGAGTGTCGATGCCACTGATGCCGGGTACGCCGTGGCGAGCGCACCACGTAGCGAGCGACTCCTTCGCTTCAAAGTGCGAGAAGTTTTCGGTGAGGTTGCTGACGATGACACCGGCTGCCTGAACTCCGGTGCTCTCCATAAGGCTGCCGACGTTCACGTCGAGCGGGTGACCATGCGGGCTCACGTTTGTACCAAAATTGTCCGGTACGCCATAGTTACCCATGAGCGGCTGCGTGAAAGTCAAAAGCTGGCCTTGATATGAGGGGTCGGTGAGAGACTCGGTGTACGAAGTGATAGAGGTGGTGAAGACCGTCTCTCCGAAGCGCGTCTCAGGGTGACCGAACGACTTGCCAGGGAAGGACTGGCCAGTCTTCAAGTGCAAGGTAGCAGGCTGAGAAGGTGGCGCGTAAGTGTAGGTGATGCGCGGTGCTGAGCTGATAGCAAATCCGCCGACGGATTTCTTGGGTTTGTCGGCATCCACGGGGGTAGCCAACTGTGCGCGCAAGGATGTGCTGAAGGCTCGAGTCGCTGCATAGGAAGCACGTGCGGTAGCAAGCGCGCTGATGCTGGATGAGGCACGCTGTTGCAGCATGCTGCTGACGGAGAAAGAAGGGGCTGCAGCGGAAGCGAGCTTAAGCATCGTGTGAAGACTTGAATACCTGGTCAGAAATGTAGTCGTCCCGCGTGTTTGCTGAGAAGCGCATAGGCGCGGATATATATGTTGCCGAGTAGCAAAGACTTGCCTCCCCTGGTTTCAGTTGCGCAGTGTGATCGCTGGCAGCTTGAGTGATTGTTCGAGTGCTTGATGCTCGTACCAATTGGTGATGGGGGAGCGTCTTCAACTGAATGCCATGCGTGTGAGGCGAGCAAAAGGTAAAAAGAAGTGCATCGAGTGAGCTGAATAGGGAAGGTGTGCCTGCTGGCGTTTCTTTCCTTCGGGTTGAGACCTGTGTGAGCTTGGGATTTTTTTCTACACTCTTTCGCTGGGACGCTCTGCCGACAAAACTTTTCGTCGTTCTGCGTTCCGCCCTTGGGTCTCGGCCCTCCTTTCTTCTCCTCCACAGCATCCGGGGCATCCGGGACCTTCTCCCCTGTTACGCAGGAGAAACTGCTGGACAACTATGGGCTGGACGCACTGAGAAAATCTGTGCAGGCCTGCACACTGGTGTACAGGCTGTCCTCTACGGCCTTGTTTCTTTTATGAGAAACACACAATCAGAAGAATTGGTTTTCCAGCGAAAAGAACTTGTCTCTCCACGGATCCACACCTTGATCCACACAGATTGATCCACACATCATCACATCGTCGCACACAAGATCCTCTTAATTCTTATCCCTCGTGGCATGCAGTTGAACTTGCCTATCTATACCTACGCGATTCGTAGTGCCAGCGACCATTATCTCGGAAAGGAGTGTCAAGGAGCTCGCTGCTGGCGAGCTCTAAAAGTGCGAGCTCAATTTCCGCCGCGTTGTAGGGTAAAGAAAGCTAGGAAGAATGCCATCGTGGACCCCAGCAAATGAAATAGCCGGGGGGCTTGGAGATGGTGAGAATGCACGGGAAGGTTCGCCCAAACGCTGAATTTCCATAGAGACCTCTTCATGAGTCGTGCCATGCCCATGTCTTTCCTTTAGTAATCATCTTGGCATTGGGTGTTCCAGATTGAATTGGTATACACGTCTTGACAGATGTAATGCGCTTCCAATGCACCGTTTGCCCAGATGGGCCCAAGGTACTACATTCAAGGAGCATGTAGAATGTCTAGGCATCAAGGACTCTTGCAAGCTCGGCAATGAATTGCGATCTCAGACAAAACTTCCCTAAGCGATACGAACGTTTCTCCTGGCCGCGGATCCGAGGCGCACGAATTGAAAGGTGATTGCGGCTAATACACTTCGATATCAGGTCTGCATTGGTCATTGAGACATTTTGCAGTTCATCCTGGCCCACCTTTTCTGCTGCGGACTTTCGGGGCACCCTGCACTCTGCGAGCATTTTCGATGCCGCAAGAGCAGTCACGCCAGCATCTTTGGCTCGCTGCTGCCCCAATTTCCCACGCTTCAATTGCCCCTTCAAAGACATCGTCAAACCCCCAAGCATCCCCCCCCCCCGGCCTTTGCTTCCTGCAGCGCCTCTCGACTGGCGCGCCAAGTTCCCTTTTGCGCGCTGGTAGACCATGGCAAGAAGAGCAAAGATACCCCTGCGATGATAGAAAGAGCGATGCCGCTTGCAATCTGGGCGCGTACTGACTCGGACCACTTACTTCCTGGGTAGATCTGACAAGGCAAATCTTGCAACCGATCCATCACAGGTCAGCGCTGGCATACAACCCAGATACCAAGCTATACAAGGCGCCACCATACTTCTGGTCGAATGTTGAGGCCTCGTTCCTATGTCGTAAGACGGAGTATGGCAACAAGACATGAGCTCACTCCAAACAGGCCGACGAAAGCGACACTCGGGCTTTGTCCATCTTTGTTTCATACCAATGAAGATGTATGCTGCAGCTATACTAAAGAGACAAGTGGGATGTTCGGCGATCCTTCGAATCCATTCGCTTGAGCGGTGCTTCGATACTGTAGTAGCAGATATGTAGTATAGTGCGGTGACTCTATTATTTTTCGTCGACAAGGTTTATACCACGGTCGAATGCATTTTGTGTCAATTCTGATTGTATCTGCAGTTCAGATGCTTTATATACTATGAAGGATCTGAGCTAGGGCGCCCTAAAGTTGTGTGCAAGGTGAGCTCAGCTGAAGCACCTGTCAGACTTGTGCAGAAGTGGTCTCTGTACAGACTGAGTGATATGGAGGCGGGGACCTAGCCTGGCGTCAAGCAGTTCCAGACCCGTTGTGAGCCGCTACACGCAAACGTTGCCGTAGTCTGAAATCAGCTGCGCCCAGGCTAAAAGAACGCTGGTGACTCAGACCGTAGTAGAATCGCGGTGTGATTTCATTACGTAGCATGCATCATTCTCATGGATCTACAAAGCGCACTGTGCATTGACCATCTCATGACCTTGTGCTCTTGAGTCATGGATTCTCTTCTTCGCCTCATCAACGTTGCCTGGACCGAGGGGTATACTGCAAGAAAGCGACGAAACACTGGAAGCTACGCTCAGAGCTCAAGCGCTCTAGCTTGCAGGTTGCCCTCAATCCTGCCATGGCGGCGAGAGCAGACGCTTTTGCACGCGGTAAGAGTTTTACTCGACAGTGAAGAGTGAACAGGGGCGCACGCCAGCACGCTCACTGCTCAGCACGCCAAAGTCAATCGCAGCCATTTACTCTTCGACACTAGCTGAGCAGACATTGTAACCAAATCGACCTTCCTCATGTCTGTCCCACACATTCACATGGATTGACTAGCTCTCTGATTTCACCACCTCAAGGGCAAGTCGACAATGCCCCCATTTCTGGGTTCACCTATTCGTAGCAAACGCTGGAGTTGGAGTCGGCCTCTCGCCCTGCGCATCATTTGCGTTTCGAATTGACTATCAGAAGCGCGAAGCGCTGCAGGCTGCAAAGAGTATCATTGATTGTTGTACGAGCCCCTCTGCCAACCATTATCGAGCCAGGTCAAGATGAGAAGCAGTGGCACACCACCAGGCTGGCGTGGCAGCCATGCTGATGAAATCGGCCAGGGCGACAGCATCCCTTCGCCTGCATTTAATGGCTTGCTCGACCGGGAAAATCTTACGTCCGTCGCTCTCCTTGATCGACGCGCATCGTCTCCATTCATCGCCTCGACGCGCATATATCGTCTTGCTGCACAGCTGTCAGACTCAATGCTCAGGCGACTCGATCGGACGGAAGTGCTTGGCGGATACTGTTCTACCGGACCTGCTGCTGTTGCCAATCAGAGCACCTCTGTTCGCAACAGCAAGCTGATTGGCCACCATGGCTGTGTCAATGCCCTCTCCTGGAGCCCGGATGGGATCATGCTTGCGAGTGGGAGTGACGACAAACGACTCATCCTTTGGCGGGTTGGAGGGAAGGATCAGTTCCCAAGTGCGGATATTTTCCACGACGAAGGCGAGGTTTCGGACAATGATGATGAGGTGCCGAGCCGGCCAGGCTTCCGAAGGCTTCGATCGCCTCTTCTCGTGGGTCGATCGCGTCGCGGGTTCAGCGGCGAAGGCGCGTCAGATTTAATTTCGGCGCAGCTTCCTCCACATCAGACCACACTTGATATCGGCATGCAGCACGTTATCGAGACCGGGCACCGAGCGAACATCTTTAGCGTCAAATTCGCCCCTGGCATGGGCTCCTCCAATTCGCGCCTCTTTTCTGCCGCCGGTGACGCCCAGGTTCGCGTCTTCGACCTGTCACGTGGAGTCGACTGTTCCACGCGCAGAGTTGGGCATCGGGAGTACACACTCTGGAATGAAGGCGGTGGCGAGGGTGGCCAAGATGGTTTGGGGTGCGTTACGAGGGTGTTCAGGTGCCACCGTGCGAGAGCGAAGAGGATCGCTACAGAGCAAAGCCCCGACACCTTTCTCACCGCAGGCGAGGACGGCACAGTGCGGCAGATGGACCTCCGCGTCCCTCACACTTGCGCACCCCGCGGTTCCTCGTACTACTATCGATACTCTGATCATTCCGCTGGTGACGGCGGCGGGGGATGCCCGCGCCCGCTGTGCGAGTACTCGCACATGGAGCTTTACAGCCTCAGTGTCAGCAAACTTGAGCCGCACCTGTTTGTCGTAGCGGGAACTGGCGAGCATGCGTATCTGCATGATCGACGCATGGTCCGCAACCTCATGGCGAGAGACTGGGGAGGAGTTCCAGGTGCATACGCGCCGGATGGAGCGCTGACACAAGTTGTCAGGAGGTTCGGCGTCCCGAGTGATGTCGGAGGAAACAGTCGATCTCATAGGGAAGAGAACGATGAGGGCTACGGTGAGCTTGTAGCTGAAACTGGCAACGGTGGCAGCGAACTACCGCGGCGCATGCGCAATCGCGGTCGACCGATTTCTGCAGCTAGCAGGAGGCCAGCGCACATCACAGCAGCCAAGCTGGGAGAGAACCGGAGCAGCGATCTGCTGCTGAGCTACTCTGAATATGCAGGCAAGGGTGTCATCTTCAGGTACAATATCCGCAGCGGAGAGGTAGAGGGAAGTTTCAAGACTCCGACGAGCAACAATGGTCGCGGCAGAGAAGGCTCCGGCTCTACGTCCGAACAATCTACGTCTTCTCCAGTGGAACACTGTCCCATTAAAAGTGGCGCCGGGAGACAGTACCCGATTCAGTCCCTCCGCCCTCGTCAAGGTCCAACATCCACCCAGGCATCTGATGACCACATATCGCACGCTGGCGGTAGTGGCACGATACCTGATGATAGGTATGACAATGTGCACGGCGAAGAATACGACGAAAATGATCACGATGATTTCGAAGTTGAGTCTGATGATGACGAAGACAATGAGGATGACGACGAGGATGACGACGAGGATGACGACGAGGATGACGACGAGGATGACGACGAGGATGACGACGAGGATGACGACGAGGATGACGACGAGGACGACGCGTCGAGCGATGAGCTGGACGAGCTAGCATCCGAGCTGATGAGACATACACGCCAGCAACCCTCCTCGCATTGCCCGTCCGCGCCCATCATCCGGCCAATGCAGTCGTATGCAGGGCATCGCAACGTGCAGACGGTCAAGGACGTCAACTTTGCCGGCCCATCGGACGGATGGGTCATGAGCGGCTCGGATGACGGCAATTTTTTCGTGTGGGACACGGATACAGGGAATCTGCGCGGGATCTGGAAGGGCGACGAGAGCGTCGTCAACGTCATGCAGCCACATCCATTCTTGCCTGCTATCGCCGTGTCGGGCATCGACAATACGGTCAAGGTGTTCAGTCCGGTTGGTATGCAGCAGAAACAGCGGTTCGATTTGCTCGACAAGGAGGATTCCATCATTCGTGCCAATGAAAAGCACGAAGAGTGAGTAAGGCGCTTGCTTGCTTGCATTTATCAGATGGTTACGTCATTCGAGCTGATGCAATTGCTGGCTCTTCCCACGGAAACCTCTCGCAGAGACGAAGATGCATGGGTAGCAGGCCCTGCTTTTCTCAACCTCTTGCGTGCCCACCTTCGGCAGCAACGCCGCCCAGAGGGCGAAGGAGGTGTACCTGGCGCAGCTGCGGGTGGGGAGGGAGACAATGAAGTGGGTCAAGAAGGCGGTGGCGATGAGGAGTGCCCAGTCATGTGAACCGAACGTAGCAGCACATGTAGTGGTCTCCCCATGCAATCCATGATCCCTGAGATCTGCAGAAGAATTAAATGTTCACCGCGTTTGAGCAGAGCGCACGAATAACCATTCGCCACGATTAAGCGAAGGAATGGCACGGTTGAAAAAGTCTATGTCCCAAGGAGCACGCATCGCTGCGCCAGACATCATGCTTTGAGGTGATTTGATGACCAGTAAGGAACCAAGAACCAGTGCCCCGATGCGCAAACGGGGACAACTACGTACAGTGGTCCGGCAAAGGGGGGCCATGGCATTCCGCGCACCACTGCGCTCGGGCCAGGCATGTATGCTGAGTCCGTGTAACCCTAGAATGTGACCGTGCTGAACAATCCATCACTCATACTCGGCATCGCATCCGCCGCCAAGCGATTGAAACGTCAAGAGAACACTTGTCCCAGTCCGTCAGCTATGCCTCAGCTGGCCGCAACACAATCCACTCAGCTCACCAGCGGGGAGCGGCTTCGTTGCTGTCCCTACTGCTCTTCACCACCTTGTGCTCGCATCATGGCCGCCGTCATCCATCGTTCCCGCCGCGATGCGTCCGACTTACTCAAGGATTGGAACATGGCAGGTATTGCCGAACAGCATCACGGAACGTGCTCACGCCGATCGCCCCAGACTCTCATCATGGCGGCCCCACAGGCTCAAGCACAGCAACATGAGCAGGCGGTCAATGTGCGTACGCTGCTGGGGCAGTGGAGAATGCACAGCGAACAGTGGCTGCTAGCTAGCTTTTCTTTCCTCTATCACACGACTGCTGACGCTTTCACATCCGCGCCCCTGAATATCTGCAGATGTCGCCCAGCGTCACCACATGGGCGGCCAGCAGGGTCGTCCGATCATGCTCCACGCCAACATGTACCCGATCAAGCTTGACGGCAAGGGCCAGGGGACTGTGCGCCAATACACCGTGACCATCTTCCCAGCACGTCCTCCGCCCCCTGGGGGAACCCCCAGGCGCGGCGGACCCAAGTCCAGCAGCGAGGCGATCAAGCTCGTGCATGCACTGCTTTGTCAGCGTATCCTCAATGTGGGATTGCAGAACACCGTTCGAACAGGTCAGCACAGCCTGCCGCAGGCACCTATCCAAAGCATCGCGTACGATGGCCGCAAAGCAGCGTACTCTACAAAGACCCTACCCTTGGAAGACTTCGCCATGGCTGTTGAGCTTGTCCACAGCAGCGACAAGGACAACGTTTGAGTTGCGCCTGCGCAAAGTCGCCCAGGTCCACCTCTTCGTGTTTTCGCCTTTCTGCTCTGGAGACCAGCGCACGGTAAGCGCAGCCGGTGCTGTGCTTCCCAGAAATGTACATACGGGCATGCAGGCGCTCGACATCCTCTTCTGCCACGATCCGTCTAAATGCACAAGGTTCACGGTGCTGGAGGCAAGCGCTTCTTCGACGCCACCAACCGTGCACTTGTCGAGCCGCTCACACAAGGCGCAGGGATCTGCAAGGGCCGGTTCCAGAGGGCCCGCCTTACCGTCGGGGGCATGGCCGTCAACATCGACGTTGCATTTAGTGCCGTTCTCAAATCTGGCAACATGCGCGATGTCGCGGCGCAGACTCTCAGCAAGGGAGGAGGAGCCGGCTATGGCGACGCAGGTGGCATCATTGAACTTATGAGAAAAGGCGTCGTTGAGCTGCGCAAGCGCTTCAGGATCGCCCAAGATCCACACGATGCACCGCCTAGATTCGCGCCCAGCACAGTTCAAGGGCATCTCCGATGATGCCGCAGCCAACATGACCTTCCAGAAGGGTGGCAAGACAGCGAGCATCGTGCAATACTACCGCAACACGTGCAACGTGAAGATCAGATATCCGCGTCTTCCTTGCATCGACATTGGTGGCGGCGGCAACTACATCCCGATGGCGCTTTGCATCATCTCTTCCGCCATGACGCTCCCTCCGTCGTTTTCGCCGATGCAGATCGTGGACATGATCAGGCTGTCCGCACAAAGGCTGACTGGCCGCCAGGCGTGCACAGCCTTGATCCGCGCCGAGCTTGCGCGCGAGAAGAGCGAGTCTGTCAACAGCTAGGGCGCCAGCGTCTGGTCGAACCTCATACAGACCAACGGCTGGGTCCTCCTACCGCTGAAAGGGAACGACACGCTCATGCTCGGCATGCATGTTACGCACCACGGCCTCGGCGCAGGCTAATCCTCGATCGTCAGCCCCGTCGCTTTCATTGACTCGTCGAACAGGCGCAACAGTAATCAGATTCGCGCGCAGCTCAACGCGGATAGCCGTGCATCGCAGGAGATCATCTTGAAAGCTCAAGGCATCATGACGGACCATCTGGCCGGATGGCACAAGTCCCATAGCAAAAAGCTTCCCAGCAGCATTCTCATCTTCCAGAAGGGCATATCCGAAGGGCAGTGCAGCACTGCGCGTACGACAGAACTTGGCGCCGCCAAGAAGGCGAGGCACCAGTTGCAGCCAGGCTAAATCCCTAAATTTACATACGCCGTCTACACCAAGTGGCATAAGACGCGCTTCCACCCGCAGAACCCGGCCGATAACGACCGCAGCGGCAACCTGCCAGCGGGCACCGTCGTCGACTACGATGTTGTTCACGCATTCGCGTTCGACTTCAACCTGCAGACGCAAGTCAGCCTCGTCGACATGGCGTGCGCCCGTCGAATGACGTCGGCCTGCACGATGCAATCGGCTTCACGTCCGATGAGCTCCAGCGCTTGATGAACTCGCTCGCCTTGGCGTACTGCCTTGCCACGCGCTCCGTCTCGAAGAGTCCACTGAGCTACTATTCGGAGGTACTCTGCGAAAAGGCGCGCTTGCTCGTCTGCTCTGCAGCTAGCAGCAGCGCCGCGGGCGGGAGCGGCGTGCAGCAGCCTGCTTCCAAGCTCGACGCCATGGATGCGCTCAGCCCGAGACTGAATTCTCTGAGAGGTTCGCTGAGAGTCAGTTCTACATGTGAAAGCGCGCGGCGGTCGAGTAGCGACAGATTTTGTCCCTGGCTCTCTTCTGTGCATACATGTATGTACTACACCGCCTTTTGATATCACCTTCAGCAGCTTCGTTTTTTACCCCCGTATAGCAACTCAATTCGCATAGATGACATGTGTCGCATAGCGCTGAAGCGCTGCGATGGAATGCATTGAGCACCATCAGCATAGGTTCCAATATTCTTTGGCAGGTCTATAATTTGATGGCGAAAGTGTAGAACGCATCCACCAGGTCGTTCAAGTCTGACTCAATTCGGCGCATCGCACTCTCGTACTGTTCTTCCACTCCAATTTTGCCCAGCTTCTCGCAGTAGATCTTCACTTTCGGCTCTGTCCCTGATGGCCGGACGATGATTCGAGGCGCGCCCAACAAAATATCCGCCTCGCTGGAGCTTGCCGAGTGCGTTTCGTCCGCAAAGTAGAAGCTCAGCACGTCATTCTTGGGAACTTGTTTCGGATCCGCCGGCTTCTTTGGGTTGTCGAGCAGATCACTAATCATAATTACCTGATGATGCGCGATACTCTTCGGCAAGTCTGCACGGAGCTTCTTCATCAGGTCGCTGCCTTGGGAGCCATGAGATAGTCGGATGGTGCGAGGCATGGTGACGGATGCGCCGACGCGACGCTGGATGCGCTCCAGCTGGTCCCAGAGCGACTCGCCGCTTGCGTTCAACTCGGCGGCTAGCTCACACAGCGCGACAATCGCTGTCAAGCCATCTTTGTCCCACACCATGGGACTGACCATGTAGCCGAGTGCCTGCATGCAGGAAAGGTTCGAGCCGTCAGAACATTCCGTCCCGAGATTTTCACCTGACGATAGCGAAGCGGCCCACCTCCTCGTATGCGAAAGCAAAGTGATCGCCCCGTTCCTGGATGTTCTTTGCGACGGCTCCGAGCCACTTGAATCCAGTGAGCGTCTCTTGGTGCTGCGCGCCCATGTCGAGAGCAAGCCTGGAAAGCAACCTCGAACTGACGACAGTGCTCAGCGCCCAGCTGCCCTTGGGCGCACGCGACAGCATGCGCTCCCCGAGCAGAGAACCAAGCTGATCTCCGGTCAGCTGACGCATCTTGCCATCCTTCGTCCGTGCGCATGCTGCGAGCCGATCGGCATCGGGGTCGTTTGCGACGGCGATTTGGGCGTCCTTCTCGTCCGCCAGCGCGATCACCAGATCCATGGCGCCTTTCTCTTCCGGATCTGAGCAATACTATCGTGTGAGAAAACTCCATGTGAGGAGGTGAGCAGGCGAGCAGGCCTTGTACTCACTGGGAAAGTTCACTGTAGGAAAGTCACCATCCGCTTCGCGTTGCACCTTTACAGTGTGAACGTTCGAAATTCCTGTCTGCTTGAGGAGGGCTTCGGCAAACGGCGCCCCTACGCCGTGCAAGGGAGTGTATGCTACAACCAAACCATCTTTTCCCTTGGCGCCTGACACGGACACTGTTTTCAAAAGCTCCTTTTGGTAGGAAGCGAAGACTTCATCGCCGAGGTACTGCAGGAGGCCGACTGATTGTGCGTCGGACAGCGATAGAGCCTTTGGAGTGCTGTCTTTTGCGGCGACATGGCTGATAGCTGCAGCGATTTGTTCGTCAATCGGATCATTGATCTGGTTCCCACCTTGCCAGTAGACCTTGTAGCCATTATATTGCGGCGGATTGTGGGAAGCAGTGACCACGACTCCTGCCACAGCGTTGAGATGCTTGACTGCGAATGCACCGAGTGGAGTGGGATGCATCTTGTCGAACAGTAGCACCTTGACTCCTCTCGCCGCCAGAACCCCGGCGGCATCTTCTGCGACTGCAAAGACGTATCAATTTTCAGTGATGGCAAGTACCACAAAGACGGAGGTTTGATGGCGCACATATGTTCGAACCGTGCCGGCCGTCGTACGCGATGACAACACCATGGTTTTGGGCTGCAACTTTGTTGACCGCGAGCAGATGATCTGCAAGCCCAGCTGTAGTCTGCCTAATCACTAGTCGCTGGAGAAGAAACACTTGAAATGGGTAAGGGGATTCCCTACGGTTATCATGCTGCTGCAGTGCTAGCTTACATTCATGTTTACTGGTCCCACACCCATGAGGCCCCTCAGACCTGCCGTACCGAACTCCATCCTTCCATCGAAAGCCTGTTTAAGAGCGTCTTGATCATTATCATCGATGATCTTTTGTAGCTGCCTTCGAGTTGACGAGTCGAAATCTGCTTGCAGCCAAGCTTTAGCTTGCGCCTGATATGACTCGGCGCCTGAGGAAGGCATGTTTTCGACGAGAGCTCAGCTGGGGAGTTTGCAATCGCAACCTCTTAAGTTGGGGTCAGAACTATCAGAGATAGGCTTCGGTAGCGCTACTCGAGGGGTGACTTGGCCTCAAAGAGCCATAAATGGCACCATGGCAAGTCTGCTGTTGTATGGCCGAAAGGCAAGTCATCGTCATCGTCACACGTGGGGGGCGTGCTGTCGCGGACGCGCGGAATGCCTACATAGGAAGACACTCGCCCACCGGTAACGGGACCTCGAGCCGAGCTTCCGGAGTTCGTGATTTCCCTCTTTCAGATATATACCCTCCAGCTCAGAGCTCAGCAATTGCACCCTCCTTGTGGTCATTGCCGCATTGAACACAGGATAATCTATGCATTCGTTTTATACAATCTTGTCTCCTGGACTAGATCGATGTGGCGCTAATCGCTCACTGTCGCTAAAGGAGGAAGCTCAGAATGAATACGCCAAGCAACTTCAGTGGCCTGACACTTCCCTGTTTCGGAATTCGCACGCATGGCCACTCGCATACACGCATGACCGCCTGCTCTAACGACAACGCTATCAGCCCTCACCGGCCCTTTCTTTCAGCGACGGTGGCAATGTGATAAATTGCTAGCGCACGCTCGGTGACGTGCAGAGTGCACTCCTTGAGGCGATTGTTGACAAATGCGTACTGCGGAGCAATTGCGGGTGGAGCAAAAGACCGTGGAAGAATCGGTCTGATTGGAGAGGGAAAATGTGAAGCGACTGGTATTGTACCGACTCATCTGGGAATAAGTCTGAAGTTGAAGGTGTGTATGCCTTGAGACTTGTCTCGTCCGTGGGCTGATGGCGATGACGGTCAAGCAGGCGTTCATGAATGCATGCGAGTGGCTAAGCGTGCGACTTCCAGAATGGGGAATGGTATTGAGCCACTGAGGTTGCTTCGCGTACTCTTCCGGTACCTTTTACTCCAGCCTCATATCCCAGTTCAAGCGAGGAGCACGACTCTGTCCCTCAGCAAGATCGGCCAAAGTAGCGCCAGTGTGAGAAACACGTAGAGATTTTGACTTCGGCCAAGAAAATCACCGCGATTGACCTCAAGTCGGTCGATGAAAAGGTTGTAGTCGAAGCACGACTTGGTTTGGTGCGCTCTGGAACCTTATCGATCCAGCCAGTCCTTGCCGCCTTCGTCCAAGGGAAAGCAAGCAGGGGCGATCTTCGAGGCGTCCGCAAGATCCCCCTCCGCCCTGAACTGTTGAACGGCATAGGAAAGACGAAACCCCGTAGAGCTCCATGTTTTTTCATCTTACCTTCTTCCTCAAAGCTCAACCAAGCAGGTAGACTTCGCACGCCTCGAACATCGCTGTCGCCTTCTCTCATCCGACCGCGGGCAGCTAATACGGAAGCAGGATCCATTGCCGGATCTCTAAGACCAAAAATGTAAATTTTAACCTTCCAGGTCCCAGCAAGCTTGCGTCATTTGTGCTTGCGCTTCGTTAGGTTCTGGACCCATGCATCACGTCCGAGCGTCAGTGACCGTCAGCACCGCAGCTTGCAAGGTTGTGACACAACTTCTGGACTCTTTCAGGCTGCCGTAGTGCATGTGACCCACCAGGTCAAGCTCTCAGCGAGTGTGCAAAATGGCGTACACGAGGTCAAGAACAAGCTTGATGCGGTGCAGTCATGTAGGGTCTCGCCCAGAGGTGCACAAGGAAGGCGCGGAGCTACATGCTCGAAATGGAGTGCCTCCGTTGTCTTTAACTATCTGCTTACCAGTGTCAAAAGATCGTGGGTTTCTACTGCTGAAGAATGCACCCTCATGTGCCTCGTAATTGCCTCATTACGAATACACAATCAACTCCGCATCTTTCGCCAAGCAGAGCACCAACAGTGTGAACACTTACTTGAGGACAACCATCCGAGCCCATTTAGGCAATGTTCGACGAAGCATAAGCACAAATGCAACAATGGCGATCTGTATTTGAACTACTGGAGCATATGTGCGGGTCGGGGCCAGCGACCTATATTCTGATGGTCACGTATATCGCCATTTAACACTAGACAAGAGCGAGTAAGAAAGACCATCGATCAGGCGACCAGGGTGAATTTTGCCAGTCCTGCAGCTTGTCTGCTCGTCAGCGTATCAGAACCGACACTGGAAGAAGAAGAAAGCACCGGTCTCGAACAGAGTCCCATATCCCTTCTGGGACTGCAACAGTACCAACCGTATGTACAGCATACCAAACATACCAGCAGCGTTCGGCAGAGTAGCTCAGAGCTGGGCCGGTCACGCGAACGTGAACGCCACGAGGCCGGCGTGAGAGCCACGCTTAGCACACGACGTTCCACACAGACTATTTATGTACTTGTCACAAAGCAGAATGCATTTAGCAGACACATATGAACAAACCAGAATCGTGAAACGAGGTATGGACATTTGCGGGGTGCTAGCTATGTAGAGACAGTAAAAACCGCTTGAACCCCAAGGCAGCTATTCTTTGACCGCGTGCAATAGGAGTTCGGAAGGGTGAAGGATCGTGCGCGCTGAATACCTTCTGCTATGACCGTCTGGTCCCGGAATCTCGCTCAATACCTTCTTTGTCAAAGATAAGGCGGTTCACGTATTCAGGCATCTCTCATGCTGGAGTCGTCTATGATAACGGATCGCTGATTAGTCAATATGCGACCAACCATTCCTCATGTCTCATGTCTCATGCGCTATATCCCATATCTCTACCCACTTTTGACTTACCATACACATTAACCACGATGATTTGCAGTCCTCCGAGAACACCGTGAACCGATGTATGTACTTGAAGTTCTTTCTTGACTCTGGTTGGCAATGTGCATTTATATATCGTCACATATATGTGATTATGTATGTGACTAGAATCATCTTTCATATACAGTGTTTTTGAAAGGAGGTTTGGGTTTGTGGAGGTGCACTGCGAATGTGGCATGGGGGAGCTTCCGCGTAACCTGAGACGGGCATATAAGCTTAGTAAATTGGGTGTATTTGTCGACATTGGCCAAGACCTGCTATGTTTTGCTAGAGTCGACCCGAAGGGATTACTTTGGCTCTCTAGATAGACCGGATGATGATTATACATACTAGACAGCTCGAAGCTATGCGCAATGTGTACTCGCATGTGTGTAAAGCTTCCCTTTCTGCACAACCACAATCAAGTCAGCTCGGCTCCGCAACAATCACTTCGCAGGTCAGCGATCAGTCCCATGCCTTGCAAGGTGTCAAGACAAGGGTGGGCGCTGACCAATGACGATCAAGCATGAGCATATAGGCATGAAGAAGCTCAACATGACAAAAACGAAGATTGTTTCAGACTGAGCAGAGAATGGTTCGCCGTTCGGCCTTCTTCGACAATGGTTCGATGAAGCGCGAGCCAAATAGTATTTTCCCTGTCTCGCGTCCCAGGCGGAGCAAGCGCGCATACACACAGGTAGAGGCTATAGTTGCTCGGACTCATAACCCCTCATAGTCTCACAACACCTTGCTTTTTACAAGGTGCTGGTGCCAACGAGAATTGCGCTCATGCAGCCATGCGCTCATACTGATACGCATAGGATGTCGACCGTTACAAATGCTCCAAAACCCTGGGAAGTCTCCTCAGTGCCGAAACTGCCCGGTCATCTGATTGAAGGAAGGATTCAGAAATGCACCTTGCATTGTCATCCTTGTCGGGTTTCCCCAAGCATGCTTGCATTCACCTATGGCTTATCTAAATTCACTCAACACTACCCTACACGACTCCTACACGAGCCAAGAGCTATTCTTCCGCACCGCCTTCTGGGTCCAATGAGATAGCATCTATTGTTGGTTTACATCACAGGTGGTCGACAAAGAACAAGTAGGCAACGAGTTGTCTCTGTGTCACTTTCAACCTCTTCATGACGTCGTCGCTGCAAATGCAAATCGTACAATGGAACGGCTTGGCTCAGGAGTACTGTTTCAGTGCTGATGGACAAACACTCTCAATGTACATCTACGTACCCATTGGCCGTTTGGCCAGGGGGCTTGCTGATCCAGTCTACTTTTTGAGTAATTTTTTGGTGTCGCTTGAACTACAGAGTAGATGATGTACATTTGTTAATGTCGTTCACACTTCGCTGAGCGCGAAGGCCTATCTGGCACAGAGAGCGTGCACATGTCCGCTTTGCCGTACGCCCAACAGATCACTACTGAGGGAGTACAAGAGACGTACATACATACGACCTGGATACATGCATTCGATACAATACATATGTCCCCATGCACCTGAGCAGTCTTCGCCTTCCTCTCGTCGCCACTCTCCAATCTCTAGAGTCCAGCAGCCGTAATTTATGCATGGGTGGATGCGACTCGTCACCCGAGTCCTGGGAGTCTGCACATAACTCGGTGATTGTGTGTGCCGAAACCCTGGTTCTCAGATGTAAATATGAGTATGTATTTTGTATTACCTAAGCGCATGGATACGTACAACGTTACTCCAGATGCCCATCGCACTTCAGTGCCTGCGCTTGCTGGCTCATAGTGATTTGAGCCCAAATTACATGAGGCGCAATCAAAATTTGAACCTTTTTTATATTGCTCGATCCCTTTAACATTTGTTACAAAGGCCGGAACGAACATGTGGCAATGCATTAACCTACCCGCGACATAGGCCTCACCCTTGGCACATCCACCGGCGTTTCCTCTCTCCTACATGGATATTTATGCTCCACAGACTTGTAAAAATCTATCCATTATCCCTGCCTTCTTAGAGTACTTCGGCACCTCAGGGGATCGGTCTATTGTGAGCGCCGGCCCTCGCAACAACTTCTCACACCCCGCCGCCTCTTCAACACATCGACGCCGAACTCTCTGCACGATGTCAAATTGTGCTACCCATTTTTATTTCCTTAAGAGAATGAGTGTATGCACCTACACACCTACTTCGCTACAGATGTACATTGGCAGATATGTAGGCAAAGGGATACATAAGCATCATCGAGATTTGTTCAAACTTCGAACTTTCAGGTTCCGGGAGCGACGTCACCACGACAAGGGCGCAAGGGTATCGTCGGCAGGAGAGTCCTAGAATCTTGGTTCCCGTCTCTTCTTCCTATGCTATACCTTTTGTACGCATTGCAAGATACCTTGAAATCGTAGGCAAGCGGCACATGCCCGATGCTTTCGCTCCAGTTGTCACTTGTGCACGGCAACATTGATTGTCAATGCTACAATATATGACTATCTTACGGTGGCAGATGCTCCATACAGATGTGGGATCCGGAATGCGAAATATGTGCAGCGAGATGTGAGCGATGAACGCCCTTATGTTTGCTGCGATGAAGGTTTCAACAGGTTACTGTCGAAGCTCAATTCGAGACTCACAGGTCACATCGGTTACAACCGGTAAATAGCGCACTCGAAATGGAATCGCAACATGGAAGCCGCTATGAAAGAATCTATCGAGGGTCTTTGTGTACCTTTCAGTGAATGACTTGAAAGTGTGACAGTTGCTTTAGTGTACATATGTAGCTTTCAAACTGTTGGGGGCAGGAGGTCGGTGGTCTGCGACGATGCTAACCAACATCGAAAATCTGTGGTGACGCGATCGGCGATCTTTCGAATTCGGATTAGTAACTCTGTTCGTGCGGATTGTGCATACTTGACGTGTTTCGAACTGCCGGGTACGTACTTACCCAGGGATACGGTATCAATGCGTGGAACACTCAGAGTCTTTGACAACTGAAACTCGACGTGCATGGAGGAGCAAATGATCGCAGTCAACATGTGCAGTGCAAGCCAGCGCCATGTGCAGCTGGGAACGGCCTGGAAGCAGAGCAGAGAGCACAAATGTGACATGAGGAGAACGCAACCAAGCCCTCGGATCACCCTTTGTGGCGTCACGCGTGGCTATGCGAACAATAACAAATAGCAGTACCGTTCGAGCATGGGGGCGTCCGCAATGCGTCCACTGAGTAGGTTGCAGTATCGCCCCCTTTGTTTCACAGCTTGTGCCCGCTGGTGCGAGATACTTTGTCATGGACCACTGCCCTGGGTTCATCGACGAGCGTCGAGGACTCGAGGCATTCACATTTGCACGTCGGCCGAACCAACGTACATACCAAGTCCACGCCAGTGTGCGGCGTGCGCGGCGCTAGCTTGTTATTTTGAGTTGCTTATCACGCATCTACTTTCACCTACAGATCGCTGCATCAATGCAAACATCTGAAGTGCAACGAAGCCGCAATGACAGGTGATTTACCCAGTGTTTCCAGGCTCAGCCCTTTATCATCCATCTCGGAAGGCTTGCCCTTTCTTTTGCTTTTCGCCACGCGAGTGCCAAGTGCCACGTGCCGTCGACTCGGCAGCCGTCCTCCGAAACATCTCCATCACCCTTGGCCTCAATCGCCATTGGGCACACTGCTCGTCGGTCATTGTTGCGCTCTTACCATGAAGAGGACGACTCACACACATAAGAGTGGACCAACATGATACGATGTCTTATGTCTTCACCATCACAGCCCGCCTTGAAACATCCTTCCCAACCTGCTCGCTGGATCTCTGATCCCCAAGAGCTGGTCTCTATAAAAAATGGTCATTCTCATGACACCCACCAACCCATACCAGCCAGCCGGTGCCTTTGATGCCACGATGGTACTCAGATCCAATATTCGTCGATCATCCAGGCAGATGCGGCAACAGGCCCGAGGCGAAAGCATCAAGGATAACAATGCAAATATGCAAGACCTCGCCGTGCCGCACATCACTTGTGAGCCACCGACGCCGCAGGCGCACATCCAGTCTTTCTCTACAATGCCAATCGGCTTCTGCGACCGTAGACGCTCATTACGCAGTGCTCTGGTGGGTAGCTTTGCAGACTGTCAGTGTATGATTCCCTTGGCTGAGCACGTCCGCGTCGTGTGTCTGAGCAGACTATAACTTCAGGGCCCAAGAGTCTACCAGGCCCCAGCGAACCCACACCACTGCTCCAAATCGATACAGCAGCCACGAGTGAGCTTCATTCTCTTCATGAATCGCAGCTTGTAGCAACTCACACCCATCCTCCGTGTAGATGGAAATTTAAATTCAAACGCTGAGCACTTCAGTGCTTCGGGGTTGGATGCTGGCGAATCAGAAAGCGGGGCTTGGTCGCCATCGGCCTCGCACACTTGTGCAAGTGACAGCGATTTCTCGTCAAGTCAGTTCGGTAGCTCATCTTCGTCTGTCGGCCCAGTGGGAGCATCGGGCGTCCCGCGCAGTCAGAAGAAATCTCACGCCCGCAAGCGTCCTGCTGGGCATGTCAAGCGCCCTCGCAATGCCTTCATCCTCTTTCGTTCGCACGTCATCCAGCAAGGCATTCTTCCAAAAGATCTGAAGGACCAAAAGGCGCTCAGTAACGTCATTTCCCATCTTTGGCACAATTTGTCCGGCGATGAGCGCGCACAGTGGCAAGAGAATGCCGCTGCAGAGAAGGCGGAGCATCTACGCCTCCACCCATCGTACAAGTATCAGCCTGAGACCTCGCGCAAAATTTCGGAAAAGCGTCAGCGACCCCGATCTCGAACATCCGAAAGCCGGGTCGAATCGGTTGCCGATCAAATCTTGAAGGCTCTGGGACGCGAAGGTGTTCGCGAAGGCGCGGTCGAAGAGGGCCGATCCGAACCTAGGCGTATCAGAAAGGAGAAGCTTGATGCTGAGCTGCGGAAGACACATCATATCAAAGGATCGCCATCTCCAAGTGTTGGTGCTGAGACTGAGAATCAGCTTTCCCCTGCAAGTGCCGGCATTCCTCTGAGGGGCTATCGACGCTCATCCTCAGTCCCGATCAATATCGATTTTGGATCGCAGAACCCGAGCCTTCAGGGAACACTTAAGCCAAAGGAGGCTGCCTTGCAGCCGGTGCTTCTGCACGGCGGCACAGCTGATGGTGCCAGTCTTACCAACTCTGCTTTCTCCAACACCCTCATACCAGAGTGGACGAACCGAGCAGCCCTCAACGAGCAAAGCCCATCCAACTTTCCACCAGGGCCCTCTCCGGCCTCCTTCTTCAACTTCCAGCGCATGCCATTCGCAATGACGAGCATGCCTGCTCCGCAGCCATCAGTTCTGGAACATTCACGGCCGCGGACAGCTGGAGGACAGCTGGAGGCATATCCCTTGGGTTTGCCCACGATGCCAGACATTCTGATCTCCCCGCGAAGCAATTCCTTTGGCGATATTGCAGTTCCGCCGACGGCGATGAATGCCGCTGCGCGCTTCCTTCCCCCCGAAGCTGGGGGCTTCGCGCGAATGGGTGCTTTGCCTTCAGGGGATGGCTCTCTGCCATTCGGCTCGGCGCCTTTCCATTACGGGGATGAGCTGATGAGCGCTCCCACTCTGACGAAGAGACGGGTCAGCAGTTTCTTGACTGAGGCTGCCATATCGGCGATTCAACATGCTCACGGACAATGCGGATCATCAACTGGGACCTTGCCAACCGCTTCCGGTCTCAACGAGACGATGCAGCCACCTCTCACCCTTGAACAAGAGAAAGAGGCTCTATTGCGAAAGTGGAGAGCAAGTCTGTCTGCTGGTGCTGGTGGCTCTCATGATGGCCTGCCTCCACCTCCATTCATGGAGGACCCAATGACAGAGTCGAGCAGCTCCTCAGGCCCCCTTTCCTTCTATAGCGTCGACGCGCCTTCCGACTTCCGAACAGTCGACATGGAGACTCTGCAAGAAGCATTCGAGCTCAACCTTCGGAATAGCTTTGTCTAATCTGTGAATTCGCTCCCAAAGAGTTCATCCGAAACTCACTACAGTAATCTTCGTCGCGGGTACCACAATAGCGACACCGATAGCATACCAGGATATGTTTGGGCACCAAAACAACCTGCCGCCAAGCAACCCACTACCCGCTGGCAACTGTTGTGGCCTCCTTTTCTCGCTATACTACACTGTTCTCTGGCGTTTGGACTATCTCCACTTCTCAATCGCATCTTTTTTTCCAACGCATGATCCAGGACCAGCTAATGGACACTGTCTTGTATATCCACCAATTCATTAGTCCAGCGCTCAGCCAATTGATCAAGCAAGACATGCTCTTCGTTTCTTTCGCTACAGGACGCTCAGACCTGCTCATCTCCTCGCGCGCCATGCTAGTGTATTGTGCATAATGTTCTGGAAATAGAGCAGTAATGGGATTGCGATGCACGCCTGTTGGTGTTACTTGCTCTTAGCACGCCACCCAGGGCCGATAGCCCCGTTCATGATAGCACTGCGGTTTACTTCCTGTGTCGGACTGTGTAGGCCGCCACCGACGTCCAACCTCCAGCTTCCAGGGCCCGTGACGCCATTGCCCGTGCTGCTCCCAAAGCTACCAGAGATTTTGGAGACAGACATATGCGGTTGGCCTTGCGCATGTTGGAAGCGCGCTGCCGTTGGCGAAAGCGACGATCCGTACATGGCCATGCGCCCACCGAGTCCTGATGTTGTCACATAGCCGGAATTCGCGTGGCCATTCTTGTTGGTGGTGGCACTAGCCGTAGTCGGCAATGTGAAGCTATCAATGTTGCCTTTCGGATGTACTTTTTCCTCTACCTGTGCGACGTCATTCTTGACTTTAGCGTTGTTGTACATCCATCTGACAGGTGATAAGATAGTCAGCATGATCTGCGTTGGCCCTCTCGGTGTCTGCTTCACACAGAAAGTGATGCTCGCTGTGTTTAACTCAGTACAGCAGTCTAAGACTCACACGCCCGTGGAAGCCAAGGTGATACCAAGCCATTGAAGCATGGTGACTTGTTGTCTGAACCACACGATGGCGAAGCAAATGACAAAGACTCGTTTGAGAAGGCTAGCAATGGAACTGTAAACATAATTCGTCTCAGCACCCTGTGTTTTGTGTGCGATGGATTAGACCGTGCTCACTAGGTCACAGGTGACACCAGAGCCAGGATGCCTGCAACCAATGGTAGTGTTAATACTGCAACCTTGTCTGGCGAAGGGGGCGATTAAGACTCACTGAAGGCAAGCACATTCTGGGCAAAGTTTACGATTCCATTGGCCAAAAGCAATGATAAAACCCTCCCAAAGCTTGCTCCTGTGGACGAGGTCAGTATGGAAGAGGCATCGTAGTAAAGCACCATCGGAATCATGAGCTGTGAACAGAGACCGCGCCAGATATAAGTTGAGGCTCACACACGAGCAATAGGGAGATTGACTCACGGTCGAAGCGCAACCGCTAGAATAGAGAAGGATATTCAGCTTGTCCAACTTTTGATCCTTGCGCTTTTTGCCTGTGCTGACACCATTGCCCAGTTTGCTGCCCTCTGCCCCCATCTTGTCTAGATCCTTCGAGCCATGGCCATTTCCACTGAGAAGCTTCTTGCTGTATATGTTCTGCGCCACGAATATCATCGTACTTCCAAGGGCTGTGAAGAGACCCAAGATATCTTCAGCTGATAGTGAGAGCCCGGTGCAAGCCATCATCACGCCGATGGTGAGTGGGAGGAGTGAGAGCCATGTCGCGCTTGAATAAGTCACAGAGAAAAAGAGAGAGTAGGCAATTACGGTGAACAGCGGAGACAATGCCTGTAAGAATTCAGGAGGGAACGAAAGGCTATCACACTTGCATTGCATTTAATTAGTCAGAGTGGATCGAGACGAACCTTGATCGTATGTACCGTGCTGACAGGCACGCGACTGATCGCAAGCGAGCTCAATGCGTGCCCGATGACCGTAAAGAGTGACAGCTGGCCGACCTCCAAGATTCTTTCTTTTGCAGGCGGCATGACTTTTCCCATCGTACGCTTTCCTAGCAATCGCTCGCTCGTGCATATGTAGCAAAAGCCATGTACGAAAAGAAATTGAACAAATGTCAGGCTAATCGGGTAAGGAAATGGTGCGGAGGATGAATCTGGTGGATGTAGGGCTTGCCCGTGTCGACCAGATTCCAGAACATCATTTGGATGTGATGTCATTACGTGCTTTGGTGCAGAGAGGAGCGCTTTGGATGTGTTTGAAGACAGTGCCGACGAGAGATACCAGGCGAGGCAGTTGGCAATGAAATACAGCGTTGACCGTGATGGAAAGAGCGAGAGAAAGCCAGAATTACCACCATCGCGGCGAAAAGGCACGGAGTAGTATCGCTCTCGCCCTCGATTGGCTGATAGATGTGACAGCTTTTGCATTGACAAATGGGTTACTGTCGCTGTTCCCGACATCCTAGTGGGTTTACCGGATGATTTCGCTGATGTGGTGGATATAGCGCTTTCAAATTTCATCGATGATCCATCGTGCGCCTGTTCCTAAGCCCCTAATCTACGAGCCAGGATAGCCCCTCGTTTTATAGCGTAAGATATGAGCTGGCGGGGACCTCACTCTTTGTGGCACAATGATGCCGTTGGCAGCAAAATGCACAATTCAGGATCATGGTGACGATTTCCAACAAATGTTGACGATCACGAGGGACGAACGCTTTTCAAGCCACGTGGCGACTTTTTTTTCTATACTGGTTCCACAATTCTTTTTAGAAAAAACCCCAACCTCGGCTCTCTCTCTCACGCCATGAAAATGCAGCCTTGCTCGGAAAGGTCTGTTTTATGAGCATAACACTACGCCGAAACTCGCTGGTTAAAGAAGAACAGCACATCACTTTGTCAAGACAGGATCAAGCTGCTTGGGAGGAATTAACTCAAACCGTGAATTCAAGGTCTCGTCGTAGTTGTCGCTCTGTCCAAGCCCTCGCGCCCTCCCTCACCACATCGTCCGTCATGTCTGAAATCGAGGACATCTTTGCGGGCAAGAAGTCTGCCACGACCGCTACTACCGTCATAAACGGGGGAGAAGACAAACCCAAGAAGGACAAGAGTGGCCAGGCAAAAGTCAACAAGGGAAAGAAGAAGGCGTCTGAGAATCAACTCGCTGCCTCAGTAGCAAGTTCGACCGTTGGCAAGAAGGGCAAGATAGTCATGACTGCGAGCTCGCGAGAAGCGGTTCAGAGTGCCAAAGCAGATCCTTCAAATGATTCTGAAAAAGTTTCCGGAAAGCGAGGAAAGGAAGAGAAGACTGCTTCAAATGCAAACAACGCAATACTTTCAAAGAAAAGGAAAAAGGCTCCTGAAGAGATCTTCGATCCGTCGCTCGGAGAAGGCACCAGCACAAAGTCAAAACGACCGTCGGCAAAAGCACCCAAAGCATACATGGATGCTATCACTTCCTCGAGCTCCGTACCTGACTCTTCAACACGTGGGCGAAACGGGCTCAAACGCGGCAGGCCGTACGTCGCTCCTACATCAGGCATGGACGACTCGAATGCCGCATTTGCGGATTCGCGCGGCATCATTGCTGACTCGAAACGAAAACGGACAGAGGAAGGGTTCCTGGTGTATACAGAGGAAGAACTTGGGATAAATAGGCCTGATGCGGGTGAGACGGACCTATGCCCCTTTGATTGCGATTGCTGTAGGTGTCCAGGGGCTGCTCTCGAGCCGCCGCGGCCGCGCATGGCATGAACTGACCTTACGCTCACAATTTCTTTCCAGGCTTCTGATCCTACGCTGTATCCTAGGCGCGGTATACGATGGCAAACAAGATCACAACATGTGTGTGCATATATCTTTCTTTGGTCCACTACACCTCGTTTGCCAGTAAAAGTTTCCCCTTGTCCCTCGCCACGCTCATGTGCCACTGGCACCGACAGCGAGACGCTTGAGGTGCTCCATGAATACTTGGAGGCTCACCTGCAAGGGCAGTGCAAGGGAGGCAATCAGAACGACAATGCTGGGAAAGACCATGTCGCAGGGCGCAAGTGACTCACATCGTCTGTAAAGATGGCAGCGCCAGTACCCTGGTTGCCGTACATCCCTCCGCTCATGTGCGTCGTGGACGGGTTGAGCTTGCTGAGCAAGAAACGCGCCTGACTGCCGCCCTGGTCGCAGACAATGTATCGCGGCACCGGGAATCGATCCGCGAGCAATTCCTGTGCATCGCTCTTAGGGTTCTCGAGCACCTCCTTGAAGTTCTCATAGCCCTCCTGGTCCTGGTAACCCGCTTTACGCCACTCGGCGACGGTTGAGCCGTGGAAGATGAGGATGTGGAAGAAGGTGTCGAGCAGCAGGACGACGTCGGGCCGGATCGAGACCGAGTCAAGCAGCACAGGCTGAGGTTCTGAGTCGAAGCCGTACGACATGAGGGTCGGCTGGATCATGATCAGCGAGTTGTTGACGTCTTCTGCGTTGAGCACGTGCCTGTTCACAAAACAAATAATGAGCTCGGGATCATGGCGCAAGCACGTTGTCGCACGCACCTGTAGAAAGCCGTCTCGTCAGGTGAATTGTTGAATACCTGCAAGAACTGAGACCTGCGCAGATGGAACATGAACTGCGGGTAGATGGAAAAGTTCTCTCCGAGGCGGAAGGAGGTGGCATCGTCTTTAATGTACTGCGCAAACTTTTGACACAGACGGATGAGCATCCTGTCAAGCCACCTCAGCACATCGGGGCTGTCGTCGATTTCCGCCTTGAACACAGCAATCCGCGCCATGAGCACCGCTGCTGCTTCTTGATCGAAGGACGGGGCAATCTGTGCGCTGGCACCCTCGGCAAAGTTGCGTGCAATAGTTGTAACGCGCAGCCGGTATTGGCCGGATGAATGCTGGTAGTGTGTGACGAACTGGATCAGACCCCTACTGCCGGGCTGCAAAGGTTGGCCGGCGGGCGTGACGACTTCAAAGTAGACGCCGACAGAGGTGCGCGGATTGATGCTACATATCTTCCATTCGGACGTCTGGCCGATGCCGATCTCGGTCTCGCCGACACATCCGGTCTTCTTGTTGTTCGAGACGGCATGCCCGATGAGACCGGACACCTTGAGCTCTTTGGTGCACTGGACATTGAATGTAGCGTTAAAACCCAACTGCAGCTGGCCCTCGGCATTCTTTTCAAAGACCCTCTGGAAGGACTGCTTGAATATACCCATCTGGAAGCTGTCTGTCAGGATCATGTGTCCGTTCGTCATGTTGCTCAAGCCCTTCATCTCCAGCAGCCCGACCTGGTCCAAGCATCCTGCGAAGACATCAACTGCGTGCCCGTTGCTGGCGGCGCGACGGGCTAGCGCATCGTAGAACTTGACGGCACGCTTGTAGTACTTGACGTTGTCCTTGTCAATGTCGTGGTGCGACCTGATGCGCTCGCGCAGCTCGGTGGAAACGACGTTCCCCGGGCCTTCCGTGCATGGGCCTCCGCAGAAGAGCATGATGCGGCCCCCCGTCTTGGGGAACGTAGTCTCCAGCATGCCGACGGCAACGCTGAGCGCAGCACCCGTGCAGCGCTGCGCGCGGCGGTCGTTGGCGACCGGCCAAGGGTCGCGTTGCAGCTGCTCGAGGATGTTCGTCAGGCCGTACTCGCACTGCGAGACGGGAAGGAGGAAGCGCGAAGCACCCTGTCGCCCCTGCGGCGCGTGAGGCTGCGATGGCCCACCTGGCTGGCCCGGCACAGGTGCAACAGGCCTGCCGCCAGGGGTAAGACCAAGCATGTCCTGGATCTGCTTGGGGGCGTACTCCTTTGTGCCGCGGAAGACATAGCTCTTGGGGCATGTCTCATAACCGAGCTCGTGGACCTGAGCCATCGTGCCATATGTGATGAGACCGACGAGTGCGTCGGGCGGGAGCAAGCTGAGGGAGACGACGAGCGTCTCGCGGAGCGCCTTGAGGTCATCATCCTCCATGCACGTGTCGACGACGTACAGGAAGATAGGAGGAACCTGTGCGGGCCTACTCAGTGTGTATTCAATCGTCGTGTATTTGGGCAGCAGCTCGGCCGGCAGGTTGGTATTGCTGATGTCGCGGTAGTGCGGCGGGAAGGCGTTACGCGAGAGACAGAATGGGCAGATCCATAGCTTGCCACGGACATCGATTTGGCTGGCAACACCAGCGATGTAATGAACCAGTCAGCGTATACTAGCACTAGCCGAGTCTGCTTTGGGTACAAAGCACGATCGAATGCACTCACCAGTATGGGTTGAGCACCGCTCTGCAAGGTTCCTTGCACACAACTGGTTCATACATGACTGGAGGCAAGTCCTCCCTCTCCTTCAGCGGCGTGTACAGGGCCGCGACTGGGACAACAGTCCTGGTAGCCTCGACCTTGGTCGAAGGCCAGACGTTCCAGGACAGGCGAACGCCATCGCGGTCTTCGACGTCGTCAACATCTGTTTGGCATTGACAAGAGTGGTGATAAAAGTGGAGCAGGCCAGGCAGGCGCAATAGGGAGCAAAGGCAAGAAACGTCAGACCACGGCAGCTTACCACGCAAAATTTTGATACGCACTCATGATGAAGACCTCTGTGGCTGTGCTCGAACTGGTGACTGCGTATGCTTGGGTCGCTTGTTGCTCAGAGCACGGATCTTGCATGTGGACGGCAAGCTCAAGAAGAAGTGGATGTGGGCGATGCTGATGTCTGTGTGCGCGGTGCGCGCAATGTGTGGTTGAGACCCAACGGAGAGACATGGAAGCGCGAGCGGTGCGGCGCCCAGGGGGGTAGGAGCCACATACACTGCTCTGATGCCAGCATCCCTCAAAAGGCGTGTGCGCTCGTCATGTTTGCCTGTCTATCACAGGGTATTGTTCCCTCTTTCGAAACACATGCAAGTCCAGAGACCGTAGGGTATAGTTTTTGCGCCATCCGATAGACGAATCGACCATGGACTCATGAGACAGGCAGGGCATCTAGCTGCCTGGATCGATGGACGTGCGGCTCAGCCTGCAACCGTGCGCTCGGCGGCAACGGCGGCTGCAAGGTCAATAGCTCCGAGGCTGACAAGATGGCAGCAGCAGCCGCGTCCGCGATCCGATCGAGCCATCGCAACGCAACTCTTTGAGATCCATGTAATACATGCATCTCTGCGCACTTCACACTTGCACACCACCGCGAGGGCAAACTTTCCAGACCGCCAAGCTGGCTGGCCATTCGAGAGTGCGTCGGATATCGCGCGGCGCAGGTGCTGGGCGGCGGCCTTTGCACAGAAAAACCTGACGCAGGAGCAGAACCAGCAAGAGATGCACATCTCTTTCACACGCAGCAGCGGACCAGGAGGGCAACACGTCAACAAGACCAGCTCGAAAGCTGTCGTTCGACTGGACCTGAAGAACATCGTTGCCGCCGCTGCTGACCAAGATGCCGCAGCCGCAATGGACAAAGTGGTCAACTCGCAGCGCTGGCTGCTGCCGACGATTTGCAAGCGTCTGGCCAGCGTGTCACCCTACTACGTTGCAAATACACATTCCCTGCAGCTGTCATCGTCCAAATCTCGTTCGGCGCACGCGAACCTCGCGGACGCTCTGTCCAAGCTGCACGCGCACATCCACCAGGTCGCTAGCTCTGATCTGCCCGGCGAGACGAGCGACGAGCAACGTGCACATGTCAGGAGGCTTGAGGACAGAGAAAAACGCAAGATCAAAGCGGTAAAAGAGAAGAGAAAGGATCTCAAGAAAGGGAGGGGCAAGGTTATGTTGTAATTGCGTGGAGTGAAACATTGCAGCTGCAAGATACCTGTACTTTGCACCAGGTACGCACGCGCTTCGGTGGTCCGCGCCCAATTGCAGGGCTCACAGTGGCTCGATGCTTTGAATGGGCCAATGTGCCAAGTGCCAGGTATGAGTGGCTTCAAAGTACACAGTGCTACACCTCAGCAGCCCAGTGCCGGGAAATCGGCGGTGCTATCCAAATTGGCAGGCTTGGGTTGCCGCTGCTGTTGGCCCGGGGCGCCATCTCGCTCTCGCGCAGGCGCACCGCCCGCTCTGTCGCGACCATAGCCGCCACCGGCACCGGCTCTTGGGGTACCGGACGAGTATTCTCGGTAATTTGACTTCCACAGCTGCTCCCCTCCCTCGGCCTTCTCCTGGTCCCAATCCCGCTTGCCGATCTTCTCCAGCTTCCGCGCGCGCGCCTTTTCGCGCTCCTCATCGAGCGCCAGCTGCATCTTCTTCGTCTCGACCATCTTGCGCGCGCGCTCTTCACGCCGCTGGCGCTCCTCTTCACGCGCCTGGCGATCCACGGCGGTTTGCGTGGCATACGACTCCTTGTCTGCATCGATCTCGGCTTGGCGCGTTAGGATGGCGGCGTTCTTGGCGCGCGCAGCCGCGAGTTTCGCATCGAGCTCTTCTGGCGTCAGCTTTTGCCGTTCATTCCCTCCTGTCCGGAACCGTTGACGGTTGAGGTACCCTAAGGAGACAGAAGAGATGTTCAAGTGTCAGCAGTTGAGATCAATGGCCCGGATTCTAACCTCGGCGCTCACCGCCTCTCCCGCGCGCAGGTTGGCCGCCGCGCGCCGCAGCTGTTGTATTTGGACCCACCGCTTCCGCTGCTTTGCTCGGCTCTCCCTCCTCTGATGAATCAACGTTCTGAGGCTGCTGGACACTTGTGTTTGTGGGTACCTGCCCATCACTTTCTTTCTTGCTCAAGTCGGCCTTAGTCGATCTTGTGCTATTTTCTTGTTCGCCTTGTGATTTGTCTTCGACCCGCGACGCATCTGCGGTTCCTGCATCTGCCACAGTGCTTGGTCTAACTGCACCTTCAGCTGGAGCGACAGAGTTGCTAGGTGCAGACGCCCCATCTGGACTCTGTGAAGAAGACGGGTCTCGCGATGCCTCAGGTGCCTCGACCTCGTTCGGCTCGGGATGGTTCTCAGCGGTGTTCGTCATGCTGTGTACACCGTGTAGTCGTCAAGCAAATATCCCCGCGATTGCACAGCGAAATAAGTGCCACTTTCGCCACTGAAATTAGCTCAGAAGGCCTGCCGTGCTCAACAACACTGACCACGGCTTGGCCTGGTGCCATCAGAAGATGAGATCAATGGAGATGCTCCAGCCTCCAGAGTCCCAGCCAGAGGTGGCAGATTGGGTTCACCAGTTCACATCATCTACAGTAGTGGAAGAACCCTATTTCCTTGCAGATATGCAGTCTGCAGAATGAGACGCCGCATCGGACCCCAAGGTCCTTAGGTAAGCGGGAGCGGGGACGTCCCTTCTATTACACAAGAGTGGCGTGGTGTTTGACCCGCGAAGAGATTTGTTGGCGCGAGAGCCCCGACCCATTTGGCAACAAGGACACTCTCTGCTGGTGGCAGCTACACGAGGCATATCCACGCGCCCACAGCTGTTGGCTCATGGGCTGTTAGGTGATCGTGACCCGTTTCGTCGTTTCGCTCATCATACCATGGCTTCCATCTGTGCCTTCATCATTGTTGCTTCACCACAGCGTGACCCACAGCATCAAGAATCCTCCAGGCATTTACTCTTGGCAACACACACAGCCAAGCAGAATGGTCAAGCTCAGCACTTCGGATGGCGAAGAGTTCACCGTCGAGAGGGACGTGGCGGAACGATCAGTTCTGATCAAGCAGATGCTCGAAGGTACGTGGTTGCCGCCGCACATCTTGGTGGATGTCGCTGCCTCAAATATACGCAGCATACGGGAGCTTAGCTCGCGTATGTAACTACGTACTGGTCTGCGACACCATAAAGTATGCTGCACGTTGTCATTGCAGCGGCTCTTCGCAATTCGCTTTGATGCGACGGGCCTCACCTTGTCGCATTCAGTGTTTATACAGAGGCTCGTCTTCGCCATGATTCCAATGAAGCCAATCTGCTAATACTCTATCGTCTCTGCATCCCTCTCGCGGTTTGCCTCGTCCGCACCGCTCATCCTTTTTATTTGTCGCATTGTGATTGCTGAAACCCTTACTCGCTGCAAAATAGATATTGGAGAATCAGACCAAGCGATTCCTCTGCCCAATGTCTCTTCGCAGGTTCTCAAGAAGGTGAGCCTTGTCTACATGTTTTGCTCGCGTATAGTGCCAAAACCTGATCCACTCCATTACCGCCTCTCAATCATGCACTTTGACACTCCACCCAATACAGGTCCTGGAGTACTGCGAGCACCACCGCGCCGACCCAACGCCGACTGTCGAGGAGGCTGAGGAGTCGCGCAAGCGTGTGACCGACATTGGCGAGTGGGACCAGAAGTTCATCAACGTCGACCAGGAGATGCTGTTCGAGATTATCCTCGCCGCCAACTACCTCGACATCAAACCCCTGCTCGACGTCGGCTGCAAGACTGTCGCGCTCATGATTAAGGGCAAGACGCCAGACGAGATTCGCAAGCTTTTTAACATCCAGAACGACTTTACACCCGAGGAGGAGGAACAGATCAAGAAGGAGAATGAGTGGGCGGAGGACCGCTGAGCGCAACAAGGCGGCGTACCTATGGGTCGCAGATCAAACCAGCTGGTATTGCGGAGCTCTTAATACAGCCCTGGAATTTCGCTGGTAGGCAATGCACTTTGTGTCACCGCTTCAGCATATGGCGCAAGTGTGCATCAAATTCTGCGCCACAAGGCCTTTCGCACTGCATTCAAGAAATATTCCGTTGCCAACAGAAATCGCAACCCTGTATCTTTAGCTTGTGTCTCTGTAACATGATGTTGCAGCCGGCAGCTCAGCTGCCCTGCACAGCGTTATTTCGGAAGGAGCCCAATCGCTCGTTCCAGCACTGCGGGGCACACCCCATTTACTGGCTTTAAAGTGCCTTAAGTACGCTTATTACAATTTGCCTTCCGCATTGGAACGGATTCTAGTGGCAGTGCCCACGAGACTCGAGAAACACGGCAACCTCGATAAATGTGAAAAAGTCTGACTTTTGAATGTGTTGCCTCACCGGCTTCATTTGGACTTCGCTCTCTTCATTTCGGCGGTATCTTCGTTTTTCCGTATGTAAGGTGTCGGCAAGGTTACAGCTTCGGCAACCGCTGGGCCCCGGTGAAGCCGCCAGCTCCTTGCTGACTCTTGCATACATGGACGTGCACGCCGCTCTGAGCACAGATCCTCCGACTCATGACGAGCCTGGTGCCTTCAGCCTTGTACCGATGATCCTGGATGGGAATGCATGATCGTGCGCGACGATCATCAGGAGCAGTACAAACACGTGGTGCAGCGTTCCGCGAGCAATCAAGTGGGCCGAACCCTGTCAAAAGCTGGGCGAGAGCATGTTTCAAGGATGGACGAACCGACAGCAGTGGCTCGTGCATATTTGCCACTAAAACACCTCCCTACTCGCTCTATGCTGCAAGCATTGTCCATGGTTACTCCTTGTTAGCCATGCACACCCTTCAAGGCCGGTCTCGCTCCCCTCATCCTCTCTGGTCAATCAAAATCTGCACTCCCCACACGAAGCATCCCTTGACATGAGTGCGTCGGTGCTGCTCCATCGATCAACACGGCCGAGTATACCGCCTCGAGCACGCATCAAGCATGATGCGTGCCACATCGCTAATATGGATCGGGCCATGGTGGCGATGGGGTACCTTGAAAGCCCCCGTTCGTCCGGGAACGTCGATTATATGCAGCGCAAGATCTACTGCATGGAAGTTGCCGGGAAAGTGGGCCGTCTGCCGCTCTAAGAGGGCGACAGACTGCTTCATGTGTTGCTGACACTGCGTTGGATGTTTGGTCGGGGGCAATGTCGCAGAGTGCGGGCGTCTTCGCGTGCTCAGACCGCCTTTTCCCTTGTTTCTGCGAGAACATCCCAGTCCACCAACAAGACGCTTCTAGGCTTCTAGGAAGGCCATTCTCCGGTGCTCGTGCTCGGCTCAGGTATAAATGTGGATGTGCGGGATACGAGAGTGCTTGTTTCCAACATCCCATCCGTTTCCATCGAAGCATGCCGTTTGTTGAAACGGCCATCGACACCATGCGCCAAAGATGAGTTATTGCACTGATTTCATGGTTGCTGATTCCGCGTCCCAGCCTCCCCGCTCTGACACTTCTTCGCAAGTCTCTAACAAGAGCTTACATTATCATGGACAAGACAGCCATGGTCCGAAATTTCAAGGCCTCGCAAGCACCAGCGATAAGGCCGCAACGTCAGAGACTAGCATGCAGGACTTCTTCGACGCATCTGGCTAAGTTGAGGAGCAGGGCAACGACAGCATCTCAGTGAAAAGTGACGAGGTCTAAAATACGCCCATCAACGCTTGGCACTGTGACCATGCCATAGGAGTGCAGGGCGGCTGTGCAGACGCATGCTCTGAATTTTCCTCCATACTCTGCACGGTCTGCTGACGGATCTTGGTGGGTGTGGAATACGGTGAGCGGTAGCCATGCGCGCCGGCTTATCGAAGCCAGCCTCAAGACCAATGAAGGCGCGAGTTTTCCATGCATATGAACCGTGCGTGAGGGCCTTCCCTGCTCTTCCATCGAGTGCATATCACAAATCTGTCCCATCATCCCTCTAGCTGTACAGGCACGAGAAAGACAAAGGTGGATAGACTCGTGAAGCGCTGCAAGGCGCGTTCATTCAAGTATTTGCAGAAGTTATGCCGTCCCCACCGCAATCTCCGCAGTGCTCTGTACTGGCGACAAAGCAAGTATTCCGAACGCAAGAAACATATTGAATACTGGGGGGAAGAGGGGTTGGTTCTCGGCAGGGATCCGAAATGCGATAGATGCACGAACAAAGGCCTTGTATGCATATTTGAGAAGCCACCCCAAGTCGCGCGCGTACGGGTCGCAAGAAACGGGTCTGTCATCGAAGGCAAAGACGCGCAAATATTTCCAGATGCAGCCGTATCGGTCGTCATTCAATTTGGTCAATTGCGACAAGGCGTGGGGTAGACACAAACCTATCATGTCAGATGCCACCAGCAAGGACAAGACAATATACCCTGCTCGACAATGCACCAGCACGCAGGGCCACCGTGTTGTCCACCAATGACCTAGTCATCGCCACTGGTCACTCCAACCACTTCTACGATTTCCAAACATTTACAGCGAGGGCTGGGTTTCTGAAGAGTTGCCACGACTACTGATATGCACGTTCTGTCTTCTCGCCTGGCTCAAAAAATGCACTCACATCCTTCGAACGCTGGATTAACCACTCCATTCTTCTTGTTGGGCTCAGTGCAACATAGTTGCAGCCAACCGAATATCCCAGTCCGATCTCGGATCCCAAGGCGTTTGGAACAAAGCCGTTCTCCTCCGCGAATAGATTTGACGCGTCGGGTCGGAATCATCCTACACCTCACCAAACAGGTCTTGATCAAATTGTCTTATCCGACAGCCTTTGGCTCAATGCGCTCCAGAGTTACCCGGACTGGGGGCGTAGGCCTCCCTTCGAAGGGGCGTCGCTTTTGGAGCCCACACTCGAAAAGCTGCTGCTTCAGCTGCGCTTGCTTTTCCCACGAGAATCATGACCTGCTTACTTTTGCGGCTGCGCGCGGATTTCCCGGAAGCACTTTTGCCCACACCGTCATCGACTGCACAAGCCTCGGGATCCAGACCATTGACTTCGATGTCGGATCATCCGTAGTGCCACCAATCGTGTCAAGCATGCCTTCAACTGCATCGATTCCGCTTTCGCCCCCTGTCCTTGAGGCGCATGTGACGGCTCCACTACAGATACAGATACCAGGATGCGATACGCCTGCTGCGGTTGCTCATCCGTTACCATGACCAGGAGCGCGGCTCTACTTTTAGCGAAACCGCTTCCCTTGCCCATCAGCACTTTTGGCTACCCCTGTCAGCAGCGGCACGGGTCCCAAATCCCATCGCAGCTCAGGGAACTTGGTGCACCGTTGTAATTCGATTTAAACGTTAACGTTCCTCCTTGTCTCGTTCTTCGCGTCTGCTTTGCGTTTCATCCGCCTTCCCGTCATGTACTCGCATGTGCGAGTCCGATCATTGTTTGTACTCTGCTGCCCAATTGGATACCTGACCGCGCTACCCTATTGTCTCAATCCGCGAAGAAGCGGCAGTTCAGTCGATGAGATGTAGGCAAGCCATGCCGCACGTTTGAAAGATAAGATCTGGCTATGCCCAAGATGTTGCACTAATGTACAGATTGCTTGAGAGGGATGGTGCGTCGCTCATGACTCAAGACGTCTCGCGCTTGGGTAGCTCCGCGAGTGCTGCGGCAAAGTCCTGCAGCACAGAAGAACAGAGCAGGTGAGCCAAGGAGGGGTCGCTCCTCCCAGGCAATGGAACCGCTCACTGGGTTATCCGGGTCGAATTGCATGCCCATTTCGTAGGCCTCCTTTGCTTCTTTGAACCTTCCAAGCCCCGCGAGTGCCTTTCCTTTCCTGAAGTACCCTTTTGCCCACGGCTTCTTGAGATTGATGACCGCGTCGGCGTCACACAGTGCGCCGATCCAGTCTTCAACTGCTGCAAGCGCCGCTGAGCGGTTCGCCAAGACTGCTGCCAACTCCTCGCGCGCGATCTGATTCGACTCCCACAACGGTCTTGACGCTGCCACGTCGACGGCAAGCGTGTACATCTTGATCGCCTCCACCATGTCCTTCTTCTTGAATGCCGCATTGCCGTCTTCCCGGGCCTTGTTGACCGCCATGCTGCGCTGCGGGAGTACTACGTTCGGCGGGGGTGGGAACGCGATCTGCGGCGGCAATGCTTTGAGGGACCGGCTGAGAGCGTTGAGGAGGGTCATATCGTGGGTGGGGGACATGAGAATATCTGTGTTCGGATCGATGCAGAGCGGTACCTGCTTGAAGGTCGCATCGGAAAGAGCCATCTGTTCTTCTGTTGGTGCTGGCGGCACTGGCGGTGCATCCATATCCTGTGGAGCCGCCATCTTACGCTCACGTCGATCGATTCCAAGGCGAGCGCTTCTTCCGAGGTTGCAGGCGTAATCAGTTGACAAACGAGCGACAACAAGTGATGATGATGCACATCCTCGAGCTGGAAGATGTTGCCCTCAAGTCAGCACATGTCCGTCAAAACGCTCCATGGGTAAAGCGTGATGAACGAGAGTCGAGGCGATGCCGCGGAAGCGAACGGGGATGCTGTGGAGAGACTCTCGGGAGGCGGAACCAAGTTGGTGCATTAGTTACTACACAGAAAATACAGTGCTCTGGTGCCAGAAACACCAATATTATATACATTATTAGGTCATCCATCGTGAGCACACTGGGATCACCAGCTGCAATACAGAACGCACTCAGAGCGACGACGACGATAGCTGGACCTCTCTTGTAAGGAGCAGATCAGGTCGTGGCACTCGCTCATCAGCAAGCACTATCGCATGCGTTGCGAGAAAATCTGCGCCATGTCAGAAGATGTAGACGAAAGACCAAGTCCCTCGAAGCTCGCCGTACCGCCGACTCTTGACGCTTCACTGCAGACTCCCCTCTCCGCCGGCCAGTCCTTTCAACGAGCAGATGCATCGAGTCTATTAGAAGACGGAGACGAACTCGCTGTACAGATGACTCAGGAGGATGCTGCCCCAAGCAAATCTGTCAATCTGGCTCCTGCCTTCATTGGGGCTCCATGCGATGACCCGTCTGCTCAAAGCACATCATCAATTCAGGCCGACGAGCCACCGGCGGCAGGTTCCGCAAACATTGGCCGGACAAGTACGGTACCTTCCGTAGATCAGCTTTATGATCGAGGAACCCAGAGAGCGAACCCTCTCGAACTTCCCGGCATATCGGTTCCTGCACTCGCCCATCCTTCTCTCTTCATGGAGCTGCCCACGGTAAGTGCCATTGGTGACCGTGAACCCAAACGTGATATTTAAGCTCCCGTGCTTGTGTTTGCGCTCCAACTTCTTCGACCTGCAGTCGGATGCCATCGGTGCTCTCCTTGCAAAACATATTGCACCTAACCTGCGTCCTTCGCGCGACCTCAGCGGCCGCTGGCCACCTGGGGAGATAGCGAGCCTACCCACGGCGATTCACACCAATTCCTGGCGGCGCGTTGCTCAATCTGCGCGGTCGCATATCATCGCTTTCGGCGCCGCCATGATGGAAGGCAGAGGTGGCGCAGCAGAGATATTAGTATGGTGGAACGTACGGCTGCATGCGTTGTGGAGGCTCAGACTCCATGCCCAAGTCAGTAGAGAAATCGAGGCGCTATGGGGCGTGCTGGAAAATACAGTAATATCGAGCGACGCTTCCGCTCCTTCGCCAGAGCAACCTGACGGCCTTGAAGGGCAACGCACTCGTCCACAGCAAAGAACCCTCGTTGACTCTCCGATCGTTCCATTCGCACTACAAGTGCTGCGTGCGAAACAGCCACGTCTGCATGGTGAGCACGCTATTGCACTCGACCGATGTAGCGCGCTCTTGCGTAAATGTCAGGGGACTGCGAGGCGCTTTGCTACAGCCGCTGAAAAGTGTGAAGGAGATGCACGGACTACGTGCCAGAAGTGTCAAGTAATGTGGAACGACAGGGCCTCGAGAGTAACTTTGATCACTGCAAGTCTTTTGGTCGAGATCAAGGTAAGCAAGACTGCCTGCATTCTTTCCGCAGCTCGTCTTGGCATTACTCTGAAAAATTTTGCTCTATGCCGCCAGGACTACCGCTCAGCCATCAACGTTCTGGCACCGCTCCTGAGCTCAGCGAGCCCGGCTTCTCAAGATCCCTACTTTCTCTCTGGCATCGGCCGGATGTACTTGCAATGCGGCATGCTCCAGTTCGCTCGCCAGACATTCCAACGATGCAGCAAAGTAGCACAAGATAGCCTAAGCAAAGTTGACACTGTACCACCACGTCTCATGGAAGAGGACAGCGCCGCAGCACCAGCCATGAAACGAGCGACCCAGCTGCGCGCGATGCTCGCGACGGATCAAGCACTACTACATGTGGCGCATGGAGAGTTTAAGCAAGCTGAAGAAGCCTTACGACCACTTTTTCCCTCAGACTGGCGCTTGGCAGGACAGCACAATCTCGACCTTGCCAACCAGCTATCCAATCTCGCTGTCATCCTCTTCTACCAAGGGCAATTGGAGGAGCCCGTCGAGATGCTCGAGACTCTGCTACGTGATGGACCCTCTGCGATCAGCACCACCGATTCTCTTATCTTCAACTTGGTCACCTTCCATGAGCTGGGGAGGGACGACTCCATCATGGACAAGCGACGGATCCTTCTTGAAGTCGCACAGTGGGCAGGCGAAGGGATCAGCACTTCAGCCCTCAAATTAGCTTAGAATTGCAGACGCGTCGCTCATGTAGCGTCGCCTCAAAGCATGAGAACGATTGCCATACGAATGCACCATGCATCTTGTAGATTCATGTCATGCCGAAGTCCACTCTGCATAGTGTGCGTCTCGACTCATGAGTGGGGGCCTGAGCATAGTCTAAGTAACGAAGAAGCAAGCCGCCAGTTTCACGACCAGTCAGCAGCTCAATCAAGATTGGATGACTTGACATCATTCCTATCGCCGTTTGTTAGGGTTGTTATTAGCAACAGTCGATAAAAGGTCGCACGACACAGAAAAATCGTAGTTATCTCTTTCAGCGCAGAGACACCATAGTGTACATGTGACCGAAGCGCAAAGGACCAGCCGCTTATTTCAGTGGGATAAAGCGAGCCGCTGTTGCGCCGAGGCCTGGACGGTTGTGAACGCACGGCGAGTACCTTTAATTTGAACAGGTTGAGAGCATTAAATGGAGTCACATCGCCAGAAGACACCGATACAAAATGACTCACGTGATAGCAAACTCTCCGAGGTAGTGAGCGCACATCTCGGGCTTGATCTCGACAGTGACGAAGCTCTTGCCGTTGTAGACGCCAATGACGCTGCCGATCATCTCTGGGACGACAAGCATGTTCCGCAGATGAGTCTTGACAATTGCCGGCTTCTCGTTGGGGGCAGCCTCCTTCTTGGCCTTGCGGAGCTTCTTGATGAGGCCCATTGGCTTGCGCTTCAGACCCCGCTGGAAGCGTCTGCGTGCACGAGCGTGCACAATGCCCATGAAGTCCTCATTGGAAAGGTCGAGGAGCTTGTCGAGCTCAATGCCGCGGTAAGAGAACTTGCGGAAAGTCCTCTTGCGCTTGAGCTCAGCGGCCGCTGCTGGGTCGTAGTCATCCCTACAAGTGGCAAGACACGTCAGTCTCAAGTCATATGGCTCTATTTCTGGCGCGCCGACGAAGTCTCAACCCAGAATTCCCTCCTCACTCCGACTTTTCTGCCATCTGCATCGCTATGCCGCGAGGTAGAGCTGACAGCGTTGCAACGCAAAACAATGATCACCATGCGGCGCAATGCTTCACATTTGGCGAGTGCAATCTGCAACTATTCTCTTCAAATTGTGCCCTTCCGCAAGCAAACCCCATACAGGTCTTCCTGAACTCCCCGAGCGTTGACCAGGCTTCTGACGGGTCGATATGGCCGCAAGATGTGCCTTGTCGATGAAAGATGCATCCAGATCCAGTCCCACAAGCCAAGGGAAGTAGAAGCGCAGCATCCTTTCTATGCGCCATTCTCCATCCATCCCATCCCTCTCCGCGCGGCCAGTTGGATGGGCATGCTGCCGCCTGGTAACGCTCCTCTCTGCGTCCTCACAGGACAAAGCGTTGTTCGCTCGTTGTAATACCCACATGATTGCTGCTGGTGTCTGGACTTGCCGGTGATCACTAGATGGCGAATGCAGTCAAGCAAGGAAAGAAGAATGGGGAGAGGATGATGAATGCCACAAGTCACAGTGAATGCCGGACGGGTGTCGGTGTCGGTGTTGGTGGGTGGAAGGTGAGCGTGAGCGGGAAAGCGGCGCCATTGGCTCTAATTCCGGGGAGATTGCAAAGTGGGCGCAATCAATCCGCAGCATTATGGAAGCTGGCCCTGTTCCGCTGCTGTCGGGGCGCTGCATCGTTTTGGACATTGAAAGTTGCAAGGTATGCACCCAACTTCCGTCCGTTGCACACGCACGCATTCGTCAAGCAAAATTGCCGTTTAGGTGAGTCCTATTCGCGACGCCGTAATTCTGCTATTTCTGAATAAGACACCTGATTTCTCGGTCTTGATCTCTGCTTCTAGTCTGCAAGTCTTCGGTTACCGATCAAAGCTCATCGAGCGGATTTGCTGCTGGCTTTTAACGTCAATCCACAACATTTTTTAACGTCAATATGAAGCACATCGCCGCTTACCTCCTCCTCCAGCTTGGTGGTAACGGGAGCCCTTCGGCCTCGGACATCAAGGAGCTCCTCGACACTGTCGGTATCGGGGCTGACACTGAGCGTGTCGAGAAGCTGATCAGCGAGCTCGAGGGCAAGAACATTGCTGAGGTGGGTGTTATTCAAAAGCTCTTCCCAGAGTCGATTTTGACTCCAATTTGGACGCTTCCCCATTTACTGACTGAATTTCATCGTGATACCCTGCTTTTCCAATACAACACAACAGCTCATCACTGAGGGTGCTTCCAAGCTTGCATCCGTCCCATCTGGTGGTGTTGCTGCCTCTGCTGGCGCTGCCCCGGCTGCCGCCGCTGGTGCTGGTGCTGCTGAGGAGAAGAAGGAGGAGAAGAAGGAGGAGGAGAAGGAGGAGTCCGACGACGACATGGGCTTCGGTCTCTTCGACTAAGTGTCTCGCATACTACCTTCCTTCAGCATCCCTGCACACCGGTGCAACCTTAATGGCACTAGCAGGACATGTGATTTGGGCTCGCTTCATTGGCTCTTTGTCAGAGCTTGTAAGACTCAGCTGCAACAATGCGATCTCTGCTTCTAGTGCCTCAAAAATTACAAAAGTTTGTTACATTTGCTGCGCTACCTCTACGCCTGTGCCCATATTGAGGGGGATTCTCGTGGCAAGTCGACATTTGAGATGGAGAGCGGAAGAGGTGAAAGATGAAGATCCGAAGCGAGGGTAACACGAAGCTTAATGACGAAGGGATGGAGGAGCAGCTATGCTTTGAGGGATTGCTGATGAATGACTGCGTGCCTATGCTCGCGCACGTGGCGAGCTCTAATTACAAACATGCTTAATCGTAGCATGATCCTGATCACGTGCCAGTACGACAGCGACGCTTCCTAGCATTCTCCGAACATCATGATGGTCGACGTCATGTGTATCTTCCACCTCACCCCATCGTTCGATCTGGCTTCTAACCTCCACCTCGGCTGCCCTGCTTGCTCCCTCAACGTCCAGGCGGCCCTCGACAAGCGCTAGTGCGATGAGGAAGGATTTACTCGTCATGACTGCTCGTTCGAATGCGGCAAGTTGGAGGGGTGAGAGCGTGGAGATATGCTCCAGTAGCCGCTGCTTGGTTGCCGAGTCTTGTGCAGTTGAGATCGTAATTCCATCGTAAAGCTTGATTTCAACGCCGAACCGTTCCTTGACCCATGCCAGGATCGGTTCCCAGTGCTCTTTCTGCAAGCGCACAAGAACGGGGGGCTTTGATTCGTGGAAACAGATGGTGTCTGTTTCGAGGTAGCGTAGAAGGTCTTTGCAAACCGCTTCACGCTGTGAGGGGCTGGCCATGCCATCTAACGCGCGTGCAGCGAGCGAGGTCTGAAGGACAGAATATAAGCAGCGTGCCCGAGGTATTTCAACATGTGCTTGAGGCCCCAAGGACAGTTTAGCCACTAGGCTCACCAATGGAAGGGCATGCGGCCTTAGCACGCGATCCTGTTCGTCCCACTCCTGAGCGATCAGGGCTGCAAGCAGGGGCCTGTCCACAGGGATTTTCAACAGCGAGCCGGCAGGGGTCTTCAACGAGCGTGAGTCAAGTTGTACCACCAGGGGCTCATCTTGTTCTTGCGCGTTGTTGCCTTTGTTTCGAGCGACTGTGACTTCTTTCCAAAACCGCCGCATGCTTCGTTCTGCCTGACTCGTGGCCGAATCCTTGAGTTTGGCGGTCACATCGTCAGACACCTTGCTGGTGACAGTGCCTCGATCAAGGGCAGCACATGATTGTGAAAAGACGCGATGCTGAAGAGCACGTGGTCTTGACCTTATCGCATACGACAGTTGACCAGGAAGGTCAGAAGCCGAGAAGACAGACGTGGGTACAAAGCCTGTACGACCGGTTCTCAAGCTGGAGAAGCAACAGCACCTCCTGAGTGCAGCAGGGGTAGACATTCTGCAACTCAAATTCGTTTGCTCAAACACAATGTAGAGGCTCGTATGGACATACCCGCTCTTGAAGGTGAGCACGAGAGATCGAGACGTGCGAGCGAAGAGAGAGTGGCCTGCGAGTCTGTGATGCAACCAGTTTCGGAGGCACCGAGTTGTCCTCCAAAACATCCATCGCGTCGCCACACTCATTGATATCGCATGTTAGCATGTGTGCTCCCGATGGTGCATCACGCTGCACGAATTGATCCCATTCATGGACGCAGTACTGTAAAGGCACTTCCGGCAGACATAGTGTACAGACGCATGCGCTCATAAGGTGGTGACTGGAGGTTCTCACAAGCAGAAGTTCAGTAAGCACTTAGGGCAAAGTACTGTGTACCAGCCTATTCTTTCGGCCATGGTCGAGGCGCCGCGGACGACAGTGCTGGTCGGCGAGCTGGGCGAGCACTCTTCTCTGGTAGAGGCACTTTATTGGCTGCGCGTCCTCCAGCCTGCCGTGCTCCTACTCGTACTCTTGCTATCGGTCGTTCTCGGCCCTAGTCGTAGATTCTTCGGCTCAGCCTTTCGCCGTGATCGGTACGCTCAGCTCACCTTCAATGACGAGGAGGCTCCCGAAGCTGGCTCAGCACTTGCCGATCAAGATGAAACGCCGCAACCCACGCCAGTGATAGTTCCTGTTCGCTCACGGAGACGACTCTTGACGCAATATGCGCTCCTTGGACTGGCAACAACTTATCTATCATCAGGAGTTCTCATCGTTCTCAGGGCCGTTCTCCCCAATTACTCTGACCCGGGTCACCAGCATGTCTGGACACCGGACTTGCTCCTGTGGCGAGGCTCGCACCTCCAAGCCGTTGGCGGAACGCTCGCATGGGCGGGTATCGCGCTGGCGTTGTTGCTGGAGGAGCGCTCCCGTGGCATGAAAGGCTCTTATGGTCGAGGGAAAGCAGCATGGTCGATCCTGTTTGGCATGGCAGTCGATATTGCGGTGTTCGTGCTGTACTTTGTCATCAAAGGAGGAGGACGCATGCTGCCAGACACGAACGCCTGGACGATCGTCCAGCTATGCATCATAGTCAGCCGCTTCATCCTGCTCTACCCGGCGCTCTTCATCGCGCTCTGCTGGGACCAGGTCAAGTTTGTCCGCGCTACCGAGATTGCATCCCAGCAATCTGGACAGCAGAATGTTGATCCGTCCGAGAGAAACTCGCTGCTGAACCCACGCTCCGCAGCGCTCACAACGAACTATGGCGCAGCAGGTCCATCTTCGTCGGCTTCGTCTGCTGACAGCACCAAGAACGGTAGCAGCAAACCCAATGACGGTCGCACTGCTGGCCAAACTGATCTCGGGCTCTCTGTCGCCGCGACGCCGCCACCCCCGACGCTTCGTGTCTTCATTCAGCGCGTCACCAAGCTCTTCCCCTACCTCTGGCCGTCAAAATCGCCTCGTCTACAAGCTCTTGCCTTGCTTTGTGCAGTCGTGCTGCTCATCGCACGCTTCGTCAATTTGCTTGTGCCGCTTACACTCGGCGCGATCGTCGAGGATTTGGGCATGGGTGTGGCCCCATGGTGGCACATTGGGCTTTTCACCCTGCTCAAGCTATTCCAGGGAGGATCCGGATTCCTCCGCTTTGTGCAATCTCAGGCATGGATCCCGGTCATGCAGTACAGCGATAGAATGATGAGCATGATGGCCTTCGAGCACCTGCTTAATTTGTCGGTGAGTAGGTCTTGAGGCGGCAGGAAGGGCAGCATAAATTCTGATCCTCACGTCTTAAACGTTCAGATGGCGTTTCATACGAAGAGGAAAACTGGAGAGGTTCTCCGCATTCTTGATCGTGGCGCCGCGATCAACAATCTTTTCGAGTATTTGTGCGTCACGAAAGGCGTTCCGGTCCCGCCGTCTGTACAATTTGTTCTGACAACTTGCTGATTTGCTCGCCTGCAGGTTCTTCCAGCTCGTGCCAATCTTCATTGACCTGCTCGTTGCAATCACCTACTTGACACGTGCATTCTCGTGGCGGATCGGCCTGACGTTATTCATCATCATGTACGCCTACGTTTGGGTTTCTGTCAAGCTCACCGCATGGCGGACGGACTTACGCAGGCGGATGAACAATCTCGACTCCGTCTCCCGTGCGCTTCACACTGACGTTTTGCTAAACTGGGAAAGCGTCAAGTGCTTTGGAAATGAGGAGTTCGAGGCGGGTCGGTACCGCGACTCTCTGATCGAGTACCAGAAAGCGGCATACCAGGTGCAAGCCAGTCTCAATGTCCTGAACTTGACGCAGAACACCATCATTTGCGTGGGAACCCTCATCACAACTTTGATGGTGGCGTCATCGGTCGTGCGCGGCCAGACAACGCCTTCTCAATTCGTCGTATTTATCACGTACCTGCAGCAAGTCTACAGTCCTCTCAACATGCTCGGCACACTGTACCGAGTTGTACAACAAAACTTCATTGACACGGACAAGCTGATGGGTCTCCTGGATGAACAGGCAGAAATCAAGGACGAACCTGATGCAAAGGAACTCGTCGTCACAGAGGGTGTCATCGAGTTCCGAGATGTGCACTTTGCGTACGAGTCTGGCAAGGTCCAAGCACTCCGGGGGCTGAACATGATGCTTGACGCCAAGTCCGCCTGCGCCGTCGTCGGCGAATCGGGCGCGGGAAAGTCGACCATCCTTCGCTTGCTGTTGCGCTTCTACGCCCCTCAAAGCGGCACGATCTACATTGACGGTCAGGATATTTCCAAGGTCACGCAGAAGAGCCTGCGCAAGGCGATCGGCATCGTTCCACAAGATTCATCGTTGTTCAACTCGAGCATTCGCACCAACATCCTTTATGGCCGTGTCGATGCCACAGATGAAGAGCTCGAGCAAGCTGCAAAGGCTGCCCAGATCTGGGATAAGATTCAAAGCTTTCCAGATGGGATGAACACCGTTGTCGGGGAGCGTGGTGTTCGCTTGAGTGGTGGTGAACGGCAGCGCATGGCAATCGCACGCGCATTTTTGAGAGGATCGTGAGTTTCAGTGAATCGAGTTGCTAATGATTTGAATAACAATTCAGGTGTTAATTGCCTTCGCGCATGTTTCCTACTGCCAGACCGCTACTCCTGCTCGACGAGGCATCTTCTTCTCTAGACTCAGCAACAGAACGGTCGCTACAAGAAGCGTTGAAAACTCTCTTGCAAGGCCGCACGAGCTTGACGATCGCGCACCGACTCTCTACCATCATCAACTCGGATGTCATCAATGTCATCTCGAACGGCCGCCTCGTGGAAAGTGGAACGCACGAGGAGCTCATCGTCAAAGAAGAAGGCACGTATCGGCAGCTTTGGTTGAAGCAAGTGCAGACTCAGAAAGAAGCAGAGGCAGCGGCGGCTGCCGCTGCCCAAGTCAAGGCAGAGGCAGAGCTTGAACCGTTGACAAGTAACCCGACGTCTCCGAAGTCGCCCTTCGCGGCAGCCGCCGTGCAGGAAGCCCAAGCAGCATCGAGCCGGTCCAAAGTCTTAAAATCACTGTCCCCGCCGATGGACTTGGCTAGCGGTACGGTGCCCCCTGCACAAGTAAATGACGTGTCAAACGATTTTCCCGCTCCGAAGGGGACTTCCGCAAGAAATGACGGTCCCGTAAGCAGGGGAAGACGTAGCGAAGATTTGAAGGAAGACACCATCAAGGCAGTAACATCTCCAGCACCAGCGCCTGTTGGTCAGTCAAAAGGTTCTTCAGCCGATTCTGTCGCCTTCCCACGGACTTTAGAAGAAGCTGCGGGAAAGAAGCACCCAAACAGCCAGTTCGTCGATGGCCAGCCAGCGCCTTCTGGCGCCGAGGTGGATCTGGAGAGAGGCAACACGAGCGTGGACATCCAATCAAGCATATCTACGCGCTCCTTCAGGAAGCGAATCAGCAGCCTAATCAAAGGCCAACCGCACTCGGTGCAAGACGCCAGCAACAGCGGATCCGTTGGCGATCACCCTGGCCACTCATCGCAAGGGACGCTGGACTCGTCTGCACCGACAGGTTCTACATTTACTGCGGGAAGAGGAGCGAGTTCTCGGCGTAAGAATGACAAGCGAAAGGTAAGCACAGCTGCTTTGGCGTGGCTTTTTTCGAGTTTGTCGCTGAACCATTTATTTTGCAGGGAAAGGGAAAGAGCAAGCGGTGATGCGATGTGCCTTGAATCTGTTCGGCATCGGCGAAGCCGTCGACGAAGCGTCCATGAACGCGAAGACTGTGCCATTGTAATTTGCTATCATGATTCTCCTATGGTGTTCTGCTACTTTTTCGCCGCTGTCGCCCCTTCCTCATCCTTGGGCGTGTAGCCCCTCTCGACGACCTCGACGAGCGCGGCCCTACGCACCCACCTCCTGCGACGCGTGTATCTGCCAAGTCCAGCCTTCTTGCTCATCTTGTCCCATGCATTGTCACCGTACTGCCATCCATCAGGATCGACGTTCAGCGTATCCGCACCGCTACCGTCTTCACCCGCGCTGCCGGTGAAGGTGGACAGCGCATCGAGCGTCTGGGCGCTGCTGCCAGCGTTGGCCGCCTTGGTCGGGGATGTGGGCGGGCTGCCTGCGGGGCCGGCGCCGCCAGACCTGCCAAAGCGCCCGCGGAGACTCTCGCTCCAGTTGGACGTGAGGCTGGCGGACAGCGAGGCACTGTTGGGAGACGCGATACCCTCGGCAGCGGTGATGAACCCTGCGCCAGCGACGGTCCACTCTGGGTCGATCCACTGCCACTTGACGAGGCGCCGTGTGTGCGCGCGCGGATTCGCCGTTGTCGGCGTCGGCGTCAGCGTTAGTTTCGCAGGCGGTAAAGAGAAGGATGGAGGAGGTGAGACGGGGTTGTTCTGCTCGTCTGCCCTGTTGTGCGCAGGCGCAAAGGCGGAAATGGAAAGAGGTGAAGCGAGGAGCGTCAGAAAGAGTGACCATCGGGGAACCATGAAAGGCCCATGCCCGGCCGACTCACCAGCTCGGTCGCTCCTGTGGTAAGAGCGCAGCCGTCCAGTCGAGACCGACCCACCATCTCTGATTCTCAAAGATGGAGAACTGATATACGACATCCTCGTGCCGCTCGATCTTCTTCTCCGCACCGTTGGTACCGGCCGCCGCCGTTCCCGCCATTGCCACCGCATCTGTCGTCGCCAACTCGGCGGTGCGCAACTGCGGTGTCGGCAGCGGACTGGTGGAAATCTGGAATGGGTCGAGCTCCAGGCCGCCTTCTCCAGCCGCCGCCGCACCACCGGGGCCAGAGCCAACAACAGCGGCAGCTGCTGTTGCGACGTGCGTGCGCGCGCTCGCCGCGCCGAAGAGAATGTCGTGCAAGTGGTAGAAGCGCATCCGGTCGCGGCCGTGCTCATCAGTGTACGCCCAGTGGCCGAATGTCAGCGCGTGCAGCGCGCGGCGCGCAAGGAAGCGGACGAGCGCGGAGCGCCAGAGCGCGTGGCGCAGCAGTGCGGCACAGGGAGAAGACCAGGTGAGGAGGAGCGTGCCGAGCCAGAAGAAGGCAGAGGAGATGGTGAGCGAGAAGAAGGGGTATGGCGGCGCGAGCGGGATGATGAATGCTGCGCGTGCCGCGGACGATGACGCGGAACCGCTGCTGAAACGAACGGCGACATACTGCGCGATGCGGAGCGAGTGCAAGCTGGCGATGTGGAGCAGCTCGGCGAGGCGCTGCGAGAGCGGATGCGTGGCGAGCGCATGCCAGTGCTGCTGTGCGTGGAGCGCGGCGGCGTCGGCGCGCGCGAGCAGCGCAGCACCCGTGGAGTCCTGGCTGAGCAGACCGCGCGCGAGCAACTCGGTGTTCAGCAGCAGCATGCGGCCGAGGCACCACCCACGCGCCACCGCGGCGCCGAGCAGGCTCCAGATGCTGCTGCCGGGGAGGACGAGGATACGGGCGCGCGGCAGGCCAAGCTGCTCCCACGGCAGGAAGCAGAGCAGGTAAAACGGGTACGTCACGAGCAGGAACGAAATGGTCGCCAGCGTGGCTGACGGGTCGGACCAGTCGAGCAGCGACTTGATCGGACGCAGGAGCAGGTTGAATGCGCTCCCAAAGAAGTCTGCCAGCTCTTCCACCTGCCGGATCGTCTCGCTGATCGTACCGGCGTTGTGCACGCGGAGCTCGCGGCTTCCGTGGGTGGCGGAGGCGAAGCTGACCGAGTCGCCGCCGACGACACCGTTGATGCTTGCCTGTCCGCGCTCGCTCCCGGCCTTGTTCGCACGACGCCGCAACGGCGCAACATGCAGGCGGAGGTAGTACCACGCGATCGCTGCGAGCGGGAGCGCCTGGGGAGCGTAGCGGAGGACGGGGTAGGCGTACGTGCACACGGCCCACCAGGCAATGAGTAAGAGGATACTGGCGGAGGACGTGTGCGGACCGGCGGTCCAGCTGCCGAGGCGGATGAGCACGGTGAGCGCGTGAATGACCGGTGCGAGCAGTGCCAACAGATGCAGCACCTGCGGCGGGACGGACGAAAGGATCTCAATGTCGGTCAGCGGGCGCTTCAGGTCGGCCTTTTCGCCGTGTTCCCTGCCGGCGCTGACAGGGTAGGAGAAGGAGGAGAGAGAGGCGGCGCTACCGAATGCGGGGTTGTTGGGGAGGCGATGCAGCGTTGCGCCGAGGGCCGGAGGTGCGGTCTGCGGTAAGGTCTGCGACGAGAGCCGCCGGGCGGTGCTCGCAGAGTCGTCTTTGCCGTGTGCAGCAGCGAGCTGCTCGCTGTCGCCAGCGGTTTGCGTTGCGGAGGCCATCCTTCCTTTGCGTGGCTCCAGCACTGTGTTATTCTCGACGTCCAACTGCCAATGACCATGAAGATGAGGACAAAGTGCGGCGACCGAGTGCTGCTGGCGGATCAAGCACACACTCACTGCATGGGACGACGGCTCCCTGTGGGCCTCTGATTAGCGAGATGTGTGCTCGGGTCTGATGAATGTCCAAGATTTGGTCGCTCGCATACCAGCAAGCTGCACACACTACCATGCACACTCGCAGCCCAGCCCAGCCCAACGCGGGTTAGACTCTAGAGGTGTCTGTCAGCAGCCGCTACTCTGCTGCTATGAATACTCGGATCCGCTCTCCCAGTTGTACACCAAGGGAATGGAGGTGGAGCGAATCCGAACCCATCCACCGGCTGGGACGGCTTTCACACCGGCTGGTCATCCATGGATAAGTAGGGTTGGTTCGGTGATGGGCAGCAACCCTACTACTGTCCTCGCTCTCGGGTAGTCCGTCCGCAAGCAAGTCGCCCGTCACCATCACCATCGCCTCAGGTACACGGCACGGCACACTGCACGCTGCATTCTGCATACTCAGTCGCTTGGAGTTCTCGGCTCACCTCGTGCACGCAAGCAACTGAAAGTGCGAGCGGCCCAGGCAACACCCAGCACAACGCTGCCGGTCGCACCAGTGTTGGAACACCATGTCGCGCATCCTCGTCTCCGACCTTGCCGCTCTGGCGTCCGAGACGAAGCGCAAGCACCCAGACGTCCGCGCGGCCTGCGACGCCGCGCTCACCGTCCTCAAGCGTGATTCGGACCATGCGCTCACCCTCGCCGCCAACGATCCTGGCCCCGCTGTGGACAACATCCTGCTCCGGCCCATCCTGCTCGCGTGCGAGACAAAGATGCCCAAGGCACTCCCCCTCGGCGTTGCACTTCTCCAGAGGGTCATCTCGATGAATGCAGTGCCAGAGGTGCGTGCGGACGCAATCTTGCACCTGCAGATCTCCCCGCTGACCGGTGCTTCCCCCTTTTTCCCCTCCTTGCAGCCCTCGCTACCCATTATCATCAACCTCCTTACTCCGCTCTCGCAGCGCGCAAGCGACGTCGACGTGCAACTCAAGCTGCTCCAGACCGTCGCCGCGCTGCTGTCGACCTACCCGCAAATTCACGACGAGCAGCTCGCTGACCTGCTGCGTCTCTGTTTCGCCTACCAGGAGAGCGCCAAGGTCGCTGTCGTCAGCTCAACAGCAGCTGCGACGCTGCGTTCGGCTGTCATGACTATCTGCGACAAGGTCGTCGACGAGGACCGCACCCTGGACGCCATCGCAGGCGGCGGCGAAGATGCAGCGGCCAGCGCGCCGCTCTCCGCCATGACGCTCCCGCTTCCCGGGTACACAGAGCCCGTGACGCTATTCCCTTGCTCCAAGGACGCATATCTCGTCTTCTCCAACCTGCACCACCTCGCCACCGGCGAGCCGCACAAGGCCACCTTTCTCGCGCTCCCACACTCACCACGCATCACCTTCTCCCTCGAGCTCCTCGAGTCCGTCTTTGTGAACCACGCACCGCTGTTCCGATCATCAGCCCCCGCCACCCATCGGCCGCAGTCAGCCCATCACCCGGAACTACAGATGGTGCTCAAGCAGATGACCTGTCCTTTGCTCATCACTGCGCTTAGCAGCAGCTACGGCGTCGAGCACGCCGCGGGTGGGCTCGCGTTCAGCATACAGGTGCGACTCATGCGCCTCCTCTTTCTGCTCCTGCAAAAGTTCACGCCTGAGCTGGACGTAGAGGCCGAAGTGCTCATGAGCATCCTCCTTCGGCTCTTACCCCGCTCCTCCAGTGGCGGCACTGCAGAGGCCGGCGGCAGCAATAGCACCAGCAGCAGCAGCGGCGCGCCAGCAGCGCTTCCTTGGCAGCGAATCTTGGGACTGGAAATCATACGCAGCCTCACGACGGATGCCGAACTGCTGCGTCACCTCTGGGCGCGATACGACGATCCCAACGCGCATGGCGACGACATTCGGCGCAGTGGGCAGTGCGGGGAAGATGGCGGCGGCGGAGACCGCATAGACGGCCCGCCGGCCGGGCTCGTCGCGAAGATGGTTGAGGAGCTGCGTCGCGTCGTCACGGAGGACTCGTCGCTGATTGATCGGCGAATAGTACGGGAGCAGCTTGGCACCGCACCCGTAGAGCCCACCGCAGCGGGCCGCAGCTCGGAGAAAGCAGCAGCCGGGGGTGCAGCAGCGTTCTACGAGGCTGCAGCTGGCGCCGTCTCTGGCGTTCTTGGCTCTGGCTCCGGATCCGGCTCGAGTTCCAGCTCCCTCTCCATCGGCACGATTCCCAACGTGCAAGTGATCGACCAGCTCGACAAAGCTGATGCGCCATCTGCCGCGCCGGCGTACACTTACGTCCTGGCGCTTTATGCTCTTATCAACGTTGCAACCTGTGTGACGAACCAAGTGCTGCCTGCATACTCGGCCTTTGTCAATTCGCGCCCCAAAACGGCGAGCAGGGCCCCGCCCGTGCTCGATATTGACGCTATGCCATCGTCTACACCGTCGTCGCCCTCTCCCTTTTCAGATGCGGTGCACAGTGACAACAGCAATGGGCATAGCAAAGCGGCGATTCGTGCGACGAAGCGCGTGGTGCAGACCATCTGGCCCGCGATGCTCGCCTCGTTCGAGTTTGTCCTCTCCACCAAGTGTGATGACGCTGTCTTCGCCGAGGCGCTCGCCGCGTGGCGCAACGTGACCAATGTCGCTGGCGTCTTTGCGCTTGTCGAGCCACGCGATGCGCTCCTCCATGCACTCATCAAGTTTGCTGTGCCCGCCGGCATCGTCGCGGCTGCGCTCGATCAGCGTCGGTCGTCCACGTCCGCCACCACCGCCGCCGCCGCTGCTGCCGGTAGTGGCGCAGGCCCACCGCCCTCTTTATCCATGCCCGGCGCAGAGACATTGGCCGGTTCAACGAACGGCGCTACATGCGTCGGCCTGTCCCGTCGGATCATGGCCAGCCTCAAAGCGCTGATCCACTGCATCTATTATCTCAGCGGGAGTCTCGACGAGTTCTGGTATCCAGCGCTCAACGCGCTCGTCCAGGCTGAATACGTTCTGCACAAGATGCGCAGATCGTTATCCTCCGCCTCAGGCTTCCGCCCCGCGGCCCCTCCTCCTGCTCCGCCTGCGTCGCCGTTCGCCGTTGCGCCCGTCGAGCAGCAGTCGGGAATTCCGCTGGTACTCGTCGATCTGACGCCTGATGAGCTGCTCGCCGACATCTCGCACATTGTACAGAATACCGCTGCGCTCGACCAGGCGTCCTTGACGCAGTTCCTCGCCTGTGCCTGCCAGCTTAGCGCGCAGGTGGCCGGACTGCCGCCGCAGGACAAGGCATCAAAAGCACCGCGAGATGCGTCGTTGCGTCTGGCGCAGAGCAAGACGGCCCTGCTGGATCCCAAGGGCAACAGTATCATTTTGACGCACATCGCCATCGCCTGGGCCCTCAATGCGGAGCGGCTGACGATTGGCGCCCAAGGAGCTGGCTGGAGTGTAGTCGTACAGCACATCTTTGCCGTGCTGGAGTACGAAGAGGCGCAGCCGAACGTGCGCATGCAGGCGGCCGCCTCGCTCAATAGTATCACTCTCGACGCCATGGCAGCGTGCGCAAAGCAGCAGCACGCAGAAGCGCGCATGCGCATCCAACAGCAGGTGTTCGAAGCGATCGAGCGCCAAGCCATCCTGCACCATCGCCGATCTTCCGTCTTTGACCTTGAGATCCGGCGTCTGGCCATGGAAACGATGCTGAAGGTTCTTGAAAATTACGGCCACGTTCTACAGCATGGCTGGGACTCGATCTTCGCGTGCTGCAAAGCCGCTTGCGACCAGGCGCAAGTGAAAAAAGGGGCTCTCGGCACAGCGCCACGTAGTGCGGTGCCGCTCATCAAGATTGCGTTCGCCGTTGTTCAACTTGTCGCTTCCGACCTGCTCACGTGCCTCTCTGAAGATCAGCTCAGGGCGTGCATCGACAACTTTTCCGATTTCGCCCTGCAGTCGGAGGACGTCAATGTCTCCCTCACCGCCGTTGGGGGGCTTTGGGGCGTCACAGCTGACGTCATGCGCCGCTCGCAAGAGCAGGCCCACTCAGCTACCGAACTCTGGATGCATTTGCTCCAGCGCACTGCGGACATGTGCTTGGACGCCCGCTCAGACATCCGCAATGCCGCTATCAGTGCCCTCTTCCGTGTACTCGAGCAATACGGCTCGTCTTTTGACTCGACGCTTTGGCAAAGCACCTTACTCAAGAACTTATATCCTTTGCAGAAAGCTCTCGCGGAAGGCCAGGAAGCAGCAGAGCGTGCCGGCACTGCTGATCAAGCGGACGACAAGTGGAAAGAGATCCTGGGAGAGGCCCAGAGCGAATGGAAGCAAAGGGTCGTTTCGAGGTCGCTCTCAATTGCACGTCTCGGCAAAGTCTTTGCTGAATATCTCCCAACGAAAATTATCTCATGCCCAGACTTTGGCGGCATATGGGCACAGCTGATGCAACTGCTGGATGAGACGTTCCGCGCTGGACCGACCAACCTTTCCCAAGCGGCAATTGAAGCCAAAGTGACCGTATTGAATGCCGAGGTGGCCTACGAAAACGACCAAGCGGAAGCAAGACACCATGCAGCACATGGCGTTGCGTGGAGGCATTGGGTCGGCCTGACCTCAGATGCACGGTGCGTGGATAACATGCCATATCTGTCCCAGAAGAACATGGTCGGCAATGTGAACGTTGCATCGGCCATCTACAAGCGTACAGCTCACGAATTCGACGTCGGGCGCCTTCGTACTCTATTTGATGGTCTCAAAGCGCTTCTCACATTCCCATCGGCTGTAGACGCGCCGCGAGACGTCGATGCTTTGACGCCATTGCAAGCCGCTGTACGTGAATTGATGCTCTCCATCACACCTGTACTGGGCTCGCGAGCGCTCGTTTTGACCGAACTGGCGCAATTGAGCACGTTGGCAGTTGTCAATGATGACGAAACAAACTTTACGTTTGTCGCGCTTTGCAAGACATCGTTGCAGGACATGCAGCGGCTCTACGAGCAGTGGCATCAAGAAGTGGAAGTGTACACTGACGGTGCGCTTTCTGCAATGCTGGCTGTGAGTCGAGGAGTGTATCCATGGTTTCTTACAACCCAGCTGACCCGTTATGCATTGTTAGGCGCTTGCTATTCCGATGCAGCTTCGATACGGTTGCCCATCTTCGAGCTCCAATGGGACACTTCCACCCCTGTGGAAGATTGTCACTGTGGTCGCATGTCGCATTTTGAGTCTAGCGATCGTACGCCTAAATACTAACCAAAGCCTTCCGCAGGAAGGTTTCACAGACTGCTGGGTGCACATCGTTGCGCTCTTGGAGGCTGCTCTATCACCTCGGGTTATTTCTGACACATCGCAGAACTACGTCCAACTGCAGGAGGACCAGGTGTTTGATTTACTCCTGCTCTCTACCATCGAGCGCTCGGTCCTCAACGCCATAGGCACGGAGAGAACGCCCGATGCGATCATCGATCGACTTGCACAAGCGCTGGTGACGGCCAGTGAGCTCTTCGTCCGTGACCACCTGGGTCTGGACGAAGCCGGCGGTCGGTTGCGCTCAGACGGTGATGGCGGGACCTCAGGACATAAAGCGAAGCAGCTTGGGACATGGAAAAGGCCAGCTGGGCTTACGGTTCCAATTAAACCGACACCGCGCGAGCTGACAGCGTACTGGACTCTGGATTTGCTCTTCTTGGCATGCTCTCGAGGCTCCAAATGTGAGTCTGGTCTGGATGCTCCGCTATGCTCGTGAAGGAGGACCGTGCTGACCGTTCCGACACCGCAGTGGACGCGCAACGTGAGCGAGTCAGCAGTCGTCTGCTCCCTCTTCTGCTCGACCGCTGCAAGTCCACACTGCAAACTTACGCAGCTGATTCTTTGCTCCACGGAACCTCGCCACTTCCTCGAATCCGAAGTGAGGAGCTCAACTATCTGCTTTCACGCCTCCTCGACCTTCGATCTCCTCCTGGAGCGATTGAAAGCTATGTCTCTGTCAGTCATCTCAGCAGCAACATCATGCAATCGGAACGTGTCCATCTGCTACCTCTATTCTCCTGTCTGACCGACCTGCTCGCGCTACCGCGCTCCACAAGTGACTACCTCGACAAGATTAGCATCGGCACTTCCACAGCGCTTGCTGTCCCCATCACCCTTCCGGAGGGATTCGAGCTCGGCACAGTCGGTGCTACGAAGAATGTGCTGCACAGCAACCGCATGGAATGGGACGAGCCGACGATGTACGACGAGCTGTCGAAAAAGTGCCTTGCAGCCATTGCCGGGGCCCTGGGTCTTCCTTGATCACGTTTCTTCACCTCATTGTAGCATACAACTCATTTTGCGATTGCATAATAGATTTTCCCTAGGCTTTTATACCCGTTACTTCGTCTTTTGCGACGTTGATGGAAGAAAAAACCTCAATAGTTCGAAGAAGACTGCGACGCCACATATGCGGTCAATCACTGGCACTGCGGCCCGATCAACCATAGATCGCACTCACCGCCTCCCACCACGACAAAGATGAACAAGTACAGCAGCGCTGGGGGGACCTGTATGAATATGCAAGGGAGTTTTGCCTTTCAGCCCTTTTGCTTTCTGTTCCGAGCTGGAGCAGCGGTTTTATCACTCACGGGTGACTTGTTCGCCGCCCTCTCCGCATATGACGGTCGCTTCACCTGCTTGCCGGCGCGTGCTGTGGCAGCATTCTGCGAGATCGAAGCGAAGCTGCGTGAGCCCAGAGCTCATGGTTTTATTTGTGAAGTACTCGCCCGATATACGGCGCTTATGTACTGCTCACACGCTGATTCTTTGCTCGAATGTCTTTCCCAGTAGGCTGCGCCGGCGACAAGGAGGCAATCATCGTGCATGAGCCTCTCCATTGGAGCATCCACACATCAGGATTCATACCATTTTGGGCCGTAGTTCCTGGGCAGCTTTACAGTTCTTTTGAGACGTTCACGAGGGACGCTGTCAGTTTAGAATACCATTGGTTATTTACGCCGCCGTCGTCCCAGCAGATGTAGATTTCTGCTCTCTGCCACGTTCGCTGTCGAGGTGATGCAGTCAGTACCATTCCACGTGGGGCTTGCCCTGGAAACTGGAGCGCTCACTCGCGGCTGATGTCTGGACTTGTCGGAATATACGGGGAAACCCCCGTAAAGAGGATGGCCGCGCAAAGCATCGGGGATTCTGCACGGCGAACCGGCAGAATTGGCGCTGCCGTGGGTGCATTCACTCTATTTGTGACTGTTTTGCCCAGAACGGAATAAATGCTGGTCTAAATCCCCATTCCAACTTGCTAACACCGTACATACCGTTGGAGTCAAAAGAACAGAGAACCGGGAGACAGAGCGAATGATCATCGCCGATATATCAGCTCGATTTGGATGTCCAAACAGGCTAGGTCTACATCCAGCACCTGACGCCTGCAACCATAGCATGGAGAAGCAAGCCTGGCCAAGGCTATAAGTCCCATCAGCTTGACGCTTTACAGACCTTACAGCCACCAAAAGTGACCTCAGCGCCTTTCAGACCGGCCGAGCTTGCTTCATCCAAGTTTACCAAGTCCAACTCCGCCTCGTCGCCACCGTCCCTCAAGCTGAAGGTGGACGTGATGAACGCAGGATCTGCACAAGGCTCGGCCTCTCTGGTGCCAATGCCGGGTGTGGCAGTTGCAGGCCCTTCAAAGCGGCCTTCACAAATGACTGCGGCCGAGAAGCAGGCTGCGAACCTTCAGAAGCTCATGGCAAACCCCGAGAAGGAGGTGAAAATACCAACTGCATCCACAACTGAGAAGCAGCTGCGCCCACCAAAGGAGATGATGAAGAACGTCAGTGGTAGCAGTGCAGGTGCTGGTAGTGGTGAATTTCACGTCTACAAGCATGCGAGGCGGAGAGAGTACGAACGAATAAAGATTATGGAGACAGAAGACCAAAAGGTGAACCATCACGCGCGAGTCAATCGCCTGATAGTGGCTGACACTGCCATTGCTGCCGTACGTCTTGCAGAAAAAGGAGAAATTCGTCTTTGAACAAGCACAGGCAGCGCGTGAAGCGGAGCTCAAGTCGAAAACGTCCAAAAATAAATCACGGCGGGACAAACGGAAAGTGGCGAAACAAAGGGCAAAAGTGGGTGCCGATGGCGCTCCAGGTGCCCAATCGGCAGTATCTGACAACAAGAGGAAATTGGATGGCATTGATGAAGGAGCGGATGGCGATAAGAAAAGGAAGGTCGCGCCTGGTGCGGATGCACTGACCTACTCGCGGCCGGATGCGGAAAGTGACAGCGAAGCGGAGTAATGCAACCTATCAGGCCCTTATCGACTCTGATTACGGACCGTTTTCTTGTGGTTCACTGCGATGGGCGCTTGCCATCCCCAATAAACCGAGAAGAATGCTTCTGATAATCAGGTAAAGAGATGCGTGCATACCCCGCGTCAGCGGGAGCGTTTCAACCGTGCAGCACGGGTATAAAAGGCCGAGTGCAATGTTGGTTACATCTTTTCCCGATGTCCACTACCTAATGTAGTGGCGGTACTGCAACGCCATCGTGGCGAGTGAGGTGGCTGCGGGCACACAAAAATGGATGTCGTCAGATATTGGAACGCCCAATCATGTCGGTCACAAGCTTGAACCCACAGGCAACGATGAGAGGGCTGATTATGCCTGCCGTGAACTTTGCAGTCTTGAACGCGAGTACCTCGCTACCAAAGTGTCCGAGAGCGATCACATACGTCCACATACACGCTTCGTAGATCCTACACAAGGAGCAAGTGCGTATGCAAACTCGTGGTTAGTTTCATGGTCGTCGCCGTCAGACATGCGAACGAGGGACAGACGGTTTCGAATGGAGATTGTACGCTGCGTAGAACCGTACAACAGCCGACAAGAGGTTCCACGTGCCAAATGTCCTGGCAGATAGTGGGGTAACTGCCATCGTACATATAAATGGAGGAAGCACGTTAAATGGGCAACGCGCCACGATCGTCGCGCCGTTTTCACAGCTTACCTGAAGCGCCGCCACTCGTGTAGACCTTTCTGCTGAACTGATAATCGATATAATTTTGTACGCAATTGAGAATCGCCAGCGAGCTGACGAATAACAGCCATTTGCCCAGCAGGCTTGGCGGGATCCCTGGCATGAGCAACGGGATCAAGTCAGCCCAAGTTCGTCAAAAGTTGATAGCATGGGGATTGGTTTCCCTCTGGAGGTGCCTCGCTTATTGCCTCCATGCGGTCATCGAGCAAGGCCACGGCTTGTTTGTTCTTCGGTTATGAGAACGCCATACCTACAGGAGCTGGGCGACGAAGTCGAAGTAGCCGCGAAAGACGAAGAGAGCTTGTCCATGATGGCTAGGGAGCGCGTGCACTAGTTTGAGAAACGTTCTCTGACAATCTCGGCAGGCTGGGACGTTCCAGGCCTATTCCTTTTTGCAAATGAGTCACCACATATACTGGCGACGAATTGTACGTTCAGAACAAGCAAGGAGATTGGTGCGGCGCTGTACGTCGTACCGTTGTGGCCATGTGAGGTGTGGAACATTTAATGAGACACGGAACAAGAATGACGAAGGTATGGAACGACCATGTCTTAAGGGGCCATGTTTCCGTAAGTGTACTGGTTCGGGGCAATTCAAGTTACTTTCAACGCAATTCAAAAGAATGAAATGAGCGAAGTGAAGATCAACCGAAAACGTGTTTGAGGTAAGACGGTTCATTGCACCTGTTCTATTACAATTACACCGGCAAGCAAACGAAGCTTGCGAGCCATTTTAGATTGCAAGAAAGAACTTCGGATATGAGCTCTTCAACCGCATGTGTCGGCACTGACGCCCAAGGCGACAGCAAAGACAGCATTCAACTTCCCAAGCCGTCCAAAGCGAAGGAAGAGCCGAACGGTTGAGGCCAGACAACGCCCCCATTTTTCATTTTCTTTTGTCGAGCTTCCAAGCGAGAGCAGCTCTACCTCACGTCCATGCCAGAGGCTGGCCTTAATAGTTGGCATCGAACAGCTTAATCCCAAGTCGTCGAGGGCTGCTGAGCAGCGACCTCAACCGGAGCGCTAGCCTCCCAGCTGGGACCGCCATCTGCAGCCCAGTCCTGGTTGGCCGTGTCCGCGTTCCAGTCGACGTTGGCGTCGCCAGTGGGAATGTTGGCCGCGAGGACGGGGTTGAGAGTGCCAGCAGCACCGCCAGTTGCATCCACATTGTAGTCGAGGTTGGCAACGTCTGCCTCAGCACCGGCAGCAGCAGCCTTAGCAGCAGCAGCTGTGACAATTAGAATGATTACGTCAGCTTGAAATCCCTCAGATAGGAGCATATGCAGCAATCTCACCCTCAGCCTGCTCCTGCTCAATCTCTTGTGGATCACGGTAGAAGAACATGTCGGTCATGATGCTCCAAGGCTCGTCACGGCGGAGCTGGCCCTTGAGGCGAAGGACCTCACGGCAGAGCAACCACCAGAGGAGACCGATGGAGTGCTTAGCCTTGTTGTTACCAGGGATGGCAACATCAACGTGCCTGAGCGGAGCGTCAGCATCGCAAAGAGCGATGACAGGGATGTTCACGTAAGAAGCCTCGCGGATGGCCTGGTGGTCAATGCGCGGGTCCGTGACGATGATGACACGGGGTTCCTTGAACGAACGGACAATGTAGTTCGTGAAGGTACCAGGAGTGAAGCGGCCGGCAATGGCAGTTGCGCCAGTGTTGGAGGCGAACTTGAGAACGGCACGGTGTCCGTACTGCCTGCCACTGATCACACAAATATCCGCAGGGTTCTCAATGGCCGCGAGAATGCGGGCAGCGAAGACGATCTTCTCCCAAGTCTTGCCTAGGTTGAGAAGGTGAATGCCATCAGCACGCCTCTTGAAGACGTACGGCAGCATAGCCTTCTCGACATTCCTACATGGAAGAGCAAGCAAAGGGAGGCAGGAATGCAGGGTCAATGTCTGGTATGCCACCTGCGCACTTCAGACGCAACGTGCTCACTTGGTGCCGATGTGGGTCTGGGCCGCGAGGAGGAGGTTAAGGTCCTCCTCTGTGGCGTTGAGGACAGCTGGGAGCTTGGAAGAGGCCATTTTCGATGTGTTGTTATGGACAAGTACAACGATCAAAGGGGCGTGTGAGGGAAGCAGGAAGACAAGGTAGGCCGGATGCAATCTGAAAAGAAGTTGCCAGACAGCACCCGGCGCAAAGCTGTTGGCTGAATGTTACGAGCGAGAAGTCCTGCTTAGGGTTCGTGCATGTGGAGGTCCTTTTCCGCAGCAGCTTTGTCACCGCGACAAATGAGATCACGTGAGTGCTTTTGTTTCCTCAGTGTGACCAGAGTTCCCTGTGATTGTAACGCGGTCGCTCGTTGAGCGTTCCTGTCTGTACATGAGCATTATGCATCAGGTTTTTGGTAGGGTGTTGTGACTCCCTGCGCCGTTCATGAGGCGTTTGACAATGTGTAATGGGGAGTGGTCTTTCGTCGTGAGGCTATGGATTGGGCTGCAGATGCAGGTACATACCACGCCGAATGCTCTCGAAAAGTGACGCACACTCATTTCCTTAGCACTGAGCTTGCGCTATGTAGCTAAAGCTGAAGTAGCAGCCTCTTCTCATCTGTTCGTTGCGCTCATTGGTTCCAATCCGTTCATGTCGAGAAGTCATCTTAATCCACTCCGCAGGCTGATCACATATGACAAGCTGCCCACACTTTCTGAACGGTACATCCGCCATATAAGTGACCGGTGGCTGCAGGGAACCACATTGCGCGTGGCTGTCGCGTGATGAGATTCGGGCAGTGGCCAGCGTGTGTGTGTCGGCTCAGGGTGGTGTGTGGTGTCTTCATATGCTTTCATTCAATGATTCGAGTTTGCAGGCCACCTCATTTTGACGAGCTTGCAGTCCCTTGCTTGAAGTCTGCAGGTGGGAAGGGCAGGCGACCTTCACTGCAAAACAGGCCGTCACCCACTCGCACAAAGCCGCCAAAACACCTGCATGTAGCACCTCAGCCAAAACCCTCGAATTGTGGCCACGCATGGCGCCAGTTGATGAAGCTGTTGCTGCGGGCTGCCAGCGTCTTTCACTCATTTTCGCCACTTCGGTCAGCCACGTTACAACTGGTTGCATCGATCGAGAATGCGATCCTTCACATTCCGCCATTCTCCTTTGTGTTTGCCTGGCCTGGCCTTTGCTTCAAAGTTCAAACAGTAAACCCACACTTTTGACCGACAAACAAAATCCACAAGTGACCCTGCGGCTTGGTCTGGCTTGGCGCAGGAAACCTTTGAAACCTGCGGACGGTGGCTCACTGGGAGCCGACACTGCGTGTTTCACTCACTGATGCTCACCAGTGACCAGATACGCGGTAACCACAGTTCCCATGGAAGGCAACATGCGCGGAAGAGGCGAGATTGCAGGTTGGCCCCGCCCGGCAGTTATACTAAGCGTTTACAAGAGATTCGAACCTCCCAGCGTAACTGAAGCTGAATAGGATATGCATTGGCACTACCCAATCATCGCCGCACAAAGCGATCGAGCTTGGCGCGAAAGAGAAGCTGGGCTACTCATTGTTCTTTCAGGAGACGGAGGAAGTGTCAAATATATGCGCCACCATTTCTCCAGCTTTCCATTCATTCCCCTATTCTATTCAGCTCCTCCATCTGCATCAGAATCACCTTGATCCTTAAGCTATTACGTGTTCACAGTTGCAACTCTCACCTGGGCGAGAGTAGAACGTGGCATTGCGCGCCGCCATCATGGATACTTCATCTTCTAGCAGCCAGGCGCAGCTGGAGCCATCTCAAACCGCAACGTACCCATTTCCTCATGGCTACACAGAAGTCAACCTGAACTGGAGACCGAGGACTGCTGCAGGTTTTGAAAGCCCTCGTAGTGCTTCCAGTCAATCTCGGCGATGTATTTCTGGATCAAGCGACCTAACCATCAGGACTGATGCTGCCTGCAACGTGGGTTGATGACTCACCCTGCGAGCAACTCCGCCAGATAGCACCGAAGCGAACAGATACCTGACACTTTCCCGTGTGCCAGTCACGCACGCCCTCGAGCTCAACACACAATCTGCTCGGCTCTCTGGGTAGTCCAAGCTCTCTGCATCTTAGAAAGGAGAGCCGCTTTGGTAGCATGAGTCCACCTTCGCGTTCGTCTCCATTTGCATCAATGTCCTCATCTCGCAGTCCGACCGCCAGCAGTCACGTTCAAGGCATAGGTATTCGCGAAACCGCCTTTGACGGCCATCGTAACGTAGGGTCAACCTCGCGCGACATCTCTGCTGTCCCGAGCTTGACGGTCACGCGAAACTCAAGCAATACACTGCTTTTTGGTATGTTCGACTATGAAAAGGAAGCCGATGATGCATTTCATGATCCAACGGTAGAACCGAAAGGCAACAAGACTCTCGCTACGACGAGGGGCTTGATGAACCTTGGAGCTCTCGCCTTCCTGACTTTGGGTCTGTGTATGCTATTTGCTGGGTGTGTGGTACTGGACAGTGACCAGGGATGGCTTTTGCGTTCACGGCTGACGACTACTGTCTCTAATCGTACAGTTATCCCATGCTGGTCTACCTACGGCCGAGAGACCATAATTTGAGTACATTGAACAACACCGGGCAAGTCGGGGGCATATCTGTAAGCTCTTGCACCCGTGTAAGGACAACACGTGTCGTGCAGGCCCCGTATTGACGCTCGCCACCGTGTTGCAAGGGCGTCCGCACCACTCTCATCGACCCTGACACACCCGAATCGGTGTACACGCGCACAAGTGTAGATGGAAAAACTCAACTGAAATTGGTGTTCAGCGACGAGTTCAACATCGACGGCAGGACATTCTGGCCCGGTGATGATCCATTTTGTGAGCTCATCGTGAACCGTGGCAAATCCCAATTTCGCGTGCCTGCACTGAAGAGGCGTTTGTTCCTCCACCTAGGGACGGCGGAAGATCTCCATTACTGGGTGAGGTTATTTCACGCAAGTTTTGCTACTATCAACCTGAATATCTGAAGCTGACGGTCGCGACTGTTCACCGCAGGCCACCTCCGACTACGAATGGTATTCACCCGAGGCGATCACAACCGCAAATGGATCGCTCGTGATCACGCTGTCCGAAACACCCACGCACAATCTCAACTTCCGCAGCGGCCTCATGAACACTTGGAACAAATTTTGCTTCCAAGGCGGGCAGATCGAGTAAGTCTGAGAGGTTTGGTTGGCATCTAAAGTGGTGTCCTACTGACCGTGCCCCTGGGCGGGTCCGTTCGCATTTTTGCCAGAGTCCGAATTATGTTGCCAGGGCGACCGGACGTGATGGGCCTTTGGCCTGCCGCTTGGACGGCTGCAAACATTATCAGAGCAGGATAGTGAGTGGATGGTCTTGTGACGTTGCGGGTCGTTTTGACTCACGCAGTGGGGACTGCCATCAGTGGAGCAACAACGGATGGATTGTGGCCGTACTCTTACAATTCTTGCGACGTTGGCACCCTCAAAAATCAGACATACCCTGCAAGTCAGGGTGGCGGGCCGCTGGCTGCTGAGACTACGGGTGTGTATGTGGAGCAAGTTAGTACATTTTTCCTGTGGAACTTCGGATTATTCAGTGGCTGAAATGAAAGAGTGCTGCAGTATGGACCGGCACTAAGCTATCTCCCAGGCCAACGCCTCAGCGCCTGCACTTGTCCGAACAGCGATGACCATCCAGGTCCAAAGAACAGCGACGGCACCTGGGTCGGTCGTTCTGGCGCCGAGATCGACATCATTGAAGCCGCAGCCCGAGGACAGCGCGGTGCAAATGGCAGCACGTCCATGAGTCTCCAGGTCGCGCCTTTCGATGCGGGCTACTGGCTTCCAAACTCGACGAGCGACTGGGCGACGTTCTACACGCCTAACACAGAACCGAACGAGTATCGAGGTAGCGTGTACCAGCAAGCTGCTTCTGGTCTGGGCAACACTTCGTACGAGGCTTATGAGCTAACAGGACAACAATTCAGCTCCTATGCCTTCGAATATATCCCTGGTACTTCTACTCAGAGCCATGTCACGTGGCTGATCGATGGCGAGCGACAGTGGCGGCTAGGGTCAACTGGGCTCGGGCCTGATGAGCAGACCGAAATTGGGCCGCGCGTCGTACCGACCGAGCCGATGTACAGTGAGCCTTCCCCCCTGCGCTTGGACTATTTCAAGCACCGTCGAGCTATGCTGACCTCATATTCTCATGCCAGTCATCCTTAACCTCGGCATCAGTCGAAATTTTGGTGAGCTTGCTTTCGCAGCAGTACTTCGATCTAACTAGGAGTTGATCCATTATCGCGGGCCCATGGCAGTTTCGATCGACTGGGAGAATTTGGAATTCCCTGCGCACATGTACGTAGACTATGTGAGGGTATGGCAGGATCCTAGTAAGATTGCTGTTGGCTGCGATCGTGAGTATGGGTATCGTTGTCGTTGTTTCCAACTCGCACTGATGAGATAAATCTGTCCTTTTCGTTGACCTAGCGGATGATCACCCGTGAGTCCTACCTCGTTCCGCCCGGTTGTAGAGCTACTTCCTGAATCTAATATTCGTTCATTTTTCTAGCACCGCTGCTTACATTGAGAAACACTTGGAAGCGTACACGTGAGTTCTGACATCGAAGGCAGGAGGGGTAGCGGCTACTGAGACTAAATCACCATTTACCTTTTAAGAAATCCGAACCTGACGACTTGGCAGCGTCCTCGCTCTGAAGGAGGTTACGGTTCGAAAGTGTGAGTGTGCTGTCGCTGCAGTTAGGCCTTTCACTATGTCTGACTTTCATCTATTGCTCCCAGACCGGGCAATTCCCTGCTGGGACAATGTTAGACTGCATCGATCTTAGGACTTATCATACGTTCATCTGTTTAGGCATGCAAACTTCTAAATTCATCGCAGTCTGCACTATTCTCGCGACTTGGTGAGCAAGCTGCTTCTACACCGGACTTGGGCTTCTCGTTTCGCCCTCTGGAAATGCGCGAGGCAATGGGAGCATGAAAGAGCAGCGCTGGAAATCGAGCACACGGGGATGATGCAGAGAAGTGGATGTGCAGCCCGGCCAATGCACCGTCTGATTCGTTACTACTTGGAAGGATGAGAATATGTATAGTCATACAGGCGTCTTGACTTGTGCGTCTTCTTTCATTTTACTTCTTTCAGCCAAGGAGCGCTCGACCCAGGCAGCCATGTCGACCAAGTCGCCGCGCATCACGTCATCGCGAAGGAACTGGTGCTCGAGCAGCTCCGAGTAAGTGGCTCTTCGCCCTGGCACTTTCTCGAGACAGCGAGCGACAAAATCCTTGGCAGTTTCCGAATACTCAAGCGGTAATGTGGGTGGGTCGCCGTGTACGATGGCTTGTAGTTGCGCAAATACGTTCGAGTATGTCTCGGGGGGGTATGGGTAGCCGCCCTTGGTGAGCTCCACTATTGAAAGGCCCAGGGACCACACATCCGATGCGACTGTGTAGGTCGCCAAGTTATTTTGGGACTCGCCCTTGATGCGTTCGGGCTACGCCACAATACGAGACGACGAAGTAACAAACCTCAGATGGACGAAAACGATGAATCGACTGGCATGTAGAATGTTACTCACCGCCATATAGCTTTGACACCCAATGTTGGTCTTTGCTAGACTCTTTTCCAGTTGACCGGACACGCCAAAATCGCATAGCTTGATCTCGCCTTTGCGATTGACTAATACGTTTGTCGGTTTTACGTCTGGTGGGAGAGACATAACGATGAAGAGTCAGACATTAGGCCCTCCGCTGTGCGCCAATTTGGGCGCTCACCTCGGTGAATGATATTCAGTTTGTCCTTCAGGAACCGCAGCCCTTTAACCATGTTGTTTGCAATTCTCGCCAAGACATCTTCCGGTACGCTTCCTTCTCCGTAGTATAGCTTGTCCAGACTTCCGGGGTTCATGTACTCCATGCAGTAATAGACACACCCTTCGATGAAGAATGCACCGTAGAACTCGACAATTTGCGGTGCTGTGGCTCGATGTAGGATGTCGAGCTCCGTAATGATCGCTTTCAATTTTGGATCATCGAGTTCGAGGCGAATCTCCTGCAAAAGCATTAGAAGCGTAAGCTTTGGGCCCTCACGCGGCGGGGATGCGTATTCAATTTACGCACCTTCATTGCCATCTCAACTTTGGTACGTGTATGCCTGACTTTCCGCACAGTTCCGTAGTTCCCACGACCTAACTCATCTAGCAACTGAAGATCATCCATGTTGATATTGAATGTCACTCCGTTCCCAAACTCAACCCCAGAGGCATGGAGAATCGCTTTTCCGCCAAAGTTCAGTCGGCCAGACGGATCGACAATTTTCGAGTAGCTGGAGAAAGCAGAACTCATCGTGCCGCCTTTTGATGCCACTGCCAGGCGACCTGGAGGCGCGAGCTTTCGACCTGGCCCACTGTTAAGTGGCTGTGCCCCTGCCGAGCCTGGACCCTTCCTCTTTGAGTCCTCTGTTGCATTCCCACTCATATCGCTCAACTTTAGCAATGGCCCCTTTCGCCGACCACCCAAGCCTCCAGTACTAGCTGCTGGAGCCGAGACACTTGCTATACCCGGTGGAAAGCTGGGTCGCGGCGGCGCGATGCGGGTGCTACTGAGTAGTGAAGAAGGGTCAATGCGCTGATTGGGGGCCATTGTTGTTCCGGCTGATGAAAGATTTGCGTTCTGCAGCCCATCCCGCACAAGTCAACATCAGCTGTCCTCGAGGTCGGTCGTATCGAGAGAGACTCACGGCTGCTAATCTGGCCTGCAGACTCGGTGGTATCTTGGCTCCACCCAGTTGTTTCGTGCGTTCGGCCAAATCTGCAAGGCCACTTTGCGGGCCACCTCCCCCTCCTGGCCTCCTTGGCGGAGGCCCTCCTGTCGCTGCCCGAGGGGGTGGACCACCGGTCGCCACCTGCGGTGGTCGTGGCACCGTGCTGGCTGAGCCTGTTGCTGATGTTAACACTGCAGCTGCTGGAGCCGATACAGTCCCTGACATTGTTGGTCGTGTTGCTGCAATCAGGATCAGCGCGCATTTTCATGAGTGTACGCACGTTAGATGGCCACGCCAGATGAGGTTGCACTCACCTTTGCTGTCGTTCCTACCTTTGAGAGATAGGTTCGACACTTGAGACTCGATCCCACTCGTGAAAGGAGCAGCTTGCTCATCGTTGCTCGACATGTTCTCAGTCGATTGCCCCGCTAGCCTTGTTCAAATTGATGGGTCACGTTGAGGGCGATTCGAAGGATCCCTGCAATCCAAAGAGCAGGCAGCCCGCAAGGGGTTCAGATTTGTTGAACGCGATGTACCGTGGCCCATCCTCTGACTATGAAAGTGTAGACAACGAAGAGCAGCAACCGTCAAAGGTTCAAGGCGACGTTTGTGATCAAGCTATCACCAACAGAAGTCCAACCTCCGGTGGTGACGGAAAGCCTGCCTGCTTGAGGGAGAAGGCCTCTCCGGGGGAATTTGCAAAATCTCCATGATCATGGAACTCTCCTCCCATTTTCAGGGACACTTCCCGAATCGTAACCCGAGCTGTCTACAGCCGGCGCACGCTTAAAATCTGCGGGGGCGATACGTGCATGATCCTTGTGTGCGCTGGATGAAGGGTCCAGCAGAAGTTGCCCCGTTTTTTTTTTCCGTTCCATCGACGATTTTGAACCAGGGCATAGGCACCAATGTCCCATTCATTCACGAAAAATGTATCGGGTTACGAGCGTCAAGCCGGGGAGGATTGCAGCAAACATGCCGAGAATCGCGAAAATGCACTTAACCCCCCGACCCACCAAATCACGTCTAGTAACGTCTCACGGTGGGAACGCGTCACGCGCGGCACACATGAGAGTCAATGAGAATCGCAGTTCGCGTCGCTCCTCCACAGTTTAGCGCTTGACCATACAATAACTTGTTCTCGACCTTGCATGGATGCAGAATTGCCACGCTCTTTCCTCGCATAGTGCATCCCTGAACGTGTTCCAAGTCACAAGCGGTTAGCCAGCTTGCTTTTGCTCAAGTTCAGCTGCACACGGGTAAGCTCGTGTATCATGCCGCCGGGGAAGCTCTATCATCAGACATCGCGTGAGTTGGGAGTGGGCAATTGCACTCGCTATACGCGCCCTCTCTCTTCTGGCTAATCCGCGACTTCCCTCCTCAGTCAACTTAACGAAGCTACCCAGAATACCACGAAAGCCTGACGCGATTGCTCCATCTGGTGGTGATAAAGAATCTAGCCCTAATGTTAAAAAGCCTCTCCCAGCGATGAACGGCCTGTCCGCAAAGCCATTAGCGACGTCTGGCTTACGCAAAGCGTCTCCCTCTTCAACCTCATTGCCTCCGCTGAACGGGAAGGAGGGCAGAGCAATTAATATCGACGACGAAGGCACAAAGTCAAAGTCGTTCGTGAAAACGAACGTGACCGCGGACTCGGAACTCGACTCTGACCTAACTTCCGAAGGCGAGAGCTCTCTCAGCGGCGCAGACACCGACAACGACCTTGACTCAGAGGACGAAGCTGATACGAGCCACGGATTCAGAACGGCCGACACGACATCGACCTCATACAATAGTGGCAACAGCGACGCGTCTGACAAAAAGGGCAAGAAACGGGCATTGTTGGCCGGCGGTGCGGTGGGAAGCAAACCCGTATCCAAGACGCCGAAGAATGCAAAGGCTGCGACAGGTGAAGCGAAAAAGAGGTCTGATGGCACGAAGACAGGAAAGAGGCAGAATAATCAAAAGGGATTCACCGGCAAAGACGAACAATTCTGCCATCAACATGGCAAGTCCAGCCTCTGCAAATTTCCTCTGATCCAGTGTACAGGTGAGTTTCCTTTATTGGACAAGAGCCATATTGGCATGCGCACGGGACGTCTCTCGACTATGGTAACAAATGGGTGCGGATAACATCGAAAAGAATAACGCGTCGCTGACGACCGTCGCTCATTTTGAACATTCCTGAACCGCAACCCGCAAACGTGCGCGCTCGAAAATATTGCTGACTGCGCACACAGTCGTGCGGGGTGGCGGCAACCGGTGCGCTTACTCGTATTGCTCGTATTCGCTCGAGAACTTTTACAACGAGGAGCTCGAGCAAATTCGAAAGAATGGTCGTGGCGACACAACCTATGACCCGGCCGACCATGTCGGGCCAGGTGAGGCGAAATATTTCTGGATTGTGAGTATTGTTGCCCCGAGTGGATCACCTCACTCGAAGGAGGCGCCCTGCTCAACTTGCGTTGTTCCTCACATTTCCTAAGTGCCCTCGTTGTCGGGGCGCTTGCTATTGCTCGGGATGCAGGCGCTTCAATGGCCTTCCTGCATTCAGCACAACTGAGCAGGCGGCCAAAGTGACCGAAGAGAAAGGCAGTCTGAAGGCTCACCTTGCTGCATCCCGCGATATGATGAACGGGGGAGTCAGAACGAAAAGTAGTAGTCCTAGCAAATCGGACAAAAAGGCATCATCGAAAAAGGTGGCTTCGAGTGCAAGCGTGAGCTCCAGTCCAATTGCCGGTGCCAAATTGAATGGCCACGCCGATCCAAAGTCTCCCGGCAAGCTCAAAAAGCAATTATTAAGGCCTGCGCTTGAGAAGGATCGCAGTAATCGCAAAAAGCTCACGAAGAAAAATATCGAGAGCAAGAAGCAGACTACCGGAGATGCCAACCTTGCGAAAAACAAAAGCAAGCCCACTGCTAACAAGAGCACAACCAGCAAGGCTTCTGCGCCTGCTAGCACTGCTAAAGCGAAAACTAAGAGTGGTCAGAAGCTTCGTAGAGGAGCATCGCCCAAGAGCATGAAGCGCCAGACACTGTTCCCGCGCAAGCTGGTCGAGCCGAAGAAAGTCGATGCGCCACAGCTTGACGTCATCCACACGAAACTGCCCAGCGAGAACATTGCAGCAAGAATTTGGCTGTACGAAACGCTGGTCCGGTTTGATGCCGTTGAGACACCTGCGTGAGTGATGAATCCAATTTCACAAATGAGATAACGACTAAAGCCTGCTCACGTGGCTTTGTCTTGCAGCAATGTCCTGAAAACCCTGGACAAGTTCGAATCCTGGACCCCTCGCTCTGTGCAGACGATTTTCGAACGAATGATCTGTACCATTGCTGGCTTAGGGAAGAACATTCAATCTGGTCAGCCCCGAGCAGGCTTCCAATCGCTCGTCAAATCCTTCAGAGATTTCGGAGGCGACAACAGCCGCGGAGAGCCATGGAAGGTCGCATGTCAGCTCCTGCAAGACCATGAGATCACCATCACCCCACTCCCGGTAGTGGAGCATGAATTCAGCATCGAAGATATCGAGGAACCTGCACCGCCTTCGCCAACATTGTTCACGCGTATGACCAGAGCAAGGCGTGCCGCCGTCGAGAACCGCGAGGTCAAACGGATGAACTTGCGGGAGGCCAGCGTCTCGAGCTGGGAGAGCGAAGGAGAGTCGGAGTACGACTATCAGGATGTACAGGATCAAGAGGATGGCGAAGAAGGAAGCAAGTTCAAAGCGACAAAAATCAAGCTTACACTCAGGAGAAAAGGAAGATGGTCGGCTTCTGCGGAGAATGCAGAAGACGAGATTCAGCCGCGTCGCTCAAGCCGAACGCAGCGCTTGCAAGAAGAGTCGGACGAGGAAGACGCTTCAGTTAGGGAGACGTCCAATGGTGATCGGGAAGGGGATGATGCCTTGTCCGCCGCAAGCGGTCGGAACTCTGCAGAGAGTGAATCGCCCTCCGAGAAACACGAGGCGAAGAAAGAGAAGACCAAGACTCCCGAGCCCGCTGGTCCGATTCCTGCTCCGAATTTGGAAGACAAGATTAGCATTCTTGTTGCGCTCATCGAACTTGTGCTCCAAGCGCCTGAAGTCAACAAGGACTTGCGACAGTGCGCCGATGAGATTATGGCAGTGGAGAAGGAAGCAAAAGCTGCACTGGGCCTCCTGGAGAAGGAGTACGCTGAGATCAACAGCGCAGTCCAGAAGAAAGCCCCCAGCATGCTAAATAGGGAGCTATTTGAAGCTTGGAAGAAGGAGGTGCGTCTGGTTGCGAAACTGGGCAGCTTGAAATCTGCTGGCCGGGACTGACATGCCTTGATCACTATATCACATGCACGCACACAGAAACGGATGGCCGACCGCAATCACAAGTGGGCTCTTCTCAACCATCGCGTTCAGCTCTACAACAACCTCAACACGCTCAAGTTGCGTACTGGCCCGCTCGGCGTCGACGTAGATGGCCGCGAGTACTGGCAACTTTCAGAATATGTAGAGCAAATGCCACGGCAGACAACTGGTCGTTGGGCGTGGGGAATAGTTGTACATGGCAAGCCTTTCCCTTCACCAGCCGCCATGGCAGCTGCCGCAGAAGAAGTCAGGAGAAAGGAAGAGGAAGCTCAGGAGGAAGCGCGAGCGGAGAAAGCTGCTGCTGAGGCTGCTGTGGAACACACAACGGATAGGGACGTGGTCATGGGGGATGATCGCAGCAATGGCACCTCTTCCCCATCAGGGAATGGCGCACTTCCGTCCGACAATGTGGTGGCTCCCAAGCAGGTACCTGTCGATCCGGAAGAGGCGAAGTTTCAAGTACGTGGCAGCGCATCTGCGCCCAGTACGCGTCTCCGCACCATGGTAGCCAAGCTGGATGTAGCGGCGGCGCCCGATCCCCGGCCGAACTGTATCGACTTGACTCCGCCAACACCTTCGGCTAGCCAACGCAGCATTTTGCAAGCCGACGAGACCGAGTCAGAGCTTTCGGAATTGAGCGAAACGGAGAGTGTGCGCTCCGTGCCGTCTTCAAGTGGCAAAGAGGAGCAATGGGTCGCCGAGCAGCCTGACTGCTGGCAAACGGTCAATTGGCCTTACTGTAAGTCGCCTGCGGTTAGAGTGAACTCAAGAGTTGCACAGGTGTGCTAAGAGGATTTCGATGTGTCTGTATCTGTTCCACAGGGATCAACCAGACTATTCTCTATATCAAATACAGGCTCGAAAAGGTCGAGTATGATGGTAATAAAGCGCAGAGCGAAGGCAAAGGTCCAACCAAGACCAAAATGCAGATCGCGGCCGAGCAACAGAAGCGACGCGAACAGATTGAGACCCTGTGCAAGAATCTTGAACAAGTGCTTGAGTACTTCGTGAGTCGCTTACTATTAAGTAGCACCAGCCGTGCTGAGCCACCAAGCTGAGTGCCTGCCACTTAACTCTGTTTTCAGATGTGGCATTTCGAACTTGTCACTAAAGAGGACATCCAAGGTGACAATGCATCACCACAGAAGCCAGCCAAGCAGGCTTGAAGGGAATGGCTAAGGCAAACATCTCTGCGGGCATCTACTGATCCTACGACCCACACTCTCACATGTACTTATATGCAATGAACAGTAGTATGCTACAAGATCGGCAGAAAAGGATCTGTCTTCAGAAGCCCCGCATCAATGTACCCCAGGGGGCATATTAAAACTGGCATGGCTTTCTCCCGCCGCATTCACAGGTGTTTACAAAGCCTCATAGTCGCCACGACTGCTACCGCGAAACCCTCCTGATAGTCCTCGCAGGGCTTGCTTGGCCACGTCTTGCAGCAGGAAAGGCGACTCGCGCCAGAACTCTTTGTGCGGGATCTCGATGATGCCGAATTGTTGGTAGTTGCGATAAGTGCCCAGCGCAAAATATGTGCCGAATGTGAGGAACAGCAGGAAGAAAAACCATGAGAAGAAGCCCCAGCCACCGTCTGTTCTAGGTTGAGAGGCATCGCCGTTTCCACGACCTGCATCGTTGCCATCATCACCGTTTCCATTGTCGTTGCTGGCGCACGCATACGGTGTGGACCAATCCAACTTGAGCTCGCCATCTCGCGCATCGTAATGTTCCCAGACGGGGTTCGCGCTCTGAAGAAATAAGGGAACACGACTTTCTTAGCAGTGAACAGAGAGAAACGCATGAAAAGAGAGAGTCACCTTTGGAGCCTTGTGATCGCATTTAAAGTTAATGAGAGTCTTCTGCTTTTTATCGGCGTATGTTGCTCCGTGGAGCCGTAGTTGCCACTCTTTTGTGGACAGACAAGCGCGTTAATGAGTTTAGCAGGTGAGGGCGATATCCGGCTGACATCAAGCAACTCACGCTCGCCTTCTTCAACCGTGTTTCCCTCGTCGGTATCCCACCGTATCGCAGTCTGTTCGCCTCCTTCTTTCTCAGGGGTGATGAGAGGTATCACCTGTGTGATACGGTCGCTCTCGCCCTGCTTGGAGTTGACCACAAGCAGACACGCCCACGACCCTTTTGGACATTGGTCATTTGCCGGGCTTCGCTCGTGGTAGTTCAACGGTTTGCAGAGATCTAGCGCCAGGCGCTCCTCTGTCTTTGTTGGTGGTGTGGCTTTTGTTGAGGAGATGGAGATTGGGAATGATATATGCGAAAGGTCACTGGACAATCAAACATGCAGGGCACGAACTCGAAATTGGGTTAGATGGCTCGCATAGCGGTTCAAGATGGAAGCATCAGCGTGCAACTTCTCCCTCACTAGTGCTTGTTGTTTACTTTGATATCCTTGCAAGTGAAGTGATTATGGTCGGTAGCACCTGCAGCGAGCGATGCTGCAGCCAGAACCAGTATCACTCGGCGTATCAGGGGGATCCTGGATCGCCCCCAACATCGCAGAGATGTCTTGATTGCCATCTTCCACGCCTCTCTCTCGGCACACACCAATCTTCGCGGCGGCAAGGTTGCGTCCAACGCTGCTACTGCCCAACGGGGAGCAGCAACATGGCATCATTGGAGGATGAAAGTCCTAAGAGTGGCCGCATCTCATTCAGTCGAGTATGGTATGATCGGCGGGATGCTCAGGCTGGGATGCGGCACTGCGCCCGTGTCGAATTTCCCCTCTCTGCACAGGACGCGATACGAAAAGGACGCGTCGTGAGTTCGAATCGTCGTCGTCGTCGTTGTCACCGTCGATCGGTGTTGGTCTCTGTGATCGTCCTGGATGTGCTGCTTTTGTTTCCAACAGCGCAAGCGCACCGCCCGCGCTCATGACCATTCTACCCACCAGGGCTAGGACTCTTGTTGAAGGTGATAGGAGGCCCATCGCAAGTCGAAGACTCGAACGGGCTGTCGTACTTCGGCACGTCGACGCGCAGTTGCTTCTTATCAGACGCGTGGCTCTAGCCTCAAGGAACAATGGCGGAGGCACTGTTGCAATACATTCATCATGGTGAGTTTGATGGGTCAAATGTCGTGACTTAATCCGATGCTTACAGATTGAAATGCACATCCGCAGAGCGCCAGGAGCCAGGCTCGATGCTCTGCGCTCAGCACTGTCTCAACGCCTTGCTACAGCGCAACATCTACGATGCCGCCCAGCTAGCCGACATTGCCACCCAGCTCGATTCTCTGGAGGCTGCACAGCTGGACATGAACGAATTCGCGCATAGACGGAATGATCAATCCAACCTCAATATGGACGACTCTGGCTTCTTTTCTGTAGGCGTTGTGGAAGCTGCGCTACAAGCTTGGAGCTTGAAGATGGTCCGATGGCGCAGCGCCGAGATGGTACCATTCCATTCAAATCCAGAGACGTCGCAGCTAGCGTTCGTTCTGAACTTTGAGTCGCACTGGTTCACCATCAGGAGCTTTGGCCCACGCGCAAAATACTGGTTCAATCTCAACTCTTTCTTCAAGAAGCCGCAGTATGTCGGCAACTTCTACCTAAGCGAGCTGCTGCGTGCGGCCGAGAACGAGCGATATTCCGTATTTGCTATCCGACCAGCCGACGACTCGGTCGGCGAACAATCTTTTTACGTATCGCAGGCTGACGAAGTGGCGGACGCCATCCCGCCGGAGATGGCATCTTCCTCCAAACCTTCTGGCGATCCCTCCGCACAAGGTCTGCACCCCGCTACCGAGCAGATCGACTTAACTGGCGACGACGACGATGCGGAACTGCAGGCCGCCTTGCAGGCTTCTCTGCGGGACATACCTGCAGATTCCGAGGAGAGTACCAGCGCAACCAGAGCCCGGCAACATAATTCTGCTGTTGATGCTTCAAGGACCAGCGCTTTGCGGACATCTGCATCTTCATCACGCTCAGGCTCACGCTCAGGTACCGCCTCTCCGCATACACCAGCAAACCGAGCTGGGCAACCCAGCGCTAGTGGCGGGCGGCGGAGAAAGGCTCACCGAGGAGACGCAGCAGGAGAAGATGCAATGCGAGGATCAAATGCAGTTGCGCCGAACAGTAGCATCAGCCGACTACCTCGACGAGGGCAGAACAGCTTCCTGACACACTCCACAAGTAGCACTGGCACATTGGGCATTCCGAACGCCTTGGAAGTAGACGAGAATATTGGAGACGGCACGTTCCAGGTCATTGCGTCCTCTTCACGCCGCTCGCCGTTTTTACATCCCGCGCTACGTGGGACGATTGAGGGTGCCGAAGCCGATGACGAAGAGGTGGACCTTCTGCACTCTTCGAGTGCCCCATCGCGTCCGCCCATGCGGCATGCTGTAGCACCAGTGATCGACGTCGATGCATTCGACGACGACAACGATTTAGATGAGCTTCTCCCAGGTGACAACGCCTCGATCGATCCATTCAAAATCCGCGGGGCGCCGGAAGCAAGTGCACTGATTGGCCCGGCGCGCGACAGGGTCTACGACGACGAGGATGCCGCGTTGCAAGCTGCGCTGGCGGCCAGCATGGGCGACACGTCCGCGCTCGAGCGGCTGCAGGCTGGTAGGGGCGGTGGCGGCGACAGGGACGTCGCACATGCCCGTGCGACGGCTGCGGCCGTCATAGAAGCGTACCACACGCCGGCACCCGACGATGTTGAGCGCATCTCGCGCATGCGTGCTGAGGCGCGGGCCAAGGAGCAGTTAGAGCGCGAGCGGGCGGAGCGTCGTGTGAGAGGCGAGGTGTCACCCGTCAAGGAGAGCGCTTCCACCGCTAAGTGTAAGACCACGGGCGAAGAGGGAGAGGGAGAGAGCGATGAGGAAGAAGAGGCGGAAGAGGTGGAGCAGATCAGTCCTGAAGAGATCCGCAGGCGCAGACTGGCACGATTCGGCGGTGCTTGATGGCGATTAGCTGCATTTGCATCATAATCCAGAACGTACAGCAGACGCATGCGGCATTTGCAAGTGACGACTGCTTGATTCTGGTCTCTGCATTCGTTGAATCAGCAGGTATCGCTGACGTGGCAACATTGCAGAGAATTAGATATGACAAGTGTGTACAAGTGTGTACGGCAAATTTCTACATGTGGAGTGCACTGCTTTTCTCCCGAGCTGCTCACTTTGCCGTACCGCCCGTCCCGGTTTCGATGATCTCCACCCAATACATGTCAGGGTCGTAGATCTGTAAGCAGAGCGATTCCAACACCGTTTCAGCCGGTGCGTTTTTCAAAAGTGCGGACGAGCGCAGCAAACTTACGAAAGCGATGTGGCGCATCTTGCCGTCCTCGGGACGCTTCTTGAACTTGACGCCCATCGAGTCGAAACGCTTGACAGCTGTTTGCAGGTCATCAACTGCGATGCATGTGTGGCCGAAGCCCTGCTTCTCCTGCTCATTTCCGTTGACGTACACTTGACCCTCTTGGTTCTGTTGATGCACGGTCCGAGCCAAGCAGTGGTGGCCTCATTAGTATCTCTGATGGTATGAGCTGAAGCCACTATTGAAAAGCTTACCTCTGTCCCATGGTTCCAGGTCAGCTCGAGGAGTGCCTCGCGCTCTCCGCGCTTTTCAACTTTCTGGTGCTGGTATCCGAGGAAGTAGAGCGTGAAGTCACCTGCATTGTGCCTGGACGTCAAAAGCCTCTCAGTTCTCTGAAAATACATGCATTCGAATGACCCTGCGCGTCAGACTCACTCGTCAATCAAGTCCATCTGCGTGGAACGAGGAGGGAGCGCAAAAGGCGAAACCCCCGATGAGCGAGGTCAGCTTCGCGCAGCTTGCTCGCGATCGGGCAGGGGCAAACTCAACTCACGCCAAGGATGTCGCAATAGAAGTGCAGAGACGCCTTGGGGTCCTTCACACGGATCATGGTGTGGTTGAAGCGGTACGACGCGGTCTCGGCTGTGCGCGGCATCTTGACTAATTCGCTGATGTACAATGACCTAAAGAGTGGATATGCTTACCTGGGCTTGCTGTGCAAAGAGCTGCGCGCCGGGGTGAACTGAGAAGTGATTAGGCAAGATTTTTTGATGCTGCTTGTGCGCGCAGAAATGCCTGGCTTGATCGTCGAAAGCAAACGAGGACACAACAGCGACAGCGGCAGCACCAGCAGAAGCGTGTATGACAAGACGGCGGTGTGGGCGTGCTTGAGGCTCAACGATCCTTTATGGAAGCAAAGGAAGGCCCCGTGAAGAAAGGAAAGATGGGCGTGCGCCTGGAGGATGTCGTGTGCAATCGAGACTTGCCATTCCATCACCGTTACTGCCGTAACGTCGTCGTCATCATCAAAATGCATCAATCCCGCGATCAGCGAAGCGTGCCTAAAGGCCGCTGCTGCCAGCGGCTCTTCTCTTTGTTCATAAAGCAAGCTCGTGGATCCCCCAACGTCAGGTGGCTCGTGCGCACAGCGCCCGCTGAACCTTTTTCCTTTTCTTTCTTTCTTTCTTTCTTTCTTTCTTTCAGGCAACATGAGCAGGTTTAAAAGAAAGAACTGCCCACCATCGTCGGACGACGGCCATCGCCGAGTCGGGTAGGCACGCCAGACTGAATGAATCTTGACGAGCACCCCATATGACCTCAAAGGCAGGCAAGGGCGCCGCTTGGTAAATGGATTGCAATTTCAAGAGTGTGCACTTCCTGACAGGTCGCGTTCGGAAATAAGAGTAGCAACGAGCCAGAGTGCCTTCGCAGATCCCGAATTGAAACTTTAAATGCTCAGTACCGCCTCAGCAATCCATCTGTGCCAGCCAGCCAAACTCTGCCTTGCGGATCCAACCGTGCTTTCTCGACGCTATCGCAGTCCCACTCTGCGTACTCCTCGACAACCTCTGGGGCGACGCTAAAGTTTTCGTCTCTCTGACCTGTGAGGATCGGCCGCAAGCTGGCGCGGTACGGAAGACCGTCGGATGTCGCGACGACGATGTCCAGGCTACTTGCCGCAGTATTGCTTGAGACGAGTCGCAGATCGTTGATTGCGGCTCCATTACGCCTCCAACAGCCCAAAAGACTCCGGGGTGTTGAGCGCCCATCCGTCGACGGTGCATCGTCTGTTTGCGTCGCCTCACCTTCGCGCGCGTTTCCACTTCCGGAAGAGAGTGAGGAGCTGAGCATCCGGTCGTCATGCAGTGCTATCACACCCTCTCTGCTGCCTGCCGCAATGATGTGCCGTTCGCTATCCCAATCAAGGGAGAAGAGAGGGCCGGGCGCTGATTGGTCCCATATGTCTGAAGCAGCAGGGGGCGAGCCAGGAGGGAATGCTTTGAGAGCGGGGATAAGTGCTGCACTCCGCCTGGCGCCCAGGTCATGCAATTCGATCCTCCCCGATGAAAGAGCCGTCGCAAGCAGTTTGCCTTGTGAGTTTCCTCCGGTTGCGTCCGCGGAGTGCCGTTGAAGGACAAGTGCATTAATGGAGCTGAAGCGTTCGCTGGCGAAGAGGCCTATCTGTTTATTAGCACCCACGTCCCACAAGCGAACAGTACCGTCTGCTCCCGCCGTAAGCACTTCTCTTCCGCGATCGATAATCTCGCTGCAGAGAATGGCGCGCTTGTGTCCTTTGAATGTGCGTGGATTCGAGTCCTCTAACGCAGAGAAGATCCGCGCTGTAAGGTCGGAAGAGGTAGTTAGAATCACTATGAAACATGAGTAGAGCCCAAATCAGCATCAGAAAAGTAGCGCATTTTAGTTAAAGAACATTTGGAAGTGCGTTGATGATAGCAAGCAAGGCATGGCACCTCACCCTCTCCGCTTGGGAAGAATCGGGCACTTCTGACGTCTCCAACATGACCCGTCAGAGGCAGCACCCTTTCCCTCTCAGTTTGCGCTTGTCTTGCGGCCATTTTTGCTTGTGCAAGCTTCTCTATCCTTTCTCCTTCGTCAAGAGGCTCGCCTGTAGTTATTGCCCTTGTGCTATCATCTTGTGGCAGCACATTCTCTGAACACCGGTCGCCTTGATTGGTGCGGCCGACATAGAGCGCACCATCGTCACCACCCACAACGTAGAGATTGTTCGAAATTGGACTGATATCTAAGGCCGATATTCCTGCCCGCGTCTTGATGCATGTCTGAATGTGCCTTCGAGAGAATCTGACCTTGGTTGGGCCAGCGTGTATCTGGTTGCTGCGCTTGCGTGCTGAACGGTCTTGCAAATTGGTCATCGAGCCATCGTTGCCTTTCGGAGTTCGGACAGTGAAGTCGGCCTACGTAGAGCCGGAGCAAGTGCAACATATTAGCATGGATCATTCCCTATCATCTTGGAAATCACTCACATATGATCCAGTGACCCTCTCAATCGCAAATTCACCATCCTTCACAGTGAGCGCAACGCCACCGGCAGTGTTCCTCTGCTCCTCAGCAGAGCCGCGCGTCTTGGCGACGCACGGCTCCAAAAGCAATTTCCCATGCACACTAGCATTGGGTGCATTTTGAGCGTAGATGGATACCCAAGCGGTTTCTTGCGGCAGAATGGACTGAGACACGTCAGCGAATGCAGCTGGATATGTCGGCTGGACCGAAATGTACGGGACGTGCGCCATCTTGCGGAGACTAGTACATGGGCGTCGTCCGGCGTACGGATCAGGGTGCCTTTTCTCGCTGGCCAGTAAGCTGTGAGCCTCGGCTGCGAACTCAAAGGGGGGGAGTTGTCGAATACAACCCGAAGGAGTCGCGCCGTGTTCAATTCGAGTGGCGAGTGACGACCGAGGGAGGCAAGACGGGAAAAGAAGCATTCATTCTTTTTCCAGAAAAACGCCTTTCTTTATATTGATATATATTTACATCGACTGACAGCTCCCATATTCAGTCACAGTAGTGGTCTAGCGGTTAAGATATCACTTTCCCATGAGCATTGGCGCCTGAATTGGCGAGATAAAGTGAGGGTCCCGGGTTCGAACCCCGGCTACTGTATTTTTTTGGTTCCGCCATGAAACCACTCATCGCTTTTCATATTTGCCAAAAATCCTTGATTTCTATTTCCCTTCAGCCCACGTAGAGCGAAGAGTAAAACGGTATGGCGTCCGGGGACACACGGGATTCCATAGCTCTCACCGTAATTTGTGTGGTGAGGGGGATTAGCTCCTGACAACTCTGACGTGTGGTGAGTGAATTCCACTTGATGGCGCAAGGTAATGGCTGCTTCAAATCTCAACTTGTGGAAGGCATCGTTTCCGTATGGCTCACAATATGGCGACTGCCAAGTAAAAATACACGGCAAAGAGAGCCAGCAGCAGTCCTAGATCCTTCAAAGCTGGAACCAAACCTGTCACTCTGCGCCGTACCTGCTTGGCACGTGCATCCCGAGCTCCGCTCCCCATCGTAGGTAGCAGCTTGTACGTGTCTGAGGCCTTTTTGCGATGTGTCGACAGTCGGAACGGTAGGACTTTGCCGAAAATCGATGCCAAGGTTGAGTTGTGTACAGCTGTAAGAACGAAGAGCCCGCATAATGTGAGCATCCCGTAAGCCTTGATTGACAAGCCGACACGGTCAGGAAGCAGACACGGAGTGTAGGCCATCGAAGGGTTGGTCGCGTCCTGCGTAGAGCTGGGCGCGAAGAGCGTAATGCGGGCAAAGCCTGGCTTGCGAACCCCCATGGTCATCGACATGCTCTTTACCGTGAGTTCTGGCAGATCTTCCCTGCCGAAGTCCTGCACAGTGGGGCCAAGTGCGCCTGAGGTACTGCTGGCATTGTGCACATACTCGCAGTGGTCGTGATCATCGCCGGAGAGGACTGCACCACCACTCCAGCCAATCTTCTTCACAATCCAATCTGAAACCGGTTTGCTGAGGAGGTTTTGGTACGTGTCGTACCTATCCGTGTCTTGATACAAGCCACGACTCGGGTGCTCCCTGCGCACTCCATGTTTGCGTGAGCGAGTTTCGATGTCGCAGTTGTTCTCAGCGATTCCTGGTGTCGGCCTCCAAAGTGGAACATGGCTAAAAATCACGCGTGGCCGATGCTGCTCCTTCGATCGCTCTTTGCTGAGTGACTCAACAAAGTCATAGGTGCTGGGAAAAGCTTGGCGTACGAGCTTGTCGAGAGGCTGTCCGTAGGGCGCAATATTCGGCCGGGTATCGCGCTGCATGGCGATCAGATCCATGGCGTCGAGAAGCACGATCTCGTGTGTGGTGGAATGCCCTCCTACAGACACATGAAAAACAGCATTTAAGGACCGCGTAGCCTTGGCAGATGCGGATGGGGTGACCGCTTGGAAGCGCTGTGGGCCTTGGCTGACCACAGGTGCCCCGTAGCGCTCAGTGAAGCGTCGTTTCGCGCGCGAGTCCGACTCTACGTCGCTGGCCTGCCCCATCTTTCGAGGAATGGGCACATCGTGATTTCCTACCGTGTAGAGGAAAGGAAGCTCGGAAGGCCTGGGCAGTAAACGAAACCGTTCATCGGCTGAGGAAGCACGGTGGGAATTGCGCCGACGTTGAGACCGCTGGAAGGGAAATAAATGGTCGAAGTGGTCGTACATGCGCACCCATCTTCAGATTATAGAGGTCAGTAATGGTTCATACTAGCTACTGGCAATGTCATTGTGTACTCACTCTTCGTCCGTCTGCGAGCGCCGCCCTTCATCTGTGAGGTCTCCAAGCCAGACAACCGCATCGACTCGCTCAGACGAGTCCGTGTCCCATTTTCGTAGAAGAGCACGGTAAACTTTGCGAATGTAATGATCTGCAAGCCATGGTGGGAGTCTTCGAAGCCATGGCGTCAAATTTGGATACGCATGCGTCCACAGAATTTGCGGGTCGGCGAGAACAAGTAGGTGGAAGGCTTCATCCGATCGCTCGTCTGTTTGGGGCACAACTGCTCTCTTCGTGCGTGAGGCTTGCGAGGCGGGCGTTAGAGATGGCCATGGACAGGAAGCGGTCGAAGCGGCTCGATTGAACACCTCGAGCTCGACGATCCAGATGGAGGTGATAATGGCAAGCCCGATGGCGTACAGATGCCGGTGCGGTGAGCGCCATAGCAAGGCCCTATCAGTCCAAATATTCGCGCGCTCGCGAGCCTGAGGATCACGAGCCATTGTCTTTCCCGCTGCTCTAGCTTTAAGTTGATGGCCGTGCAAAACAAGTGGGAAAGATGCGCTTTCGCGAGACTGTTGGATGAGTAAGATGGTGTTGCACAAATCTGTGGCGGATGAAGGCAAGATGAGGTGCTGTTGAGTTGAGACCTAAGAGCGCTTGGTCGTTGGTACGAGATATGAGAGTGGGGCGTTGGTCTGTCGTCATTCTGGGTTTGAGAACCGCCATAAATAATGACATGTGCCAGGACCCCCACTCTATCATTTCACATTCCCCATCCATCCTCAGTATTCAATTTGCGGCTCATCAGCTAGAGCGGCCCTGGGGAGAAGTTGCGACAAGCATATTTTCCCCTACACCAGAGGACGATCCAACACGCCATGGAGTCAGTACTTTACGGACCACCGCGCTTGGCGAAAGCCCCCGCACGACATTGGATCACTTCAGACTTTCGCGATGTGGATGACAGGGTTCGTGGCGGCAGTTCTCGGAGCACACTCAGGCTAATCGGCCAAGATATAAGAACATCTGTCACGCCTGATGTCAAACGCAAGGAGAAGGCGAAAGAGCCTAGTGAAGACATTGAGAACATTGGAGAAGTTGTCTTCGAGGGCTTCTTGGGTGTGTTGCACATTCTGTCCCAGCATTCCCATTTTGCATTCGTCATGCTGATCCTGTATTTGCGCCAGACACGACCACATTGGGGGGTGCAGGATTTTCCTCTCAGGTTTGTTCAACCGGGTTCCCTTGGAGCGTTAGCCAAGAGCAATTTCGAGGGCTTGCTCTACGATATCGGCAGCCGTCTCCGTCAGTGCAGCCGGAAGAAAAACAACCAGGAGGCGGGAACACGCCAGTGACTTCCTACGTTATCCAACTGAAGATGGCCGTGCCGGAGAGTCGACCAGACGGAAGGAGGGAAAGCGTTGTTGCATACGAATGGGAGTTTGACACGAATACTGCCGCGGCAAAAGAAACGCCAGTAGGTCAGCTCGTTCGGGTTGCTGCAGATTGGAGTGCCTTTCGGCCAACCTATCGGGGCAGGCCGAAGGATGGTGCAGAACCTCTCGATCCTGCCAAGGTCAAGGAATGGAGCATCATGGCTCGTAGTAATTTCGGCGTAAGTGAGCAGGCTCAGTGATAATCGACCTGCCTCTGAGACCGTATCCCTTCCCACAGTCTCAATCTGGCTCATTTCTGCTGCAAATTGCTGCACTTTCAGCCATTCATTCGACTACAAATCTGCTTGCCACAGGTAAAGAGACCAACAAGAACCTCATGCACCCTGTCGACCGTACGTCTGGCGAGTACTACGGCTTCGCGCTGTTCATATTTGCAACTGTCATGTGGGCGCTTTGGTGCTTATGGGCGCTACTCCCTGACAGCGCTCTAAAATGGCTGGGAGTGGAGTGGTATCCTAATAGGTGAGAAAGACCATTGGTACTTCCGGGAATCAAGGAGAGCGTCGCTAAATTTATGTTGTCGTCGCTTCAGAGAATGGGCGTATCTCATTCCAGCTTGGAGCCTCATGACGGTATTGCTGACGTACATTGGGTTCATGGCACTGAATATTTACAACACGCCATCTCACGAAGATCTGCGAACGGTCACAGGTGGGCTGCGAAACATTTCGCGTATGCTCTCAACTTCTTGTTTTAATGATCGTCCTCTTGCTGTCTTTTGCAGACTCTCACGCGAATGTCCTCCCTCAGCCTGGCGCCTTGGCCGGAATGCGCATCAGCGAGACCGGCCAAGAGCAGGGTCCTCTTGCTGCTGGCATCTACGATCTTCCGCTAGGAATGGTCAGCCGTGCCTTGTATCTCGACCAAGAATGAAGCAGCAGCATGTGCGGGCAAATTGAGGCAGGGCATCACCAAACGAGGTGCTTTGAGAACATATGGTAGGCGAGCCGACTAGTCAACTGCCACAGCTGCAACTCCTCGATGCTCCACCATTTCTCGTCTTGATTTTCTCTGGCCATCCACTCTCTGCCAGTCTCTACCCCTCTCTCAATCTCTTCTGCGTAATCGACTCCAGCATCCATAGAGCAGCGTTCTCGTCATCATGTGCGCCCATAGGAAAAGAAAAAGAAAAAAAGGCAGCGTGCGTGGGGCTTTCAAAAAAGAATTTATTGGACGGTCTCGGCGGACTGACACACATGCATGAGAGCTGCACATAATTTGGAACTATATATATATATTTACACATGTGCGATCAAGGAATCGCCTTCTCAGCAAGGCTCAAGAGGCAAGAAGCAGCAGTTTAACGACGCATTTGCTGTGCAGTTGTGACCGAGGATAAGAAACGCAGTGCTTTGAATAAGCTATAATTCTGCATCGTGTGTGCACATTTGCCACGGTCAAATGCATGGGGTCAAGCGTGCGCGTCTATCTGCGGAGGCCAAGGCCCAGCGAAAGGTAAAAGAGCAGTCCAAGCTCCAAGCATACCTTCAATTAGAGACGCACTTTTTTGAATTGGTGCGTTGGGAGCGCTGCTTGAGGCAAGGTCGAATCTATGGCTCATTTCTGACCTCTTACGGCTCTAGAAAGATGCTGATGTCTGTTCGGAAGACTCGCTCGAGGTGACGGGCAAGCTACTCTCGTTCAATCCTGAACATTACACAGCATGGAACTTCCGAAGACGCATTCTGGATCGCCTATTTGCGCATGACTCGAGGAGTGCATCTTTAAACCAGGCGGCCAAAAAAGACTTCTTCGCAGCCGCTCGTGAGGAGGCAAGCGGTGTCCACGCCGACAGTACTCGCTCTAGACGGTGGCTCCTCGACGCCGATCTGGAGCTGACAGAAGCCGCGCTGCGCTCGCACCCTAAGGTGTATTGGATTTGGAACCACCGCCAATGGTGCCTCGAAGAATACCCAGATGCTCCCGTGACGGCTGAGGAAGATGACACTGGTGCAGAAACGAGCAAGGAGGCGACGGCGGCGGCACGCCTTGCCGCTGTCGAGCAGAAATGGCGATTGGAGATGAGGCTCGTTGACAAGATGCTCGATCTTGATGGACGCAATTGTGAGGGCCTTGTAGATCTGTCTCTCATCAACGAACCCACTTTCTGACAGAAACAGCTCTTCTTATGGGCAGTCCATGGTTGGAATTACCGCCGCTACCTCCTAACGCAGCTCGCGCGCGCTTCTGCTGAGACAGGCAGCACTGATGGAAGCAGCAGCGCATCGTCTGCGCGCGCGCCGCCGCCTGTCTTTCCCGAGAACCTCTCGCCCGTCCTCATCAGATCGGAGCTATCCTATACGCTCAGCAAGATCGAGAAGGACTTTTCCAACTTCTCCGCATGGCATCAGCGCCAGCTGCTCTACTCGCGTCAATGGCAATTACAAGCGGCTACCCGTTCGGACTCGGGCTCGTCAGCCTTAACCAAGGCGAACGACTTGGCGCGCGAGTTCGAGCTGGTGCAGCAGGCCATGTACACGGATCCGAGTGATCAGAGCGTGTGGCTGTACCATCGCTGGCTCGTGGAGGAGGACCCTCGTGCGGAGGTGTTGGATCGGGAGATCAAAGCGGTGGAGGAGTTGCTCGAGATTGAACCAGACTCGAAGTGTGAGTGTTCGCTTGTCACGCTGCAGCCGTGTTGGGTTTTCAGGCAACCATCCTCCTCCCTACATTTTGCTCATGCACGACATTGTTTCTGTTGATCGACATTACAGGGTCGATGCAGAGCATAGTGCACTATCGCTCACTGCGCAGAACGCTTCATAGCAAGATTGATGAGCAGCAGGACCTGGCCGAGGAGCGGCGCTTGCTGCAAGCCCTCGTCATCATCGACCCAGATCGACGACGGCGGTATGAGGATGAGCTTTGCAAGCGCATATGAGAAAGAATATTCCTGCAAGAAGTGTATGTATGCACCAAGGACTAGTGGAATACATTGATTCGCTAGCTCTGCGCCTCCTGGTGGTCTTCCTCCCCTTCGTTGACCAGCCGGCCGACGATGCCATACTTTCCTTTGAAGTGGTTCATCCACTCGACCATGTTGGTGCGCTCCATATTACTGAGGCCATCCAGGCTGGCGATCGGCTGGTCGAGCGGCGTGAGCATGTCCGGCTCGAAGCTCTGCTTGGCCATGCCGATCGACGCGTCTCGGCCGGCGAAGATGGCATATGGTCCGCCTGGGCCGTAGAAGTTCTTGCCTGCTGTAACATCGTATACCTCGCGACCGATGGCGAGGAGGATGCGCGTACTCGGGTCGTTGGCCGAGGAGGATGTGTGCTCGCTGTTCTTATCCTTGCCGCGGTCGTCTTCGGCAAATGCGTACCCTCCGATGTCTTCTTCCTCTTCCTCTACATCGTTGGACCCGCGACTCTGCTCATGTGACTGCCCTGCTGCACCCGCCGCGCCAAAGGCAATGTCGCCCTTGACTCTGCGCTGCTCGGCCAGCCTGCGCTCCGCGGCGGCCTTTGCATTCGCGCCATCGCGGCGCTCGTCATACGTTGCGTGCACGTCGCGGTCGCTGAGTGCGATGCCGGAGCCGTCGTGAAGGGCCAGCGTGCGCGGGGTGTACACGGTCCACTTGATACTGGGCGGGTGGTAGCTTGGCAGGAAGCTGTATGCGCTTCCGGCAGACGCGGCAGACAAGCGCGATGTCAGACCCGCCCGGCGCCGCGTGGCTTCCAGTGCCAGCTCGTCGCTCGTCGCAGCAGGTAACGACCCATTCGCGGCAGAGCCAGCTGCTGCGTTCTTGAGCCTGCGCAGGTAATTTCTCCATCTCCGTTTGGTGGCCTGTGTCGTTCCTGTACCGGGAAGCCCGTGCAGCTTGGCTTGCGCCATTGTCGGGTACTCCTTGAGGAAGTGTGCCGACGTTGTTGGCTCGAACAGGAAGGAAGGTTTCAGGAGTGGAAGGAGGAGATAGAGGAGCAGTGCGAGGAGGCTAAGGTTGAGCGGGTTGAGGAAGAGCGGACGGAGAGCATGGGGCAGCCGGTCGTGTATGGATGCGGCATAGCCGTGCGTGAAGCCGACCGCATCGGTCAATTTGACCACAGTCTGCTGCATCAATTCAGACATGTTGCCTCAAAGTCGATCTGCCACAGCTGGGAAGGGCTGGCTGGCTGGCTACAGCGCCACCTACGGCGGGGTGTACAAGATGAGAGACGATCAGAGTTGATACACACTGGTACAATGGATAGAGCAGGTCCACGAATGTGGAGTATGTGCAAAGGTTCTAGCCGGCACCATGTATGCTGTATGAATCTTTTTGGCTGTGCCAACACTCAGCCTTACTTGGGAAGGCTCATCGCTGCGTCAGGCGTTAAAGGTGTCGGAACTCGGAACTCGGCCACCCTTCAGCGCAAGCCTTCTTTTAGGGTTAATACGGCCCGCAGGGTGATGGAAGTCGCGGAGGAGGGTGGATGCGATCGATCGTGAGTGTTAGTGTGCCTGCGGGGGTGGGACAGTGGGCACTTGGTGAGTGCGGGCTGTGGTTGGGAGGCGGCTTTACGGGCCACAGCCAAAAGCCATGTCAAGTGAAATGTTGCCCGCGTCCGCCAGCGAAATGCAGCATATCCCCGCAAGCACCATCATCGCATCCATACCGCGCGCTACACACACAGAGAGCTCGTCGTTCACTCATCTTGAGACCAGCTACAGCTAGGGGAACATTATAAAAGCACCACCGTCTTTGTCTTTGTCGCATCTGCTGTGCTGCTTCTCGTCAAACCCTATACGATCCTGCCCGCGGGCGCGCTTTGTACCACCTCAGGCTAGCGCCGCGACGCTGCTAGATTCAATACCTTGCTCGCTTGCCTGCTTGCCTGCCCACACACCCACCACTAGTGTCAACCACCCATAGCACACCCTTCCCCCAACACGCACAAAGATGGTACCTGAAGTGACCGCAACGCAAGTACAGGCACATGGGGCGGACTCCACCCACGGCAACAACACCAAGGCCATCACCCCGGCTGGCACCACCGCGCAGCCCGCCAATGGCAGCGCAAACACCGAGAACCCCAACCAGGGCGTCGGAGAGGCGATCATGTACCATGCGCAGGCCATAGTCTGCAACAATAAGGGCACTTCTGGCAAGGAGACAGGAAAGACGTTCGCAGCGCAGGACAAACTGCCCAAGCTGCCCATCCCGAAGCTAGAGGACACGTGCCGGAGATACCTGCACTCTCTGCAGCCACTGCAGGTGAGCGTCGGAGAATTTCCCACGCAGAGCACCGCTTGATTTCCTTGCCATACCTCTGACGCATGCCGAAACAGGAGCCCGACGACCATGAACAGACCAAAAAAGTCGTTGAAGAATTTCTCAAGAATGAAGGGCCAAGGTTGCACAAGAACCTGGAAGAGTATGCAGCCTCGCGGACGAGCTACATCTCCGAGTTCTGGGACGAGAGCTATCTTCAAGCCTCCGAATCTGTCGTGCTCAACCTCAATCCTTTCTTCATACTTGAGTGCGTATGCCCTCGCCCAACTGCAGATATCTCAAGCTGAAAAAGGTTCAACATCTCTCCCTACATTTCAGAGACGACCCGACGCCTTCACGCGGAAACCAGCTGATGCGTACCACCAATTTGATCCTCGCCTCCCTCGCATTCATCCATGACATGCGAAACGGCGTGCTGGAGCCAGACAGGGTCCGCGGCACGCCTCTTGATATGTACCAATACACCCGTCTCTTTGGCACGGCAAGGATCCCGACCGCGCAAGGATGTCGCATGGTGTCGGCCGTTGAGTCGCGTCACATTGTCGTCTTCCGCCGTGGGCAGATGTATTGGTTCGATACGCTCGATGCCAAGCATCGCCCGCTGCTGTCGGAGCGTGCGCTGTTCGCAAACCTGCAAGCAATCTGCAATGACGCAGACAATGTCGACAGTCATGAGGTCGCCGCTGCGTCGCTCGGCGTGCTGTCGACCGAAAACCGGCGCGTGTGGTCCGCGCATCGCAACACACTGCACTCGGACCAGCACAACAGCAAGTGCCTGCAGGTCCTGGACACCGCGCTTTTCGTTGTTTGCATGGACGACTCGGAGCCCTCGTCGAGCGCCGAGCTGTGCAACAACATGCTCTGCGGGACGTACCAGCTCAGCAATCGCGTCCAGGTCGGCACATGCACGAACCGGTGGTACGACAAGCTGCAGATCATTGTGTGCGCCAACGGCGCTGCGGGTATCAACTTTGAGCACACTGGCGTCGATGGACACACGGTGCTGCGCTTCGTAGCAGACATATACACAGAGCTGATCATGCGCTTTGCCAAGTCGATCAACTCAGCGACTAAGTCGCTGTTTCAGGCCAAGACGTCGCCATATGCCAGGGGCATTGGAAGCAAGGCCAAGTCTATTCCAGAGGAGGAGGATGAAGAGGAGTATGAAGAGGAGTACGACACCGAACCGAAGAAGCTCGAGTGGAACCTGACGCCGCCGATCAAAGCGGCGATCCGCTTTGCCGAGTCTCGCCTGAGTGACTTGATCTGCCAGAACGAGTGCCAGGTGCTTGAGTTTGATCGGTACGGCAAGAACTTCATAACGCGGCACAAATTCTCGCCGGACGCGTTCGTCCAGATGGCCTTCCAGGCGGCGTACTACACGCTCTACGGTCGCTTCGAGACGACGTACGAGCCAGCGATGACCAAGGCGTTCCTGCACGGGCGCACCGAGGCCATACGCACGGTGCAGCCTGTGAGCGTCGACTTTTGCAAGGCGTTCGTCAGCGACAAAGCCGAGGTCCAGGAGAAGATCAACGCGCTGCGCAAGGCGTGCGACGCACATGCTAAGCTTTCGAAGGCTTGTGCCAGCGGACAAGGCCACGATCGACACCTGTATGCCATGCTCGCACTCTTCAAGAAGCAGCAGCAGATGGAAAAGGACAGTAAGAGCGGCAATGGCAACAGCAGGAGTAGCAGCTGCTGCACCGCGAATGGAAGCGGCGAGTCCACACCGGCGATCTTTGAAGACGCAGGCTACACCACCCTCAACCACACTGTCCTCTCCACATCCAACTGCGGCAACCCGGCGCTGCGGCTGTTCGGCTTTGGGCCTGTCGCACCGGACGGCTTCGGGCTGGGGTACATCATCAAGGACGACGCGATCAGCATCTGTGCGTCGTCGAAGCATCTGCAGACGAAGCGCTTCCTCGACACGCTGCGTGAGTACTTCCTCGAGATCCAGCGCATGATCATCAGTGTCTACAAGGCCGCCAACACACGCGCCGTCGAGACGTACATCGACCACTTTGGCGTCGAGTGCGATGTGCGCACCGGCCTGCCCATAGGCTCCAAGCGCCCATCCACTGCCGGCGCCAGTGCTTGCGCTGGCGCTACAGCGAACGGATACCCGGATGACTGGGACGTGTGGGAAAAGCAGGGTGGCGGAGTCAGCGGCTACTCGTTCTTCGACGCTGGCTCCGCTGCAGAGGTGCAGAAGCACAGGCGGAAGCGCTCCACCGGAAGTCGCGCGTTCAACGTCGGACGGAAGCTTGTGTACAACGAATATTCATGAGCCGCTCTGGCCCAAGAAACTTAGCATTGTCCCATTCTCGATACATACAGCATTCGATCAAACGTGTATTGCCGCATTTTTCCTGATCATAGTGTGGAGCATTCCCTGATCCCTCTGATTGTTACGCTTCTGGCGAGCGAGATATACGAAAAGTCCGATTTTGAGGCAAACCAAACATGCTTCAAGTAGCTAGACTTGGCGCCTAATTATTACAGTTTCAGTGACAGCCGCACGCAAGTGGCGTCTGCTGAGCGGAATACCTGGTGCATTGGAGCAACTTAAGAGCAGGCGAACCAAAAATAAAGCTGCATGAGCTTAAATCGAGAGAGAAAATGCGGAGTGCAAAGCGTGTGTGATAGGTAACAGCATCGGGAAGCGATAAAACAACTGAAATCGGAGTCGTGTGCCGCAATGTGGCGGTAGACTCGTGATAAGGCAAGGCTAGGCTTAGCGCTGCGTCAGATCAGAGCTACTTTCGTGGCTGTCATATTGATGATGCTGCAAAGGCGGGTCTTCGCCTTGCGTAAACTGACAGTGCGCGAGCGTGGCGATGGAAGTAAACGCCGCCATGGTGGTAGCGGCCTGCGCATAGCTGGATTGCTGGGGTGTGGCGGTGTGACCATCTTGGTGCTCCCACCAGGATAGTATGCGGCTGTGAGAAAATATGCTGCTGTCGGATGAAGTCAGCGCAGGCTGCGTGCTCCCTAAGCTAGCCGCGCTACTACTGCCAGAAGCTTGGCGCATGTGCTCCATGTACGAGGCATTTGGGCTGTTGTGATTCCACAGCGAGAGCGAGGTCACGGTAGGATTACCAGGCGTTGACCGTAATGCATTTGTCCCTGCCGCGGATGATGGCCCCGTAGTACAGAGAAGCGGAAGATGGTGGTTTGCAATTCCTCGTGGCTCTGGAGCACCGCTGTATGAGCGGGCCATGTCATGCGCGTGTCCGAAATCGCTATGCGGAGTTGGGCTTGAAGTGAGCGCTCCCAAGCTTCGCTGCGTCTGTAAGGGTTCCCAAGACACTCCTCGTTGCGAGACCGACGACGGCGCTGCTGTTCCTGCTGCATAAGACGGTGGCTGCAATATCTGCAGCTGCTGCTGCGCCTGCGAATAGCCGCACGACCAGTCTGGCGACTTGTACTTCTGGAAATCAGAAAGAGCAGCGGAAGGGTTCGCAGACAGGGATGATTGCTGCCCTGTTGTGCGGGCCGTTTGTGAAATTGCCTGTAGCTGGGCTTGTACGGCCAAATCTTGAAATTCGATCGAGCCTTGAAACGGGGCATTCACGTGGTTGAGCTGTTCGATGGCCTCTCTCAATTCCTGATAAGGGCCAACGATCACGTGTGTCATGACGGATGTTGCCTGTTGTCCCTCAGTAAAATCTGCACATTGCCGCCGCGCAGCCGTGCGCTTAAACTCTGCATCGGAGGACCAAAAACAGCTAGGGTCGGAGCGAAAGACTTCCATGAAGAAGGTCGGCGAGTGTTCGATCTTGATGGACACGTGACCTATCCATCCTTCAACCCCTTCCGCTTGCTCGGGCACAGTGGGGGCAAAGGGACCGTCGAACGTGATCTTCTGAACGATGGACCATGGTGTCTCGAGCTTGTAGCCAACAGATTCAGACTGCAGATACCAAGTGAGATTCTGCAGACGCCGCGAGAAGAAGCAGATGAGAAGACCGACGCGTCGCCACGTGCCAATGCAGAGCGAGTACGCCGGGATGACGGTAACGGCTGCAAGAAATCGAGCGAGTCAACAACTCGCCGTTGCGCAGCATTTCCAGTCTGCAGGTATTTACTTACACTCTGCGGTAGTGGCGTTGGTTGTGGACGTTGTCTTTCGTCTGCGGGATGACTCGCTCGCTCCTGCTTGTAATGGCAGAGGCACATGTACGGTCGAAGCAGATGATGCTTGCAGAGCGGTCTGGCTCCCTACGACCTCTCCTTTGCGCTTGAGCTTGGCGCGGCGATTTTGCATCCATATTTGAATTGACTGGAAAACGGAAAACGTTCGAAATTTGTTGAATGGTGAAAGTCACAGAAGCATTGCTACAGTGACAAGCAACTCACTCTTTCTGGCATAAGCAAGTCCCTTGCAAGTTGAGCACGCACTTGGCCAGTCGGGTTCCGATTGCTAGCAAAAAAATATTCCAGCTTGGCGATTTGCTCCGGACTGCATTTGTGTCGTTTCTTACGGTGCATTGCCTTGAAAGCATTTCCGATCAGCGGCACTGGCGCTTCGTCCGAATCTTCGTCGTTGGCAGAGGAGCAATCAGCTTCCGTGCAATCGGTAACCTTGCGCTTTAAAGACGTAGCCAAAGACGCGGATGCCCTCCGTTGTACGATTCTGTCAGGCCGATTGACTACGCCCGATCCGTCGGCCTTTTGCTTGTCCCCCATGTCTGATAGGCTTGGTGTTGCCGTCGGGCTGAATGATTCAGGAGAAGAAAGTAGTGGAGAGGCTGGTGCGTCAAGCCCGCGGGTTGCGCTTCGTGCAGAGATGGGAACAGGTTGTCCCAACGCCACAAATTCTTGTGTAGCTAGGCTCGATGCGGCTCCAGATCTGAAACCCCTTTCTTCTGGCAAAATACGTGCTCCTTGCCAAAGCTTAGTGGACTTGCGATCGCGCTCCACACACGCGTATGGGCCGGGACAACAGTGTATCCCAGAAGCAGAAGCTGTAGTGCCCCGAGGCGAAAGGGTTGCATACTTATTCTCTTGTTGAGAGAAGGTCGCATGTTGCTCAGAAGTGGAGGCTCGGGCTAACACATCTGGCAAATCGGTTTTCTTGAGCGATGTGGTCTGTGGCAATGTGGCAGATGGGCTACTGTCGTCCCCAGTGGTCATAGGATGGTGCGAAGTCTGCTCTGGCTCTTGAGTATGCAGATCGTCTGCGGGCAGGGGTTGAGCGCGCTCGTTACCCCTTAATTTGTCGTCAACAGGCACAGTACGGCCTGCATTGGACTGAGGCCACTCCGGCAAGACCAATGACCCGAAAGCAAAGCCGGAAGAGGGCATTTCGGCTGCGCTTGGTGTGTCATGTTGAAGTATGGTTCCATGATCCTCGGCATCTTTGCTTTCGGCCTTCTCGTGGAGTGCGCGTCCAAAGCTTGCTTCAGCTTCAGCCGATGGAGAAATCGCCGAAGCCTTTGTAGGACGTCGTGCCACAGTCAATATTCCATATTCTTGACTGGAGTGCACAGTCAGGATCGAGGAGAGCTCACCATGGAAGACGGAGGTCTTGATTCTGTAGCGCCAGACATGTTCAACATTGCTGGTTTGTCGCACGATGGACTTGTGTGAGCTTGTTTCGCTTGACAGTGCGATTTGACAAGCGATGCCAGCAGTGCGGCGGCGATTTTGCTCACCGATCTTTTTCCTGTCGGCTGTGCTGGGGACAGCGCACAGTCTTTCTTGGCTTCGGGTTGTAGCAAGCGATGCGAGCAGAAAAAGAGCACGGGAGCCAGTTTCGGAAGAAGCTCTATTTGTGGCGTGCGGCCGTGCAAGGCTGGACTCCCAGGAGCCGATCGCCTGCGATTCTACAATAATGGATGGCATGATAAAGTCAGCTACCATTCAGCCTTTCAGACCCAAATACCAGGCTCCAATGACAGAAGGAGAGACCGAAGTGGAATTAAACTTGGCCATAGCACAGTCACCAGCTCATACCGTCAAAAGATGCACCATCGCCATAGTGCGATGATGGTCATGAGACAGAATGCAATGCCAATAACTATCACAGATCGCACTCTTGATGGATGCGGCCTTGACGGTTGACTCTGACGATGCAAAAGCGGACGAAGAGAGCATATACGCCATTGCATTGTGCATCTGTCCGCCTTCGGCGACCACGACCGCCATCCAGAAAGCAGCTTCCATGCCTCGCCAGCGCTTTTTGAACAGTGGACGGATGCTTGCAAAGCAAATGAATCTCATTTAACCAACTGTGCAGCCCGCATCTCGTTACCTGCCGGCTCGTGTTAAATGTCTCTCGACCATGTGTTTGTGGTTGCAGAGCACTTGTACTTACGACTCACTACCCACATATGACTGACAGCAGCTGCTGTTGATGAGCTTTGTTTGATCTTGGCGGATCGATTGGTCTCTTTTGCTTTTGCCGCTGAAAGGGATGACAAGGATGAGGATGATGATGATGAAGACGACGCCATGAAGGTAGGAAAGTGAAATGAAGCGATGATAAAAAGGTGAGTGAGCCGCATGTGTATATGAAAACCCAGGGTCTTCAACGCAACAGCCACATCCATGCCAAATGCCAGCTCACGCTTTCCGCTGTTCGTGAATCATTCCTTCCTCATTATGCTGCTCAGCCGTCTCCAGCATGCAAATGACCCTTTCCTCTGCTTTCTTTCACGTCACGCAGCAAGAACGGGGGCCCGGCAGATGATAGCTCGGTACGCTGGCCCGCTTGTATCGTCGCCGGCCCGCATGCGCTTGCTCATCATCAAGCAGGTGGAGACAAATGAGCTGCTGTCGGATCCCGACTTCATTTGCGTTCCCTTCGTTTGACGGCAACTGCCACCACCTGCCGCATTTCATCCTTTGTCATACTCCCGCAGCCGTGTCGGCCATTAGCAGTGAAGATACTCCCAACAACGTAATCTGCTCTTTACCTCCGCGCCACGGCACATATTTCCAAGGTCCACACTCACCAGAATTAGCCCGGCTCTGAGTCTTAGTACATATAACTTGTGCGCCAATAGTTGCCGAAATAAGTCGTAAAGCCACATAGAATCCTTTGATTGAGCGTGGACTGGGCGTTGCATACCAGGTGCATTCACAAAGTCGCGTTGGTTGAAAGCAATGGTTTCCGTTTCTCAGATTCGGATGGATTGACGTTGAGGTCGTACATATCGTACTACAAGCTGCATGTTAAGCTTGGAAGAGCACACCTGCGACGATCGCAAGGTGCGAGTAATGCACTTCAGAGAGCGCCTCCTATAGGCGTCGCGTGCGCTTGCACTACGTGTGCCGGTAAGATTGGCCCCTTGATGGCCAGCCGCTGAGGGAGAAGCAAAGATGAACGCCCTGGTATCAACGCCACCAGCCCCACTATGTCCTGGCCTCCGCAGACTTTTGTGGTTCAGGAGGTTGAGAGCAGAACAAGGTGTGAGTTGCAGTGTGCTCCCAGCCACAACATGCCGTAAAGGTCAGAGGGAAGGTAGGCGAGGTTCCCAACAGCAAGTGATAACCAGCGCCAGGGAAAGAGAAAGACGGCTACAGTGAGTGACGACAAGCTTGGACCTCCAAGGAGGAAAATGAAGTCCTGTGGCTGTCGCTCCTAGCCGCAATTTCTTTTGACAATGGACATACTGACAGCCGCAAGCTGTCCTGATCCCAGCACTTTAAATCGTCCGAAAAGAAGGCGGCGTGGAACCGCTCCGGCTCGCTAAACTGGCTGAATCATGATGCCAAGATGATGTCAAGAGGCGATAGCGTCCTGCGTTGGTTCAACGCCTCTTTTCGTTGACCTGTACGCTGTCCTTGGCCGAGTACTGCAAAATCAAGCGTGTCGTCTTCCCTACTCAGGCAGGTGACTGGCAGGAAGCCTTAAATTAAGCCCTGTCCTGTCCTGTCCTGTCCTGCCTAGCTTCTTCTGTCTGCTTCAACGCCTGCCTCGTCGACGCAGTTTCACCGAGCTTCGACCCCTGCATTGGACACTGCCACAGTTTGCAGCGACAGGATCCACTGACAGGACACCGAGCATGCAGGCCGCTGTCGCCGGCTTATCAAAAACGCCAGCTATCTTGTCTCGCTTTTGAAATGAAAGAAGGGGCCAAAGCGCTTGTTGAGGAGCCGAAGCGGCCGCCTCAGCTCGAGGTGGAAAGTGTCACAGGCTCGTCAACGCGTGTGGCTTGTCTATCTGATTTTCCATGCTTCTGCCGACTTCGATGGGTCAAGCCGTCGCATACCCTTGGTTCACCTTTCGCAGATTCCAGCCAGCGGACCAGCGGCCAGGACCAGCTGCAGGCTCGGGAGTGAGGGTTTGGTCGCCGCAGGTTGCCATGTCTCTCCAATGTGCGTTGTGTGCCTTGTTTTCCCTATATAACTAGCAACATACTCTCGTCACTTGTGTCCCAGCAGGCGTAACCGTATACGCGCGCTTCTTTTGCTCTGGCGATATTTTGATCAATGTCGATCCAGCTAATTGGCGAGGCGACACTTGTGACCTGGCAATACCTTTGACACTTTCACGGAAATTGCATTGTTCAAGGTGCGACGTGCGCACTCCGAAGGGTGAGGGTGATCGAGCGACACAGGTGGCCAGTGATCTGCAACGGCCGTCAGCGATCACTGAGTGCACAGCGCCAGGCTGGGATGGACTACTTTGCAAATGGGGATGGCAGGTAGAGCCTGGTAGAACGGGACAGAGGCATCTAACTGGCGCACGAGCGTGTCCTCTGGTATCTGTACGGCAAGGATGGGACGAATTTGCCACGTGACTGAGGTTCGAATTCCGACCCCTCGCGGACCGCGGTGTAGCAATTTGCAGCTGCTGCAGGCTGAATGCGCTTGGAGTTCGGATCCGAGGCACTCCACTCTCGAGTTTCGGCATCGGATTCAATCTTAGTCTGTTCCCTCCTTGAAGCAGGCCCGAGGCTAGCTGCCGAATATAGCACGTGCAATTATGTATTTCTTCTGCGACGAATCCCAACCGAACGTATCATACAGCAATGCCAATCATCCCAGGTGTATCACCACCACAACAGCCGCCCCCACTTCACATGAACTTTCCGTTCGCACTGGCGTACCCGAGCCCGTCCGACGCGCCCGCGTAGTCCGTTTTGCCGCCGCCGAGGTGCATGCGGCCGTTGTAGATAATGCCGTCGAGCAGGCCGGCGACAGTGAGGATGCCGCCGACGATGGCGCAAGTGTTGGTCAGGAAGTGCGCCAGAGTCTGCCGGCTCTCGGTGTGCACCGTCTTAAGCGCGCTGATCTCGTAGTTGAAAAACACGCCGGGAACACCCACGAAGCCATGCTGCGTTTGGTGCGGCTCTGGCGCTTTTTGGTGCCCACTACCCATCTTGCGGCCTTGCTCGGCGGCGGCGTTAGCATTCGCACCAGGGTCGAGGTCGCGCTCGTACTGCGTTACGCTATACTGGTGCGTCTTAAGCATCTGCCCGTCCAGTTTTTGATATTCTGTTCCGACGACTTTGACAAAGTACTGCAAATGATGGTCAAGGGTATGTGGGATGGATGAGTCAAATTTCAAGCGTCGCCGAGCCTCCTGAAGGATGTACCGCCAGGTCTGCGCTTACCTGGAACATGAATTGCGACTTCTCCGTGTGGGCGTGCACGCCGTTGAGCGGATCTACGACTCCGAGCTTCTTCTTGATTCCATTGTCCTCGGGCCGTTGCTTATCCTTGCTCATGTGGAACTCCTCTTCGCTGCCAAAGCCGAACTTGTTGATGATGTGCCCAAAGTCGTGGTGCTCTGCACCGGTGCCGGCGAGGTATGGGACGAGGTCGTGAATGTGCACGCTGTTCGCCTGGAACGCGCGGCCGGGCGAAAGGTGGAAGTTGCCGACGACCTTGTTGACGTGGACCAAGCCGGCAACGTTGCAGCCCTCCTTGTTTTGCTCCTTGATCTTCTCGCTCCAATGCTCTGCAACGCACTGTTCGATCCCATCCGGCTTGCTGAAGCTCCATCCGCGGCGAACATACGACTCGCGTACCTCATCGCACGTGTTGCAGCACCCGCTCTCGGGCGGTTGCCCACCATAGCATTCTCCGCAATAGCCTACCTTCCCCTTGACCGCTGCTATGTCGTTCGCCTCTCCCCGCAGGCCCCTTTTTCCCTCCTCGACCGGCAGGCCAGAGTGGCTTAGGCGCGTGCGGATGATGTCGTGCTGGATATCGTTCTGGTGCTCGCCGGAGATGTCCATGATGTCCAGGGAGAGGAGGTAACACGGTACACGTGGGAAAGTGATGTCCAAATGCACCGTGAGCTTCTCCCCGCGACTGACATCGACGACCAGGCTGTTCTTCGTGTGCACCCGCCGGTAATCCATGAATTCACCAATCGTCAAGAAGACAATGAGGAAGGCAGAGACGAGCGTGATGATGGCGCCAACATTAGTGCGGATGCGCACATCGTCCATGGTCTGAATGCAAAATCATGGAGGTTCGCACCAAGAACAGATGTGAGCACGCGCAAAGCGTGCACTCGGCGCGCACGATGGCTCTGTCCGGGCTCTCACCTTGCCGAACGCATCGATCCCCCGCAGGCGCCCAAAAAGCCCACCGTTGCGACCCATGTTGCTTTCCTGCCTTGCTCTGGGTTTTCCTGCCACCCCGGAATAATATTACGAGTGTATAATCGCGCTGCTCGCAGAAAGCAAAGGCAGAACCCGCGAGGCCTCACGGGAAGGATGCAGGGATACCTCTTGTGTCGGACGAGAGCGCGAAGTTTGCACAATCCATCCAACTCGCCCTTTGGCACGCCAGGTGATTCCGTTCACTGTGCTAGCTCAGCCAGTGAGCATCAAGAGCGATGCGTGCAAATGGCCGAAGTTTGATGTGATGCACAAAGGTACACTGTTTGGCACCCAGTCCCAGCTCGAACAGTTGGATGTTTGCCATTGAGAGGTTCCAACATGCGATTGGCGACTTGCGAGCGCAGTTGTGTGGGGCCCAACAGCGGTAGCCTTTCTCTCGGCCGAGATGTGATCTTGCTGCCTGTCGGGCGCTCCCTTGTGGAGCAATCAAGGCACGGACGGAGAGAGATTTACACACAGACGCAGCGCCTATTCCCAGCCAAAAGAAAGAAAAAAAGCAACCAGAGGAACTCTCTGGTATGTGTGTTTGTTGGCGAAGCCGGAGTTCACCCACAATTCCAACAGCCAAATCACAAAGTGCACACATCGAACTGGAGGTTGAATGCCGCACGCAGTTTCACACTCATCGCATCTTTGATGGGGCAGTGAGGATTCTCAGACCAGCATCACTACCACGAGCAGCATCTATCCCATCCAGGCATCTACGGGCGAGGGCTATCAGTAGATAGATCGCTGCTCGCTTCTCACCTCCGTATCGGCTGGACACGCACAGTGCCCCTGCCACGCCAACACGCTCGCCGTTCTCCAGAGAAGCATACATACAGACTGGACACTTCTGGGCGGGCTCAGGGCAGACCAGCCATTTCGAGCAATTGTGAGTGGCTGACTCTCGGGACAGGGGGGAAGCATCCTGTCCTTGCATCTGATGACGATGGAGGAGCTGCATCCCACGGGTAATGTGGCCCGGCTGGGGCATAATCTGAATGGCGTCGCTGACAGTTCATCCACTTTGAATGGCCTTTGAGCAGTCGATCTTGATTTTGACGTTTCGAGTGTTGCAACCACTCATACTTAGACCTCGTCATGACACCCTATTTTCACACCAACACCTATCACCGATAGAAGGCCGTGTCCAGGCGTCGAGGGAACGAGACGACGAGCGGGGGAGGGGCGTGTCGTCAGCGCCTTGTGAGCGATGCCGACGCTCGCCCCACCTCCCACGCCTCTTATCCGGCAGACGGCGCCGACAGACTCGTCCGGTCAGCTGAGTGAATCGCTGCTGGACAGCGGCTCTGAAAGCAACTACGACGACCTGCTTGGCACCTCCGACGTGGACTCTGCTTCCGTTGCTGGTGCAAGTGTCGGTGCGCTTGCCAGGCGCCAAAAGCCGGCGCCGCCAATCACCATTGGCGTAGCGAGGCATCATTTTCCGGCAAGATATGCGACCCAGCAGCAACAGAAACTATCGCACTTTACGAGCGTGACGAAAAGTGTGTCCAAATCTGCCGCGAAAGCCAAGCTGGTGCATGTTTCATCGGCCGAGGAGATCAAGATACGCCGCGGGCCCGCGAGTATCGTCCCCATCGACGCGGAGAGTTTGGCCACCTACGGTCCCGGAGTCCCGGGTAGCGGGAAGAAGACGAAGGGCGTCAATGGGAGCAGCAGTATCGGCAGCAGCTCCAGCTCTCTAAAGAAGGAGTTTGCTCGCAATGTTTCTTCGCATGCTAATGCGGATGCTGATGCAGACGGTAGAGAGGGCCGATTCACGCTTCAGCCATCTCCTCCCCTTTCCAACATCCAAAGCAAGGATTGCACCTCGTCAAAAACCTCATTTTCCGCAACCACAGCAGCATCAGTCGGAGCTTCCTCCCTAACCTCCAACCACGCCTCGCACCCTTCAGAGCCCACCGCATCTAGCTTGGCTGGTACAGGCCTTTCGTCTTCCGCGCGACTCTCTCCATCTTCTACCTCCACCAGCGTGTCATCGTACTCGAACGAGCACGCGCGGCCATCCACCCCATCTGCAGCAACAGCAGTAGAATCCAGCAGTGAAAACGGCGCTGCTGTCAATTGCGCGTTCAGCCTCTCGCCGTCGCGTGCGAGCAATGCTGCACGTCAACGATCCAATTCACGCCCTAATGTCGTTCCAGCTGTTCTAGCTGCTACTGCTGCCACCGCTGCAGCAGCAGCGCCTGGTGTGCCGCCCGACCACGGCATTTCCATTTCTTCCGCCGCGTCACGCTCGCGGCGGCCCTCCCCCTCAGCATCTGGATGCGCCGACGAGGAAGCAGGCGGGAGTGGCGCGCACCACTGGGGCGTCTGGGGACAAAACATTGTCGTGGCGAATGAGGTGGACGATCATGGGTTGCAGCTACAGATGGAGATGCAGATGCAGTTCCCCGCCACCCTGTCCTTGCCCGCATCGCCGGGTCGAGATCGAGATGCGAGCCAGGGTTGGCAGCCCAAGGGAGGAGGAGGAGGCATGCCGCCGGGAGGACTGCTGCCGAGTAACGCGATCAAGCTGGTCGAGGAAGACAACCTCAGTCTTCCGCCCCTCGGAGGAGGCAAAAAGGGCGGGTTTGCCGCATTCAGCTTTCTGAAACAGCAAGCAGTCGCGCAGAGCCAATTAGGGTTCTCCTCATCTTCGTCCGTCATCGGTGGGAGTGGTGTCGGCGGCGGTGACGTCAGCGGCAACAAGCCTGCTACGACGACGAATCGCTTCGGCTTTCGGCGCTTGGTAGGCGCGGACGAGATGCTGAACCGGCTGCTGGTCGAGCAGGCGCGTGTCGACAGCGAGCACTTCCCTGTTATGACGCTCGAAGAGGTGCAGGACTCGCGCCGCGATCTGGAGCGCCTCGAGAAGCGCATTGCAGAGACCAAGCGCAAGCTCTGCGTTGAGGCGCGCATCCGCGACGCCGCCATCGCACTGCGCAAGAGCCATCGCCGTGCGCCAAGCCAGAGCGCTGTGAACACTGCTGGTGCCAATACCAATGGGAAAGCAGAGCAACCACAAGACTCCATACTCACGTCCTCTCCACCCAGCGCGTACTCCACCATGTCCAACAGCAACAGTCCCACCAAAGCGCCAGCAGTGCGGGGCGGGGCGGCAAGCGCTTCTCAGCAGCAGTCGCCCGCCGAGCGCGAAAAGATGGAGGAAAAGATTGCCACAGCGACAGGACGTGTGGAGAGCATTGCGCAGACGCTCATGACCCTCTCTGAACGTGCAACGGCGATACGCCGCGCGCTGCTCGAGCACCACACGGCCGTACTGTCACAGCGCCTGGACCACCTTGAAGAGGAGCAGGAGAGTACGCTCGTCGACAGCGACGGCGCCAGTCTGGCAGGCGGGGAGAATGCCGCGGCCATTGGCGCAGTCGCAGTCGCCGCTGCTGCTGCCACGAGTGCAAGCACGAGCATGCCGCGACAGGAACAGGGGCACCCGCGCGCTGCTACTCCTGCGCCCTTGCAATTGCATCCGCAAAGAGCGTCACTGGACCTGGCGCTGCGCGTGGCTAAAGAGCGTGCGGAGGCGATCGAGCAGGAACTAGAGCAGGAGAAGCAGAGGTCCACGCGGCTGCAGCTGCAGCTGGATGAGGGAGCTGCAGCGAATAAGAACCGCAGCAGCAAGCAGCTGGAGGAGGTGGAGAAGCTGAAGGCAGAGCTCCAGCAGGCTCGCCAGACGAGTGAGAGCTTACAGAAAGAGCTCGACCAGGCGCGCCTGCTTGTCGAACTGCATCGAAGCAATCTTGAAGCTAGGGATACCAGTGAAAGACAGGCGAAGAGCGAAGCTACAGCCTTGCAGCACCAAGTCGAGGCGCTCAAGCAACAACGACAGCAGCAGCAGCAGACTCGCGAGCGATCGGCTTCCACAGTAGCCGACAGCTCCGCTGAGGTCAAGTCACTCCTGGAACAGCTCGCGAAGCTAAAAACAGATCTCACTGCAGCAGTGCGCGACAAAGCAGGACTCAGCGCTCGCATCGATTCTGCAGACCGATCTGCCGCCGAAGCGGAGACACGCGCATTCAAAGCGGAGGCTTCCGCGGACGTGCACCGCAACGAAGCGGAGGAGGCGAGCAGGACGCTCAAGCACGAACGCTCCCGCATCGAGGACACGCTGCGTGCGCTGCAAAAGGAGCAGCTGCGCGCCGACACGGCGGAGCACACGCTGGACGAGCTGAGGCGCACGCACGAGGACATGTCCTGCTTGCATGCTGACCTGCGCCGTGAGGCGCTCGCACATCAGGCCACCATTGCGAGCTTGCGCGAGCGTGCAGAAAGTGCAGAGCATTCGCTCGCTGCGTCTGAGCAGCAGCGAAGCATGGGCATCGGCAAGGAGCGCGAGCTGCTCGATGTGCAGGAGGCCCTGCGTAAAGCGGAGCGGTTGGCCACAGCGCAGGTCGAAGGGCTCAAGGGAGAGCAGAGGGCGCATGAGGTCACCAAGAACTTGCTCTTGGAGCACATCGAGCTCGGGAAGGTGCACCTCTCCAGGGCTGAGATCGCAGAGAGGGATCACGCTGCTGCAGAAGACAGGGCCAGCAATGCTGAGCACGAGGCTGTGATGCATGCCAAGAGCGCGGAAGACCGCACAGTCAAGCTTAAAGCTGAGACAAAACGAGCAAACGAGAGCGAACAGCAGCTTCGTCAGCTTGAACTCGCCGTCACTGCTGAGCGCCGCCTCATGGCCGAGCGCGAGAGCCTCTTTCATGCCTTTGAGCGACGTCTCGAAAGCGCCGAGGCCCGTCTGCGCGAGGAAGATAAGCGGTGTGCAAAGCTGCTAGGCAAGTTGGACGGCCGCGAGGAGATGGACAATCTGCTTGAGCAAATCAAGATGGGCGCGGTGGGTAGGAAAGAGCGTAGCACTGCCGGTCAGAATATCGACAGCCTCATCACATCTGTCTCCGAGCACATCACTGACCTCGTCGATGAGCTCAGAAGGCTTGGCGGGGCCGAGGCCGACGAAGATGAGTCTGGTGTCGTCACGCGCTTGCGTGCGCGTACCGACATGCATAACGCAGATATGGAACGCAAAGTACAAGATCTACTTGCCGCTGCGCGCGAGTCGCAACGACTCATCGACGAGCGCGAAGCCACTGCTGCAGCAGCTCAGAAGGAGGTGACCACGCTCCAAGGTCGCACTGCTGACCTCGAGACCAAACACATTTCGTTGGAGGCAGAGCTCGAGAGTTTGCGTAAGAAACTATCAGAGCATGTCATCATAGCCGAAAGTCTGAACACTGCCCAATCAGAGGCTCAATGTACCTCTGCGTCCTCTGCAGATGCTGACGAGCTGCGGGCTGAGATCGCCAAGCTCGAGCTAACCAACAAGGAGCTTTCGGCAAAGGAAAGGTCACTTCTTGACCAAATTGATCATCTGCAAGAAGATCTCACTGCATCCAAAGCATTCATTTCGGATCTCCACAAGCGTCAGAGTGAATCATCAGCTTCACCCCGGAAGTTTACTTCGAACAACGCCAAGGCACTCGAAGAAATGGCAGCGAAGCTTGCTGCCTCCCAAACTGAGGCAGATGCAGCCCAAGACGCGATTGCCCTCCTCAAGGGAGAGGTGGCAGCGCTGAAAGCCCATACCGAAAGGCTCGCTGGCGAGAGGGAGGAGTCACAGCGCATTTTGGAGGCAGCTCGGGAGGAAGTGTCGTTGGCAAAGGGCGCTGGCACTCCTGAATTGGCAGCGCAGAAGTACATCCTGGAGCTTCGCACGCGCTGCTCGCAGCTGACGACGGACTTCGCAAATGCGCAAGTCGCCCTTGACGCCGCGAAGCAGGAGCTTGCGCACGAGCGGGCACAGCAAAGAAACATCGCTCGTGAGGAATCCCGTGCAAAGCCGGCCGCTGGCCCCTCAAGTCCTGTTGAAGCGCCAAATGGAGAGTCACTACAGACGCTCGCGACTCTCTTCCCCAGCGCAGTCCTACAAGGTGAGGTGCAGAACATTGACTCTCCCCTCAAACCGGCAGCATCCAATCGCTCTGCGACCACGGCAACTCCCAAACCGGCAGGCCTCAAGCAGATCGGCAACCTCGCCAAGCTACGAGCGCAATTCGAGCAGCCTGCCAGTAGTTTAAGTGCCATTTCCACTTCGCCAGTGAAAAGCCGAAACGCGTCGGGAGCATTTTCGGCCTCGGCATCGTCGCCCTCCGTAGAGCCATCGATCACGCTTGATTGGGCAAAAGTAGCAGATGAAATCATCTCGCTGCGGGCAGTTGTGGACGAATTGAAGCTGAAGTCCGGGGACTGGGATGATGAAAAGCAAAGACTATTAGCACAGCTCGCTGCTATGAAGGATGCTCACGCCTCCGCTCAGGACCTGCTTGAAGAAGCACAAAAGACGCATGAACTCGAGCTTGCATCAAGCTCAGCAAGGGTTCAAGCATTGTGAGTAGGAAAGCCAGAAAGCTCCGTTTCAAGGGCATACCCTCACTCACGACTTGTCTGTCCAACAGGGAAAATAAGACCTTGGACTTGCAACAGCAGCTCGCCGCTGCCAACGATGCAATCTCTCACCAGGACGTCTCAGCAGCTGAGCCGAAAGCCACCGAACTCCCGAGTGTGCAGGAAGCGCGGGAAAAATTGGAAGCGGAACTGGCGTCAATGACGGAAGCCTACCAATTGGCGCAGGGCCCACTCGCCGAGGCGAAGAAAACGCGTGATTTCGGGTCCACAAGTGTTAGCCGTCTAGAACTGTGAGGCTTGACAGTTAAGCAGTTGCTAGGGTGGCACTAAACATGTTTCTTTTTCTTACCCACAGAGATGAGAGGATCCGAGATTTGGAAAAGCAGGTCGCCGATGCCGTGAGCATTAACGTCCTTCAGCAAGGTTCGGATGCCAAGGTGGCGACCACCCTTAATGTACTTCCGTCGCCGTCTCGAGGAAATTCTCCTCGAGTGTCGCCGATGCGCAAGTCATTCAAGTTGCAGGCAGTCCCAGGAACAGCAAAGAGTGGTATGGCCCAGACCATCACGATTCCAACCGAAGTCCCTTCTCCCGTAGGAGGCGTCAGTCCAGCGTTGCCTGCGAAGGCACTTCCTCATGCGCCAGTCTCGCAGCCCAGACCGCTGCGCACCATGACGCTCGGCATGGACTCGAAGCAGCTCGCACAGCTCGTGCGCGATCTCGAAGATGAAGTGCTCCGCCTGAGTGCTGCTAGGCCGACCATGGACACTTCTCCGTCGGAACTGATCGCAGAGCTTGAGGAGGCACTCGAAGAGGCCAAGGATGAGCTGCTTGCGGCGCGCGAAGAACTCGATGAACTCAAGATGGTACAGACTAAGCAGAGGATTCAATTGCTGTGAGTTGCTTCGTATTCAGCTGTTGGCCCTTTATGGCAAACGACTGACTAACAAACAATGGAAAATCGTCGCAGTGACGAGATGAACACTCTTCAGGAGGAACTTGCATGCGTCCGTGCAAAGCTCAGACTTGAGCAGCGTCGCCGTATGCGCGATCCTTTCGGAACATCCCCCATCTCATCGAATGCGACCCTCGCTCCATGAACGCATCGCAAACATCCCACTCTCACCAGAGGCAATCCCTCGTTGATTTCCCTTATTCGACTTCTTATTATACAACAAAGCTTGATTGCAGTAGAGACCGATACCCTCTCAGATGATACTCAGCACCTGTTTTCTCTCGTTTCGAATAATCGTACAAGCTTCGCACTTGTGAACCCTGTATTGTAGAGTCACCTAGAGAAAGGGACATGTTTGTCTGAAGCTTTGGCGGCTTGTGACCCATATAAAGAAGGTCAGGTCTCATTTAAAGATCGCGATCAGCGTTACCAGAATCATGATCAGACCGATGATGGTACAGCTTGATGCTGCAAAAGATGGGGAAACGGAAAGGAGTCAGTGGGCAGCCCGACTTACTTGCAGAGGAAGAAATGACGATGATGACGCACCATGGTCACGAGCAGCTCGCCGAAAGCGGTCCGTTTGATTGCTAGCTCGACCCAGTCGTAGAGTCGTTTGGCCCACACCGTCGTCCAGTTCGTTCAGCAGCTCACCCCTACCAGTGTGATGCTCGCCGTCAGTAGATGCTCGCTGTGAAGCCTGACAGATAATCCGGCACGTACTGTGACTCTAGTTCCTCGTTCATTTGTAAGCTGAGGTGATGTTGGCGCGCGATGCTTGCACCGAGCTTGTCAAGTTGAGCATCCTGATCTTGCATCTGATCCTTTTGGCTTCGAAGTAAGCGTATGTTGACATCTGTATCTTCTTCCACGTCGTCGTGGTATTGCACTGGATACGTTGACCTGCTTGTTGACGCTTCGGCCAGGCTATGCTCTGGCACCGACGAAGTGGGTTGCGATGGTGCAAGAAGCAGACATCTGTTGGATTGTCGAGCCAGTTACAGCACTGTGAACTTCCAAGCAATTCCTCGCTTCTGCTCACGATTCATTCGTCCTTGATCGAACCTCTGTAGCCCATTCATCTGTCCCAAGCAAGTGGAGCAGGTTCTCCAAGTTTGTCTTAAGCTCCGTCACTGCATCCTCTGCCTCTCTGACCTCCTCAAGGCCAATGCGACCTGCTTTTGCCAGCCGATTCTTTTCTTCTAAATCCGCCGTCAGTTCGGTTGCGCTACTCGTGAGTGTTTTGATATTTTTCTCAATCAGCTTGTTGGTCGATGTCGACGCAGGTAGACCAAGGGAGATGGACCGGCTTCGTTCCTGAACGAGGGAGAGCGTCGCGGCATGGAGGACAGCGACGCGCGGTGAGGAGACTTGCGACATGTTTGCCGGCGGTAGCTGATGCCGAGGCGCTGATGCCGCGTAGACAGGATAGAATCAACAGGACAGCGTGAATATTCAAGGAAGATAGACGGGTCGCACAGGAGGGGCACTGGCTTCGATTCTGGAGCTCATCAATCGTCAGGTGTCAGATTTCAGATCGTAAGCGAACGAGCATAGGACAAAATCATTTGAGGTGAGGCGTTCGCGGTGGCAACATTAAACAAATGCAACTAAGCGTTGAGCATTTGAATGAGATCGTCTAGATTCCTCATGACAAATGAGGCTGAGACAGCAAGCAACCAAAAAGAAAAAGTAGGGTTGCACGTGCATCCAACCAGCTGAGAACTGATTTCTCCAACAAATACGTTCAACCTGTGATGGGATGAATGGGAATTGCAACATAATCCGTTTCACCTCTCTGCTTTGAACGACAGACAATCCAGAACCGAAGAAGCGTTTCATTTCTCTTCGTCTGCAGATCAAAGCCGAGCTCAAGCTCGAGCTTGCGTTTTATCATGCCCTCATCCCAGTCGGCATGCCGAATTTGTTTGTCAACTTGGCCGAGCGGCTCGCAGATTCTACCGCGCCCTGTGCAGAGGGGTGTGAAGAGTTATTCTACGCAGACGGTGGGCCATTGGTCTAGCAGAGGCCCTCGAATAGCCTCAAAGCTCTCCTTTCGATCATATCAGCATGTGCGAAGATACAATAGCCAGTCGGGCCTGGCGTCGGGAACGAGCGTGATTCAACAAGATGCTACCGTTGCAGCCGTGGCGGACCACTGGTTACCCATTCTACCGAGCCTTACGCATGCGCTGCAAGATCTTCCCGCCGCTTTGCATCTCTCAGGACCCTATGCAACCTCTTTTGCCATTGTCATCCTCACGTTGACGTTGAGGACCACCATCAGCTTACCCGTCACATTTTGGCAGCGCCGCAGATCCAGGAGGATGGTAGACCATGTTCTGCCAGAGTGGCAGGCTGCAAAGTCACGTCTGCCGGTCGAGATCGGCAAGAAGATGGCTCGAAGAAGGGCATCACGGGCTGAATACCAGCTAGAGCTCAACAAAGCGGTGAGAACTGGCTTACACCAGACCCAAGGTATCGGGTTCAAAGCTTTATTTAGTTGACTAAGTGTGCATTTCTGGCAGGCTCGCGAGACACTAGGATCGCTGATGAAGAAACACCGATGCGCTCCTATTCCCACATTTGTTGTCCCTCTTATTGTCAACATCCCAATATTCCTAGGCATATCTGCAATTATTCGCTACGGCTGTGTACCTCCAACGCCATGGGGGAACGAGATCGCGCCCTTTCCTTGGGCCGGTCCTAGCGCAGACTCTCAGGCAAGTTTCGCTGCGTCGATCAAGATCCTCATGGATCGTGGACTCGATGCCGAGCAGATCTCCATGCTCTCACCGAAGCAAGGACTAACGCTCATCGAACGAGATTACACTGGTTTCGGCCCACTAGCATTTGGCATGATTACCCTGCTTGGTGTCGAACTAGGCGCTTGGAGACGAAGGCTAACGGACCCCGAGCAAGTCCTACATGAAGGTGCCAAAGAGCACGAACCTAAACGGAAGACCCAACCACGGGCAGCATCGCCCCCTTCGCCTAAAGAGGACCGCACCGTCCGAGCAAAGAGCATTTCGATGCTCCGACAAACTGTCATTTCGAATACACTCAGAGCGGCCTCGATCGTTTTCGTTCCAATCGCCATGCAGGTTCCAAGCGTGAGTAATCCCTTTCTTCTTGGTTTCTCTTCTCGAGATGCTACTCCATATTGACTTAACTCTGGATCTTGCAGGCACTTCTCGTTTACTGGCTAGCCAATTCGGGCTACACAGTAGTGCAAAATGCGCTCTTGGCAGCGATGGAAGGGAAAGAGGGAAAGCAAAAATAGACTCCGAGTTGAGAGTCATGAAATGCATTACATGCACGCGTCTTCCCACCCTTGATCAATCGAGCAAGGGGACAGTGGTCCACTTGTTCACTTGCGTGTGATCTTGCTCCTCTTCTGCAGCGCTATCGCTTTGTATCTCGTCCTCCTTCATTTGAGCTTTCCGTTTCCCCTTACCTTCTTTCTTCCCTTGTTCGGAAGGGATGGGGACAACAGGCTCCTTGCGGCCGGTCGCGACCTCGTAACATACGCGACAAACCAGCATGTTTTCGCGCATGCCCTCCAGGCCAAAAGTAGTTTCCCTTGACGCTGAGTTCGGCGCATGCACGCGCTCGCCGCCAAAAACCAGCAGGTCTGGGAAACGTACGTCGCATATTCCGCACTTTCCGCCACGATAGTTGTCCGCTTTTCCTGTACGGCGAAAGAGGATACCCGGACGGATGACGGAGCCAGCAGCCAGGTAGGTGATGCGAGGTCCCAACACGGCTGCTTGATCCGTGTCGGCGTGTCGGAGACGGACGGAGCGTACGATGAAGATGTGTTGGCATGAACCACAATGCCAGAGCCAGTATGGTCGGCCTGTGCGGAGAGCAGGTAGCTTGTCGATTGTCATCTCGGATAACGAACGTGCACTTATAGATATCTCTTCCGGCTTGCAGCCAGATCGTTTTTCTGCAAGATGGGAACGCAATGTGCTGTGATGATGATCGAGAATTTGTCAGCTTGCTGGCAGGCATTGAGAAGTGAGAGACTGACCTTGCATAGCCCCTCACGACATCTTCACAGTAAATAACATCCTCGATGCAAAGGGCGCAGCCGCCATTCGCTGTGTGGTTGCTGTAGCTCGGCACGGCCCTGCCACCGCGGAGGGAATCACGGCTCTCTTCTGGAAGATCGTTCCACCTGCACATGACGGTGTCTCTGAAGAGCTTCAGCGAGCTTCGAGAATCAATCTCAAGTGACTGCGTCAATGTAAGCGCGCCATCGAGCTCATCCTGGGCTCTTCTCCTGTAGCTCAAAGGCGCCTTTGAGGTTGACTCCGACTCTGCAGGTTCGTCATCTGGACCCTCTCGAGGCGAATTGGCCTCAATACCTCCGAGTACCGCCTGCTCTTCGGATTTGTTGCGGGACATCCGTGCGACCGGCACAGATGTGCGCGAATAGATGTCCACGTCAAGGATGAGACCTTCGCCTTCTGAGAGACTGTTCTGCTGCGCGTCGAGTTGCAATTTGACGCGCGGCCCGATGCTGATGACGTCGGATACCAGAGTCGGCTGATGTAGGAGGTTTTGGCTGGACGGCGACACGCGCTGTGCGTAGGCACTGATCGCGGTGAGTGAGACTGCATTGCTCTCCGTTGCTGGGCGTTTCGCTGTCCACGAGATTGACGGAGATTCGTAGGAGGCAAACCGGAAAGACAGCGGTATCCGAGCGTCGAGTTCTTCAAGAAGGGTATTAACTTCAACGAGGTGAAAGACTCCTTCTTGCAGTCCATCATCCGGGCCCGTCGCCTGATGACCACCGTCGATACCGCCTCTTTTTCTCTTGCGGTAATTCTCTTGATTCTTCTGATTTGTCTGCCGAGCTTCCGTGGTAGACCAGTCCTCCCAGCGCTTCCGGAGTCTACGCAAGAGCTCTCCATCCTCATGTACGTGAGAAACACGCTGTCGGATTCTGCGGAGAGAAATGCGACGCTGCAATTCATCTTGTTCCGTTGCTTCAGGCTGAGCAGCTGACTCGTCTGCCAACGATTCATGATCCGAATTCAAAGCGTCCTGAATGGCTTGTTGCAGCTGAGAAATGCTAAAAGGAGGCGATGCAGATGCTGGAAGAGAGAACAATTCGGGAAGCACAGTGACATGCTCCTGCTCGTCCATTGCGACGGAATAGATTGACCGTCATCAAGGTTCCAGAGTCCTGATCCAAGGTACGATTCCGTGCTGGCACCATCTGCAATATGTTGCGGCATCCGATTTGACAGGTGAATCTTTGTCACTATGGGCGTTTCGATGCTGGACCGTGCCCGACTTGAGAGTTGAGCACGAGAGCAAATCGAAGAACGGTGGCTCAGTGGTGTAGGATCATAGCAGGCAGGACGTGTTCTTTCAGCGCAGCAAATGGCATGCCGATTTGCCGCACGATGTGTCGTAGAACCTAGGTGAACAAATCATTGAAGAAGGGCTGGGAACTGGGGCTGTGTATAGTGGTTGATCTAGACCAGACTCCCAGCAGATGTTGAAGGCCATTTGAGATAAGATCAAGATTCAAGACACGATCTTAAGAAGCAAACTTGGAGAAACGGCATAAGGGCATGTTGTGCGTGTGCATAGGAACTCCGAGTGCGACCTGGAGCTGGATCTTCATGCACAAGGGCTCATCAGACAAGGATGTGCCTCGTACGGGTACTCCACCTTTGTGGTCTACAGGTTCTGGTACTCCTTCCCACCGTGCCCATTCTTCTTGCTTGCGCCTCCGCCTGCGCCCCAGGCCTATGGCGACATGATCGTAATTCGTACCTTAGGCTAAAAGGTTTGCGGCGGGACTGCGGTCAGATTCAGTCCACCATGGTGTCTTCCCCTAGTTCGAGGGCGTCGCCCCTTACGAGCAAAAAGAGCAAATGTGCATGGTCTAGCCGAGCCTGTAGATCTAATTTGTGCGTTTAAATGTCTGTTAAACGCAGAGATTGAACTGCTCATTCTTTTGGATCGAAAAATTCTAAAGCGTCCCTATTTGCCCACTTCTTCCTGATTCCACCTTTAGCATCAAATGCTTCTAACCAAACATCTATTTTTCGCACTCCTTGCCCCTGCAGATACTCAAATGAGTCCGGCACCCTCGAGCTGAAGGACGATCATGTGAACGATCTCTGCGACAGTGTTCTGTGTGATGTCAACCTTCAGATCCGCCTCCTTTGGCTCCTCATAAACGTCATCGACACCCGTGAAGCCCTTGATTTCGCCCTTGCGCGCCTTGGCGTAGTTGCCTTTGCGGTCCGTGCGCTCGCAGTGCTCGAGCGGCGTGGCGACGTGCACGAGGAAGAAGTTGCCGCTGCCGCCCGTGCGCTGAACGGTGTCCTTGGCAAGTGCACGCGAGCGCTCGTATGGCGCAATCGGCGCAGCGATGACCGCAGCGCCAGCACGCGTCAGCTCGGCGGCGACGAAGGCGATGCGCTGGATATTCTTGTGCCTGTCCTCCGAGGAGAAGCCAAGCTCTGAAGAGAGCTCGGAGCGGACCGTCTCGCCAAGGAGTAGCGAGACGGAGCGCCCGCCTTGCTCGTTCAACTTGACCTGCAGCGCACGCGCAATCTTATCCTTACCCGAGTTGTGGAGGCCGGTGAGGAAAATGGTGAAACCCTGCTTGTTCTTCGGCGGGTAGCTCTCGCGCAACGTCTTGACGACGCTCTCGTAGCTGAACCAGTCCGGGATCGCCGCACCAGTCTTGAGGCGCTTGCGAAGCTCCGTACCGGAGATGTCCAACGTCTCTGTGCCCTTAGACACCTCGTCAACGGGCTGGTACTCGTCCAGCGACGGCACATACGTCATCTGCTGGAATGGCACCATCTCGATTCCAAGCTCCGATGCGTACTTGGTGACGAGTTTCTGCGCATCGTAAGGGCCGTAAAAGTCTTCCCCTTGAGAGTTCTTGCCCGGGCCAGCGTGGTCGCGGCCGACAATGAAGTGTGTGACACCAAAGTTCTTACGGATGATCGCGTGCCACACAGCCTCACGCGGCCCGCCCATGCGCATGGCAAGGGGCAACAACGCAAGGTGGGCCATTCCATTCGGGTAGCGCGGCATGAGGCTCTCGTAGACGCGCACACGCGTGTAGTGGTCCACATCTCCTGGCTTGGTCATGCCGACGACTGGGTGGATCAGCACATTGGCCTGGCGCTGGCGTGCAGCACGCACAGTGAGCTCACGGTGCGCGCGGTGCATTGGATTGCGCGTCTGGAACGCGACGACCTTTCGCCAGCTGACTTTGCTGAAGTGCGCACGCAGCTCCGTGGGGGTGTAGCGCAGCGCGACATAGTCAAAGTACTGCGGCTTCGAGACTGCCTGCACCGTCCCGCCGACGTACACATCCTTGACAGTCTTATGCAGGTAGGTGACAGCGGGATGTGCCATATCATCTGCACCGAACACGCTCTCCGCCTCCATCTGCTTCTGCGCAGGGTGTAGGTCCGAGACTATGCGCAAACAGCCAGGATGCAAGTTAGCCAGAGAGTGAGTGTGAAGGCATGGTGTAAGGAACCCACCGGTCAGGATAGCGAGGACATTGTCATCTCTCGGATCACGGAGAGCAACGCGAGCGCCCGTCTTTAGCCCAAGTTGCTCATGTTGCTCAGTCGAGATGTCCAGGGTAATGGGCATGGGCCAGAGACTTCCATCTGCGAGACGCATGTTCTTGCACACGCTAGGGACGGTGCAGAGATGGAGAGGTCAGTTGCCCTGGTTCTGATATAATTGGAGCCGATGAATGCCTTCTGCCTGTCTACCTTTCGTAGTCGGCCTTTCCCATGAAGCCCTCGAGTGGGGAGAAGCCTCCGTTTATGATCAGCTCCAAGTCACATAGTTGACGCTGGCAGATCGGAACAGCGTGAGATGAATCAACAACAGCAGCTAAACTCTCAGGGAGGAAAAGTGCTTCAATTCGCAGCGCTCACTTCTGTCAGGACAATTTCAGGAAGCGTGGCCGCCTCTTGCGCGAGCTGTGCAGCGATGGAAGCATCGCGAATGAGGAGGTCCTTCAGGACGCCACCGTGAGGTAGGTTCGCCATCGTATTTGAGTCGTAGACTTGGGAAGGGAAGATGATCGCTCAGGTTGTATATGGGAAGGAAGCGCTAGCTACTTGGTTGCTTTTCTGTGCAAGGTCGATGCTGTTTTGCGAAGGATGGACGGATGGATGAAGCATGCGAGCCTCCGAAGTTGTATGGGGGAGAGCGATGCCAAGTTCAGCGAGAGCCAATCTACGGTCGGAGATAACTCGGAGCAACGATAACGTGCTTGCCAGGGTCGGAACACGGAATCTGGGGAAGCTAATGTTTTGTTTTGCACCGAATTGCAGCGGGCAATTTCTGCCCCCCCAGGAAGCCCACTTTGGCTCACTCGCATCGCACGATCTCCTGCAGGGAAGAGGAGTGATCAAGCGAGTGATCGTCCAAGCCATGGTCTAACAAGAGGTACACTTGGTACAGGAATGCACTCTGCTTATATCCACCTTGATCGTGGGGTATAGCCGGCTGACTGCTGTCCGGACCTTGCTCTGGCTATGCACAGAAGAGTGATGGTAGCTTGCTACGTCTTGGGCCACAGGGTGGCGGTTAGGCCCGATGCTTGCGACGCTAGCGTTCTGTTCCACGCGCTCTTACAACAGCCGCCTCGGCAAGGTGTACGCTTCCTCGCTACTGCTATCCGCTCTGCACCTCGTTCACCGTCCCGGCTTGGAGCTGTAACTACGTCACTATCAAGCAAATCGAGAACGAGGCCTCAGTCATTAGGCTGCGAACAGAGCCGGCAAGAATGCATGCATTCTTCTGCTTTCAGCCGCTCGGTACACTCCTCACACGCGCAGGATCCGAACAGCAAAGCGCAGCGCAAAGCCGCATGGAAGCGTAATCAAAAGGTAAATGCCTTCAGCCAAATATAATAAAGGAAAATTCGGCTGACGCCTGCACGAATACTCATACTTCCTTTCCCTTCCCAAGGCGCCGACGTTCATCGACCGCTTAACGCTCCTCGTCTCCTCCGGACGGGGCGGTGATGGCTGCGTCTCTTTTGCACGTGAAAAATACAAGCAGTACGGCCCGCCCTCCGGTGGCCATGGCGGTGATGGTGGTGATGTGTGGCTCGTCGTTGATGAGGAGTTGAGCAGCTTGGCGCGAGTCGGCGGCGGAGGCGCCGGCAGCGCAGTCGACACGCAGCACGCCCCCATAAGCGGCACGTGGGCCAAGCCGGTGGCGGCAGGTGAACAGCTAGGATCATCTACTGCGACGCTTGGGTCGATGCTCCGTGCAAAGGATGCGGAGAACGGCCAGGGGAGTTTTTTGAGCGGTAAGAAAGCGGCAGACAGGATCGTGCGCGTTCCCGTCGGCACCATCGTCAAAGTTAAGTTTTTGCAGCCTTCCTACTTGGCCAAGGCTTCCGCAAAGCAGCGTGAGCATCACCGTCACAGCACTCGTAATTCCATTTCCGCTTCGAAAAGGGAAGGTCTCCAACTCAGCTCCAAAGAAGATGATGCCATCGACGGGACGAAAGCGTCAGATGAAGCAGATCACGAGGTGCACGAAACAAACTCAAGGGACGGTCATATTTCTTCTTCCGAGGACGACTCAGGAGAAACAGGCACAATGCGAGCGCTCTATGAAGACGAGCTCATCGCACGGTCTATCCGTATGACTCCCCGCCGATACCGACCAAGCATGCCGCTGGCGCTACTAGCGCCTAGCGCCCCAAAATCTTCTACCCAGGTAGCTTTCACGGCTGGTAAGCAAGATGGAAAATATGGCGGTTCCATTAACCATTGCGAGATCGAATATGAGCGGGCATTGGAGTTCAACCCAATGCACGAACTCGAGGACGAATACGAGCTCCGTGTCCAAAGCGAGCAGCTCAGCGCTGGCTCGGCCTGCGGTTTCGGACGCGAGCAGGAACATCATTTGGAGCGGCGCGCACATTGCGATACGCTCTGGCGACACTATCCACGCGGAAACGTGCACGTCGAAGAGGGTGAATTGGAAGAGTACTCCAGCAAGCGCTTCCGCGAGGCTGAGGCCCGCATCGGCGCCGCGCTGACCCGCCGGAGGGAGAAGAGGCTCAAAGAGTTCCTAGCATCCGTAGATGTTTTTGAACGCCAGAAGGTGGACAGGCACATGGAGAAGGAAAAGGTGTGGAAGGAAGCTGATCCTGACATGGCTGGCTTGAAGGTACAGGCCAGAGAGCAGGATGAGGAGTACGAGGGCTGGGATTACATTCTGGATCTTGACAAACCGACGCTGCACCCTTCGCAACTGATGGGTAACAGCAAATTCCTGCCATCCTCCCATTCTTCGCTTTCCTCCTCCGCACCCTCTTCAGCGCTGGCCGCTCCGATCCTCCTCGCTCGCGGCGGCTCTGGCGGCAGCGGCAACCCGTACTTCCTCTCCACTTCGAACCGCTCACCTAAGTTCGCCACGCGCGGTAGTGCCGGCGAGGTGGTCCTACTGCACCTGGCGCTCAAGTCGGCAGGGGACGTCGGGATGGTCGGTCTGCCGAATGCAGGCAAAAGCACCCTGCTGCAGGCACTCACGGGTGCTGATGGACGGAATGGCACGGGAAAAGTGGGCGGGTGGGCGTTTACGACGCTCAGTCCTGCTATGGGTGTCATGCGTCTCGGCAGGAGTGGGCGAGTGATAGGTACCGGCACCGACGTTATCAAAGAGACAGAAAAGAGAGCCAGGGATGGGTCGGCCATCACTGCCGAAGCGGATGCTACCGATGCTACAATTCTGGATAATGCAGCAGCTAGCAATTCGATCCCCTTCGACCATCCAATTGCACTGCAAGAAGAAGACAGTATTGAAGAAGAAGTGTACCGCCTCAAGATTGCCGATCTTCCCGGATTGATCCGTGGCGCATCCCAGAACATAGGGCTCGGTCATGCATTCCTACAGCACGTCGAGAGGTGCTCGATCCTCGTCTTTGTCATCGACCTCGCCGGTGGCCTCTCCGCCAGCGGCAAACCCAAGGACGCTGAGGGCGATGATCCTATCGAGACGCTCGAGACGCTATTCAATGAGCTGGAGGCGTACCAGCCAGGCTTAAGCGCACGCGCACAGCTTGTGATCGCCAATAAGGCCGATCTTCTTGGCTCCTCCACCGCTTCAGCAGAAGCTGCCTTGCCAGCAACGAAAGAAGCGGCCCGCGCGTCACTCGCGCGCCTGCGCACGTACGTCAATACGCGCATGTACGCTCTGCAGCGCGAAGCTGCTAAGCACGCTGGTGTGCAGCCACCGACGGAGCCGATGCAGGTCATCCCCGTCGCTGCCAAGTATCGGATGAACGTCAATGCCGTTGCGCAGAGGCTTGCAGAGATGTATCGACAGGTGCGGACCCGTCCGCTGCAGCAGGAGCAAGAGCGACAGCGCAAATCGGATGCAAATGAACGCACAGACTGGAAATAGAGCGTTCACTGCAATCATAATGAACTCAAATTCACATTTACGTAGGCTCCTAATGGTACAAGCTTGCGAGAGAAGAAGCATGGACAGTAAAACTACATAAGAAGCGAGATATGCATCGCTCATCCCAGCCTGGGCAGGCTCACGCCTTGGTGTGCACAGGCGACGGCGGGCGTTCAGCAGCAGCCTGCTTGAGCGCTGCAAGGCGCTGCTCCCACTTGGGCACGGAGAGCAATTTCTGCTCGAGCGCTTGCTTCTCCTCCTGCAGCGCAAGGCGCTTGTCTGCATCCAACTCTGTGAAGACGTAGTTGCCTTGGCCGTCGAATCTGGAGAATGGCGAAGACAATGATGTGAGCGCGACGATGCAAAGAAGAAGTAAAATCAGCCTTGGAGCGGAGGATGCACTCACTGTAGGACCCATGTGTGGTACTTCCAGAGCGAAGGGCGGTGCGAAACTGTCATCATCGTGATGCCAAGCTGCGTCGCATAGTCGTACATGACTTCAAAGTGCGGGAGTTAAAGATGGAAGAAGATGATGGGTGAATATCATTCCACGCTTGTGAAAGCACACCAGTCCCCTATTGCACTCACCCTTCTCAATCTCGAGGGTGACCGCACTGGTGCACTCATCGAGAATGGCGTATTTGGGCGCGTGGTAGAACAGCCTGGCCATGGCGATCCTCTGCTTGTCGCCACCGCTGAGCGCGTCCCTCCACTCGCGCTGTACGTCCCATCCGCCCTCGCGCTCGACGATGTGTTCGATCTGGACCACGCTAAGCACGCGCAGCAGGTCCTCGTCAGTCTTTCCCCGCGCGCGCATCTCAGTGACTGTGTGTGGGTAGATGACTTGGTCGCGCAGCGTACCGAGGCTGAGGTACGGACGCTGAGGGATGTACGTAAAGTCGCTCGGAGGTGGCTTGTGCACGACGCCGCCATAGACCGGCCAGAGGCCGCCGAGGATGCGGAACAGCGAGCTCTTGCCGCAGCCGTTGGGGCCGAGGATGAGGAGGTGCTGTCCTGCCTTGACGTCAAAGCTGAGGCTCTTGAGCAGCACATCGCCGTTTGGCGTCAGGATTGGCACGTTCTCAAACTTGACCTCGGCCTCCTCGACGATCTCGCCGCGGCCAGCAAGGACAGCGGCATTGGATTCAGTCCCGGCCGAGCTGACGAGCTTCTTCTGGAACTTGCCCGCTTTTACCTCATCCATCGTGTCGAGCAGCTGCGAAACACGCGCGGTGTAGCCGGCCAGCTCTGAAAGCTCCTTGTACGAGTACATGATACGCCCGAATGCGTCCGAGTTAGAAAGTAGCAGGCGACGGTTGGTGACGAAGGACTCCGTGCGCGAGCCGAGATTGCCGCCATCGCGCTTGCCTGCCACACCAGGGAACTTGACAAAGACCGGTACGGCGCAGACAACGAGTCCAATGCTACCCCACAGCCACTTGATGATGCCCTCCTCGACCATGCCGTGCCCGATACGAATGCGGTAGACACGGTTGACGTGCTTAATCAAGCTGAAGTAAGCGCGTTCGATGACGTTCTGCTCGTGGTGCTGACCGCGGTAGAAGGCAATCTCTTCTGCATTCTCGATCAGGCGGCTGTGGTAGAACCTGAACTCTCCCTCAAGCTGCTGCTCCTGTGCGGCGTACTGGCCGAAAGGTGGGGTCAGCTTGCGCAACAAGACTGCCGAGCCGTTGACCAGGATGGTCATCAGGATCAGCGCCTCTCCGCCAACGTTGCGCGAGAGCTGGAACGAGTAGAGGCACACGTCCAAGACGGGCTTGGCGAGATTGCTGTACATCTCTGCGAGGCTGTTGCTGAATTTCGCCACGTCAACCGTGATGAGTTGGTCGGCGTTTTTAATCCTGTCGTCCAAGTTGCCGAGCTTGTAGAACGTCATGTCGGTCAGGTACTTTCCTTGCACTTCGCGAGTCAGCGCTGTGCGATACGACAATGCGATCTTGGACTGGAGGTACTCGATCATGCTGTTCGTGTACGTCGCAGGTACTGCGACGGCCATCCACCATGCGATGCCTTTGAGGAACTCGCGCGGACGGGCGCGCACGAGCGCCGCAACGATGCGACCGTCAAGATCAGCCACGTAGAGCGACAGCATGGTGCGTAGGACCAGGAAGAATGTGTGCAGCAGCAGCAGAAGAGCCGTCTTGGACTTTGCAGAAGGAATGACGATGCGCATGATGCGCCCCAGCCGCTCAAAGAAAACTGCATCGACGGCAACACGCTGTGCTTTGCCATTGCTCTTCCCCTTCCTGCCCCCTCGCCCCGAGGAGGCAGACATGCCCTCCTTTTCCTCTGCCTGCAGCGCCAGCTGCGAAGTATCTCCCGCAGATCTCCGTTTCCGATCCTGTGCGCCACCTGCCTTCCCCTTGTTGATCTTCTTGGGTTTGGGCCGGAAGCCCGAGTAAGTGTTGTGAAAGACGAAGGCGATGAATGCGATTCGCCAGAAGCGTTGGATATTGTCGTAGTTGCGAGAGTAGGCCATGGCGCCGCGAATCCCGTAGCCCATGGCCTTTTCCTTGAGGTTGTCCAACAATGGACGCAGGCGCGAGTGGACCGGCATTGTGAAACGTCGAAATAGCAGTCTGTCTGTCTGGTCAACGGTCAAGGTCCTCCGGACCGTCAATGCTCCTCAAGCGCTTCCTGCGCGCTTCGCGATGGAGACGTTCCCGCAGCCCTGCTCGCGTTCCAAGAGGAGGCGGTGCTGTGTTAGGCAACAGGCTCAGGGCTGAATGTACTTCCTTCCTCTAGAGCGAGGGGTGCGATGTTGACGAGACGTACAACGCGAGAGTGCTTGCTAGAGTGCGAGAGAGCGACACCAAGCGAGACCAGGGGAGGTTAGCGGGGGGGGGGTTGTTAAGACGCGCCGGATCGAGAGTGCCGCTCGGGGCCGATCGCGTGCCAGTCAGCTGCAGCAACGTCCCCACGTGAGAGCGAAGATATGGGGCAGCAGCGGGTGTTGGCGGACTTGTCGGAAATAGGGTTATTTCACCATCAAATGTCATGTTGCCAGTCCAATCGAACATAGTAGGGCTGTGACCTTGGGCTCCAGGGTTGCGGAACACGGATTGCGGAACTCGCAGTCTCAGCCTTTTCGTCCGCAGGATCTCATCAAATAACCATACGCCTCTCTGGACCTCTTCATTGTCAATTCGCAATTCGCAAGTAGTTGATGGTCCAGCATCGCTTCTTCGACAAGAACTCAGCGTGCGTGCTCCTCTGCACGTTGGAGACTGTCGCACCTGGGGAGATGCATTCGAACGCAACTATAGGAGGCCGGCTTGGCTGAACCATCTCGAACCACCCTGCGCTTGGCCGGAACACCAACACATAGATACCACAGCCCAACATGCCCGCGGCGAGCACCAGCACGCGCGGCGGAGGGGCCTCCGCGTCCAAATCCAAGTCAAACAAGGACGGCAAGCTGTCATCCACCGAGGCACACTTTTACAATGTCATCTCCAAGCTTGAAGGCGGCCATGTCACCTCCGACGAGCTCAAGGATCACTTTGGCGAGTTCGACCTGCAAGAGCAGATGCATGCCATCAACGAGCTGCTTGCCAAAAACTTGCTCAAGACAGAAAGGGTCGGTGCGACCGCTCGCTGGGTGGCTGTGTCCAAGCAGCAGGCTGCGATCGTCGGAAGACTTGACTCGGATGAGCAGCTGGTGTACAACGCCATCAGAGATTCGGGCAACGAGGGTATCTGGAGCAAACACATCAAAGACCGCACAAAGCTCCATCAGACCGTGGCAAACAAGTGCTTGAAAGTGCTGGAGAACCAACGGATCATCAAGACCGTGAAGAGTGTCAAGGTGTGCATGACTCTGCCTCTGCAAAGACGTACAGCCGTACTTATAACGAGACAACATTCTCCCTCTTCTCACGCAGCATCCGACCAGGAAGATCTACATGCTCTATGAGCTCACACCCTCATCGGACATTTCTGGTGGACCATGGTACTCAGATACAGAGCTCGACACGGAGTTCATCCGCTTGCTCTGCTCCATCTGCGAGCACTACATCATATCTTGCACCTGGCCGGCGCCTTCCTCTTCCTCCTCCTCGAAGCCACCCGACATGGTCTTCCTCACGTCATATGCCGCTGCGCGGCTTCCGACGGCAGCGGATATCTTGCAGCACATCAGGCGCAGCAAGGTCATCAATGCAGACCTTGAGATCGAGCACGTTATGCAGATTCTCAATGTCCTCATCTTTGACGGCAAGGTGGAGAAGTTCCCCATGCTAAGCCACGATCGTGTAGTAGCAAGGGATGACGTCAGTGATGAGGAGAAGAACAGAAGAAGGAGCAGCAAGAGCAAAGGCAAAGGAAGGAGCACGTCAAAGTCTAGCAGTAGCAAGCGGTCGAAGCGCAAGGAAAGCAGTCACAAGTCACGGCGCGAAGACAGGTCGGACTCTAGCTCCGAGTCGGAGGGCGGGTCTGAGAGAAGTAATGATGAAGACGAAGACGAGCAAGGCAAGCGAAGCTCTCGCCACAGCAGCAAGAATGGCAAAAAGAAGAGCAAAAAGCGCCAGACCATAGAAGAAGAGCTGAACGCGGCCTTGGGCGAAAGCGATGATGACGATCTGCCTGACATTGGCGAGACGCTCGAGAGTGCTGCGAAGCGGAAGCGCAGCGGCGACGAGAGCACGAGCTCCTCGAAGAAGAAGCAGAAAACAGCCAAGGGGTCCTCGAGCAGCAAGGGCAAAGGCAAGAGAAGAAGAGCCGACTCGTCCGCTTCCAGTTCTGATAGCTCTGGCACCAACGACAGCGAGTCTGAGCAATCTCGCAGCGACTCAGAGTCAGATGAAGCGGACACTGGCTCGGATTCGGGCACGGGCGACGATTCGATCGCAGAGGACGAGCGGACGCGCATGGCAAAGATGGAGGGATCAACGTTCGTCTACCGCTCGATCCGCAAGATCTCCTCGATGCCGCTCGCATGGACCCAGGTCCCCTGCGGCCACTGCCCCGTCTTTGACTTCTGCACCAAGGACGGCCCAACGAACGCAGAAGAGTGCAGGTACTTTGACGAGTGGCTTGCCGAGGGCGCCGCCCGCGGCGACTTTGGGCCTGGCTCCTTGAGTGGTGCCCTGCGCAGGAAGGGCGGTAACGGTAAAGGCGGCGCCAAGCACAAGGGTGCCGCCAATGACAGTGGTGCCGGGCAGCATGGCAATCGGGACGATGGCAAAATGGACATTGCGTTGGAGGCAACAGGCGAGGAAGGTGGGGGCGCTGCCGTCGATTTCGACGAGAGCAATGTTACTAAGGGCGAAACCGGCACTGGCGGCGCATCTTCAAGCGCAGCTGAGGAAGAGCCGTACGACACATACGATGATATCGGTGATGATTGACCTTACGGGGAGGACACGTCTGCGCTTCTTGCTGTCGCATGTATTAGCCATAACGCAGCTGTCTGCCTTCTACGGTCTCTGCGAACCAATCCTCGTTGGCCCTGCGCTCCTGTGCGCTAGCAAGATTGAACGTGATACTCTTGCTCTGCGTGTACGCATGCAGCGCCTCTAGGCCGTTCTCCCTGCCGAGCCCCGAAGCAGAGAACACGCTGCCGTTGCTTGTTGCGATGAAGCCCCCCCAGATGGAAGATGGGTCGTTGCGGTGGTGGCCATTGACCCATACTACGCCGTTTGCGAGGCGCTTGGAGACACGGTGGGCACGAGAGAGCTGCAATTTCGGGGAGGACATGTCAATGACGAGCGAATTAATTTTAAGCCAAAAGCGAAGTGCAATCCTTGACGAGACGCACACTTTCAGTCCAGATGCTCGCACCGAGACCGTACTGACAGTCATTCGCCAGCTCGACCGCGTGCTCTTCGTCTCGAAAGGGACACAGCAGCACGACGGGCCCGAATACCTCTCCCTTCCAAATCTCACTTGCGCGCAGCCTCATTTCGTTCGCTGTCCCAATATCAGCCGCATCTCGAGCCAGGGTGAGCAGCGTCGGTGGGTAGAATGCGCCTTTTGCAAAGTCATATGATGTCGCGCTGAACTCTGTCTTGGGCGCCCCGCCCGCAAGCACCCTGAATCCGTCACTCTCGATTGCACGGTGTACAAAGCCATGCACCTTGTTCATGTGGGCTCGCGAGATGAGGGAGCCCATGCTCGTGCATGGTTCAGATGCTAGTATAAGAGAGAGGAGCGTAAGGATGGGAGATTGTAAACAGTCTTACAGGACCGTGATAGGCGGAAAGAGACTCACGATCGCCCATCCGTCGCTCAATACTCTGCGCGCGCTCGATAAAGCTCGCGACAAACTGGTCATATACATCTTGCTGCACGAGTACACGCGTCGCCGAGACGCATGTTTGGCCGCTAGCGACAAATGACGCAAAGCTGGCCCCCGCCACGGCGCTCTGCACGTCCGGCACGTCATCAAACACAACCAAGGGCGCCTTGCCGCCCAACTCAGCCGTGTAAGGGATGAGCAGCTCGCCGGCTTTGCGGCCCAAGACGCGCCCTGTTGCCGTTCCCCCCGTGAGGTCGATCTTGCGCACGACTGACGATGGGTGCGAGAGCAGATGGTTGCAGATAGGCGCTCCGGGGCCGGGGAGGATGGTGAGCAGGCCATCAGGCACTCCCGCCTCGCGTGCTAGTGCACCAAGCGTGAGTACCGTCAGCGGTGCCAGCTCGGACGCTTTGACAATCACGCTGTTTCCTGCCGCTAGTGCTACTGATATCTTCTTGACAGCGATAAGCAGAGCTGTAGCGAATTTTGACGGACGTCTTCAGCCCAGGTTGGGTCTGAAATGCGTTTAGGAGCACTCACGGTGGTTGAATGGTATAACTTGTAGTACCACACCGAGCGGCTGCCGCTCGATGGTATTAAGCATATCCCCCTTAACCGGCATGGTCCTGCCTTCCAGCGTGCGGATGAGCGCTGCGTAGTATTCGAACCACTCGCCAACCCTCGACAGCTGGGTCTTCATTTCGCGAATGCACCGGCCCGTCTGCAGCGTCTCTACCTCTGCGAGCTGCGACGCTTGGGCGGAGAGAAGGACGGAGAGGCGATGCAGGACAGCCGAGCGGACGTGCGCTGAAGACCACGGGGTGGAGCGAGACGTCAAGAATGCCTGTTGTGCGGTATGTAAAGCGTGATCCAGCTGAGCAGGAGATGGAATGTGCAGCCTTTGCGCCCGTCCGATGGAATCATAAGCCCAGGCAAAAAGTGTGTGAAACAAGTGGATCTTTCAACGAACCTGGATAGGGCTGTTCCATTTGCAGGGTTTTCGATCGGCATTGTATCTGTTGAAGCATCTTGGTGCTCTTTTCCTTCAATCCACGGATAAGCCTCTGGTGTACACGGCTTTGTCGAGATTGCGCGGCTGCAGCCATAATTTCGGACCGCGACGGTGCGAAGAAATGCTATCGGAGCAGGATTCAGCGTGGGCTCTGTTCGATGTCCTGGTCGTAGGCGGGGAGGCGAAAGGAAAGCGGTTGCTAGATGCAGCCGGTCACATTTTGTGAAGGAGGAGGCAGAATATCTGGGCGGGCTGGCATGTAGAAGTCTTGCTCTCATCTTGGAGGCAGATGCTGCGACGGGCCGGCGAAGCGCTGATGCAGTCAAACTTACACGCAACGTCTCATCTCATGCAGGTGTATGCTCACCTCAAAGCAACTATCTCGCCGCGGTCAAGATTTTCGTCTGTGATCCATATGCTCCCTCTTGGCTCGAATGGTATTTGATTGGCGTGTACTGATCCTCTCGAAATACGCTGTTGTAAGCATGCTTTCTAGGTTTGCTTAAGGCCGGAAGTAGAGCTGTCTCGTCCATTTTGTGATTGGCGTTGGGGGAAACTTTAAACTGCGAAATGAACGAGACAAATCATGGAAGATAAGATAGCGCTTGACACCATGCGGGGGACACTGGCGCAATCAATGACATAGCATCTTCCAAAACGTCCATATCTTGTGTCTCCTCACTACCTCTATCCTCCTTCGTTCAATCTTCAATTCAAGCACACAATCCATCGGCGCGGGCACCTGACCCTACGTCTTTTAGTGCAAGCCCGCATTTTTCTACCTGCAACTGGAAGTCCAGTCGGTCCAGAGACACCTGTGGCAGGCCAACCCATCGCAAGTCAACCCGTCCACAATGATGACTGTTCGTGTCGGGGTCCCACTGCGGCGTGCAGCCGTAAGCTCTCCTGTCGTATCTCAAGCGAGCAAAGTGCGCTGCGTGGAACATTTGTTCCAACCACGACCATTGCAAAAGCTGAGCACCTCCCCACTTCGCTCGATCGTACCCAGCTCTACCTCCACCACCTCTGCTTCCATCGTGAAGCACGCATCAGGCACAGATACCCCAGTCGGTACTCAACCACCAACACCACCTGCAGAGGCGCAGGTACCCGCGCATTCCGATGCTCAGTTCCAGATCCCGATCATCGACTTTGCCAACTTCTTGCAACCGCAGAATATCCTCGACAAGGTCCAGGTCGCGGATCAGTTGACTCAGGCTTTCAAGGCAAGGTGAGTGGGCAAACCAGGCCGCTGAATCGAAAAGGACCCGCTAACATGTGTCCTATCCCCACTGTTCTGAAATGACATGGCAGTGGCTTCGTCTATCTCAAAGGTCATGGTATCTCTTCCGGGCAGATTGCGAAGACATTCAAAGCGGTGAGGTATAAGCTTATCCGCTCTGACTAGCTGGAATGTGTCCGCTAAATATTACCTCTCCTAGGACAGTCTGTTGACTTCTTCAAGTTGCCGCTCGATGTTAAGAACAGTCTTGCTTGGAAAGGTGCGCCGAGCTGACCACAACGAGTTTCTATACCTTCGCAACGACCGCTAATTCCATGGGAGGTACCTCTTGTCTTCGATGCAGATCCAAGAGCGAACAGAGGCTACGTCGCCGAAGGTCGAGAGCGCGTGACGCAAGCCACATCAGCCGAGGAGATCGCCGCCTTGCGTGCCCAGACGCCCGATTGCAAGGAGAGCATGGAAATCGGTAAGGAGGATGACCCAGTCTGGCGCAACGAGTGGCCGCAGGAGGCCGCTTTACCCGGATATCGACGTACAATGCTCGATTTCCGTCATACAGCCCACGAGCTGCATCTGCAAATCATGCGTGCGCTGGCGATCGGCCTGGGGCTGTCGGAAAGCTTTTTCGACGACAAGTGTAACGAAGAGTGGCACACGCTCCGTCTGCTGCACTATCCTTCTGTCCCTGCAAAAGCGCTGGAAGGGGGTGGCAGCAGAGCGGGCGATCACAGCGACTACGGCTCCATCACGCTGCTGTTTCAGTGAGTTGTAAAAGCATTGGTATGCCCAATTTGCATTTATGAACGAGCTATTGTGCATTCAGAGACAAGGTTGGCGGCCTGGAGGTACAGAACCCGAATACCGGCACCTACATCCCTGCCAAACCTATCGACGATACGATTGTCATCAATGTAGGCGATCTCCTTGCTCGGTGGGTCGTTGCGCCGTAGGGCGCACGAATGCGCTTCCTTCGCTGACACTGCTTTGGTTTCGCGCACTGCATCCTTCGTTGTATCGGCCTTCGGCCGGTGCCTGCAGATGGTCAAATGACACGCTCCGCTCCACTCTGCACCGCGTTGTCGCTCCGCATGCGCAGTCATCGACCAGCATGACGCCGACGCGCTACTCGATCGCATATTTCTGCAATCCCAATGAGCACCAGCTGGTTGAGTGCCTGCCGACGTGCTTTGATGAGAAGAGGCCAAAGCGGTATGATGCCGTCAGTGAGTCATTATCACAAGCGTGCTGGAGAATGTGAATGCTGGGCTGTGATTGCAGGAGAGCTGACACATGTGCGCCTTGCCGTTTGCAGCTTCTGGAGACTACCTCGAAAAGAGACTGGCTGAGACATACAGCTGATGTATCCCCAGAGAGTGCTAGTGCGATCCTCGCAATGATAGTACTTTCGGGGATAGCATGAGAAGCTGAGAAATGTGCATTGGATCTGGATCAGCCCGCGACGCTTTTCATTGCGATCGTAGAGACCACCAATTCCTCTAGCGCCGAGTCTGAACCCTTGACTTCGGCCCCGAGGCTAGTGTTGCTCAGTTTGTATGCCTTTCGTATCTTGTCGACATCGGTATTCGCCGATAGACTTTGCACAAGACCTTGCGTATCGGGCTTCTGTTGTGCGAGGGATACCATCTGCTCGAGTAAGGACTTCTTGAATGTACTGCCGCTTGTTGATTCACTCGCCGAAACGCGAATGATGAGCAGGTCTTTCGTCTGCGGGCCTACGCCAAAATTTCGCAGTGCTTCACCGATCTGCAGAGATGACAAAGTAAACCGAAAAGAATTAGAGAATCGATGCTCAAAATGCCTAAACCCAGGCGCTCTCACATTGTTTGCGGGATGCAAAGCAAAGATGATCTCGCCATGGATACTTGCTGTGCGCATCCCACCCTGCACTCCCTCGCTGGCCGAGCCGCGCGAAGCGATCAGCAGCGCCTGGTGGACAGCAGTCAGAAGCTGCTGCAAGCTGAGGATCATTGCCGCGTCGATGAAGGCAAAATTGACAGCTTCTCTCTCCGCGTCGCCTGCAGCGTCTGCCGGCATGGCCGCAGCGGAGATCAACCGCTGGCGCAGCTTTGCGCCGCAGGTGATGGAGCGGAAGAGCGCAATATGCACATCTTGAAGCGCCTCGGGCATGTGCGGGAAGCTGTACGTCTCCATAATGCTCTTGCCCCGTGACTAGGCTGCTAACGCTGGGGTAGACCGAGCTTCCCGTAGGCCCAATGAAAGCGCGGAGCAGGCTTCACAATCAGCCAACTTCAGCAGCGCTTCTTGTGCAGGTACGATGGACTGAGTGGCCTCTGGCTCCTGGGGCTTCTTTGTCGCTAATCACTGGTCGCCGAGCTGCTGTCGACAAGAAGCGAGAAGCACATAAAAGGTGGAGCGAGAAATGCAAACAGGAACTACAAAGCAGGACTGCTGAGGATAGCCTGACTCTCATTCACTTAGGGTTTGTATGCTTAGGGTTGCGCACCTTCCCCAACACTTGCAAAGAGATAGAGATTGAGGATGAGATCCGCCTCCGTCTTTGAACCATCAGTGCATCAAACCACAGCATCATCCTCCAACCGAATGTCCTTCTCTCCTCCTCCGTCCCAGACAGTGCTGATCCACCATCGACACCTTTTCTCGTCGCTCAAACGTGCTGGACATCCAAAGTTATCGGAGTCCAATTCCCCATCATGGCTTCTCAATTCACTGCCTGGCTGCGGAGCCCTGCGGCGCGAGAGTACTTTTTTGTGAGTTGGGTGTGAACATGCCTTTGCTTCGAAGGTGCTGCTTTCTTGCCTGCTTCGCTTTTGCTAATGATCTGCTCTCCTTTCTCTGCCTTGCATTGCATCACGATCCTCGTTCCGCGTGCCTCTCGTATACTATTTGTAGTCGACACACTTCTGGGGCCCAGGTGAGCGAAGCCGCCGAACCATCAGTTGTCAACATCCAGACGAGCTGCGAGAAATTGACCATATCCACACTCTTTTCCTCTTATTCGCCTCTTTTGCATTGACCGGACCTCCAGTCGCAAACTGGGGTTTGCCGCTCGCAGCACTTGCGGATCTCAAGAAGGATGAAGAGATCATCTCAGGGTCCATGACCACCGCTATGGCGCTGTACTCGTTAGTCTACTCGATGTCCCCAATGCTCGCTTCTTGAACCGGCTGACTGGCTCTGTCTCTTTTCCTTTGCCATTCTGCTATTACTTTGCAACCCGCACCACTTGCATCGGTTCTTCGCTCTTCTACCTTTCACTTCGCTTGCCCAGCACGGTATTCATGCGCTTTGCATGGAGAGTACAACCGCGGAATTACCTTCTTTTTGCCTGCCACTTGACCAACGCTACTGCCCAAACAGGACAGCTCTTCCGATTCTGCGTGAGTGATCACGCCTTTGGCCTCTCTGTCAGGTGTCTACGGTCGTGCTAGAAATGCCGAACCCGACCGCGGCGGCTAATGCAAGGAGAAAACGTCGAACTGATGGTCAATCGACCTCTGCTCCCCCTCCAGAACTACCATTACTTTGGTGGGCGAGAAAAGGCGCTCGGAGGCGCTCCCAAACAGGCGACATCCGCCTAGTCTCTCTCCCTCGCTTCAGACCTCGCCTACCTTCGCCGGAGCGTGGCGTACCATTTCTCTCTATGCCCGCAAGAAATTTGGTACCATGTATAAATAGACTCGAATTCGGTTTTCCTTCGACATCGCTCTTCATTCTCTATTTGATCTCGTTCAAGCATGAATAGGCGTGCGGATGCCGTCTGTAGAGGTCTCAAAGTGATATGCAATACATGCGCGGTTACTAAAAAGGACAAAGAATGAAATCCGGGGGGGGGGTTACATACTTGTGCTCGTACAATAGCGCGTCCTGCATCTGCCCTTGATACCCAGCAAAGAAAAAAAAGACAATGCATATACATGCATGCATTTGGGCGTCACCGTATTTTACGAGCTATTGCGAAAGACCTCCCTTGCGTGTCACCACCAAAAGGTCCGCATCATGACGCCTGCTGCTTCTGCACCGGCGGCCCGCCGCGCGAAGAGCTCTCGGGGTAGGCGCTGCCGTGCGAGTGCTGGGATGTCAAAGTGGAGGAATAGTGGGACGCGCCACCAGCGACGGAGTGGTGGTGATGGTGGTGCGGTAGAAACTTGTGGACCGCTGCTGCCGATGACGATGATGCTGCTGCTGGTGGTGCTACACTTAGCGGAGACGGCAACTTTGATGCGTGATGCTGATGCTGGCTGTGGCTGTGTGCCCATGAAGACGGCGAAGGTTGCGGCTGACCAAGACTGGAGCGTGAAACCGGCGGGGAGGGCTTTTCGCTTCCATTCGCCGCTGCTGCTGCTGCACTTGGTGTGACACTTGATGTTTCCGCCGCCGCTGCTACTGCCGCCACTACTGCTGAGCCGAAGGCGGCATGCGTGACGCTCGCGGAGGGAGGTGGTGCATGTGAGTCACTCGGCAGCTCTGCTGATGTGCCAAGCGGTGTCATGCACGGCGACACTCGGCTGCGTCGATTTTTTGTTGCTCCTGCTCCTGCTGTTGCCGGCGGCTCCTTCTTTCGCGATGGAGCAGATGAGAAAAAGGGCGCTGCTGCAGGAGCCTTCGCCTTGTCCGCCGCCGCAGTGCCTCTGGCTCGTTTCAACCCGCTTCCGCTTCCGCTCACGTTGGCGTTGGTGCCGTCGCCGCTGCCTTCGAGCTGAGCGATGCGAGTCTCCAAGCGCTCGATGATGCTCGCCCAGTAGACGCGCTCCTCGCGCAGCCTGTGATCAAGAAGCTCATCAAAGTAGTGCGTGCTGCTCTGGAGCGTGTGCAGCAAAGCGTTGCTGCGCCCGACCTGGTCCTCCAACGTTGTCCGCAGCGCGCGGCTGTCCGCGACGCTGTCAAAGAACTGCGCGAAGAGTCCGACAAAATGCTGCTTTGAAGCCGCCGACGAGGGACCCGCGCTCGCCGCGTGTGCCTCCGCAGCGCCGGCGGATGATGCCGGCACCGCCGAGTGCGGCGGGTTGCCATGGTACGAGTACGATGACGAAGACGACGATGACGCGCGGGCCAGGAGTCCAGCAGACGCGGGCACCGGCTGTCCCGCGCTGGCTCCGCGCGAGAGCAGCGATGCAGCTGCCGAAGCGGGGCCGGGGCCCGCGGACGCCGAAGTCAGCATGGGCGTCGGCCCGTTGCTGATACCCGCCCCGTTCGCAGCTGCGGCCGCACCACTGGGCAGCAGCGGCCGGACAGCCGGCTTGGACGCCGCCAACGACGTGGATGGCAGCTGCACGCCGGTTTTGGGCGTCGGCGGGAGGCGGCCATTGCTGTCAAAGATCGGGCCGACGTACCTGCCGCCTGTGTTCGCAGCAGTCGGCGGCGGGGGCGGCAGCACGTGGTGGTGGGGATGATGTGCGTCGCCTGCGCCCGGTGCTCCCGCTCCGGCCGCGGCAGCCGCGGCGGCGGCCGCCGCAGCAAGCATCGCGGCACTCGGCGGCGTGCGGCCCGCCGTGGCAAGCGGAATGGACGACGCCGGCGTGCCGTATGCACCCGCGGGGTGGCTGACTATGCGCCAGCCGTACTGGCGGTGGTTGTTTGCAGTGTGGCGAAGGTAGCTGCTGCTGTTGTTGTTGTTGCGGAAATGGTGCTGGTGATAGTTATGCTGCTGTGTAGCAGGAAACAAAGCGTCTTGAGGGGTGGTGTCTTCCGCGAACGTCGTCTTGTACGGCGGCGCGCTATGTGCGACCATCATCGTCACCCCACCGGCGCCGCCGTCAGTGTTGCGGATGCCGAGCATGGTCGACGCGGCAGATGCGGTCGCAGCGGCGCTGTCGTCCGAGCCGCTGGACCGGTGCGAGTCCTGGCGCGCACGGCCCGGCGCCGCAGCTGGCGTCGCAACGGGGTGGTGGGCGTGTGCGTTGGAGTGGGAGTGCGCGAGGGAAGTAGAATGGTGGGAGTGGTGGTGGCAGTCACCGCCGTCTTTACTGGTCCTGATGCTCAGCTTACTCGCTTTGGCCTGCGCAATGTCGCCGCGGCGGCGTGCGATGCTCGACAGCGAGCTGGTCGACGATGCAATCGACGGTACGCGCTCATGCTCGGCATCGTCGCCCGGCGCGCCATCGTGCGGGTCCAGGCGTCCCGGGAAGCTGGACAGCATGGGTGGTAGGCGGAGCTTGGCAGCGCTGCCGTCAGTCGAGGTGGAGCGGGCGTGGTGCGCATGTGGATGAGCATGTGCATGTGCAGACGACAAGGCTGCGGCCGAAGCAGAAGCGACGAGGCCGCGCAGCGGGGGGAGCGCTGCGTCGCGCTCGATTGAATGCCGGCGCGGGAGCAGAGGTGCTGCTGCTGTTGCGGAGGACGAAGCGAGCGCGGAGGAGCGACGCGGCGGCAGCCCGTGTGCGCCGTCGCTGTCGGCGGCATCGGGCCTGGAATCGCTGCCGTAGCGCTCGGATGCGCTCTCGGCGTGGCTGCTGTGCACAGGCGACGGCGATGCCGACGCCTCGATGCGCCTGCGCTTCGCGCGATCGCGCCATTGCTCCTGCCGGTCCCCGTCACGCTCAGTCCGCAAGCCTCGCGGGTTGTCGTCGTCGTCGTGCTCGCGACCATCCATTGAATACTCTGATGGCCGGCCATGCGCTCTGACAGCTGCGGCTGCTGCCTCAGCCCCAGGATCGCCGCCATATTCGAACCCCTTCATGCTGTTCTTGCGCTTGTGGCTGGCAGCCGGCGACGGCTCCTCGTCGAGTCTGTCCCAGTCTCCTCTATTCTCCCACGAGCCCCCGTGGAGGCCCATGTTGCCTTGCGGATGGAGGTGATGTTGGTACATGCACCCCCTGCGAGACGCCGAGGCCCGAGAGTCAGGCTGACGGCACTAGGTATGTCCCAGCAGGCCGTCGCGTTCCGTCCCGGCGAGCTGCGGGCCTGCAGTGTCGGTGTCGGTGCCGTGTGTGTGTGCGGACCACCGGTCTTTGCCGCGCCAGCTTGGGAGGTCCAGCGACGAGTCGAGACTGGGGGGCCAAGGTGGTCAGTCTGCTCGTCTCGCGCTCACCTATGCTCCATGGGCTGGCTGTGAGCGTGAGATAGAGAGAGTGTGTGTCGGTGAGCGGGAACGGCGCATTTTGTGTTCCTTCCGGATCATGTGTGTGTGATAGCTCGCTGCTGCTGAGTCAAGCAAGGAGAATGACAGACGCAGCGCCGTCGAATGACACGGGCGCGTAATGGCGGAGTGGAGAGTGTTGTGGAGCCGCGCCGAACGGGCCGCAGAGGATTGTGGAGCGTTGTGGAGCAGCAGAACGCACAAAATAAACCTGGGCACTGCGCCCCTACCCCACCCAATTAGCACCTCCGCCTTGCTTCGTCTCCTACCTCGCCTGTCCGTCGCTCTGTCCTCTCTTCCAGTGGCCAGACAAAAGAGGACATGGCGGGTCCAAGGCCAGGGTGAGACAAAACATTCTTCAACCACATGCTCCATCCCTGCCGCGTTCCCTTGCACAGACTCCTTGGGCAAGTCTAGGTCGTCTCAAGCGGAATCCTCCCCCTTCCACCGACCCAGCGCAGCGCGACTCGACTCGCATCCCGCGTTACATAATGGCTCGCGTTGCAGTCCTTTTGCTTTCGCATTTGTAGTGTAGGAACGACCCGGAAACGAAAGACGGGCCTACCGCTAGCCAGCCGAGCAGCAGTATGGCGGCAAGCAAGCATGCCCAGTCTCAAACAATTAGCCGGCAGGGCCGCGACCGAGGCCTTGGCTCGTACTGCGCCAGTGAAGTGTATGCGCGAAGCCGCCTTGGCATTAGCAGCTACTACACAATGCAGATGGGTTCACGCGTAACATGACAGGGCAGCATGGTCTAATCAAGCGGTGGGCTTGCCCGTTCCCGCACTCTGGAACGCACCATGTATCTACATCGTTTCTGGTCTTTGGCGTGCAGCCCGCCGTGGGTCCTGTGCAGGAACTTCCAGACCGGCAAGCGCTGGAGCCTCCCGGCTGTTGCTCGCTGTGTACCTTTCTCCCTGCTGCATGTGTATCATGACCCGCGTCGCCCGCTGCTGCTGCTCAGATCCATGTCAAAGACGCTCAGCAGGGCAAAGCACGCGTAGAAGAGGCCCACGGGATACGCGACGAGGAACCGCTGGTCGCTCATGCGCAGGATCGAGACAAAAATGCCCGACGCGGACGACGAGCACCAGAGGATGAAGAGAGGCGCCAGGACGTAGCCAAAGATGCCGCTGCGACACGACGCATGTGCACAAGTTTCCCAAGTCAGCGTCAAAGAAAGCAGGAAAGGCACGGATATGCTCACTCGAGTCGGATCACGATGGAGACCGCGCTCAGGATGCAGAGCGGGAGGAGGCAATAGCCTAGCACAGAGGAGACGCGGTAGGCGTCTATCCCGCCCTCGGACATCATGTTCAGCAGCAGGTAGATCGCAATATCGCCCATCAGTCCGACGCCGTAGATGTAGCCGAATTGAGATTTGCCGGCCTGGAAAAAGAGCGAGGGAGGTGCAGGTATGCGCAGCAAGGACAGAGCGTGAGCATGCAGTGCCACGCCATCCCACGCCATCCCATACCATACCATACCATCCATGCCCATGTGAGCTAGAGATTCCGACGAAAGAGACGCACTCACCAGCAGGAGGAGCATGCCAAAGGCAAAGCAGAACATGAGCGGGCCTGCGAGATCCGCATCGTCCATCATGTGCACATCTCGCTGATGTGTCGCCGAGTAGTTGTGGAACGGGTTGAGCACGGTCAATGCCTTGCTCCGCACGTGCGTAAGATTGATGCCGAGCTCTGCCAGTGTATAGATGCATGTATGTCAGCGTGCGCCCCACGCTGGGCAGACTGAGCGCCAAGGCAAGCGCGCGTGACGAGCCGAACCAGGCATCGGAACACAGGCAGAAGCGGCCTCGACGACTCACCCTCCATCAGCCCCGGCTCATCAGGGAAGCCACCCGTACCGAAAGCGCTCCAGAAGCTCATTTGCCCCGCCATCATGTGGCTCCCTACCGCACCTTCATAGCCACCCGCGCCGGTCATGTTGCCCTCCAGGCTAGGGCGCCCATTGGAGCCGGTGTTGTACCCGTCGCTGCCGGTGTAGTGGCCCCCGGCCCCGCCTGCGCCAGCTGCTGAAGCAGTGGAGTGCTGCGAGTAGAACTGCAGGTTCGAGAGTCCTCCCGCTCCACCTCCAACTCCTCGAGCTGACGAGGCGGTTGCAGCTGAGCGCGACGATGGGCCATACGGATCATACGAAGAGCCGCCGCCGCCATACGGACTGCTTGCGTCAAAGATGGCAGACATCGTGCTTGCGTCCGATAAAGGCTGACCTTTCTCGCACGCAGTAATGATCTTCTCTGGCGAATCTCTACCATGCCAAAGGAGCGTGAAGAGAGGCACGCCTGAACATGTCAAGTTAGCCAGCACAAGTGTATACGTGACGGAATCAGGTGTTTTTGTTGGTGCGCCGTGCGCCATTTAACCGAGCGGCAAACCTGTGCGGAAGTAATATTAGGGTTAGCTTTGGTGTGCCGAATGCTGCTGCCCCAGACGTCGCTCACTTGGGCTCGCAACTTTGATTTTTCTTCGCTCGATCTGAATTATGTAATAGTACGGAACTCGGAATGCGCAAAATTGGCCAAGGATTTTGTAAGATTCGGGGAATCTGTGAACCAAATCACGGAAATCTGCGCGCCACCCGTGGCAATCCGGGCTCGACGCTCGCCCAAGCGGTCGGTCTGTATGCGGGTGGGTCATCATCCACGCGCTCAACTTTTCTCTACTACACGCATCACGAGCTCTAGCTCAAGCTCAAGCCCAATCGCCGCTGTCCACTCCAACGCAGACAGGCAGACGGTCGAATCATTTGCACTCGTGATTGCTCGAAATGGCAGCCCTCTTTCGACCGTGGCTGCCACGAGCGACGCTTGCGCTCGCCGGTCCGTCTCGGACGCCGAGCTCATCTGCCACCTTGCTACCTGTGCTCTCCGCTCGCCGCTTGCACCTCACGCGACCCGAGCGAGCCGCCGTCTCGGGTCCCTCGCCGGACGGGCTGGAGAACTCGACTTCAGCAGCGCAAGCTTCCGGATCTAGAGAGACCCTCGCACAAAATGCCAGGAGCTACAATGCTCCGCCGTCCGAGCGGCAGTCGGCCGTCCAAGCGGCCAAGGAGAGGAAGATGCGGCAGTACGAGGCGGTGCTGAAGCAGAAGGCGGCAGAGTGAGTGCTTTCTTTGTGCTTATCCGTGAAGCCAGAATGGGGCTCGTTGACTCACTTTTTGCGCATTCAGGCGTGGCCTGAAGTCTATTGAAGAGCTCAAAGCACAAGTCATTGCGGAAAAGGCGGCGCAAAAGCTGAGCTCAAAGCCCGCAGTCTCGTCCTCGCCGATAGAGGAGCGAGATGCCAAGGTTGCCGCTGATATTCGAGCCCGAGCAGAAGCCGAAGCGAAACGGAAGCTCGAAAGCGGCCAGCTGCATCCGACTTCCAATTGCAAGGGCCCCGTCAAGCCGCTGGACGAAATCCTGAACATCGAGAAGCTCATGCAGGAACCGCCCGATCGTATCCAGCAGCTGTGGACGGGCTATCACATGATGAGGAACAAGCTCTCCGCAGTCATTCCCGTCAGCGTGTATGAGACGCTGATCAGCACCGCAAGACGCTATCCGCAATTCGTCCTGCCTTTGCCACGTACGATCGTCGGCGGAGAGGCATCGCAAGATCCTCAGCATGCAGGTGCAGATGCAAACGCCACACAGGCGCAACAGGGCTACGAGATGCACTTCCTCGAATGGGGCTTCTTGCCTGCCCCCACCTCCATCCTATCTTCATCACGCACAGCAGCATCACCGTCCACCTTACCAGGCGGCGATAATGCAGCGCCCAAGCCTCTGCCCCCTCCGACGACGGTCCTCTTCACGCCCCTGGCGGAGTACAAGCTCCGGCAGGAGTTCGCGCAGCCGCTGCTAATCCTGACGCACTACACCGACCTGGCGCACGCCAAGGGCCTCGTCCTCATGCGCGGTGAGATCACCGACGCGGACGAAGCGCAAGCGGCGGGCGCGAGCGTAAAGGACGAGGAGCGCGTGGCGCAGCCGCATTCGCAGGGGCGCATGACGCAGCAGGATGCGCAGATGCTCAGCATATGCATGCAGCGCTTCTACCTCCCGGATCTGGGCAAACGCGACGCCAATTCCGGAGCCTACGTTGGCGCTGCTCAGCGCAGCCAGCTCCTGGAGGCTTTCCACTCGTCGCCACAGAACTTTGACGTGGAGAAACTCGTCGACGCGGCTTTCAAATTCTGAATCGGTTACCAAACGATCTGAACGCGGTCTCTTTTGAGAATTGTGAAGCTTTGAATCCTCGATAGGGAGCAACAAATTTTGCCTTCATGCGCCCTGCTTCATACTGTCACGTCGATAGAATGTCCCTTTCACATCTCAAACACATAAATGCCGCATGTTCCCCAAGTGTAGCTTCATAGTTCGGCCATTAGAGTCAATACGATTGTCCATGATGGTTTTGTTCCTCATCGTCCTCTTCATCATCACCACCTTTGTTCCACTGGCGAGCGCTAGAAGAAAGCGAAGCGCCGTTGCTGGCGTTCTTTAGCGCGTTCCTCCTCCTCCTCGGAGTCGTTGGTCGCCTGCGGTCGCAGCAGCTCGTCCTCTTCGCTCGAGGGCCTTCCGCCCTTACGCAGTGGATATTCCTTATCGGACCGTTGCTTCTCGCCCTCCCTGTTGAGCACCGAGGAGAGCCCAAACTCCGACTGACCTCCGCTTCCGTCCTCCGACAGAGCCGTCACATCTGCTGGACCCTTCTTGGCGTGCTCCCACATGGTCCGAATGTTATTGTTTACAGGCAAGGCTGGACCCACCGACCGCGGGACGGCGTACGGATCAATATATTTGCCCTGCTGTAATGCCGACGAGCTGCTCGGTCCACCTGGAGCTCCTTGTAATAGAGGTCCTCCGTGCGCTGCAGCCAACTGCGCACGCGCGTCATGGTGCGACTGCAAAGCGCCGCGCGGCTCGGTGTGGTAGACGCGCCGGACGATCTCTTCGTTGTTGTATTCGTCCGCAGGCGTAGCGCTGCTCGACATGGCCGTGCTGGTCGTCGTCCCGCTGAGGTCTGCTTCCTCGGACGTGGGCGTCAACACGGATAGAGTGGCCATGGCGCTGCCACCAGGCCCGAATCCGGGCCCGGCGAGGGGCGATCCAGGCACCTTTTCGCGGTCGTGGCCCTCTGTGCCGGATGCCCAAGAGATGGCTGTGTCGCGCTTGAGCGGCATCTGCGGCGGCATGGTAGATATTGCCCTGTCCGATGCGCTCGCCCCACCACCGCCGAGCGGCGAGCGCGGCACAGGCCCATCGTGCAGCTGATACCGCTCCACATCGTGTCCCACACCTCGGAGTGCACCCATCTCATCCCCTACGCGGTATTCGTCCGCACTGCTGTTGAAGCGCCTCGACAACCGGCTTGAGGAGCGTGCTCTGATGACAGACCCGACGATGCCCAGGCCTCCGCGGATCGTGTCCACACCGGGATCTTCGATCTGCGTACTCTCGCCCTTTTCAGACTGCCGGAGATGAGAGCGAGACGCTTTGAGGAGCATCGTCGTTGAGCGGTCGATGCCTGGTTTCTGCGCGAGATCTTCGGGATCGATCTTGCTCAGCTGTAGAATGGTGATTCCCACGCAGATGACGAGGAAACCAAGTACGATCGTGACGATGGCGACAACTGCGACAAGAAGAGGAGAACAGCACGTCAGGGTCAATACATTTTATGGTCCCATGCTCGCTGCTTACCAGACGCAGAAAGGCCCTGGAAGAGGACGATGGAAGTGACGAGCGTCATAAAGGTGAAAAGGACATAGTACGTCGGCGTCACCATGGCGGTGTTGAACAGCTCAAGCGCTTTGTTGAGGTAAATCTAGTGAGCAGAGAAAAGAAGTCAGAATGCCGAGTAGGTTGGCAACGGTTGCAATGAGCATCCGAGTGCCTCACTCACGATCTCTGTCACAAGCGTGACGATAACAAAGCCAAGGAGGAAATAGATGAACCAGTACTTGAACTGGTTCTGACCTCTGATGCTGAGCAAAATAGCGCTGCCGAGGCCGCTGGTGACACTGACGCTCAAACCGCCAATGACGCTGCAGATACTGATGTGCACCAGCATGTTCTTCTTGCCCCACTTTGGCACCGCAAAGAAGATGAGGCCCAGCGCAACGACGAGGCAGACGCCCGTCCAGGCGAGAAAGCCGGGTGCGATGAACATCTTCTCAAACACCTTGATCTGCCCGCTTGCATGCTGGTCTGGCCCATTCAGCGCGATGATCGTCGAGCCAAGGATGCAGAGGCCGCAGCCAAGCCAGCCGAACATGGAGAGCTTCTCTTCCAGGAAGAACGAGGAGAGGATGGCGGAGACCTGCGGTATGAGTAGCGATACAATGCTCATCAGCTTCATGAATAGCTTGCTTTCATAAAGTGCATCGCGGCAGTTCCACTTACAACAACGCTGAGCGCACCCATCGGAGTGACGAGGATGGCGTCGGTGAACGAATACGCGACGAGGTTCAGTACTTCGCCCAGGATCATGATGATCATCCCGCTCCACCAGAGCGGGCTCTTGAGGTAGCTCAGCCCTTCGCCGGCGGTGGAATTGAACTTCTTTTGCGCGGCGAGCAGGCCGCGCTTCTTGAGCACGAAGCTGGACCCGATGAAGAAACCACTGGAGATGGCCATGGCAATGCCGATGTACTTGAAGTATCCTGGGTTTGCTGCTCCGTCGTCACCCGCAGCGACCTTCGACTCGGACGCGAGCGCTTGCGACGCGGACGCCATCAGCGACGACAACGAGGCCATCGCCGAGGATGCAGAAGCAGTTGTATTGATTGACGTGGGAAGAGCGCCCGAGGCGGCGGCGTTGGCGCTCGATTCGGCAGCTTGCCGCGCTAGCAGCGCCAGCACTCGTGTTGGAGTTGGATTCATGTCGCTGGCTTTTCATATGCAAGGATAAAAAGAAACCTGGACCCAAAGGGAAGAGCCGTTCCGCACGCTTAGGGCGGGAACTCTTTTCGAGGGCGCACGAGAATTCGACAGAGCTCTGGCGAGGGGGTAGACTTCGAAGGTCAAGTTGTACTGCTGAGCGCATATGCTTGTGACAGGCTTGTGGCGGTGAGGTACGCAATGCTGCACAGGAGGTCGAAAGCGTTCCAGTAGGCTCTTGCAGGCTCTTCGTCGTTGACCAATGTCGAAGCAGTCAAGCGTCAGGGCGAATGAAGCTTTGCACAGATCACTGAGGCATTTGACTCTCAAGGGACTCCGACAACCCAAAATAGTGACACGGGCCGACGAGCACGGTAGATGCACGAATGGGGAGAGAGCGCTTGGAAGCGACGTTTGACTGCCGTGAAGGCGTCAACCCTGCTGCGGCACGTGCCGGTCGCTCAGCAAGACAGTAAGTCCACAGGCCCTGGACCGAAAAGAGCTCTGAAGTAAGGCGTTGAAGATGCGTAGATGTGTGAGAGAGCGAAGCTGTGCATGCGCCCTTCCAGCCAAGGAAAGTCGATGCGATGTGTTCGACCTCAGTTCCCAGCGTCGTTCCACCGCTCAGTTTGTCGGGGACCGGCGGGGTTTCGCACAGCTATCTGGCCTCGCAACTCGCTGGCTCACTGCATTCGATGCGACTGCCGGAAGCCTGCACACGCCAGGTTTGCAACTTGCGTGTTGAATTGGATTTCTACCAACAGGGGTCCTCGGCACCAGCTGCCGCTCAGAGGCTGCTCTCTGATGGGGGGGGTGCCTCTTGTGGGGCGGCAGTGGCTGTGTGGCGCTGGGGGCTTCCGGCCGCAAGCGGCACGACAGCACTGTGAGCACCATCGTCGCACTCGGCCGACAAAAAGGGGGCGGAACCCGCCTGGCACAGAACTGTGTGCCCACGGCTCCCTATCAGTCCACCACACGACAGTTGTCTCCGTCTGGTTTAGTGACCAAACATGCAGATTGCGGACTTCCAGCCGGGCCAGCTCGCGTTTTGTCCATCTGCAACAACCCCATGCCCCCCTACTCCACCAGCTTATCTCATGAGCATAATGTTTCCCTGCGCTGAAACTTGGAGAGCGAATGCCTGACCGAAAGGCCCGACTATCGTGCGTCCGGTCACCTGCAAACATGTGCGATCAACGAAAGCATGCAGCCCCTGTCCGTACTTGCACGTCAGCAAATGTTTGCATGCTACATTGTTTGCTGTGTCAGGCCCCTCGCAGGAGCGAGCTATGAAGAGCACACATGCATGCATGCATGCCGCACCATTTTCCCGTCCTTCGATCTGTCCATGCGCACACCCAGCACCATCAGTCTCGGCCCACGGAGGGCAAGTCGTCAGGTCGTGGCGCAGACGGAGGCACGACCAGCGGCAGTGGTACTGCTGCCGCGTCCGTCCATTGTATTGATGACGCTGCGTCACGGTCGCCGACAGCAACCATAACCTGGCCCACGCTGGCTCCTCCAGGACCCGGCACCGACGCGCCGTTATTGTTGTTCATGTTGGTGTTGGTGCTGTGTTCATTGGCGTTCTGGATCGCAGCCTCCGCGGCAGCGGCCCGCTTGCGGCGTGCCTTGCGCGATTCAAGCTCGTGCCATTCCCCTTGTACCTCTCGGAAGACCCTGCCATAACAAAGGCAGGTAGAGAATGTATGTGTGTGCACGGTCAGCTCAACAAACATTGAAAGCACCCATCCGAGAAGATATCCACTCACTCGATCGGAATTTGGGGAGGTGGCTCTTCTTCCGTAAAGTAAGGACTGGCGAGAGCTTCGGCAGCAGTAGCACGCCCCTGGGGGTCATAGTGCAGTAAGTCGAGCGCAAGGTCAAGCGCAGCAGGTGACAGCCATCTATTCATCACGAAAATGCAATGGAGCATAGGTTGAACAATCAGCGAACCGTTGTACGCGTCTCCGTTGGCCTCAACCATTATTCTACTCACTTTGAGAACACCCGACGGAACCGGGCAAGGTTCTCTTCCGCACTTCCGCACTTTTGGCCATTCCCGTTGACCTCTGGCGCAGCAGACTGAATGAGCCCAAACCACGGCAGCTCATCGACGTCGGCCCACCGCTCGCTGGTGAAAGGCCCGAGGATATCTGTGATGCATTGGATCTGATGGATCTCGTCGTTGCCCTGAAAGATTGGTTTACGCGCAAAGAGTTCTAGAAAGATCGCGCCGGCGCCCCACATGTCAACCTCGGCCCCGTACTGCGTCGCGCCATACAGAAGCTCCAGTGGACGATACCACAGCGTGATTACGCGGTTCGTGTGATCTTCGCCCCGCCGCTTGGCGTATAGTCGCGCTAGGCCGAAATCGGCGAGCTTGAGCAGACCGTTGCTGTTCACGAGCAAGTTCGAGCCTTTCAGGTCCCGATGCAGAATGCCTTTCTTGTGCAGGTACTCCAACCCTTCGAGCATCTGCTTGGCTAAGGACTTGATATGCTGCAGCTTGAACTCGATCGCTGGATTTGCCAACACGCCGTTCAGATCGTGCTCGAGATATTCGAAGATCATGTAGACAGAAGCTACGGCACCCGATAAATGTGAGTGAGAAGCTGCATTCTCACATTATCACGCTTCGACTCACCCTTTGACACCATCATCTCGTGCAGGCGTACGACGTTAGGATGGCGCAGCGCTTGCAGGATCTTGATCTCTCGCAAAGCAGTGATAGGAAACCCGTCCTTTTCCGACTCCATACGAATTTTCTTCAGGGCAACCAGCACACCGGTGTTCTCCGCTCTGGCCTTGAAGACTTGTCCGTATGTACCTTCACCGACCTGGTCGAGGCGGACGTATCCTTCGCACGGATGCGCCTTCTTGGGCGCCGATGCATACAACGCTCGTTCGGCGTCTTCCTGCTCCGCTTTCTTGGCCGCCTTGATCTCTTCTGCAGTCGCCTCTAGCTCCGGCGACAGCGCCCGCTCAGAGCCACTATTTTCCGGCCGATCAGCTTCTCGCTCCGCTCCACGGCCTCTGTGCATATCGAGAAGGACTTCCGGTGATCGAGATCTACCCCGTGCTCGTGGCAGATCGTCATCTTGAGTCATCATATGCTTTCCAGTGGCGCTCAAACAGCGATGACCGTCTTCACGATGCGGTCGTCGCCAATTTTGGAGATGTCGATCAGCCTTTTGATCTTCATCGTCCCAGCGGCGGCGTGAACGTATCCCTCGATCCCCCCGCCTATCTCTTTCTTCGCGCTCTCGATCCCGCCTCCGGTAGTATTCATCCCACCGCCGCTCTCTGTCCTCGCGTGAGCTTGCTTTCTCATCGACTGAATACCGCGGTTTAGTGCGCCTCGACTCGCTACTGCGCGCGCTTTCATTATCGTCGTCACGTTCTCGATCTCGATCTTGCCATCGCCTGTCGGCTGAGTTCTCACACGTCGATCGATGAGAGTCGCCTCTGACATACGCTTTACTGTGCCGGCGGCTGTCAGAATCTGATCGATGTTGGTCTGATGCTCTTCTCTCCCGCTCACGGCTTGCTGATCGTTCACGGTGGCGACCTATGGAGTCGCGTTCCCAATGCAAGTCAGAGCGACTTGGAGCGGCGTGGTCGTGAATGGACCTGGTGCCATCAGTGCGGTAGCGCTTTGGTGACCTCAGCGTTGATATAGACAATGGTGAGGTCTGTCGTTTGCGTACATGTTCCGCATAACTTTCTTTGGTTACATCGATGTCGCGCGCATGCTCCCGCCTCCTGAGGCGCTCGTGGTCTTGTGCATGATCTTCCCCACGATGTCTCTTGATGAATGTACGTTGAACTGAGGAGTCCGCCGACTTTAGCCCTTCGGCGCCAGACATCGCTGGCATCGTTGCCCTGTCAAGTGCATGCCTGTTGTTGAAGAACTTTGCTTCTATCGGCGTTCCATCTGTGCTTTCGTCATCGGCATGCTCGCCATTCACATTCGAGGAGTAATCTGCGGCTGGAAAGGAGGTCTCCATTTCCGTGAGCATAGTGGTTGAACCCAAGATGAGCTTGCAGTGTGACAGAAAGGTTGCAATACCCTGGGTTGTCGATCATCAGTAGCGTACCCAGAGTTGAATTTAACCTAGCTATGTAACGAAGGTAGGCTGTCGACATTGGGACATAAACATGCGTGAAGCAGAGGGTCAAGGGAGGTTAGATCAAGGCACAAATGAATTGAGAGCATGGCATCGTCACGAGCTTGGCCCTCACCTGCAGCACGTCGACCACGAAGAGGAAGCAATTGGGTACAATGTGCAGTCGATAAGCCAAACTGACCGTATGCCAGTCGCTGCGGACTGCGCAATGGTGTGAATGTTGCAGGCGAAGGTGGTGAGATAGTGAGACGATGAAAGCTGCGCAGAAAGGTTGCCCAAAGTTTTGCCTCTCACAGATGGCTCAGCGGCCCAAGTTGTTTCAAGTTGATATAATTGTAGCCGCTTGCGATGTCTGCAGGCTCTGAAGGAATCACAGTGTTGGAAGAACGGATGCCATTAATGTTGCCAGCCGACCCAGTGTGTCGTTGCGGCGGGCAGACGATGGTTCAGTGCACGGGTGGGGGAATCGATTCTCTATACGTGGGCTCTTGAAGAATCGCGCGTGTAGCGTGAGCCACGCATCCGAGCTTGACGTCTGAACACACAAAGGAGCAGTGCTCACAGATGGGCCGCTTCTGAAGCTTCGTTGCAAAGCTCTGCGTGTCTCCCAAGCGCCCCCAGAATCTGGCTTCAGCTTTCACTTCCGTTGGAAATCTCCGTGAACCCCCCGTCCTTTAAATCCAAGCCCTCGAGAGTCAGGATGGCCGCACCAAATTGTAGGCAATTGACGCCGGTCGAACGATTGTTGTCCTGCAGAATGAGTGTAGCAATACAGTGCTTGATCTGAGCCGGCTACCTGAAGTCGAGAATCTGACTTGCCCCAAACCGAGTATTCGAAGCAGTGGGAAGACTGTTATTGCTGGGCGAATGATTTGTCCAACGTGCTTTGAGACTGGCAAATACCATATACCAGATGCCAGTCACCGCGCACAGGGGAATGCGAGTATTGAGCGAGATCTTGAAAGCACTTTTCCGTAGCAGTATGCTGTTTGGGAGTCGCTCAATGTGTTTAGCATCTCCAACATCCTGACCCGAAGCAGCTCCATGCCTTAGAACTTGGGTTGCCAACGACTCATTCACCACACTAACCACAATAGAACCGCACCAAGAAAAAAAAGAATGTCGACACTCACCAGAGGAGAACGCGACGCGAAAGATGAGAAAGGTGATCAGCATTCAGAAATCAGGATCGATTTCTGATGAGAATCCAATCGTTGAAAGCTCAGGGTTTTGCATGATCTTGCTTTCATTCGATTGATGGATTACACAGACTGATGCCGGAAGAAGCAGAAACGGCAGCATGGAATCATGCTCAGCAGCCCGGCTGGACGGTCACGGCCAGGGGACGAGGCTGATGACATCAGGCGCTCCAGCACTGGCGACCTCCGGCTCGGCGGACTGCAACAACGACCACCCGCTCTGAGCCTTTTAAAGTCTCGTGCGGATGTGCATCAAGGGCTTCCCACGGAACAGGAACGGACTTTGCATGGCGTTCCGGCCGCAGACAGGCCATCGATTCCCATATACGATGGCACATCCGGGCCTAGAGGCATCTCTCATCTGGCCACCACTTCTAGGCAGAGCGTGCCACGACTGCATCCAGGAGTTGGCTCTGACTTTGACAGCTTCTCTGCCTCACAGCCAGCAACGTATTCTTGGAGGCGTGGTCACAGGTCAATCGTTTCAACTTCTGCCTCTCAGCCTCCGCTCGCTTCTAGCGATGCCAGACTTCCGCAGGACGCCGCCATCTCTCATAACTCTATCCCATCCGGATTGCTACATCGCGGCAGCCGCTATCCTTGTCGAATGCTACCAACGCTGAGCAGGGAACCGTGTACGTCTCAAACTTCAGCCGCTTCTGAAAGCAACAGGGGACCTTGCACCTTGCTACGAATGCCATCAAGATATCCGTACGCATCTTCCACCGGGGAAATCCAAGGAAACCGAGGCGATCACAGCAGCAGGGCAGCATTTGATTCCGGCGACTCTCAAGCTGACAAGTCATCGAACGATACCATTGTCTTGCACGATGATTCTTCCTGTCTCGATTTACCAGTTCTGAAGAAAGTCAAACTCAGTCCTATCAAGAAGAGTACACAACCTGCGAAACATACACTTTCGAAGTACAAGTCCTTGGTACCACGTTCAAAACAGCGGCCTCGGAAGGAACTTGAGGGAACGGTCAGCATGGGCGCGGCAGAGACTGGCCGCGAAGTTCAGATTTCTTCAGATAAAAATGAGATATGGAATGCTTGGAAGGCTGATGTGCGACGCCGGGGAAAGGCTGGACAGACAATGGAAAGCTCGTCAAAACAATATCAATTGACCTCTTCGTATCATCCAACGCCAAAGTGTCTTGCTCCTGCTTGTTCATCTTCCACACTGGGAAAAGTTGACGAGCAATCGCACGCGAGCCCACAAAATGCCGGAGGGGGGTTATCAATGCAATCAATCGGAGATCGATCAGACAGAAGGCCATATCAGAGCTTGGCAAGCTCAGAGGCACCTGGCCTCAAGATACCCGGCAGCAGGACGTCGGATGTTAGCTGGGAAACTTTGGTCAGCCATGACATCTCCCTCAAAGCGAGCTCTGCCTTAAGGTCAACCGCTTGGCCGCTCCGTAGATCAGGCCTGCTTGTCCGACATGTGCCATTGCGCGCCCCTTCTAAGTCACCAACCGTAAGCAAATCGCAACTCAGCTCGTCCCTACGTCGACGAGTCGAATCGAACATAGCCTTCTTGCATTCTGAGTTATCACCCGACTCGGGTCGCCAAGTCACAAGGGCTACTCGACATCCGAACCGAGCGGAGACAAATGGAGAGACCGATGAAATGGCAGATGAAAAGTTTGTTGCACTCACGAATGGTGCAGCAGAGCTCAAGGAAAGGGCCCAGAAGAAAGGAAGATCAGAGTTAGGCCAGGAAAAATCGCTTTCTAGAGAAGCGGTAAGCCTGTCGCCTGACGAAGACGACGAAGGCGGCGAAGAACTGCTGGCAGAAAAGCCTCTGCCGTTTGATGGGCGCCTGCTTGATCCAGAGCTTGTGGCAGAGCCGCAGGCAGAGAAAGAAGCATCAGCCAAGGCAGAAGACGTCCCTGCAGCTGAGGCAGATGTGGAGGCAAAAACAGAAGCACAATTGCGCGCCGAAGCCGATTCGACGCTTAAACCTGAAGCTGGGGCCCGAGGCGAAGAAGGGGCCGAAGCCGAAGCCAAATCTAAAACTAAAACAACAACAAAAACAAAAACCAAAGCTGAACCAGAGCCAGAAGGAAAAGCGGTGGCAGAAGCAGATGCCGAGGCAGAGGCAGAGGCGATCAAAGTTCAGATCACACACCCGAATGCAGCAAAGGCTGGGACGCAGCGTTCAGTTGGAAATTCAGCAGGTGAACGAGCAAAAGGCAAGGAGAAGTTGTATACCAAAACCACAGAGTCTCGGGAGCAAGAGTTACTCCCAGCACACCCATTCTTTTGCGAGGACGCGGTTTGGCGGGACGAACCGGAAGCAGGGTTGATCATCAAACGCACCAGGGATTCGATAGCCCGTGCTCGTTCGGTTGGATGGGTCGACCCCAACCTGCCTCCACCGAGGCTATCGAAGGGCACAATTGGGCGCAGAGATGACAAGGACTCAACAGGTAGCTCAGATGAAGCATGTTTAGGACGAAGGCCTGAGCTGGACGCGCTCAAGGCGTTGCTGGATGACACAGAGTCGCTTAGCAAGCGTCCGCGGCCATTCTACAACGATGCGATCTCCATCGGGTCTGAGACCGAGGAAGATGATGAGGAGCGGCCGTACGACTCCGAGGAGAACGAGAGGCAAAATCGACAAGCCGAGAAGCTGAACAAGCGAAAACGGCAAAGGAATGCTGCCGGAAAGTGCAAGCGGAGCATATTGTCGTCTCGTTCGAAAAGGAAGCAAACGCGATCAGTTTCGTCGGCGCGCAGACTTTCTATTATTTCAAACCGCAACGATGAGGACGCCTCGTCCAGAAAGAAGGCCCAAACGAGGAAGAGCAACGGCTTCGGTAGTACTGCGCCATCCATCTCTGAAGCATGGCTCGAAGCTCAAAACGCTGCTACTGCTCAGCTTGGGCCTCACATCCCTCGATCGCGCTCAGCATCTCCCCTTGCTCCACCATCTTTGCCAGACGTCGACCTGCATCCTCCGAGAAATGTAAAGCACATCGAAGCTCGACAGAGCCCGCTTACTGGCCTTCTCAGACATCGTATAGAACGTGAGCGGTCCACCGAGAACGTTTGCGACAAGATCACTGGGTATTGGGGCGGCGATGCATGGCGCTGGGAGCCATGGGTTATCCTCGATAAGGAGCAGCGGGCCCTCGTTCAGTGGAACTTGCGCTCTTTCCACCTCGGCGTCGCACTGCAGGTCTTGGAGTTGGCAAAAATGACCTCTGCAGACAAGGGATCTGGAGGCAGCGTTCCATTTGCAGCGTCACTTGCCATCAGCCAGGCAATCCTCCGACGTGATCCAGAGGAGAGTCACATTCAAGCAATCACGAGGAGAGACTTGTGGCGTGCAGCAGTATCGCTCGTGGGAATGGGTGAGCAAGCCTCTCTCGCTGGGCGCCCATGATGCACAAACCATACAGGGCAAGGCTGACACGGAACATTCCTTTGCATCAGAGTGCACTACATGGACATGAAAGCGTGTGCTGCAACGTGTGGCGCTCATACATCCAATTTACCCCCTACCTCCTATGATCATCTTGGTCATTCACAAGGGTGTTGGCGGCGTAATACTCGCATCAGTTTTGTCTATCCCCAAGATTTATTGCATGCATAATGTAGAATACCAAATGCGCAATGTAAAAAAATAGCGGTGAAGGTCTAGTAATAGTGGTGAAGCGAAGCGAAAGTCACGCTGGCGTGCCAACATCTGTCAGCGTCCCCAATGTTGTGCGCCGGGATCGGAACCATCCGTCATGCTGCCAAGCATGGGACCTGTGCCCCAGAAAGAAGCATTCTGGCCTTTGGGTGTATCATAGAGAAGCTTTGTACTGAGTCCAGATATCCACGGTATTGCATTGGCAAGCTGTTGCTCGTCGTCTGCGCTGATGAACGTCGGCTGCGGCAGGCCGCTGATGGCATGGTTTCCATGCATGCGGGGATCCTCACTAGGGTTCAACGCGCTGACGCTGCGAATGTGCGTGTCGTGTTGCGTGCGCTGGACGCCTTGCATCAGGTTAAATTGCTTCGCTGCAGGATGCGCGAAGGCATTGGTGACGTTCTGCTGCAATGACATGGGCTGCAGAGAGGCTCGGCGGGTATGGCTGGCATGCGAATGATTGGCCATTGCGACAGCAGCTGCAGCGTCATCTCTCTGGCGCCCGATGAGTCTCCCCACAGCACCATTGTCCGATCCGGTTGCTTGGTTGTCATTCTCTTGGACATCTCCGCTGGCGCACATGGTCGTAGACTCGTTCAGGCTGGATGCAGTCCGCCTCCTTTTATTCGGTCGATTCGGTGATGAGGCGCGAATACGCGGTGACTTGATGCGGCTGTCGATCGTAGGTGTGCGGCAGCTTTGCATCAGATCAGCCCGTGTTGGCTGAGAGGAGGATCGATACGATGAGGCCGATCGCATGGGTACTGAACTTGCATCCGTCGAAGTGCTAGGAGCGCTGCTGCTGGTAGCTTCATCGCCTGGGATTGGGTCAGGGGCGTTAAGACATGTCTGGATGAGCTCTCTTCCCTCGCGATCTCGGACAACTGGCTTCAGCTTGGGTGTGGAAAACGTGTACACGAGACCGGTCGAAGACACCACGAGCAGAAGAACCTGTGTGCCTGTGAGGGTGGCAAGCTCATAGGCCTGGTCATGGACGTTGCGAAGTCAGTCATGAACCGCCAACGATAAGACAGCGACGCGCCGGGCGTACCTTCTTCATAATGCCGGCTTTGCGTTTGCTGAAAGTGATATGACGCCTTGCGTCATCTTCAATGAATGAAATGTTGATCTTGCGGCGACCCGTCTTCGAGTCCTGCTTCCCCTTGACGGCAGCCTTTGCTTTGGCCATGCCAGCTTTGCCTTTTCCCTGAGGACTGCTTGATACTTTACCTTTGACTTTGGCGGCAGACGCGGTGGTAGCTGTTGGCGCTTCATCGTCGTCTTCATCGTCGTCCGAATCCAAACCATGAATATCCTCATCACACTCCTGCTCGCCGAGTTCGTTTAACCCGAGTGCGCCACTTCCGCCTGAGAAGAGTCTCTGCTGCGCTTCCGTGGCCAGCTGAATGGAACCATATGGTAAGGTATAGACCTGGTTGTGATCGCTTGTGTGCAAAGTGGTTTGAGGAGACGCCATCATACTCATCGGGTCGACAAGGTGAAGTGAGGTTGAGCCGTGGGACGAGGCTTGTCTCTGATTGTTCCTTGGATCGACAGATGATGGAGGCAGCGGCTGCAGAGGAGCGAGTGGCGAACTGGAGTCGCTGGTGGAGTGACTCTCCGCGGGACTTAGGCTGCTGGTGTCGAGATGCGGCGACAGGTAATGGGAGGAGAGAAGACCAGGATGTACCGGGTGATCGGAGCTCATGTAAGCGGCGTGGTCTTGATTGGAAGAGTGGGACATGGCGGACAAGAACATGTCTTTGCTCTGTTCGTTGGAGGATCTGCGCCCGATGAAAGCGAGGCCACCTGGAAGGCTCGAGTACAGATCCAGGTCCTGAACGAAGTTGATTTCGCCACTGGATGCAATACGGACAGGGGGTACGCCCTTTTGATGCGCCGGGTTAACTTCACGTGGGCTCGGCAGCCGTTTGCGAGGTGACAGGCGCGGCGAGTCAACTCCCGAGCTAGCCCGAGGTACCGAAGACATGAAGCTGATGAGTCAGAGCAAAAGACGATAATGAGCAGTTGTACCGCCCTGGGACACCTGATTCAGATCAACAAGCTCGACTAGTCATTCGACGTGAAGGTGCAAGTGATGAGAGCTGCAAGAGGTAGAGATCGCGATACAAGTCGAAGATGCCGACCGTCGATAATCAGCCTGAACTTGTACCCCAGGGTCGTGCGTGGCCTGCAATGACGATGAGATGTGGTGGAAACTTGTGCTTACTTGGTGAAAGCTCTTGTACGCTGATGCGAATTGCGAATGTAAGTCTCCCAACGATTCAGGGGTCCCCAGAATCCGGGGAGGTCAACATTGCTATGAGATGAAAGCAGGCACAGGGAGTCGACGAGTAAATCGAACATCAATGTGCATCTGTGAAGAATCTAGCAGGCCCAGACCTGCCAGCTAGGCGAGTCAATAGTCAGGAGAAGGGACTAGAGTGAGCGAAGTCTTGGAGTCTGGCTTGAAGCTTCAATGGTTACAGAACCTTGTTGCAGGCGCAGCGTATTACACGTGTATGTAAGTAGATCCATCAACTGTATCTTTGACAGTACAGAAGGCCGCCAGGCTAATTGCCACGGTGCGCAAGAGTGAACTGGTCAGTACATAGACATTGAAATAGTAAATAAGAGAAGCAGGGAGAAGCGCACGATGGACCAGCGAGTGTGCGCCTGTAGCGCTGTATGGATGCCACAAAGCGCTCTCACAGGCTCCCAAGCGTCAGATGCCCTTCTATCCAGCAGCCGTCAGCTATGAAATATTGTTGGCGATGTCCAGCAGTGTCCATACTCCGGCGCCTCAGAGTACTGCCTACTCCAATTCTCGGCGCAGTGTAGCACTGTGTAGCAACGATGTCAAAGTCAACGTTGGCCGTTCGACGGTTCGACCTGTCGAGTTTGACCGCTCTGACAAACTCTCAATACCGAAGAACCGACCGGCGACATTGTGCCGACGACTACCGGGCGCCGATCAGGAATTCAGGATACGCAGGTCGAGGCTCCGCACGTTACTGGAGACTAGCGGTCTCAGACTCTCTGCAGGCGCAGACGTCACAGTCAGAATCAGCAATGATGAACCACAGAAAAGTATTGCTCATTTCATAGGTGTGTCACTTTGCACGGCGCCACTCCACATGCACTGCCAGCATTCCACTGCTCTTCCCCTTCCCCACACTCCCAACGGTCGGACGCTTACTGCGGTTGGCGCGCAGCGAGCGGGATAAGCGTGTGACTATATTTTTCCTCGCCCACTTACTCCGAATGCCGAAGTTCATTGGGAGTGCCGCGTGAACCAGCACAACCCTACCTTTCAACGTGGCCTGATTGGACACATCACGTGATTTGCTGTAGCTGGATTCGCGCTTCGGTGTGACAGACGCGTGTAGATAAAACAGCAACCCAACAGGGCTATGAAGTCTGGTGCCAGCCACGTCGCGAGCATCGCAAATTGTCTGGCGACGAAGACCTGAACAAGCGTACAGGCCTTCAAGCCAAGCCCACAAGGCTTGACACAATTCGGCTGATTCGCACTTCGTTATCCTTTAAAGTAAGAGCCCTTTCCAGCCCCAAAGCGTCGGGAATTTGATTGCCAGAGCTCCGGCGCTCAAGATTGACACTGTCGCAATATGCCGGTATAAGGTGTAACCTAGCTCTGCTGAAGCACGCACACCCTGCAAGGAGAATCGCTCAAACCTACAGCTGCCATTGCAAGGCCATTATTTCAGCTCCACCACCCTTGACCATCCAGTGGCCCGAGTGGCAACTGGTAGAAACCGCGCAATACTAATTTGCATTGGGATATTGCCAGGCTTGTATTTCTTGCGAGATGTTCAGCAAAGCCCCGCGCAAAGGGCCATTTAGCCGTGAGTTCGTGCCTTTCCATTTATGATGGCCCGTGCTGCGGGATATTCATGTATAGCCCATACCCCACCCCCTCTTGGTGTTGCATCAATCCAGCGCCGGCGGACACCCCAGGTCCGAACACATATGATCCTCAGCCGGAAAACACTAACAAGTACAAACGCGGTGCTATGTTCGACTCCGATGCGAGGATGAAGTACTCGCAAGGGAAACAGCTCGCTCCTGGTGAGCTCTTGATAATGGGAGATATCACCACGCTCGCAGCCAGCCTGACGGGTTTCTCTCGCTCGTGGGGCAGACTCAATTGAAACTCTACCTCTGGGAAAGTCTGCCAAAGAAAATACCCTGACCGTGAAATCCATACAGAATCGCTCTTCCGACGCGAACAAGCTACAAGAACGCTTAACGAAGGCGGAAGCAAAGGTGGAATGTCTGCAGAGAGAGAAGACCACGCTTACCAATGAGAAAACAAACATCATCACTGATCTTCGTGAGTATCTGGATGGGAAGTGCTTTTTGACTATTACGATTAATGCAAATGCCATATCATTTCGCGAAGGCCTTTCGAATCAACGTGCCGAGAAGCTCAAGGCACAGCTTGAGAAGAGTGAAGAAAAAGCGGCAGCTTTTCGGGATAAAGCATCAAAGTCCACTGTGGACGATGTCACTGCTCGGGACCGTCTGAACACGCTTGTGAGGCTGCACGAGGAGTCAAAGCAGCATCAAGCAGAAGAGCTTGCGAGAGGGCAGCGACAATTCGCGGAACGAAAAGCTGCACACAAGACCAGAGAAGAGGCTTCCAAGCAAGAAGTTGCTTCGCTGCGAGCTGAGCTGGCTCATCAGCAGGAATTGGCTCAGAAAGAAGCAAAAGACCTGGCTCTGGGCTATTCAGGTGCTGTTGCGGAGGCCAATATCTTGCGGCGAGCTCTTAGCAAAGCGGAGCAGGTGCAACTGGAGCAGCAGAGACAGATATACGACCTCGAAGGAACCCTATCAGCTGCTAGAGCTCAACTCAGCGAAGACATGGAGAGACTTGGGCAGGAGCACGAGTATCTCGCCGAAGAAAACGAGCACCTTCGACAAGACCTCCATGATCAGGAGCTAGCTATGACCCTGGAAGTGGGCGAAAAAGTCGAAGCCGAGGTCGAACTCGCCCAGTTACGACATAACCTCTGCGTGATGCAAGACGTTGTGCTCGCGACCGTAGCAGAAGTACATCATATGGAAAGAGTGCTAGAAGCAACTACACTGGAGAATGATGGACTTGTCGTCCAGAATTCGCTTCTTGTCCAGCGCTTCAAAGAGCAGGAGGCGAAGGTGCAGCAGCTGTGTGCAGCTTCAGATCAAGCGCAAAACAACCAGAGAGTCGATTATGCAATACTTGCGTCCTTGCAAGCCGATATCGACACACTGCTCCAGCTTCGCCACGACGATTCAAATCTGCCTGCCCAGCTCCATCTTGATGCTGAAGGTATCGAACAGGAGCGAGCTGAATGGCGCGAGGAGCGAAAAACCCTTGCGTTCGCTTTGGACCTTGCGCGGAGAGAGTCGGATGTCCTCCGTGTGGAGAACATTCGGATGCTCGCCCTCATGGAGGATGTTCGATGCAGGGTGACAGATAATGCAACCGCAAAGTTGCTCGCCGAGAAGGAGTTGTCAGCGCTTCGTTCGGAGGCAGATGAGCTGCGAAAGGGAGCAAGTGCTCGTGACAAGGAGGTCTTGACATTGCGGAAAGAGCGAAACGGTTTCGACGACCAACTGCATCAGCTGCAAAAATATGAGTGGGAGGATCAAGCAGAGTTGCGAGAATTACGGGACGAGCTTAAAACAGTTACTGAAGAGCTTGAAAGTGCAAAGGGACACATCAAGGCGATCATCCGCAACCTTGGCCATGCAAAGGCAAAAGAAGAGCATTTGCAAAAGCAAAACTTGGTGTGAGCTTGCTGAGGCGATAGCCATGGTAAAAGTCTGGGGGCTCATCTGTTGTCTTGTTTGAATAGACTTGAGGAAGCACTTGACAGCGCAGTCAAATATGAGCGGGCATACGAAGCTCTGCAAGTCGAAGCACAGGCTCTAATCAGCCGAAACGCTCTTGCGGAAGAGGAGGCAGCAGCACTCTCAGCGATCAATGCCGAGTTGGTCGGGCACACCAACCCCTTCCAGAAGGTGCATCACATCAGCAAGATCAGAAGGGAGCTCGATGAATGTAAACAGCAGCTCATCGCTGCCTATATCGAGCGCGACGAAGCAGTCAAACAGCATCAGTTGCTTGCAGACCAGCTCGCCATGTTCCGCAGTCTCGACATGCCCCTCAACTTACGGCCGGCTACCAACCTCACACGCGTCCAGCGGCCTCCGCCATCCTCTGCTCCAGACTTGTCAACGCTACGATTAGCCAACTCCACCGCTTCATCCCAGGGCGCCCCAACTGCTCGACGCTCAGCTGCGCCACTGAAGGCATCTCGGGCAAGTCTCATCCGACCCTCACGACTAGCTGTCTCGCAGGTTGGCTCGGTCTCCACTGCCCAACGCGCACGGAAATCCATTCAGCACCTTCATGTGAGGAGGGTACATATCCCATACGAAGGCGAGGATGGGCCGGAATTGTTCCACGAAGATCAATGGAAAGACGAAGAGATGACTCTGCAGGAGCTGGGGTGGCGAAATGCATAATTCTGTAGGCTACAGCGTCAATCTTGAAAGGAATGTGTCTGCGAACCACTTGCTTCCTGGCGAGGCTACCACCACCTTGATGGGAAAAGGTGAAGAGTCCCCGTCCTGCTCAACCAGCGGTTTCTTGATGGATCCATTCTGCTTCAAGTCTTTCATTGCCTGATTCTCTCCTGCGCTACTCTTGTGGTAGCCCCGTCGGTCGATGACACACATCCCTCGCGTGATGGATCCATCTATCTCCATTTTAAATACTCTCTCTTGCGTTTGCCAACCAGGCATAGAACCAAATATTGCATACGCCACCGCAAGCGGATCGTGCGCGATGAAGTTGTCGTGCAGCTGTGGGTCGAATGCATCCGGAGGAGCGAATGAGTTCATTACGGTGCGCGGTTGGCTCAAGAAGGCGGACACAAATCTCGAGAGAGGTGAAGCTGAAGACAAAGTACTCTGAGACTTTACGAGCTGGCTGAAAGGAACCAAGTGCTGATGGGTGATGTCTAACGGTAGTAAGTGAATCGGCAAAGGTTGACCATTCAAGCTTGGGTGCATCCGTGGAATTTCGAGAAGAACGGCCGCTGCATATGGATCCGCAAAGAAATTGAACTCTGATGTTGGGGTTGTGTTTCCAGCATGGTCCAGAGCGCCCCCCATGACGGCTATTTGGCCGACCTTTGCAAAAGTCTTCGGGTCTTTCTGCCATGCCAGAGCCAAATTTGTCAAAGGTCCCACGGCGGCTATGTACACTGTACCCGGCGGCTCTGCAGCTAAGATGTCTAGAATCGCGTCGCATGCGTCCTTGGAGGAAGGATCAACCGGCTGAAAAGGATGAAAGTCTTCCTTGGGCTCCGGGAAAGGGTCTCCCGGCAGGAAAGAGACGGAAGAAAGGCCATCCCGCCCATGACTGCAAAAGTAACACGGAAAGATCAGACAAGGGACATGATATGCCGCTTGCGAATTCCTAGCCTCACAAGTAAGACGCAGTGAAAGCATTGCCTGCAAGAGGGCCTGTTGCTCCTGAATAAACCGGGATCTTTCTAGCGCTAGGTCCGACCGACCTTTGTAGGAGCTCTTGAGTCCTAGGTCGCTCATCTGATTCTAGATGCTCCTTCAATACGCCCCCGAGCCTGAGGACATTGGAAAGAGCGTAATCAAGTGTTGTGTTGCCGAATGTGAGGGTCAGAGCGGCAATTTCAACCTCTTCTGAGGCCAATGCGAGTACAATGGAGAGTATGTCGTCAACGCCTGGGTCAGTGCTATAGAGGAGGGAAGTCAGTGAGAGATGCTCAGACCCGGAAGCGTACCATGATGGACTTACTCTATGATCAGCTTCCGTGGAGGAGACATTACGGCGCTTCGCAAAAGCAATTCACACCTCGCCACGAACGCGCCTCTATAGAAATAGACAGGAGTTGCTGCGGATATTGGAAGGCAACAGCAGCCTTGAATGATGGAAGAAGCATTGCTGTAACGTAGTAGAAAGAAAGCATGGGCCGAACCCAGTGCATGTGTGATGTACCTGGCTATCATATTGCAGGAGGATGGGCAGTCACCAGTTGGTCTGAGCGCGGTGGCAAAAATGGTTAAATTCTTCGAAATGTGCGTTGGAATCGGGGGAGGTACTTCGCGATCCTTCCAGTGCATGTAAGTTTGTACTTAAACAAATCATGCGGAATCGGGTGGATATCGGCTGGTATCGTGGTTGAAATCCTACGCTTCACACTACACCTCAAGTCTCGTCCTCTCTTGGTTCTTTGTGTGCGCCACTCTCAGTTGTAACTCCTGAATTATAGTCACGCGGAAATCGGAATGTCGGGATTATCGTCGCTGGCCCCTCTCCTGATTCTCAAGAACGTTGAGCCGTCAGCCTTAGCAATCAACACGATGATGATTGAAGTTCCCTATCTGAACCACACTACAAGCCTGCCTATAAAGTCGAAGGATTGCATACAATGGAGGCGATCCGCCATTCTGTTCCGGCACTGAATCAAATTACAACCACCTGACGCCAGCCTGTGCCTGCTCAAATCTATCCATGGCCTCATCTGCTGCTTGCCGCATTTCTGATGCCATACGATACACCTCTGTGTCCGGGCGGTTATAGATGAGACTGTTGGCGAACATCTGATTGAGCGCTCGTCGGAGCTGAGCAGGGGTGCGTATGGTTGAATCCTTGATTTTGCTGCGGATTGTCTTGAGATCCATCGGGTGTCTGATCAGCTGATAGTAGTCCGGCGCGTCCTATAAAAATAGCCCTGATCAGCATCGCATCGTGGAGTGTCGATCGCAAGCTGGATCAGACTGACCTGTTCTTTGATTGGCGCATTGAAGAGATTCCCATGTGTGTGGTTACCTACTTCATTGACCAGCATCAGAAGCACATTCACGTTCTTCTTCCTCTGCTTCTCCGTGTCCTCGTCTGTAGCAGCTGCTTGTGTAGGCGCGGCGAACCCAGCTTTGCGGCCCTTATCCCTGGAGGACTTGGCCCTTGTTGTAGGCTGCCGCCGCCCTTTTCCCTTCTCATCTTCCTCATCATCATCTTCTTCATCTCCATCGACTTCTTTGGGGCCCTTGTCCTTCTCTGCCTGCTCTTCCTCATCGGCCGCATCCACCTCGGCCTCGAGATCCGCGTGAGTTGCAGACACGCCCTCCTTCGCAGGCTCCTCCTCAAGAGGCTCGGCGAACTCACGCTCCGCAGCAGCTGATCCAGCGGCGCTTGGATTCCGGGAGTCTTCATCCTCATCAGCCGCCACACCTCGCCCACGCGTGCTTCGGCGGGTACTTGCACGCATCGGAGCTTTGTCTTCAGTCGTCACCGATGAACGTCTGCGATTCCGTTTTTCGCGCGGTGTGTCCAGTGTCTCCTCCACTACGGCATCGGTGGTTGCGGATGTCCGTCGCGATGAGCCACCAGCAGGCGGGCCACCATCTTTCTCAGACCCGTCTCTCTTCCGCTTGCTGCTACGCAGCGGCCTTTCCGATTTTGCGTCCATTTCGTCGTCGGGCGTAGGCTCTCGGGTGTTTTCTGCTGATTCTGTCTCCTCTGTTTCCGCTTCTATTGCGCGTCTCTTAGCCTTGCGTCCAATCGGCTTCACCTCGTCTTCTGCAGGTTCCGACGACTCTCGAGCCTGCGCTTTGCGCTTTCCAGCACGAGTAGCAGGTGCAGAGCCCTCTTTCTCGAAAGCTGGGTCGACATCTTTCGCAGGTGACTCATTGTCGCCTTTGGCTTCCTCGGATGCTTTCTCAGCAGTTGGTAATTCTGCCGAAGCTTCTGACACTGCTTCTGGCTTTGCGGTGCCAATCTGTAACTCATCTTTTAAAATCGACTCTGTTGTCTGCGTGTCAGATTGCGTCTGCGTGTCCTTTGTTTCTCGTGTTTCTGATGGCTCTTGGGCTTCTGGAATCACTTCAGCACTCTTTGGAGGTGGTGCATTGAGCTTAGTCGGGTTCTTAGGAGGTAGAGTTTTGGCCGCTACCGCTCTGATAGAAGAGCGCTTTTCCCGACCTGCTCTTGGAGGCGTCAAAACCTCTTTGGCGGATTCCGGTGCATGAACTTTGGCGGCTGTAGTATCCAGCAAGGTTTCCTCTGCGTCCTGCTTCTCTAGAAGATCAAGTTGAACAACAAGATCCCTAAGATCAAGCGACCAAGGTCAATACCACGCTCTGCGAGCACCTCAGATCGATTGGCTTACCTGTATTTCGTCTCTTTTTCCACGATTGCTGCCTGTAGTCCCATGATTCTTTCGACGTAAAGCAGCTGGCAGAGAGCTAGCTTGGATTGCTCGTCTGAGCGTGGCCTTGGGCCACAAGCCTTGACGTCCTCCGCTGCATTTCTCTTGTCTTGCACTGGATGGTCCTCGACAAGTCCACGCTGCCTCATCAGTGCCACCCAAGCCCGCTTGCACCCTTGCACGCTGAAGACCTTCTCCGGAGTCGTGCCTTGCTTTTCGAGTGAAGCGACTCGCGCCTCGTCCTTAATGAGCGAATGGTTAAGCAGGGCTTCTGACACCTGTTTCCAGTCAAGCGCCGGTTTGCTCAGTTCGAGCACAGCTTGAGCAAGAAGTAGGCAATCGCGACTGTCGAAATGCGCTAGTATGTCTGATTGGGGGCCAGCCTTTGGCAATGGACGCAGCGGGTTCGCCGTAGCTGCATCTGAATCTGCCGCCCCTCGCGCTGTGAGAGGTTGAATGATGGACATGGCGACAGCTTCAGGCGATGCTTGCTTCTGTCTACTGAAACCACCTATCCAGCAAAAACTGCAAGTAGAGCAAGACGTTGAGGAAGAAAGCCGGTGCGATCCAAACAACAACAGAAGTCATACACCGCTGGCTAGCCACACGCGTTGGGTTGGTTCACCCACCAGGGGCTTACTACAACCGTAACATCTTCCTATATAGCGAGCTCGTGGGCCACGTCACTTGAAGAAGCAAAGCCACGTTCCCCCCTCCCCGCGGCGGCAGTGAGGACCTTGCGCCCAATTGAGCCTGCTGCTGCATGATTAAAAAGGGTAGTCGCGATTGAGTACAACCAGCACGGCAAGTGTGCCTGAACGACGTAATGGCTTCCAGCGTATCCACTGCCCTCGACAAATGGCGCGAGATCGACCTTCCATCCTTACAATCTTTAGTCTCCCCACTCCCAGATCAGTTGTTATCAGCGCAGAAAGAGAGCCTTGTGTCTCGAAAGCGGCTCGCAGAATCGACCAAAGAGTTCAAGAAACAATCTGACGAAACGAAGGTCGAAACGTTCAAAGGATTACTCAAGGCGTACCAGTCAGAGATCGATTCTCTCACAAAACGAGCTCAAAGCGCTGAAAATGCATTCTTGCGGATATGGAAGGCTCCTTCAGGCATCGAAGGGGCGCCAGATCCCTATCCTATGCTTGAGATCCTGGTAGATCAGGCAATGGCGATCAGCGACGCCGAGAACCTCAAGAGCAAACACGAGGCACTCCAGCAGTCGTATGAAGATCTGCTTCGCAAGACAGAAGCGAATTCTTCCTTAGAGACCGACAGGGATTCAATTCAAGCACGCTTGGTTAACCTCGAATCCTCGTTGGAGCAGCGTGTAAAAGACAGGACACAAAGTCTGGAGCGGGAATGGGCTGCCAAGTTGGATGAACGTTTACGCAACCACAATGAGGAAGAAGCGGAGTCGAAGAAGGAGATCGCGCGCCTAAAAAGCCAAGTGAGAGAGCTTAGATCACAAGAAGAGGAGGTCACAAAGCGTGGGATCAGTCAGCAAAATGAGGCCGACTCAGGCTTCGATGGCCACGCAATGAACTCTTCAAGCGTCAACGCTGATATGGAGATGATGATCTCGGAGCTTGAGAGGGCACAACGACGGGCTAGCGATCTCGAGACAAGGAACGAGGCGCTCAGAGCTGAGCTCGAAGCTGCTCGTCACGGCCAAGAGACGGTCGCAAGCGTACAGGCGTTTGAACATGAAAAAGCGAACCTGGCAGACGAAAATCGCAAACTGAAAGCCCTTGTCGATCGGCGGGAAAAGTCAGAAAGGGAGGCGAAGTCTCAAGAAGACGCTCGCAAGCGGGATGCCGAGAAGATGCTAGACAGCAAAGAGAAAGAGCTTTCTCTGCTTCGAGGAAAGCTTGAACGCCAACAGGACTATGAGGAAATCAAGCGAGAGCTGATGATCCTGCGATCGATCGAATTTAGCGACGACGATACGGATGGAGAAGCTCAAGTAGCCGCTGAAAGTTCTTCGAGCGGGCTTGAAGCGTCACTGCTGCGCAAAAACAGAAAGCTTCAGGATGAAGTCACCACTCTCCGGGTTCAAGCGACCGAGTCGAGCTCGGGCATGCGGCAGAGTGCGGAAGAAGTCAAGTCGCTAAGGGCTGAACTCGCTCGGCTTAAGAGCCTCAATCAGCGCTTGGAGAACGACCTGGTTTCGCTCAACGGTCCGACACACACCAAGCCACCCAAAAGTGGCAAGACCGATCCCCAGTCGCCAGCGCCCAACGACGTGGCTGTTGCCGCCAGTTCCTTCCCGGCAGGGACAGTCGCTTCTTCTGCGAATGCAGAAAGCGGGATCCTTCCTATCATCACCTCCCAGCGCGATCGCTTCCGCACAAGAAATGCAGAGCTGGAGGAAGAGCTGCGGAAGCAAGCGCACGTTGTCACTGAGCTGCGCAGCGAAGTTTCGAAGCTGCAAGCCGACAACTTGGGGCTGTATGAGAAGCTGCGGTACCTGCAAACGTACGGGTCGGAAGGAGCGACAGGCAGCAATACGCCCAACGGCGCCGGCGGCAGCAGCAGCGTGACAATCGGCGTCTCCGCGCACACAGACGCGAGCGGCGCGTATCCGCCACTATCTGGCGACAATTTTTCTCAACGGCGAGAGGATCGCTACAGGCAGAAGTATGAAGAAAGGATGGACCCGTTTCAAGCGTTCAGGGGCAGAGTGAGTGGATTTGCTTCAGATACGGACCTGGCAAGGTTCATCTGCATACAATTGTTGACACTCTGATCCGATGCTTGCGCAGGAACAATTTCGCGCGCTCACAACGCTCAACCCGCTGGAGCGATTACTACATACGCTCACCAGACTGGTGCTCGGGCACAGGAGGATGCGCATCGCATTCATGGTATACACGCTTGCTATCCACATTCTGGTCTTCTTCATGCTGTTTGAGTCCACTGTTAGGTGAGTGCATGCTCTTCCATCGTGTCTGGGTGGTAACGACGCTGACGAGAATGATCATGTCGCTATCTTGCAGCGCTGGGACTATAAGCCGGTCGACTCCTGTCGAGAGCTCGCCGCCTGCGGCGTAAGCATGATCTGTGCTGTTCGTAGACAACTTGCAATGCATAATCATCTATCTCGCAGAAAGCACTGTTTCGATGTGTTCGTCTGACGATGGCTTCTTGTGCTTATAATGGCTCACTTTCCGAGCAGCCTGGTTCCACGCCGCAATGTCGAGTTGGTCCGAGATGCGAAATTGAATGGCTTGGAGGACACAGTCATCGCACTTCTCGTTGGAAGCACCTGGAATCTCTTTCCGCTCGAGATATCCGGTGCATTGGACCTTGTCGCCCAAACCCGGCGTATAGACTGAAGGATCCTCCAGACACGATGAGAGGTCGATTGCAAGTGAGGGCGGTGCTACACCAGTTGACCGAGCGGACGCCTCGAAGCCTGCTGAGTTGAAGACGGCTGTGCTGGACAGATCAGAAACGACGCAGGTCGCAGAGCCTGGGTCGATCATGGTCACACTACAGATTTGGATGTTGTTGATTGATCTCAGTGTTGAATCATACTCGTCACTGCGCGGAACTTTGCCTGCAGTTGGTGCACTCACGTTCCCGCGACTTTCAACTTACTGCGCTCATCTCTCGTGACGATGATGTCAGCAAGCGGCAAAATCAGCGCTCGAGAAGGTGTGACGGCGTCGGTCGTTGGCATAGCCACTAGACTTCAAAGGCTTCCCCGTTCTTGCGGCCATCCGCAAATGCAAGACTGAAATGTATGTGCACTTCTGCTGCGCCGTTTTCCGTAAACTAATCGCAAATGCTTGTTGAAGGAGCCTTACTGTTCGCGCGAGGGCCGCCGCCTGCCAGTTGCTCTCGACGCGTGTTGGTGTTGCTCGAGACACGCAGCTTCGACGCAGAGAGGAATTCCGATGACTGTGCGCAACGTCAACTCATCCTTCAATCTGAAGACTCAAGGTTGTTCGTTTAGGGCCTCCATGAGGCCCTTCATCTACGTATGTATTTTCCTTGACTTTCTCGAATCAGCAGGCTGCGTGGCTTGGTGGGTAATCTGTCAGAGTATCCAATTCGCCGCGGCAGTCGAGACATCGAGAGGATGACTAAAGAACGAGGCAGCGCCGCAGCGAGAGGTCATGTGTGTATGTATGTAAAGAGGCTGAGAGAGCACATGGTCACGGGAAATGGATTCTGGTGGGATGTTTGCGGCGCGCCTGCGGCTTTGGGCCAGCGGTGCCATCCGCTGGGGCCAAAGCGTATGTATGTACGTAAGTCTTTACATGCATGTCGGCGGACGAGAAGGTGATGATAGGCAAGAAAAGAGACACAAAAGGTAAAAAGAAAGAAAGGGTAGACTGACGTAATCCTGTTACTCCGCTCATTTCGCCGCGTATGTTTAGCGTGTCGGAAGCGCCGAGCGGTACGGGTATGGGTTCTTCGCGCAAACCCTATATTTGAATACATTGGATATGTACGTAGGTAATCGTCTTCTGACTTTTGACTTGTTGCCTTTGTGCAGGCTTGTAGAGCCAATCATCTTTTCCAACATCCCAGGGTCCAGCCGGCTCCGTAGTCCTTGCAAAACAGTCCATCAAGCAATCGCATAAAATACGGTCGCAATGCAACGAGGAAGTAAGCCTTTGTGTGTGAGAGTGTGTATGTGGAACCCCGTAGCACAGAAGCCCAAGAATGATTGTTAAACGGCTTCGCAGACTGATGGATGTTTGCCACGAATGTCAGTTTCGAGTCGACTCTTTCATTCGATTAAATCCGACAAAGGGAGTCGATTGCTGGTCTTTAAGCCAAATGTCCAAGCTTCAATATTCAAGCCTTTGTGGCCATAGGCAGAAGTGCAAGCTTCAGAGAATGCTGGCAGGACGCGGCTGGACCATATATAGACAAATGCTGGCTCTCGAGCCGCGTCCTGCAGCTCTTCTTCCTCCTCCTCCTCCTCCTCCTCCTCCTGCCATCTCTCTGCTTTTGGAAAAGACTGCCTTTACTTGGGCTCACCGTCTATTTTTCGAAGGCTTTTAGGGACGGCTTCCAAGTTCAGCGAGAAGTCCACGCGCCCTGATGGCGGCAGCATTCACAACGCCTCCCAGGTGCGCGGCGCTGCGCCCGTCGTACAACTCTCCGAGACTCATCAACGTCGAGCGCTTTGACCCGAACTCGGCGTTCAACTCGCCGAAGGGTCACATCGATAGGCTAGCGCCTACTCAGGCTCCCACTTCGCCTTTCAACTCAGCGCATGATCATGTGCACTCCAAATGCGTCATAAGTTCCACCATGTATGCCAGCAGCACCACATCAGACTTGCCATCTATGCACCACATGCTCAACACTCCCAGGTCGACCGCCACGTCCTCCTCGGCTTCTCCATCCCCAGGTGTGACCTTCCGAAGTACCCCTTCAGAAGAAGGTACTGATGGCGGGAGAAACAAGGACCACGGATCACCGTATTCTCTGCAGAATATCTCGATTGGAAGCAATGGCTTCATGGGATGGACCGGGTTCGGTCAGAGTATTGCGGCGAAGCACTTGCGCATAGCGAACAAGAGTAGCTGGTGAGTTTGGTGCTTAAAGGTGTGCATTTCAATTTAAACGTTTTCAAATGATCAAGACCCCTGTCCTTCTGGCTCAATTGTCAGCAACTCGGACGGCTCGCCTCTTTCGCCCAAATCGAAGCCCAAGCCGACGCTGCAGCGCAAGCGCTCCCCTCAGCCACTCTTCCTCACTGCCCATCTGTCGTCGGCCTCACCCCGAGTACCAGGCGACCGAACAGTGGTAGCCGTCAACGGCCCCACGACACCCTTGTCCGCTATCTCTGCAGGCTTGATGCTTCGGCCCAGCACATTTGATGACAGCGACGACGAGGACGGGGAGCGCCTACTGGACTTTGAAACCAGCCCGACAGCCGCGACACGTCTTGGCAGTAGGCTTCTGGCTTCGGCTAGCCGAAGATTCATGCGCTCCACACGTGACTTGCAAGGCGGTCTCAGCACGAGCAGCAGCAGTGGGGGGGCAGACGATGAACACAGAGATGCAAGCCTGCCCTTCGAGAAAGATCAGAGCGGCAGAAAGCGTGCCTTGAGCATCGAAGGCACGCGCCGCTCCTTCGAAACTGCACGTGCATCGGCTGCAAAGCTCTTCCCATTCACCCGTCCGACACGTGCACGTGCTGCAGCGGGCCATGCTGGACCCAGAAGGCGCAGTGCTTCTGCCGATCCCACTGTATCCTCCACCAGCCTCCCTCTTAGCAGCCCAGTCTCGCTCTCTCCTGCACAGACCAGCAGCGAGGGACATACCTTTTCGTGCAGTGCAGTCGCTAGCAACCATTCTCGCTCTTGCTCGTCTTCCGCAGCATCATTAACAAAGGCAACCTCACGCAGCGCGTTCACGGGCACCGGCGCAGGCGTCGTACGCCGCCCCGACGAGGCTTTCTTTCCCAATGAGAACGTAGAGGAGAACCGCAGCTCGAGTATGGACTGCGATACTGATTCGGAGGAGCTGTTGATCAAAAAGAATCAGGCGTTGCCTCGCGCAAGGCTATGGACCACCGTCGCCATGTCTCCATACTCTTCGGGTCGCGCCCTTCCCAATTCGCCCGACCTGCCTCCTCCCCCTTCCAAGCTCTCAGTGTTGCCGTCGGCCTCAGAGAGCGCAGTGAGCGCGCTCGTGTCGGCACCAACCTACAAACCATTGCGACCGCGCCGGCCTAGCGAAGCTGTGCGTCTAACCCAGGCGCCGGCAGCCGAGGAGCGTCGTATGCGCCGGCCAGGCGTTGCACCTCGCCCGACCATGCGTCGCTTGCCTCCGCGCAAGCAGAGACCGTCCAAGGCCCTACCGCCTCTGCCTGGCATCCCTACGCAACAAGCACGCTCCTCACCGATCGAAGAGTGTGATGAAGCCTCCGTACAGCCGGACATGGAGGGCTGTGACGAGCAACTTGAGGCCAGACTCGCTGAAGACTCCCTCCTGACCTTACAACAAGACTCCGACTTTGCCGTTGGTGCGCTCATGCGCACTGCTGCCCAGCTCTGCCCAGCGTCCTCGCGTCAGATCAAGTTTCTCCCTGTTCCCCAAGGAGTGCGAAGGCTGGACTACGAACATGACAGCGGTGAGCTCATCATGATCGCGCTGGTCGTCGGCGACCGCACCTTCCATGCACCAAGTGCATCTCTGTGCGGGATGGAGCATCGCCCATTCACCGGTCGTTTTGCCCAGTACATTCGTAACTGCCTGCACGAAGCTCGCTGGCTTACCGCCAATTTTGACCCGGAGTCTACACGCGCACAAAGAAGGCCATCCAACCCCTTCAGCGCGGGCGCATGGGTCGACAGCTATCTCGAGATGGACATTGACGATGAAGAGATGCCTGTTGAGAAAGCTTGGCCCGAGTCTGAGCCTGGCACGCCTGATCGCAAGCAAATTGCTCGGGCTCGGGTGCCTGCCAAGCGGCCTTCCCTCGCCTCAACCTGGCAAGCCTTGGAAGGGCAACGGGAGAGCACTATCGCCGAGAGCGTGTTTTGCACCCCACATCGCTATCAGCCGAATCATCCAATCATTGTGGAACTCTTTCTGGACCGCCCTTCGGGTATTTATGAACTGCTTCTATGGACCCTGCGTGAAGCACGCTTGCCTTCAGCATTGCGCAGAGGAGGTATTGCAAATAACACGGACCTACAAGTACAGATCTTAGCTGCGTTACGGGAGGAGGCTGTCTTCCTTGGCTACAGCCATCTCGTCGCCATGGTAGATGCGGAAACAGCAGACCTGTCGAGTTAGGGTCTGCATGTATTGAAACATTAGACAATGCTTTACATCAAAGGGTGTGCGAGAGACTAAAGGGAAGCAAGGGTACGTTGCTTGCTTGTATTAGTGAGATGATTGCAAAATGCAGTAACAATCAATATTCGTATCTCTGCCGCTTGCTGGAAGGAGGTTCTTCATCCCGGACGCGAAGCGTCGCTGGCCTGTAAGATTCATGCGAGTCGACGTGGTAATCCGAGCGCGAACCGTACGGCGGGTAAAGTGGCGTTGGGCCGTACGTCCCGCCATACCCTCCTCCCAGTGTAGACTTGCCAAAGCGCCTATCCGCGTAAGGGTCGGTCTCGCCACGGACCATTTCTTGCGCACGCTCCGACGTGACGTAGAGTGAGGAGGCGCGCTGGACCGGGCTCGGCGCCCCTGCCGCGTCTACAGATGTGCCATTGCGGGGATGATAGGACCCAGGCTCTGTCCAAGGTGTGGCCCGGTCGTCGACCGGAGTGTCTCGCGGCGGCGCTCGGTAGGGTCCATCGTGCGGGTATGACGGAGAAATTTTGTCTCCGGCACGCCTTCCATCGTTCCCGCGCGAGCCTGCCGTCCCAGTACGACTGGGTGAGTTTCCTAATCCAGAAGGCGCGCGCACGTTGGGATGGATGCCGGATCGCTCCTCGTAATCTCTAATCAAGTGCTGCACCCATTCTTCCAGCTCTCGCACTCTGTTGAACAGGTTTTTGTTCTTTTGGTGCACCTCACGCGTTTGCTCGGCAACTACATGCGCAAATAAAGACGAAAAAAACATTAGCTAGAACTCCATAGCATATCAATCTTCCTTTTGAATATGAAAGAATCACGTACCTTCTGCATCGATGATCGCGTTCAGATCTGCACGCACTTCTGCCTTAATCTGCTGCTTGAGTTGTTCAAGCAACTCGGGCGGCACGGTCGTTGTCAGAGGTAAAGATCCGCATGCTTGTGGACCGCCAGCAGCATGTCCAGACTCTGAGCCAGAGTACGAGCGCAACCAGTGCGAGGGCGGTTGAGCGGGCGTTTGTGGAACAGCATGTGGTTTGTGCACGGAAGTTAGTGGAGGTAGTACGCTGCCACTGCTGATATCGGCTGCGGCTGGGCCATCTCCCGGGACACCGCCAGGCATGGACGAGTCTGTTTTGGTGATACTCCCTGAGACCGTGTGAGTAGACGAGTTACCAGTGGAACTAGCAGGACGCGCAGCAGCAGCAGCAGCGGCGGACGTGCGCGGGCTCTGCTTAATCGCATCCGGTTGTGAAGCGTTTCGTTGACCCGCTCTCGTATCGGCAGCCGGTGAGCGTCCATAGCCGAGCAAAGAGCTGCCACTACCAGCGCCGCTGAGACTCGACGTTGGCGGGAATGCCGAGGCAGACGTCATTGGTGAGCGACCACGTGGAAGAGCCGACTTGTGCGGCGCTCGCGAAGCATGGGCACTGATGCATGACTGGCCCATTCCGACAGGCATACTCTGCGTGTGAATCGGTGGAGGCAAGCGGGTCCCTGTCGGTTGCGGCTGGCCGGACGGCAGATGGCGCGTAGGCGGGGGCAGTGATGTACCTTGTGGCGGCGCATGAGGGTACATGGCGCTACCGGCACCCATACCAGCGCCAGCACCCGTTCGTGCAGGTCCACTCCCGCCCATGGGCGGTAGACCGACTGGCTTCAGATTGGGCGTGCCCGCAATGGAAATCGCTTTGCTCTGCCAGTACGAGCCATAAAACCCGCTGTGGATCGTGACAAACTCGGATATCAGCGCGCTCTTTGGCTTAGACTTTCGTTTGGTCTTGCTGCACCAGATGAGCCAGTCCTGATACAACGCATTAACACTCTCTGCCATGACGTTTTCATCAGTTGAAGGTGGATTATGCTGCTCAACGAGCTGTAAGAATTTCTCGACTGCAATGTAAACAGCGTTCAAAACAAACCGCGTTAGCATGTATCCAAAACTTTCCAAGAAAGCACATCAGTCCAAACGCACCCTCTTCAATGCTCAGATCGCCAGTGCCCGCGGGTGGCTTGGGTACGCCAGGAGGCAGCGGCGTGCTGCTGAGCCCTATTGGCGAAGTCCCAATCGGCTCGCGCGCACTAATCAGCCCTGCTGCACCCGCTCCAGCATCGGACCTTTTCCCACGAAAAGGCGGAATCGGCTGCAAGACCATCTTTGCCGCTGCCCGCTTCTTCTGGTCAGCTCCACTCGATGCTGCTGCTCCAGCTCCTTTTCCTTCCCCTTCATGCTTCTCCGCTGCATCATGCCCGTTGCCCTCTGATGCTCCTTCAGAAGGAGAAACTTGCGCCTTTGAGTCGCTGCGAGAGATCGAGGACATGAGTGGCGCTGCGTCGTCTATATCAGCCGAACGAGAACGCTGTATTTGCGTCTCTTCCGGGCGCAAGTGCTCCGAGTGAGAATGCTGCTGCTGCGAAGATATTCTGCTGACGTTGCTGTCGTCTGCTGCGGCAGGTACACTAATGGCTGCTGCGCGAGGAGGACTGTTCTTGTGCCCAGCATCTGCTTTGACGGCTGCAGCTGCAGAAGAACGATTGGCCGCCCGTCCACGTCCCCTCTTTGATGGTAGTACAGGTGGTGGGGCTTCAGCGGCCAGCTTGTCATTCGAGATATGTGGGCTGTTTGTGTAGAGCCGCAGTGCTGCGGCGCTCGCACCTGAAGCTGGCGGGCCTGACCCTTCGCGGCGGCTTCTCGAGCCACCACCTTTCTCGGGTGAGGATGCACCTTCGTCCACGATCGAATCAGAAGCCACCTCAGGTAACTGAGCAGCTGCACCAGGGAGGCTGCGAGGCTCTGTGGCTTGATCTTGATTTACTTGCGTACTCTCATGTGCGAGACGAGCAGCGCCGGCGCTCATCTTGCTCATGGATTGGGCCGCCTCTCGCTCCTCCGGCGTGAAGGACTTGTCCACCTCTGCTTCTTCCCGTCCATCTTCTTCCTCCAACTCATCGCGCTCCTCCTCATACAGGCTGCCGCGACGCGTTGCGCTTGCGGATGCGGCACTATTGCCGGAAGAGTGGTGGGAGAGTGAGTGCCGCGTATGTTGTTGATGGAGATGTGTAGCTGTACTACTCCCTCGACCGCGTCCACGACCGCGTCCGCGTCCCCTGCCGGCCTGCACACTGCTAGATGTAACTCCACTGTTGCTGCTGCTGCTGCTGTTGCTCTTGATGTCCATGTCAGGATGGTGCAAAGCAAGCGGCGGCAAGCGGGGGCTCTCCGGATTATCCTCGGCCGCCATTTGTTCCGTCAGTGTTTCAACAGATGCGGCCGCCATTTGTTCTGTTAGTGTTTCACCAGATGCGGCCGTTAAGATAGCGTGTCTTGTTGCCTCCCTTGGGGTGATTTGGTATCGGGGATGCGGCTGCCGGCTGTCCTTCTTGCGGCCGCGCTGCTGGCCCTTTGCCATCCGTCAGAAGATGCCTGTACGCGTTCGATCAGACAGGATTTCCACAGAAGCACAACGCAAGGGGTCCTCGTGCTGATAACAAAAGCTTGAAGAGAATTAACGTGTGAGGCCCAGCTTACTCGTGAAGAGCAAGAGTAGGAGGGTTCCTTCGTTGACCAGGCGCTATTGTGTTCCGTCTGACCTTTGGTCCGGCGTCGTCCACCGCCCAAGAGAGCACGCTGACGGTGTCTGTATGCGTTTCAAGAAGAATGTATGCTGGACGCTATCCGTGTTGCCAGCTGTCGGATATTCGCGCGCAGATGGCCGATGCGGTGAAGGCGATGTTGATGGTGATGGTGGTGAGATGATATCGGGTAAGGAGAGTTGGGAAGGGAGAAATGGTATAGAGAGAGCGCGCAGTTTGCCGGACGCCTGGACTCTTGAGAGTGGGGGTGGAGGCTGGACGGGCCATCCAGATAGTTTGTTTCATCAGAACAGAGGTCTCGAAAAAGAGAGCGCAGGCGGCCGCAGATGGCACTAGAGGGCAGTGTCGTGGAGAAGCAGCCACCCGCTCAATAGCAGCTGCGCCAGCTGTCAGGGTAGCTTTTGAACACAAACGCAGAGGGGCGCAGTACAGATTCTTTCTTTTCCCCGTCGGCGTTTTCGCGCGTTTGGGCTGCTCACATTGACGTAGCTTCTTGCTTTTCTGTACGTAACGGTGTTGTTTTATGTCATACTGTCGTGTGAGAGTGCCAAGCGGTCAATCGTCAACAGGCCATCAACGCCACATTCGAGGCTCCAAGCGCAACTGTGCAATGCTTCCAGTAATCCAGCATTCAGTTTCACCATACTCAGACGTTCGGGCGAAGGGCAGCTCACAAGGTCCATGCGCAAAACGATTTCTGAGACCATGTGTATAGGCTGGGCTCGCCAGTTCGCCTAAACACATGCCTTATGGTAGTATGGCTGGATTTACGACCTCATGCGAGAGGCAGCGCGGAACGGCGCAAGGCGAATGTACGCCCGTGACTCCCTACAAGTCTCAGGCGCGCTGAGCCTCTTCATGTATAAAAGTGTGTGTACAAACATCGTCCATATGCACTTTACAGTCGTAATACCGACACGCCGGGCCTTTGCTTGGCTAAAGTATTTGACTAAATAATGTATTTTGTAGTTGGCTTTTGGAGTATCAACTGCCCGAATCAATCAAAGACGAAGCCAAGCAGGGTCCTGTCAAGTAGAGAATTGTGTAGTTAAATATGTCCGAAGATATATATATGTATGCATGCATCTTTTGATTCCCTGCACACCTCCACACGTGTTGTCATGTTGGCACCGGGACGCAGCAGGATGCCGTAGGCCGCAGGACGCAAAAGTCACATCAGTAAATAAGAATGTATGCATTCAGGGGACAGCAGCCGCTGCAGGAGGCTGCTTTCTGTAAATTGCTAGAAGCACACTCCGTTTGTAAATGCGGTTTCGAATCAATCGCAGTTGAAATGCTCAACAGCCACATACATATAATACCATTATTTATCTGTTTTCTCAATGCCAGTCGGTGCCTCACCAGTCGCCAGGCTGCCCATTGCCTGAACATGTTGTAATCGCTAGAAACAAGCAGGAAAAATATGGAGTGATTGATGGGTTCTTTTTTTTCCTTTTGGTCGTTATATTTCTTTGCCTACGTACATAGTTCGAGGACCAACTTAGACCTTGGACGATCACATACGTATTCGTGCATGTGTTACGGTATGTACTACCAACCTTTGTTATATACGTAAATATATACATACACTGCGCACCCCGTGGGTTCATTAGGAATCCCCAATCGTATTGTTGTTGCGCTTCTGTTCCTTGCTCAATGTGGTTGCTGTCTGCTGTGCTGCAAGTGAAAACGTTATCCCAATTTGTCTGGCTGACAAACTTATGAGTAGATCACATACATGTGCAGTTCAGCTTGGCGACCGCGGGCGGCCCCGGCGCAATGCAAAACCCGAGTAATTTGTTGGAGCGTGCATGAAAGTATCACAATTCTAATATTATATCCTTGAAAATGCTGAAAGCTCACTCGTTGAGGGCAGTAGGCAAAATTCCGCTAGCAACACGCTAACCTACCACTCACCACGCTACTGCAAGAAAAAGTTTGCAATCTTGCAGTTCAGGCACAGCGAAAAGTTTGAATCTAGATTCCAGCATCCTAATTCTGCTCTCTTATTTCTATTACGAATACAAAACTCGTGCATTACAATCCATGCCTCGGTTCTCCCTGCTCATTGAGAGATGCAGTTCATGTTGATTATTGCTCGTTGACCAAGAGATTAGGTGATGTGACAACGAGCCACGAGTTCTCTTTTATTATTGAAGCCAGAAAGGAGCACCGCAGCAATGACACCCTTCTCACTATCTCATTGTGGAAATTGCGAACTGTTGAATGCGGTTTTTGATGGGCACTTACTCTTATTCCCTTTTCAATATTGATGAGATGCAAACTGTAAACGGGCCAACCCATCCCTATTTGTCGAGTAACAGTACAGTGTCCCGGTATCGAACGCCTCAAAACTATCCCACAATAAGTTTAATATTCCTAAACTGGTTTGACTTAAAAAAGTCATATCAACAAAAGCATCACCATCAGACCAAAAGTAGGCCCGTCTGGAGCACCGCTGGTGACTGCATCATAGACACACTTTCCAATCTAGAATGAGACCCACAATGAGAGTGACTTCGAGGTTACCTTCAATGATTTTCTCAAAAATGACTCCAACATCTCGGATCTGCTGAACAAATGAGAGGCATCACACTAGCCATCAAAATATCGTGGTACGGCAGAGCAAGAAGGATCGACCAGGGCCGGGTGCAGCTCAGAGCGCTCATCTTGTCATCACCGTGTGCTGAGAGATTTATCATAAAATGGCCGGTGCAAGCGCAACTCGATTACCTCATCACAAGGTTAGTAGGCACAATTGCCATGTTCACGGATGTCGAGCCTCAAGCGGCTGCCGAACCAGTTCACAGGATGGCGTTTGCGATCCGACGAGAATTGTCTGTCAATTGCCTCGCGCTTTTCACTGTTTCCGAAGGTTATTATTTTTTCAAGAAGGTTTGGCCAAAAATAAAGAATGCAGGCTCCGCGACACCGTGGCGGGCTGAATAAATGCTAGTGCAGTCACTTGGCTATGGGCGGCGCACGCGTCACGCCGTTGTGAAATTATTGCGCCCTCGGCATCCCCCGGCACAGGCCGAATGCCGATGACGGACAATGGCCAGGGCTCAAATGGAGTCATCATGGAACGGAACCCTATTTGGGTACCTTGTGATACATGGGGATGAGAAGAGAAATAGAACGAATGTACATGTCAAGCTCAGATGCGCCGATGAGCAATATCGGAGTTAAGGGTGCGATGGGCTATCATGTCCTTGTCTACGTATGCGTGCCGCTGTATGGTGTCTGCTATTGTTGGTACCAAATGTTGAATGCGTGCAGCTCAGAACTTGATGCTTGATAAGCAAATGAAATCACTCCTTGTCACTCCTTTTCATCACAAGGGCAACGCATCTCATTTTCTACCCAGAGGTTCACGGTTTTGGCGACTGGTCTTAGGAGGCAAGCGTACCATCATCTGGGTCCATTACTGCGAACATGCTTCTCACGGTTCCCACCTTTTGTCATGCGCAACACCGTGCAAGGTCGGCAAAGTTTGCGGTTCGGTGAGGTTGATTGTCCATTCGCCTTGTACCAACAGCGAAAAGCTTGACTTGGCTTCAAGGTATGGACCTAATTTGATTTACAGCGGTGATCGGAAGGTGGCTGCGCTACCTACGCGGCTTCAACATAATTAACCGGAAAGATACCCACGCCACCGTGGCCGTGGTGAGCTTCCATTCTGACGCCCTCCGCCCAACCCTCGCCAAAGTCCATGCCTACGTCGCTTAACTGGATTACCTCCCCTTCCTTCAACGACATCTCCTGTGGATCGGACGCTTCAAAATCGTACAGCGCACGCACATACTTTGCGCCAAAAGTCTGCGTGTCTTGCGCTGGTGAGAACGCCATGCCACCGAGACTCGACTGCAATTGCTCATCGTTGTGGAGGGTCGGATTGGCCTTCACAGCCCTTGACCCTACAAATTCACAGTAAGATGTCGGCACCAGGCCCTGCCTGTCATCGTCAGTGGCGACTTTGATCCAGCCAGTGCCCTCGAGATCCTCCTCGACCAGGCGCACGAGCTCGCCCTCGGTGACTGTCAGCTCGAACGGGCTCGTCGCTTCAAAGCTGTAGAGCAGACGACCTCGGGAAGTATCGCTGATGCTCGTACCTGCGCTAGCGCCCACACTCGTCGAGTCGACGCTGCCAGGCACGCGGATCAGATGCGTGGCTGATGCAGTGGCACGAGTAGGCGGTGCCAGGCCGTTTCGGGTAGCATGGGTACTATTGCTGCTGCTTCCACAATCAGCAGGGACCTGCCATATCCACCGTAATCACGTAAGCTCATTGTCCCAGAAATAACGAGCAAGCATTCTCCCCCGAACGTACTTTGAGCTCGCACTTAGCATGAACCGTGAAGCCACAAGGCTTGCAGACCAAGCCCTGCTTGGCAATGCCCCAGATGGTTCCACTGCAAAAGTCGCAGCTGGTCGGTATTGTGAAAGAAGCCGGCTTGAATCGATGAGGTCTGGCTTCAACATGGTCAGCGCCTATGCTGGCAATGATGATGTCCTCCTCGGCCTGTAGACACCCTTCGCTCGTTTCGAGCACCAGCAGCTCTCGCGAGCTTTCTAGGAGATTCTGTACTCAAAGAGGGGGATCAGTTGGCATGAACGAACGATTTGAGCGCTACAGATCTGCACACCAAGACGCACGTCCATGACCTCGTCCGGGTCACCCAGCCCTTCCTGCTTCGCATATGCATCCCTAAGGTTCTGCAGGCCCTGCACCTCTTTTCTCCGACTCTCCATCATCGGCCTGACATCCCTCGCTTTCTGTCTTGCCTTCAGCAGCCGGTTCTGGAGGAACGTCCTCGCCGTCGCATCCTCGATCGACATCTCCCCCGTGTCAAAGAAGCCCACACATGGCTCTAATGTCCAATCAGCAGGCAATTCGCAGCGCCGGCGGTTGTATTCAACGTAGAGGCGCTGGTCGTCGATGATTGAAACTTTAGAAAAGGCATCTGTCGCTTCAGTTACCGAAAGGCGAAGCCTATCTGTGTGAGTGAGAAGATGTTCGTTTGCGCGGCGCAGTCGGGAGGCCAGTCGAGATATGGAGAGACCCCACAGAGATTGGAGATCCTGACATGACGGCGTGTATGAGCACTCAGGAGTATATCATGTATTGACTCATGGTGCCACTCACATTCTGGAGCGCGACTGTTGTCCGCTTGAAGTAAAGCTCCTTGGCTTTGTTTGCAACACAAATTGAAATCAGGTAGGTGTTCTGGATAACAGCAAATCGGGAGCCGTCAGTCGTGCTCAGAAAGTGAGCTCGCCAGCGCAGGTCTCTCACCTTGGCATTCTTCAAGTCTACTTCTGCGACAGCTTGTGCCTTTGCAGCTCTATCTGCTTGCTTGTCGCCAGCATCTGCCTTCTCTCGCTTGTGTCGCTGGGCATCGACTTCGTGGCATGCCTCATAGTACTTTTCCTTGCTTTTCTGCCGGTCTGAATAGACCTTTTCTCGATCTGCTATTGCTCGGGATGAAAATGCGACGTGCTGTGAGCGACCGGGCGAAACCAGGGAAGGAGGAAACATGATCCGTCAGGCATTGAGCTGGCAGGAACGTAAAGGAAAAATATTGCACGCGCTCACCTTCTTACGCGTCGCTTCCTGCTTGCGCTCAGCAGCGCTGAGATCTGATGCAACGCTCTCGAGCGCATCGGCGAGCGATTTGTGTGCATTGGCCATGCCCTCTTGGTTGCCCAAAAGAGTGGTTACGAAGGTTTGCAGTGTGCTGCGATGAGAAGTAAAGCAAAGCATTGATACAGGCGTGAATGGACGTTGAAGCGATGAGCGACTGCGCTGTCACCAGTTGCTCTTCAAGGCTTGCCGCTCACCTCCTGTCGGCTGTTTCTTTTGTCCAGGCCTTCGTCGGCTCTGCGCCGACCACGTATTCCTGCAGCCGCTTGTCGCGCTTCTCCTTTGCCTTTTTGCACAGCAACGAAAGCTTTCCTGCATATTCGCGCTCAAGCTCGGCCCGCTCGGTTAGAAAGCCAGCGAGATCGGACGACAGTGAGATCTGCAGTGCAACAAAGGACGCAAGTGCCTGGAAGGAGCCCTGATGCAACCGGGTTTGAGTATGGGTGGCTGCATTAGTATCGTGCTTCCAGCCAGGAATCAAGCTTGGCTTACAGGTATCTCCTTGCCAAATTCGAGGGACATGGTGGATTCTGGCCAAGGACGTCGCCCGGGTCGAGTGACCAGGTGTGGCTGCTATCACTCGCCTTCAATTGGGAGCGTGACAAGCAGCAACGAGCCGGCACTTCGCGCGTGGCAGGACACCGGTAAGCGACGCGCTTTTGGCCCTGCGACGCGATCGATGCGCCGCTCTCCGAGCAGTCCAGCTTTGACGCAAGAACAGGCAACGACTGGGTGGTGTGAGTGGGGGAGAGGACGTGTCTGTACTCTGTGCAAGATTGTCGCATTTTATGGTTGTAAATGTTGCAGCTCACAGCTCACGGGCACCTGGCAGCAATGCGCAGCACCTAGTCCGCCCTGAGCGCGCTGCGCGTGTGCAGGGTTAGTCTGAGCGGAATCTCTATGTTTCTTCATTCGAGGTCGGAGTCCGTCAGCCAAGCTGCTCATCAAACGCCGAGAGAACATCAATGCACCAATCCACTCGTCCTCAAGCACATGTGGATTTTTTACTTTCAGCCTTGATGCTCTCCACTGCTGACTGCACAGTCCTCCACAGCCGGAGAGGCTGGAGAGAGGGTAGAGTCACAGTCAGCCCCCAAGCAACAAAAACACGCGAGTCCAAATCCGAGGCTTGGGGGATGCGGTTATGCGTAGTCCCTCTCGCAGCTCGGGCAATGACGCTCACGTCTTTTCTTCAGTTCGACATGTGCAGGCAAGAGCCTAACCGGACGGTACGCCTAATGGATGGTAAATAGGCACCTTCAAGTGCGTTTCAAAGGGAAATTACAGGGCCGTGATGAACGCGTAGCGAAATCGAACACGGCAGAAGACAGTTTTAGCCATCGCGCCTACCACAGGCAAATCACAATTTTGGAGCCGACAGCTGTTCCTTAGGGAATTCGAGGTAGTCGGCCATAAAGATTTCAAATTCCCTGCCTTGGTAGATAGAAAAGCGCCTCATCTCCACGTAATACTTGCACACGCCCTTGCGCACCTTATTGGTGTACTGCAACAACTGCTAGGCTGGAGCGCACCTACCCTTGCCACAGACGGCGACCAAGATGGGCGCATCGAATTAGTGCGCAGGATACCCCGGGTAGTCCAGGAACAAACGCGGAAGGAACCTCGCAGTGATGGCGTTTTCAAAATTGAGCTCATCGATGTTGTCCGGTCGCAGGCGGGGGGAGCTTTCGTATGTATTTGGACCCTTCAGACATGCCGCTGAAAGCACCGAGTCGGGGATATGATTGAAATGGAGCCTGTATTCATGCCTTGCGCTTGCGCTTGCGATAGATATCCTCGAGAGACGCGCCTTCGCCTGGTTTGCCAGCTAGTGGGACCGTGTAGAACTTGCCCTGGGAATCTCCATGCGCCGCTCCAAAGAAAATGTTCTTTAGTGCATGGAAAAGCTGCATAGAGCTGAGGAGAATGCTGGTGCAGACAGTGCTGGCGAAGCCGTGCGTCAAAGGGCATTGGGCGATGATGACTTTGACTCCTTGTCCTCCCAGCCGAGCTCGTCACGGGTAGTCTTGCGGACTGAAGACCTCCGAATAGCTGTCTAGTCCCATCTCTTTGGTTCCACCGAGAACGTGCCCGAGGACGATCGCAGACCCAGGGTTATCAGCGCTCGCGGCGGCGGAGAGGTATGACCACTCGCTGCCGCGGGTTCAATTGCTTTCGAAGCTGCAGTCCTGGCGTTTGCTGGTGAGGGACATGATTGGCTCTTTGTCTGTGAGCAGCTCTTCTTCCGACCAGCGTTACAATGTATGCCTTGTTCGAGTAGTGTCAATTTCAATACATCATCATATATTGATGATACACATGGTGACCTTGCAGTCCTCATACCACGCCGAAGAATGACTTCAGAGTCGCTTGTTTGTTTGCATTTTGCCCCACATATCAGCAAGAAATACTGCTGCATTGGTTTGTTTGTGGGCTAGATTTGACCCGGAAACTACGTGGACCTCCTGCCACTGCTGGAAATCACGGAGTCGAGGTTAACTTCTTCAACCCTTTCCCCCCGGGATCTTAACAAGGCTCCGGAAGGGGCTAGGAGCCTTTCCAGAAACTGCTTTGCCAGGTCTTTTCG